ATGGCTGGCAAGTCAATGGAAACCAGTTCGCGCTCTCTTGGGCAGTTCTGTGGCTCTTTGCCCACCTCAACTTCCTCGTCCTGGACGTCTTCACCGTTTGGCTCCCGCCCCCTTACGTCCCAATGGCTCTGATCACTTGGATCATTACCAATGTCACTTCCATTCTTCTTCCTTTCGAACTCTCCCCGGGCTTTTATAAAGTGGGCTTCGCTCTGCCCGCTCATGCCGTCTTCCAAGTTCTCATCGATATCTGGTCCGGAGGCTGCAATCCTCAACTGTACTACGTTCTTCCGGTTCTCTTCGTTTACGAAATTCTCGGCGCGGTGTTTAGCAGCGTGGGTGTGTACCGACGGGCTCATTACGCAAGCATCAAAGCTGAGTCGGATGAAAAGGCCTGCGAAGAGCGTGTTGCAGCGGCAGTGCTTCAGCAGCAAGAGGTGCAACTCGTGCGCCAAGAAACACTTCGTGATGCCGAAGATAGTAGGTCATCAAATGAGGAGCAAGAGAGCCGTGACGCCAGACCGAGACGGGGAACTGTGACTACAATCAAAGATCAAGAGGAGTTGGCTGACATCATTCGACGTGAGATGTCCCGGCCGACGGTCGAAAGCCCAGAAGACAGACGGAGCACCACTGGGCCATCATTTTCTCTGCCTTTTACGGAATAGTTATTCATTTGTCGGATGATTTGTTGTCATACCATACAGTTTATTAATATTTTTTCATAACCACCAATAAATGATTCCTTAATACAAGAGCCCAACATCATAATTACATAGTAGCATATTTATTTGTGATCTCACACAGTCAAGAGGGAACAGGAAACGTGTACAATTTGGCTATAACGGGTCCCCTGTCGCTGTGGTTTGGAACCATAGCGTCAGATAGAGCCCATCCGTGCTCTCATGTATAAAAGCAATTTGTCTGTATATTGCGATTGCTTCTATGTGCAGAGAGAAGGTGGGAGGGAGAAAACAAATATTGACGGCATGAAAGACGACGAGCTGCCAGCAGAGGCGAGTTATTGACTCCCGTGAGTCGTGAGGCAGTTGCAAAAAAGGAGAACCTCTTATAGATCTGCAGGCTCTGTGTGGGCATTATGTGAGGCAACCTAAATAAAACTTTTCTCCGATTCCCAATTACTAGCAATTAAGCAATTCGAACCGATAGACTTCGTATTGAGAAAAGGGACTAAGCTTGACTAGGGAATTTTCGCCTGCTAGGCTTGTCTAGAGCGAGGACCTCGCAGTTGCGAGACGAAGCTCTGCAGTTGCATGAAGAGAGAAAGAGAAGGAGAGGTCTATAGAACAGAGAGATGGGATCAGGAAAGAGAGAGGTGTCACATGGTCCTGTAGCCCTAGGTGCGTAAGGCACCTAGAACCTCTCGCTCACTTCTCTTCACATTTATCTCTTATATGTGCCTAGACCTAGCAGGTAAGGCATTTTTAGAATTGAGTTTCTTTCACGCTCTGGAGTGTGTTTATTTTGATGTGGCTCCATCAACCAGCCAAGTGGCCGAGCAGTAACTCAGCCATCACATCTTCCTTGGTCTAGTGGTGATGATTTCCGCTTGTCATTAACACCGATAAGCGCGGGAGACCGGGGTTCGATTCCCCGAGGGAGAGATTTCTTTTTTGCATCTTTCTTTTTTCCCCTCTTCTTTGTAATAATATCCCAACATTACCCTGGAATTAATTCATACTCCAGAGGAAACTAGATCCTAAGTACACTTTTCAAGCATTTTCATTCATCGAGACTTGGCATATCATAAACATGTGGTGAGTCTTGGAACGATGTTCCCAACACGATCCAGAATTCCACGCTCGCAGATCGTATTGTGAGGTCACGGCACGGAGTCGCGCATCGTAGAACGGCCAAAGTCCTTGTAACTATCGTGGATCCATATATTACAATGGATTGAAGATTGGGGACTCATGAGGCGCGAGCGCAGCGATAGAGCCTATGTTGGTCAAAGTGGATATTAGAAGTGCGAAGATCTATACGATAAATAAGCCTCGCGTAGATAGCTCAGTAAATTTAAGGATCAGTGAGTTGGAAAGGCAAAACACAACCAACGAAATGAAGTGAAAAAGAACGAGGTGAAGATGGTAATTCTTGTCCACCTCTATCCTGGATTTTCCACAGTATTTTTCCCGAGGCTTTACATTTCCCACTCTTTCCTCTTTTCTCTTCTTTTTCCTTTTATTCTCCTCAGTTACTCAACCCCGTCCATTCTCTTTTCAACTGACTATATACCTTCATTCAAGTTCTGCTTGAGCCAGTTCATCGTCTTAGCTCAGATCTCTCTCAATCACTCGAATACCGTGCAGTGCGTTCATCCGACCTCTCACACCTGAACCATCGCCTTACTCTCTTCCCCTGTTGCCAACCTCCACGGTTGGCCAAGCTCCGAATCTCACGCCAGATCGACCAAAGCGTCCATCTCACACCCTATTTCCATTATCCTTGAGTCATTAAATCACCAGAACGATATAGATTCAACCACAATGGATGATCTGTAAGTCCCCGTTTCAGCTAACGCCAAAGACCCTACACTGACAGCTATCCCAGAAATATCGCCCAGCTTCCAGCAGAGGTCCCAAGAGGCTCAGATGATCTGCCCCCAGGGCAATGGGCCCGATTTGCGTGTATGCGGCCGTGGACGGTTATCTATCGCAATGGACTTTTCCTGTCAACTTTGATAGAGGTAATCGGGAGACAGGAAATCATCAGAGGGCCTGTCATTCGCGAGTCCTAGACTGTCAATGCTCTGGAGGCTGAGCCCTACACAGCTATTGGAACAAGCCGCGCGGACGTGGAAGCACTATGAATTTATATGACGGGTGCTGTCCAGCAGGCGAAGTACATCGGATGCCGAGACATGAAAGGACCGTTCCCCTTTTGCGTTGTGAGTCTGAGCCGGGAAGGCAAGAAAGATTGCGCAAATTGCTGGTGGGTGGGAGGTGAGAATTCCTGCCGGCGATGCTCGTTCAATCTTCCGCCAAGTGTCTTCCAGCAAAATGAAGCACCCAACCGCGACCCGGATGGCCTGAGCCCCGCAGTTCGCCGAACAATCGGACGCCTCGTTGCGCCAACCAGGACGGCTATGGACACTGTCATTGCCCTACCTCCTCCGTTGTCTGAAAAACATTATCTACGATACTGACACTTTGTCTACAGATGAAGAGACCATATCAGGCGAGATGTCAATTCATTTGAGGAAGTTGCGTACAGAGCACGAATCCTGTCCGAAAGCGCACGAAGAATATTGAGATAGAAGAAGTACACTGTGTGGTTCAGAAAGACAGGCCGCAACGCAGGAACAATCCGTGAGTCGAGTGTCCAAGTCTACAAGCGATTGCTATGATACTGACCAGAGGACACAATAGAACGGAGTGTATTGCTCCCACTCGCGAGAAGACTGAGGAAGGGGGGAAGAAGGATTAGCAAACTGCCATCTATCTACAGGCGGTCTGATCTACTGGATGGGATCATCTCAACAATGTGTTCATGGCTTGGCGACAAAATCCGTCTACTGAACAGCCTCAGATCCTCGAGACCAATCATAGCCGCTTTGTTCAGCGTTGCTAGTCCTGACTTAGACCCAGTAAGCTGTGTAGAATGCTAATCGAACTTCATTGCATATCAATATCTATACATACAGCAAGGACAAAAGCCAGTCGTAGGGAGTTAGCACAGAAACATACATAGACCACATTATCTCTCATCAATGACATCGCTCTGCCAGAATTAACAGTTGTTCATCGGTGAATTCAACATCTCGTTCAATCGGATGGCTTGGCTCTCGTCTCATGAGCAAAGCGAAGTCCAGCCGCAAAGGCCCACCACAAATCACTCCATCTTCGATCTCGATGCGTTGATCTGGAATGGTCGTTGTTATACAAATAACCTCCCTTTCACCCTTCAGGGTTGTGGTTGAGATTTGGAAAGATTGTGTTTTCCATACGCAACACAACACCCGAAACGCCCCCCACACCCGATTTCAATGAGGTCGAACTGGGGCGTTTGTAGACCATCACTGAACATCTCCAAGTAAGTACGAGTATGACTCTGAGACACCAACTTCCAGTATAAGGGACCCAACCCTCGTTTGCTGTTTGCGTAGATAGACCCTCTTCCCGAGTCTCTCTCTCCTTCTTCCTCTCTCTCTCCCTGAATCAGTTAATCAATCGGCTCCAGTCCGCTTCTTCTCTCGCCCTTTAGGCCCAACAGGACTGGGTGGAATTTGTGACGAAAAACGACGCCGTTGAGACAGGCGCAGTGGAGTCAGACGCGGGTAGATTGCCAGTCGGATACATTGCTGGAAAGTTGTCAGATTGAAGAAAATGCGTACGGGGAGAAACATACCAGGTGGATTGAGGTGTCGGCCCCGATCGTCAACGGCAGGAGCATTCAGATCGACTTTGGCGCGATTCTCAGAGTATGGGTCCGACATTGTTAATTGACTTGAATATATGAGAGTCGCGCTGAAGTCGAGCTGGCCACTTGTATCGGCGCCTGGTTGGCGCCTGCGCTGGCCCTTGTCGTTCCAGGTCTCACGGCTTGTACTCTCGGACTGCGCTCCAAAATCTTTCCCCAAAAAAACTCCCAAGAGCTTGAGAAAGGCGTCGGCGACGATTCGAGAGTACACTGGTGTGTGGTGAACAGAGACAAATTAACGCGAACAGAGAGGAAAGAAAGAAAGAGGAAAAGAAAAGGAGGGGGAGGCCTTTTCATGAGAGCTGGCTCCCGATTAGGAAGTCTCGCAACCGGGGAAGGAACGAGGGTGAACACCCCACCACAATGAGATTTCTGCGAACTCAGCATGCACTAGAACCTCCAGCGAGTTTGTTTCAGAGATTGATACAGGAAAGACCCATTTCTAGTAAAACTCGACTTTTCCGTTTGAACGTGGGAAATGTGATATTTTGCGATTGAACAGTCAATCGATCGCTTCGAATATTCGTTGGTAATAACAATCGCTCAAGAAAATGACTAGTCTAGACTCTCATACCGTTTGGTCGGTAACCCTGAGCAATATCGATAGTGTTGGCCGCAGCCTGGGCGCTCGCACTCAGGGAAACGGTAGGAATAGCTCCCTGCACATTGACCTGCTCTCCAGTGGTAGCGATAGCAGCAGCACTCCTGTTCACACCAATGGTAATGTAACCAATCAGGCCCTCTGCGAGAGTCTGTCCAAGCAGCTCCGTGGCAATAATGGCATCGTTTCCATCGGAGTTGGCAGTGGGGTACAGAGAATCCTCAGAGTTGAGAGTGCGGTTCAAGGTAGCCAGGTGAGCATGGTACGGAGCCAACTGGTAGACAGAGTTGATTAGATCTTCAGGGAAGAACAATTGGCCAACGTGCTGTGTGGCTGCATCGGAGTAGCTTGTATCATCTCCGTTCACCTTCGACTGCACGGTGACGTGAATATGGGTAGTGCGGGATGAGTAGTAGCCTGGGAAGATGGTGAGGAACTCGCCAATGCCGGCCTCATTGGTCTTGGAGATTCCACGCAGGAAGGTGGAGTCGTCGGTTGTGCCATCGGATCTGGTGGTCCAGCCATCGTATGCTTCGACGGTGTCTGGGTCGATACCAATATACCCGGAGTAGGTTCCGGTGGCATTGCAGGACTATAATGCTGATCAGAGAAAGGGGGACATGGAGTGTGGAGTCAGAGTATCATACCCAGATAGTCAACCAGGAATCAGAGAGAGGCTCGCAGGTCTCCACGTCGATGAGTCCAAGGTCAAGATAGAGATCAACACCATCCTGTCCTTCCCGGACATCGTGGCGATGAAGCTCGCCGTCAACATCATAGGGACCGAAGATCGTGTCGGGGGAAAGTGTACAGGTCTTGTTCTGGAGTTCTTTGTACATGAAACGGTTTGCGTTGGAAGTGGACCGCTTGCCCAAGGCATTCCTGCGCTTCAGGAAAGCCGCATCACGACGATGCTCGATTTGACGAGCGCATTTGTCTGTGCCACGTGCATGGATTGCTGGAGGGTGGACTTTGGAGTGGTCATGACGTTCCGGGTGAGCTGTTTTGCAACGTCAGTTCATGAATCTTCAGTCCCTTCACATGATTTCTGTCTTACCAGTCACTCCGGTGATGGCAGAGGCGCACGCAAGAGCTGCAAGGAAGGTTTTACGCATGTTGATCGAATGTAGTCTCTGGATACTTGGGAAATGATTGACTTGAGCGGGAAATAGCCTTCTATATATGCTTTTCAAGTCTTCACTCCACTCCAACGTACGGGGCATTCTACGGCTTCTAGAATTTCCATCCGTCAACTGCTGACGACGGCTTTCTAACAAGCTCCTTATTTTTGGCAGGCTCCTTATTTGCTACCGTCCGCGCGGAGAGCTACTGTAGATAGTGTCCACCCTGTGGAGACACTACCTGGCAAGGCTCAATGTTTGGGGTACAAAATTCTACGCTACTGGGTAAGGTTTTGGAGTATGCGCAAAACATCACAGCAAACATGCATGGATTAACACACGATCCCAGCAATTGACCTCAAGAATACCAGATTATATCTACGGAGTCTAGTTTGCACAGTTCTCTTCTTTGGAGTCAATATCCCCAAATCGACCATTGGAACACACCAAGTCCAAAAATCCAGTTTAAAAAGCCAAGCCTTGCCAGCCGTCATTCGTCAGGCTTCACGTCACCATCTCAGGAATAGGGGCTTTGAGCCCTACTTACTAATCGGAGATGATCTGCCGACGAGACTTTTGATTGGAGGAGTCAGAACCTCATCTCTGCCAAGACCAACTAGAGCGCTGAAGTTTCTATCTTCGGGATGATACACTAGCTGCTTCACTATGCAGTCTCACAAGTCCACCGGTCGTACTTCGTCAGACAGATGATATGACGCTCTGAAATGATTTTGTCAGTTTGTTGAAGATTATAGATCGCCCCGGGGCCTCAAAGGCTAAAACTCACAAAATCCTGCTCCACTTTGATCTTCCTCGCGAGAAGTTCCCTGGACAAGGTTGGATACACCCTATCCAACGGCCAAGCCGAATGATCTTCTGTGCTCTGCACATCTTGTGATCTTATCACATCATCTTGATTATGATATATCCTGTAGCTATGGGCAAGGGGGCTATCGCCCCACCCCACCGGTATTGAAGGACCTTTTCCGTGGACTGAATTATTTCGATCGTACGAATTGGCCCGGACGCCGGAGGAACCGTACGGTGACCCAACCCCACTCATTGGCGGGGATATGATGGCTCGGAATGGAGGAAGACTTCCCACGACGACTGCTATCATAGTTGTTAGAGTGGAGTCACCGGTCAATTTTCACAGGGAGATAACTTGCAGATAGACGTTTCCACGATACCCCAGACCGCGAGCGCTCCTGGGTCTGAAAATGTACTGGTTCCGCTGATCTCGACAGCTCTGACGATGGCTGCGGCGATGATGGCAAACCCTATCAGGAAGACAAGAGCTAGACCGACCTTTTGTTTCACATTGATCTTTGCGACCCATATGATTCGCAAAGGGAGAGACATTACTATCATACCAAATTAGCCATAAGCGATAAAGCCCAAAAATGTCGCGATCTTAATACCTAAAAGGTCTGTTACTATGTCCACAGATGTGCTGTATGAGATGGCAATGGTAAACCCTTTGAAATCGATTGGCTTTCCACATTGACCTGGCAAGCATTAGGATGAAGTTACTAGTGTTGGAGAGGAGCGTCATACCAGGACCATATTTGAAGTAGCTAGATGGCGGATGGCAAGTGTATACCAATACAACCCAACAACCAAGATAAGCGAGACATGCGAAGACCACGACAGCCCACCATGCCCGGCGATATACCGGTAAACCATCGGATACCATCCAGAACAATGCTAGGAATGATCCCTTGACGCTCCATAAAATTGTCCAAAATATTCCACTGATCGCAAATTCATAACACAGATAATGTAGTACATGGTACTCGATTTCGGCACCCGTCGGATGAAGCCCTAAATAGTAAAGATGTGGCGTCTGCAATGTATGGAGGATGGCATTGGCGACAAGAAGTACCAACGCAAAGAGCATGAAATAGTCGTCAGCAAGTAAACGTTTCATGTACTTGACGCGCACCACTAAGCGAGCACATATGAAAACAATAGCCAGGCTTGCTCCTCCCCAGGTAATTCCAATAAGACCATTTGACGGCAGGTGAGCTATCATGTTATGGGGTACTGAAAGATCCGTCATCGTTAACAGACTAGGTATGAGGTCAAATCACTCCACAGGGCTCATTCTCTCGCTGATTGGGGCTTGATTCGAAAGAGCGGCAATGTGGACTTGATTTAGTTGAAAAATTTTCATTGCGAGTGGGTAGAAACGTAAATAAATCAGTCTGCACGCATAGAGATTTTCTTCTGTTAACAATTGCAATGCAACAAGGCCGGTGCATTCGGCTTCCTTTGATACAAGAGCTGACTGGGGGACCTTGTCAGTCTCAAAAAATGCCAGGGATTGGTCGAATAGACAGTTTAAAACCTAAAATCCCAATTTTCGATGGAAAGGTCAGATCAAATGTAAGAATAGGCCTCCAAAAAATAGGCGGAAGGCTTTCGAGGCCCTCAGATATGATCGAGCCTACTCGAAAGCTTCCGTGGATGTTGCTAATATACTGACACTATAGATCCCCAATTAGTAAGAAACATGGAGTTTAGCTACCGTCTGCATCTAAACGGAGGGGTTCGAGGATCCTTGTAGTTGGTTTGGTAATCATTTTCTTTTTGCGCATATATATTGAAAAGGGGCGACATCGCTTGCACCAGAACAATTTCAAATATCGATCAGTATCTGTTGATCCTCAATTGGATTTCCTGAGGTGTATTTTGAAACTTGATGTCTCGAACTTTGTCAAGAAGGCATTGATCCAAGGAAGACTCCAGTATATGGCATGAATCTGACCAAGGGGGCCTTGTGTGACATCTTGGGAGAAGGCCTTCGGAGTTTGTATCTTTCCACTCAATACCACGTTCATGATGCAAATTGCACTTTGATCTGGTGGGATTGCCAGCACTTTTCAGCAGTAACTTCAGCTCGAATAAACTTGCCATATATTGAGTCTTGGGGGATCTCCTAGCATGCCGGCGAAGTGGATTATTCCTCTATTTTTCTTTGATTGAGGCTTCATGCCATGAATGCGGGATGAAATCGACATCTTCAACGTTTGGAAGGTGACCCGACGCTCAATTTTCATGTGTCCCTGGAGGTCGGAGCTCCACAATGCAGATACAAATCAACCACGAGTACGGAGTACCTCCTGCGGCGCTATTGTTTCGACTTCAATTTGCATTTTCCTTTTTGTGCCTATAGTCAAGTTGAATCAGGTTGCCCGTAGTGCTTTCGTGGCTGGTGCCGCTGGCAAATCTGTACGACCGCGGAGTTTATAAGAAAATTTGGCCGAAAGAACAGTCCTGTACGTCATTTCGCTCACAACCCCTGCAAGAAATCTTACCTATCAGCACGATTTCCCCTTGTTGCCATCGTCCATCGATGGTGATTCATACTATGCACAAATGTGAAGACCAGTCATATCAATCGACCAAAGCTGACCAAATTTCTACGTGTGCATTTGATGCAACATAGCTGCAGTGCCTTGGCAGCTTGCTTTGGTGTTCGAATTTTTTTCATCAGAAGTACCAAGCTCGTTGGAATGCACTTGGATCCGACCCAAGCATCGGCCGCTGTGTCGCGCCGACTGACGGAGACCGACTTCTTGTTCTTGAGTTGCTGAACGATAATTATCACCGTCGCACAGGCGTTTGGGGATTTGAGAGAATCCTCCAGGCCCTCCTAGTACGTTTGGCCTTTCAATTATATTGGGTATCATGTGTTCATTTCACGTAGCGACATTAAAGTTGTAACTCACAAATCACCTTGATTTTGAGCCCATGTGGAGAAACTGGAAAAGAAATAGCACAATGTGCAAAGCCCGTCAAAGTTCCAAGCTCTCACTTTGCCATTCTCTATTGCGGTCCTGATACCTGAATCGGACTTTTGGGACACGGTGGGAATGATTCGCATGTTCCTCCACGATCACCATGGTGATACGATCGCAGTCGGGTACCACCTGTTCGGGTGATGTCCCAGAATTCTCAAGCTGACAGATTCGTTTCAGCAGGGCGATGGATTGAGCAGATGAGGAAACGCCTTCTCGCCGGTTATATTTTTGGAAGAGACTCATCAATCTTTGACGTATGGTCCAATCCCGACATTTGATGCCACAAAGCATCAAAGACCCCATAAATCCTTCCTTTGCCGAGAAAGAGAAATCTGGTAGTTGTTCGAATGATGATAGAAGTTCTTCCGCTGTATCAACGATGACTTTGAAATGTGAGAGAAGGGTATCCCATCCCATTTCATCTCCTGCGAAGTTCGCGGCGGCAGTATTCAGGATCCATAATGTTTCGCGGTTGATTTTGACCATTAGCAGTGCCCGCTGCTCAATGGGAGAAGATGCTTTCCCGGCCGCCACGCAGTGCTCGAGTTGAGATCGGAAGTCATTGGTCTCCGTTGACGGAGCACCTAACAGAAAATCTTCCATTCTATGAACGATGGTGCTTTTACCCTTGGATTGAGTGAAGTTGTTGATCATTACCATCCAAGCTCGAATGGATAGCAAAAGCGTCGTCCTTGCTTGCTCGTCGTCATCCGCAAAATCAGAGATATCCGCCAGATTATCTGACAGGAGTTCTCCAAGGTATGGATATTCCCCGCGCATATATCCTCTAAACGCTGTGACATTTGCCCAGTGGATGTGGAGCTGCACGAAGGTATGTAGAAGAACCGAGGCAAGCGAGCTCCTCTTGCCATTCGTTTTTCTCCACTCATACAACAGCCTGGTTCCAGATTGAAGATGACAGCGGACTGCCTCGACATCTCCTTGAAGGAGTCCGAAAGTAATGAGAACGACGCATGCAATTAGTATCCTTTCAGTCTGCGATGAATCCAGGTGTGCATTGCTCCGGATTCCAGCGCGGAGATGGCCGATTGCTTTATTGCATTGCTTTATTGGGAACAGATCAGTTCGATGTGAGGTCGGATCCAAAAATTGCCGATGTAAAGCGCTAATAGCAATGACAGAGTGGCGCACCGCTGGGTGGGTTTCACTTGCTTGGTGAACGAGGATTTGCCAAAAAGGATCGAATGCGAGACCAGCACATTGAACGGAAGTGTGAGAACGAAAAGAATTCAAATAATGGCGTTCCATTGATGATAGGCCAACCTGGCTTCCATCCGTCAAACAAATCAAGCCTGCGCCCGGTGCTAGCTGCTGGTGCCGGGGCACGGGGACGACGTTGTGGCCATTCACCATTCGCATGTCCCTAGCCTCGCGGGTCCTCCCGTCCATAGGAGTCTCATACCCTTGGCACTTCCTCCCACTCTCGGTACACATCAAACAAGCCGGACGAGCTTCATCACATTTTTTGTGTCGGGATCTGTGCACTAATCAGCAATGTGTTTCCTACGGAGCAGGGCGATTCGAGTCGAGGAATAGATCCAGGCACGGCGACCAATGAAAAAGGACAGTGGTAGAATTGGCGCAACTCGACTTTCCCCTTTGCTTGCGACTCACTTGCATGTCAGACAGCCCGTGCGGACCTTTGCGGCACTGGCCCTCTTCTTTTTCTCCAATTGAGCCATGGCCATGATTGGGCCCTAGGCTCACGATGTGGATACTGTGCAGGGATCCGAACGGGCACAGAGTACAACTTCGTACCGTCAGAGTAGCATGGGAGGCCCCGCTGGTTGACGCTCTGACACGAAAGCGCGTAAATGCAAGATTGAGGCCGTTTGCTGTGGATCATACGAAGTGCTCAACGCCAATCAAAGGTGCGTTTTGACTCAGGGCTTGTGGGCCTGTCTCTTCAGGCTGCCATCACACACCGCCCAGCCCATCTGAACTCCGCAACACATCAACTACACTTCTCCATCCAAACAATATGTCGAGAGATGCATTACAATTTTCTGAATCCGACAGGGGGTTCCTAGAGCCTCATCTGCCTCGGGAGGGCTCCACTTCCGACAATGATCTACCCTTCACAACACTCACCTTTGCGACGTCGCTTGACTCGTCTCTGGCATTATCCCCGGGCGCGCGCACAGTACTGTCAGGGCCTCAGTCCAAGGCAATGACACACTACTTACGCTCTCGACACGACGGGATTCTTATTGGAGTCGGCACGGCAGTTGCTGACGATCCTGGATTAAACTGCCGCATCGCAGGAGTGGGAGGGTACGGCCAAGATGGCCTGAGTGGCCAGCCCAGACCAGTTGTGATTGACCCAACAGCTCGATGGGAATTTTCAGAAGACAGTAAGCTGTTTCAATTATGCAGAGAGGGACGTGGTCTTGCGCCCTGGGTCATTACTGCCGTTGAAAAGCCCAGTCCTCAAAAACAAGCTCTGCTTGACAAATACGGCGGGCGCTTCTTGTCAGCAAAAATGTTGAGAACACATACTGGTGGGCACCAAGTTGATTGGCGCGATCTATTTACCACCCTGAAGTCAAATGGCCTCAAAAGCATCATGGTAGAGGGTGGCGGTCAAGTCATCAGCTCCCTCTTGAGTCCAGCATACATGTCCCTACTTGATAGTGTGATCGTGACAATTGCACCGACATGGCTTGGTCAAGGTGGTGTTGTTGTCTCTCCCGCGCGGCGATTCGATGAGGGGGGCAACGCAATGTCTGCGGCAAGGCTGAAAAACGTCAAATGGTATCCATTTGGAGAAGACGTTGTCTTGTGTGGGCAGGTTATAGTTTCAGATTAGGGGTTTAGTTATCTCTCGCTGGTTATGGCCCCGGGGAGTAGTTACTTTTCCAGCAAAATGTCAAAAGAGAACGGCAACATTCCCTGGGATAAGCTCAATATGGCGGGGCACGTATGCGTGGCAGCAGGTTAATGAAATGCATACACAGCCTTATGCTGAGCCTTAAAATTGTGCCAAGAAATAGTACTACGAGTACGTGCATCAGCGGTTGTGGTCTCTCTCATTCACTGCGAACATCTCAGGGTTTCCGAGGAACTCGGATTCCAACCAAGCCTCCACGGCTCTTTTCTCCACATACTACTCAGATATAGAAAATACCAGCATAAACCAAAGATTATTTGTACTTAATGCTTGATAAAAATGATGGCTGTGGGGCGCGGAATGTCCCTAAATTCTGGAATAAATGACAACCTAATAAGTGGCCGGGAGCACACTCAGTCGCCCCCCGTCCGTGATAACGCAATTACCATTACAGTAGGCTCCTGCCCGTGATGCAAGATATAACAATGGACCCGCAATATCTTCTGGTAAACCTGCTCGTTCAGCTGGGATTTGATCCAGTGGAAAGGCACCCTCTTCGGTGGGCTCCTTCTCATCAATCAGGGAAGCTGTTAAGTCGGTTGGGAATACTAAACAGCTGTTAGCCTCTATCTGAATCTTTGAAGACCAACGTCCTTACTGCCCGGGCATATGATGTTCGCCCTGATTCTGTAAGGCACTAAGTAAGTTGCCAAAACCTTCATCAGCATTGTCGTAGCTGCCTTGCTGATGCTATAGGCGAATCCTGCGGTAATTTTCCGATGGAAACCTCCGATGCTGCTGGTAGCGATGACTTGGCTTCTCCCGTTTTGATAAGTCTTGTCGTTGTTTCCAGCATCGAGCAACGATAGGAAGGCAACTATGGTGTAGAAAACCCCAGTAGAGTTGACATGGAAAGTATTCGTAAACTCATCCATTGGAATGTTGAATAAAACATCCTGAACTTGCGAAATGCTGGCTTGTGGGGGGGCGCTGCCGGATGGGCCACCAATTCCCGAATTGGCAACAAGCAGATTGATATACCCGACGTCTTTCTCAATTAAGGTAACAGCGGTCTTCAAATCTTGTTGGTTCGTTATGTCGCATTGGACTGGTATCACGTTGTCGAAACCCTGTAGATGATTGGTATTTTTTCCGGTAGTTGATTCAAGGGACATACAATATCTCGGGCTGCATCTTCTAACACATTCTTCCTTCTACCCAGGATAAAGACCTTTTTAGCTCCGTTCACAGCTAATGCTCGTGTTATGAGAAGACCAAGACCTGTCGGACTGTTTGTGAGTTTGTAAGAACAAAAACAAGATGGAGTGCACCACGTACCGCTTCCGCCCCCAGTGACCACTGCAACGATCCCCTTTATGTCAAACAAATCGGAAGCCAAAAGAGATCCAGACATCTTGCATGTATGATAAACTCTAGTGGAGATACAGTTCTCTTAAAAGTGCCAGTCAGCTGCAGACCTGAAAATAACACATTTTCATACATGCACCTTCTGGCCTTTTATCCATTTCAAGATCACATTTCCCTCTATAGAAACCAGAAGGCAATTCCGAAAACTCCAAAGACCTTCCATACGTATTTGGTCGGCGGAAACACCTTCCAAGATTAGTGCCATTTTAGGTCTGGGCGTAGATTAAAATGCTCGGTCCTTCCCGGGATGGTCCCAGGCGGGAAGCTCCACCGTTCATTGGCCCTGACTCGGCCGTTGCATGCCTATCAGACCGTTATACGGAAATCGGAGATCAAATATAATTCTATCTAGAAGCAAGAAAAGGTGCAGAGGAAAGAGAGGCCTGCTTATGAGCCTACGAAAGAAGTTGGAAAATGGAGAATTTCCATTACTCCTTATTTTTTGAACTAGCATTCACGCGTTACTTCGCCCTCGTTTTCAGGGTCTATAGATTGTGACGGTCACGCCAGCGTCGAAACAAATGCTAATTCAGGATCTTTGTATTATCGACCTTTATGGAATCCAACCATCTCATCGAGTCAATCGGCAAACGGGCAGGGAGGGAGTATATCTACGCAGATGGCTCCAAGCCTCCTTCCTCCCCCCACGTCTTGGATCTCTTCCTTCGTGGTCCTTATCTAGGAATTCCTTCTTTTGGTAAGGATTTTGCCTTTGTCACATTTATGATGAGCTAATTCATACACTAGGCCTCGGGACAACAAGTGTATTTATTTACATTTCTCTGTGTTGCTGTTGCAAGAAGATCATCACGTCGCGACTTGGCCGGGACTTTCCTGTCATTTCAGATGCTCTGCAACAAATCACTTCGCCCACTGTACAATAGCGTTAGATGCTGATATTGTCCTATGTTGCTGCGACATCATCTTCCGGTGTCTTTGCCGTCAATTCACATATTCACAATAACTCTTCCTCAAATATGCCATCTGTCAATAACCTTATCATCGTTTCTCGTGCATACACAACCATCCGTTGTTCCTATACAACTCGTCTGTTCGTAACTATCGTCACTTCACACATCTACACACAACATGTCACTCCTTTACAAGTCATTTGTTTATGACTTTGTCGTCACTCGCACATGCATACACAACCACTTGAGCATCTGTCATCTCTATACCACTCGTATATTCGCAACTGTTGTCACTTCCACATCTATACACAACATATCGCTCCTTTACCAGTCGTTTGTTCGTGACTCTGTCGTCACTTAACACATCTACACACGACACGTTGTTCGTCACTTTGTCGTTTCTTTTAAAGTTTCACACGCCGCTTCTACACACGCCGCTTCTACACACGCCGCTTCTACATACGCCGCTTCTACACACGCCGCTTCTACACTGCTTCTACACTGCATCTACACTGCATCTACACTGCATCCACATACGCCGCTTTTGCATACGTCATTCTACACAAGTCTTCTCAACTATCTGGAATACAATCGCCCAAATGGCGGCCTATAAAACGAGGTCTGTTCTTCCTTCTTCTTCTTCTTCCTTCCTTCCTTCCTTCTACTCACCCCGCTAGTCCTGCCACCTTGCCCTATCGTCCGCGAGCCGATCGCCAAGTTACCAACCAAATTCTCTCTTCATCCACAATCACCATCGCCACCACTACCACAATGAGCAAAGAGGAGTTGAGTGTGCCGTACTGGCTTCCCAGACTCCAAGGCAAGTCCAACTGGGCAGAATGGCGGAAAAACGTGGAGGAAGCAATCTACGAGATTGAAGAAACGGCTGCATACTGGGACATCATCATGGACAGGGAAGAAGATGCTACCCAGCAAGATGCCGAGGAACCCTCTCCACCCAAACCTCCAACCAACCCGTACGCCGCCCATTGCCAGGATGCCCCCGAAGATGACAATGAATTGTTCGTCACCGGATCCTCCACACAAGGTCCTCGGGAAAAGGACAAATCGGGACGGAAAGTCTACAATCGCCGCATCATGAAAATTCGTGCTCGCCAGATCCTAGGCTCGAGCTTGGATTTCGCGCCAAAGCTTGAAATCGACAGAATCTCGGACCCGCATGAGGCATATCTCAAGCTGGAAAGTCTCTACGGAGACACGTCTGCTCAGTCGATCTTCGTTGCCTGGGAAAAATTGCTGAAAGTGAGATATCTCAACCGAGGACTTCCCTGTGACAAGTTCGTGGATCGGTTCAAGAATGCTGTTCAGGACGTCAAGGACCAGGCCGTGGAGATCTCGCCTACCGTTACCCTTGCTCTATTCCAACAGGCGATCAAATCACACAGCAACACTACCAACTTCCTGGCGAACATGAAAGCCAACATCTATGAGCCGGACTTTATGGACACGATCTACCGGCAATTCCTGAAGGAGCATGCTATGTCAGACTTGCGGCTCCCGGAGACAATCCTTGGTTCACTCTACTGAACATTCGAAAATATGCGTGCTGTGTGGCCCGCCACCATTCCGACTATCTCATCAGCATCTGACTTGCTTCGGCTGAATATACGCTTGCTGCGTCTCCTGATTTTTTATTTTTATTTTCATCTTGTTCCTGATCTTTATTCGAGATTTGAACTCATTCTCGATGGTTTCATCTTTGATTTTTATGGTACCATGCTGCTTTCGACACGGAGACATTGATGGAAAATTCAGAATATGAACCAGCTTCGTTGGTTTCCAAAAACATGGGGTCCGGTTTTAATTTGAGTGAATTGAGGACAATTTGATGCGTTTTCTGATTTTTGTTCTTTTTTGTACATTACAAAAACATTTCGATATTTCTAAAGTTCCTAATGTAAATGAAGTAAATACAAGACCGGCTTAGGTTCGACTACCAAGATCAACGCGAATTTAATTCAATACAGGACATCTAATCCTGATGTCCGAAATTTGCTGCACGTGGATTTCTCGCCCGGACAGCAATTCCACCAGACGCTGCAAGATCCCAAGGTTCCTGAGTCCCTTATGACACAGTGATAGAGGAAGACCCACTGCTCTCGTATCCCTCAGTAGACACGATCTGGTAGTTGTGAGATCCAAGGCTCATTCCGAGGGATGCCCAGGCATTGAAGTGGTTGGAAGTGGTGACCGTTCCGCTGGAACGCTTGGAGCGACGAATAGACCAGTACTGGGTGAAGGTGGCAGTGCCGGAGATGGAAGGCTGGTTCACCTGCTCGTGGGTGTAGATATCGTAAACGGAGCCATCGCTGGTGACGGTTCCCTTAAGGGTCATGCTGCTGCCGGGGTTGTACTCGCCGTAGCTTTCCATGATGTAGTACTCGACGAGAGGGCTAGTGGTCCAGCCGTACACAGCAAGGTAGGCATTACCAGAGGGCTTGAAGGAGCCAGAGAAGTTGATGTTGCTTTATATTTCATGACAGTTAGTTTTTGAACTGCGGAGAAAGGGCCATGATGCTCTTACCGGGCAGAACCAGTAGCCCAACCCTTGCCGGAGGTGAACGATCCGCAGTTGCTCCAGCTCACGGCGTATTGGCCCGAGGCACCGTTGGCGTAGTTCACGCTACCACCACCGTTGGTCCAGAAAGAGTAGAAGTAGCCACCGCTAGTTCCTTGTTGGCTGGTGGTGATAATCGCTCTGTTCTCCACATCACTGGGGAGCGCGAGGGCGCTGACCGCTGCACAAGCTGCGACAAAAAGGCTTTTGAACGACACCATGATGATTCTTCGAGGTTTCCGAGTGTAGCAGACGAATTGATGCTTGCTTTGAGGCCCATTGTTGGCGGAAATCAGGGTTCTTTTTATATTGACAGGAGTATGTGGGGCCAGGCTTTCTAGAACCGTTTCACCTCCTGGATGTTTTGCCTTAATTTATCCACCCCATTTATCCCAAACTCACCAGTCTCAGTAGCTATTGACGGGCGATATTTCCCAGCGAGTCTTAGGAGTTTTTCCAGGCCTCGGCTTAATTGGACCTGTTCCGCTGTGTTCCCAGACGTCGCACTTGTACCAGTAGGCTAAAGTCCATTTTAGCTAGTACTTTACGCGACGCCTTCACTCGCGCAAACACGGTTAAATCCTTTCAACTAAGCCATAAAAAGCCCAGAAAGCTTGCAGAATTCAGCCACAAGCGTCCCGTAAATGCCAACGCGGGGAAATGCATCACAGCTGTGAAGGGATTGGAGGCTAAACCGAACAGGCATTTCAAGCGGCAGAATAGACATTTTCTGGTTAAAATTCAGGGCTGGATCTGTTTGGATATACCGGAGTATGGTTTATATCATTGAGAATGGTCATCGCAGTCTCCAACGCGTCGATTTTCGCCCTCGGGGATTTCCGAATCTTTCAACCGAGTGGGTATCTTCCGGTGGGTGTTTTCCAGGTGGGTCGATCAACACTATAGAACTGTTTTCATATTTCCCTAAGGCTTCACCTTTCGTGGCTCTGACTGTGTATCAATTACAATTCCTCTGCTGTGCAGTCTACATATTTTCCAGATGTCTTCGCGAAGTAAGTATCCCATACTCCAAAGTCGCTCTCCAAGCAGTCCCTGTCAAGAGTCCAACACTCACACTGTTCATAGTCGTTTCAAGCATGAGAACTGGGGGGAAATTTGCAGTTCATTCACGGTAAGCTTTGTTCGATATGAGAGAATGGTACTCAATAGACCAGGATATGCGCCAGTACTGATCCAATACACAGGAGACACATCGCGACGCATAATATCACCACCCAATCCGCGCATGAGCGCCTCGCAGCTCAGCGGCGAAACCGCCCTATCGCTCCGCACATGACGATCTACAAATGGGAATACGTCTCTTCGGCCTCCGCACTCCATCGAATCACCGGCCTCCTCCTGTCGGGGAGTGTATACGGGCTTGCGACAGCGTACTTGTGTGCGCCAGCTTTGGGGATGGAGCTTCATTGGAGCGACGCGGTCGCATCGTTCGCATCTTTGCCGACCGGAGTGAAAGCAGCTCTGAAATTTGGTTCCTCAATGCCGTTCACGTATCACTGTTTCAATGGGGTCAAGCATCTGGTCTGGGATTCGGGTCGTCTGCTGAGCAAAGCACAGAGTGGAAGAGCAACATGGGTGGTTCTAGCGTGCAGTGTGAGCACCTCGCTTGGCCTGGCCTTGTACCGATTTTGATTTTCAGTGGATGAAGACATTCACTGACCAAGTTCCATTGTACTCGAGTGTTGGTATCTCTGTTTCAATATGTCGAGCGTTTCAAAAGCTCGTGAATGCGATCCATCGAGTCTCGTGCAATCTCTCCTGTCTCGGAAAACGGGGTCCGTAGCAAAATTCTAGCAAAAGTCCCCATATCTTGACCGTGAATCATAATTCCTGCGCGGTAAATTTCGCTAGGGCTCGCTGCTGCTTCTACCTTTTCCCACAATCCCATCCCTCTGAAGATCGCTCTATCAATTTGTCTTGCTGCATCTTTTATGTTGCAAAAGCTGGAGCGAAGGTCGAATATGATTCTAAAAAATGCTTTGGAAGCGTTAGTTCTTGAAATATTTGAGACATAGAGATTGGCGAAATATCTCACCCAATATAACAACGTATAGAGAGAAAATACTCAGATTGTTCCACTCAAAACCGTCAGGGCCTTGCCATTCATTCGACAATAGTTTCTGGATGAACTCATTCAAGGGTGGAGGGCGGGGGCATTTTATTTCATTTTCCATCCAAAGCTTCCATGTTGGGCTGTCTGGGATATCAACTCCCTCCTCTTCGGCTGGAAGATCAAACTTCAACTCAGTAACTGTAAGGTTAGGCGGGTTGTTGAAAAACATAATGAAATGGCAATCCATCATAGCGATGGAGGCCATCATTCTGTCAATGTTAGTGGATATGCATGACCCAACACATCTCGCACGAACCTAATACACGATTCGTTTTTCAAGAATTCATCTCGGCTCACAGTATCTCCTTGCTGGTGCCACTCATTTCGGATTTTCGTGAGGCCAGATGCACGAGCCACAGACACGAGTGCTGGGTACCATCGAATTCGTGCTCGACGTCGTGTTTCTGGCTTGGGGCTGGCTATTTCCAACAATAGCATGATAATTCCTGCTTGAATAATCTCCATCTCTTCCTTTTCAAGATCAGTCCAATGAGCCTCCCCTGTTTGGTACATCAGTTTGCGAAACACAGGGCTTTCGAATATCGCGCATTCGGCCATCTCAGCATATTCAACAACTTTCGATCTCACTTCGTCATATGTATCACACGTTGCGCCCATAAGAAACAATGACAATAGCAGAGGTACAGAGACCTCTTTGAGGTGGAAGGTAGACTTGAGCACAATGCGAGATCGAGGGCGAACTATTTGGTCGAAATATGCTTTAACATAATCACACACATTCTTTTCGGAGAAGAAGGACTCTGCTTCGGTGAGATCCAAGGCTTGTGCACTGGTTCCACTCGGTTGGCGCTCCATTTGCGACCTTGAGATGCAGTCTATTATGCTGACAGCTGCTGAATGAAGTTCTTGTGAGTCTTCTAACCCGGCCGGCAAGGGCAAGTTTTGGTCTGTTTCGCTTTGTGATATCGAACCAAAAAGGTGGTCCCAAGAGTTTTCAAAGAAAAGGTCTGTCCTGTCCAGTTCAATGTCAAAGCTCGGTAAGGTCGAATCTAGCACATCGCCAGATTCCGCGGTCGAAAGTAAAGAGAGAACGCGATTCACATCACTAGGATGCTTGTTTCCCGGGCCCGAGTAGTTCAGAAGAAATGGCACAGAAGCCTTGTCGATGACGCTCTTGTCTGAGGGACCTGCGTGTCGTTGGGTTTGACTTCTCTCTTGTACGTCGGGGCTGAATGTATCAGGCGAGTGCTCCAGAGAGTCTTCTAGACGCTGGTATGTACAAGTAATTCCACGGGTCTGGCAATGACTGCACAGAACAGCCCCATCGCAGGGCACTCGATGCTTGGCACAGCCGTCGCACGCTTTGCGTCGTGGCCCGGGCCGTACAGGGCCGGGCCTCGACTGTTTCCCCATACACCGGCAGGTTTTGTAATGCCTGCGAAGTGAATCCCTGCGAGGATAGAGTCAGTGAGACTTATTAGAGCTGGGATGTGCCCTTACTTTCTTGAAAAGACCTTCTGACAGAACTCGCATGCCATGTGGGGTTGTGAAGTGTCTGTGTAGTGTCAAGTGTCAGAACTGTGGGAACAATTCCGCAATTGACTTACGAGAAGCTTCATGTCGTCTCAGGTGGCCTTTGTTGGAGAATTTCTTGTTGCAGGGTACACACTCAAAGCCCGGCCTGGACATTTCTAAAGTTGGAGGTAAGTTGGAAGAGCAGAACATCTAAGGGATGCGGTGAGATCCCTAAAATTCCCGCTACGGGGGCCATCATCACTACAGCCTTCAAAGGGGATTCACTCCAGGGCTCCGAGTTCACAAACACATTGAAACCATCTGGGCATGGATAGATCCACAGAGTATGCACAGCACGGTGTATACAGATGGAGCTGGGGAATGTAAGCTTTGCGGCAGTATGTTGTAATATAGAGGTACTTCCAAGGTTTGTTCGGTTCACTCTCATATTCTCACCGTCCATCAAGGTCCAGTCATTCGAATGTTGTCTTATATGCATATGGAATTTGAAAAAATATCATACAGGTCATCACAAAAACGCCAGGGAATATTGCAACAGAGAACGCCAGGCTCTCCAATGTTGTGTGAAGCGACACAAGGCTCCCCAAAAAAGCACAGAAAAACAGAAATAACAGGCAGACATTGGCATCATATCAGCGCTGCATGTAATCAATGCATCAGAATCCAGGTATCGTAGGGGGTGGCTCGAGCGTGAGTCCTGCCATCACGGCCTGTGGAAAACAACACCGGATCAAAATCACAAGACGCAGCGTACTGTCGGATCAACTGGCGCCAATAGCAAGACTCCGCAGCAGGAGTGAGATATCGGTCACGGAAAGTGCGCACAGCATTGTTGGCGATCCGCTCTGCAACCTCGGGATTATCAATCAGATAATCGATCTTCTTCGCGAGGTCGTTCCATTCACGGTCAACCTCCACGTAATTCGCATCCGGGCCGGAGGAAACGAGCGCTGCATGATGAGCTTCTCGCCATTCCAGCGCATGCGAAACCATCACCGAGCGGCAGTTCAACAGGTACTTTCCACGACCTGAGAAGCTTCTTCCTTCGGTGTGCGCGACGAACATGTACCGGCAATGATCTTCAATGGGCAACAAGTTGTATCGAAGATCAGTCTCGTCGTCCCAATCAATAACACGCACGCTGGCCCAACTACGGCCCAGCGCGGACTTGAGCAATTTGCTTCGCACGGGTGGGTTCGTAGCCAGACTGCCGCGCCAAACGAGCTGCTTCTTCTTATCCTGGAACTCCAGGCCCGGGGTGAAATTACCGTCTGGGGTAGTCTCTCCATCGTCAATGGCTGCGATGTGACGCCGGACTTCATGGTACGGGCCGATCTGCACTTCGGGCCAGGCCCAGTATCCAAAGTCAGGCATCAGCCAGACTGATGTGTCCGAGTCGCGCTTTGAGTAGGCCCAGATGGGACTGGCGCTTTGGGTATCTTCTGCAAAATCCTCCGTTGTGAAAGTGAACTCGATGCTGGGTAGGTTATGCCGGTTTGGGAAGGCTGCTAGCGCACGGTGAAGAGAGTTGAGGGTCGCGCGTGCGCGGGATGCTGTGACGGGCATGGGCGCATAGTCGACAATGTATAACTACGATGAACATATCAGCATCGCTCATATTTGAGGTTGAAACCCATGAACTAACCTGTCCCCGGTCGATGATTGCCCGCACCATACCATCATCAACTGCACGAGAGTCCAGCTCCTTATATGTGATGCGCTGATCTTCTTTCAATGCTGACGATTTGTCGATCTCAGCAAATAACTTAGGGAATGCAATGCGGCACTGATCCTCGGAGAGGCCATGGTCATTGCCATCTCGTTCGACAATAAACTCCCATCCAGCAGAGGAGTTTGAAGGCGGGACACAAGTCTGGTGTCCTGGCCGTGATTGTGTCTTGATATTGAATTTGGACGAAAGTCCGCGGGGTGATGTTCCGAGGACGAGGAATGCCAGGACGAAGAGAGACACCACGGCCCCGATGGCCACGAAACGGAATGAGGGGCGCTGAGCGAGCATTCTTGCTGGAACCCCCAAATTCACCCTCTTGGTTGTTGTTTGAGGATTGACATATGCAGTGAAACAAGTAGTGTCTTTGATCCGCGAGTTCGAGTCGAATACCAAGGTGTTGATGTCACTTCAAAAGGACCGTTACCATGGCAACAGGCTGAGATGCACAGCTTTGCATATTAGACCCACACTGTGATGCTACGAGGGGTTTCTAATTATACCCGGCTGATCTGCAAACACAAAGTGTCGGAGAAAACTAAGGATCTGCGCATAATTGGATCTATATTCTCAACTATAACGGATTATTATGTACAATGAAATGGGGTGCCACAGCGAGTCGATGTATTATTCAAGGGGTATCTCAGCGGGTCATGAAAGGAAACGGGGAAAACGAAACAATAGGGGAGAAGGCAGACTGGTAACCCGTAGAATCATAACGCATGAGCAGGCGAAGCACAAATGTCAATCTCCTCGGACATGGGGTGAGCGCTGATCAATCGCCATTCGTCGCCACGCTGGGACTATTGCTGTTGAAATAGCTCTCATCGATCTTCAGAATCCATTCCACCTTTTGTGCCTCGGTGCGAGTGGCGAAGAGGAATGTGTTCTGCGTTCCATAGACGGCGAACACGTTCGGTCGTCCTTTGGCGGATAGGGAACGATCTGATCCAGCCCCTGAGCCGTCTAGTAGTCTAGCGAAATCGGGTGCGTGGTCGACACGCGCGTTGCGAAGGTTGATGGCGTTGATCTCATCTCCCTCTGGGACCGAGTAGATGTGGAGGTACGGCCGGCGGAGCTCCACGAAACGACGGACCCAGACTTTGTTGGTATCATCGGGGGTAAGCACGTATCCCGTCTTCAAGGCGTCGGGTGCTTTGGGGAGGGTCTGGATGGTCGCCACAAAACGAGGCTTGAGTGAGATCTTGTTGGAAAGGCCATTGATGTTTTGTCTATGCGCGGCTCCATCTGTAGGTGGTTCGGTGTTGCTTCGGACAAGAATTGTCTCGGTGGGATCCTGCTTGAGTGACCACAAATCCAAATATTTCCGCAAAAGTTTGGACTTGCGCTCGTTGAGGGCTGATCCCCGCGATGGCGTTGACAATCCACTCCGAGCGGGCGAGGCAATCAAACTGCCCGCACTAAGTGCACCCCGAGCAGCGTGGAGCTCCGCCACTCGCTGCCGGCGCTTTCGGTTGGAAATGTAGTCTCGCACCAGCGAGACCTTTCGAGGTGCCCAGGCGACTAGAAGCTCCTCGCCCTTCACATAGTCATTTTGGGTGTTCATGCGCCAAAGATCAGCAGCACGCTTGGCAGAGATCGGACGAATGACCAAGGAGTACATGCAAGTCGTCGAATGTACCACTCGGATCGAGTTCCAGAACTGTTTGAACATCGATTGTTGACGCACATATGTACGACCCTGGATCTGAATGGTCTGGTCGGCCTCAAAGACAACTGGGGTCTGAAGACGAGCGGAGACTAGATCCCATCGTACAGTAACCTGTACTCGGTACTTTTCGGCCGTCACTCGATCGAGTAGAAGGGATCCGTGCAGACTCGAATCCCACTGACCCACAATGGTGACCATAGAGGTTCCATCGGCATTTTCCTTCACCATCGGATCTTGGACAAACTTCAAAGGAACATCCGGGGTCTGGAAGTCCTGGTCTGGGATTTTGCCCCAGGGGTCAAGCAGACGAACGGAACCAACACGGATGTTGTTGATATCGTCCCACGGAAGACTTTCCGTTGAGCTGTATGTTAAATTGATCGAAATACGGCGCTGTAATCCCTGATGAAGATGGGACGTTCCCGCGTCAAGACTGTTGCTCTGAACAACCTCCACAGGGAGATATTGACCCGATTCTGCCATTTCAAGGATCTGAATCCGAGCAAAGACATCGTGTCTTTCCTCCGAGAAGAATTCAGACTCGGGAATGCGAGGGGCAGTGCGCTTTTGGGGCAGAGGCTCTGCCGAGTCTCGCATATCATCCCAGCTGAGGAGCTTGTCTAGGTGAACGGAATTCACACCAGCATAGACACAAACTTTCAATGCGGCTGTCCGTGGGCTGGATAGCGGCAAGCTCATGCTGTGCACACTTTCAAACCGGACTGGACCATCCTCAAATCCATTGATCATCTGAGTAGTGGTAGCACCCCCCTCTTCGGAAATCCCTGGGACGAATAGCTGGGCATGTACACCTGAGCCTTCCCATTCCGCGAAACCAATCATGTCCCGCATGACAACGTTGAATTTTAGGGTTGAGGATGGTGCCTGCGCAGATGACGGTTCGAGAGACAGCCGTATGATACCAACCACATTTTGAGTATATGGTGAAGTGATTTCAACTGAGAAATCCTGGACTCGAGTCTCGAAAACTGCTGTCAAAGGGATATCGGCATCTCCCACTAGAGAATATCGAGGTGAACAGGGTTCGGAAAACGGATTGTCGAGTCTGAAGTGCTGGATGTAGTCGGGGCGGTCGATGTATTGGTGCAATTGACGCATAGCCTGAACACGGCGCTGGAGCTTCTCGATCGACCACAGTCGGACGACACTCTGCTTGTAATCAATGACCCGAACCCCGACACAGGGCTTCTTAGCCTCGTCTAGGGCAATATCCTCGTCGCCAGAGATCCCGTTCAGCACGAGATCATAAGAGGATTCCATATTGTGGCCGTGATCGACGATCGCAAACTGGAAGACCACATTTTTGTCCATGATATGACTCATGACTTGTGCTTCTTTCAGAAGTGAAGCGTGCTGCAAAATCTTCTCGGCCATTCGCACGTAGTTTCGTTGGGACCAATGGCCGTATACTGAGCGCGCAATCTCAAGTTCACGCTCGTCCAATTTGGCGAAACCATTCTCGAATATTTGGGGAACCGGTTTACCCATATCTCGGATGTGAGTCTCGAAAGATTCTTTCTGTTGACGAAGTTGCTCCTCGAATTCCTCTTTGGCCGTTCGCAGAGCATGTTCCATTCGCTCTTTTTCGGTGGTGAGTTCTGGTGAGTCCGGATCAACCGATGCCTCAACTGTCTTAAGTTTTTCTTGGAACTCTTCCTTGCGGCGATCCAACTGTCTCTGCATATCCTGGCGAGCTTGAAGCAACGATGCAACACCGTTCACATCGTCATCGTCGTTTTGTCGGGGCGTGCTTGGCATCGTTATAGCGGTGTCTAGGGAGAGGTTGTCGATAGTCCCGTTGGACATGTATTTATCGCGAATGGGGAAGGAGCTGAGGGAGTCGGAGTCATCCTCATCTGGCATTCCACGACGACCTGCCCGGACTTTCTGCACATCCTCCAACAGTGTATCCAGTTCGTCGTCAGGTAGATGGGAGATTTGGTCTGGCCCAACCATTGCACTGACGGCCTCCCTGCGGGCCAAGAACCAATCTGATTCGCGGCTGCGCTGCGAGGGCATCGGTGAGTCTGCCCGACTTGACTCACCATCCACTTCGGATCCCGTTTTACTGAGATTTCGATCATGGGTTTTATTCGGTGCCGGTGATCCGAGTTGGCTTGTCGTTACAGAATGGCGAAGTAAGCTTTGCTCGACACGTTCGGCTCGGGCTTCTTGGGGATGGTTGAAACGGAAGATGTGGAAATCACCAAGGATAATTCGATGACCACTTCGCAGCCGCGTGGGTTTGTCAACTCGCAATCCATTCACCATGATGGCCGCACCTTCTGTTGGAACGATTGTCACAATGTTGTCAACATTCTCAAAGGTGCAGTGCTTCTCCAAAATCTTTGATCCATTCAACCTGATCTCGACATTCTGTGCTTGGTCCATGTGGCCCACGGTGGTGGTTCCAGGTTTAATATTATAAACCAAACACTCGGCCAGAAGGGGGTCATCACTCAGGTTGACCAGATGGGGCATTTTCTTGGGGGTGCTCAACCCAATGAAACCCTTTTCAATGTTGATACCCAACTCTTCCAGGGCAGCTTCACGTTCTTTGTGGATTTGTTCGGTGTTTATCATCTTCTCTTCCCATGTCTGATTGAGATCCTTGTACAGCTTTTCACTTTGGTTGAGCTGTTCTACGATCTCTGCCTTGCTGACTTTAGTGACGCTACCGTCAGACTGTTGGATAGAGACCATCTGTTGCTCCAGGGGTGTATCAGGCGGATAATATTCCTCGGCGGGAGCGCCCGGTTGACCTGCAGCACCACCTGCTCCAGGTATTACCCCACCCCCGAGTTTGGATCGAAGCTGCGCAAGTTCTTCTTTCAGTTCTCGGATCATCCGTGCGTTCGGATCTTCGTTCACAACGGCATGGTTCTTGATTCGTTTGGCTGAGTCGGCATAACGAAGAGTACCAAGTGTTTCTTCCCAGTTGATATCTGCAGGGGAAATGGCTGCAATCATAGAAGTCATAGAATTACCTCCCAGAGAATCTTTAAGCAACCAAGTCAGAATTGAATCACGATACGGCACCATGGAAGCGTTCTTCTTTTTGCCTGCTGCTGTCTTGCCGGCCGAAACATCAGCAAGCGCGGCAATGACACGACCAAGTGTTGAAAGCGAGCGATTGATTTCAGCACCCTCCTTCAGTCGAGCGCCTGTAGCACCAGTTGAGTTTGCTCTTTCTGAACCAGCCAAATCGACCAGACTGATTTTGGAAACCTTCTCAGTGTCCATCGAAGTCTCGTTGTCGTGTCTTTTCTGAGTCAGTGTTAAAGTGAACACAGCATGTGATCGACTTGACGTTTCGTTCATGTTGGTCGCAGCCACGGTTCGCGCTTTGTTACCCTCGTCCATTAGATTTTCGATCTCTGAGAAGGATCCCACGACAAGTTTGGCTAGATCCTCAACATAGGGTCCAGTCGATGGATGTTCGCGAACTTTGAGATTACCCTTGTTTGAGGGATTGAGCAAATCGCGCACTCGCTCGTTGTAGATTTCGAGGTAGGACACCTCGACAGTGCAGTTCAGATTTTTGTCTGCTTGTATAGACGTGATACGCTCGAACATGGACTGGCAAATCCGCGGGATGACACCGTATTCCTTGCCGTAACCCATCATGGAGTATGACTTTCCCGAACCCGTCTGTCCGTAGGCAAAGATACAGTTGTTGTATCCTCCGAAGGCATTGTCCAAAAGTGGTGAGCCCAGATCGTCAAACAAGTCATCTTGACCGGCGAAGTTGGACGCATTTTTGTCGAAAGACCAATATGACCGGTCAAATGCGAAGGTCTTGTTCCCTTCACCACCGCCCTTCCCGCCTTTTCTTGATTTATCCTCCGCGCCGGGTGGTGGGGTGAGCACGGTCTGGTTTCCTTTCATCGACACGATACATTTTGCGTTTCGTTCCTTTTCTGTGCGAGAACAGTGTGGTCAGCATGGCGTCCAAGGGACAACCCCTCCCGAGGTATCGACTCACCTCGACTGTTGAAAGGCCGCACCCGCACCACCACCTTAATGTTTCCAGCGCCGCCTGGAGCCATGATTGCTCTCTAACCCATACACGGGGAATGGTTGTCAAAGACTGGAGTGTGTGAGGACTCGAGTCCGGGGCTGGAACGCAAGTGGTGACAGGGGTACACCAATGCGCGAACTCCGCAAGGAGCGCGGCTCAAAATGCTGTCGCAGGGAAACGAGCGCGTTTATGCCTGTGGGTAGATCCCCGACCGGTTGTGCGTAATTCAAATTGAATCTCGAAAGCGTAGTTGTCAACAAAGACGTCATGTATCGGACCAATGTTGGTGTAGCGTCGGTGATGTTTTCTTGTGGGGTGAGCTTTCGGTGCGCGGAGATGCCTGGAACTTGCAGGCTTTCGAGGTCGACCACCGAGGAATACCAGCCACAGAGTCTATTCGCACCAAGTACAACGCAAAACAAAATGCGATTGTCGAGTCAACATGCGGAAAAGCCACATGAGTCCCCGGAGTCTTGGAGCGGGTAGATGATGAGTAATCACTCCACCGCTCCAGGGCTCCCAGCACTTCAGCGCTTGAGGTGCCAGCTCCGAGCCACACTGCAAGGAGACACGACTTCGCGCGATTCTGGTGGCTTGTGTTTGAAAGGCTCGGGCTCTAGATATAATTTCCGGGGCTGGAGTTCCCCGTAACGTGTCAACTCGGCTTTAAGGCTACAGCTTCTGTTTCTTTTCGGTCGTGCATCCTCAAATAGTACAGTGTTCCTGGTATACAGCTACCCTTGAGCCAAAGATCACGGTCTGCTGCACATCTTCAAAACATGACTTCCGGAGTTGTGCGATTCCTGAGAATTTGGTTGATGCGGGAGGGAACTTGGGACGCATAGGATGTGATGTTTATTTATAGCGGGTATCAATGCATGTGAGAGGCACATGTACGGCAAATATTTAGGTCCATCACGACAATAGACACTTAAGCAAAACATGCGAACATTCTGATCCTTTGATGCCTCACAGTGAATCTACGACGTTTATCATATGAGTGTCTCCCACTTCATCCCCCGAAATCTCCCTACCTATGTTGCAGGCCACTGTAACTCGGCCTGTGGCGACAGCGGGGTAGCTCGCAACATAGGGTCACATAGAGGAGGAGACTGAAGGGATGCAATATATGTTTTCAACGACTGCAAATATCAAGTCCGCAACCGATCTGGATATTTGAATTCGCACCTCATATACGCCACTCTTCTCTTGTCGCCTACTTACATAACTATAACTATAAGATAGACAGATACCCAGTGACGAGTTATTGTTGAAATTTACATGAAGAGGACGTGAATCGTCAACTCCAACTTGGGAAGTAAAAGAGATTCCACTTGGTGCTCCGTATATTTTTGCAACATCTTGGTGCCCATAGAAGGATTTTCGGCCCAAAATCCTTTCTGTCGGCTAGATACTCGATGGGTCACATCCATCGGCCCCGTTCAATTGCACCAGGATTGCGAAACGGGCCCATGGTGTACTTCCCAAAATCTTGATAATATTGATTGGAATTGGCCGGGTTAGGCTGAAAAAGATGAGGCTCAGGCGCTATCCATGGATTTGATGTACGTCATACTATTTTCCTTCAAGCTGATCTATTCCATTCTGTATACATAATGCAAACTTGAGACTACCGAAGCTTGTTTATAGCTCACAAATTCTAAAGTTACTACTAAAGTATCTGTCCAGCCAAGGGCGAGAAGCTGACGACGGTGTTCTAGACCTCCCAGGCCCACCAAGCGATCACAGGGGTCTGGACCTCATTCCTCGATCTCAAAATACCTCCAGGGTTAGGCACAGCTCTGACTCGTATGTTGCGATTACATCGAATGCTTCCCGAGGTCTCGGTGCAAAACACACCACGCGTCGCTCCTCCATCCGCCTCCGGAAGCGATTTGCTACTCAATGATCCATGGATGTTCGTTCACTGCTCAATTGCTCAACCTTAGAACCTTAGGAGTGGCAAGTAGACCTCGTGAGTTTAAGGCTTGGTGCGCGAGAAATATATATGAGTATGTCTTTCCAAGGCCCCCGCCAGTTAGCTAAGTACGGGCGGAAAGTTTTTGCAGTTAGCGTGATTGACCCTTCCTAATCTTGGAAATCCTTAAGTATGTATGTATGCATGTTTTTTTTTGGCTTCTAAAGTTTGTTTTATATACCACCGAACCAGGGAACTGCCTGGCAGAATAACTTTGGGAGTTCCATGGTGCCGAGCTAAGCCAGCTCCCACACGTGGGGTTCCCGAGATCGGACCCCTGCAAATCGGGGTTATCGCATGCGCTAAATGGCCCACGAGAGTGTACATATGTATGCGAGTGGGCTACTCTATAACCTTGGAACGCACGTGGGGAGCCACCTATAGACCCAAGGACATGATTATCCATTGTAATAACTGAAAGCAAGCATTCGAGGCAAATTTGCACAGTAAGATACTGAGCTGACCTGAATCGAAAATAAAACGGAATTTGGGACACAAACGAGCCGAAAGCAGTATCGCAAGGTGGAGATCTCAGCTCGAGGAAACTGCGGTGAGCTGAATTATTTCGACCGCCATTTCACCACCTAGGTATTTTGGTCTCATTTTACCGATATGTTGAAAGGAGATACTCATTCAGTCATCCCGTACTTGGTAGGAGGGCACTTATGAGGCATTATACCTTAACATTGGGAACGAGACGATGTCTGTGCCCAGGTGGGCATGTGCTGAAGCAAATATCTACTCTGGCATATACTATTTTAGTGTACCCCTGGCTTAAAATGTGAGCAATCGACCGCAACTTGAGTAATCTCAGCGCGCTTTACCTGCTTCCATTCCTTCAATCAGAGCCCTGAATATGTTCTGATTATTGTAACTTACCCGAACCTCCGATGGTAGCGTCTGAGTCACTACAAGTTAGTGTTGATGTCTGTAGAGAGACATGAGGATGATATTCTCATTCGAACCACGATAAGCCACACTTTCTTTCCACAGATAAACCAGGACTGAGCACGGGAACTTTCATGGCCAGTGCGCAGGCATCAAAGTCGCCGGGGAAAAACAAACCCACTGGTCAAAGCTTTTGAGCATACTACGAGTACTTACGAGTATGTTGGAGATGGCAGGGCTGGACCGTGCCATGTTGTGATTTCCAGGGTTCTCTGAAGACACAGCATGCACTCCGTACCTAGGTACGAAGATCAAGTTGGATGATATAGTGAGCGATGCTGCCGTTGAAGCAATACATACTGTGCTTCTCTGCTCGCCATAACATGATACCTGCTGGATAGACGAATCCAATATCCCAAGCCACATTTCTAGTCAAGTTTATAAACAGAAGCGTGACTTGTTCCAACTTGAGGTTTGCTACGAAGCATACATTGAGAGCACACGGGCTAGATTTGCGGACCTTTCCAAGCGCGACTAAGGTGCCACAAAGATATAGCCCACTGTTTATGACCAATTGTCAGACAGTATTACCATGTATCTCAGATCCTTTGCTTTGTAGCACCTGGCAGAACATGTTGTTCAACGAAGAGACGCATGTAGCATTAACAGATCTAACCAGGGACTGGCCTATTTCAATTGAACACGGGTTGATATTTCAAGGCCGCTAGTAGCGGCAGGAGAACAATGCATTCATCCAGGGGAAGTTTGACCCCGGGTTTCTTCCAAGCGCCAGACCGACATAGTGTTTGAATAGAAGTCGTCACTGTTGCCCAAATCACAATCTTGCCGCCCGGGAAGATGACGGGATCGTCTTGGGGCGATTTCATCACACTGCCACGCGCAAAGCGAGTAGTACATAGTACTATGAAGCATAGACCCCAGTTACCGCTGCCATTACTCGTATGTCGGAATACACGAGGTCCAGCAAGGATCATGGGTGATGGGACATGAAGTGGATGATACTTCCCTAAATAGGGCACAGGGCCGAGATGCTCGGTGTCCACAGGCGGAAAAAGCAAAATTATTTAATAAAACAGGACGAAATCAACAGACGGGAGAAGGAGAGTCGCCAAAAAAAAAGAAAGGGGAGTTTTAAAATGAGGCGAGTGATAGCGTGGCAGACAGGTATCAGCCCGAGGCACGAGTACGAAGTCGACTAGGCGATAGAGTACGAGTAGCGCAGGAATGCCGAGATGAGAAGTACAAGTATTACGGAGTAGGATCATAAAAGAAAGAAATCAGTACCAGTAAATAGGAGAAAGGAGGACTCCGTACGGAGACGGAGAACGGAGTATAGATACGAGGGCATAAAGAAAGGAATGCGTCATTGAGTCTCGGGTCACACATGACGAGAGCCCGGAGGTGCCGGATTTGTGTATGGAACGTGGTATGGTCATACTGATACACATGGGGGCCGAGTGAGAGGAGACACAGGGGGAGTCAACCAATGATAGCGAGTGAAATGGGGGTAATGCTGTGTAAGGTGGTGTATGGGGATGTATGGGGACCGTACGGAACGGTAAAATCGCAGAAAAGGCGGCCTTAGCAGCGGGGAGCAAGGCGGTCTCCAGACAGCGGGCCAGTCAATCTCCTACAAAACTGCCCCATCCGCCCTTTTCCCTCGCCTTTCTTCCTTCTGCCTCTTCTCGTTGGTTGCCCGCCCTCTCCAGTTCCTCCTCCAACCATCGCACAGTACTCCCCCCTTTTATCGTCATTGGTGAAACCAAGCTGCAGTTACTTTACTGTAAGTGTTCTATTGTCTTGTTATCTTTCTGCTGTTAGCTTCTTCCTTTTTTGGCCTTGTATAGTGTTATGTTCTGCTATTCTCTCTATGCTGTCTATGCTGTCTTTTCCGTCATTTTCCTTCTCTTTTTTTCTCGTTCTTTTCCCCTATGCCTTGATGCACTCTTGTAAACAACACTTCCCTGTATTCATTTTCAAGTCCAAATGTCCTTTGATCTATACTGTGATATACTCGGAACTGTCCGGCCGCTTGACATCGGCTCCGGTTGCGCACAGAACCACCGCCTTTCCTCTCGTTGGCACGATTCCTCGATCTTCCCCCCCCTCCCCCTCAAGTCTTGTCAAATCATCGTGTACCCTGGGATCCCTTGATTGCTTGAACCGGAGATTATCTTGATAATCTGAGCTTCCCACGCGCGTCTTATCTGGCATAACAACGCGTGAACGCATTATTGTTTATCTTTCCCTCATTGGCCCTTGCAATGCGCGTTTGATGTTTTCCCAATCCACACGCGTCCCTGGCATTTACATCATCCTCGTGGGATCATCTAACAGATCATAGTCGCAAGTGATTCGCTCCCTAGCTTTGACTAGTCTCGCCTCAAATCTTCTTACTTCTGCAGAAGTCTATCAGGTATGTTTCATGCATCTCTAGTCTGCCAACGCACACATTGCCCCTCCCCAACTATGACCGGTCTTACCCGCCCCGGATCTCTCCCAAACCCCCTCAGAGACTACCGGACCAGCGCATTGGTCAACGACATCATGTCCAGTGATTGGTGAGATGGAACTTATGCTAATATTGGATATAGTCTGGCCTGAGAGGCGCTTTCTGACATCAACGCACCGCCTCATCTATATAGACGTGGCAGAACACTGAAATTGCGTGAATGAGGCAGCCTGCCGACCGTGCTTGATTTAGTCCGCCTCGCCTCCACACCTGGCAGTCTGTTGACAACGCATCAAGCCGGCATCTAGTTGAGGGGCCACCGCTGCATCACAGCCCAACCACGTCCCACCCGACTGTGGGCGTTGACAGTTTCGCACAAAAGAGTCAAACCCTCCGCGGGGCGTTTGAGATAATTCTCGCCATACAGACCTCAGAGTTTCTTCTGGTAAACACACCGCATTCATATTGGCCGCTCACAGTACGCGCCTGCGATTTAAGGTATGTGCCTGGTAGCGTTTTGTTTCCCCATAACCCCATTCCCCACTCTGAAACCCAGTGACCGCTCGGCGATGCGCTTTGCTGACGCGAAGCCTGCAGCCTATCTGGTCAAATCATTTCCCATCCCCCCTTACGCTTGTACTCTGTCCCTCATTGAGCGTGTCCTGTGATATCGTGCCAATACATCTACCAAACAGACGTCGCCGTGAACTTCGACCCATTTGAACCTCCCGCAACAGGTCGATCCTGTTGATCTGATTGGTGATTATCACTGTGGTCAATTGTCGCACTAGATCGATCCCCTGAAACTGCGCCGCACTTTGTGTGACGAGATCCACCGCACGTCATGGAGTACCCTCCTCAATACCAACAGCCCCATGGGCAACATCCGCACGCGTCCTCTCACATCCCGGGTTCCTACCAAACTGGCGCACCAAACGCCGGTCCCCCCGTTGGATCGATGACGTCGCCTACCAATGCTCAGGCACCAATTCAACCTCACGCCGCGCATCAAACCTCACCCATCGTCCCATCCCAACCGCATTACCAACAAGCACAGAATGGGCCTGGTGCCGTGCATCAGCAAATGAACTTTCCTCAGGGCTACGGCGTACCTGCGCCAATGGCTCAGGGCTATGGTATCTCAGCCACGCAAGCGGCCGCCATGGCCACCGCGGCAGCTTCTGGACAATACTTTCCTCTGCACCAGGACTCCATGGGTGGACAGATGCCCCCTGGCTCCCGAGGCTCACCACGCATGACAAACATGCAAATGAAGGATCGCAACCCTCGCTCCCCACCACAGATGCAAAGTCAGATGCCCCCAATGGGCTCTCAGGTCCAAATGGCACCAAGCCAACAAATGCCTCAGCGTCGCATGAGCCATGTTGGTAGTCCTAATGTTCCAAGTGCACAACCGGTCATGAGCCACGTTGGACGGCCCTCGATTGCAGCTCCCCCGCTCCCCCAGGCACCCATACAACAAAGCCAGTCCTCGCCGGACATGGTACCCGGAAGCAATCAAGAGGAGTCGCCTTTGTACGTCAACGCCAAACAATTCCATCGAATCTTGAAGCGCCGCGTGGCGCGTCAGAAACTCGAAGAGCAATTGCGCTTGACATCGAAGGGTCGCAAACCCTACCTTCACGAGTCACGACACAACCACGCTATGCGCAGACCCCGTGGCCCTGGAGGGCGATTCCTAACAGCCGATGAAGTTGCCGCCATGGAAAAGCGCGCCGAGGTCACAGGCCAGCCAGTCACCTTCGAGGATCTCAGCAAGCCCTTACCAACCGAGAATGGCGCCGGGCAGAAGCGCAAGTCCAGCGAGGTGCATGATGATGGTGTGAACTCCAAGAAATCAAAGGTGGCTGTCAGTGGTGACTTGAGCGAACAAGACTCTGCCGAAGCCTCTGACGATGACGGTTGATTATGCCTAACTTTCTCTCCATCGCAAGATTTGTCTTGAGTTGGTGATATGTGAATTTTTCCTTTGTTTTTTTCTTTTGTCGTCACGGCTTTATGGATGGATGTCTTGGACCTTTTCTCTAGCGAGCGATGTGTATGGATCCCTCTTCTATGCCCTTGGATGTTTTTTTTTTTTTTTCCCTTTCTTCTTCTCACCCCCCTTCCCCTTACTTCACCCCGATCCGCCCCTGATGTCTGTTTATAACCGCTATGCTGGGACGATTTTTTTTCTTCTCGTTTTTCTTTTTTCTCCATTCCCCCTTTTGTCCGTTTTATGTGTCGTATTCGTTTTTTCATGATGACCCCCTACTGGATTTTGAGGGTGCGTTTCAGCACTCACAGCATCCAATATGCCGGTTCCGACAGATTCGAAGTATCATCTCGGGGCATTCCCGATTCGCTGCTTCCCATGTGTCCGTGAGCCAAATTGGCATTGATGATTTCATCATGAATATTCTTTTCAAGTTTCTATTTTTTTCTCTTTTTTTCTTTCATCGGTGTCTCGTGTTGCGGGTTTATGGGTCTTCGGCTGGGAAATTTAGAGAGGGTCTCCATCACTGGAAAAACAGATCGGGAATCGGGCATCGAAAGACTGGTTTGTTACGAGCATCCGAATTTGAGTATGGGTATTTCTTTTATGGCACTTGTTCACGGCAAGGGTGGATCTGGGACGGGGACAATTCGGATTGTAGATTATTGAGCTATGGATATACTGCCGATTTTACAATGCGCGACTTTTCATGGAGTCTCTTTTCTTACCCGAACTCTCATGTCCCCTTAGGCAAACTTAGATTTTCATTCTCGATCGCTTTCCGGCATGTTGGTCCACGAGACCTGGAGTAATGCCGTCCTAAGTACAGCTTCCTGCCATCATCACATGAGAGCATCCCTACTCACTTGAGTCCCATGTAGGCCTGACTGGGAAAGAAAATGTGATATGAAAACTTGAATAAATTGGTTTTTCATGACATTCTAAAGAGCTGAGGCTCGTTTCTGTGATGAGCTTTTTTGGAGCTCGCAGCGGTCTCTTTCCATCAAAGCTCCCTCGAAGCTGGAGTCTAGGAAGCACCTGGTTCACCACAACAGCCCTGTCGGACTGGGGGCATAGTGTACATGAGTTGCGGGCAAATTCGAGGACACCCGTGGAGTGGAGGAAGAGGCCGACCGATTCATCTTGCGTCGGTGATAAGACGACTCCACACCATGGCTAGGATGAGAGAGGTAATAGAATCTAAGTTTGTCGTCGACACGGGCGTCGCGTCAAAACCACCACACTTGCCAGCAGTAGGTAGTCCATGGAGCACAATTGTCCAATCTCATACAGCTTCCCAGTCCATGGCATCGACCATAAAGCCCCAATCTGCCTCGGTATTCGTCTGACCAGGTAAATCATCCGGGCGGACGCATTTGTCGACGTGATCTTTTGCTCTCACATACGCCTCTTCAAGGCCGGCAAAAATCCCAGAGAGAATGCCCTCAAAGTCAAAGTCCGCCAAGCGCAGAACATCCTTGCGCTCGCCTTGTCTTTCCCTCTCTTCCATAGTCAAATCTGCAGTCTTCCATCTATTGCGCAGGTCTTTCGCTTTCTGCAGTTTCAAATAGACAGACCCACTGCCAAGAACCGGCGAAAGAGGCGTCGTCTGCTCCCGCAACGCCTCTAGCACATTGGCATGGTATCGATGAACTCCCACCGAATGACCATTGGCTACCCCATTGCCAGAGCTATGAGTCGACCCCCTTGACGAGGTAACGGCAATATTAAACACAGCGAGCAAGTGAACAATGGCGCGCTCCAAAAGGGCATAATATTCATGGAAATCAATCTTGAACATTATCTCTGCATGCGCCACGTCATCTGACATGTCATTACCGGTCTCCAGGGTCGCGAGCCGATAGCCCTCAGCCAGGAATGGGAGTTTCCATCTTAACCTTGCCACGATCTTCATGAACCGTGATAATTCTTCGGCCGGTGGCAACAGACTACCGGGTGGGGTAAGGCGAATACTACCACTGGTCTGTGGCCGGGGAGTGTATTGGGGTCTGTGGACACTTGTGGGCGCACCTGGTGCCCATCGCGAGTTGAGGAGACCTGACATGCGGACGAGGCCGGGTGAAGTGAGGTGTTGTTTGGTGGTGATGGGGCAACTAGTGATTATCCAATCAGCCTGTGGACCCCCATTGGTAAAAATACTTTGATAAACATTGACTTCAAAGACAAGCTGCAGGCTGGCGCTAAAAGAAATCTCAGGCACAAAATGTTTAAACTATTACTTAGATCAGGTGACTGCCCAGGTGCTTTCCAACTTCTAAAAGTTATTTTGTTGTAGCCGGCCTGGATAGAGATCCATGGATCAGATCTCGCTCTTTTTCCTCTCTCTTTCTCCTGACTAGTTGAATTGATCGATTACGTCAACATTTATTTCTCCCAAGTAGGCTTAAGATGCAAACTAGCATGTTCTAATGATACAGGTTAAGGAGCGGAGGACAGCGCGTAGCGCCTCACGGTACTATTGGCTATCAGTTCAGCCCTGGAGGGCCTAGCGTGCCTAGGTATCTCAGGATATTGGAGGCGTACTGTATGTCTAGTATGCTATACTAACGATTGCAAGGGTCTCGGCTCTTATGGTTGGTAATGACACAGAAAATAGTGTGCTGTATCCTGATCATCCTAACTATCTCATGTTACTCCGGACTCTTCAAATGCTGAGCTTGTACTCCGTAGTTTGGATGATCTTTATACACCGTGGGTGTTTGAGCACACCGTTCACTGCCAAGGGGGTAAGGGAAACCAGATTGGCAAGCCAGTGGTAGTACAACACCGAAGTCGACATCCATGGGCAAGGTGTTCACAAGCCGGTGATATTTGTTGCAGTCCATGGAGGGTGGTTAGAAACGGCCTCAGCTCGTGATTCCACTTTTCGGACTAACATCCGATGATGTGTGGAATAGCCTCCATGAAGATGTGAGAAGGGTTGAAGTCGAGCTTAAAAAGAGAGTGAGAGTAGGTAAAAACCCTTGGAAAAACGTGTAAGAGAGAGAGAGAGAGAGAGCCCAGGAGAGTTGTCGGGGCTTTTGTGCCTACTTCAACAGGCCAATCAGCGACGACCAACTATCCCCGTGACGCCATACCCTTTTTGGACAAGCGCCCAGCTTTCTCCAGCTCCCTTCACCTCCTCGGCTTCCTTTCTCTCTGCCTCCATCTCACAACCTTTGTCCTTGAGGTGTCTTGTAGGTGGCTCTATTCTATTTTTCTGTTGTGCCCCTCTTCCGATCATCCATTCTTGGCCCTGATCTTCCAATCCCCTTTTCCTTGGCGCATGGCTGAGGCTCTATCTTTGAATGCTTAAGAGCACTGGCTCTTGCCTCCTTCAAAACCTCTCTTTCTACATCCACCCACCTGCTGCGACCATGACACGCCTCTTGCCCAGCGCAAGTTCGCGACATGTCGCCCGCGGCAGTGTGCTCTTGTCTCTCTCTTTTCCCCGAACCCATTCCTCTGTTACTCTTGAACTTTCCAACCGCTATCGCTATTTCGCCCCGTGAAGTTTCTTGATCTGATATTGACGATATCAATGCTTAGTGGATCTAGTGGATCTCACGCTCCCAGCCTCCCAGATCGCCTCAGATTGCTCCGGTTTTCCTACCCGCCTGGGCCGAGCATTGGACCCATCGAGTTTCTCTTACTGCCAACGCCGTTGAAGAAGCCATAATCGTGGATCATTTGGAAACAATGGAGTCCTACGACGGCTATGGGTCTCCTGGAAGAGCCCGTGAGTCAGATTCCTTCTCGGGACGAGACCCCACTGAATCATACAGACGCCGATCGCCTCGTGAGTGACTTTCCTTCTGATGTCTGTTCCCGCTTGACGACATAAAGCTGACCTCGAATAGCTTCTCAAGATCGACGACGTGCTCGACCGCGCTCTCGTTCCCCCGTGATTGATCGTTATGAGCCTTCAGACCGCCGTGCCCACCGTGATGACCATTACAACAACTCCCGGGACCATGCGGCCCGGGAGCGCGAGGACCGCCGACGGGCCCCATCTCCCAACGTAGCCAATATCGACCGCTACGTGCCGGGGCAGGATTTCGGTGAAGGCCCACGCCCTCTCCTGAGTAATCGGCTTCCCAACCCCCTTTCACTTGATTTCCAAGTTGGCTTCAATTGGTTTGCGGAGTGGTGGAGAGGAGAGCAATCTGTGAATGAAGAAAAGGAGCGCGCCAGGAATGGTGGCCGCCGCGTCAAGGGCGAACGTGAAGCGCGCGAAGATCGCGAGAATCAGCGCACTCAAATTCAGGCTGCCTACGACAAATACAAGGTGGATCTCCAGATTCGATTGGCTAGGCTGTTCGTGCAACAGCATCGCCATGAAGAATGGTTCAAAGAGCGATACGTTCCGGAGGTTCGAGACCCTGTTCGCAGCCGGCTCACGGCTGTGCGCCAAGGCGCGTACGAACAATGGCAACGTGACATTCAGAACCACGTTTTCAAAGACTTCACCCTCGAAGGCATCTACAAGGGTGACAGTGACGGCGCTGGGGGTGTGGTTGAAAAGGAGGAGGGGGAGACCACAGCCGCTACTGAGACTATGGGCGTTCTCGATCTTCTTCCTGTGCGTGGAGGAGACCTTCGCGACGAAGTGCTTTCCCAGCCGGCTCTCCTGATCAAGACCCTCGCACCCAACGTCAGTCGAACCAAGATTGAAGAATTCTGCCGCGAGCATCTCGGCGAGGAGGACGGAGGCTTCAAGGGACTGAGCCTCAGCGACCCGAATCCCTCCAAGAAGTTCCACCGAATGGGTTGGATCATGTTGCACCCATCCTCCGAGACCAGTGTTGTCGAACGAGGAGATGGACGCGAAGAGGAATTTGACGAGTCCGAGCGGAACCGGGTGGACGGCACTACCACAGCCAGCACAGCCGAAAAGGCTCTGGAAGCCGTCAATGACAAGACGATCCATGATTCTGTTCATGGTGACTTTGTTTGCCACGTGGGGGTTCACGTCCCCCCTACCCAGCCCCGCAAAAAGGCCCTCTGGGATCTCTTCTCTGCGCCTGAGCGCATTGATCGTGACCTGGAGCTGGCCAAGCGCTTGGCCTCCAAGCTGGACTCTGAGATGGGTGAAAGCGTGGATGGTGTTGCCACGATCGAAGAGTACGTCGACGACCTGCGTGGCAAAGGGGAGTTACAACCCCCTGCCACCGGACCCGTCAGTGCCAAAAAGCCGAAGAATGGATATGAAGATGAAGATGATGGGGAAGTCGAAGAGGGTGAGGAGAAAGAATCGAACGACGACGACGAGGTGGATGATGAAGAGCTTGCTGTTAAGAAAAAGAAGCTCGATTTAATCGTCGAGTACCTGCGACGGGTTTACACTTTCTGCTTCTTCTGTGTATTTGAGAGTGACTCTGTCCACGAACTTGGTCGCAAGTGCCCCGGAGGACATCTTCGCCGTCCGCGTACTGGTCTTTCCAGCCAGGCCAAAGAAGTCGCCCGAGCTAGCGCACTCGGTCAGCCCTTCCCCTCCAAGCAAAAGGAACCCAGCGAGGAAGGAGAAGACCCATCCTCACCTGTTCGGGAGAAGCGTGGCCAACGTCATGGCTCCAAGTCAGAGCAGCAAATACAGCGTGCGTTCAACTGGGTCAAGACCTTTGAGGATAAACTGTTGCAGATCCTGGAGCCCGAAAACGTCGACCTCGCCAAGATCGGCGGTAAGCCGGTCGACCAAGCTGTGGAAGAGGAGCTTGTGAAGTACATGAAGCAAGAGGACGATTCCAAGTACCGCTGCAAGGCCCCTGACTGCACCAAGCTTTTCAAGGCCGAGGCCTTTTGGCGCAAGCACGTCGAGAAACGCCACGGGGAGTGGTTTGAACAGATCAAGAACGATGTAAGTATCCGACCCCTCAACTTCATTCGAACTTAACACTAACCCGTCATAGCTTCACCTTGTCAATGCTTATGTCCTTGACCCGGCACGTATTGCCCCGTCTCGATCCGATGCCAACAGCAATGGTCACTTCCCACTCGGATCTGGCCAAGGGCACAACGGCACCCCTCGTGGCTTCAGCTTAGCCAGTGCGCCTTATGGAGCTAATGGCGCCATGCCCCACTTCCCACCGGGTGGGATGCCCATGATGGGTGGTCATGCCGGTGGCTGGAATGGCATGGGACACGACGGTGGAATGCATCAGCCTGGACCCATGCGCCGTGGCCAAAACCGCAACCAACGACCTGGCCCTTACGATCGTCGGCGCTACAACAGTAACGGCCGTCTAAGCCCTCCCCGTGGCATGCCGGGCATGTATGGTCGGGTGCCTCCCTCTGTCAATGTCCCTGCCGGTCATCCTGCCGCTGGAATGGTCGCTGCCAACCCATTCGCCGACTCCCTGGGCTCGAATGGCGCGCCCATGCCTCCACGCGAGGCCGTCCAGGGCCGGAGCTTGAAGAGCTACGAAGACCTTGATGCTGTTGACGGTGCAGGTGGTGGCGAGCTCAATTATTAAGCCCCACATGTTCATTGCAACATGTGTGCTTTCTTGCATTCCTTTTTTTCCCATTTTCTTTCTTGTCTTCTTTTTGATTTATCTGACTCTGGCGACATGGCGCAAATGGATTACCGGGGAGAACATGGCCCTTGCTTTCGCAGACTTCAATCTGTCTCAGGATCTTTGAAGACCAATTTTCTTTTCCTCTTCAATGTTACCGTTCCAAACAGGCTTTTTTTTGTTATCTTTTCAAGCATGTACAATATCATTTTGCTATCAAAATATCAGATTGAATATCGAGGAAAGCAACTAGCTGTGGGGGTATAAAGTAAAATTACAAAGATAAACCACCGAAGACCGAAGACCCGCGGACTGCCTGAAAGATCTGTTCGTCATCTCCCCGGGGTGAATGTTGTCGATATTCACGGCATTCACGGCATTCACGGCATCTGAACAACGACCTCCTCCCGCGAATCCTTCCACTGCGCCCCCATCCCCTTGACCCGTCGCTCACTCGCCAGAAACAACAGAAGGTAAATATGCATAGCGACCTCACCCCAAGCATATACCTTCAATGTGACCTGGGATGAACGTGAATCTCCATTCCGCTCAAGAATACACCAAACACCCCAACCTGCCCGACCATCCCTCCCTATGAAGTCGGTGAGAAAAGACCAGAAGGCCTCAAAGAGCGGAGACGGCCACGTGGGGATAGCATTAGAATGGAGAGTGTCCCGATCTCGATCTCGATCTCGATCTGTACCCGTGATATCGAAGCGCACGAACCAATATCCCCGCTCAAGAGGATCAAGATCCCGCGTCTGATACGAAGGAATATACGTCCTGGCAGGCTTGAGACGCTCCGTAAGCATAGAAAGAGTTGGTGTGATGTGTGTTTCGAAGGGACCAGAAGAAACAGGAGGTTTCGGAGGGTGAATTTCCAATGGACATAGTGAAAGGGAGTCTACGAAGGGCGGGACCGCGGAGTCTGCACGAGCATCCGCACTTGACTGACTTGCATCAATGCGCGATCTGGATTCCCCTGAAGAATGTGGGGCGACAGCTTGGATCTCTTGGGAGTCTGGGATCTCGCTGATGAATGACCCGAAGGAGTCTGGCTTGGTTTCATTGGTGCGGGAAACCGGGTTGGGCTCTAATGCAGGTCCGGACACTTGCGGTATGGGCTCGGCTGTGGGATCGGCGGAGAGCCCGTGGTGGGTTTGTGAAGCTCGGAGATCCAGGATGGCGGATTCCCAGGGCCCAGCCTGGATCTATCAGGGACTAGTTGGCGTGGTGCGTTTGGGCGATCCCATCGAGAATTTAAGGGACCTTTGGGGGAAATCTGGGCATTCCTTTAAGCATTTGAAGTTTGTCATCGAGGCCGTGCCAAAGCGGTGTGGGGGTTTGGACCTCGAGTTCTCCGAGTATAGCCAAGTTCAGTCGTCAAGTTGATATTCGACTGAGCTTCGATTCTGGGCTGAGTTTTTCAATTTGTTTCGTCCTCTTCTGGATCCATGAATCCTCGACGAGACTGTATGCCTGAGTCGTGGAAACCTCCATCGGCCAATCGCCGCAACGAATTCTAACCTTGGACTGCTTTGACTTCGAACAATCACCATTGACTGAAATGTCCAGCCCTTTGTGCAGTCTGAATGAACATGACTCGTCTTTGTCATGCCCTTTGTCCTCGCGTCCACACGTTCCTTATCATTTTGTTTCTGGTCCAATGTTAGGGACCGCATGCTTTGTCTTGATTGGCAGGTCTTTGTGCATATCTCTTCAATGCACTTTGTAGCCTTGGAATATGACCTCAATCTTATAGAGCCGCTGGGTTGGGCTCTTTCTATAAAGCCAATCCTTTTTCCTCGTTACCCTCGACATCAGCAATACAATCTCACAATCTAACCATCTGACAACCTTGGAATCTAACAATCTAACAAACCCACAGTCCAACAATACAGCACATTTCAACTCTGTAAGTTCAATATCAGCCATGGGCTCAGGAACAAAGCGTGAACTCTCCGATGAACATGAACAATCCAGCTCAAAGAGGCAGTGTGTAGAGGGCGCTTTATATAATCCGGATCCCAATTGGCCCCAACGTCAATACGCGCAAACTGGATCGAGTGGCTCTAGTCAGCCACATGAAGCGGAATACGGGGAGCTTCTCTCGGGTGACCCGGATTTGGTCGACTGTGACGATCCGGCTACGATTGCCAAGTTTGACCAAGACGGAAGCACTTACATTGAATGGATGGACAACCCCGATCATCCGGGATGCCCAATTCAGCTCTCTACCATGACCTTTCAGGAAGTTATTTGGGCCAAACTGAAGAAAGATAGATACAGAGCCGTCATGCCGAAGTTTTCCCCCCCGTCCGTCGACCTTGTGAGCGACCTTGCAGAACTAGGCTTGCCCACCGGGAGAGTATACCGCGATGTCTGGCTCCAGCGCCACGGAATTGCCCGTGATGGTCGCCCTAGATTTACCGAGTTCGCAAACAAGACTGTTGAGGGTGCTATTGTCGCTGACGCTATTTTCCGCTTCCATGGACATCATTGGTCCGAAATTGCTCTTGCGCAGTACAGGATGGACTTTGACATCAACACGCTCAGGCACATTTACTTCCATAACGTGGTAAACACTCAGACCTATCCCTACGTGAGACGGGTTATTTACAAACTGCATGAAATCCCGTACAACTCCACTTCCATGCCAACCGTTTGGCACTATCGCTCCCGACGGTTTCGGGAAATTATTGGAACAAGACTAGGAAAGTCTGCGGCAAGTATTGTTCTAGGTGCATGGCCGCGAGGTACTCATCGTATCGAAAGAATCCAAACTTGGGTTTCGTCTTTGGGTGACCTTAATATGCGATTTGATATCGAGGAAATCACCCCTTCGCCACGTTCGTCTTCAAGTGACGGTATTCCACACGGGAGCGACATTTCGATTGACTGATCAGATAGATTAAATAGGAATAGGACATTGTCTCAATGCTTTTATAGAAAATTAGCCATCATGATGATCGCAAATTTCGTAGTTTTGACCATATTTTGAGTAGCGATGCCAGCCTTGAAAGACATGTCAAGACAATTGTTGCCCCAATACTCAAGTCCGCCAGTAATGAGCCCTAGTATCTCAGGGAGAACAAGTCATTGGTCTTGTCAAACAATATTGGAATTGAGTTCACCCTGTACCTGGCTCGGTACATATCCAACGACTTCAGGAGTTCAAAGGCCCAGACTCAATGCGACATGGCCAGGCACGGATGATCATGTGTGTTAATTTGACAGCCATACAAAAGACCCGAGTACCATTTATCGGAATCCAGTGGTACAACTCCACACTTGTGGTCATATGCGTGTTGTGTCTCATGTCTGACACACACACGGTGTTGCATTGGCTATCAGTTTTCTCTCTCTTGTGACTTGATCATGCATGCACTGGTAGGATCCAAACACACAAATAGTCGACGTATTTCTCCCGGCTCCAAGGCTACTGCAGTTTAAGTAGCAGTTCCCGACATTCCCCAACTTGAACTTTATATTGAGCCCTATTGTCTCAAAATCCAATCAATCGGACCTTTTTCTCGGCCTGTACCATGAAGTGTTTTATTGTCATCTTCAGTGCTACGCTTTTTAGCACCTTGGCTCTGGCAGCACCTCTCACGGCTCATCGACAAGCACTTCATGCTAGTCGACAGGCCAACCGAGCCTTCGGCCGTGGAAGTAGTCGGCCTCTTAGGCCCGGTACTGCAGATGTGCTATACATCAACGGCACGTCTCATGAAGAGTATAGTGCGAATTGGGCAGGTGCTGTGCTCATCGGTAACGGTTATGACTTTGTGACCGGCGAAGCCACAGTCCCTGTCCCCAAACCTGCCCGTGGAGGCGATGATAGAACGAACTATTGTGCTTCTGCTTGGGTCGGTATCGACGGAGACACCTGCAATACAGCTATTTTGCAAACAGGGATCGACATGTGTGTTCAAGGTGGCGTGGTGTCATCTAGTGCCTGGTTTGAGTGGTTTCCGGACTACTCTCACGACTTCGATATCAAGATATCAACTGGCGACGTGGTCAAGATGACAGTCGAGGCCAATTCCACAAACTCCGGCACCGCTATAATTCAGAACTTATCAACGGGCATTTCAATAAACCATCAATTCCCAGTTGCTCTTGGTGCTAGGCTCTGTGAGACCAATGCCGAGTGGATCGTTGAGGACTTTTCCATAAATACCGGGTTGGCTCCTTTTGCCAATTTCGGAACAGTGTCGTTTTTGAATGCCGTTGCGTCTGCTGGTGGGAACAGATCCAGCCCGTCAGGTGGCGTTGTTATGGAAATCTACCAGGATCGGATATTGACCACTACGTCGGTGACGAAGGAGAGTGTTACCGTCAGTTATCTTTGAAAGTCACGGGCAATAGAGATGAAGTCTATCCCATAGCATTTGGTGCAAACTTTGAAGCAGATGAATGGTCCAGAGCTCTATCAAGTCTTGCAGGATTAAAAGATAGCACACTTCAGTATGGTATCTATCTCACAACAACTTTGTGATATGAACTTTGAAAGCTCATCCATAGAGCCCCCAGGGCTTTTCTTTTTTTTTTCCTGCCTATTTATCAAGATTGTGCGAGAATGTGAAATCAAGATCCCCTCAGACACTTGTGGGCTTTTCATTTCCTAGTATTCGACTCTTCAATTGTAACCCTTTTGCATCTGTCTTGCAAAAGTATCACCCGACAAATTCGCCGGGCGTTGGGGGTCATCGGGCACCTTGATGCCACAAAACCGCCAAAGAGAATCTTGTATCACATCATGACAGGCTCCGTAACGCAAGACATTCATAGTCCTAAAGTCAATCATGGTGGATGAAGCACGGGGATAGTAGAACTTCTGCTTTCCGTAATCAACAACAATATCGGCCACCCTCAAAATATCTGGCTCGATGTCCTCCGCCACGATCTTGGTTCCTTTCCCAGTGAGATTTGCAGAAGATCCCATCACAAATTTTCCCTCCATTGAAGCAAGTCGAGATACCTCCTCGGCTAGCTCGCCTGCATTCACCAGCATTGCCAAGGTGCCATCCATGACACTTTTATCTAGAATATCAGGAGGCATTCCTTTGATTAAAGGATGATCTGGACAATAAGGTGCCACAACACCGAGAGGAAGGTCCAAATCCACAGTCAACAGCTTGACAACTCCGGCTTCTCGGGTGGGAAGGATATGGATACCACAGTGTAGTGAGTAGCTGCCGATCATTGCCTGGCGCTTGTGTGGCTCTCGCCTTTTGGCATCAATGATGCAGGCTTGTGCCTGTTGATCGATCGCGATGATACCATAGCCTACATTCATTGGTATGATCGCTATTCCGCCGATTTTGAGAACTTGGAAAACTTTGTTGGCATCTGATTTAGGATCCGGTATTTTTTGAGTGAGCATTTTGCACATAGTCTCAACCCGATTTTGTATGTATCAGAAGGTAGCAAATAACAGCATTCAAAGAAAGATTGACGAGGGTCAAGACCTCCTAAATACCACATGCACTATTTAGGAAGCCCCAACTGATTCATTGCTAGCCAATCACGTCGGGGAATTCGAGTGTACAAAAACGGATTTCTAAAGTACTCCAGGGCTTTTCATACTCTCATGTGATGTAAAATTGTACAGTCGTTTCGAGCCGCTGATTTGAATTCATTCAGATTGGTATTTGTGTTAAGAAAAATCCCCCCTTGGCTGCCATGTAGGGCTTCAGAGTAAAGCGATCCCCTCGAGATCTTTGCCCCCTCACGTGTCCGAACTTGACTCGATGTTCAAAGACAAAATATTGGAGCAGAAATCCCCGCGCTTTGAATCCCCTTTCACATTGCCGTTATCCTGGAGTTGGGAAGGCGTCACGTTGGCTAATTCGGTCGGCCATACGGCATGCCACGTTCCTTGCGCACGAACGGAGTATTGGTGTCCCTCCTCAAGGTCAGAAACTGGTATTTTGACAACAAAATCAAGTGTCTCGTCTGCTTTTATTTCCACCAGGTCTTCCTCGGAGGGAGGGAGCTTGCGTGAAACCATGATTCTGGGGATGGGAATTGTCCGTTGATCGGTCGTATCAGAAACTTCAAATACACCCAGCACGCCAGCCTGAGGATCTAATGGAGAGTTCCATCTGAGGATGGTGACAGGAATCTCGGCAGTATTGTGGACGGAGACGGTGATGGGCAACGCGATCGCTTGGGCTTCGATTCCCGGTGCCTGGGAGGCCAAAGTGACTTGCAAACCTAGGCTCATATTCGTGTGTATCCGATTGTATGAGCCGGGCTGTTGCTTTGAGTAATTTTGATATCTTCCGAAAGGAAAGTGACAATGAAACGAATTGGTCGGAGAGTGATTGGGGCTAGGGAGGCCTTCGGGGGTCAGTCATGGGAGGGGAATATCCCAAAAGGACCTTCTGTACTCCGCAGGGTCAATAATACTTGCAGATGACGATCATCTTGCCGTAGCCAATTGAACTGGTCTGTTTCTTCTCATTTCTTGCCAAGTCAGCCCGGCCAGGACGCTCTACCACATGCCCCGGGGCTCCGTGCAACACTCCTTGACGGAAATTCTTGGCAGCACCTTATCTCTGGTAGTGCCCCTCATCAGAAGTCACGCTCAAATCTCTGATATAAATGAGGATGGCTCATAATAAGCATTGTGTCCGTGATCAAGACTTCGGCGCCGTCTTGGGTGGTATCTTGGCACCGGAGTCCGGTGTCAACTGCAGGGTCTAGGGCTTGGCGCCATGCATAGCAGAACTGATCGATCTTGATCGAACCGTGATAGAAAGGCAAATTGAGCGATACTAGTCCATTGTGTCTATAAGGGAAAAAAAAGTGAACTGATAGTAGTATGCTTTAGATTTGAGATTTACTCCTGTCTACAACATGCTATGCATCATGTTGGATATTACGGACCACTTGTATGGACCTCGTCTAGTGTGTCAATTAGTTCCGGGCCAAGCCGCGTCTGCATGTTGGCACACAATTTAGCGCTACTAATGCAGGACTTTAGCGTCGACCTTGTTTATCTCTAACTAAGCCTGAGGAGTTACATCGGGCAATGTCTTCTGAGCTACGAGGTTGAGACAACTGCATTGTCTAGGACCATGAAGGTGAAGGCTTAGCTAGACGAATTCACCTCAAGCTACGGATTCCGCCGGGCCAAGACAACTCCGGTCGGGTTCTTCTTGAATATGCAGCCTTTCGAGATATCTGCAGCCAGTAAGATGTTTGCCCGCAGGCTTGCCTGCGAATTTCGGGCAATTCGGAATGGAAATGCACTGGGGAATTGATGGCATGGCATCCAAATTAGCTTGTCTTGTGCAAGACCAGCGATAACTCTGATAGCAGTAGTGGCTTGACACGTAGAAGCCAACCTGATGCCATCTGCGCCATTTTCCTGGGCAGTGATGGGGAAATGAAAGGCTCACTAGACGAAAAAGGCCGCGGCATGTCAGAAAGACGTTGCAGCATGAGTTCAAAGGGATATAAATCAGTTGGTTCCTCTCGAGATTCGGAGTTATTCATTCCATCAGCACTCAAAGCACCAAAGCTGCCATCGAATCCTCGAATCCTCGGTTTTTTCAAGTCCTTCGACCAACTCGCAAAATGAAGCTCGTCGCTCTGTCCACTGCTCTTCTTGCCATCGCGCAGAACGCATATGCTTTGCCTGTTGAAACCGACGATGCCTCTGCTCTTGATATCACCCTCAGCCGTGTCAGCGACACCCGTATCAAGGCTGTGGTCAAGAACACTGGCAAGGAAGATGTCACTTTCGTGCATCTCAACTTCTTCCGGGACAGTGCACCCGTGAAGAAGGTTGATGTGTTGAAGAATGGTACGCCGGATCATTAACATATGATTCGTTCATACTGACCTGTTTGTAGATGCCGAGGTCACTTTCGAAGGTATCAAGCGCCGTTTCAAGACTGAGGGTCTTACCGATGAGGCTCTCACCTCGCTTGCTGCCGGAGAGACATTCGAAGATGAATTCGATATTGCCACCACCACCGACTTGTCCGAGGGAGGAGATCTGACTCTTCGTTCGAACGGCCTGGTCCCCATTGTGGTTGATGGCGCGGTGGCTGGATATCTGCCTTACCGCTCGAACGATCTCAAGATCGACGTCGATGGTGCCAAGGCGTCTCGTGTTCTGAAGGCCATTAAGCCTCTTGACCGCCGCACTGTCGAATCTTGCAGCAACGCAAGCCGTAAATCTGCTCTTGACAAAGCCCTGGCAAACACCGTGACCCTTGCAACTGCTGCTGCCAAGGCTGCTCTGTCTGGATCTTCCAGCAAGTAAGCATTGTCCCCCGGTATTCTTCCACATCATCATACTCACAAAAACCAAAGGTTCTCCGAGTACTTCAAGACTACCAGCACTGCCACCCGTCAGGTCGTTGCTGCCCGTCTCAATGCCGTGGCGAAGGAGGCCTCTTCTACCACCTCTGGCTCTACCAGACACTACTGCACTGATGTCTATGGATAGTCAGTATTCCTTTCTGGCTTCTTGTTCACTTGTATCATTACTCACATAAAATGAACAGCTGCGAGCCCAACGTCTTGGCCTACACATTGCCATCCTTGAACGTCATTGCCAACTGTGACATCTACTACTCTTACCTTCCTGCTTTGACCAGCACTTGCCACAGCCAGGATCAGGCTACCACCACGCTTCACGAATTGACTCACGCCCCTGGAGTGTTAGTGCCCCTCTGAACATTATCTCCTTCGTGACAAACCGGGAAAGGATACTAATGAGACTTTGATGCAAACAGTTACAGCCCCGGAACCGAAGATAACGGATACGGATATGCCGCAGCCACCTCTCTGAGCAGCTCCGCGGCCGTGTTGAATGCCGACTCGTACGCCCTGTACGCGAACGGTTAGTCTCCAAAGTCATCGATAACACTAGTGAGAATAAGCTGACCAAAGAACAGCCATCCACCTTGGTTGCTAAGTTGGTAGTCGCCAAACTTTTGAGAGGTGCTGGAAAAAGCCAGAGCAGCAAGCGGTGTAACTCTCAAGTGATGAATTTATTTGAACAGTTTTGTGTCGATTTGGTAGTTTGGATATAGTGGTCTGAAATGATAGTGTTGATTTCCTCAATGTGAAGTTGTTGAGACAGAAGTTGGTTGCAGATTCGTGAAATGATGCATATGCTGTACTCCGTACTCCAGATCTAATTGGTATGTCAAAATATTCTCCTGACATTTCTCCCACGAACGCCGCGGCGTCAAATCCTCGAGCTCGGTTCTCGAAAGCGAAACGAAATTCTCCCCAGCTCTTCCCCAGGCTGACGCCTGGTAACGGGGTGATGGAGTTGTCGGCTTTTCCGGGTGTAAGTTGGAACCGACATGCAGCAAGTTGCAGAAAAGCTTGCGCCGACCCAAGGGTACACAAAAGCACTGCATGCCATGGTTGGAATCTTCATCCCCGCTCTAAAATGTATATCCAATGAAACACCTCTGGGGTGTAGGTGGAGGAAGAAACAGGGCCTGGAGGCGCTTTTAATGGAATCCGAGATCGCATTTTCCAATAAGCAGGCATGAATTTGAATCCGTCAAAGCGCATGGTTGAATATGATAGAACAATCCATGTCGAGCCTTTTTCAGTCAAAGGAACCAACTGTAAGGCCAATAGCTCCACAGGCGACAAAACGGTACCTGGGTTGTTGTTCAAAGCGTCGATGACAACTGGGCAGCAAGCAGCAAGCTCTTCTTGAGAAGAAATCTCAAAATCACCAGATGTAGAGATCGCATCGCTAGTACTCTTGTCCAAAATCACGTCAAAAGGTCCATATTGACTAAGGGCAGAGACTTCCTTCCACACGCGCAAGTCAGTGCGCATCCAATGCATGGCATGGATTGAATCTTTTGTGTTCTCAACTTCACGGCCCAAGCGGACAGCTTCGCTTGAGAAATCGGCATTCTTAGAGGTAGGTTAGTCAAGTATGGAGACGAGCAATGGGTTGTTACTACTCACCACAATGCCATTGCCCTGCCATTCCCGCTCCACGCACTTGTCGCGTAGATTGCATCCAAGTTTCGAGACCCCGGGGCCTAAATGCAGCACACGGGGAATCTTGCTCGTTGTGACATTAGGGCGATCCTCTAGGTCGCGGAGGACCGCCTCTAAGAGGGCCTCGCCGGAATTGAGCCATTCTCCTACATCCGCACCTGTGGCGAATCGTGCGTCCCAAAATTCGGGCTCATCATATTCAGGCGCCCCCTTGGTCTTCTTGTGCGTTATCCTAGTCATGATGAGTGAACAAATGCATAGAATAAAAATTCTTGAACGCCCGCGATGGGACTGGCTGACATAAGCGATGATCTGCGCCCGGGCGCCGGCCCTAGGGGCCCACTAGGGGGCCCACTAGGCATCTCCAGGGCTGCCCAGGTATACCTGACGGGTAGCATTGGGCGCTTGGGCATGGAGTTTTTCAAACTTCAGGATTTGGTGATTCGATAGTAAAACCCCATATTCAGGTGTGGGAATTGAGATCAGAAATTGTTCTCTAGCAGGCTTTGATTCCAGTACATGCGACAAAAGTGGACGATACGATTAATCCTCCGCAGGCAACGCACCTTCAGCTTGCATCTCAAGCGCGACCTCATCAACTGCCTTCCATACTCTGAGCAGATTACCACCAGCCACCTTGCTTGCCTGCAAATCGGTGAGTCCCCGCTTGAGAAGTTCTGCGATCAAAGCAGGGAACCTAGAAACATCTTCCAGTCCCTGCGGGACAGTTGGGATACCATCAAAATCGCTACCGATGCCAACATGCTCAAAGCCAATAAGGTTTCCGATGTACATGATGTGATCAGCGACCCGTGACAGAGTGGTATGAGTAGGGTCCAGAGTCGGCATTTCGTCCGCGTTGTCCGATGCTATGCAGGATATGAAGTCTGGTGAGAAGTTGACCATCACCAGGGAGTTCTTCTCGCGAACCAACTCCAGAATATCATCCGGTACATTACGCGGGTGTGGGCAGATTGCATATGCAGAACTGTGGCTGTAGATGACTGGAGCGCGGCTGCCTTTCCACTCAGACTTGCCGGCGCCTAAAACATCCCGCATAGTGTCGGCGCTGACATGAGCCAAATCCACAATCATACCGAGACGGTTCATCTCATACACCAACATTTCGCCTTCTTCGCTAACACCGTGCCAAAGTGGTTCGGCTTTCTTAACGCCGCCCGGAATTTCAAGGACAGCAGCATCAGCATACCGATTATGGCAGTTATGTGTCAATGTCGCATAGGAAACACCCAGTTCGTAAAAGATCCGAAGATGAGCGAGGGAGTTGCCGATCGAATGGAGTCCCTCGATGCCGAGTGGCGATATGATCTTGCCGTCACGGAACGCAGACATAGCTGTGGTGCCATTCGGTGGGGTGGAAAAGACATCTGGATAGGCTTTCTGCACGCGGGACATGACATCCACTTGTTCCATAGTTTCCCGAACACCTTCACAAACTGGGTTAATTGGTTTCCTGTAGTTCAAGATGCTGTTCACATACTTGCAGCGTAGTTCTCATCCGAGAAGTCTGATCCATCCTTCGGGCAAGGGACGAAGACACTCCAGAAGCTGCCACCCACTCTGCCCTGTTTCAATCGCGGAATATCCACATGGCCACGGAGGCCTCCCTCAACGAATGCCTTGGTGAATTCCTCGTCATTGATGTGGTTTTGGTAGATCTCCCGAACGTAGATAGGGAAATCATCATGGCCATCTATGGGGGAGGTTAATGACACACCATTTATTTCATGATGGTGTACACATAGGGTCCTTACCAATTAGTGGGGTGTGTGAGAGAATCCTCTGCACTCTTTCGTCGATGCTGTGGGCACCACAAGAGGGTTTCAATCCTGGTTCAGTGAGCCATAGAACGGCCAGGACAGCGCTGATACATAGAGTCCAAATGCAAAGATCCCTTTTGCTTCCTTGCTTGGGAACCAGCTCCTCCCGGCTCCCAAGTATACCACTCTTCTCTTGGCTCATAGTGACGTGTTGACCAAGTATGAAAGAAGAGAGGGTGTTGATGTGCCCAGGTGTTGATTTGGAGGTTATCGATAAGGTAAGGTGACATCGGATGCAATGGAGGCCGGAAATTTGCAATTGCTTACGAATCTACTGAGCTCTCTAGGGCTGGAGGTAACTGGAATTGAGAGGGCTAATTGGCTCGAAAATTGGTTGTATCTGGGGCTTGCAACTATTCAAATTATCATTCAAGCTCTCACAACCTTCCACTTCATACTCCCAATCTACTCCCGTTACACACGGTCTCGGCGGGCACCCACTGCCGCTACACCGCCTTTGACGATCCCCTCAGTCACACCCGGCATTCCTCCTTTGAGAGGGAACCTGGACTGGGATCCAAAAATATCCCTTCGCCATATCTGCAACCCTCAAAATGACCCAGCAGGGTAAAAACACCGCCGGTTTGCTTTCAATTCCGGCGGCAGCCACCCAGAAATCTGGCTCTGGTGCACCCGCAAAGAAAGCGCCCAAACCCCCAGCGCCCCGTCTCAAACTGCTCATTCGACGCCTACCACCGGGGCTAACCCAGGCAGAGCTGGAAAACGCTTTGGGTCAACAGTGGAAAGTCGGAGCAGGAAAAGTTGACTGGCTTCAATTCAAGCCTGGCAAGGTGTCGAAAGAGTGAGCCTTGACTGTTAATAAGAGCTATGCTGTTGGAACTTGACTGATTGGATCTTTTTCTTTTGGACAGCCCCGCCAAACCATCTCGTCCATCTAGGGCTTACATCCACGTTGTGTCGTCCGAATGTGTCAATGCACTCTCCGATACTGTACGAAATGCCTCTATCCAGGATGCCCGCAACACTCTCCACGATCCCATCCTGCTCGGACCTCCTTCGCTGGAGTTTGCACCCTATGCCAAAACACCCGGCAGTCGCTCGCGCAAAGATGCACGCCAGGGTATGATAGATCAGGATGCAGACTTCATTGCTTTCCTGGAAAGCTTGACTCAGCCAATCACCCGACCTGCTGGTGTCGACGCCCCAGCTGATGGTGAGGAAAAGAAGAAAGAAGCGATGACGACAACCCCTCTTGTTCAGTACATCAAGGACAAGAAAGCGAGCAAGTCAAAGGATGGATCAGGATCCAGGTCCAAGCACAGTCGGGCCGAAAAAGAGTCCAAGCAAGAGAAAGTGCAAGCTAAGAAACTGTTACAGCGGGGTGACAAGGAGAACATTGCAGCCTCTTCAGACAAAAAGGGCAAGGGTGAAAAGCCGAGCAGCAAGGAATCCGCAAAGGCAGCGAAGGCAAGCGCTACCAATGCGAAGGCAGGCAAGTCTAATGCAGCAGCCAACTCCACGAAAGAACCCACCAGTGCACCTGAAATGAAACGAGAGCGCGGAAACCCTACAGTGGCGACCAAGATCCTCCAACGCGATCTTGGATTATCGACTTCAGGCGGACGGCGACGCGGCAAAGGTGCTGCCGCCGAAGCTACGTCTTCCAAAAACGATTCCCCGCGAGAATCACCTGCCCCCACGAACGATGCGCCCAAGAAAGAACCCAAGTCCGCCAAGAACACACAGGCTACGTCTAATGCCGGAAAAGGAAAAGATAGCGAATCTTCTACAAAAGCCGATACAACCTCTGCGCCTGCAAACCCACCTGCCAAGTCTTCCAAGGGCAACAAATCCAAGGCTCAATCTACTGCGAAGCAGGCGTTCCTCAAACACGCCAACCCATCGCAAGGAGTGACCGAAGCCCTTCTCGAATCTGCATTTGGGTCATTCGGGGCAGTCACCAAGGTTGAAATCGACAAGAAGAAAGGATTTGGATACGTTGATTTCGCAGAGCCGGACGGGCTTCGAAAGGCCATCGCTGCCAGTCCTGTCTCTGTTGCGCAGAGTCAAGTGGTGGTGCTGGAGCGCAAGGAAAACCCCGGCAGTGAGAAATCTCGCAAAGGTCGCGAGGCCAATGCAAACAAGACCAAGGCGCCTGCTGAGCCATCCGCCCCTGCGAACGCTGGAGCTGGCAATGCAGGCTCAGGCAATACTGGAGGCAATACCGGATCCTCACGTGGATCCCGTGGAGGACGAGGCTCACGGAACAAAGGACCTAAGGGAGCTGCAGCTTCGGAGAAGACTGCGACTGAGGCAAAGTAAGGGCTTGCATGATTAGTGATTTAGCGTTTAGAAGTTCACGAGACATGATACCCGATTGGCAGATCTTTTTTATGGGAAGAGAGTGTGCTGCTAAGCACCCAGGCATAGATACTTAAGAATCAAACTGTCACTGAAACACAATTGCGATGATATGTCATATTTCGGTCTGGCATGGGTCTTGTAGGATCGAAGCTCTAAACTTTGCATGGACTATCCCCACATCGTCAAGTCCGATGAATACGTCGATTTGGCCATGCACCTGCGGGCACGTATATTATGAGTCTACGGGAGGCCCCCTCCAAGCGCTCGGCATTGCCGAGTCAATTGATGGGAGGGAAAAAAAGAGAGAGGACCTTTCAGACCTCCTCGACACCCACCAGGACCAGCCGACCGAAGTCAGACACCAAGACCAGGTCAAGATCATCACCACTCCCTGGACCGAAACACAGACACTGCGAACAGCACGCGTGACAGTCGAGGCGGAAGTAAAAAGGTTTCACTTTAGGGCACCGAGGACATGAAGTCATCAGCAAGGGTGGAGATTCTGTGGCTCTTTTAAAGAGCTTAGAAAGAGGACGTCTACTCTAAAGTGATTCTTTGAACTGTTGGGTTGGTCAGTAAATGTTTTCCTCTCAGTATGGGGGGGGGATTGAACATACGTAGAGTCGCTTGAAAAAGAGAAGAAGGTCCGGGGGGCAGGCTCTTTTTATATTCCCCTGGGACGCGCTAACACTAAGCGAGGAAGATGCATGTTGGCTCTGTTTGCTCTGTATATTTAGTTTGTCTTGCTTGGCAAGTGGGTCTTGGCTACCCGTAGCCAATCATGTGTTAGTCATTATTGCTAAATGGTCCCGATCCGCTGCAGAGATTTCAATGTTTATGGCTTTTGCGTTTTCATTACTTGATGTGTTGATTCTTTTTCCATTTCTATGTGTCAAAGAATGGTCAGTGCTTTTGTCTTTCAAGTCTACGAGTAATCGTGCCCAGGTGTTTCTACTCGTATGTAAAGTTCGCGGGAGATTGGTGCTCGGCAAGCCGACTCTCAACATTGCCGAATCTATAGATGCAACTTGATCCGTGGACAGCCAGCTTCCAAAGTTTAAAGTTAATACCTCTAGCTTCCAAGGTTGACATGATTAGAGCTCTAGAATAACTTTAGAAATAGGTCCCAAATTTAGAAGGTTCAGTCTATCTCTTCTTACCGTACGAAGTAGCCTGCAAAAACTTCATATCCTCCAGGGCTTGGCATCTATGGATCCTCGTTCTTGAACGGCACACCTGGGCATACGACTGAATTCTTGGATTCTAGGTTCGTAGCGAGCTGTTTCCATACAGCACAACCTCAAAGATTTGGAGGAATTTAGAAGCTCATCCGTGGTCCAGCCCTGGAGGGGCCGGATCTTCCACCTCCATGGCTAGAACTTTGCGGGAATATATACTTGCAAGTGTCTGCATACTTCAACTTTAGAACCACCACATCTAGGCAATCGTTGGCCCGTCAAAGCAGTATTACTGGGCAGCGAGTGGAAAAATTATAGGAAATGTAATGACTCACCTCAATTTCTTTCAGTGTTTGCTTTGCTGTTGTTGATCTATTGTTTTCTATCTAGCCTTGCAGGCGCTGCGAGTGACAGTTGGATGGTGTATGGCTCTAGAGCTCTTGTGTCATCCGCCCGTGGACCTGGGCAGGTCATTTTCGCGTCTGACCGATTGATTGTTCCTAAATACACTTCTACTAGGACATTAGGAGCTAGCACTCTATAGAGAAACGCGCTTTCTAAAGTTCCAAGACGCACGAGCGATCGTCTAAGCCATTTTCAAGTCACAGCACATGATGGGGCAAGTGGACGACGACGGCAATAATTCAGTTCAAGGGGAGATTAGGACTACCGAATTTGGGCTTATGGAGCAGCTTCAAGATCGTGAAGTCCGGCGGCGCAGTTTCTAGGGATTGTCGGACGAGGGGTTTTGTAGGTTGCACAGCCGAAAGGCCCAATCTGCCGTACGGAGTCGCGCGATAACGGTCTACACCCTGGAGATTGTCGGATGCAAAAGTTGACACTTTCCCCTCAAGATAAGCCCCAAAGCCACCCATTTACCTCGGGAGATACCCAGGCTAAACATCAGAACGCGGAATGTCGGAAGTGGTCGGGCCGCGCACCCATCAATGTTCATGCGGGGACCCCCAGACTTTTCAATTCCGCAAGCATGGCGCGCCCCAAGGTACACCCTGATAATCGACTACGAGCGAACACGGCATGTACAGCATGTCGAAAATCTAAAAAGCGATGTAGTGGACAGTTTCCCTGCAGTAACTGTCTGCATAAAGGCCTTGGCGGATCATGCATTCCCTTCAGGTCCCTGCCAGCCCGCAGCCGCCCAGCTGCTTCCCGACCTGCAGCTCCGAGATGGAGCGAACCAGAGATTGGTCTGCAAAGCCCCTTGAGATCTCAGACCCACGAGGTAGTGACACCGAATCAACGAGTCACCACGCCGGAGGCTGAATCGCATTCGCCTGAAGCTCCACATCGGACACATCCGCGCATGCTCCGCAACCGCCAGGGTGATCGAGGTATGTGGCTCTAAAGGTTATTCCGACGTATAGCACTTACTGAATGAGATCAGTATACGTCGGAAAAGCAGCCTCATTATCATTCCTACAATTGCTTCGGGATACGGTGACGCAGCATATTGGCCCCTCGCAGTTCTCCCAGCGGAGCGAGGACATGCTAGAAACGGAAGCGCACCATGATCAGCTAAACTTCTCAACAGAGTTGTGTCATGCAGATGAAAAGCGCCAGTTCATCCAGAATTATGAAGCGGCGGTAAGACAAGTGTCGACCGACAGTCAATCGCCGGAATGCTAACATACTGCAAGACCAGCGGCTTTTTCGACTTGGCATGCGAAGATGATTTGTTTACATCATTATCCAACCAAGGAGAACCGAAGTCCGATCGGGAAAAGACTCGAATAGCTATAGTTGATCTCATGGTCGCTATCGGAGCCCAAACGCTTCCGAACAGCCCCGAGTCTCTTCAAACAGAGAGATTTTATGTCGCCCGCGGGCAACAGAGAGCATTTTCCAATTTTCTTGAAGATCCTAGCATGGACCTGGTACGAGTCTTCCTACTATTGTCCTTCTACATGCTTGGGGCATGTCGCCGCAACGCGGCCTTCATGTATCTGGGTGTGGCATCACGAGCAGCAGTGGCCTTAGGGCTCCACGAGCGCACTCCTGGATCAACGAGTCGTGATGATAGTGATCAGCGGTATGTTGGCATCAAGCTTCAAGGAAAATCTTACTAATTACTTATAGACCAAAATTATGGACGAGCCTTTGTGTTCTCGACCTACTTGTTAGCGCGATTCTCGGCAGGCCGTCGGCAACTTCACCTCTTTTGTCAGGCCACCCAGAAGAGCCGATCTGGGGGGAGACGACACAGACTGAATCCGGCCTGGTGGCATCTTATCATCTATCACTGATTCTTGACGAGATTATAAGCAGTCTCTATGGAGAGAAGACTGCCTCAGCTGAGACGGCAGACGTTCTACTAGGTAAATTGAATAATTGGAGCGAATGCCTGCCCCATTCACTGAGGACTTCGTCCCTGGAACATGAGAGCGAAAGCATTGCCCAGAAACATACGCTTGGCAATATGCATGTTGCATGTTCATATCATTTTGCTGTGATTTTAGTCACTCGGCCTTTCCTCATATCGGCTTTGAGTGTGCGACTGGCCCAGTCCCACCACAATCTCTCAGCGACCGGACCCCTTGAAGCACCGGACGAGGATCCCGTTCACTCTCGGCTCGCAGCTGCATGCATTGATTCGGCTGTCTATATGCTACAGACATGTATAGAAGTCTATGATTCGGGTCTCATGCTTCGAAACATGTGTATTCTCAAGTCTGTGCCCCAATTCTTCCGCGGGAGACATCAGCGCTAACCTCAAAAATAGAGCATTTATATTTGCAGCAGCACTGGTCCTCGGATTCTCCATGTTCGCTCATCGTGATATAGATTCCGACATTGACGAAGCCTTTCGTGGTGCTATGACGATTTTACGCATGTTAGCACCACAGTCCGCCCAGGCGGCTCATTATCTAGACATAACGATCATGCTTGAAGCCGCTATAAATCAGCAGCGTCAACAACTTGCAGCCCAGGCCAGACAGCGGCGAAGCCAGTATGTCAGCCGGATCTTTAGCCTGAACGATAATCCTGCAGCTCCACGAAGACAAAGCGAAGCCCATGAACAGGCAAGCGGTACTACCCCACTGCTGACGCAAAGCATACCATCATATTCGTGGTTACAGTCGGACGACGGGATAGGTACTGTCTCACCACCCATCATCGACGGCACATTATTTGACTGGGAAGGTATGGATTTACCGCTGTGGGACAGTTTCCCATTTCTCACCGAGTCAGCTGTCATATAAGGAGCTACAACTCTGTACTCTGAACGACGCATATTTACACACAAGAGCCAAGAGCCAAGACAAATGAATATCAGTTCAAACTATCCTACAAAGAGTGGCCGCTAAATATGACCGAAATGTAATTTGATATCGCGCCGCCTAGATGGAAGACTTGATGACCGGAACCAGATACCCAGCTGGGTACAGATTCGAGGTATCCCAATATAGCTGATAGACCTCGCTCACATCAGTCTCTTTCAAACGGAACGAATCACTCAACACCCCGTCATCTGCTTGCCACATGAGATATGTGCCGTAGAACAAGAATGAGCCTGCAACCGCATCCTCAGGCACGTCATTGTTGTTGCCAGTGAATCCTACTGGAAGGACCTCATCGGCCGTGGGGCGGATATAGAAAAATGTTTCGTCATCAAATGTGTAGTCTTTGTTGGTGGCCGTGGCAGAGATTTGCGTGTTATTGAAGATACCTTTTCCTCGATTAGCAAACTGACGCGTACAAACAGAGTATACTCATACATGTAATGTCAGTAGTCACCGACCCAGACTCCCATTTTGAAGCATCACCCACATAAGCAAGTCCTAGATACGCCGTTAGATAGAAGAATCAAAAGATGAAGCGATGAAGCTACCGTCAGAGTAGAACACGTTCAGGGGACTGGATGCGATGCCATAGGCAAGGATCGAGAACGATCCACTCGGGTAGCGCTTCTGGAGCACTGAATGGGGAACAGCCAGGGCTTGCGAAGCCAAGGCCAGAGCAGCCAGGAAGCTGAACCTCATTTCTCAAGATCTGAAGAAACTTTGTCAAAAAGCTTTTTGGCAGCCTGGGCCTGGGATGTAGTTATATGCTACGGAGTACAATCTGACAATTGCACGTGTGGGTGACAGGGACAGGGACCAGGATGACGCGGCCGGGCTTGGCTACTCGATGGCTGAAACTGGCCCCCAACTAATGATATACACTAGGCAGTACGGATTTGACTCGGCTTGCGACCGAGGCTTTATTGGAATGAGGTTATGTGGACGTCAAATCATGATGTGGATTTGGTGGCTGGTATTGAAGTGCCTACGGAGTACGAGCTAAGAGGCTTGCTGGTGGGGTCGGAGAAGCGATTGGTCCACGGTAGCGTCCTGCAGCAGATGTAGACTATTGTCTCATGCTTGAACTGGATTGGTTGAGGAATTAAGATTAAAACCGACTAAATTTGTGCAGTCGAGGCTAAGGAGTGGATTCTACTCGTATAGGACTGTTCCCATTCTGCATGCTGCCTCCTTTAATTTAGTTCATTCAATCCATGTATTTCACATGATCACATTATCAAAAAGATAGCTCAGTTGTAGATGCCTATAGGGTGGTGCGACTAGGTAGGACGAGGTCACTTTGAAAGGCAGCATGTTCTTTTGCTCCAGCCTGCCACCAATACTTGCACTTAGACACCCAGTAAAAACCAAATATCAACCGAATCGAATCCAAATTTACCATGGATACCATCTCAATAGACATGAAAGATTTGCACAAAGGCTAGTGAAAAAGCGACATAGCCAAATTGTTTTACCTCCCGCAATACTTTGCCCATTAAGGAACCAAACCGTATCCCAAAGCTCAACACATCCGCCGCTCTACGAAGTAGAAATCCGCATCTAAGCCCAAAGTTTGATGTAGGCCCCAGGTGATAACCACCTTCCAATACAGCAACTGATGTCCCCATTGCCCAACCGACCCTGTCCAGAATTCTCGGTTAGATCCGGATAAGAGCGAGGTTGATCCTGGACCAACACCGCCATAGCGATAGAGCGTCATACTACAAGAGATAAGCCAAGGCCAAACTTCCTGATTTTACCACATGCCTTAGCTCGTCAGCGGATGACGATAAGCGGAAGTGAGTTCAAACACCCAAACACTGGCGGATGAGTGCGCGGCCCGCCAGCCGACAGGTGCACTATCCGCCTCCATAGATCGAAAGGAAAATACGAGAGATAAGGCAAACCCGTTATAAGAGGATGCATCTCGCATTAGTTCGATACTCTCACATCTGCAACTAAACCTGGGGTCTGCATCTTCTACATCAAACATCAAACATGTCTTGGAGAAGCCTTAATGTCGGTGTTGTCGGTGGTGGTATTGGAGGCATGTCCGTTGCACTTGCCCTCCGCCGCGCTGGACACGAAGTGACCATCTACGAGAAGTCGGACTTTGCTGGTGAAGTGGGTGCTTCGGTATCTTGTGCTGCTAATGGAACCCGATGGCTTCATGAGTGGAAGGTTGATATCGCCAAGGGCGATCCTGTGGTGTTGAAGAAACTTATCAACCGAGACTGGAAGACAGGCGAGCCTGTCAGTGTATACGACTTGGCAGACTATGAGAAGCGATGGGGATATGTTTATAACATGTTCCATCGGCAGTATATGCACACCATGCTGAAGGATTCAGCAATGGGCGAGGGCGATGGACTTCCCGCGACACTCAAAGTCAACCACAAAGTGAGCGCACCTAAGGTACGATGAGAACCACATACTGACAATTTTCCCACAGTGTCGCGATATTGACCTTGAAAACGGCACAATTACTTTCGAAAACGGAGTCACAGCACAGCACGATCTCATCGTCGGCGCCGACGGTATCGGATCAGCCGTCCGAGGAATCATCGGCATCACACCTGCAAAGCGACCCTCCGATCAGAGCTGTCTACACACAAACGTCAAGTCCGAAGACGCCATCAGACTCGGTCTAGTCAACTATGCTGCCAACGACGCACTCGAGTACTGGGGAGGTCAAGAAGGGAAATGGGACAAGATCGTGCTGTCCCCTTGCAACGGCGGAAAGCTCCTCTCATACTACTGCTTCTTCCCCCGAGACCAAGGCGACTATTCAACACAAGCATGGGGAGCCCAAGATCGCCCTGTCGAGGAACTCCTCAACCCATACCCACAACTGGATAGACAAGTCTTTGAGCACTTGAAGATCGGAACGGAGATCAAGCCTTGGCGTCTCTGGGTTCATGAACCGTATCCGTATCTCCAGCGCGGTAACACTTGTCTGCTTGGCGATGCGGGACACCCAATGATGCCCCATCAGAGCCAAGGTGCTTGCATGGCTATTGAAGATGCCGCTGCACTGGGGATCTTGTTCAACAAAGACTATTTCCACGGTGATATTGCTCAAGCCCTTGCCGTGTATGAGGAGGTGCGTCTGCCTCGCGTGACGAGAGTGCAGAGCGCAGCAGCGAAGGCAGCGTATAATATCAACGAGCGAATCGGTGAGTTGAAAAATTTGTCGGAAAGTAACCCCGCAAAACAAAAACTAACTCAGTCCAAGGCTTCTCTGTTAACAAGGATATCCCCACGTACCAAGTCGAGGATGTTAAGAAGGTTCTTACTATTGAAGAGATGAATGCGTGAGTTCGCCTGGGTTACACGGACTTGTCAGATGACGCTAATACCCTTTCCAGTTATGACATGTACCGAGACATTGAAGAGAAGCTCGCTGCAAAGCGCGGGGCAGCTTGGGCCGAGAAATTTGTTTGCGGATTGCCTCTTGGTCTCGAGTTACCGAATGGGGTCACAGTCAGTGCGCTAGGTGCCGTCGGTGCTTGATAGACTAGAAAGACTGGGATAGTGACTGGGAAGCGTTCTTATTTGTATATTCTTAGTTCAGTACATACTGTATGCATACTTACATTTTACGGCGGAGAAATCTGGTTGAAACACTGCTTTGCTCCACTCTGAATCGATCAATCAATTGACTCACAAAGTTGGTATATTGTGCTCAGTTCTCAACATGGCTTTGGTAAGTATTTGGCGGAGATCGTCTTGCTCGGTGTCTAGAACACCATGATCCCAAGGAACATGTATACTTGATTTTCTCTCTTTGGGCGTACACTTGAAAATTCTAAAGTCAGAATGAAAGCCTATCTAAGCGATATAAGACCAAGCAATCTTAGCGTGGGTTTCGGCTTGGCCCGGATGGGTCTGTCTATGTGTACAAGTGCAAGCGGCAAGGCTTGAGCACTAAATGGAACGGCAGTGGTAACCATGTACGTAGGTCTTGTAAGATAGATTTCAACTAGAAGCTACGAAGTATCTTTATCAAAACGCCCCGCGGTCAATGTCAATCAATTTGAAATAGAGATAACCCGAGTTGCCGAGTTTGACCCCGGACTTGCTTTAGTGTCAGACTCGGGGGTGGATAGGCCGAGCGGGATGCTTTGACCCGAGGGTGTCAGGTACTCCTATCAAGTATATGGGCCTGAAGCTCTGTAAGCAACCCATACGGGGGCTATTCCCAAGTTTGATTACTATACAATGCTTTACAGTAAGAAGAAATAAGTACAATAGAACAGGGTTCCTAAATTCATACTATGTACAAGATGAAACTTCCAATCATGTATCATCAAATCATTGGCTTAGATATCCAAACTTAGTAAATGTTTTTTTGTTGGCTTTGTGGATGTTTTTTTTTCTTCTTTTCTTGGTGAGATGCTTAGAACAAAGCATCGCCAAGACGGTAGTGGACGGTCTTGACCTGGGTGTAGTTCTCCAGGGCGTAAGAGCCGAGCTCACGGCCAAGACCGGACTCCTTGAAGCCACCGAAGGGAGCCTGGTAGGAGATCATGTTGTAGCTGTTAACCCAAACGGTACCGGCCTTGATGGCGTTGGAGACACGGATGGCAGTGTTGATGTTCTTGGTGTGGATACCGGCAGCAAGACCTGGAGAATGTTAGAATAGAAAATTTCTTTAAGGTGTAGATGAAACATACCGTAGTTGGTGCTGTTACCAATGCGGATAGCGTCGGCCTCATCCTTGAACTTGGTGACGGCAATGACGGGACCGAAGATCTCCTCCTGGGCGATCTTCATGTCGGGAGTAACATCAGTGAAGACGGTAGGCTGGATGAAGTAACCCTGGTCACCGTGGCGCTCACCACCGAGAGCGACGGTGGCACCCTCCTTCTTTCCGTGGTTGATGTACTCCATAATACGGTCGAATTGGAGCTGGGAGACCTGGGGACCCTGGAAGGTGTCGCCCTCGAAGGGGTTACCGAGCTTGTTCTGAGCGGCACGCTCCTTGAAGCGGGCGACGAACTTGTCGTGGATGCTCTCCTGAACCAGCAGGCGAGAACCGGCACAGCAGCACTGACCGTGGTTGAAGAAGAGACCGAAGTTGGCCCAAGAGATGGCGTTGTCGATATCGGCATCCTCGAAGACAATGTTGGGGGACTTGCCACCGAGCTCAAGAGTAACCTTCTTCAGGTTGGACTTGGCAGCGGCCTGGAGGATCATACGACCGATCAGGGTAGAACCAGTGAAGGCGACCTTGTCGATGTCCATGTGGCTGGAGATGGCGGCACCAGCGGTGCGTCCGAAACCGGAGATGACGTTGACGACACCGGGAGGGAAGCCAGCCTCAACAATGAGCTTAGCGGCGTAGAGACCGGAGAGAGGGGTCTGCTCAGCAGTCTTGATGATAACAGTGTTACCAGCGGCAACGGCAGGACCGATCTTCCAAGCCCACATAAGGATGGGGAAGTTCCAGGGGATAATCTGACCGCAGACACCGACAGGCTCGTGGCGGGTGTAAGAGAGGGTCTCGGGGTTGGTGTCAATGGTCTGACCAGTGATCTTATCAGCCCAGCCACCGTAGTAGCGCAGGCAGCCGGCAGCGTTGGCAATGTCGACCTTGGCCATGGTGACGGCCTTTCCGTTGTCGAGAGCCTCAATGGCGGCAATGGTGTCCATATCACGCTCGAAGAGGTCGGCCAGCTTAGTGAGCATGCGGCCACGGTCGGAGGGGATCACCTGCTTCCAGGCACCCTCAAAGGCCTCGCGGGCAGCCTTGACGGCAATGTCGACATCCTTCTCGGTGGCCTCGTGGACGGAGGTGATGGACTCTTCGGTGGTGGGGTTGATGGTCTCGAAGGTCTTGCCCTCGACACCCTTGATGAACTCGTTGTTAATGAACCTGGAGAATGTTAGCTATGATATCATGTAATTTGCCAGGTGGCGAGCACATACAAGCCGAGGGGCTGCTCATAGGAGAGATGAGGCGTCTTAATGGTGGTAGAAAGAGACATTGTTGCAGGGGTATCACAAATAGAATATGTGAAGAAGAAAGGAGTGAGGGTCCAAGGTTTTATATATGTCCTTAGCTCTTAAACCTGTCTTTTTTTTCTTAGACCTTCGATGCGGGGTACGAGTACCGCGGTGGATCGAAAGCTATGTTTCAGTCACTTACGCCACACTACTGGTAGCTCCGCGTATTTATTGTTTCGTCTGGTATTGCGGGTACATGCGGTTCCGCATAAAAGTCCCCGAGTTCCATTACCCTCGGCCCTATTCGATACATTTTCCAGACTATGTGATTCGTGTTCACTTGTCTCCTGTATGAGCAATCAGGTCAATCTGCGGTGAAGAAGAGCTTGGCATGACTCGGCTTACTACCGAGGGGTAGGTCAACACACACGGTTGGGGGTACGATCTACGAGTCTATTCGTAATTCCCAAAGTAGTATCAGTAACAAACAGGCCTTGACGCGGAGCCAATCTGAGAAGTACTCCGTACATGCTGGCGGTAAGGTTGCCTAGACCGGGCAAGCCTGTAACATTATTTCGGGCTAAAGGGGAGGGGCAATGTGATCACCGTGATGTTATGGCGGACCAATGTCCCCCCGAGACCAGAGTGGAGAACTGCAAGCCGTTCAAGGTAAATGGTGCCAAGAGCTTAGTTTATAGTATGTACTTGTATGTAACAGAGGCTCTACTCGTACGAGTACTAGTACGGAGTACTCCATAGTGACTGTTTAACTAATCGGCCGAGAATGCCCAGGTGCCCAGGTGAATACCATACGTGAAATCAAGAGGTTCTGGAGTCCCCATGGTGAAGTTCGTTACTGACACAAAGTACAATATGCATTGTCCTGCATACACCCGTATTTGTAATGCATATACTTCATGTATTGAGGGGGTCAGATCGTCCAATAGGGTGCTTCCAATGCTTACTGCTCGGAATCTTCCAAAGTTCCAAGGTTCCCAACTCCTGCGTATCTGAATTTTGGAGCAAGTAAAAGCATGAATGTCGTATACTAGTACGAGTACATACTAATACTTCTCGTTGGGGTCGGATCTTCTGCGGAAACCCACTACAACTTTCCGCGGTTTAAGAACCGCACGGGAAGATCAACGTGCCGCGCCCGCAGATATTCCGCCACATTCTTCCCTAAAAAGTCAACGGTGGTCGTAACGCCCACTCCACGATCCAATAGGTTGCGGAAGAGGAAATGCACTCCATGTAAGCTGGGCAGTTCGAACCGCTCAATGGCCAACTGTGGGTTTTGCCGCCCGGTATCCCCTAGCAACTCCTGCGCCGTCGCAATAGACAGCAGCGCCCGCAGCCATTGGTACTCGTCACGGTGCCGTACCCAGAACCCGCAGTTGGCATCGGCTCCCTTGTCTCCCGACCGGGCATGGACTATCCAGCCTAACGGACCACGGGTTGTGGGACCGAAGTCGTGAGCTAGGTCAATAGGGCTATCCACGTGGGTGGAGGGCTGTGAGGGTTGTCGGGATGGATATGTCTTGGTCTGGGGAGGCGGTGTAATATCTACTGTCTGCGCGCCCGCTGGCTTCCAGGGCATGTGTACACGGTGCTGTACAGCAGACTGGGGGATCAAGCTAACATAGTACTCGAACAACGCCCGTGGGACGCCCTGGCGGATATCCAGATGAACGGTCGCACCGGGATACCCCTGCATGATATTATCGAAAATCGGTTTCATGAAGCGCGTGGGGGCAAGGTCCTCTTCCCTTCGTGCTTGTGCGACGATACGCAGTGGAACGGTGGCTCGGTTTTGATCCCGAGCGTCAGAGGCAGACGTGCCAAGCAGGTCGAAGTTGAGAGACGTGAATCGGTCGGAGAATGGAGACAATGATCGACGGATCTGTGCTTCCATCATGCGTGCCTTGGCCTCAATGTCAAGGCCGACCAAGAACCACCACGCCTCTGCCTGGAACCCCCCTCTCGCAGTGATACCTACCTTGGTGGTAGGTGGAGGAGGGCCAGATTGGACCCCGTGGACAGCAACACGGTTAGCACCTTGCTGCGAGAAGTGGACCCCGTCGAGAACCGCAGTGACGTCTGAGTTGTAATACCAGGGTCCTTGAATCTCATACAGCAGTTGTGACGTGCAGGTATCAACGGTCACCGCACCGCCAGTTGCATGCGCCTGCTTGGTGATCACCACCTGGCCTTCGGCAGATATCTCGGCGATGGGATATCCAATGTTTGCCCAACCCTCGCCGGTATGCTCCAGCTCTTTGAAACCTGTGAAGTTCCCGCCGCAGACATAGTTGCTACACTCAATGAGATGACCCGCCACAAAGGCGTTGGCGAGCTTATCGAGCTCATCGCGTCCCCAGCCATGATACCAATAAGCAGCTCCAATAACAGGCGAGGCATCTGATACCCGGCCGCAGAGTACAATATCTGCACCATCTGCTAATGCGGCTGCGATTCCAAGTCCACCAAGGTAGCACTGGGCATAGATAGGCTCGAAAGACCAATCTGCCAATCGCTCGCCAGTGTAGACATTATGGAATTCAGTCCCAGAGGCCAATCCCTTTTGCACGGTTGAAAGCACTTCGTCCCCAGAAACCCACGCAACCTTATGCCAGTTAATCAATACATACAGTCACTGCGGACCGGAGATCAGACTCACCTTCAAATTGAGTTTCTTTGCTTGAACCATACGCGTCACCACCTGGTAGAGACCTTCTGTGTCTGTCACACCAGCATTTACAGCCAGTTTGATCCCATGCTTAGCCAGATCATCAAGGGCTGGTTCCAGAGCTTCCAGGAAAGAAAGTTCATAAGCGGGAGCTGTTCCCCCTGTCGCCTGGTCCACGCGGCGCCCCGCAGAGGTCGCCATGTTGAATTCACTCATGAAGTCCGCAATAATGACATCGATAGGGTCCGTTGGGTGGTTACGCGCAAACTCCGCCATAGCCTGACGCCGGTCTGAGGCAGAGCCCGAGGCACCTGAGATGGTCAGCTAGGGCATCAATAATGTGCCGATAGATATTGATACCTGCAATGCGAATGGGGCGTGTTTGATTAGCCATTTTACGTTACTTTCAGAATATTTTAGGGTTGGCATATAATTTTTAAAGTCCTAGAGAAAATGAAGCCTAAGTTCTATAGAAAAATATCAAGAATATCAGAAGGCATGCGGCCGAGGTTGGGGTCGGCCGAGGAATGCGGGGTTGATACAGGCATAAGTAACGAACCGAGAAGAGACATTAATATTATGCCCAGGTACCTTGATGTCATTTTCACACTGAGATCCGGGGGCCATACGAGTAGGCCTTGCAATACCGGCTGCGTGGGTCTCTGAACGCGTACTATCGATTCCAAGGTTGGGGGGCCTCAAATTTAAGAAACCTTTTTTGGAGGTGCAGATGTATACTAGCTACGCCAATGTCAATACTTAGGTATCCATGGATGATAATTGGTATGGATACTGGAGAAAAATTCCTGAATCCAAAGAAGCCCCTGAGGCTTTCCAAAGTTTTGTAAGAAGGACATAGCCTCACTCGTCGCCAAAATAGTGCCGCTTATTTACCTTAGAGTAACATTAGCACAAAGGGTGACTACCGTCTCTCAGCACCTGATGCCTGTGCGAGTGCGATAGCAGCTACTGCATTCACACCCGTAGAAACGTTCACCAGAACCTTGAAAGCCCCTCCCCAGAGATTCATTGGGCTTCGCCATATAGATCGCAGTCGAGGTGTGGTGGGACAAACCCAAATCCCACCCCCTCCATGTAGACACCGTGTGATCCAGTACGACCCTTCGTGATGATAGGCGAGTATATGCGGAATGTACGGAGTACGTTTGCCCAGGTGCATGCGTGGTGTTAAGGCGGGCACACCCGTGTTGGATGTTGGGAGTGCCTTTAGAACCCTACAGGGCTCATAGAAGTGATCAATAGGGTTATAATTTAAGTGAAACTGCATATAGCAATGCTCTTGATGGCTGCTGTATTCCTAACCATAGGTTTTCAAGCAAACATGGTCGACAAAGATGTATCTGACGACCGTAACGCTAGTGTGAAATGCTCGACAAATCCCCCCAAACTCCATAGATGCATAAATAAATCATCTGCGTCGCCTCGAATTGAAAGTAGGCATTTCTTCAAAGGCATCATCATCAGAATCTTCCTCAACGCCGTCACTGATGATACTTGTATTCCGAGTGGAACGGCTGGGTCGGGATGACTGAGGCGCACTGGCTTGGGACCCGGCGAAACTGAGCGTAGACTGAGATTTGCCCCCTCGCGCAGCAGCTCGGCGTGGAGCCGTCCCACCAGCAGTGACCGACGAAGGAGCTGGTGAGGCGGCAGCCTGTCCACGACGTTGAGTAGCAGGGGCAGGGGCAGCAGTCTTTCGTGTCTTCGCTGCAGCAGTGGCGCGGGGCTGCTTCACAAACAATGCTTGTGAATCGTCATCGTCATCATCGGAGATGACTTGGGCTCCAGCATCATCATCATCATCATCCTCCAGCATGATGACGTCTGATTCTTCATCAGAGACAACCTGCTTCTTACGACCCTTCGTAGCCTTCTCTGCCGGTGCAGCTTTAGCCTTGGTGGGTCGCGCACTAGCTGCAGCACCGCGGCCCCGGCCCCGGCCTCTACCGCGGCCCCGAGTGGCGGGTGCGGCACGACCAGTCGTGGGAGATTCTCCATCTTCTCCAGCTTCTTCCTCCGCTTTATCTCCACCTTCATTGTCAGAATGGATCAATGCACCGGGCTGGTCCTCCCATGCTCCATCAAATTCAGAGTCCCAGCCATCTGGCTTGGGCTTGAATCGCTTCTTTCCACGGGTGCGCCTCTTCACGCCCTTGGAGAACATGTCTTCCATCTGACCGCGGTATTTTTCCATAGCATTTGACAAGGAGCTCTGTTCTCCCTCTTCCTCGTCCATTTCATCGTCTTCTCGGTCCAGCGATAACAGATGTTTGACTTGATTTTCGAGGGATTCATTGACGAACATCTCCATCGCGTGCTTGTCATCCTTGTCAATGAATTGAGCGACTGCATCACCGAAAGAGTTTTGCGGCAGGATGCTAAGCGATTGCGATGATAGGAACTCGCGGACGAGCTGTTCGACTTTCACCGTGTCCAGGGCCGAGAGATGAGACACAGCTGTCTCTTCCTCGACCGATGCAGCTCCTGCGCGCGTACCTGCCGTCTTTTTCTTGCGGTAGAACTGAACCACATCGTTGACGTTTGCGACCTTCCCCACAAAACGATTGGAGAATCGCTGTGGGTTCTCGCACTCATAGGCTCCTCCCTCAGGGGTGGAAGTCTCCACACGAAGGCGTACAAGTGGAAGAGGAATCTCAGGTGCCTCGTCATCATTGTCACCGTTAGACTCACCCTGCATCTCCAGCCATTCCGCGTTGGCCTCTTCAATAAGCTCCTCAACGATGGTCATCAGGAATCGGGTTACTTCTGTCCGGTTGTTTTCTTTACGAGCAAGCTTTTGAGCGCCCTTTTCTTCTGCAAGGACAATCTCGCGCATGACAAACGGCCGCACAGTTTTCAGTCGAATAGGCTCATTCTTGAACTCCCGACCAGTGACACTCAGAATTGAGACCTGCTTTGCTACAGCCTCTCCCGGGACTAGCGAAGTCGCGACCGACGATCCTGGCTGCATTACATGGAACTTCGTTTCTGGGTTGAGCTTGGGGTCAATCAAACATTCATGCTCATGACCCCACACAACCAGATCAAGGAACTCCGGCAGGAAGTTCTCCGGCAGGTAGCTAGTTTCCGTATGCGCGTGGTGATTTTGATGTACAGACATTAGGTTGAACCAATCGGACTTCTGAACTGACGGCTGGAAGAATTTGACCTTGCCATCACGAAAGGTGCGATACAGTCGTTCGTCGCGAACATTACTCATTCCGTAAAGTGCGAGCTTTGTGCGACCTTTTTGTAACAAGACGGGCTTGATCTGGATGTTGTCTGACTCTGGGGTCCGGCCATAGTAGTTGAGTAGACCAGATACCTGCAGGAGATCGAGTGCGGCCAGATGACCCTCCCCAGACGGATCATCATGGTTACCGTGGATAGAGAAGATGGGAATCGCCACGTTCATATCCAGATCCTCATAGTTGACATGGTTGAATGCGCCCTGAAAGTTCTCACTCGCATCACTGAGCATCTCTAGCTCGCACGGCTTGTCTCCGAAGCAATTCATCCGAATCGACCGCATCACTTGGTACATGGATTTCCGTGAGGGTTTGTTTTCATGGAACAGGTCTCCAGCCAGTAGCACCATATCGACATCTCGCTCCTTGGCCAGGCACATTATTTCGTGGAAGCTCTTCCAGCTGTCATCCCCACGAATGGGATCTCGCTCGTTGTAGCCGACATGATTATCTGTGGATATGAGGATACGGATAGTCTCCGCCTCTTGAAGAACTTAGCGCAAGTCGATTGGAATGCAGGTTTCAAGGTTCTTACCATTTGCTCTAGGCATGTTGGTAGACCGAGCGCCGTATATCGTATGCGATAAAGGTGTGCCGGTTCAGCGGTATTGACAAGACGTTGAGAAGATTGGTGATGACGGGCCGACCATAGCAGATCAGTCACCTCCGAATGGTAAGGTCACATAAATTGATAAATTGTGTTTGGCCGCGGAGTGACGCCTAGTTGATTAACGCCCGTCGCGCGCTGTCACGTGCTGGACGCGTTCCCGATAGCGGCCATTCGGAAACAAATCGATTATAGAGGGAGACTTGCAGACCCGAGAGATCTAAGTGTATTAAAGTGAATTTGGATTCAAATCAGTTAGGCAGATGAAGAGAGATGTCGATCGGAGGTGCAGGGACAGAGAAAAACCCGGGCGACAATGAGCCGCAATGAGCCATGATGAGCCATATCGGAATTTGCGGGATGGCCACCCCGAGTCGCCTCTGATCGTCTCCGAATCTTTCTCTTCTTCTCTTTTGTTCTTCAACGACACCCTCTTCTTCCCCTTATTGTCTCTTTCATTTGCTACCTAGACTGACCCAGACCTTACTGGCTCAGTCGCTATCGATACCTCTCCCCCTCAAGATCTTTTTATGCAACCAGAGCCAACTCCCGTGTCTCAACATACGCCCCCCGTTGACTCATCCCCAATCAATCGCTGCTCCACCCAGCATGGACATGACCTCGATGACGCTGAAGTCTCTGGCTTCCCCCGAAAGGAGGCCAGTGACCCAGACGTCTCGAGCATGCCAAGTCAAAACAACCTCCTCCCGTCCGTGAACGACGACCGTTCAGCCCCACCATCCGTTCAAGTGAACCAGCATGTGAATGCTGGGTCTCCCCCAAGAAAACCTGTTAACATTGCACCCCGTGTGGCATTTGCTGAATCGTCAGAGACAATCCTTGAGGCTTTCCCAAATGGTATATACTTCTCCAACTGCCCCCGGCGCGGTCCTTGCGCTAATCACCGAAATCTCCAGAGGTCCTCACCCACATATTGTCGCACTTATCTCCTGAGTCCTTGTCTGCGATCACTTTGGTGTCGCGTCGATTCCATGCGCTAGTAACGACACCGCATGCATGGAGAGTCGCTTTCTCTCGCTTCTTCCCCGGACCTCGAACCGTCGAAGACGGTCGGCGCACCACGGTGAATGAGGCAGACGTGCAGTCAGACAGGCGCTTTTTCACTAGGCTGACTGCGTTGGCATCATGGCGTAGCGAGTACATCTTACGTACCCGTCTGATGCGATCGCTTTCTCGGGGTAAGCCCGCGCAATTCGATCCCACCAGGACTGGTCATGTCCGTTCAGTGCGCGCTCGCCATGGAAGTGCAGTTGCGACATATACCTCACAGTTGCAGTACCCAGTCAGCCACATTCATGCGACATTCAACCCCGAGAAGGATCCTCTCTTCATCCACGGAGCTGCAGAGCAGGGTATTGCGTCTGCAAGTGACCCCTCGACCGTCAAAGTTGGCACCTGGGGCATTTCAGACCACCAAATGTTCCGTCATTTTGCCGATCTCTTTCCCGGGGAGGCACAGCATGGACTCGGATCTGGTGATTTGGTTGGCATGCCCAATCTGATGGATGTCAGCCAACCATATGGTATGATATATGGCGAGGGATGTCCTCAAGGACGTAGCTACTTCATCTCAACGACGGAGCAGCGTGGCCGCTTTCTGGGAGCGTCGGAGCTGGGCTCTCACCCACCACTTGGCATTCCAGCTGTGAACCTCATCACGCAGGCTACCTGTTCGGTGTGGATCGCCAAGTCCTCTCATATCTTGAAGATGACCCAGGGACTTATCGGTATGATGTCTGGTTCCTCTTCGGGTGTGTTGACAGCCTATTCCATTGGGCCTCATCCTGTATACGATAGACGGTACGCGCCGGGTCAGGTCACTGCCAGATGGGTTCTGTGCCCGGGCGTGCCTATCATCGGCATTGCCGTGGATGATCAATTTTCACCCAAACGGCATTCAGATCGCCGCATCTGGGCTGTTGCTCTGAATGCTCTCGGTGAAATCTTCCATCTGACCGAGGTCCCTCGAGCACCAGAGATCCCACTCACGGCAAAACTAAATGCTGAGCAGCTTGATGAGATCGCTTGGACGACCGGTAGGACTGTATACTGGGAGATGGTCGAATCCAGCAGGCGCGTGGCCCGCCCTGATCCATTCAATCGCGAATTGGTAGACGGCAGCTACAGTCCACGGTCGTCTTCCAACTCCATGGGCCTTAGTGAAAACCAGATCGCTGCTGAAACCAAGGAGATCGAGAAGTTCATCTCATTCAAACCCAAGTATTTCCGCAAGGCCTGTGAGAGTTGGGACATGGAGCGCGATCTCAAGGTTGACTTTGCGGGTGGTGATGGTCGCGAGGCCGGCGAGTCGATTATTGTAATCGCACGTGGCTCGAGCGAGGACAAGAAGGCATCGATTCGTCGCTTCACGCGGATCTCATCTCAGTCTGAATTGCGTTCTTCAAGTACACCAGACTCGCCCATTAAAGCCACCGAACCCCCCAAATCACTCTTTGGTGGCCCTGTCGATGTTCCAACCCCGACCTTACCCACCAGTCTTCCGCCCTCTCGAGCCTCAGCTTGGTCAAAGGAGAAATCGACTCAGTTTGAGTGGCGAATTTCGGATCTTGATTTTGGCGATCGGAAGTCCGTGGAAGTCACCACGAGCGCGCTTGATGTCTCTACCTTCGCTACACTCACAGTACAAGAGGACCCCCTCTTGGCAATGTCCGGAAGCTCTTATTCTTCCGCATCATCGTCTCCTATGCTGCCACACATGGATCAGCCACGGTCAGCCCTCGAAGTCCCTGGGCAACGTGCTCGATACTTAGCGGTAGGAACTAGCATGGGATCTGTATACGTTTGGGACATCCGAGCGCCGGCGGCACAGTCAGCCGATGTCGTTAAATGCATATCTCCACTGCGCATCATTCATACGGAATCGCCTAGGGTATCTTGCCTGGGTATTACCTCCTTGTACTTAGTACACGGTGGCAATGATGGCCTTGTTCAAGCCTGGGACCCACTGGCATCTTCTACTAAGCCCATTCGCACGATCAGCTCACGTTTCTCCCAACGTGCCCGTCGCCAGCTCATTCAGGCAGAAGCATCTGTACTGGGAGTTGGCAACAATTACTATGCTACAGGTGCTATCTGTCTCGACACAGACCCGACAGTTCTTCGCGGCATGGTGTCACTGGGTACGCACTTGCGCTATTGGTCATACAGCTCCTCCGGGGCTGATAAGTACAAGACTAGCAAGCGTCGCCTGCGTCGCCTAATGCGTACAGGCAATGGAGGTGGAGAAGGCCAGCGATTCAACAACAGCGGCCGGGGCGCAATCGATGACTTCATTGAAGATGAACGAGTCGAGATGCAGCGTCAGAAAATTGCAGATGAGAAAGAACGAGCACACCTGAGCGCACGGTTTGGAGTTGATCTTCTGGGCTCGGATATTGATGAAGAACAGCTCCTCGCATATGCGCAACTGCTCAGCGAGGAGGCCTTTTCAAGTGATGTTGCAAAAACCAATGACAGCGCAGCGGTATCTAGCTCAGTCACCAGTGCTTCATTTGACACCGTTGGACCTAGTTCTTTTGGTCACGGTGAGATCTCATCTTCATCGTCGCCCTGCCAAGAGCCCGCAGATGAGACTGTTGACGACGAACTTGCCGAGGCAATTCGCCTTAGCCTGCTTGATGAGCAGCATGCGTCCTATGACGCAACGCCATCTATTCCCATTAAGTACGCCAAGGGGGTGCAACGCCGTGACTTGTCGCCGGACGCACATAAGGCTGAGGGAAGCGGACAGCAAGAAATGGATGATCTTGAGTTCGCCATTCAACTGAGCTTGGCCGAGGGCAAGAGTCGGGAGGAGGAGCAGGAATGGGAACAGTTCCCAGCTCTTGCGCCTTCCTCGCCGGCAGGGAAGGGCAAAGGGAAAGCGAGGGCATAGATAGTAGTGTTGCATTATGTATGTTGTTTTGATATCTATCTGTTATTTTTTGTTTGAGTTTGTTCCTGAATTTCCGTCCGAATTCTAATGATTACCATGTATGCAAAGCCATGACATAATATCCGATGAGATGCCCACGGGTACTCTGCTATAAGCTACCATCTGTATCACAAAGAATCCGAAAAGCCTCTCAGAAAGTTGTGGGCTCAAAATTCCGCTCTTGATTGGTTCCACGATAGTCTGGCCGAGAGTCATAGATGATATGTATAGACCTAGGCATTTGACGGAGCCAATGGGTCACCAGTCATGAGTATCTTCATCGGTTTTGGCATTGAGATTTGGTTTCAAGGGCCTTGGAATCCGGAGAAGCCTCAGGGAAGAATGTGACTGTTCAGATTGATGGAACGATGGTTGCTGTGAACCACACTTTGGTGGACGATCGTTTGGATCCCCAACACTGCATGAAGGAGTTTCTCTTGAAGTGATAAGAATCATCCCTCTTTCACCTCAAACGGTGGCAAATGCGGCAATAAGGCTTCCCCTAGTCGCATTGGTTATTGCTAGCTCTGGTGTGCTCTTCTGGGGTCTCTGGGCCCCGTCTTTCATAGGGTTGGGTTTGCACCGCCCTTTTCGACTGGGCGAAAACACACACGTTGTTTATTCTGCATATTTTATCACAACGCTCTAGACCTAAAGAAACAACTTAGAAGACACCGAACCTCGCCTTTTCGGCATTGCAAACAAGCACTGCGATGATCGTGTCAGCGCTGCAAACATGGAGCGACTGAGGGTAGACCTTTCTGCACTTACATCGATGCACGATGTAAGTTTGTTGAATTGCTAGTCAATAACGCCATGGATCGTGCCCATATATTCAAACATTGGAATAGAGAAACCGAGAAACCGGGAAAAGAAATGAGCCCAAGGTCGACTCAAAACGGAGACTACGGATTCCTACTCCTGTGCGTCTCACTTTCCTCTCACCTTAACCTGATTTCCACTCTAGAACTTGTCCTTGTATCAACTGATCTGGCTCTCAACACACCTTCATCTGTCAATAATCTATGGCAGCTTGGCCTTACTGAAAGTTGGTATCTTCGGATGAGGCATCCGACATCGGATCAGTGGCCGTGACTTGATCTCGCACTTCATTTGGAAAGTGAAGTTGATGAAAGTTGGATCCGAGCAGCGCCAAAGTAGGAGAGCTCCTTTATCACCCAAACAGAATGCCTGGAGGGCAGATATATGACCTATTCAATATTCTCCCAGGGCTTTTATTGTTGCCGAAGAGAACCTGAGGAAGCGAGATGCGGGGTTCCCCAGAGATAAACGCTCGACGCTGACAGAAAACATTCAACACCTGATTGATTCTGGATCTTCCCAGACTGGACTACGCTCATCTCGTCATGAAGAAGATATCAAAAAAGCAAGAAAGAAGAACAATAAACGCGTAAGCTTAGTGCCCCCCTTCAAATCCCGAGGCAGCCCGAAGGAGATTCACTACGGAGCAATGTCGTCTTTAATGTCGCGAATGTCACTGAATGATATCGAATTTAGCTGTTCGCGATGTCGCACGCACAAGATCAAGTGCACAGGAGAAAATCCGTGCAGCAACTGCACCCAACGCAACGTGGAATGCCACTTCCAGAAAGAAACCACCCATATTCAAATCACCCGAAAGCGTCTGTGTGAATTGCACAGCAAGAATCGAGAATTAGAACGGCAAAACATTGCTCTACAGGAGCAACTGTCAGGCACCATCAAAGCAACCGCAATCCCACAGTATTCTGGTGGGGAATTGCCTGTCAGTCCATCGACTGCTGGAAACATAGATCCAGAGCCATTGCAGATCCAGGACACACCCGAGGAGGCTAACATGGTGAACCCGCTATCATCAGGTCCCCCTGAATACATTGCAGATCCGACAGGGCGGTTCTGTAAGTCGATCCCGGGTTTTGCATCACCTTGCACCAGCATCTGGGACAATTCAGTTAATGTGACTAGATTATCTGGGGCATACTTCAACTTGGTCTCTGACTATAAGACTCTTGAATCTCACTCACGAGGCAGTATATCACTGCCCTTTTCCAAGTACGGCTCATCATGGCGATTCCGTTATCTACGATTTGGAATGGAATGGGTTGCGCAGCCAGGCCATTCCCGATATCCGCGGTCTCCCCGAGATAGACCATGCGCTGTTCCTCATCAACGCTGCGCAATTCCATACTGGAAAAATCTTTCACCTGTTTGACGAGGAAAGGTTCATGAAACAATTTCATTTCTTCTACGAAAACCCAGCAGAAAACATTGGCATGATGGGTTCATGGCTCCCGCATTTCCTAGTCATCATTGCCCTGGGCAAGGCGGTCGTTGGAGCGCAAACCCAAGGCAAATTACCGCCAGGGTCCGAGTTCTTTCGAGCTGCGTTCATGATGCTGCCGGACTATAGCTTTTTGTGGAAAGATCCTTGCACTTCTGCGGAAATGCTTTGCGCATTTGCTCTCTATTTGCAGTCTATTGACTGGAGAACCTCCGCACACAACATGGTAAGCGCCCTGGAAGCCGAAACTTGCAGATAAACCGTAGCTCGTTGTATACTGATTTGGCAAAATTAATATTGGTCAAGCAATACGGATTCTGCAAATTCACGGCTATCATACTGATATTTCATCACGCTTCTCCAATGAGCACGACATAGCACGGTGTCAAAAAGTTTGGTGGACGGTATATGTACTCGAGCGTCAGATATCCGTACTGATGGGTACGCCTCTGAGTGTTTGCGATAATGACATCAGCGCTCCATTCCCTTCGTTCCCAGATTCATCGATACAGACAGCAACGCTTTCGATCCACGTGAGACTGTCCAAAACTTTCAGCTGCATTATGAATGGTCAGTTTACAATACTTCAAGTTACCAGAGCTCAATATTAACACCAGGTTAGTACTCTATAGAAACAAAGGGGATCTAAAATCCACATTTGTGAAAAGCACGCAAGATGTATTGCAAAGAGTGGCAGAAGTGGCAGAAGTGGCATTCGATCTCAATAAATACTTCCCAGTGCCTGAGCATGAAGCGATGAGTGGGATTTCGAGGGTGTCAGGTTACTTGAACTTACTCTATCACCAGGTTGGTTCTTTTGTGCCTCGAATTTTTCTTCCTAACATCGGTTTCAGTGTATCATGCTTGCAACCCGTGCATTCCTATTCATGCTCATCGAGATCCGAGCCAAATCAACAGATCCAAAGAAGCCTCAACCCTTCCAAATGGAAGTCCCCACGCCGATCAATCTGCTTCTGCAGATTTGCATCGAGTCAGCGACAAAGACTTCACATATCTTGGAATCTCTTCAACAACAGAACCTTATAGGTAAGATTGACTGTATCTGCTTAGATCCAAAATCAACAACGGACTTCAGGATCTGATCTGTATAGAATGCTTCTTGCCTTTTGACTTGGAAAGCACCGTCTCAGCAAGCTTAGTCCTTACCGTGGCCTCATTACTTAATCCGCCATTGATTGCAAACCGCAGATTGCATCTCGAGGCACTATCACGGGTTCTAGATCAAATGGTTGACCGGAAAAATCTTGTGGCAGCAGACAAGAAAGAGAAGATCGATCAGCTGGGTGTGCTGTGTGCCAACTTGAAGATGACTCCTCACTCACTCGTCAAGAGCTCAATTTCCTCGCAAATTCCGCCAAATAAAATGCTGGAAGATGGCTTGATCCCAGACACAGCGGGTGGGGAGTTGGACTTGCGTCCATTACAACAAGCCGAACAATTGGAAGAGTCGAGGGAAGCTTGGGAGGAAGGAATATATGAGCCATACAAGTGGAACAGTGATATTTCCCCGTCTCACCTATTGGAAGCTGCGGATTTGTTAGACGGCGGAAATTTAATGGATTGGGTTGATCTGCCCAACAGTAGTTTCTTTTTCGGCAATGTTGATTAGAAGGGATCACAGCAGTTGACCTACAATGGACTTCCTTACACACAGCTTGATGGACCTGATATATGAATTTAGTCACGGGTGCAATTTACCCCGTAGCTACGACTGCCAAATGCTAAATTGCAAACCAAGGTGTAAGTATTGACTACCTAAGTATCCTCATGTAGACCACACCCATATAATATACTACGACGGAGCAGAGGGTGGGGTAGTGGGTCTCGAAAGTGGCGAGGATTGGTTGGATATGTACCAAGATCCACTTGTAATAAATATAAAAAGCCTGGTTGGTCTAGTGGAAAAGGCGCTGCGGGGGCGGTTCTAAGCCATCCCGGTTCTAAACCGTGTGGTGGCCTGCCTTTCGAGAGACCCTGGTTCGAATCCAGGACCGGGCACTTCTTCTTTTTTTCTTTCTTTTTCCTTTTTCCTTTTTTCCCAAGTATTTGGCATAGTATATGTGTTGGTAACTCGGGTATATACTTAGATTTTCTGCCTGCTACTTAAGTAGAAGCCAGGCAAGGCAAGGATCATGCAGAAACCAGGCATATAGAGGGGCATCATCCGACCTAGCCGCTGCACCTTCGTACCCATAGAACCAACGGACTCAAGACGGCGATTGATCACACCTCAGATCCGATCTTTGTATCCACCGCACCCAAAAGGTCCGTACGGTCAAGATAGTGGGTGGGTGCTGCACCGCCAATCTGCAACTTCTGCTCATCGAATATCCACCCATTACCGAACCAGCCAAATTCGTTACCATCGTATGACTGTAGATCGTAGTCTTCCCATCTAACTTTCTTCAATGCCTGCAATGCATGCAAACTGCTACCAGGCCACAACGCAGCCACTCGGTCAGACTTTCGTTCTTGAAGAGATGATCCGGGTGATGAAGACTTGTACCAACTTGCACACCTGGCACTGTAGACAGTCCGCTCGAACTATTTCTCACAAAATCGGGTAAATCCCCTCACTTCAGACTTCTTTGCCTCAATAATCCCGATGTTATCGTAAGCCATTCGCGCGATAATCTGGGCAACGTAGGCATGCACCTGCTCCATTGTGATAAGCAGATTTCCTGCGCCTTGGAACGAGTGCGGCCAATCTTTCGGTCCAAGAACTGCTCCAGCGTTTTGATTTCCAGCTGGTCATACCCGAACAAGTATGGCCTGGATGTGACTGTCGAAGAGTTCAATAAAATATTAAGGCAAAGTGCGAGGCTATCCCTATTGGTCGCCTGGTTGAGCCATCTGATGTTGCCAATGTTGCCCTTTTCCTGGCGGAGCCTGCCATTTCGATTATTAGCGGAGTGGAATTTTTGGTTGATGGCGCATGGTGCATCTAGTTGAAGATTATATGAAGAGTGAGAATGGATGGGTGTTATTTGTATCACCATGGCATCTTTCTGAAGATCTTGTGGGAGTCGTGAAACATAAGCAATTTATGGATTCATCGAAAATTTCCTTTCACTTGTAAACTTGCGCAAATTGAACCGATGAGAACAAGCGACTGAAGAATTCGATTTGATTTGGAAGGTGCGAGGGACGTTCAGTTAAGCGTTCACCCGACCTCGGTTATGAACTATGCTTTGCGTCATAGCTCATAAAGAACCGTTTTCCCCAACTTTTTCTCCGCAATTATGCATCCAGATATCCCCGCCATTGATACATGGGATTGTCTGTTCGAAAGAACAGAAAAGCCTTTCCCAGATGATCACAGTAAGTAACAGGCCACTCGGTGGAAGTGTCGCTCATCTGGGATATAGTTATCTTCAAATCGCCATCAGGAGTCCGAACATACAACGACATTCGCTCTCGAGCGCAGAACTTTGGCGCTCACTTACAGAGTAAATGGAAATGGAGCAAAGGAGATGTTCTCCTAACATTCTCACCGAATTATCTCGATGCACCACCAGTCTATTGGGGCTGTCATTGGGCAGGAGGAATAGTCTCCCCTGCCAACCCGACCTACACAGCCGATGAACTAAAGTATCAGATCATCGACAGTAACGCAAAGGCAATAGTGGTGCATGTATCTCTCCGCGAAACTGCACTCGCCGCTTCAAAGCTGGTGGGGTTCCCAACTTCCAACATCTGGGTGATGGGGGCTTCTTCCTCAGTCGCGGATTTGCAGCATGTCGAATCGATGCTATCAGTTCCAACCACAGCTGGATCACGTCCAACGATTAACCCTGCTATCGACACGGCCTATTTGGTGTACTCTTCCGGCACGACCGGAAGCCCAAAGGGCGCAATGGTTACCCATACAAACGTCGTGGCAGATATCATTCTCCAAAGGCATGTTGAAGGCGAACACCTCGACTGGAAGAAAGATCGGTTCCTTGCATTGATACCGACGTATCATATCTTCGGTTTGTTGCCATCAGTGTCCCAAGTACTCAGACTGACAATGCGACACAGGATTAATATGCCTGGTGCATTTCCCAGCCCTAATGGGACTCCAGACGGTTATCATGGAGAAGTTCTCTGTCAATGAATTTCTGAAAAATGTCAAAAAGGAATCCATCACCCATGTCTACGTCGCTCCACCCATTGTCTTGTACCTTGCCAAGAACCCCTCGATGACTCGTGAGCACCTCTCGTCCCTCAGAATGGTGACCTCTGGCGGTGCTCCACTAGCTCCAGATCTGATTCGAACGGTATACGACCGTCTCAAGATCCCAGTCCGCCAGGCCTTCGGTCTAACAGAATCAACAGCCGTGGCTCACATCCAGGTATGACTCTAAGCATACTCCGAATCAGCATCACTAATAGTCACAGAGATGGAACCAGTGGAGGGAAGCCATGGGCTCAAACGGACCACCCATGCCAACAGTCGAGGTGAAATTCATCAACGAGGAAGGCTCCCAGATCCACGAAGGGGAGGGCGAACTATGTCTTCGAGGACCGACGATTTTCCGCGGATACCACAACAATGCTGAGGCGACTGCTCGATCTATCACTCCGGATGGGTGGTTCATGAGTGGCGATGTCGGATACCAGGATCAGGACGGCAATCTTTACATCACAGATCGACTGAAAGATCTGATCAAGTTTAAGGGGTTTCAGATTCCGCCAGCTGAGATAGAAGGTGTTCTGCATGAGCATCCGCTTGTTCATGATGCTGCCGTGATTGGGGTTTTTGTTCCAGAGATCGCGTCTGAAGTCCCGCTTGCGTATGTTGTTCTTGCGAAGACTACCCAGTCACCGGAGCAGGTGGCGCGGGAGTTGTTGGCTCATGTCGCGGAGAAGCTTACGGTCCAGAAGAGGATTCGGGGTGGTATTATTCCCATTGCTGAAATTCCGAAAGGGCCATCTGGTAAGATTCTCAAGCGGGTTCTGAGGGCCAGGGCTGAGGGTGTTGATAAATGGAAAGCGCTTGGTGCTGCTATCTATGATGAGCGTTCTTCCAAGCTATGATGCCATTTTTACAGTACGGATGCACCTAGGGCAAGGGGTTGATGCATGGTAGGATGAAATAGGTAGAAGGAAAGCTTTCTTGCCACGATGCATTGTATGTAGTAACTCCTTTTGAATGTAATGGTGTACTGCTGTATGCAAATGTCAAAGACGGCATGGAAAACAAAGAAAAGAAGAAACATGAATTGTTCAGGGTCAAAATGATCATGTGCAGAAAAAACACTCGAGCCAAGAGACAGGCGTAGGCGGGAGTGTGAGATAATCCAACATGAAATAAACTCGAGGTCTAATAATAGACTCCAGGCCATCTCAGTTCTAGCAACTTGTTCCCAAAAGTGAAATTATATAAACCCCACTGGTCATTTAGACGAGGGATGCGAGAAGCATGAAGAAACCACCAAGGCCACCAAGGGCAATGGAGGGGGCGCTGTTGGATCCGGCGGCGTTGGTGCCGGTAGCAGAGCCGGAGGAGCTGGAGGAAGAGTCCGAGGTGCCGGAGCTACCGGAGTCGGAAGAAGAAGAAGAGGTGTTGGAAGCAGAGGGAGTGTTGTAAGAGGACTTCACCTCGAACTTAACGCCAGTGATTTCCTTACCGGTGTGGTCGTACACCTTCTGGGGGATGGTGGTGCTGGAGACAGAGACCAGCTTTCCAACGGGGGCATTGGGAAGACCGTTCTTGATGTAGTCGGAGACCTTGGAGGGAACCTCGGGCAGGTCCCAGGCGTTGTAGAAAGACTTGCGGGTGATGAGGGAGGTCTCACAGGTCTCAGCCTTGACGTTAGCCTGGGTAGAGTTGCTGGAGGTGATACGGTCGAAGTCGAGCTTGTTGACCTGCTTCTGGAAGTTGTCGAAGTCGACGAGAGTGGTGAGAGTGTTGGAGTCGTTGATCTTGACCATGCCGTAGTCGTTATCCTCCTGGGTCCACTCGTAAACGAGACCACCGGAGAAGGCCTGAGTCATCTCGACACCGTAGATGGCCTGCACCTCAGTGAAGGTACGGGGCTTGACTTCGTTGCAGCCGTACTCGGAGAAGAACACGGGGATAGTAGCGTTGGTGAAGTCCTCGGTCAGGACGTTGTAGCCGCTGGACTTGAAGTCCGCGTCACCGCACCAGGAGTAAGAGTTGAGACCGAAGAAGTCAGCGCGGGAGGAGGTCGAGTTCTTGAGGTCACACTCGAAGTAGTGGATGGTGTCCATGAGAATGTTGCGGATATCAGCGGCAGAGTAACCGACGGGAATGGCACGCTTGGAGTTCTTGGCGATGTAGTCTTTCATGTCACGGACAACAGCACGGATGTACTTGGGGGCAGAGTAGACAGCCTTCTCGTTGATGACCTCGTTTCCAGCAAAGAAACCGAGCAGGTTGTCGTAGTTCTTGAAGCCCTCAATGATACCAAAGACCTGCTTGTAGTAAATGGCGCTGTAAGTGGTCCAAGGAGCGCTGCGGTCGAGGTAGCCACCCTGCAGAGGGTTGCTGACATCGAGGATCATGTAGATACCGGCAGCGTTGAAGATAGAGGCACACTTGTCGTGGTTGAGCGAAGGCTCCAAGTTGTACACACGGATGGTGTTGATCTAGTATGGAATAAGTTGATGTCTTTGACAGTGCGGATATCAAAGGGGAACCTACACCCAGACGCTGCATGAGGGCAGCATCACGCAGACAGACATCGGCATCGCTCAGCGGATCCTTCTTCGCGGTGAAGCCAGAGGAACCACCGGGTTGGTAGCTATCTAAGTGTCAGTCCCACCACAGTGGTCATTTGAGCATGATATCCAATGGGCACTTACTCCACACCGATAATCTGGAAACGATCCTTAGTCTCCGAGTTCACGAAGTCCTTGCCGCTGACCTCCAGTGGGGTCAATGCCGCAGCGGTGCTGGCCAGCGCACACACAGAGGTGAGCAAACGGGCGTAAGACTAGATGATTTGGTTAGACTTGAACCACAGCACTGTATCTGAAACCACATACGGCGATCATAGTGAATATAAACAATATCAAATGGGGGGGGGGTATAAAGATGCGTGAGAGTCGAGTAAAGTAAGAGTATATGTATAGCGAGAGACAGCGCTAGGCGCGAAGGAAGGAACGAAACGACCGGATTGAAGTGAAGAAATTCTTGGAGAAAGAAGTAATTCGGACAGAGAGGATCATTAAAATATTAAACGATGAAAACTGGAACCAACACCAAGATCATCGTGTCTCAATATTGTGGAGAACAACCAAAATGCACAAATAGGGGTCTCACGATAGTGGGTTTGTGCTGTGATTTTAGGCTTGGTGTCTTGGGTCTAGGATTAGTGGACTTAGTGCGCTTAGTGCTATTCGCCCTTTATTATATAGTGTCTCCCCGGTATGGAGTACTTCATGAAGGGCAGTTCCCTGCATTCCTCGACGTAATCCCGCGTGTTTCACTTAGAACTCCCGACTTCCACTACATCATCCCTAATCTTTGGGGGCATACCTTTGAAAACCGGATACTCTCTCCCTGTCACCCCCTTTCTGTCAAAGTCAATTTTCCAAAGAGAAAAACAATCTGAAATTAAACAAAAAAAAAAAGACTGTTCGCCTAAAACCCGCCACGGTGCGCCAAGGGCCAATCAACCCAACTCGCGGGAACAACCGCCAAGTCTCCAGCCAAGTTCATCCTGTCATTCCGCCAGGCCAAGAGACTATCTCATATTTGTACTCCGTATTGCATCTTGGGCTCTGGGTTTAGGCTCGGCAATCTGAAAATAGCGTTCCAAATTTGTGTTCAGGGGTGTTTGGTCATTTCAATTCTAGGATTACCTACTAACTAGTAGTATCCCGTAGGAGTCAGATTAGGTCCGACCGTTGGGATATACTTGAGTAGCGCTTTGTCAGATAAGGGATTTTTGCCCCGATCTCTCCGTCAAACAAAAAGATGGCAAGTTCTAAGGGAAACACAAGACTGCGTTGCCCAGACTAGGCAAACAAGAGAGTGGGCTTGGCTACGTGAACAAAGAATTCAGTCATTACACAGCCCCATAAGCGCCAGACTCCGCAAAAGGGCACGGGCCCATCTATACTTCAGTAGAGATGTTAATATGTCCATAGTGCTCTATATACTCTGTACGGGGTATGGAGTTCTAGAGTTTCTAAAGTTGGAGGTCGCTAATCCATATATCTCATCCCAAGCCCTAATTGTATATGACTCAAGCTTCAGGCCAGTATTTCTGTACAATGACCTTTTTGTTGACCTTGCCCATGGCATTGCGCTCAATCCCATCAACAACCTTCAACACAGTGGGAATCTTGTAAGGAGCCATTTCGTTTTTCAGCTCGGCGCGTAAAGTGGAAAGTTCGACTGGTAGAGCCTGTATACCAGTTAGTCTTCTCCAAAACCACATGCAGGACGCAAACAAACCCCGTCTCGGAACTTGACAACTGCAGCGACTCGCTGGCCCCATTCTTGATCCGCCAAGCCCACGACAGCAACCTCGTCAATCGCAGCCAGTGCCAGCATTTTCCGCTCAACCTCCAATGCCGAGATCTTATACCCGCCAGATTTGATCAGATCGACAGACGCACGGCCTTGAATAAAGTACGCCCCAGTTGAGTCGCGCCGAGCCACATCCCCCGTCTTAAACCATCCATCAGATGTAAACTCCGAGGCTGTCGCCTCGGGCTTCCGCCAGTACTCACGGAACACATTACCACCTTTGATCTCAATCATGCCATCCTCATCCACCCCATCTACGACCCGCCCTGTTTCTTTTTCCGTCAACCGGACTTCTACACCCGGCAAAGGCCACCCTACACTACCATCGACCCGCTTCTGAACATCGAGCCCACAGCTGAGCGCCATGCCGATCTCCGTCATCCCGTATCGCTCGAGCAGAACCTGTCCGGTGATTTCGGCAAATTTGGACTTGATGGGTGTGGGGAGTGCCGCGGAGCCACTGACGACAAGGCGCAGAGCACTCGCGCCAGCCCGCGCGGCATCTTCTGACTCGGTGCCGCGGATATGGGCATCGAAGTAATCATTCAATCGGGAGTAGATGGTCGGCACGGCCATGAACATAGTCGAAGAGCCGCGATCTTGCCATCTCTCCCAGATGACCTTGGGATCGAACTTGGGGTGCATTTCCACTGTTGTCCCGCTTATAAAGCTAGCTGCCAATCCATTGATGATGCCATGGACGTGGTGGAGTGGGAGTACATGGATCAAATGGTCTGAGGGACTATATTCCCAGGCCTTGACCAGGCAGCTTGCCTGGAAGGTAATATTTTCATGCGTGGTCACGCAGCCTTTGGGATTGGAGGTAGTTCCGGAGGTATAGATCATCAGAGCGGGGCGGGTGAGAGCAAAAGGCTGGACGAAAGTAGGTAGTGTCGGCGCCTCATTGCGAGATAGTGGCTCAAGGCCCATGAATGGGATATTGGCGGGGCAAGCACCGCGCAATGCGGGCGCAATCTTCTCGAAATGTGGGTGGACGATGATCAGCGCGGGGTCTGAATCACCAACTGTATATAGCAATTCTTTCACAGGGTGACTTGTGCCTGTCGCAAAGATATGTCAGCTTCGAAGTTGGGATTGGAAGAATTGTCTCCCGTACACAGTGGCACGCAGATGCCACCTGCCGCCCATACGGCCCATTGCGTGACGACATAATCGTATCCATTTGGCACCAAAAACGCAATGCGCCGGTCTTCTAAATCGCCTGAAGTCGTCAGGCTGAGTTCCTCTAGTATGCGCTTCCTCAGCCCTGCGGCGTCTGCTAGCAATTGGACGTATGTGAAGGATTGCTGCTTGGTGGTGTCGATGACGGCGATCTTATCGGGGTTGCGGGCGTGCTGCTCCGCTGCAGCGAAGAGAGGGAGGGAGGGGATGGGCATGGCGCGTTAATGGGTCGATACAAGTCCTTGCAAAGCTAAGATGAAAAAGGAGGGGGAAAGACCGAAAGCCCCTTGCATTTCACCGATGCGGAGCAATGCCTGGCCGATGTGGAGTGCTGAAAATTGAGGGTCGGGATATCCGCATTCTGCATGTCCTGCAATTCTGAAGGTTGGGAGATGGCATTTTATAATACTTTATGGTTAGTTATTTTGATCTAAATTCGAAGTTCATCCACGGGGTGGGCACTGTGATTGTCCTGGCAGCAGACCATACACATAAGATCGAGAGGAAAGGTGATCGGAGATATGTATTATCTCCGTTTACGTTCTTGGCAAAAGAGCTTTGGATGCGACAATCATGATCAATTGAATAGGCAATGTTTGGGAGGAAAGACAAAAATCACTCGCTAGTTTTCATTCAATATTCAACTAGAGTCACAGCATGTCCGCCGGCGATGGGGTTGGTGCCAACTCGCCGGGCTGGACAGTACGTGGCCCATCCAAGGAGCCTTCGGGGTTTTCTTCTAACCCACGAGCCACCAAATCGGTGAAATCCACCCCAACTTCCATCAGCAAAGCGGCATGTTCATGCACAAGGTCAAGGCACTTCTGCCAGACAGATGTACCGCGTTGAACGCTACTGAGTTGTCGGTTGAGCAGGGAATTGAACCCGTCAAGGTGGTGTTTAGCCCAGCGAATGCATGAACTGCTCATTGCGCTAGGGAAACATTGTTGATATATGCCAATGGTGTTCTTGATAAGAGTGAAGTAGACGTAAGAGATCTGGAAGATGTAGAGAGGCAAATCACCTTCAAAGATACAGGCTCTGCTAGGGGTTAGTCAACTTGTGTCATGGATAAGTAAAGTATGACAAACCTGATGCGTTGAGCAATAACGTCCGATCGTGCCTTCAGGTATGTCTCTCGCGCCTGGTCTTCAAACCCTAGCCGGGCCAACCAGGTGACATGAGTCTTGGTGGCCGTCGGGAAGGACTGTTTGTCCACCAATGCCCGTGAAAGAATACCAGCCAGTCGTGTTGCGCGCCCATCAACCTTGACATTGATAACGTCTTGTGCGATGCTGTTGCCCTTAAGCCCCTTGGCTAGTTTGCGTAACCGCTCAATGCTATACACGGATGCTTCAAATCGCTGCAAAGCGATATCAATATCAAGCTCGTCAACCTGCCCTTCAACCCATCGAAGGTTTTGTTGTTTCCCATCCACGTCAATGCGTAGATCGGACTTGTCACGCGGGGTATCATTCAGATCCAAAGACTCTCGCTTTTTTGTATGGGAATGATGCCTATTGGCGAGGTATCCGTATGCTTCAAGGGGCTTGCTAGCGGCTTCCGTTTCCGTTCGCATAGTTCGGCGCAGGTCTTCAACAGTCTTGCGGAAAGTTGCAAGTAATTCCTGCTTGGCCGATGTGCTCTCATGGCGGTAGGTGAAAGATTTGGATCCCACACGGATACTTAGTGATCTGCCAATTCCCCGGTCCATGGCTTCTTCGCGCGCACTCCCAGTCCCCAAATTGGCCGCGAGGTCAATCATGTCGATATCGCTTAGAGGCCAGCAAGACTCTGCAACTAGCCTGGTTGGAACAGGTCCTCGTTGATTAGAGTTGCTTTGTTCGACACGCATCCGTTTCTTGGAAGCCACAAGCAGGTGGTCATTCAGCAAAACAATATGAACGACACGTCTTGGTTTCCAAGTGGCCGAGTCCAGCTCGACCCAATTACCAGTTTCCAACACGATGTGTCGTCCTGGAACGGCTGGTAGCCATTTCTGTGACCCCTCCACGGTCTTCCACAATGTTTGTAGTTGTACGCTCCACATGCTCTCAAGGTTGGCCACTGAGCTGCGATTGGCGTTGCGTTTCGGGAACGAGTCTTCCATTGGAGACATTGGATTGGGCGTGTTTCCGACACTTGTTTGTCCGAGAGCCGTGGTCAGTTCCGCCATGAGGGTACGAAGGGTCCGCATTTCGTCCTTGAGCTTCTCTGCCTCTTTACTGATCTTAATGAATTGGGTCCGATTTTGGTACACATTCTGTTGCAAGTCGGTGGATGTGCGATTTTTCACCTTGCGTAGGCTTTCTTGGTACTTTTGGATCTCCTCCTCCGACGCATTTGCGAGGAGGCCGGCCACATCTGCAATCGGGAGCGTTTGTTTAGCTTGAAATACCTGAAATACCCCACAGCGGGGGGAATTGAACACCTACATCGATCAACTGGAAGACTGGGATCTCGTAGAGCATTGAGATCAACTGTTGGCGCTGGCGAATTCGGATCTGCCGGTGTTGACTGCCCCGGAAGCGATGGGGGTGCTAACCCACCTGGTCCGCCAGGTACTTGGGTTGGAAGTGCGGGCACAGGGGGAGCATTGACATCAAACTCGGGCGCGGCAAATCGAGTTGAATATCGCCGCTTAACCAAATCCGATGTTGCGTCGCTCTGGGGTGCCCGCTCACGGGTGGGGACCGGCTCTTCTGGCGACCTGGTGTTTGGGGGAAGAGGACCGGAGATCGGTTTGGGAGCGCTGATTTGAGGGCGCCGACGTCGAGACTTGCTCCTCAATGTAAGACCACGTCCTTCCATGTTGAGATTGGTGATATGTTTTGCGCAGGTGCCTTGGTACAAAGTGAGGTCTGGCGGGAGACAGATGACGATGCGCGTGTGAAGGCGGTGGACACGGGTACTCTTGCGGACCCCAAAAACATTTTTATTAACCTCTTCATCTTCATTCACTAATCTCATCAATAATACTTCACAATGGCTTTCCGCAACACTGCTATCATTGCCGGCACGGTCTTGACCGGAGTCCTCGGTATGTACCCTTAACTTGGTGCTCGTTGGAGTCGCCGTGGCAGTTACCGTGGTTGCTAACGTCTTCACAGCTTACGCCATCTACTTCGATCACAAGCGCCAGAGCGATCCTAACTTCCGCAAGTCCCTGAAGAAGAACAACAAGAAGGTCGAGATCAGCGTTAAGCAACAACAAGAAGCCGCCGGTGAGGCCCGAGTCGCCGACCTCAAGAACGCGCTCGAGTCAGTGAAGAAGAACGGTGAACTCCCCACAGGTCTCGAGGAGAAGGAGGCCTACTTCATGGAGCAAGTCGCAAAGGGAGAGTCTCTCTGCGCTTCCGAGGGTGCCGAGAACGAGGCCGCGATCTCCTTCTGGAAGGCATTGAAGGTCTACCCCCAGCCCCAGGTAAGGCTCCATCCATCCCTTCGATTTGATTTGACATGTCTAATCCAATTCCATCACAGGACCTTATGGGCATCTATGAGCGCACAGTTCCCGCAAACATCCTGGAGGTTCTTGCCGAACTTATCGCCCTCGACGTTGGCGCGCCCTCTGCCTCCAAGCCCAGTGCCGGTGCTGACGACAACATCGAGTAATGCGTTGCCTTTTACCTTCCACACCTTGTATTTTAGACCCATGGAATTCTCAAATCTGTACGGAGTATCACATAATATCTTCTGGGCGGCCAGTGCATTAACTGCCTGTGATCTGATTGATGAAAGACTGTCATATGGAACAGCGATGTCATGTAGATAGGAGGGACCTTGATATGCTTTGGATTCATTTTCTTGACAAAAGTACGTAGAGCAAAATATCATCCTGCGTGCATTGCGAAGTTACTCTTTCGTAAAAAGGTGGCCCTGAGGGCAATCATAGCAACATTGGAAATAGGAAGGGGAAAATATTTGCCAAAAGAACATATGAGATGAATTATCCCAAGAATTCCAAGGTTTGCTCGCTGGGAGGTTCTGAAATTCGCGTGGGAAAGTTCACATTACAGCATTCACCATGTTGGAAATCTTAGTGTTTTGGGGTTTCATCTTATCATGTCTACTAGTGATGCTCACTTCAATCTGCAGCTGGAATTTCCTAGATAATAACTCGGAATTTTAGGCTCATCATTGACTGATGCCTTATTGCTGCACGGCTATTGTGTCTGATTCTAGTGTTTGTATAGATCCTCCGCTGAACATTCCCAGTTTCGTCAATTGCTAGGTTTGCAGGCACTGAATATCTGGGTATTTTCAGGCAGACGTGGAGTTGACAAACTTGGTTGAGCTCCAGTCGGAAGCAAACTGCGAAGTGTCAATATCAACATCGAAGCCAGGGTGATAGGAAGTAGGTATATGGATACCTCCGGAGGACTTACATTCCAAGCATCGATTTGCAGCACTTTAAGATTCCCGTTAGATGGAAGACCTGATGTCAAGACACCAATTGCTGGATTTTGGTATATCATGTCAGAAAAGAACCTTGGAACCATTCGTATTCTGGAGAACATCCGATGACTACACTTACCAACTACATTGTTCAGCCAGTAGTACTTGGGACTTCCTGTTTCAAACACCAAACGAAGATGTAAATGCCCATCAGGAGCCTTAGGTCCGGCAGTCTGAATAAAAATGTCTGCCCCGTCATCGGTGCGGAAATTGTATCGAGTATCAGCAGAAAAGATATTGGTCTTGGGATCAACGAGCCCCCAGTCAGCGCCCACATTCTGAATCTTGCCTAGATCTTGGTTAGCTCAATTGACAGCGAGGGGAGAGCGGTCCTAACCGGAAAGATGGGGGCCACTAAAATTCCCACCAACGATGGGGATCGCTTTTCTCTGCCCATGTGGACCAACAGACGTGTCCATCAAGTTTCCGTCACATTCCACATAGGCTGTATACAAAAAAGAAAGTTCCGGGGCAGTTGGAGCAGCTGAAGCTTTGGCTGCAGCACTTGGTACCCACGAGAAGCAAGAAGTCAAAGCCAGCAGACCAGCTGCCCATCCTTGGCCAGAAATTTGGTGCCACATGTCGTTTGAAGGTATTCTGGTACTCAATTGAGAACAGTCGCGCAGATAAAGTCATTGCAGAATACAGTGACCAATATATAGTCGTCCGGCAATACTTCGGATATTCCGACCAACTGCCGGTCCCCCGCATTAAGGAGCGCCATTACGTCGGGGATCTGCGGGGAAGCAAATGATTCCCCTGACAATTCAAAGGGAATTGGACGATGATGTGGGCCTTGGATCCATGCCTAGGTACAATCTTTCACTTGCCGATTTCCCTTGCCGGTATGCCGTGTTGAATGCTTCAATCATCTGAGACAGAAGCTTCAAGACCGACATCAAATGTCTTCTTGCGCGGCAAATTCTGAACCTACTTAGTAGAAGGCTCAAGGACATAAGTATGCCATGATTTCGAATGATATCCCAAGGAAAGGTGTTGTTTGCCTCTAAATCCCATAGTACTTTGGCATCTACGGAGTACTCCGTACCTCAATCTCAATAGATGGACGAGATATGTGCAGCATTTAAGACGTGAACCGGTGGAAATTCCATAACGCTCGTTTCATGTATTGGAGCATTTGCACCTGGGCAAAATCTCTTGGTGGCTTTCAGGGAGCATAATCTAGAATGTACCATCTTCATTTGGAATCGGGGCAACCGCAGATTTCCGGATATAAACCACCACATCCGACCACTTCTCTTCGTCAGATCCAAACTCATGTAATTCATAACCTTCCATCATTGCCCTTACTCGGGCCGAGTTAGGGTCGGTCGAGGCCCTGGAGCTCGCGTGTCAGTTTTAAAGCCTGTGGTGAGAAACCCCCGCAAGGAGCAGCCCAAGTCTACACTCACACTTTCTCTTCTTCGTCCTCGACGCGATACCATATCACAATGGCAGGTCTCGCGATATCCGCGATAATCTCCTTCACGGGCACATTGGGTGCCACCGAGAGAACAACCGACTGCTCATTGACCTCAAGCCAGCCGCGTGGATCATCAATCATCTCGAATCCGACATCTGCGAGAACCTCCTTATCGACAGGGGTGTTCATCGGATCTTGGATGTAACAGGAAACATTTTTGTTCGGGTCTCTCTCTTTCAGCCAGTTCCTGACAGTGACTAGCAACGCTGTCTGGGATGCGGCACTGTCATTTTCTGGCAAGGCTAGGCTACCACAAGCGAGACCGACGATATTGTTGATATTGTGGCCACTTGCAAATGAAGACAAAATCGATTTGAAATTCTTGCATGTCTCGCTTTCTTCCCAGGCCAGAATCTTGCTTTGGAAATCCTGAGCGACGACGCTGCGCTCTTCAATCTTGTGGTTGTGGATTGTGTCCTTGTTCTCACTGTTGCTGTCGACCCGACATATTCTGTGCATCAAACTGAGTGGGGAGTAGACCGTGTTCTCGACCTCTTTCCAGTCTAAGTCACTTTCCAGCTGTGCTTTAGAGCTGTAATTTATGCCAACTGCCTTGCTAAATGGTGTAAGCTCAAAGTACCAATTCTTCCGGTAGATACACCTTGCATGGCGTGAATCTCTTACTAGATCCATTCATTCCTGATATCAGGGTCCGGGTAGGACCGACGCCAGGTAGACTTCCCGACTTTGACTTTCCATTCGAGTGAAGCGCCGGTGAGGTCCTTGGTGATTATTGTATCACCTGCCGTGCCTTGAGTCTTAAGCTGAGCCGCCAGTTCTCCGATTGCCTTCTTGGTGAAGAATGGTGTCTTTGATTCGTAGAGTTCGTCAATAAAAGCAATCGCCTGCTCCTTTGACGGTGTTTCACGCGGCTCAATCAGGCGAGCCTCGTGGACTGCCCATGTTGTGTATGACTGGCTTGAACTTGAGCTGAAGATAGATCTCAATCCGTCATCTTCATTATCACCCATTTTGATATCAGTGGCCAGGTAGATATTTGACAGGTATAGAACTGAAAACAGATAGTTCTGTGAAACCAAGTTAAAGAGTGAGAATCCCCTGAGATAGAACTTGGAGGGGGGACTTATACTCGTATTCAGACTACTCATGCGACTGGCGCCAACACATCACATTACTCGCGCATGTCACATGTGTGGGGGCGCATTATATTCAATTGGTTACTGAACCCTGTCCAACAGCGTGTTTCGGTTCTCAGACATGACAGAACATTGGATGCCGGGCTCGACGGGCGAGGCACTTGTTATGGAACTGAAGAGCTATCCGACTCACATGGACGAAATAAAGATCTCCCACACACGCATTCACCAGTGTCTCGAACGACGCCAGCGCAACACCTAAAAGACCCGTGCTCAAATCAGACTAGGAAATTTTGATGGATTGCTTCAAGCCATACAAGATCTGGACAGTATCAAACGTCAAGGATGCAAATGTTCTGTTGTATTTGCATTGATCACACCTCATGTCTGGAACACCCATCGGGGATCCTTATCACCTTGGAACTCCCCCTCCGCATCACCCACGTCTCCCATCAATGGCGACAGGCCTTGGGTATCTCGGATTCGCTCTTTCTCAGAGTTCTCCCTCTTGAGAACTTGCCACAGGACGCCAACGACCGCAATGTTAGCTACCAGGTAGCCCAGGGCAAATCCATGACCCAGGAAATACCTCGGGGCACTTTCAGTGCGGTATAGCTGTGTTCCGAGTACAGCGCCAAGGTTTCCGATGGAAATTTGCATCGCGTTTGCAATACAACGCTTTGTCTGGCCCGAAACGTTATTGGCTGGCCAGGATAACACGATGGCGACAGCTGGGTAGATACCGGCCGCGGCGAAAATCGTTCCGACGTAAGACACACCAGGGCGATGTTGCGAGAGAAGCAATATATACCCGATGCATCCGACAGCAGATGAGCCCATGATGAAAGGTGCACGACTGCGAGTTTTCTCAGACGCAACTGCGACACCAATAGTCAGGAAGAATGCGACTGCATATGGTGGCACAGAGAGAAGCTGCGCCTTCGCGGCCGAGTATCCAAGTTCTTTGATGATGGTTGGAAGGAAGAGGGACAGGGTGTATAGTGGCAGAGACATGGTGTGGAACCCGAGACCATACAGCCAGACCTTCGGATCTTTGAATGCGTCTTGTACAGCGGACCAAGAGAAATCTTCATCGCGGGTAGCGTCGTTGTCATTCTTCAAACGAAATTGGATGAATTCTCGTTCCTCTTTGGACAAGAACTCTGCGGTTGCTGGGTAATTGTACACCCAGAAGTAGGCGATGATTGAAACGAGAACTGTCAAGAGTCCTTCCTGAACAAAACACAAGATGAGTTAGCACAAATCCATAATTTCATTCGATATGGATTGGAACATACAAGTATGAAGATCCACCTCCAACCCCTTAAGCTACCCACGCCGTCCATATGTGAGATTGCCTTCGGATCGGTCAGCTTTGATTAATTCAATGTTGGGGCCAAATCAAACATACCCAAGCCAGAATTCCACCAAACGCTCCAGCAAGCGAGGCAGCACTGAAAAACAGAGCTACACGGTAATGTTGCTCATTCCGCTTATACCACATCGACAGATAGAACACAACGCCGGGGAACAGACCACTCTCTGCAACACCCAAGAAGAATCGAGATGACAGGTATCCCGAATAGTTTTGTACAATACCCAGCAGTGTAGCAACTATTCCCCAAACGAGGGTCAGAGTGGGTAGCCATATTCGAGGGGTGGTTTTCTTCAGCACGATCTATGAAGAATTAGCGCGCAGGCCATGGGGGGATTTTGGTGATTTCATGTAGCTCACGTTGCAGGGAATTTCAAAAAGGACATAACCAATGAAGTATAATGTCAGACCTGTCAGGTACTGGTTTCCTGCTATATCCGCTCTGTTCAGCTTCATTGGATGCAACTTTAGAGAATCGGGATTTTTAACGTACACATATTGATGTCGTCTGTCATTCCTTCGAGACGCGCATTTCCCACATTACTGCGATCTAGAAACGACAAAAGGTACAATATTGTCAGAGGCGGTAGTAAGCGATAATCTAACTTGCGCAGGAGAGCCTTCTCGTTGATACCCTTGAACTCGGAAGAGTCATTGGCATGAACTTGGCCAGTGCGGACGTCTTTTTCCGACAGCGATGCCATAGTCCCTTTTGAGCCTGAAAAGGTTCTAATTATTGAGATTCAAGCAACGTGGAGGAACGCAAAGTGGATAGCCACGAGTGCGGAGATTTATATGACACTGTAGCACACCATCTGTGAACCGCTGCACGCGATAAACAAAGTTAGAGAAAGTTACATCATATTCCCGGCCGAGTAATATCCTGCAAGACAAATAATAAGGTACCTAAGTATCAAAAGAGGAGACGGGACACAGGGGATGCACCTATGAGCAATTTCTCCACCGAAATGACGAGCTCGGGTGTGTTTTGACTACTTTTAGGGTTATTGCCTCCACTAGAGGATATTGGAACTTGCATTCCTTTAGTGTTAAATGCAATGACATCTCTGAAATTCAATCGAAATCATAGATGCGAATTACCTACTTCGTCTAAAGTCACGGAATTGGTGTTTATATGAGCAATTCCCAATACTGATTGGCTGTTCGGCGACCACAATCCCCCATGCTATCTGACTTCAGGAGCTCCCATCTTCACACTCTCACCCTGAAAGATGTAGTTCAAAAAGCATCATCCGCTCGGCCCTTCTCGGGTCCACTTGTTAAACATCTTTGATATCACTGCATTCACCGAAATACCCAAACCTAAGTCCATATCACAAAGAATGGCACGAACCTCGGAAACCGTCAGCGAAGCATTCGACAAATATAGACATTTGGGGTTTGGTGATAGGATCTGAGGCACCTCTGCTACGTAGGCATGGGAAAATCCATCCCAAGCTCCAACACTCCCAAGATTTGAGCGAGCTATCATGATTCATACTCGGCCAATCCGACGTCCTATCGGTCTTGTCGGAACTAGGTAAAACTACCTATAAGATATATGAACTTCGGCTTTTTCAATTTTGTAGACAACCTTGGAACGGGAACGAAAACAATTCGCATTCCTTTCTTGGGGAGATGCGCGAACAGATTCGACAAAAACGTATCTGGTCAGGTTGACAACAAAATATCACCATCGGCTGCAGTCTCGACAAAGCTCTTCCGGGGCAAGATGGATTGGGGAGGAGACGAGTTATTGTACGAAAGCGGCAATGTATATGGCGAGGGACTGGATACTTAAGTATGGAACCGTGAAAAATGCATTGGACTCCAACAGCTCGTATTAATTACTTCAACACATCCCAGAATGCATTATGCGATGGGTGATGGAGTTTTCTCCTTGCCGGTCCACGGGTGGAAATGTACATTAGACAGAAGGAAGTCTTGGATAGAGGACCGGTAAGACGTTTGCATAAGCTCTAACTTTACTTAAGTAGAAGTATGCTGGGGCTTGGTTTTTTGAGAACGACTGCGACTAGCAAATGTCTCCCTTGAATATCCTGGTTCTTTGGATTTTTCTCCCTTTTTGCCGATTACCCGTGTGAGCACGTCCGAGTTGGTCAACACCGAACATTTTTGACTGCGCTTCTTGATACAAATAATTTCAGATGAAACAAAGATCAATGATAAAAAGTGAATTGAATTCAAGTATTGACACCCCTGGTATATGTAAAAAAAAGCCCCAAAAACGCCAAAACGCTCAAAACACGCTAAACGCACGACACGCAACACACATAACACACATGACACATAACACATAACACACGGTAATCACATATAATACACATATGGACATACACAGAACGGGGTCGTCGAATTCATGAAAACGGAGATTCGTCTAATCTATACAGTTCGTGGGTGGTCACGTAACTGCCTACAGAGTATTGAAACAGAACGGGCATAACTTTTAAAAACAATAGAAGAGGCCATGCAGCAAATCCAAAGCGCCTTTCCCTTTTCCAAATATGTAGTAATTGGAAGAGCGTCTATATTTAGGGCGCCAGGACGAGAGCAAGGAGAGCCATGCGGCAGTAGAGGCCGTAGCGCATCTGAAAGGGAGTTAGTGAATGATTCAATAGGCGGAGAGAATTAGCACATACCTGGCGGAAGTAAGCAGCCCGCTGGTCGAAGTCAACCTCCTCGGAGATCTCGGCGTTGCGAGGCAGAGGGTGCATGACGACCATGTGGCTCTTGGCGTGCTTGAGAAGAGCGTTGTCAATGATGAAGCTGTTCTTGAGGCGCTCGTACTCGGAGAGGTCCTCGAAGCGCTCCTTCTGCACACGGGTGGAGTACAGGATGTCGGAGCGAGCGACAATTTCAGGAGTCAGCTCCTCGGACTCAACGACCAGCTGGCCGGAGGCGACGAGCTGCTGGCGAACCTCCTCGGGCAGGGCGAGGGCCTTGGGGGCCACAAGCTGGATGCGAACATCGTAGAACTGGAGCAGCTTGATGAGCGAGTGGACGGGGCGGCCGTACTTGAGGTCACCAGTGAAGGTGATGGTCAAGCCGGTGACGGTGCCAAGCTCCTCACGGATGGTGAAGAGGTCCAGGAAGGCCTGGGTGGGGTGCTCGAGGGAACCGTTACCACCGTTGATGACGGGGACCTGGGAGAACTTGGCAGCGATCTCGGTGCTGCTGGCCTCGGGGTGGCGGAGGACGACGGCGTCACCGTAGCAGCCGAGAGTGCGGATGGTGTCCTGCAGGCTCTCGCCCTTCTTGGTAGAAGAGTGCTCGGTGGCGATGGGGATGGTGCGTCCACCAAGGCGCTGCATAGCAGCGTCGAAGGAGGCCGAGGTGCGAGTGGAGGGCTCGTAGAAGAGGGTGGTCAGGACACGGCCCTTGAGAATGTCGAGGACACCGTGGCGCTGGACACCAAGGCGCATTTCCTGGGCGACAGTGAAGAGGGTGTGCAGATCCGCGCGAGTGAACTGGTTCACGGACAGGACGTGCTTTCCGCGGAAGGTGGAGCGGGAGAGGGTATCGGCCAGCGAGGGGGAGATCTGCGAGGAAGCGGCGGCGTAGAGGGGAGGGCCTAGCTCGCCGATGGAGGGGATGGCGTGGTCCAGAGTGCGGACGCGGCGGGCGCCGGGAGTACCAGAGACAGAGGTGTGTCTGTCAAGGGAGCTCTCGGGGCGGACCATGGGGGTGGTGGGCTTCTGCAGAGGAGAGGAGGGGATAATGCGGTGGGCAGACATGTCGTTACCCTTGGTGGCATCCTTGGTGATCTCGCCGTCGAGGCAGGAGGTCTTGCCCTGGAAGACGACACGCTGAACGGAGCCACGCATCATCTTACCGTTGAACGGAGACCAAGCACCGCTCTGGAAAACGTAGGGGCGGTCAACCTCGACCTCAAGAGAGCTGTCGGCCTGGTCGTGCAGCTCGAAAATCTTCTTGGGGTTGTCGTAAAGACGGGTGGAGACGTCCTCAACAGTCAAGCGGCCCTCGGCGACAGCAGTGAAGAGAAGAGGAATAGCCTCGGCGATACCAGTCTCGGGGGTAGCCTCCTTACCAGCGAGCTGGTAGGGAATGCTGCCAATGGAGAAGATGTCGATGGTGCTGAGGTGGTCCCACAGAGCCTTCTGGTCCTCAACGGTAGGCAGGGCGCTACAGGCAGGGTAGTCCTCCCGAGTCAGGAAGAGGGAGTAGATTGAAACATCGCAGGTAACATTCAGGCCCTTCTCCTTGCTCAGAGCAATGAGGCTGATGTCCTCCTTCGAAGTAACGCTCATGACGTGAATGTTACGGCTGTGGAGGCTGGCCAACAGCAGAATGGAGGCCAGATCAGTGCTCTTGGCATCGGTGATCAGAGGCTTGCTGGAAGGCCAAGCGCTGAAGTGGTTGGTGACAGTGGCGACCTTGTTGATGTTGCCCGACAGGTGGTTGAAGGGAATGAACAAGGAGCCAACCTCACCAGTCATCTGGATGATCTGATCGGAGTTGGTGGCAGTGGCAGCAACCGAGATGTTGAAGTCACACAGGGCCTTGCCCTGAGCGTTCTGCTGAACGATCTTCAAATCGCTAGCCTGGGTGACCGAGGTGTCGACACCAACGGGCATGACACGAATCATGCTGAATCCACCAGAGAGGGAAGCACGCGACACAGCCTGGAAGTCGTCGGAACCGAGCTTGGCAAGGTTGGGAACAAAGGCGGCGATGTTGATCAGACCAGGGAGAACAACGGTACGGTGGCTGGTCTGGAAATCGGAGGTGATGATCTCCAGAGGGAAGTGGCGAGCAATGGCCTCGATCAGGATCTTCGCGTTCTTGACATTGGTGACCAGAGGAGTCTGGTAGTCAACAGCCATACGACGAGTGCGGTAACCCTTGGACATGTAGTTGGCGGGGCGGCGGAAGCGGTTGTTGGAAGGCAAGTTGATGTAGAGATCAATCAGGTTGTTGGACAAGTGCTGAGTGAGAGAGTACTCAGACTTCATGTCCTCCTCCTCGTGATCAGTAAGGTGCTCAAGGTACTTGACGTTAACACCGTTCTCCTTCAGGAAATCGGCAGTACCAGCGGTGGCGAACAGGTTGTAGCCGAGCTGGGAAAGCTTCTGAATGGAGGGCAGCATCTCGAGCTTCTCCTTGTAGGCACCAATGGAGAAGAGGATGTTGCGGCGGGGCAGCTTGAAGCCAGTGGAGAGCAGACCCTTGAGGTAGGCCTCGTACTTGTCACGACCGAAAGAAGCGACCTCACCAGTGGAAGCCATCTCGACACCCAGAACAGGATCAGCACCGGACAGACGGGAGAAGGAGAACTGGGGAACCTTGACACCGACGTAGTCCTTGGGCACGGACACAGGGGGGTAAGCCTGGAAGGGAATACCGATCATGGCCTTGGTGGCCATCTCAATCAGGTCGACACCCATGACCTTGGACACGAAGGGGAATGAGCGAGAGGCACGAACGTTGCACTCAATGACCTTAATGTCGTTGTCCTTGGCAATGAACTGAATGTTGTAGGGACCGGTGACATTCAGAGCGTTACCGATCTTGCGGGTAGCCTCCTCAATGCGGCGAACAGTCTCGGCACTCAGATCCTGGGGAGGCAGAATCAGGGTAGCGTCACCGGAGTGAACACCGGCGTTCTCAACGTGCTCAGAGATGAAGTGACCGACCATAACACCGTTAAGGGCGACAGCGTCCATCTCAATTTCCTTGGCGTTCTCAATGTACTTGGTGATAACGACAGGGTGCTCACGAGAGACATCAGCAGCCTGGTTCAGGTAGCTGGCGAGGTCGTGCTCGGAGTAGACAGTGTTCATGGCAGCACCAGAGAGAACGTAAGAGGGACGAACCAACACGGGGTAGCCGACCTTGTCACAGAAGCCACGGGCCTCGTCAGTGCTGGTCAACTCCTTCCAGGCGGGCTGGTCAACCTCGATACGGTCCAACATGCGAGAGAACTTGTAACGGTTCTCAGCGCCGTCAATCATCTCAGGGGAGGTACCCAGGATGTTAACGTTCAGGCGGTGCAGAGGCAGAGCAATGTTGTTGGGGGTTTGACCACCCATAGACATGATCACACCGCTAGAGGTCTCGAGCTGGTAGATGTCGAGAACGGTCTCAAGGTTGATGTTCTCGAAGTACAGGCGGTCAGCCTCATCGTAGTCGGTACTGACGGTCTCGGGGTTGTAGTTGACCATGATGGTCTTGTGACCCTGCTCGCGAAGAGTACGGATGGTACGGACGGAACACCAATCGAACTCAACGGAGGAACCGATACGGTAGACACCGGAACCGAGGACCATGATACCGTGATCATCGAAAGTCAGATCGTGCTCGGTGGCATTGTAGGTCAGGTACAGGTAGTTGGTCACAGCGGGGAACTCAGCGGCGACAGTATCGATCTGCTTGACGATAGGAGTGATGCCAGCCTCAACACGCATGCGGCGAACGGCAAGTTCGTTGGAGTCCAAGAAGTTGGCGAGTTGACGATCGCAGAAACCAAGTTCCTTGGCCTGGCGGATCATAGACACGGGCACGGTGGTGGGGTTGAAGGCAGACATGTTCTTACCGAAGTCGTTCAAGCCCTTAAGGCGGGACAGGAACCACTTGTCAATGTTGGTGAGCTTCCAGATGTCATCAACAGTATAACCAGCAGCCATAGCGTTGGCAATAGCGAACAGACGCTGGTCAGAGGGAGTCTGAAGCTCATTGTCAATAGACATAAGAGCGTTGGTCGCGCTGAAACCAAGGTTGTGGAAATCAACGGAGCGAATAGCCTTCTGAATGGCTTCCTCGAAGGTTCGACCAATGCTCATGACCTCACCGACACTCTTCATGGAGGAACCGAGCTGGGTGGAGACACGGGTGAACTTCTTCAGATCCCAGCGGGGAATCTTGACCACGCAGTAGTCGAGAGAGGGTTCGAAGCAGGCACAAGTAGACTGAGTGACGGAGTTCTTGATCTCGTTCAAGGGGATACCAAGACCCAGCTTAGCAGCAATGAAGGCAAGAGGGTATCCGGTGGCCTTGGAAGCCAGAGCAGAGGAGCGAGACAGACGAGCGTTGACCTCAATAATGCAATACTCCTTAGAGAAGGGGTTGAGAGCATACTGGATGTTACATTCACCGACAACACCAAGGTGACGAATGACGTTCACAGCAGTGGTTCGCAGCATGTTGTAGTCCTCGTCGGAGAGGGTCTGGGAAGGAGCCACGACGATAGAGTCACCAGTGTGGATACCGAGGGGATCGAAGTTCTCCATGTTGCAGACAGTGATACAGTTGTCCTGAGCATCACGAACAACCTCGTACTCGACTTCCTTCCAGCCCTTCATACTGCGCTCAATCAGAACCTGGGGACTGACAGCCAGAGCCTTGGTGCAAAGATCCTTCAATTCATCCATGTTGTCGGCGAAACCACTGCCGAGACCACCAAGAGCATAGGCAGCACGGACAATGACGGGGAAGCCAATGGCCTCAACAACGCGCAGAGACTCCTCCAGGGTGGAAGCAGAGGCGGACTTGGCACACTTCTCATCAATGGAGTCCATGCTGCGAGCGAACAGCTCACGATCCTCGGTGGTGATGATGGTATCAATGGGAGTTCCGAGAACCTTGACACCGAGTCCCTCAAACTCATCCTTAAGCTGGATACCAACGGAGAGAGCGGTCTGACCACCAAAGGTAACGTAAATGGCATCAGGACGCTCGTGCTGGATGACCTTGCGGACAAAGTCGGCGTTGACAGGAAGGAAGTAAACCTTGTCAGCCAGACCCTTGGAAGTCTGAATGGTGGCGATGTTGGGGTTGATCAGAATGGTGTAGATACCCTCTTCCTTCAGAGCCTTGATGGCTTGACTGCCGGAGTAATCGAACTCACCAGCCTGGCCAATGCTGAGACCACCGGAACCGAGGACCAGAACCTTCTTGACCGAAACACGGGGAGCAGCCAGGACATTTTCAGCCTTGGTGCCACCGGGGAAAGAGACGGGCTTCTGGAGAGCCTCGGGGGAGGCAATGGTGGACTGGATGGTGTTGATGAAGACATCAAACAGGTACTCGGTGTCCCGAGGACCGGGGGTGCTCTCAGGGTGGAATTGCACACTGAAGAAGGGACGGCTGGTGTGACGGATACCCTCGTTACTGCCATCGTTGGCATTCACGAAAAGCTCCTCCCAGCCGTTCTCCAGGCTAGCGGCATCGACGGCGTAACCGTGGTTCTGGGATGTGATGTGGCACTTTCCGGAGATCATGCTTGTGCAGGGAATGTTGTGACCGCGGTTACCGAACTTCATCTTGGTGGTCTGGGCGCCCACGGAGCGGGCAATCAGTTGGTGACCAAGACAGATACCAAAGACGGGAACGCGAGCGTCTTGGAACATCTTGGTGAGGTTGTTGGTGGTGACGGTCAGAGTTGCGGGATCACCGGGACCGTTGGACACAAACAGACCATCGTAGTCCTTTCCAGCAAGGGTGGGGAAGTCGTAGTCCCAAGGAACCACCATGACCTCCACACCGCGGGCCAGCAGGCAACGCAGCTGGTTGTACTTCATACCGACATCCAAGCAGAGCACACGCACTCCGCGACCGGAGGGGTGCTTGAGAGCGACATTCGCCGGGGGTGTGAAGAGGCGGGGCTCACGAATGGAAACTGTAAAAAATTTTGTCAGATCCAAAAAGAACTGCACTTTTTCTGTTTCAGTATGACTTACCCTCTGCAACGAGGTTCTTGGTGTTGGGGTCCACCCATTCGGTCTCCTCGAAGTGGGACTTCCAGTTGGCACCAGCGGCACCGACCTTGTCGGTGTCACCGGACTTTTGCAGCAGCATACGGCCAAGCATGCTGCCGGTCTGGCGAAGACGCTTGGTCAGAGCACGGGTGTCAACACCGTGCATAGCAGGAATGCCCTCGGACTTGAGCCATTGGCCCAGGGAGGACTTGGCCAAGTAGTGTGAGTAATCCTCACCGGCGTAGGATGCCACCACCAGCGCCGAGATGTGGATCTGACTGGACTCAAAGCGCTTGGGCAGGTCCTTCAGGAGCTCACACATTTCATCGTGAGAGGGCACACCGTAGTTACCCACGAGGGGGAAGGTGACCACCAGAATCTGGCCCCGGTATGAGGGGTCGGTGATGGACTCGGGGTAACCGACCATACCAGTCTGGAAGACCAATTCACCGGACACACTCTTCTCCGCACCAAAGTTGTAACCTTGGTAAATCGTGCCATCAGCGAGCTCAAGGGCCGCCAACCGGTCCGAACCACCTCGGACGGGAATGGAGGCGGGCTTGATCACACCGCTAACGGAACCCATGTTAGGCATTGTCTCTGGGAAACCCACTGAACCGCCGAGTTGTGGGCTAGTAGGCAGAATCGATTCCTCCAACGAATTGGCAGGCTGGGACATGGCAATGGAAGATGTGGGAGGGGACGGGTCCTCTCAAGGACGATCTGAGGCGAGCAGGGCACTCTAGTTCAGCATCTGCCAATAGAGAGAGGAGTTTTGTGTATAGAAAAGAGACAAGAAAAGAACAGCGCAAGAGGGAGTATAGATAAAAGCAAAAAGTAATGTCGTGCTGCAACCAGCTGGTGGAGGAGGAAGAGAGGAAAATGAAGTTCGGCAGAAAATATTTTCGTGCATTTCGCAAGACCCACTTCTGTTTTCGGTACATGCCCTCACCGCCGCAGAGATTTTCCAGCGCCATTGGCGATTGAGGACTCATCGGGGGGGATCGAGCGATGACTCAATCGCTAATTTCACCCCAGAGAGGATGTCGTTGGCAATGTTTTTTGTTTCTTTAATGACCCTACCGAGTATGTGTACGAAGTTTTCACTTGACCTGGTACAACGGTGTACTTGGACATGCACGGGCATGCATATGACGCAAGGCGCCGATAACGGTATCACACAGTCAAGCTATCGGGGGGCTCTTGTACCTCCAGGTACTATATAATTTAGCTAAAGCTCATCCAGCATAGTGTTTCACCTATGTATTATTATTATAGATAGTCAGGCCATTCGAGTGCCCCGGCGTTCTTAATTTATTTTAGTACCACTTTTTTTACGAGACAAAACCCCAAAAACCCCACGTTACCCGGTGGCAAAAGCGAAGAGCCTATCCATTCCCAGGTTTTTCGTTCCACTGTTACGTAGTACTTTGTGTACCTTGGTAAACAGGCGAGCCATCAAGTACCTGGTAGCAGAGCCAAGTATACATACTTGTAGAGAACTATCGTCAGTAATAACATTGGAAATTGCCTTTTTTTTGTCGTAACACCGCCAATGTCAAATAAAAACCAGTTTAGCCCATATGCAGTTGAACTGGTCACACAGACCATGACGTGGAGCTCAGATCTCTCGGCAGTACAGAGCTGCTTGGACTAAATTAATCCCGCCCCAGCAGCCTCCAGGGCTTGTTTCGGACTTTGGTCATTTTTATTGCATTCTCTGACTGATTTTCTCGGCATCTCTGGGATTTGGGATTTCTCCCGAGTTTTGAGGTTCTTTCACGCATTATCCTTCATCCCATCATGCTCTAAGATCTAATCGCACGGACACATACGACATACCTCGGTAATGAGAACATAAACACCCATGTTTGGTTCACTGCTTCGACCGAAGCTACGGCGCGGTCAAACCGAGCAGTCGCCCTTGTCTGTCTCTCCCTGGTTCCGCGCGCACAACCATGGACGCGTCCAAGCCGATGAGAGCAGCGACGATGCGCCAGAGCTGCAAGGAATCGACGAGGATATGGACGAGGACTGGGAGGAGGAGGAAGAAGACGGTCCCTTGGAGTCAACCCCTCTCTTACCCATGTTCTCCGCGTCACATTTGGGTAGGTGCAACCCCGACTGGACAGGGATCGACTGTGGCAGATACTAACGGTTCACCAGACGCGCTGCCCGTGTACAACATCACCCACGCCATTCGACCACTGATTGCCTCCCGCTGCGAAACCACCTTGACATGGGACCAACTCCGTTCGCCGCAGGTTTCCCAGTTCTTGATCAAGCCAATTCTACAAAAGATCATGTCCGCGCACTTTTCGCGCGCGACTCTCTATGCGCTGATGGCCAATTGTCTACAATTCGAGAAGGAGATGCACTCAAGTCCGGGGAATAGTGGTGCAAATCAAACACGTGCCATGGTGAGTGAACTGCTGGCCATCAAAGTATTGAGGGAATACTCGACCCGAGAGCTGCTTGACGCCCTGTCCTACGAGTTCCATCCACTCCAGGGCCAGGACCCAGCTGCAGCGCCGCCAACGAGGCAAGCAAGGCGGGTGGTAACGGCACGCGTCTCGTGTTTGGAGGTTGCGATTCGCGCGCAGGCAAAACGGTTCTTGGCGCACCCGGTGGTGGTGCAGCAATTGGAAGCCATCTGGGCCGGCACAGTTGTGTTCCATTCTGCCGCAGACAATCTTCATCGCCGTGAGCCTGCTGTCCAATCTGCGAATCTCGACTATGGAACTTCTACGGATCGTGATGGGAATGTTCCGACAGAACACAGGAACGGGACGCTCCGCCGATCAGTGACACTTTACAACCCGCGTGATGCATCATTATTCAAGTTATCTCGGTTGAGAGTGCCTCGCTATCGACAGTTCCTCTCGACTCTTTCGTTTGCCGTGCTTTTGGGGCTGTTTTTGGCCGTTTTGAATCAACGCAGCCGGAGAATCACACCACTTGAGATAGTTTTCTGGTTCTGGAGCGCCGGTTTCATGCTCGACGAGGTAGTTGGGTTCAATGAACAGGGGTTCAGCCTTTATCTGATGAGTTTTTGGAATTTGTTCGATGTGGGCATTCTACTTTTGCTCTTTGCCTACTATTGTTTGAGGATCTATGGTACATTTTTGACCTACCCTCGAAGCCAATTCATTTCCGACAAAGCTGTGAGCATACTTTCCCAAACACGCTTTCTCTTGCTCCCAGTGCTAATTTATCACAGTTTGATGTCCTTGCAGCTACAGCACCTTTGCTGTTTCCAAGATTGTTCTCCATCTTAGATCACTACCGTTATTTTTCCCAACTATTGATCGCATTCCGAATTATGGCATCTGATCTTATTGCTGTATTTGTTCTTATTGTCATCTCCTGCTCTGGATTTTTCGTTGCTTTCCTCAACTTTGGAGACAACAAATCTCCGAAAGAAATTGCCTACGGGTTGTTCCAAATGTTGATGGGCTTTACCCCAACCGCATGGTCAATGTGGGATGAGTACAACTTCCTGGGGAAAACAATCTTGACTGTTTTCCTCTTCATTTGTCACTTTGTCGTCGTCACTATCCTCATTACGGTCTTGACCAACTCATTCATGCGAATTGTCCAAAATGCCGATCAAGAGCACCAATTCTTGTTTGCCGTCAACACCATCTCGATGGTGAAGTCTGATGCCTTGTTCTCGTATGTGGCACCAACTAACGTCATAGCATGGCTTGTGGCACCTTTCCGATACACGATGCCTTTCCGTGACTTCATCCGCCTCAACCGGACCATTATCAAGATTACCCACTTACCCATCTTGTTCACAATCTGCGTCTACGAGAAAGTCATCCTCAGTGGGCGTGTTGTTCAACCGATGGATCTAATCGAATCTAGTTCGCCAATTGACGACATTAACCGGGCCAAACAATGGCCACCTAGTCGATTACGTGGTTTCAGTGCCAGGGCATCGCGTCTTGTACGCGAGCCATCCGTGGCAACTTACCAGAAGGATCGAGCATTGGAAGAAGTTTTCCGACGACCATATGATGATCGGACACGAGGACGGCCAGATACCATACATGAGCATCAGACGAACAACGTTATCAAGGATTGGATGCAGGAAGTTGGCTCTGGGCCAGTAAATGGTCCCGACGATGACGACTCCGCTGTTGTAGGCCCTCTCGAAATGCGCCTCAACCGACCCAGTCTCCCATTCAAGACCAGATTGGTCAATCGCCCCCGCAATTTCACAGAGACCACACGCTCGGTTGCGTCAAATCCTGAAGACCGAACAAGCCGTGTTGTCAGTCCCGTTGTTCGGCCCCGGCGCTCAAGGCCCTCTATTTCGCCGGACCAGAGAAGACAAATGTCACATCATACAGATATGGAGGGCGATGACGAGTTGACAAGCAACGATGGCGACTCGGCAGATGAGAAGAACTCAGCTCCAGAGTCTGAGACCAGCACGGCCAACCGATCTGAAGGTTCGACTAAGAGATCTCCCAAATTCTACAGCTCTCGCCCGTCAACCGCCAGGGTTATTTCGCGTCGCAACAGCCCTACACGTCGCCCCAGACATAACCGCAATGCCTCCGGTGTCACCATGCTTTACAATCCCGTAGGCTCTCCAAACGAAGAAACGGAAGGTCGGGCCACACCCACTCGACCAGATACCGACTCATCTGACGGAGACAACCTACCCCTCGTATCTAATTCGGTTGACCAGGGTACAATGAAGCGTCATATTTTGGGTATGTCTCGTTCACGCAACAGTCAGCTCGGCCTGAACCACATGTCTGTCCCCGAGGTGGATAGTATCTACCTCTCTGATCGACCCACTGGCAAACGCCCCCGAGCTTCTCTCCTCTTCGATCTGGGCTCTGACCTTGGTGACAACAAAGCCGTGGCGGGTGGTTTTGCAGGCGCTATTCCATCTAGCTTCCAAACCCAAATGGGCTTCGCCGCAGCTGGTCTCCGTCGCGACGCTCCAAACCAGACTCAAGACATGCTCAGCAAGTTGGTCCTTGCACGCATGAACAACATCGAAGAAGGTTTCCGCGAGGTGATCAAAGAAGTCAAGGACCTTCGTCGCAGCGAGTCAAGTCGCAGTCCAAGCAGATCTGATGAACCCCGTGGTACGCGTGAGAAGAAGAAGCGCGACAAAAATACCAAGAAACGGAGTGTCAATTCAAACGCAAGCCCCTCGAAGAGAGGTGGCCCTGGTGAGGGAACCTCGCCGGTCTAAATCATCACCCGGCAATAACACCGTGTACAAATACTCTTAAATGGATATGGAAGGTGCCTGTCTTTACCATAAACTAATACATGTTTCTAACGTCGTCACGATCTTTTTCTGTACATATACCATGCGTACAATCTTAGAAACAGGCTTTATTTTACATCACTTGCACAGCCAATTTTCTAACCTTCTCAAGTTGGAACCACCGTGCGATCCGCGATAATCAAACTCCAGACAATACCTCGAGAGATCTAGCGCTCATTGATAGGTGCTCGTGCAGTGTCCCCAAGTCTACCTCGGTCCGTCTGCTTCGACTCGCCACTCCGGAACGAAGCCAGTTCATGGTTATTCGCGAGCAGTGCCCCTCGTCGGGGAGCTAGGAAGCGAAACATCATCCAGGATCCGCTCAGCACGCCGAAGATGCTAAAGACCGCCATGTTGCGAGACCTAGATAATTCACGCATTTTGTCAGTTAAACTTTGCAAGAAGGTGCCTTCGCTGCCTGGTGACACTAGCCGACCTTATATATTTCCGACTTCGCTCTGCGGCTACCGCCGCCGTTGTGGCCATCTTTCAAAGTTTAAAGAAGATGATAATTTATAATGATATGTCCACAGGTTGGTGTATTCAAACTTTAGAATGATCACATTGAGGCTCTCACCCGGAGGTGTTGGTTTCAAATGCTCCCTATATATCCACGCAGCGATATGACATGGACATGAGCACATCACGCCACATCCTCCATTATCAGAGGCAAATTTAAATCTCTAGAATACAGCCCTGAAGATTATTGTCTACTCCGCTTTTCTCATTCTTCCAAGGTTGCTCATGGTAGTTCTTGCAGACTGTTTATGCGGAGGGGATTGCCAGGAGTTCCAGGAATTGCCTCGAAATAAAGTTAGAACCTTGGAATATGCGAAATATCTGGAGTGGACTTGGATTATCATAGTCAGTATGGGTTAACCTCCAGGGCGTTAGAAATTCCTAGATTTTGACTGATGACCATATTTTCAATCTGACTCGATGAAAAGCAATGTTAATGCTTTTCATGATCATTTCCAGAGAACTCTCTTTGTTACCGATTGCAGGCCAGGGCTACTTCTAACGATATGAAAATGAACCTAAGGTCAAATGAGTATCTGCTTTGTTAAGTATAACACCAAATGCTCAAGTGGAATCTAGATACACTGTAACCTTAGAATACAAACATCACCAATTTGTTCAGTTCACTTAATTGACATATGTTTTTCAATTTCCCCCCAGTATTCAGTGACTTACTCCTCCAGGTGTATGCAGATGGTTTACTTAAGTATGATAGTGTAAGAGCCCCTGGGCAGTTTTCCTTGTATCTGCGTAATACCAACTGAGTAGTACATGGGAGCGTTTGCACAGAGCCTCATTCCCCTCAACCTTTATTGCACGACATTCTTACCCACGCCAACCCAGCCGGACTCCATCTCACTCGGACTGAAGACTATGTATCTTCAATCCGTATCTCCCTGATTTTACAAACTCAGGCCTTAAGGCCTTAAACTCTGCTTCTTCCGTCACTCTAGTCTTTCACCTTCCCTCTCTTTTTCATTTGACTTCACTTCTTTCCATCACTTCACCTCTTCATGCTGGCCTGATTCCTGCCCAAGTGTATGGATCCACGTGCAAAAATGGGAAAGCCTATTCAACATGGAGAAACTAGGGATATGATACTGCGCCAAAAGTCGCTGTCGCCGTCGCTGTCGCAAACTCAACTGGAAGATCAGTCTCAGCACAACCAAGCTTCGAACGATGGAACCAAGTCCACCCCGATTTTCCCCACACACTCCGATAGCACATCAAGCTTCTCATGGCCTCCAAAGCCATTCCTGTTACTCTTAGATGAGGCCGACACACTAGTCTTTATTGACCCTGCTCCAGAGTCTGTTCGAGCTGGACTCTCTCAATCAACTTCAGTGGCGCCTCATAACATTCACAGCGAGAGGCTCTTAGCCACAGACTCTACATATTTCCGTCGACTGTTTACCCCTGCTTATCAAGCCAAAGTCAGAAAACAACGAGGAATGTCCGACAACCTGCCGGTTGGTATCAAATATGTTTTGGACCTCACGCCCCCGTTACTGGACGATGAAGCCCTCATTCTTCTGACTGAGCTCTCATGCCCCTCAAGTGTCCGTGAATGGGCATCAAAGAAGAAACTGTGGAACCTACCTCGCTCGTGCGTGGGAGGGTTTGACGAAACGGAAGCTGTAGCGTCAGGCTCGAATCAAGAGACGCACCAATTCGAAGAGTGCTGTGATCACTGCTCAATCGAACATGGCTCCTCAGAATCATTTGATGCAATCGATCCAAAAATCAAAGACGTGAACAGCAAGCAACTGCCACTGGAATACTCCTCCCAGCGTCATCGCGAGGGCATCGAGCATATCCTTCACGTTTTGATGGGTCTCAACCCCACTCTAGACACACCCTGCAAGCTGTGGACCTTCTTCGGACTCGCTAAGTTCTTTGATGTAGCCACTGTTCCTGCCGTCAGTGGTCATATCATATCGTGGTTCTACGAGCTCAACAACATTCGGTTTATGGAAGTTCATCCCGAAGTGGTCTACCGAGTTGCCTGTGGTACCAAGTCTGCTCGACTTTGCCGCGAAGCATTCGTTGCATTGGTAGCAGATGCAGCCCTACTCTATCTCCTCCGAATGACAGGCTTCACGCCTGTGAAGTGCATGACGAAACTGACAAAGAATCCTGCGTATGATGTTCTGGACGACTCTGAGCTACAGCGCATTGAGTATGCCAGCAAGAGCTTTGGGGATTTTGTTTTGCGTTGTTTTTCAGGCTTGGCTGGTAGCAAAATGGCCTGGCTACGACACGTTGTCCCGTTTCAGGCATTGAATCGCCATCTTGCACTTCATCCGGAAGATGGTGGTATCGTGAACCCGATCATCAACACATTTAAGGATTACATTCGTGACCGCATTTACGGAGCCTTCTTCAACGGGAGAGATACAAACCGCGCTCTTCATGCAGATCCCAGCGGTGAAAAATTTTCAGACCTATATTACCGATATCTCAGCAGAGAATCTCCTGATAACAAGTTTCTTCTTCAGCGCTTGATCGGCAGAGACTTCTGGCAATCGCTGATATGGCTGGATCTATCCGAAGATTCGACAGCTCGTACAAACTCTCATACTACCATTGCAGCAATCTGCGATGGATGCTTGGCTTTCGCCGGTGATAAAGACGCAACTATTCGCCACGTCTCTAATGATGAGATTTTAGAAGCATGCCTAGTCTTCAACCAACTTTCCCTGGAGAGACTGCAGCTTCGCTACACGCAGGAGTCAGAAGCTGTACGACTTGCAGGTGAAAGAAGAGTGATGGAGATGACAATCAATATTCGCCAGGCGCAGCCAGACACCGAAGAGGGACCTCCTTCGTATGATGGTCCTGTCTGGAACCCAACCCCAGCTTCTGCACCATCCCCGTTGGCTACAGTCACAGCTCCCATACCCCCAAACATCCCAGATTACCTTTTCGATATCGAGGTCTTCAGGAGAGACGCCAGTGAGTTCATAGGGCACTATGCAAACGCGATGCTGAAATCGGATTCAACCACCACCTCCGACAAGATAACGGATACTCTCAGCTGTCTTACCAACAACGAGTACCAATATCTTCCCCTATGGGCAGATGGCAATGACGATGGGACTGGTGGCGTATTCTCCGACCTCGTCGTTCCCACAACGGAACCATTTGATTTTCCAGGACCCGGAGCAGAGATGTACACAGGAAATGCTACATCCAGCGGCTCACTCATCAAAGTGGACCATCCTAGTCCCGCGAGTACCATTCGCGCTGCATCTCGCCATGCAACCTACGATCATTGTTCTGATATGACTTCTTTCGACTCATGTGCCCTCACCCAAGGGTCGGAATGCCCCGAATATCCCACCGAGGTCCAGCCACTGACTCCTTTGAGGGGGTTTCAATATGGTCAATTCGAAGCGTCTATGGATCTTGAACCGGCGATGGAAGATGAATCTGAGACACAAACCGACTCTGCCTTGATGGATATGGAACTAACATCGACTGCAGATCTACTGGGGGATATTGAGATGGGCCACATTGACCAAGACATGGTTGACTTTGAATTTCTTTGACTTTTGCTGATAGTCCGTTCACTGTTGTTAGTTGGAGACCGCGTTATGGAAATCAGGAACAATTTCATGATTTAGTTATCATGATTTAGTGAAGACCAAATCAATTAGCTTAATGAGAAACCTTGGAATAATAAAATGCCAATGCCACGTCCATTTCCCTTGTACAGAGTTGAGGAGAAATGTATAGTTGCAGATGCGCCAATCAGATTTGTTCTTAGCTGACTCAGTTCTCGCCGGGCTTTCAACGAGGCACCTGAACTGTGAGAGCTTCTCTACTCCGCCTCCGCATTATTGAACTTCGAACGAGTACTGCCTTGGAGGATCACCTATCCCAGGTGAATGCCAAAATATTCATTTGAAATCACTTCTGTCCTCCACACCCTTCATCTCCAAGGACACGCCCTGTGACATCATATCATGGCTTCATCATCGAAAACGAGCTCTCTGCTCTAGTACGTGTTCCTGCCTCAGCCCGGAGGCCAGTCAAAGCAGCCCTTGAAGCTCCGAGTCCACTGACCTGGTATCTAGCTCCTGTATCGCCCATCGGACGACCATTCTAGCCGAACACTCCGCACCAGGCACCTCATCAACTGCCGCCTCATCACTGGCATCCATCATCCTCCCAAAGATTACACACGAAAAGGCCCAGAAGCTCACATTTACCCATGAGCGTCTCTTTGTCCACTACATTGCCGACTCGCCAACAGGCAACTCCGACGATGCCAGTGCCAGCGAGACGAATTCGCACGCACCCCTGAGCTTCATAGTCGTCGCATCAGCCGAGCAAGGCCGCCGCATTCCCTTTGCCTATCTGCTTGAAATGAAGCGCAAATTCTTAGCAGCCTACGATCCATCCAACACCGAGTTTTCTTCTCTACCCGCCTACGGCTGCGCAGCCTTCAACAATGAGCTCCGTTCCCTTCTCCACACATACAACACTGCCCCTCCTTCTGATTCGCTTGCCTCCGCACGACGTGAGATCGACAGTGTCCGTGATATCATGACCGAGAACATTGATCGGGTGCTTGAGCGCGGAGAGCGTATCGATCTACTGGTTGATAAAACGGATCGGCTTGGTGGGAGCGCGCACGATTTCCGAATGCGCAGCCGTGGGCTACGAAGGAGGATGTGGTGGAAGAACACTAAGTTGATGATCATGATGGTGGTTGTGGTCATTTTCTTGCTGTATCTATTTATTGGGATGGGATGTGGGTTGCCTGCGTGGGGCAAGTGTGTTGGGCATTGAAGTCCAGCTAATGGAACATGTCAGCGAGCGTGCTTTGGTTGTAATTTTATCTGAGCTGTTTATCATTTGCTGCGACTGGAAATTTTCTTAATGGGTGTGATGTGATGTATTCTTCTGTTCTGCTTTGTCTGTTGCAGACAGTACACTAATCAACAACGGTTTGCGGGATGTACCTCACCATCAAACTCACTTCGTCCTTGCCCGAAAGCATCAGAGTGAGTCTGCAGGTCAGACAGAGACCACCAGCTTCCCAGTGGCTCTGTAATTCTTTCTTCGCCTCTTGTATACCTCGTCAACCACAATGTCCGTAAACGGGATTGATGAGGAGATAATTGGGCGGGACTGAGAGAATCTATTCTCCATATTCATGTACATCATGACTGTAATGCATTTAGAACTTCATCTAGTTCCTGGCATTGCCATGTCCTGGATGTATGGCAGTTGACAGTGATAGGCTAAGAGGTGAAGAGCAGAACAAATGGCATTTATCCAGGCTAGTGGGTCACGTGACTGACCCGGACTTACGAATCATCTTTCGGGTAGGACTCCACCACGACGCGTTCAATGCACCCACCCGAGACTCTTGATCGCGACTTCGGATTTCATGTCGAATCGTGGTTTGTCAATAGTCTAAGCACCTGATCAATCCACCTGCTTGTACAGAGTACAGCGCAACCAACTTTAGCTTGGAGTCCAGCACAAATAATGGGATAGTCGCCATATATCGCAATTGGGAAACATCAAGGCATGGACAACGGGTTTGACTGGCTTCAGGGTTTCTTGCAACCCGGAAGCCAGGCCGAAGATGACCCCAACAGGGATGACATGATGGCTCAGGCGCACCAGGCTTTTCGAGATGTCGAGGAGATGGCAAACGCGACATTCATGAATTCACAACCCCGTGACGAACATCCTCGAAACCAACTCCGACAGGCCAGTGCTCTTCAGCAGCCGCCGTCTACTACCCGCACGTCATTCGGCTCCTCTCAACCCCAGCCGGACTATCCTCAAGGAACCCAGGACTTAGACCTTCCAGATTTGCTTCGAGAATATCTGAACAACCCTCAATCTCATAGCCTAAATCCTTTGATGACGCCAAATAATCCCCCACATGGTGCAATGAAACACGCCTGGACCACTGTTAATCGTGGAAATCTGAACCAAAATGCATCAGTCCCGACACAGGGCTCTCCTAAAGCTGCCCGGAATCCTCCTAGCACCCACGGAACGACGAGGCCAATGGCTCCTGTGCACAGGGCAACAAACACACCGGCGCGGCGAGATCAATCCAGATCAGGAACCTCACAGCAACGATTCAGAACAGTCCCTGGTCACCACGTGCAATCAGGTGGCAATGCACAGCGGCATTATGCGGACCCATATGGAGAGATTCAAAGACGGATTCAAGTGCAGGCGATGCATCCAGACCAGCCCTTGATCCTTCCTGAAATTCCAGAAATTGATTTCCAAACTGCTGCTCGGGCCATGATGGGCGTTCCTCGATCCGCACCCCCACCCCAAGAAACAGATTCGCCCGCGAGGAGGGCTCAGAATACACCCCATGGCCACCCTACGATGGCAGTCAATGAGGGTTCAAGGTCGTCTTCATCCGCTGCGCGACAGAAAAACCAGCCAGTCCCACGTGTTCAAAACACACAAAAAACGGTACCGCGGGCTCAGGGCTTCTATCAATACCCGTATCCAGCAGAGGCCCTAGCCCCTGTTGCTCCCGGCTATCCTCACCTCTCCAATCCGACGACCGCGTCTACGAAAGCCACGCAAAAGTCATATGTTCCCCGGGTTCAAAACAATCCGACGCCAACGAGGTCTACACAACCCAATCAAGGCTATGCGCAGCAACCTGGGCCTATGATGTCTCAAGGAACACGAATTATTGCCAATTCAGAGCCTACAACAGCTCATAATACGCCTTCTGCTAACATGCGGGCGATGAATCGGACGCCGCTGGACCACAGCGGGTCCAACACTTCTGCAACTGCATCTACAACAACCTCCGCTGTGCACAATGATCCGTACCGGGGGCAACTCGTGCGTGGGAACAACCATGGGAAAGTGTCACCAGTCTCGATTGTCGGACCTCCGGCTCAAAATCACACGAATCAGCAGCCGCGAAATCCGGGACAAAATAGAGCCGCGCCAGCAATGGTATCTTCGGCCTCTGTGCCAATAGTCCGAAATGCACCTACTGCCGGCACATCCCCCCTCCCAAAGCCCTCCGAGCCGGCCCATACACGTGGCTCAGATGTCTCTCTGCTTGCCTCTAGAGTGGCTCAACCACGTGCTGAAACCAACCCTACGTTGGGAACTTATCAGTCGCACTCTCACCCTCCACCTGGACTTCAAATGCCCTGGAATCGATCTGCCAAGTTCCAACGTTTGATCAATGGGACACGCAAACCTGTGGCCTCACAGAACCGCCCGCCCAGACAGCTTCCACCGACAAGTGCTTCATGGCAGTATTCGCCTACTCCCGGGGAGTATGCTCAGCAGCACCACTCGGGAAAGATTCTCAAGAACCGTGATGACTTGATGCAGCACATATCGGCAAGTCCAGCGATCACGGAGACACCCTTCGATCCAATTACAGTCGCACGAGATATTCTCATCGCCGCCGGCAGGCATCCAAAGGAAAAGCCTCTGAATAACCATCTAACTCAATTGCGCCGCAATTTTGTGAAACTCGACCCCCGAATCGATCTGCATACATTTCGTTGGGATCTTGTTGATGCCAAACAACATCGCGCTGTAGACTATTTTGCGCTGGCGGCTCATGGGCGGCCCGGCCCGGGCTTGAGTCCCGCGCAAAGTCCGGCGCATAGTCCGGCGCCAATACCAACTACTGGCTCAATGCCAATCCCCACCTCAGAGCGTCCTCCGGCCTCGGATCCCGGGCCAGATCAAGGCCCTCCATCTGACTTGGTGGTTGTTCAGCACCAGGTTGCAACTCCAGCACCGCCGTCCGCCCAGTCAGTCACTGTATCACGTGACACACCGCCCATGTTTCCTCCCAAATCAAGCGGGATCGACGCGCGCCCCCCTCCAAATGGTTTAAGCACCTGGGGCACTTTGCCTTTCGAGCCACCAGCTTATCAGACTTCTGAACGCGTATCACCTGCGCTAGCTTCTTCTACACGTCCCGAATCTCCTGTGCCCAAACAATCCGATCCTCCTACACATTCCACTCCCATTGTGTCAATATCACCGCCGTCGCAAAACGAGTCACAAAAAACTCACCCACCCACCAACCCGCCGCCTGAAAACGCACGGAGTATTCCCAACCCTATTTCAGATGTGAAGTCAAAGACGATATCTCAACCACCTAAAGCCACGACTCGGTCACCTTCTAAGCAAGTGTCCAAAACCCCAGAGACAACGCGCCTTCCAACACCACAGGTTGTAATTCCTCCATCACCAGACAAGATGGTTGAAAAGAAAAAGCCACGCCGCCCACCGAAGAGTGCAACAAACGGTGTCGAAGCGAGAGTTCCATCATCCAAGCCACATGTGAATTATCAGGTATTTGCTTGTCAGTGGGAAAGCTGTGTTGCGGAACTTCACAACCTGGATGCCCTTCGGGGTCATCTTGTGAAGATCCACGTACCACATCACCTGGTTTGCAAGTGGAAAGGGTGTGAGAACTCAACTCCTATGGCAGCAGCCGACATGTATGCGCACGTCTCAAACGAGCACATCTCCAAAATTGCTTGGAAACTTGGGGACGGACCAGTGGTACCAGAACCTGGTGAGACCCAGTGATAACATGCGCCCCCACAGGAAACATACACACATGTTTCAAATTTTTTCCCCTGTGACAATTGTCTAATGAGATCGATGTTCTAGCGGAATTGACACTGGACCAACCGTCTTACCCCGCGGAACCAAACGCCCCGAAGGCCACCATGATACTGCCAGTCGATGCGACCCAAATCCAAGCTTATAGCAAGGTCTATGGGCTCAACTCAGAAGTCGAGAAGGCTAAGGCTGTAATTGACGCAGGGCGCCATTGGAAGCAACAAATTGGACCAGCTCTGGACCAGGATGGTTGCCGTCTCTCAACACCTCCTCGTCAAACCAAACTCAATTGTGAGGAGGTTGCTTTCATCTCACACCATTGATCTATCTCACGTGATGATACGATATCATTTTGTCACACCGTGGCTTGTCTTGGAAGCCTTGGTTTTCATTAGAAACTGGCGTTCAACGAATCTGATAGAATACAATATCTGCAATATGACAACCCGCTGCACACCTTGTCGTGCAAGCTCTTACACCGCGTTGATCTACGGGCCCTACATGTATCTTTACCTAGGCCATGTTTCTCCGATTTACTGGCGAGGAAGCAAGGAAGTCGGCGAAGCGAGTAAAGCCATGAGACTGGCAATCAATGTATCCTCGATTGGCTTTTTAAGTGTACAACAAACATGTTCCGGACCCGCTGGTATGAAATAAACGATCAAATGTAGGCAATGGTATCTTGGTTCCCCGGATTCCTTCCGTTCCTCGCGCGAATTCAACTTTAGTTCCCGTTTTCTGAAGTGGACACCTCTGCGGTGACAGGCGATGCGGAGCTCTTGTCGCTGACTGGGTCGGCGGACTCGTCGCTGGAATTGACGTCCAGGAAGTGGTAGAGGACAATCATCATCATGGCGCAAGAGCCAAGGAAGATAGCAAGACGGTAGAGATCATCGTCGGAGATCATGGTGAGGTGTTGGAGGATAGACGGGGTCACGAATGCGGGTGGACGGGCGAGACGAAGCGATTGGAGGACACTTCAAGATTTTGTTGTTCGAGTGGCACTACTGCGATGCAGGCTAGGAGAGATGTGTTGGGATTAAGCCAGGGTGAACAAAGAGTGATGTGATAGCGCAGGAGAGAGAGTTGGACACCTGGAGCTATCGGATAACGGTACGAGGCACGAGGTACCGCCGCGTAATGCGTGTAAATTAAGCGTTTGAACGGGTATTTTTGCGTCGGTCAAAATGAAGTGGACTCCTCTTTCGACAAGGGTATTCCCTGTACTTATTTCAAAAGGGTAAGAGCCTTTGGGGAGGGATTAAGAAGTGGATTCTAACACTACTGCATGGCGAAGAGCGATTGCTCGGTAATCCGCGTTACGCCAATTCCACTGATTCCCACTTCGACACTTCTCTCTTCCTCTTCCTTTCCCCTCCATTCCTAAAGTACCTCTTTGGATGTGTCCTTCTTCGACATGACTGATTTTCAAGCGCCACCTAGGCCACCAAAAGGCCCTTCCTTACTGGCATGTCTCCAGTGCCGTCACAAGCATCTCAAATGCGATGGCCGGACTCCTATCTGTACCCGCTGTGAGCAAGCGCAATCCCAGTGCGAATATACCAAGTCACGAAGAGGATACAAAGGTCCATCGAAAAAGCGCCGCGCCAATTCCCCCGACAACTTTGTGGCCTCAAATGTCGGCTTGCTCGAGAATCCCGTGGATTGGGGCTTGCAGGCAGCCTTCAAGTATGCGCCAGCCATGCCTCTGCCCTCCGTCGAATCAACAAGTCCTGGGCTACACGAAATGACCCCGCCCATGATGCCATCTGTCCATCCGATGAGCGCACCGCTGACCCCGGATTCCTCGTCGGCTGTCGGCGGAGATGGCTACTTGCTCGATATCTATTATAATTATTTCCACGCTGCCCACCCAATTCTGCCCCCACATCGGCTCCTCGGCCGTAACTTCTACCCCGCCTACCTGGAGCAAGTGATGAAGTTCATTGGCGCTCACTTCACTTCGGCCGCCTCAAGTGATCTGTACCGACCAACGGTCGTCTCAATGGTCCGAGATCAAGCGTCGGCAGTGGAAAAGGTGCAGGCACTGCTTCTTCTGGCGATTGTACTTCATTCGGATAACGAGCGAGCCGAGGCTGGTGTTTGCTTAGCAGCTGCGGTGGACACGGCCTTCGAACTTGGCATGCATCAGGGCAGTTTTGCAATCATCGCTAGCAACGGAGATCCTATCCGTGCCGAGTCGCTGCGGCGTACTTGGTGGGAGCTGTTCGTCATTGAGGGCATGCTGACTGCCCTAGGAGTGCAACGGGAGTATCGCACGAATATGGTCCCGCTCGAGGTGGCGCTTCCTTGCGAAGAGCGCATCTATCACGAGGGCTTGGCGCCACCACCCTCTCCAACCATTGCGCAATTTGACGAGCGTGTATTCGCCGACGAGGACCGTGACTTCTCATCGTACTGCTATCGGATTGAATCGATCCGAATTCTTGGACGTGTGGTTGCTATGCAGGAAATGACCGAAGGACAGCAGGATCTTGTTGAAGCCATCGATGCACGGATTGGTAGTTGGGGCCACCACCTCCCTGAATCGAAGGAGGAACTTCTGCGTCCTGACGGCTCGGTGGATGAGATTATGTTCCAAGCGACCATGATCCTGAATGGTGCAGCTATCTACCTGAACTTCCCACGATCCGACCTACTGTCCTCACCTGCCGTTGCCGCGGAGGTAATTTGCGGCCACCATGGACCAATCAGTGTGCCTGCCTTCTCCCACAACGAGCACGCGATGAAAGCATCCAAGGCAGCTCGAGAACTCTCTCGGCTAGCCGCCTTCCGCCTGCCGGTCATCAAACACACCCCGTTCTTCATTTGCGCGCTCACCTTGAGCTCCATCGTCCAATTAGCCTCCTGCTCCGTCAAAGCTGGCTCGATCCCAGACCCCAGCCGTGATCGTCTGGCATTAACAATTGGAGTCTTTAAGTCATTAGCGCGCACGTGGGCTATTTCCCAATCGATCATGCGACAGATCAAGGCCGTTGCGCGGGATGTGATGGACCTGGGTCTCCGTCCGACGATGGACTCGCTTGATCTGACCACAGTTCTGGACAATAGTCAATTTTGGGTGGATCAAGGCCCCAGCTGAACGAGCAGGAAACGTGGTAACCCTTTTCATTTCTCTCTCGATCAAACGCTTCCCACATCAGGAGTCTCAAAGGCCTCACCGGCAAACACCGCGCCTTGGGCACTTTTGGCCTAGTGCCCCGCTCCCCATCCCTGTCGGGCTCTGGTCATTTATTGGGTACGAACATGTACTACTTCTTAAGAAGTTTATAGGAATGACAGAGGCTTATGGGGGATGAAGGGACATTGTTGTATAGTCCAACACTGGCCTTGGGGCTTCTAAGCCTTTCTCTTTAAGATGATCTGAGGATCCGTGGAGTGATCCTGAATCTGTGACAGCTGCGAACCCAATAGGTTCAAAAGTGATGGGTTTCTGCCCAACATATGCGAAATGCAATAGTAGCCAATATTCATAATACTAAACTCAATGGGGATATCGAGAGGGGGGGTCTTATTCATTGGTGATGAAGAATTGACAACTCTCATCCTCACACCCATCTATGCCTCCTCATTCCAAATGCTCTCGACCTTCTCCCTTGCGACCTCATTTCCAAGCAACCATCCAATGGTTGATATAGTATCAATCTGGGCTACGTCCGACAGCGAGTGTTGCGGGAACATACCCCAATGGCCATGGGGCATACCGGGCCAGGCAACGAGACGAGTAGCAACTCCATTATCCCGGAGCATTTTCTCATAAATCAAACCATCATCACGCAAGGTATCCATGCCATCAACCATCACAACATGAGGCGGCAAGCCCGCAAGCGGGACATCCGAATTCACAGGAGAATAATCAACAGATCGGAAATCGGGCAGCCACCAACTCATCCAAACCTCCAAATCCTTAGAATTGCACACGGGGCCATTCCCATTCTGCTCACGAGATAGGAAAAGGTGCTTGTACTTATCCGGCACGATATGCTCATCCAGCAAAGGTGGGATATTAGCCAGCACACCCGTCAGGGGAGGCGAGAGGTTCTCTCTCAATGCGCGGTGAGCAGTCACCGCAGCGAGATTGGCACCAGCCGAGGAACCGCCGATGACGAAGCCTTGCGAAGGATCGGCGCCCAAAGACGAGGCATTGGCAGCAAGCCATTTGACGGTATCCCAGATGTCGTGATGCGAAGTTGGGAACTTATACTCCGGGGCCAGACGATACGAGGGCAGAACGACAGTCGCATTGTAAAGAGCTGCAGTTGCCTTGGCCCAGGGCAGGAGCTGGATGTTCAAGCCAGTGAAGAATCCACCGCCGTAGATCAGAACTACGAGCGGGGAATTAGGCTGCGGGTTGGGCGGCTTGACGATGCGAAGCTCGCTTTCGTAGCCATCGCGCAGCGTGATGGTCATGATCGACTCATGGGTCCCATGCGAGGCGGGCTTCCTCTCGCATGCCAGCCTGTCTCCAATGTCTGCGCCTGCGCGTAGAATATGCGGAGGGTCTGAAGAGAGGTCAGGGGCTGGGTTCTCTTTGAGAATCTAAATTGTTCATTAGTACTTCGTACATCTGATTTTGTCTGGAGTTGTTGCTTTTACCTGCTCTACTTCTGGGTTGATGACACCGAGCTGCAGAACAGCTTCTGGGGTATTATAGGGGTCCATATTTAAAGCAGAAATGGAAGAGAGAAGATAGGAGAGACAGACAGGGAGAAGATCGGAGTGAATACAAGTGATGCTCCGTACAACGTCTCCAAGTTGAGCCGAGCAGAAAGACGCCGGAAACAAAAGCCCACATGTCCTCAATTCCCCAATTCCACAACTCCTCTCGGTCTCTTAGTGCCCCAGATACAGGCGAATGCGCCAGGCTCATTCGTGTGAGAATCAATAAACCCACTTCTGTCCCACTCGTCCCGATTGGGTAATGTTCGGGCGATCGTAGCCCTGGAGGCGCCTTGCTTCACGGAGCACAGAGGCCCAAGTAGCTGTGAGATTGGAACTTGGAGGATATGAAGCCATTTGGCTGTGTCTGTACTTATTTGTTATCTAAATCAAACCAAAAGGATATATAAACTAACAAATCTTAGCCCGGAATACAATTTGCATGCGCCAAGCGCAGATCGAGATTTAGATCTGCATAGATGACGTTGTGTGAAGTTCGGGGAACACCTCACATTTCTTGTCAGGAGAGCGAATACTTAAATACTCCTGAAGTCCAGGCTTGGGTGTGGACGGACTTCAGGAATAGTTGTGGAGTAATAATACATCAGTTGTATAATCTTGGAAGAGACCTAGATTCTAAGTTGGAAAGCCCTACTTAAGTAAAATGTGGATACCATTGCTTTAGTGAGCCCCAATGTCCTCCAATCTATCTACTATGAGGGCTATTGAATTCACGAAGGAATTGCACTCGCTTGAGAGCCATAACAAACTCCGCATCGCCTCTCAGTGTCAACAGATATCTCCCTCCAGGCAGGTTATCCATCAAACTCCTCGCTTCCTCCAGTTCCAGATCTATAGACGAAGCCAGGCTCAAACGTTCGTGTTCGACTTTTCGCGACATCAAGACAGCTAGGATGTTCAATCAGCCGTGTCGATAGGAGAAGGGTGACTCTCAAAAATTCTCACCATCAAGGTTCATCATATGAGTATGGGCGTGAACGAGTGCTCCCCAGTACGCACATGTGTCGGCTACCCTTCCGAATGCCTCGTTGCGGGCCCATCCCAAAAGACCGAGGAGCAGATTGAGGTCTGTGGATATGGTCTCTCAGCATCGATGGTATAGTGGAGAGATAGCACTCGATACATACCGTTGGCGTTTCCTGTTATCCGGTAGAGCTCGGGAATTTGATCTAACATACGCTCGTAGTTCATTTTGGATTGGATAAAACACTTGGTTCGGATTGAAGAAAATCAAAAGCAGATAAAGATACTGTAGGAGGTGGAATAGTTACAGATCGAAACTTTAGAATGAAATCCCTCTGGAGATATAAGTCGACCGTGTGGTGCGGAGACAAAGAAACTCGGGTTACTCGAGCTTCTCTTTCATGTCGAATGACTGAGACGGAAGCACCCAGCGGATGATTGACAAAGAAAAGAAAAACTTGATGAGATGACGAAGCACAAAGAAACAGAGCTGCTTCTCCTGCACTTGAAATTCAAAAAGAAAACAAAGAATGATGGAGACTTGCGAAATCTATATATTCATCTTCACTTTCACTTGAGCATCTTCGCAACTTATACATACGGCTCATACATCATGCCTACAGGCAATTCTCAAGAAGACGTGGTTCCGGAGTATATCTCCCGCATGGAGAAAGTGCCAGCGCCATTTCTGCCTCCCAGGTCTTCCTATGGCGTTGATGGTGAACCAAATCCTCCAGCCCATATCGCCACAAGACCCCACTAACATAACGTCGATAGGCCTTTCTCGTGCAATGATAGCCTGGATGCTGGATATCAACATCCGGGCGAGCATCAAACGCCGCGAGTTCGAGCGTACCCGCATCAGGATATGTCTTTACATCAAGCACATGGAGCGTGAGTCTGGATTGTGGTGACCAAAGATATTAGAAGTGGACTCTGACAATCATCAGGGATCATGACCTTGAACAATATCACCTTTGTGCCATATAGCGACAAACTAGGCAATGAAATGATACGTGATGCGAGGAATACTTTTAAAAGCCAGATGGTGGCCAGAATGTTGACGGCGGGACCGATCCCCCTCACAAGTCCTATCAGGGAAGAGAAGGAGCTTTGCGGGACCGTGTCGGATGCGCAGACACTGGAATACAAACTTCACCAGTTGGAGGTTATTCGTCACCTGGGCAGAGCTGACCCACCGAGTTTGGAAGAATTCAATGCCTCGAGGAGGCAGCATAGACCGCAGACAGACCCTCGCCGATAACTTTAGAAGGTCTCTATTGCGTGCTTGGGAGCCCTGGAGATTTGCTTGACAACTCAGACTTGGTCCAATTCAATCTATTGAACTCATTATGCAAAGTCTCCATGAAATGATTCTGGAGATTAGACAGTACACCTAGGCACTGGAGATACGCAGAAGTAATGTAAGACACATCAGACAGGGTTCGAACTGACATGCATATATATTGGATAATGTCTGGCACTCGGCGTTTTAGTTAAGGCTTGTTGAATGAAGATTGATCTGTAAGGAACATTGAGGGGGGATCGGGTGCGGCACCCGTGGACAGCCGGCAGTCTTAATCACCCACCAAATGCCACAGCTCGACCCTTTCGGTTGAACCTGATTGTGTAGAGGCCTCTGTGTCCTCAGTTCCATCCTCGCCATGATCGAACTAAATCCCGGCACATTAGCCCCTCATTCTTGATCTCTATGCTTGTTTAGCGTCAGGTAGTTTCTGGCCACCAGGAACCAGACGTTGGAAGACATGTGTCGGGTCGTAGATCGCCTGAACAGCGCGAAGTTTAGCAAGGTTTTTCTCGCCGTAGCTTGTCAAGACTGGCTGGTTCCAGCCAGAGTATGCAAGCATACTAGAGCAGGTTCGCACATTAGCTACAGTTGAGACAACAGGAAGGGTAAAGTAGGCACGAAAAGGCAGGAATGACGAACAGGTAAGGATGAAGAAGATCACGACTGGCGGCCAATTTCTGCATCTTCTGAACGAATTCGTCGTGATCTGGCAACACTCGAGCGGAATCCACTTTGTTGTCAAAGGTGACTCCAAAGTAGAGGACTGGATCACAGATACCGACATCCATCCGTCCAAGAATGACCTTGTGCCCGAAGCAGTCTATCTGGTGGACTGGACCGGTCCTACAGACCATGCAATCCTAGGAACTGGCCATCATGGCTCAAGCTGCTGGTCCTGTGCAATGTGCTGATAGTCAACCTCAGTTTTTACACGGCGCCAGGAATCTACTCAGCCAGCATGACTCCGATCCAAGAATCCTTGGGTGCTTCCTACGAGGTGGCCATGCTTGGCCTCTCGTTGTTTGTCATTGCGTATGGTGTAGGCCCGCTGATTGTAAGGTAGCCCGACGGACCTATTGACCCTAGTCTGGAATCACTAAGAACTAGTCCTTCATATTCAGTTATCGCCCATTTCCAATTTGCAGGCCATCGGTCGCACCCCGGTCTACGTGCTCGGCTCACTGGCCTTCTGTCTATTCAGCATCGGAGCTGCGTTGGCGAAGAACATAGAGACCGTTATCATTCTCCGTGTTCTAGGTGGCCTAGTCGGGGCCTCTCCCACCTGTATCGGTGGCACTACCATTGCTGAGGTGTTTGGACCTCGTGAATTACCCTACGCGTTGGCAGTGTATGTACTGAGCGGAGTGTGTGGCCCGGCTTTCGGCCCTGTAAGTTGCCTGCTCCTTACCTACGACTAGTATGATCGGACGGCTTCTTTTCTCTTTAGTTACTGGGCACCGCCGTGGTGTAAGTCTTTTCTGTGCCTTTTTTATTTGTTCTCCCTCGCCAAGATTGCTAATTAGACCTATTAGCGACCGCTGGGGTTCGTGGTCTGCAGCACTCTGGTTGATGGCTGGAATCGTCGCCATATCGACAGTGTTCATGTTCTTCCTGCTCCCAGAAACTCTGGCCGACAACATTCTCTATCGTCGGGCCGCTCATCTGCGCCAGGTAACTGGGGATAATAGGTATTACAGCCCGAGTGAGGCGGAAACCACCGAGAATAACCTGATCTGGGCGATGCTCGAGCAGATCGCCGTTGACTTCCGACTCTCCTTCATTGACCCTGTGATCCTATTCATCATCATCCACACTATTAGTATATGTAAGGCTACGGGAGAGAGAAAAAGCTCCAAAAAATCCATAAAATTGACTGATGATATGATCAAAAGGAGCGGCAAGTCTAGGCTCTGTGTAGAAAAGGCAAGGGCTGAGCAAGGCGAAAAGTTCCACAGATCCTGTGAATACAAACCCATGCCCACAAGCCGGACAAGCGCGTGCACAACCTTGGGCAAGCACTTGTGCGTTGTCCCGGACAGCATGGATGGACACATTCCCCCTGAATACTCATTAAACCAAGTACTCAATCACGAACCCTTGGGAAAGTCCGTCAAGGCACTAATCTCCCGCCACTCCTCAATTGCCGTTAAAGTCTCAGATGCAGCCTTGCCAATCGCTTCGCTAGCATCACTGCCCAAAGGCAAAAAAGTAGGTAGGGATTTCCCCTTTGCAACTCCCGTAGAGGTAGTGACGTCGTAGATAACCTGTGCGCCTTTGACAGGGTTACCCAGTTGGGCGCCGTTGAAAGCAGCAAAGTTGGAGTCGGTTGTGTCGTTTACTTCTTTGTAAGCTGATAGACGCGAGGTTTTGTCGGTTGGGGTAATATTGGCTTTGGGGTTCAACAATTCGGTACGGAAGAAGCCCGGTTCAACTAAACAGTGGCGGATTCCGAACTGGGAGATTTCACCCCCGAGTCCAAGTCCGAGCCAGCGCAGAGCAGCCTTGGAGGCGTTGTAGAGATTGCAGCCGGCCATGGGGTACCAGGCAGCCATAGAGCCGATCGTAACCAAAGTGCCTGACCCTTTAGTGCGGAGATGGGGCAGTAAAGCGCGGTAGAGGTTCAGGGGGCCGAATGTATTGGCTTGGAATTGACGCTGAGTCTCTTCTGCGGTGGCCTCTTCCAGCATTCCTGTGTGCACGTAGGCGGCATTGTTGACGACAATATCGACCGTTTCATAGACAGCTAAGATGGTTTTAACTGCTTCCTGGAGCTGGGCTGGGGGTTCGTTGTGGTCTAGGTAGACAGCCTTAATATTGGGATTGGCTGACTCGAGCTCAGCTAATTTATGCGGACTCCGAGTGGCAGCCAATACACGATCTCCGCTCTTGGCGGCCACTTTAGCCAATTCGAGGCCAAATCCAGACGAGGTGCCAGTGATGAGCCAGATTCGGGAGGTAGAAGACATGGTGGATATATGGATGTGTTTTCAAAAAATCGAGATTAGGATGTTCGAGGACCGGTAGGGGAGGACGTTCATTTAAGCCCTTTGCGAGTAGTCCTGGATGTATACTCGTAGTCTGATGTCACATATGATGGACCTGCGTAAATGAGGGGTTTTCGGTTTAAACAGCTCAACTGTAAATCCAACAAAGCATCCCTGTCGCAACTGCCTAGCAAAGTGGGCCAAATCCTATATACCAAAAAAATGCTTATTGGTTTGCGAAAGGATTGTGTGGATAGTGTAACGGCTAGTATCCAAACCGACTAATTAGATTAGACACTGGGGATCATGATGCATCACACATCTTTAAACAAAGAAATGTGATATCCATGGATCCTAAAAAGACGGAGATAAACATCGCAGATACTGTAAAGCCGAGTGTGATGCGAGTAACCTTCATTACCTGTTAGTCTCCACCTGTAGACACCGCTGCTTAAAGGCTTTCTCGATGAGTCACCCGGTTGGTATAGGTGTCTGGAATGATGCTACTAGTGCAAATGTACGAGTCTGGGCCTGTACTCGTAGGCAAATTATAGTATCGCAAAGGTGGAGCCACGTTCATCAATTGACGGCGAACCTGCGAAGCTTTGTTTCATCAATGACTGTGATGGTGGGTCGTCACTGGATGTGATCTTTTGGGTTCATGCCATGCAGTGGCGGCGCTTGAAGCTGAAAGTCATAGCAGGTATTTCGAACCTGTGATCAGATATATTTGAGATGTCATGAAAGATACTCGTGATACTGACAACCACAACTTTAGAACCCATCGTTTATAGATTAGAGCCAGTCTCGCAATTTTAGCCTTTTGAAAGAAAAAAAGATGTACATAGTTGCTTTATTCCAGCACTAAAAGAAAACCGTACAGATTATCCTCGCTTGGTTGCTGTTGCTTTCCAACCTTGGAAGGTTCCAAGGTTCCAAGGTTTTATAGTAGGATTATGTAACGAGGTAGGGAAAGGACTCCAAAGCAACCGGCACAATTCTTTCCAGCAAATACGAGTAGACCATAGCGTGGTCACCTTGGTGGTCCAAGTGGATCTGCGAAGTCAGCTCGGTCCGGCGCGGCCCTCCAGACGTAGGCGGCTACACGTACTCGAACACATGAATCTTTTCATGACTGACTACGAAGATGAAAGAAGCGAGAGTTATGTTGAAAGAGCTAAGAAGAAAATAACCACTAAGTAGGAGTATTAACATCTTCTTAAACGAGACGCACTCCTTGACTTGCATTTGCGACTTGGGCGCCAAAGTTGGACCGGTGCGGACTCGAGGGGGCCTGGGGTCTCCTGCGTAGGGATCAGCTGTTAGCGCTTGCACCACCAGCCTCATTCTGCTTAAGCAAAGGTGCATTAGCGGCTCCTCGGTATCCGGCTTTCTGGCGTGCCTCCCGGGAGGGGCTTCCCAGATAATAAAAACCCTACCTAGGTAGTCTACTCAACTAATAATAATAATAATAAAAAAAGAAAAAAAGAAAAAAAAAAGGAAAACAAAACCAACCCCTAGTTCAACGTACATAAATTCCCATTGTACAACTTCAACAACTGATTTACTCTATGTATAGAATATTTTCTATCCAAAAAGGACACTCTATCTATATATTTGCCAATTCCCTCTTATTCAAACCCTCATTGAAGTCATTTCCTTCGACCAATACCTCAACAATCGCCTTCTCACGCGCCACTATTTGAACGGTTCTCCGCGACCGAAATACCCTTGGTTGTCTAAAGAACCACCTTTCTCTGCTTATTGCATCGAGGTCGAGTCTGTCTCTTCCATGACGGGCCATCCAGCCATATGCATAATGCGACCAGGTAATTGTGCAGTCTGGCACAACACTTATAATCGAGAGTGTCGTCATCACGGACTGGATTCTCAACGGAAACCAGGGCGTCCTCGATATCGAGTATTCCTGAAGTCGTTCTGGAGTGGTGTTCATGGCGATGTAGAGGGAAAGTTCCAATCCAAGTTTGAACTGCAAGTTAAGCAGCTGCTGCGGAGGGGCTATTTCCAAGGTTGTGTGACTTGTCAGTATAAAATACGCATACGTAATCACAATGTACTTAATAAAGGGGTTCCCGTTATAAATAGGTTACTGTAGTTGCATATATATGTACTTTATCGAGGATTGTCTCGAGGTCTGCGCAATGCGGAATGGATAGGCGCTCAGGGAGTAAGGATATCTCGGACTTCTCGCCGACCTCAAGGGATTATGTATATGTAGTTGCAAGATAACCCAATGCCGAGTGAGCAAGAAACCACGTACCCCGGCTTTCGCATGTATCATTAATCCACGTATCTCCTTGCTGTATCAAGCAAAAGGGGGTCCATGCTATGTAGGCCGGAGATGCTCCGTGTGCGTGGACAGTGGAGTATGCGTAAATCATCACACTAGAACATCCTAGATTGCCGATCCAGCCCTGGAACCGTTCGAAGACCTGTCAGACAGAAACTGGTTGAAATACTGGACAATTGCTCAGGGGGTTTTGACGGACACCAATTCTTATCATGGATTCGACGGCACAGCATATGTCAGAGAAGGACAAAGCTGACGGTCTAGCTGTCAATCTTACTTCAATTGCCGACGGTGCTTTAACCCCTGGCACGAGCACCCCTTCATCATCTCTCGCCCTCAACCTAGTAACCTGGGATGGGCCCAACGACCCCGAAAACCCCCAGAATTGGCCTCGATCAACAAAGCTAATCCGATCCGCTGCACCGCTAGCCGTAATTTTCTCTATATCCATCGCATCAAGTATCTTCGGAGCCGCCTCCGATATCACATCGCAAGAGTATGGCGTCTCACGAGAAGTAATGAGTCTCGGTGTAGCCCTCTTCGTCGCAGGCTTCGCTGTTGGCCCTCTCGTGTTCGCCCCAATGGCCGAGGTGGTCGGAAATGCACCACCAATGGCTGTTGCTCTAGCGGGCTGCGCCATTTTTCAAATCCCACTTGCTCTTGCAACCAACGTGGAAACTATCCTCCTAAGCCGCTTCCTGGCAGGCACATTCGGTGCTGGTGGATTAGCCGTCGGCTCGGGGATTCTGGCCGACATCTTCGGTCCAGTCACTCGCGGGGTCGCGGTGGGTGTCTCTGCCACCGTCATGAACATGGGAAGCATCATCGGCCCAGTAGTCGGTGCATACATCGTTGATGCATATGGCTGGCGCTGGACCGCCTGGGTAACACTCATTCTCTGCACCACTGTCGGGCTAGCATGTACTGTGATATTGCGCGAGTCCTCGCACAACCGTATCCTAATGAACCGAGCTGCCCGACTTCGCCGCGAGACAGGGAACCAGGGTCTTCGCGCACAGGCTGAAATGGCCTCCTTAGACCCAAAGGTTCTTCTGCGCAAGTACACGACGAAACCAGTCCGTATGTTTGTTCGAGAACCAATCCTGATTGTCATGACAATCTACCTGACCCTCGTTTACGGCTCTCTGTACCTCTCGTACCAGCTGTTTCCGCGTGCATTCCGTAGTCGGGGGTGGAGCAAGCCTACGGCAACATTGCCGTTCCTCGCTGTTGGGCTGGGCGTGATCTCGGCGCTGGCGTTGTTTTCGACTTTCACTATGACATGGTATAAGAAGCGGTGGGTGGCTGCGCAGCTAGACTCGAAGGGCGCATCATCACCTGGTCGTGTTGCACCAGAGAAGAGATTGCCGCCTATGGTGCTGGGTGCTGTGTTGCTGCCGCCGGCTCTGCTTTGGTTTGGGTGGTCGGGTGGTGCGCATTGGACTGCGCAGGTGATCGCGTGCTATGCCATTGGGCTTGCGCTGCAGACTATCTTCATCTGCGGTATTGTGTATATTGTCGACGTGTATTTGATCAATACCGTGTCTGCAACGTGTATCCATGTCATGGTTCGAAGTGTTGTCTCGGCGACATTTCCGTTGTTTGAAGGCCCCATGTATGAGAGACTTGGGATAAATTGGTCGGCTACCTTGCTGGCCGGCTTATCGACGTTGATAATGGCGTCTCCGATTTTGTTCATAATTTACGGCTCCCAGATTCGAAGCTGGAGCCGTTTCTCTGTTGGTTAGTGATAGATCATAGGTATTCAATAATATGAAAGGAAAGTGTGACAAAAAGTGCCTTAAAATTCAATAACGAGTCTAGAATTGCTACCACCCATGTGAAAAATCCAGGGGTATCTCAAAAGCTGATGCTGATGCAGGACAAGAAAGAGGCTATGCCGGAGTGAAGACAAATGAAAGACATCAACAAAAAAGAAGTAAAAGACGCCAGGCAATGAAAAAAACAAAATCAAAGAAGCCAAAACTCCTTGATGTATGCTCAGGTCGTATCAGAATTGAGATAAAGAAAGCAAAAACTAAATGGAAGTTGAAAACCATCTGATAAAAAAAGGAAAATGGAATAAAACAGAAGAACCTACATACTAAGCAAAAGAGCCTAGATACTTGCGCTGTTGCTCAATTCGCCCGCATCTCCTCCAGGGCAACAGCTCGCCGGGCCACAACATCCTCACGACGCACCACTTTCCGCAATGCTTCACTAGCGTGTATCAAGCCATCAATACTGATTGCATGGTTGGTCATTTGGTGATTGATGTACGTGTAGAGCGCTGCTGGTGTCGAACAGGTTGTCAACAATTGTTGCTCATTGAGCTTAAGCAATGCAAGAGCAACTTGGAACAGGAACGTGCTTCCCCCACCGCTGCCGGAGGCAATATCCGCAGAGGCCTTCATCTTCGCAGCTTTGTCGGCCTCCTTGGCGATGGGGCCACTTGACCCTGGTCCATTGTCTGTGGTGGTCACGTTGAGGCATAGAATGACATCCCAGACACGATACAGGGCCTCTGCAGAAAGACAGTCTGTGAAGACAGACAGGAACCACTGGAAGGTGAGCGCCTCCAGCTCGATGCCCAACTCCTCTAGATGGGCAGAAAGCTTTGGAAGAAGCTCTGTAATGTACTGACGCAGGACCACCTGGTCCGCACGAGAGGCAAGCAAGCCATGGTCGTAATAATGCTCAGGCAGGATGATCTCAATCATGGAGGCCAAAATCCAGAACGCATCTTCGGCAGTCGGCAGAATCAACAACAGAGATCCCGCAATCAAGTTCATTCCCTGGCAGTAACCGACCTCCGGGTTGCGACGTGAGTACGCAAGGAGGACCTCCTTCAACTTATCCACACCAGGCCCCTTGCGGAAAAAGACATTGTCGGTCAGAGTCCGACGGATATCCATATCGATCTGTGCCACAACAGAGGAGTCGGGTTCAGAGTCACCGACACCACGAACAAGATCATCATAGTAACCAGGAATCCGCATCGCCGAAGCCCCACTGCACTCCGACCAAACCTTAGCACGGAGAGCAATTGGGATTCCGCCGAGGACAAGCATTCGGAATTCCCGCCACTTTGCCCGACCGACCTTGCCCTTGTTCCCTAGACCTGCAATGCCTACCACTTCACCATCGGCAAGCGATGTTTCAGGTGTGGCGAACGCAGGAACAGATCGATCCGAACTTGCAGCAGCGGCTTCACCTTCCTTTCGACGCTCCGCGCGCACTTTTCGCAGGAACTCGTTCCACCCCACAGTCCGGTCACGCTGCGATGTATCATGTAGATCAGCCAATTGCCGCAGTAGCAATTTCACCGGCTCTATATCTGCGGGAGTGAGGCTGGAGGTCGTGTCTCGGGGCTGATCCGAGGACAAACCGGCGAATTCAGGCCTGTTGGCAGTCACTGCGGAGGTGGACGCCGATGGCTGTGCGCTAGATCCGACGGCCAACGCACCGTCTTTGTCGACTGAGACGGAAGAGCTATGAGAGCGACTATCGGTGGCGGCGGTCAAGGAGATGATGGGGCCTGCGGAGGGGGTATGGGACAATAGCTCTGTGGGACGGTTCGGGACCCTCAGATAGTCTTGCCAGCGAGTAATCGCAACAGCGCCGCCTTCGAGGTCATCGGGTGAGCCAGGGAGAGAGTTCAATGTACCTGGAACGGCCTGAGAAATCGCTGGCACTGCAAAGTCATCATCCAGGTCCGAAATATCGGTCCGGAGTGTACCAAGAGTCTCGGTGATACTCAATCGGTGATTGCCACTCTTCGCGCCGGCGGCTTCTCTCTGGCGCTTGTTCCTCCGCTGGTCATATATGAAACCGAAGCTGTCGGTGAGGAATTCGCCCTGGTAAGCGTTGTTATAGATAGGAGTGAGTGTGGGGGGCTTTGATTCCAAGGGCAGGATGGCGTCCATTTCGACGGGCCCAAGGTTTGTCGAGCTCTGTTCAGTAGTCTCCGACGTTGTGCCCTGTGATACACTGCCGGCGGCAGTGCGTCGCGGTGGGGGTGGGCCCATTTTGCCTTGGGTACTAGACCCGCTGGCGGAGCGTACAGTGGAGTTGGGCAGACTGGCATTGCTATTGATTCTCTTCAATGCAGCCACTGCCGACAACCCACCCTTGGAGTTCCCAGAGAGAGTTGATGAGGCACTCTTATCACCATCTGGTCTTTGGGGCTGGGGTTTATTGCCAATGGACTCGGAATCGCTTCCATCCTTGCCAGCCTGGGAATTACCAGCGAACAGCTTGATTGTCCAAGAGCCAAAAGACTTCGAAGACTTGCGAGAATCAATGCTGGCATCATCACCACCATTGGTGGACGTACTAGCAATACGCCGAGCTGTCCCGCTTCGTGCTGGATCATTAGGTGGCTGGAAAAGTTGTTCATCGAGTGCCTTCCTTCGCATTGCGGGATTCATGGGCAGACGAAGGCCCTCAGCTTCTGCTTCGGTTTCCCCAGCCTCGCTCATAAGACTGCTAGCGCAACTAGTCTTGCGGCTTGTGTTGGTAGAGCCGAAAATGTATTCCTGCCAGCCTCGAATGGAGCTTTGACGTTTCCGGTTGTCGGTTAGTCCGCTGCCTGACGTATCGGTGTTTGATCGCAGGGGACGGATCGTGGCCTGAGGCTCAGGTTCCGCGCAAGTCCGAGATCCTACGGCATCCTCCATTGCTTGGGACATAAGTCCATTCAATCCAGAAGAGTCCTGGCCAGTAGGGTCACTACTGTGACTGTGGGTACTCTCTGCATCCGAGGTGCGATCAACCGGAGGATTTTCCATTTGATACAACCGGCGTTCGATATCCTGGTTGGAGACCGACACCTCTCGCAGCATCCGCTTGAGCTCACGTTCTCTTGCGTCGGCGCGTTGGCGGAGAGCTGAGATCTCAGCATCCCGTTGAGCCAGGTCACGAGCAAATTGCCTGACTAGGTTCGTGGCCCCCGAGCCGGATATCAGCCGTTCGATGTGGGCATCATCCGCTAGGTGCAGGGCGCCCGGAATATCATGTCGCGGGACTGAATCAGCGAACAGAGCAGCGCGACCGGACTTGTGCGATAGACCACTCGTCAAATTTGCTAGTGTTGCTTTTCTTCCACGAGTATGTTCACCGTGACCGTGATTGCGACCGCGACCGCGCTCATTTGCATGCATGTGCCCTCCATCTTCCTCAGAGTGCAGAGTATTCACCAAGCCGCGAGGTAGGGTTGGTGATTGGTCGGGCGGTGACAGAGAAGGGAATGAAGTGAGGTCGGTGGTTGTGTTGGAAGAGCCTGAATGACGTTTTTGCATCTTGGCACGGACTGTCTTCGCATTTCGGCTTCTGCATGACGCGCTAGAAGCTTGTGAAGACGAGCGTCGTGGTGAGGGAACTTCGGCGTCCGCCATGACTCAACAACCGGGCAATGGTGTGGGCAGTGGTATGGCTGTTTGGTGACTTCATGAAGGCTTTTGAGAACTTTTCGGGCTGGTATCCAGGGATTGGAAGAAATTTTTCCTCCCCGTGGCTAGCGAGGCAGTTCTGTTGATGTTCACTCACAGCGTTGTGTGCTTGGCGATCCCTGTGTACAGTGGATCTGGAATGAAGGGAGATCTGCTTAGATTTTCAGGGGCGATCGCGGATCTCAGCCCTGGATCAAGCTATTTTGGGAGCAACAAAAGCATGGGAAAACAAAGAACTTTGAATTGTATGTTTGAAACACACAATAAAGGCAGCTTGGATACCCTGGCGCACATGACGTTAGTCCGATAAGCGGTCACGTGTGGTTACGATGCTTATCGCTGACCGCCTCAGAAGCCGAGGCTCTCCGCATAACCGACTGGGTGGGGAATAGATGATTGGAGTTATAAGCTGTAGTGCCCCGGCAGTAGGGACTATGTGTTATATGCTTTTAGTGCTGCTTCATTACACTTTCAATTCCTGAATTCTCAATCCTCACAACATGTCAGCCGCAGCGAAGCAGCGTCTCCAAGCCCTAAGCAAACAGCTTGTTGAAGGAATTCCTTCTGAGGGCACCTTTGAAGACATTCCCAAGATCCGCCATGTAGCCGCGGACTCTGCAGGACCGTAAGTAGTGACGGCTTCCGATCTGATAGCAGTACAGCCAGCTTCTGGCGATGCCTTCCCGTGGAAGTAAGACAGCTAACACCGACCTCTGCAGTCGAACAAAGGACAAGGTGGTGATTATCACCGGTCGGCATTCCTAGCACAATATTGCAAACAGGATCACATTGAAGCTAACTGGGTTATAGGTGCCAATTCTCCTAATGGAATTGGCCGAGCTACTGCACACCAGTATGCCAATAATGGCGCAAAGGCAGTGTACATTTGCGACTTCGCCGACAACCACCTAGAAACTCACAAGCGAGAGATGAAGTCCCTCTATCCCAATGTGGATGTCCATGTGCGCTCATTTGATGCAGCCGATGAAAAGGCCGTTACTGCTGTTATTGATGAAGCAGTCAGTCAGTATGGTCGGCTTGACATCTTTTTTGCGAACGCAGGCATCGTTGGTCAACCCAAGGTATTCACCGAGGTTGGTGGTGATGAATTCCTAGAGACAATGCGTGTGAATGCTCTCGGGTGAGTTACTTCAGAACGACTAAGCAGAGGGATTGTCCCAGCTAAATAATATTTCCAGTGTATTCCTAGCAACAAAGCACGCCGCCCCTGCAATGAAAATTACCTCTGCATCGAAACCTTACTCGGGCGGCTCGATTATCGGTACTGCCTCGGTAGCAGGACTACGCTCCAATGCTGGATCGACAGATTACTCTGCCTCCAAGGCGGCGGTGGTATCTATTGCGCAAACAGTTTCATACCAGCTTGCAGGAACAGGGATCCGGATCAATGCAATCTGCCCCGGTCTCATTGAGACAGGGATGACGCAGACGGTGTTCGACAAGGCCCGCGAGCGTGGCACGGAGCGCAAGGTCGGACAATTGAATCCCTTGCAGCGGGGCGCGGTTGCTGATGAGGTGGCGCGCGTTGCCTTGTTCCTCGGAAGTGATGAGAGCAGCTATGTCAATGGACAGGCTTGGGCCGTCTGTGGTGGATTGAGTGCTGGACACCCGTTCGTCCCAGGGAAACTTGCATAGGTCTATACGCGTTTATGCCCTAAGCTTCATGGGCCATCACGAGTATCTCGAAGTTCGACAGAGTGTCGGGTGCGGAAACATCAACATCTGAGCCTGGCCACTACTTATAGTTTCAAGTAAATAAAATTTCAGAGAATCCATTTTCAAGTACGGCAGGGTGCTAAATAGACCCTGGTAGACTAAGGATCAATCCATATCAAGGATTGTGAGATATAAAAAAAAGGAAATATCCGCTAATATAGCGGATCATGGTGCACAGTGAGGGCTCTCTCGCGTGGTCGAGATATGAGCTTTAAAAACAAATCAAGAAGCCGTTTCATCCCAGACGGCACGACATGTGGTAAATAGACAACGGATTCCTCGGGAGGGGAACAGGGCAAATGAGGAAAGAAAAAGAAAATCCCGGGAAGGCAAAAATGACCATAATTATTGGACAAGAAAGGAGATAGATGGGTGGATATAGGGAGTATCAAAAGTCGACACAACGAATAGAGAAAAGTACGCCAGAAAGCCAAAGCGTATGTGCGTAAAGATACTGCACAGAAGGAGACGGAAGAACCACGTCAGACGGGGAAAATGAATGGACAGAGAAGAGAAAAAGCAAACAAGTTCGTCTCAGTCAAGCGTTGCATCATCTCAAGTGAATGATGAAGAAAATTAGATGACTCGTGCGGCAGATGACTGCATCAAGTCCTCACTAGCTTGCTTTGACAGAGTACCAGTCTCAGTCTGCTGGTCGTCAACATTCTCGGAATCGTGAGCATGCTCGTCATCATCCTCAACAATGCGGGTAGGGATGTCACCAGGTCCATATTGTTGACTTGAGCGCTCGGGGAAAGTCGAGCTGCTCACCATGGACATGGAGGTGCTGGAGCGGTTGTGGACCAGATCCGGGGTGGGAGGGATGCTGGAATGACGGTTGTCCGGGTGAAGGGAGCTGTTGTCGGCATCGCTGATCTCGCTAGCGGCACGGGTCGAGGCAGCGTACTCTGAGCCAAGACGGTCAGACAGGTGGATCTTGGAGGCGTCGGTCTCCTCCTCGTCTTCGGCATCCTGGGCGAGGTGCAGGCCTTCGACGGCAGCGGCACACTGGTCGCTGATGCTGCGGATGATATCTGCGATGGCATCTGTCTTATCCCGCAGGTAGCGGTCGGCGACATCTGTGATGCTCAGGCGAGCAAGGGTCTTGTGATCCTTGCCAAGGTTCAGCAAATGCTGCTCCAGCTCGGGATTCATGTCATTTACCAAAGATTTTTGACCATTGACTTCTTTGACAGACTTGACTGATTCCTTCGACTCAACGACTGACTCCTCCGCCTTGGGCTCCTCGGGGGCGTCTTCGTAGCCCTGCTCGACCATTTCAGTAATCTCGGACCGGCTACCAATGGAGCGGACAATGTGCTCCATGTGGTGGCTCTGGCCGTTGATGAGGCTACGCAGGTGCATGACCACGCGCTGAGCGTCCTCGCGCTCGCGAGAAAGAGTCGAGTTAGTGTGAGAGAGAGCGGAGATCTCCTTCTGGTTGCGCTTGCGCTCGCGCTCGAGCTCCTCGGCAATCTCCTGCTGGAGAACCAGGGCTTCAAGGGCGTCATCGCGCTGCTTCTCGGTTCCAGACAAGCGCAGAGTAAGACGAGCCACATCGTCCTTCTGTTGGTCAATGAGACCAGTGAGACGGCGGCTCTCGCGCTTGTGGGTCTCGATCTTGACCTTAAGCTCGGAGGTCTCCTTGGTGAGCTGCTCGGCGAAGGCCTGGAACTTGAGGAACTGCTGCTTCCAGGTCTCAAGCTCCTCCACAAGGAAGTTGTTGCGCTTGCTGACCTTGCTGAGCTCGGTGTCCATTCGTCCCTTGAGGTTGATGAAGTCCTGCCACGCCTCCATGGCATCACGAGAGTACTGGTTGCGCTCACGAACAATCTCATTGAGATGACGCATGGAAACCTTGGTCATCAGTGGCTTCTTGACGGAGCCACCGAAGATCGCCTTCATTCCGGTGTTGCGGCCCTGCAGAAAATCAGTTAGCGATCCATTTGTTAGCGACTTTGGAGACTGAAGACGTACCAGCTTCTCACAGACGTGGTCCATGACGCCCATAACAGCATCTTGGTTCCACCATTGGGGCTCCTCAACACTCTCGACCTCGCCTCTCATAACAATGATCTGACCGGCGGGGATGAGCTTGCCACCAGCGTAAGCGGAACGCAAGTGTGCGGGCACACCAGAGGGTGAAACATCGCCGTTCAATGATTGAGTCATCCGGGTGATGAACTTGGTGCGCTGGCCTTGGTTCAGCACATTGGGAGGGCTAGAAGTCAGGACGAAGTTGCGGTCCAAGTCAACAACCAGGGCATCGGAGGGAGCGTTGAACAGAGTACGGCACTCGGCAGTGACACCCAGAATGTAAGGGCCTGGCTCCTGAGCGAGCTCCTTAATGTGACGGGCGTGCACAACGGGCACATACAGACCACTCCACTCGTAAACGCGAACGCAGTAGCGAATAGTTTCAGCTGCGACGGTCAACATAGCTGGGTAGTGACTGACGAAAATGATGCGGCGGGTGGGCGAAACGGCAGCCTCGATCACACCAACAATGTTGGGAATCGACAGACAGGTGAACAAAGGCCACATAGCGAAGTTCTGGAAGCCGGTTGGTGAAGATGGGAATTGGTAGCAGAGAGCGTAATCCTTCATATCAATACGGACCAGATCGTTCAGACGCGGGGCTGGGAAGCTGAGGATACGGGAGACCTCCTCTGCGTGGAACAGGTTGGTGGCCTTGTTCCAGTGAATCCACATCCCGCGAAGGTAATCACCCAACAGGTCGTACAGTGGGTACCGGGAAAGGAAGCTGAGGCAGTAAGGAATCCAGTAAGTCTCATCGGGGTTGTCGTAGAAGTCCGGCTCCGTTTTCTTGCGCAGCTCGCGAATGGTCTCGGCACGCTTTTCATCGGCACGGGACCAAACGCGCAGCGCGATACCGTACAGAGTGTGTGAGGAGTCCTGTTGTAGAACGAATGCATGGTGAGCGCAGTGAGGCTGGCTCTTGCCGGTGCAGATCTCTACGTCGTGGGGGAAGCAAGCCCTCATGGCCGAGTGCAGGGCTCGTGCGATTTCGTTGTCTTGCTCGAGGCGAGGGCTGCTGCCCAGAATCTCAGGGAGCCAGAACTGGCCGACAGCTCCCTTCATGTGGCCAATCTTACCCTGGGCGGGGGCGGGGGCCTTCACCCATTGTGATGGTTCGCGTCCCACACCGCATACCATGTAGGCATGAGTGAGTGTCTTCGGTGTCCGCTGGGTGGGCTTGACGTTGAGTGTGGAGGGACTGGGTTGGGTGATGCGAGAGTGCAACGACGACGTGCGGCTAGGAACGACCAGCGAATTTTCCCCTTCGCCGCGTGTCGAAGGCCGATCCCGAGTGGATGGTCGGACAAAGGACGCGTGATCTCGCAGAGAGTGGCCCATTGTGATTTTCTGTTATAGATGTCGAGTTGGTGGAATCTCTGGAATGTCGGTAATTCAAGCACTAACTAAGTGCAATTCGAAAGGAGGGTTTGCCCAGATCAAGGAATGTCGGAATATAGATGTCGGGGCAAAAGAGAGAGAGAGAGAGAGCCCGAAATATTGTTTAGGACGCTACACCATCCATACAGATCTTGAAGTCGCGAGAGGGGAAATTCACCTCTAAGAGATAGAAAGGCTGAGGAGAGGAGGGTTTAGGGGCAAATAGGAGAGAAATGAGTAGCACCGAAGCTAAGGCCAAAGGGGGTTCGTCTGGGAGTCCACTTTAATTAAAGCCTTTTAGCGGACAGGTGTATTGTAATTGTCTAGTAATCCCATTGGTATTCTGCAATTCGATGATTTCTTTTTGATTTTTTCGATTTTTTTCGAGGCTGGGATGTGCTTGTTTCATCTTGGTGTATTACCTGCAGGGCAGCTTCTATGCTTCTAGGGGATACAAAGGTACGTAGACTCCCACACTATCGACGGGTATTGCCTCAATCCTATTATGTTCCTATTATGTACAAAGCACGGAGTACTCCCAGTTTTCTACTCCGTAAAGGATCTATCATTGTGATAGCTTAGACTGACACATCCCCGCCGTTTCGCTAAACGTACGGCGTACGTCTGATAGCTCGAAATGCCGGCTCCGTTTCACCTTTAAACTCTGATTGTATGGATTTCATGGCAGTCTCTAGACTGTCTCAAGTCCCCAGTCAATCTTTACTTCCTTGACAGTTTGCATGCAGTGCCACCTCAAAAGGTGTTTCGTATGCAGGCCGCGAGGGGAGGCCCGGTCCCCCAACCACTTGACAAATTCTCCTCTGCTGGGATCCCTCGCCGATCCACCGGGATCGCGACCATACTTTTATGGGATCGAGAGCCCGTCTGGATACCCGTGAGTGGTGGACCCTCCGGTGAACTCCACAAAAAGAGATTTATGTTCGATCTTGGCCCGTGTGCTGCATGAACTTCCCCCTGAATTAGTATTGGATACCCTGGCTGTTTTTTCATTTTTTCATAAGCCGTGGACTTTCGCCGGACACAACCGCTCCATCATTGATCTCTCCGGTCGTTTTGATCAAAGCTTTCTTCCGGTTTCTGTGCACCCCCACTATTCGTGTCATCCCGTTACCCCCTCAGGCTATGAGCTAGCGAGTTCCCTAGTTGGGAATTTTTGCCGGAGATCCCACTCTCGGTGCGCGACTTTCCAAGGCTCAGATGTCACTTGGCTAGATCCCACGGCTTGTGTGCAATCCGATCTGGCGAGAAGATCAATTGCACATACGAGTACTCATCAAAGCCGCCGTGGATACCGTTCAGATTGTGTCGGACAATAGTCAAGGTCTGCCCTTCGTGGCGAACGGCCTTTATCGACCGGAGTTCGGCTTTGCTACATAGCCTGCCCCGTGCTGATTCTGACTGGGCCGGCCTCGAGACCGTGGACTGTGCTTCGAGGCTTCCTCAATCACACTCATAGTTATATGCAATTTATGTGGAGGAACCAAAGGTAATTCCTACATACAGAGTAGATCACCAATGCAGTTACTCCGTACTCGTACATGTAATCGACATTTCAATTATCGAGTGATGATCAGCAGGCACATTGGCTCAACCAATGACAGGATAAAAAATTCTAGGCTCTGGGGCGGGCCATATGGCTATGGAGTGTTCTGGTCAGGGTTTAAGATCGAAAACAAGACAAGAGTCTTGAAAAAGGACCGACTGCAGATCAAACGTACAAACCTGATTTTTGATCCTGATGGGCAAGAGTCATGATTTCGGCATTAAATCTCTTTTCGAGGCTGGAAAGTAAGGATCACCCTACGCCGTGAATTTCTTGCCTTGTTCTGTAGAATACATCTGGAGATATGAATTAGGCGGTTCTCCTTTCGCATGGGAAACCCGTACATATATAGGGTAGGGTTGGGGTTTATACATCTACCTTGGTAGATGTATGTTTATCGGTCACAACAACAATGTTCAAATGTAACTCGTGGATCAAAATTGGTCTGGTGGCGCATGAGCTCAACGGTTCGACCATGTGGGGGGCAGAATGAGAGGCATCCAAAACAGCAAAGCAACGGCTAAGCACTGACTACGACAGGAAATTGTGATGATTGCTCCGGAGTAAAGAGTAACGCTGCTTCTATTGAAGCAGCGCGTCATTGTAACTTCCAAGGTTTAGAATCAAGCATTCCACTGCTCAGTCCAGCTTCCGCCCATGTGCAATCGCCGCTTTCATAGTGTACCTATAATTGCTCCATGTGCGACGAGTATATCACTAACATCGTGGATGTATGACGAGTCAAGCGTCCAATGGTATGTGTTGACTCCGTGCAATCGCCACTCTAAAGTGTACAGAGGATGGCTTCTATAAAACGCTTATCCAAACCTTTGAAGCGTACATACAATACACAATAATACACGAAATGTTCTGGATACAAATATTTAAGGCTATTCTAAGCTCCATTTGGGGCAAAGAACTGTCGATCCACCCTTCGATCCACCCTCCAGCGTTTCGTATGCGTGGGCTTTGATCCACAGCGCAGCTCTCCCCAGCACTTATTAATTGTACCGACAGGGGTTGTACCCAGTACCCTGGTTATACCCTGCACTTGGCCATGGGCCGGGGTATCCGGTACCTAGCCTCAGGTACCCGTTGTCTTTGACTCGTAGGACTGTACGCCTGGTTGACTAGAATACAATGCACTCATGAACAAAGGATTTTTCTTTTATAAACTGCAAATCAAGGTACTCCGGTAGCAATGGATTATTAATCCCGCTCCTTTCATCCGTTTCTCCGAAGGATTTCATGCAATAGGGGCAGGGGTAGGGACCAAAGTACCAACTTAAGACCTACTATATTGACACGATATTGCTACTCCCGTGCTCCGTCCTATTTTTGTGTAGGAGAAACGGCTTTCCGGACTTCCTCGATTTCCATCAGTGCAGCATCTATGTACTCGTATAACTAATCGTACTTCTAAAGTTATACTCCGTACTTAAGTACACAGAAATGCTGTTCTCAAAATTGCTCTCTATGGCGGCTCATTCCGCTTCAGATCGAGACTCGGCCCCATTGCGCTAGGAACAAATTTTCGCTCCCGAACCGTGGAGGGGATTTGCACTTCTAAAAGTTCTAAAGTTTCAAAGTTGTCAAGAGTTTCATTGGGATTTGCAGTCACTGTGTGTATATATACGCCATACATAAAACATCCAAAATGCGCCCGACCTTCGCCCTTTTTGTCCTCGCTGCACTGGCTGTTGCTGACTCCAGCACAACCACCATCAGCTACTTTGGACTAGATTACAGCGCCAAAACATACGGTGCAGACCCTGGTGCCTACACCAGCACCGCTGCCAGTGTCGTCGGCAGCGATAGTACCGCCACCACCTACGAGATCCGCTGCCAGAAGGGCGCTGAAAAATGCGCTCTCCCTCACCCAGTAACCCTAGTTCAAGGTTCTGCGACATATAGCATGTCAGGCGAATACAGCATTGAAACCATGGGTGCTACGGGGATTATCACCGATATCGAGGCATGCACATTCACCCACACCTCTGAATCGGCCTCTTGTTCATGGAGCGTCGATTTCACCATCTCTTCGGGAGATTTGACCCTCTCAACGTCGAACTCTAATTCGAGTACTGTTGCGCCAAAGTCGGTCAGCTGGCGCGCCCTCGAGATCACGGCGGGCGCTGATGAACTCACTTCTACAACTTCTGGGTCGGCCACCAAGACTACGGCTGGAGCTGCGTCAACCACCGAGGCTACTACTGGAGCTGCGTCGACCGGAGCCACCACGGCCGGGGCTACTTCCACTGGCGCTGCCCCTCGTGCATACCCATTGGCCACAGCGGCGCCGATGGGGGCTGCTATTGCTGCTATCGTGGCTATACTCTGAGTCTTGGAGTTGTCCTCATTGTTCTTGGGTTATGTATCAATATTGTCCATAACTGCATCTCAACCCTGGGTGTATATAAAGTACTTACAGACGCACATTGCATCAATAGAAACGCCTTGTGAATATTTGATTTGAATAATCTGAAGTTCGGACATATCTGAACACATCTGGGATGGTAAGCCTCAACTTTAAAACTTTAGAATGTGTTCAAAGTCGACGGATCGAGTGCGGTTGTCTGTCGACGCCAGGCATCCATTTCTAGAACTATACAACGTCCACGGGTCGATCTCCAGGGCTGTGGTGGTCAAACCTTCTAAAGTTCCAAGGTTGGGACCTTGGAAATTCAATCCGCTTGTAAGGTCTTTCAAGGTTCCCTACTTAAGCACCGTGTCCAGGATTTGCTGGCTCTATATCTTTCATAATACATGTTCTTTCCTATCACGCGAAGAAGCGCGGCGACATTTCAAGGTTGACTGGTAAGCATGGTATCTCTCAAGACGCTAATATGCAGGTCGTTATTTTCCCTCATTATCTCCATTCGATTTGAAGATACCGCCAGGGAATCTCAGACATAATCGATATTCCTCCATTTGAACTTCTTGTTCGCCCGATCCACAGGCTTATTCTCGAACTGGCTCCCATGCAACTCAAATGTCAAAGGTTTGCAATCCTCAGCTGATTCTTTTTGTTGACTCTCTGCGCTATCAGAGGGCTTTGGGAGAGGAACTGTAAATCGGAACACAGTATGTTCCTTCGGCACGGCTATACCAGGAGATAAAAGTCAGTATGATGAGCCCAACGTCACACCGCAAGAGCATCGAAGAACTTACTCTTCATTTCATCCCGTTGAGTAACAACGACAAAGGTAAATTTTGTATCTCGCACCACGATGCCCTTAACACCGACCCGCCCAGCACACCGACTCCTCACAACCTCCACCTCTGCCCCATGGTAATCCGCACTCACTAGCTTACTGCCATGCGAGTTCGGCGTGATATACACCGCGTGGTTTGACTTCAAATCCAGGACATCCTGCATATACCCCACCCATAGGTCGTGCAGGCCCTTGAAGATCGCATATTTACATTCTTCCTTGGGCAGATCGTAAAGGCCAGATTTGCGCTTCTCGCGCGCCGAGAGCGGCCGTGGCTTTTGATGGCGAATGAAGTATTCTTTCTTGCGGAGGCGCTCGAGGCGTCGGCGTGAGCGGTTGTCGGAGGCTGATGGCGAGGTGGCGCGGAGGAATAGTGGTTTTTGCTTGACACGCTCGGTGAACTGTTGAGTCGCGCTATCTGGCGAGTGGGCGCGTGAGAGTAGGGTTTGCGCAATGTGCGTTTTGGGGGCTGGAGAGGAGGCCATTGTCGAGCTCTGCGTTGTGTACTCCGTACTGTCGAAGTGTGTTGAAGAGCTAGAGATTTTGCGGAGGTGGCCCACTTCTGATATCACATGCCGATAAGGCCTCTATACAGCATGAAGTCATACTTTGTTCAGATGGCATTGCTTTTTATTTTTGTTTCTCTATGATAATATTCATATCGTTCAGTGGTTTATAGATAATATGCTAGAGTATGTGACTTTCACTTAGCCAGCATATCCAACCAGTAGTTACTACAGCAAGCAGTACCGGGTCAGCAAAGTAGAAGTAGACGTCGATCCAAAGTTAGACTTTCTGACTGCGCCACCTCAATAGCGTCTGCCTTCGAGTCCTTCGAGTCCTTGATTTCTTATTCTTATTTTCGGTCATGCGCAGTCTTTACCCCTAGCTCGGAACTCCAAACGTCATCGAATTGCTTACTCTTAGCCCCCCCGAATTCCGCTCCAGGGCTTCCACTTGCTGATACTCCGCATATACCCTGAGCTATATCGCATGGGTGCATTGTCATATCATGCCGCTCCCAATTAAAGAGACTGTGGCGCGTTTCGCTCTTTCAAAGCTCCTATTGCTATCCTACATCATCGATTGGGTGTTCATCATGTACGCACTCCCACCCCAGTCCGCGAACCAATCTAACCCAGCCCAGTGGCATTGCCTTGATCGGCTATGGCTTCTATAGACAAGGACCAAACCAACATGCGTTCAGCCTGACAGACCCGACCATCAGCTTTCCCCTGCATAAGGAAACCGTTTCAACCGCATGTCTGATCCTGGTGGGCCTCTTCGCACCAGCCGTCCTGATCTTCCTGATCTCCTGGATCCTCGTCCCAGCTAACGCGACCATGCACGGCGCGGGAACCAGATCGCCCGTGCAATATATCCGTCGCAAGTTCTGGGATTGGAACGCCGGCTGGATGGGACTTGCACTGGCTGTAGCGAGCGCCTGGTCTGCCACACAAGGGTTGAAGGTGCTAGTCGGGAAACCGCGGCCGGATCTACTGGCGCGATGTAATCCTGATCTCTCGCGGATTGCGGAGTTCACAGTGGGTGGATTGGGGGGTCAATTGCGCGGAGCGGCGACATTGGTCTCATGGGAGATTTGCCGTGACCAATCGAATTCATTGCGCATAGATGGATTTGCTAGTTTCCCTAGTGGTCATTCTTCCTGTATGCTTGTCGCACATATCATGGGGATTGGAATAATCTGCTAATGCTTCACAGTCGCCTTCGCTGGCCTATTCTACCTCACTCTCTGGCTGTGCTCGAAATTCTCAGTCGGATTCCCCTATCTGCCTCAATACCCGGTTGAAGACCAGAGCTTTACGAATGACAAGTCGTCGGTGCGAACTCGTGGTGCTGCGCCGCCGACATATCTCATGGTACTTGCTTTCTTCCCAACCGCAACAGCAACCTTTATTGCCGGATCGCGCTGGTTCAACTACAAACACCACGGATTCGACATCCTCTTCGGTTCTGCAATCGGCATCTTCTTCGCGTACATCGGCTTCTACATGTATCATCTCCCGATTAGACGGGGAGCCGGCTGGGCATGGGGTGCCAGGAGTCGTGGCCGCGCCTTCATCCGCGGCGTGGGATTCCCAAGCTCGCTTGGAACGGACGGTTGGGCGTTTGATGCGCGCGAGGCAAGAGGACCTGCGGACGTGGAGAACGCGCCGGGGATGCAGCAGGCACCATATGGGCATCCGAAGCCTGGCAGCGCCGAGGGCGCCAGGCTTGAGGCTTGAATGCAGATGCGTCGAATGGGGCCAGTCTGCAGCAGTAAGTATAAAGTGTAGCTCGTCGACCTGTACAATGTCTTCGGGGGTTCCGAGAATATATCTTTCAAATTTAGCGTTCGGTATATTTACAGTAGAAGAAGAAAAAAAAAATACAGAGTATGGTATCATTCAATAGGTGCCTGGTGCCATCATCAATCAACCTCTAGCTTCTAAGTTGGAACAAAACATGCATACGGGTCATTTGGAGACCCCAAGGCTATCATGAACATACGACGAGCCTTCGAATATACCAATTGATTGTCAGCGAGGCAGCTTTCAGCGTTAGTCAGAAGCCGCTCGTGCGCGGGCCAAATCTGGGTTTCTGATTCCCATTGCCCAGCAGCTTAGCTCTGGAACTCGCACAAATTGACGATGCGATGTCCCAGGCTGCGGTGTGAGCCTTGGAGGCGTAGGGTACTTAAGTAAACCCAGCGCCAGATAGATCTCCCTCCCTTCTTCGCTCTTTTCAAGTGTTTGTCTAGCTTTGCTAGAACCAGATCTGATCTCGTGGACAGGCATCGTTGTATCACGTTAAGAGGGATGAAGATCCTCATGATCCTGCCCTCTCTCGGCTCACATCTTCTGGTATATTGAGGGTGAGTATGCTTGTGATGGATGGAGAGATAGAAAGAACCTTGGAAGACTCCAAGTTAGGACCGGACCAATATGAATTGGATATTGGAAGGAACATCCAAGTTGAGGAAAGAGCGATTCAGTGAAAGTGATCTTCTGCATGAAATCTATCATTTCTGGCCGGCTTTAATCGTGATTCGGAGGCATCATTGGTATCGTAGAGGAGAAATATAGCTTATCGCCAACCTCCGACTCTGCCTTCGTCCCATCTTGCTTTGGCTTCTTTTCGAGCAGCCAGCTTCGATGCCTCTCCCCTCACCCGCCGGACCCAATCCGCGATCTCCTTCTCCGTCGCGCGACCATGATGATCTTCATCGAGGAAGCTCTCCTCGACCGCGTGACATACAGCTTCCTGCTCAGTGATTGCTGCGCTGTACCGTTGATATAAGGCTTTGGGCGACCACGGAGCAAGCGCGGCATCCATCTCTGCCTGCTTTTTGCGCCAGGATACTTCGAGGGACTGGTGGGTGATAAGCATCGTTTCCGTCGAGGCGCGAAGCTCGGTGAGGTGGGCCTGCGTATCGAGCACGCGGGATGCAAGGCCTTTGTTTGATTGGATGAGAGACTCTAGGTGTTGCTGACGGGCTGTATGGGAGACGTGTTGGTTTGATAGGGCTGATAGCAAGGCTGGGTCTTTGAGTATTGCTTGTAGGTCGACGGTTCTGTTGGTTCGCGTTAGACATGCTCAACGGCTGTGAAGTAGCTGGCTTACGATTTATCTTTCACTAGCTCGGGGAGCCAGCCCTCTTCGATGGCAGGGGGATTGGGCAAGTATTGTTGTTGGAAATTGGACGTCTGTGGTTGATTTGGCTCGGCTGCGGACATGTTTTGCGGGGTGCCTATCCGGCTGGTCTGGCTGCTCGGTTTGGGAGGAGGGGGAGGAGGAGTGTCTGGGTTGACTGGATTCATGCTCGGAGAGTAAAATGGGGACTGCGGAGGAAGAGGCGATAGTTGAGACATCGTACGTTGTACAAGTAGTAGTGCAAGTGTAGTCTGTTGAAGCTGGGCGGGATGAGCTCTTGGCGCGGACTACTAGAAATGGCACCGGGATCTACAGCGCTAACATGAACTTGAGAAGAAAGCTAGTATTCCGGTTGCTTCCATGGGTATATTCGTGATATCGTTGTAGTTACAAGAATTCGAGAGAAATAGAAGCTGCGACTGCTCTGCGTGAATCTCGACACCGAGGTTCAGACTGCGAATCGGAGATCACCCGTGGGGAAGGGATTGGCCACGATTGAGCTTGCAGTGAGGCTCTATGGATCGACTGAATCAGCTGGCAAGCAGACTCATCTCGGGCCTATTTCAGCGCGAGATTTGGTTCCACAGAAACAGGGAAGGTGGCTAGATGACAAGTCGGAAGCTCCCAGCTTAATCTGTTCGCCTCCGGATCTCCCGCTCCATAGCCTGAATATTGGTTCCTGCCATGGCATCCTTAACCAGCTCGCGAACTTCATTTTGAACTTCCTCGCTGTAATAATCTTCGCGAGTTGCGAGCTCTTCAATGCGCCTCTTGAACTCGGGATCGGGTTCGCTCTCACCGGCAGTAGCCTCTTCCTCGGTCATTGTGCTCATGTTGATCTTCATGTCGCTATTGGGAATAGGTCCGGGAGGGTTGAAAACATCGCCAGAGGAGGCTGTGGAGGCCGGCGCACCGCCGACAACTTCCCGAAGGTAGGCAACAACCTGGGGGAATTCATCATCGGCCTCCATCTTTTCCACCGCAGTCATATCCTCCGCATTTTTCTTGTTGTAGTCCACGCCCAGCTCTTCAATCAAGCAACGTGCGATATTGGGTTGTTCGGTGACGAAGAGACAGGTCTCGCCATCTTCATCGAGAAGGTTGACGCTAACGTTGAATTCTTTAACAAGGGCGCGTAGGAGATCTTCGTGGCCGTAGGATGCGGCGGCATGTAGCAGCGAATAGCCGGACTCGTCCTGGGACGATGCGAGGGAGGGATTGGACCGCAGCAGATCCAGAAGCGCCGCGGGGTTGTCGCAGGCCAGAAGGTAGGGGTTTGGTTGGGCCATAATATTATGAGTCAGAGCTTTCCGAAAGTCTCAAATGCGAAAGAGTCAGAACAAAGTAAATTGTGGAGTGAGAGGGTCGTCTCAAATAGTTGGAGAGGAAAGAAAAAAAAAATACACGCCCGCCTTCCTCTTTCGCTCCCCGCGCAGTGACACATCTTGGCCTCTCTCTTTGTTGCCTTGCAAGGCTGTCTGGACTCACTAGAAGAAATTGAGAAAGGATATAAATACCTCAGGGCTATCTCAATATCGACTTATATTTATCTCGTTCCAATCTCTCTCTTGAACCATTGACGTCCCTCTTTGTCCCGCCTGCGTTTGCCCCGCATCAAATCGCATCGCTCAGATCGATACACACCCACCACACCTATACCCTCTAGACCCTCACAACATGGCGACTCAGGATCCCCATGAGATTGCGCAGCTTGTCAAAGCCCTTGAGGATGCTGCGAAGCAAAAAGGCGGCAAAAAGGCAGCTTTCACTTGCAAGAAGAATACTTTCGCGGTCGCCAACACCAATAATGTGACCGTGGACTCGTGGAAGTTCATGGATTGGGATTACAAACGCTCTGGATTGCCGACCTATGCCCGTGGGCTTTTCACATCTCGGCGCAAAGATCGTACTCCCGAAATCGTCACCCGTGGCTATGATAAGTTCTTCAATGTCGGCGAGACGAGGAACACCGAATGGCGCAACGTTGAGCAGAACACACGTGGTCCATACGAGCTGAGTGTGAAGGAGAATGGATGCATTATTTTCATTTCCGCCCTGGAGGATGACACGCTCCTAGTATGCAGCAAGCACTCGACAGGAGTCCGAGAGGATTCCAATCTTAGCCACGCGCAGGCTGGTGAACAGTGGACCGAACGCCATGTCACATCGGTGAATCGATCTGTCAAAGATCTTGCTCGAACACTACGCAAGATGAATGTCACGGCCGTGGGTGAGCTCTGTGACGACACCTTTGAAGAGCATGTTCTGGCATACGACCAAGCTGCGTCGGGCATCTACTTGCACGGCCTCAACTACAACCAGCCTGAATTTGCTACCATGTCCTGTGACGAGGTAAATCAATTTGCCGAGGACTGGGGCTTCAAGAAGACCAAGTTTGAGGTTTTTGACGATATTTACCGAGTCCAGAGCTTCCTGGAGAGCTGCGCCGAAACGGGGACATGGGATGGTCGCGAAACCGAAGGCTTTGTGATTCGATGCCAGTTGAGGAATAGCCCCAACGAGCCTTACCGTCACTGGTTCTTCAAGTACAAGTTCGAAGAGCCTTATCTCATGTACCGTCAGTGGCGTGAGTGCACCAAGGCCCTCATCGCAGGCAAAACCCCCAGGATTCGCAAGCACCAGCAGGTGACCGAAGAGTATCTTCTCTTTGCTCGAAGGACTTTGGCGAAAAACCCCAAAATGGCCGATGAATACCTACACAACCATGGTATCATTGCTCTGCGTGAAGCTTTCCTTCAGGAGCGCGGATTGAAGGGATCTGAGATCATCGCCCTGGAGGCTCAAAAGCAGCTGGAAGGCAATGAAACCACCCAGAACGTAGTTCTCGTGCCAGTTGCTACTCTTGGTTGTGGAAAGACGACGGTTGCCTTGGCACTGGTACGTCTTTTCGGCTGGGGACATATTCAGAACGACAACATTCCCAAAGTCAAGGGTAAACCTAAGAAGTTCGCAACCGAAATCAGCCAGTCTCTTGCAGACCACGACGTTGTTATCGCCGATCGAAACAATCACCAACGGCGCGAACGCAAACAGCTCATCGAGGATATCCACCCTCTGATTCCAGATGTGCAGTTTGTGGCACTTCATTATGTTCACGAGCCTAAGGGACAGCTTCTTCCCAATATCAAAGAGGTGACTCGCAAGCGTGTCTTGGACCGTGGCGATAATCACCAAACCATTCGAGCTGGAACAAACGCCCACGGAGAAATTATTGGAATTATGGAAGGTTTCCTAGGTCGATTTGAGGGTATTGACACCACCCGATCTCCTGATATGGCCTTCGACCATGTCGTTGATCTTGATGTGTGTTCATCATCTCGTGAAAATCTCGAAACAGTCGTCAAGGCCCTACACGCTGCATACCCCAAGATTGTCCCCGCGGTTCCAACCGCAGAAGAGCTCGATGCTGCTATCGCCTCCTCATTGGATGATTATACGGTAGAGAAGGATCTCAGCTACAGCTATGGCCCACCTCAGAAACAAAAGAACAAGAACAAATCACCAGATACCCCCATTGTTCCTCAGCCCACAAGCTCCCCTACACCCAGCGCCCTCGCCAAGAAGATCGAATACTTCAACATCTCTCTTCCCACAAACGAAATCACCTCGGTCCTCCACTCGCTCTTCCCACCCTCAACCCCCGCCTTGACAGCCCAGCTCTACCACCAGCTGGTTAACTCTCGCCGCCTCCAGGCAGCCTTCCACGTCACGCTCATCCACCGTGCATCCAAAAAGGACAACCCTGAAATCTGGGAGCGCCTGTCAACCCGCTACATAGAGGCACAGACCAACAGCCCGACCCCCGAATCCGTGCACAACCCACCCGCTTTGGGTTCTGCACGCGTCCGCCTCGAGCGTCTAGTCTGGGACAAGCGGATCATGACCTTCGTTGCCCGCATCCTCCCAGCAGGCGAAGAGAACTCTGATGCCGCTTCTGAATGGCCTTGTGCAAATGCCATTCCGCACATCACGGCCGGCACGGCCTCGCCTGACGTTAAGCCAAAGGAGAGTAATGATCTGCTACGCCGGTGGGTTGAGGTTGGGTCGGGTGGTGACACGGGGATTTTCGAAGCCGAAGTAAAGGGTGTGAAAGTTGTGGATGGAGTGGTGGGGTTGGTTATGAGTCGGGGGAAGTTTTAATACACTAGATACGAATTGATCATTTGAGCCGTTGGAAGTTCGTCGTTAGGCTTGGCTGGAGTTGTGAGAAAACTGCATTATTATGGTGCTTTCGTATTTCATGGCAGGCTGTTCGTTGCTCAAACCCAGGGAGCTCCATACTGGACATATCCTGATCGGCACGCAAATCGCCTGCTCGCAGCCCCAACGCCTTCAGAATAGCAGGAACTCGATCAGAATTGGTGACCACACCTAGCACAACATGATCGAAGTGCCGAGTAGAGTTGTCTTTATTGATCATTTTGCTCCTGAGAAGCCCCGAATCACACGAGGTCTATAACCCAGGTTCTTAATTATATTCTCTATTCGAAACAAAGTAGGGTTAGTAGGGTTGCTCATGTACTTTGGATCCTACAAGTACGATATGAACCAGTCCCTTTCGTTCACCGCGGTCATGAGTCACGGCGTGTAGCCTACTAGTTTTCATTCCCTCGATATGAATATCCAATATTGTACTACCCAGAGAATCGTAAAGCCTCCGTGATCATGCAAACGCCCGAGCAAAAGAAGCTAAGTCAATATAAAGCGCCAGATATTATACCATTCCGGCAACATGTACAAAAAAAGGGCAACTGCGAGTCCAGTCTCCCAAACCGACGATGCTGTGCAATGTGAAGGGTGCTCGAGTTCGAAGTCGAGTCCGACCCCGCGTCTGAGTCTCAGATCGAGTGCGAGGCAAACCGCAGGAAAGGACGACACGAGAAACTGCCCGAATCAACCACTCATCCAAGCGGTGACACGCGAGGCACCGAAGCGGCCCATGTATTGCAACCCAGTGCTGCCCATGGGGAAATAGCTCACAAGGTACCAGACCAAGGCGGCGAGCTGGAAAATGGAGGAAATCAGGGTAAGGAAGAGATTTTGAAGCTAAAAAAAAAGGGTCAGTGACAAATCCTGAATGTGGATAAATTCCCTTTGCGGGCGATGAACAAGCAGGAAAGCAAAGTGTGGTTGTGAGATGCAGGTATAACAAAATGACCGAGCTGTCAGGGACGGTGAGACATAGATAGATCTCGATGGCTCTGGACTCCACGCTCTGTGACACAGCACAGAGTCAGACAACGGAAAGCAAGGGAAGGCGCATCCAAGTCCCGCGCTGCAGTACGACGTGATACAACCATAGCAGAGAGAAGACAAATGCCGAACGAGAACAGGGTGGGATGGATCGAGGGAGCTCAGATGGCCCTTTGCTAACGACGGGCATGACAGGCCGTCGACTCAAGTTGTACCGCGCGATGGATACGAAGGCTGCAGGATTCCCCTGTTCCCGGTGGTGCGGTGCAACCATACTTTCTGTATTGGGGTAGAGCAAGGTGCGACAAACAAGGAAATGGAGTGGAAGTAGCATAGAGGAATAGTCGGCGCGGAAAGAGGGCAAAGCATAACGCGCTAAAGCACAAAATTGGAAGATTTCCAAAAACAAGCAATCCTTTTGGGAGGCACAGAAGGAAAATCCAAATAACCAATGTACTTACTCCAATAGCAAAGTAGAGCGTGAGCGCGATCGATCCGAAATAGGCCGCTGTGAATGGCAGACGTGCTCCCGAGATCAGATGTTTAGCGTAGGACCATGGTCCCATGAGAACCGCCCATGATAGCAAAAACAGGACTGAGCCAACAGACCATCTAGCAGAAACCTGTTAGTAAAAGATATCTCAACACAGAGAGACTTCGATTCTTGGCATGAGGCGCAGATATGAGTAGGATGTCAGAACCAATCACACTGCAATGCGAAGTACAAACGCGCACATGGCCTTAGCCACACTCGACTTATGACCAGGGATCTACAACCTCAAGGTTGGACGTTTTGAGTGGAAGATCGGGGGGTAGGGGAACGGCCTGAAAGACAGAGGATGGGTGGGAGAGTTACGATAACAGGAATGGAGGGGGCGAGGAATATTCAGCCACGGCAATGCGGACCATGGCCAAAGCAACTTACAGGACGGCGAATTTTCGGGGCTTCAATGACAAGACGGGGAACAGGAAGAAGCAAATCATGAAACAGACGGCGGCGCCCAGGTTGCATGCACCGAAAATGAGCATGCGGTCCCATCGACTCACTAAACGTAATCCGTGTCAGTGGGGTGGCTCTTTTCTTGCCCTCCTCCTTCTCTGATCCTGTCGGCTTGCAACCACATAAACAAGCATGATACTGAATCCTCCCGGCGCAGGAACTGCGCTTTCATCACCTGGGCCTAATAAAACGGTGTGCGGGACGATCTGGGGATCGGAGGAGTCACACGGCGGAAGGGGTGAAACTTACAAGCAAAGAAACCCTCCTCCTCTTCTCGTCTACTGGGTGCTGGTAGAGGGGCTCCGGGGCCTTCATTGTGAGTGGGTAGTTGAACATAGCCGCCGTCGCCGAAGGGGTTGTACGACTGTAGCCGAGATAAAAATGGGGTATTAGATGACGATCCGGTGTGCACGGGGAGATCCGGCTCTCTGCGCGACCACCCTAGCGAGTTGACGGAGTCCCTAAAGGAGTTATTCGCCATGTTTGAGGGGGCAAATATTAGTTAAGTCTTAGTCGGTTTCTCGATCCCCAATTGAAAGTAGTGGCGGAGGGGCGTGCACGAGTGCGTCTGAAGAGAAGGCCCGTGGTCTAGGAAGTTAAGACCCAGAGAAACGTCTGCAGGGACTATGCGAGATGGAGTGCAGATGATCTGCGCCAGTGATGGACGATCGTCGAGGATTGGCTGGGAACGAAGCCCTATTCAAGCCAGCAGAAGGGCAGATGACGAGTGCTCCGTAGGCGGATTCGGCTTCCGATGAGCTGGGACACGCCGTGCCTCGTGTCGAACGGCCACTATCAAGGAAACTTCTCCGACCTGACTATGCGGTCAAGATCAAAATCCAGAGTTTCTGACTATAGCGGTCTGATGGCTAAAACCTTATGGCGGGTCTGCCTGATTAGAAGCTAAGGCAGTTAATAGCCCAAAATTCAAAATTCAAAATTCAAATGCCCCAGACTGTCGGAGTTGCCTGCTGGTCTGTAGGCGTCAACGCAACGGGATCTGCAGCTATGCGGAGTCGGGAATGATAGCCGGGGGTGGCTGAGAAATCTTCTGGCGCGGCGCAGGGAGATCGTAATCGGGGTACGACGTTGATGGACGCGGCGAGGGGAATCGACCAAGCGGAGGAAAGGTGGGAAGCGTACAACCTTGCGGGCACGATCCGAGAAGGGGTGGGAAGCGAACACGGCGCAGGGAGTCGAAGGTCGCTGATTGGGCCAGGAAGCGCTGCACTATCGATAAAGGAGGGGGAGAAATAGAAGAATAAATCAAGGCAATGACGAGATGGCGTGAAGCTACCGATGCGACCAACCCGATCGGCGTGAAGCTGTCAGATGATGCTGCTGCGAATCTTTCGGACCGGGCCTTTGAGGGAAGTTGGGTGACCAGGGTATCCTCGATAGAAAATGTAGACAAAAGCGACGTGCTCGATTTACGCTGCCTAACCGATATCTGACAATACTGATGGAGTATTGGAGATGTTGATTGCAGACATGCGGGATGGCGGGAGTTTGGGGAAAGGGGCTAGTGCCTAATCCGGCCTAGCGTCATTAGTATACCTATAAGAGAACTTCACATATTATTCGGTTTCTAAATTAGCATGACTTAGTCTACAATAGTTATTGGCACATGTTTTTTATTTTTCTCAAGTTCTTCTTCTAAGGTTTGGTGACTCGCGCTCTATCCGCTGAAATACTCAAATTTATCAATACATAAGTAGAGGCCCTGGACTCGTTTGATAACGTCTGGATACATACGTAAGTAGGTGTACGAATATCCATGGATACATTCTTAAGTATGAGAGTTGACAGGGTTGAGACCATCACTGGCTGATCATCTTAATATATTATGCTAGACTAAATCCTGATCTATCCTCGATTAGGAGACAACTACCAGAGACGTTATATAGTACCCTCTGCATCTTTAGCTTCCTCCCCGTCGATCCTCCGTGGCCGGTGCGCACCCTGTAGCGATCGTGACCGTTACCAGAGTAGTCTGGAGAAATGAACCGGATGGCTTTGCCGAGTCTTCAAGTACGGGATACATAGGCTGTAGTTCTGAAGCGGGGATAGTGTGATGTTGCATAACAATAACGTTTGGTATGGATGTCGCTACCCGTGTACCACCCAAGGGAATTGTCCGATAGCCAGAAGAAGTGGCCCATCTGCACAGTATTTAGGTAACATTGCCATTAGCCTCATTGTTTCTCTAGTTTTAACTTTTGCTTTTGCTTTTGTTTGCTTTGGTATTTTATTTTTATCTTCGTAATCGTTTAATTCTTCTTCTGACTGTTGTATTCATATGCTAATTGGCTTGGTACCAACTTGACTTGTATGTACAAAGTAAGGTCTTTAGACTAGAATGCCCGACGCACATGAGTTGCCCTATCCGTGACGCCCGGAATGAAGTGCGACCTTAACCATGCAGTATCATGGCGTCATATCAGGGTCCTGTGCACATTCGAACAGAGAAAAGTCTCACTTTATCCACTAGATGATACAATGAATCCCAACACTAGTCTGAACTGAAGCCTCTCCCTTGCGTCAACCGTGGATACTCGGCGTGTATCGCCGAACCTTGACGGGACGGGACGTCAGATCCATTTCCCCTCATCCCGGGGATCACACCCTATGCGGTCGATCTTGAGTTCTGGTCAAATAGACCAAAACCCGAGAACGAGAAACCCCAAGAGAAAATGAGGGTTAGCTTGAGGAAACTTTGGCGATGTGGCTCAGTACAGTCAGGCCAAAGTAAGGTGTATGGCGATGAGACTCTATTGGCGCATGGTCTCAGACACATTCCAACCCCTCCAATGGTGTCTCTCTCCGCCACATTCTAGAGGGGCATCGTTTAACAACACTGGCCAACTCTGACCAACTCGTGCCAACTCTTTGGGACAAAGGTCGCCGGCCGAACCGATAAGTCCAAATCCGGTCTGCACTGCCGGATCAACATTCTGAATATCTGTAGAAACATTTGAACCATATATTATTTTTCCCTTTTGCCGCTATAACCCAAATCAATCATTTTCGCCCCCTGCGTAAAGAGACCTGCCAGAGCCACGGTGGAAGCGGAGTAATATGAGGGTCCAAGCTCCTCGGTCGATCATGGTGATATGATCGTCCTCAATGTCCTCTGCACAACATCGCACATGAAGGCCCGCACTGATCCTCTTGCAGAGTTCCAAGGTTGATAGGGCTTACGGTGGATGCGGTCTGTGGGTCTCTTTGCTTTTCTGCTCTTCGTATTATATCTCTTCGGTCTCTCTTTTGCTTTTCTTTATCGCCATTTCCCTGTCAAAAGAACGCTCCCCAGTGGTGTCAACCTCTACTGCCAAGGTATACTGACGACCGCGTTATATTCTCCGGACGCTTCTTGCGGCTTGCTCTCGCTGTCTCATGTCGATCTCTGCCAACTCCGGTGTCTTCCGGTCTGGGATCAAGTCTTTTTTGCATACTTGCACCGATCATCTCCACATGGTCTCCTAGGATCTTAACTATGTACTCTGTATAGGTAATGGTTTTTCCATGGGCAAGATAGATTTGGTATGCTTGTAACCTCAAGGCCTCATCTGATACATTCTTTCAAACGTGAGTCATGTCAGTTTAGTAACAGGTGACAAATATTCCAACATGTATCATGGGAGTATCATGGGATAACCGTTTTACTTGATCCGGCTGTATCACCCTTCCCCCCCTTTGCCCAGGTTCCAAGTTGATTTGTGACGGTACCTCTACAAGTAGACCACAGCATTTATGGTAGGTATTTTACTATGTTTAGTACAAAAAAACCAAAAAAGAGGCTCGGGGGTTTACGCTGCCCTCCTTCACCCACAAACCCACTCACACCCACTTCCCGTTTTGGTTGGCTTCTGATCTAGATGCCTATAGCAATGGAGTAATGACCTAAGTATCGAGGTAGTCAGTAGTGAACTTAATCCTATTATTACCATTTATCCTGCTTTATTTCCCTTTTGCTTCGTATTCTTATTTTTTTTTTAATCTTTTTATCTTTTAATCTTTTAATCTGATTTCTTTTGGATTTATCTCCCTTTTTTACTTTTGAATAAAATCGAAACATAGATAATAATTAAATAAAATAAAAAAAGAACCTCAGTCCGATGGCGTAGGTGAATCTCATCGATTTCCACCGATCGACAGGCTGCATGACCGATGTTGTAATATATCAAATGAGAGATGCAGTAGAGTACCGCTTGAGTTCATAAAGTCTCTATTCCCTCGTCCGGGAAACCTGCAAGTGCTTTTCCCCTTTGCTGAGTTGTCACTGCATATTCCCAATTTGATTCGCAAAGACATTCAGTATCCATCAGACTTAACCCTGTGAGATCAAGCTTCGAATTCCTCCTCCATACACAGTCAGGTACGTGTCAAATCTTCAACTTAGTTCAATCGGTCCGACCCTCTTTGATCCATCACCGTTGTTCCTGCATCTACGATCTATGACTGTCGGACACTACTAGGCTGCCATGGATGGGGCTCTGCTCTGACGTGGCTTATATGTCCCTGCATGCTGCTAATGTTGACTTGTTCAAATGCTAACCTCGACACAGACCGGTCAATAGATTTATATACCCGTTCATATATCTCTACATGATATCACTTCCAAGGTTGATTGATCCTATACCTGAGCAACCATATACTCAGGTCTATTTCAAACTGGTAAGTCCACAGAGGTTCCTTTAGCATCAGCCCCTATGCACAGCCCACCAGTGCGCCTATTCTGTTTTATGATCAAGGATGAGCACCCAGATGGGGATGCATGAAACTCGAGTGAGCGACAGGGCCTCTGCAGCACACAAACACAAACACCGCAGAAGAGAAGACCGGAGAAGGGGGAAGTCGTTCTCGAACAAAAAGAATACCTCCGCGCCACCCTTCACCGCCCATCCACCGCTTCTTCCCCCACTCGGCTCTTCTCCACGCTCTCTGTTTTGCAACTGCATCTGCGTGAACTTCGTGTGCTGTGAACTGGGATTGAGAGCCTGATTCGGGCTTGGTTTTTCCTGCTCGTCTCCAGTTCTTCTATATCCTGCGCTTTGGCATTCCCCCTACTCCTTTTTCACAATCCGGCCTTTTCCCTCTTTTTCTCTCACTCATCTGTTTCGGGCTTGATTGAATTTGTTCCGACGCTCACACAATTCTTTAGAACGTTTGACTCGTTTGCAATTGTCTGGATCAAATTTGTTGTCGCGATCCACACGGACACTTGTGCCCCGAGGACTCTCCACCCTTCGACTCATCCCGACTCAAGGGAGTTCGTTTCCCCCGGATTTTTCGATTTCCACAGTCTTCTTTCTTTCCTCTAATAGCGTTCTTAAGGGTAAGTTTTGCACATTCCCTCGGCTGCGTTTCCTTAATCCGAGTTGCCTGGTTTGCCTTGCGCACGGAGGTCATGGCATCTTCAAATCGCCTACGGGCGGGGTCGAGTTGACTAACATCATTCCCATGCGCAGATCGTTTCTTATTCCCACCATCTTCGTCTCATACCGAGTCAGAATACTAGGTGTTCCAACCCCATCCGACTCCATCAACAACCCCGGAGAGTCAATAGGATCGGCACTACGACTTCTCCCTTGACCCCTCGCCGATCAGCGTTTCCCCAGATTTTCACCCTCATTGTTTCACCCAGGTTATGGCTGAAGCGAGTCTTTTCATCAAACACGAATCCGACGATCATATCAACCCTTTCATGATGTCGCACTCTGGTTACTCCATGGGTAACCAGTTCGGCAACCACCCCAACGAGGGCGTGGACCCCTCCGATTTGACCGTGCAGCAGCAGAATGGTTTCATGCCCTACCCTTATGGCTCACAACAAAACATGTCCAACAGCTTCAACTTTGGAAACTCTGGCATCGACACGGATGAGCTGCTGGATCTGGAAATCACCGGCCAGAATGGTCACCAGCGGGATAACATGAACTACCTCCAAGACCAGTCCGCTGGTGGTATCGCCATGAGCCACCAGAGCCAGATGTCACACATGTACTCAAACACACCCGACAATGCGCCGATGGCTAGTCCTTTCGTCCAAAACAGCTTCGGCTTTGACCAATATCGGATGAACCAGCAGAACCCGCACATCCAGAATGCGAGCTCTTTCGACCAGACATACCTTGGCACTAAGCGCCAGAGTCTACAAGGAATGGATCGTACTTCATCCGACGGCCGCAGTCCCATGACACCCAAGACACCAGCGTTGGGTTCCTTGACTCTGGGTACCCCCGACTCTGGCAGTTTCCCCTCTCAACCAATTCGCACCGGACTGCAAGCCCGCCACCAAAAGACTCTGTCTAACCAGTGGGACGGGACACCCGGTAGCGCACAGTCATATGTTGAATCTTCTCCCATCTCTTCACCCCCAGGTCATCAATCCCACCATGCCGGCATCTCCGAGATCATTAAATCTGGTAAACATGCTTCATTGCCTGCCAAGGTCGACACCCATCTTCCTGGTAGTGGGGACCTTGAATCCCAGGAAGCCAAGCGCCGACGCCGCCGTGCATCACACAACCTGGTGGAGCGCCGACGCCGCGACAACATCAACGAACGGATCCAGGATTTGTCACACCTGGTCCCACAGCACCGACTGGAAGACGACAAGGTCCGAAAGCAACTTGTGAACACCAGCGCTCTCTCTATGGCCGGTGCAGGCGGAAGCGCCGCCACATCCCTCCTCGCCGGGGGCAACGGCCGCCGCGCGACGCCTGGCAATATCACCATGGGACTTCCTATTGAAGAGAAGGAAAAAGGACCCAACAAGGGCGACATCCTCAATGGTGCCGTCAGCTGGACTCGGGATTTAATGTGGGCCCTGCACGTCAAGTACCAACAAGAAGCGGAGCTAGCCGAGCAGATCGCCAATCTAGGTGGAACCTGGCCCTTCGAACCCACCGAGGATGAGAAGCGCATGCGTAGCGAGATTCTCGACGCTCTCGAGAAGAATGACCCTGCTTCCTTCAGCTATACCCGTGGACCAGGCAGTGGTCTCCGCGTCCCCAAGCACACCAACATCGCCGGCGATGCTGTCCAAGGTGGCGACATGTCCGGCTTGACCCCTCCCAGCCTGAGCCCCTCATTCCACAGTGGTGCCAGCAGTGCCAACGGTGCCGGTCAACCTCAGTACTGGAACAGTGCTGGCCATCATGCCATGAGCTTCAAGGAAGAGGATGAATATGGCATGGAGATTTAGATGGCTTGTCCTTGGATTCTCATACCTGATATTTTGAATTTGCATGCATGGCGTCTTAGTGTGGGGACCGACCAGTCGGCGTACCAGGAGTGAAAGACACGGGCTCATGGTTTCTTTTTCTTTTTCTTTCTTTTTTCCCTTGCGCTTTTCTTCTATTTGCTTGATCCTTTGTCCATACTGCATGTGCTCATGTCAGTAGCAGTATGATTGGTGAATTTGTCTTCTATCTCCTTTATTATCATTTCTGGGTCCTGTGTCTATTTCGGCAAATCTGGCTTCTACTTCCATATCGATACCCTGTTCCGTTCCGTTCCATTTGCTACTTTCCCTTTCTTGTTTGATTGACGTTGAGGATATCGTCTTCTGGATGCTATCTTGGGCGTTGGTCATTGATTATGTCTTGTTGATCTACAATCTGAACTTTGAGCTTTGAACTTTGACTTGATAGTCTACAATACAACTATTCTTATACCATCGATTTGATATACTTCCCGAGGTCGGAGATTAGAGATGTGAAAACCAACCTGGCTCATTACAGGATCCTAAGGTGTCTGAAATCCGATCCCCAGGACTTGCAAGATACAGTTTGATGGTTTGAAGATTATGCAAGGCGAATTTACAGGCATCGCTTGAGCGAGTTCCAAAGTTAGGGTTGATTGCATGGACAGCTGTCTCCATTCTAACATTGTAAGTGTTTTTTAGCAAATGAAAATCCAACATAACTCACTAGCTTCCAAGGTTTTACCGCTAATCAGTCGAACCTTGGAAGTCCAAAATGCCTCCTTTGGACGCAAGTCGGGATGAGAGGCCTCCAGGACTGTGTTTGTCCTGAAATAGTTATGTGCCGCCCCTCAGAGCCGCCGCAATTAGCCCAATAATAGGAAGCAACTCAGCAAGCTGCAACCATGAGTGTATACCTGGCATATCAAATAGTCTCCACCCATATTTAACCAGTCCTCGTGATGCAGTATGAAATGCCCTTTATATATATCTTTTTTTACATGCAGAGAATCGTAACAGAATACCAGGACTTTCTGTAAATGCCTTGGTAGGTAAGGTCAGGGATGTCCAAAAGAAGGGAGGCAATATAGCACAAGTGGAGATTAAAATCAAGTCTCCTCAAAAAATCCAAAAAGAGAAAGGAAATGAAGGGTGGGATATCCAAAAAGCTCAAAACGATCTTCAAACAGATCATTTTGAGACAGCATGAGGTTCAGTCGAAGAATGATGTTGGGAAGAGAATGTAGCGCCATTATGCTCGGCATAACCGTTCCCACTCGAGCCAAGCCGTTGCTCATGCTCGTTCGAGAATGCATGGCCACTCGAGCTGAGACGGGGCTCAGCAGGGCTCACAGGGCTGTCCGAGCGAAGATCTCTGCCCGAAGACACAGCCTGATCTGTCGGCTGTAGCGGGGTATCTGTAGTGCTGGTATGAGCGGAACCCTTCTCGCGGTAATTGATGCCCTGTGACTTGAGCTGCTTGCGGGCTTTGCGGCCACGACAGCAGGCTGCGCAGCAGGAGCCGATTTGGAGAATGAAGGCGAGCAAGGAGAAGGCCGAGGCAATCCACATGAAAACCATCATTTGGGTGCCGACGTGGGCCTTGATGTTGATGCTTGGGTCGGCGTTTGCGAAGACGTTGGCGAAGATCACGAACATGACTGTTGCGACGGCAGAGCCGACAATTGTCACGAGTGCGGTGAAGAAGGTGAGGATCAGCATTGGGAAGGCGCGGAGCCAGATGAAGGTGCGACGGCGGTGGGGTGGTTGCCCCGATGCGCTGCCGCCGTTGCCATTCTCGGTGTTGTTGTATCCAGCTGCCCAGTTCTTTATGTAGCGCGGGTGTCGCGACGAGACAGCTAACGGGGCGACGAAAATAAGGACGAAGTTAAGGACGGCTGCTGCGAGGAGGAGTCCAAACATCCAGTGTGAGGCGACGCGGGCGAGGTTCAGGGGCTCTTCGATGTCCGACGGGAGCGCAACTGTGGTCATTAGCTTTATCTTTCATATCTGAGATTAGAAACATTGAAACGTACTACTTGCGCCGGCCAATAGCTCATTCAAGATAATTTCGACAGGATTGAAGGCATAGAGAGTCTCCGGCTTGGAGCAGTGGGTGATTCCATCTGCATTGTACCCCTCACAGTAGTTCCACATGCCCACCTGGTAGAAATCATGCAGACCAATGGTCTGGGCGATGGAGTTGATCAGGACGGCATTAGGGATGGACACAGGGATGATGTTAGAGAGATCCAGGTAGAGGAAGTAGGTATTGCGTAAAACTGGCTTATCGGCAATGTTGCCAATGACAACCAAGACTAGGAAGATCCAAGCGACAAGGTAGAGGAATGAGCGGAGGCCGCGATGCCAGTGGACGGTGGATGTGCGGCGGCGGTCAATTGGATTGGTGGAGCGAAAAAGAGGGAGCTTCCGCTTCTCCGTCCCCTCCATGATGAAGGTATAGAAAGGGTGATTATAGGGAGGGTGAACAGACAAAAGAGAGTGAGAGTGAAAGACCAGGGAAAAAAGAAAGTAATTAGGGTTTCCCACGGGATGACGTTGGGCCCATGCAATATTCGTAACTCTGTATGCAACAAGACCCGACAGATCCTGAGAACCAGCAAGATCTGTTGAACTGTTAGAATCCGCTCGTAGGGATTTTCACGTTTCCCGTGCGATCGTCGGTGGCTGGACACTAGTGGCGTGTAGTGACGATCGGGGTCTTACTTTAGACTCTGAGCTCCTTGGGCTCTTGGCCTCTAGGCCTCTGTACGCTGTACTCCGGAGCTGTGTGGAGTGGCTTTGTGGAGTGCGTACGCTGTGTAAGAAGTCGAGAGACAAATATAAAGGGCCAATGGTAGTAATTAGACCAACACTATAAATACCCAGGCAGCACTATAAAATAGACTGGGAGTTCAAGGGGCTAAGAATAAAGACCTTTTACAGTCACCTAGGGGAATCAGCTAGTGTCAGTTCTCCATCCTTCGTACTCGTACGGCTATTCCATCCCATTATTGGCCCATCGTCTCTCTGTCTTTGCCGTCAACGTCACGACTCCACTGCCTTGGCCCCCTAAAGGCTTAGGTAATTGAGGTGGGATCTCGGATCTCCAGGGCGCAATCAGATCTTCGCCTCTTGAACAATTTGCATAGAGAGAGATGAGGTGGTCTACATTTGCTTTCGCTTTCCTGGCGGCCGTGGCCGTGGCAGAAGACTCTTCTACCCAATCGACCACCGAAACGAGCGACAAAAGCACCACCACCGATGGACCCACCGTTGTGAGTATCACAACGCCTGTGGCAATCCCCTCAGGTACCTACGAGCAGGTCAGCACCACTCGAACTCTGGCAGATGGCGACACCGAAGTTCTCACCTCGACCACCGCGACCGGACACCACAATGGCACCATGACCACCTCCGGCAACGGGACTGTCATTACCACCACATCCAATGCCTTGACCCTGCTGGTCGGAGGCGCAGGAACCACCACGATCGGAAACAGCAGTATGAATGCGACCATGACCAGTTCGGGCACTGCGACGGCCTCCCCTGTGGTGAACCAGCAGCCGTGTAACAACTATCCCCAATTTTGCGCGAGGAAGTATTCCAACATCACCATGGTCGCTGCGCACAACAGCCCGTTCGTGCGAAAGAACAATGTTGCTGCCAACCAAGTGTTGGATGTGACGCAGCAGTTGAACGATGGAATTCGGATGTGTGAGTTGGACGAACCGAATCTTAGAACCTTGGAACGTACCCGGGCTGACCTGATCTTGTGTAGTGCAATTCCAGACGCATTACGAGAATGGCACTATGTATCTCTGCCATACCACCTGCCAGTTGCTGGACGTGGGAACTCTCGAGGATTATCTGACACAAGTCAATAAGTGGATGCGAAAGAACCCTTACGACGTGGTGACTTTCATGATCGGCAATTACGACTATGTCTCTCCCGAGAACTTCACCACCCCGATCTACAACTCAGGATTGAAGGATCTCATTTACACCCCCTCCAAGGTCCCCATGGCCCTGAACGACTGGCCAACCTTGTCTGAGATGATTCTCCGCCAAAAGCGTGCAGTTTTCTTCATGGACTACCAGGCTAACCAGACCGCCCACCCCTGGCTCATGGACGAGTTCTCGCAGATGTGGGAAACCCCCTTCTCGCCCACCGACGTGAACTTCCCGTGCACCCAGCAGCGGCCGCCCGGTCTGTCCAAGAAGGACGCGAAGAACCGCATGTACATGGCCAACCACAACCTGAACCTGCAGCTCAACTTCGGTTCCCTGAACTTGTTGATTCCCAACACGGCTACTCTCAACGTGACCAACTCAAATGAAACCGACACCAACGGCACTCTGGGTTCTATGGCTCTCGATTGTGCCGGTAAGTTCCAATCCTGATCAGAAGCAATGAATATTTCAACTAACAAAAATCAGAATCCTGGGGTCGTCCCCCCAACTTCCTGTTGGTCGACTACTACAACTACGGAAACTTCAACGGATCCGTCTTTGAGGTCGCTGCTGATATGAACAATGTCACCTACAATCGCAAGTGCTGCGGCAAAGAGTCTGCCGCACCGATCGGTGCTTCTGTCGCCGGTGTGTCGACACTGATCATGGTGGCGATGGGGGCGCAGATGTTGATTTCTGCATTCTAATTTCCACGACTTATACGATACACTTCTGATATCTTGGGTGCATGGCCAAAAAAAAGGTCGTCGGCGCTAGGTTTATATTCTTCATTCCGTGACATATTCTCTATCTTGATGTTGAATAGTCTTTGCTTATGTACAAATTGATTTAATTACCATATATGAACCTACGGACGGATGTTCTGTGTGGAGTATGTAGCTCTCGAGCGAGAGGATAGTGAGCGTCACTCGCGGACGACCTTGGAACATCAAAATCGTCCCTTGACCACCTATAGGTAAACTCCGGCTATTTTGGATTATATACTCAAGCATCAAATCTTCGATCACTCGGCGTCCAAAGCAATCTACCACGGAATAAATGACAATTACCATTATCAGCATTTCCACATCGATATCACATGACCCACTCCACCGCACCGCAAAGCGCCGCAAAGCACACCCCTCACCACACCTCTCCAAGCTTCAGACCCTAACCGCCAAAATGGTCGACATCGTCCCCCTCAGCAGTTACCCATCGTATATCGACCTCCTCCCCTCAATCCAAACCTGCAACATCACCAACCTTCCCGAAAACTACTTCCTAAAATACTACCTGTACCACGCCCTCACCTGGCCGCAACTCAGCTTCGTCGCCGTCGTGCGCCCCCGCAATGGCTACAAGCAAGGCTCTGGCAATGGTCTCTCTGGCGTTGGCGCAGCAGGCGATGTCTCAGGACAATACCCCAAGGTAGTGGGGTATGTGCTTGCGAAGATGGAAGAGGAACCAACAGACGGCAAGCAACATGGACATATTACCAGTTTGAGTGTGATGCGGACACATCGGAGACTTGGAATTGCTGAGCGATTGATGCGAATGAGCCGTAAGGAATTGATTTCGAGATTGAGAATGGATGGTGAAGCTAATGATTATACAGAGCGCGCAATGGCGGAATCGCACCGCGCTCACTTTGTTTCTTTGCACGTGCGTATGTCGAACGTTGCTGCGCTGCGTCTGTACCGTGATACACTGGGCTTTGAGGTTGAGAAGGTCGAGAGCGGATACTATGCTGACGGCGAGGATGCGTATGCCATGCACTTGAATCTGCAGAACATGTGGCTTGACTGGAAGGCGATTGAGAAGAAAGATCGGGAGAATAATAAGGAGGAGGGAGATGAGGATGCTGATGAGGGTGAGGAGGTTGGAGAGCTTGGAAAGAAGGATATGGACAAGCAGATCCGGGTCAAGGTTGGGAGGGGACTTGGAGTTGGAGAGCTTGTCGAGAAAAATGAGGCGCAATCTTAAGACCTTGGTTGCATAGATGTGCTTGTATCTATAGAGATATTTAAAATGTTCAAGTGTTCATTTGGCTACCTGTGTTTCTGTCTAATTTAGTCCGTATTTCCAAGGCTGGGAAGAGTTGGCGGACATTGCCACCGAGTATCAACATGGGCCAGAATATGATAAGTATACATCATGTAAAGTGGAGAGAAAGAAAAAAAAAGAAGAAGTAAGAAAACTTTCCAAAACATGTAGCATCAGGCTGAAGAGCAAAAAATAAAAAAGATGTCTTGATCGAATGTATTGAAGGCTTATTTGTTTCCTGCATCGTCCTCCTTTTGTTTCTTGACCTTTTTTGACTTCAGTATGTCTTTGAGCCGGCTTGTGGTCTCAGCCGGTTTCGACTTCTTGGATGAAGTCGAACCACCAGAGGCGAGTTCCTGCGTGTTTGCCTGGGTGGTAGAAGGCGGGTTTGAAGCAAACGCGAAGCCAACATTGGAGCCATATGAATCAACAGGGCTGGATTGTATCGAAGTAGATGGCCGTGGGGAGGGAGCCTGATTGGATTGAGAATCATCCAACCGCAAGCTTGAGAGCTGTTGACCAAGGGGCTGATCGTGTGTTTTATTTGCCTTCTGCACATCGCCTGCCCTCGCCTGTCGAACCTGGCGGCGATTTGCGCGACGCCGTTCACGCTGCTCTTCACGAGCGCGGCGGAGGGCATCCCGGAATGCCTTTTTTGTAGTGCGCATCTCATCTTTCATGGCGCGTCTGTCGACCGAGTTTCGCTGCTGCTGCTCGGGGGATTCCCAGCGGCCCCAGTCGTTGCTTGCGGCTTCTTGCTTGTTTAGTTGGCTTTGACCAAAGCCAGCTTTCCAATTATCTTTACCTAGAAATCTGGCCTCTCGACGAGTCTTCTGCAAGACCGTGAGCTGCTGACGCAGACCCACGACGGCATCATACAATGTGCGGTCGTGACGATCGTCTAGAAGCTCCAACTGGGTTCGTACTGTGGCCAGGTCCGAGACATCTAGATCAGATGTCGTGGATATTGAATCAATCGAGCTAAACGAGGATTCAGATGAAACGGAGCTCACTGATACTCGGCGGGACCGCTCGGATGGAGCCAATTCCGAAGGAGGCTGCTCGACCAGATGTTTAGGCTTGCTGCTATCCTGATTGGGTGCCTCAGGAGGGCTTGTTGTGTGAGGGGGTACTGGAGCCACAGGGCTTGGGGCTTGAACAGGATTTCCTGGAACAGTTGCCGCAGGCAAAGGTCGAGGTGAGTTATCCCATGCTGGTCGACCGTAATAATTAGAACTGTAAGGAGTTGCCATTGGTTCTTTGCGACCATGAAGCCTTGCTTGCTCTTCAATCCAACGACCATGAGCGAGGGCCTGCTCCTCAACTTGCCGCCCATAATGCTGTGCTTGTGCGCTTATCTGATCTCCATACTGCTGAGCTTGCTCACTGAAGCGCTCGCCGTATTTCTGAGCCGTCGATGCAAGCTGAGAAATCCAACCACCTTTGGAACTGCCGTTACTGGGATACGGCTGTTGCTGTGGTGCATGCCCCCAATTATTCCATTGCCAGGCTCTCTGGGGCTGTGGGTGAGGATAGTATTGAGGTGGCTGGTTGGGGGACACGGGGGAAGGGTACAAAGGAGCGCCATAGGGCGCCCCGTACGGAAGTGGGTGTGCATAGGCTTGTGGGTGGTGATACGGAGAAGGAGAAACCGGCCAAGGGGTCGGTGAAGGATTGTGCTGGCTAGGGACAGGCGACGGAGTGTTTGGATGGCGAGATGGCGAGCTCTCTATGGATCCGGTCGCAGCTGGATAACATCGGGGGCAAAGAGCAGACGGCGGCGCGGAATCAGGCTCCCCCACGTAGATGAAAACGATATGAGCACCGCGGAAGTGGAAGAAACATTCGTTCCACTCTCCAACGGCAGCAGAAATCCGAGCTCTGCGCTGCTCGTCCGTCTCTTGTGGTCGATCCTTGCGGTCTCGTCGGATCTCTGCGCGCAATTGACGCGGAAGGTGCTGGGAGGAGGCAGCCAGTCCCAATTCAGGTGGGAAAAGATACCGCAAAAATGTATCCCAGTCCTGCTGGGTGGTTTCGTCAAAACGAGACGCCCAGCAGCGTGGTCGTCGTGGGAAGTCTTTGGCTTGGCTTCTAGGGTAGACGGTCATATGATGTTGTAAAAGACTCCGGCCTTCGTCCACGACTGATGGGGGGCGTTGCTCGAAGTATGCGGCTGCAGAGGTGAAGTGCGATGGCAGCACCGTCGGATGAACAGGCGCCCGCGAGCTACTGGCATCTTGGGAAGATCCACTGGCTTGAAGCGGGGCTGAAGTCGGGGAAGTGTCGTTGTTTCGGTTGTTGGCGGGTGTAAGCAACGGATCGACAGCGGAGTAAGGGGGCGGTGGAGCCTCCTCCTGGTCCATTTTGAGAGGGGCGGTCGGGGGTTGGTCAGTCAGGAAGGAACAAGGGGCGCCAGAAAGAACTAAGTGGCCTAGGAGCGGCTACAGATGTTCCTGTCAGACTTGGATCCCCATCCTGTGATAAGATAACGCGGGCTTGGGAGGCGGGAAGGCAGCAAAGTTACGACCGTCAATGGGAGAATACTTGGCGCAAGAGCTTGAGGCTATCCTGGGCCTGATAGATGTGTTACCGCAATGGTCAACAGTCTCCCGATGATCCGCAAGGTGATGAGGAAGGGAAAAAGTGGCGGAGCGAAGGCAGATAAGAGATAAGGTCAGCCCTATCCGGGTCCGCGGATCATTTTCCGGGGAACAGCGCGTGTGCCGATGCTAAGCAGGGTATTCATGGGGTTGAGTGGATCTATATCATGACCTAGGGAGACTTCAGGACAGCCATGTGCTGTGTACTATCATCTATATTGTAATTTAATGCGTTTGTTAGATCTACAATTATGTTACAGATATATTGCATTCAGGTTCCGACCTTGTGAGGTTTAGACAAATCACCTACTACTTAAGTAGACACCCATGGATCCATTTATACCCATAGATGCATTGGGGGCAATCTCTAAAATACTAGAATAATGAAGGCATGAAGCCCTGGAACCTACCTAGGTACAGTATGTTGGAACCACCTGGGCATCTAGCTATACTTAAGTATGAGGTTGACCTCTTGAAAAACATATAATGATTAGCTCTCTTTTTGATAGATCTACGATACTGCACCCGTGGACGCAAAACATATCAGAATTACTTAAGTAATGAGGTCCTTTTGCAGTCTTCCAAGTCTATAATTATTCTTTAGGTTGCCCTTTAGAAGGGGCACTCCTCCCGGGGTATTGACCTGAAAGACTGGATGGACACTGTACTGACTCCAAAGGGGAATCCGAAGTTGATTCAGATTTACTGCCATTCGGACATCCCAGGCTGCTCTAGTGCGCAGGGCACATATGGCACTCAGGCCTCCACGTCTATAGGGTTGACAACTTTAGAAGCAACCCTCTGCGTGTGCACGTTGGACAGAAAGGAGATTTGACAGAGATGCATCTCTCGCAAACAGAGGATGTTTGCTCTACGAAGCATACCTGTAGGCATTTATGCTAACTTCAAAAAGGGACAAATCTCCTGGTCTACCTATATATCTAATATCTACAAAAGGACCTTGGAAAGCCAAGTAAGAAAAAAGAATAAACAAGTAAATAAGTGATGTTGATTTCCAGGTTATTAGCTGTATTGTTGACTTCTTCTATTCTAAAGTTTGACAAATAACTCTGTACGTGTTCATGCCCGACAAAAAGTGGGTTTAATAGAGATGCATTTCCAATGAACAGAGCCTAGTCAACACACAGAGCATACAAATGTGCCGGCTTCAAAATGAAACAACTCTTTCTGCCTATATATAGAAGACCCTTTCCGCCCGCTTCAATCCGAAAATCTTGTTCTTCTTCCTGAAAGGATTCTCTGACACTATAACCTTGACAATATACTCAGTGTCACACCGAAGCCTTAACCCGAGAAGCTTACAAGTATAGCACCGCAGTCTTGAAGAATCTAAAGATCCAGAATATCAGAAATGAGCGCTCAAGTGCTCGGGTCACGGGCAATTTAGAATCACGTGGCCAAAGCATTGGCGAAAGAGAATTGCGAATTGAGAAGAGAAGGAGCGAAGGAGCGAATAGACAAAAGAAGAATCAAAAGACTATGCTTATGTCCTAAAGTCCGGGTGAAGTGTCTTAAATCCGCTGTTGACTTCGCTAGAATGACTTCGCGTTCGGTGATCCTCACCACACCCACCACTTTCTGCACCACTTTCTGGAAAATTCAATTGAGCTTGTCATTTGCTGGATCTCTTTCAAGAGCAATCGAGCTTCGAACAGGCTCAACTGGTCGGTCGGCAGTTCTTTAATCTGGATGACACGGCCAGTGGCAGCTCCTGTTCCCACCTGAGGCTCCCTCAACACTGTGAAAGCCCTCCTCTCTGTTCACAAGTGTGGTAAGCCGAGAAGAATTATGATTGGAGGACTGATTGGAAGGTCGACTTTTGATATGCTGACTGGGAGTTGGTACACACAGCATGATCCAGTCCTCTTCCTACCCGATCAAGCGATCAAGATGGCTAGGCCACACAACTCAATTGTTGGAAGGCCATCCGTCAATGGTCAAATTCGCGTGCCGCAAACCCAAGCCTTTGGTCTCTCCCGCATTGAAGAGACACTTTTGTACACCGAAGTGATCCTGTTGAAGCACCCCGCCATGATTGATCTTTGGTGCAATGATGTCGCTCGAATCCTTGGATACTGGAACTTGGAGTTGCTGATTGACCCGTCCATTCCGCGCCCGGCAGAAGAATCTCCTGACTTCCTTAAATGGTGGGTGGCTTCCAAGTCGGTTCGGGATTGGTTGGCAGGGAACACGCCCACTGCGCTGCTCCGAACAATTGAGCATATTCATGGGCCCACTGATTATGCCGACGAGCTTATGCACTCTATCAAATTGACCTGTCTCGAACTCCGGCAATTCATGCCAGCTCAACCTCCTCTTCCCTTGGGCGACACGATGAGAGCCTTGGCGAGAGTCATCAAATGCAAGAGAGCCGATTGGCCCAATGCATTGGTCTTCATCAAGGAGTTGATTAGATCATTCTGGTTTACCATGGACTTGGATCTGAGTGTGCCGGCAACCTTGCCACTGACAATCTTGTTTGATGAGCTGCGAGAAGAGTTCCCCGGAATCATTCAAGCTAAGAGTGACGAGGTCGAAGACATACTGTCTGGAGGTCGGTATCTCAGCAACAATGAGTTCATTACAGTGTGCAGTAATGTCTTGGACCGTATTGTGGCAGGTGAATCGGATGATTTGGAGAATATGAGCCCAGGGCGGTTGACTTCTGAGCAATCGTATGTTAAGATGATGGGTTCTGCGTCAATGGATCTTGAGTCAGTCAACAGTCGACACATGGGCTCTGCGCCAATGGATCTTGAGTCAGTCAACAGTCGACACATGGGCTCTGCGTCAATGGATCTTGAGTCAGTCAACAGTCGACACGTTGGCTCCGCGTCAATGGATCTTGAGTCGGTCGACAGTGGACAAATGAGCTCCGCGTCAATGGACCTTGAGTCGGTTGAGAGTGTGGACAACACGTGCTCCGACATGTGATCGCATACAAAGAACACAAGCAAGATCGGGTGACATGATCATGTCAGCGACATCGGCAATCTTGGACCTGGGAACGATGGCATGGTACGATGAAGACAAATGAGATGCAAAGATCACTAGCCCTTGACTGGCACCGACATACTACGCATGTGGTGGATCTAAGGATCGAGGAAAGTGTGGATATCGATTACTAATGGTGGTGAGATGTTCAAATGTTGCAGCGGCTGTCCACCCGTTTGTGTATCTCAGTTATGCGCACAGAAATTTAACATAAGGTTGAAATCTACCAACCATGGAACGTCAAGATCCTTTCCCCACCTCGATGATTCAGTGCCTCGTGGAAGAGGCTCTTACCAGTACGCTATTGGTGGGCTCACAGAGATAGTGGAGCACTGAATCATCGCCCCCAAGTGAACGGCACCATGTCCAGAATCTCCCTCTTCCAGGGCTGTCGCTGGGCTGAAATCATGCATAAAACCCCTTATGAATAACATAACACCACTCTATTCTTGCTGGAGATGTCATATAGTGGATGCAGCCTTGAGAATAAAATTCGGAATCGGTCAAAATGGCTTAAAATACCCTGGCATCCTTGCTGACCCGTTCCTGTTCTGCTCTGTACTTATTACTCTGTACAACCATCTCCCATCGTTTTGTTCGTAAACCTTTTCTTCTATTCAGGTAAACTCATCTCTGTTTGCTTGCAGATCTCTATAATAACTCTTATTTGGCTTGGCTTGAAGATTCCATCTATACCCCGAGACCTGACCATTACAGCCCTCTCATCATGGACCCGCATGAGAAAGAGGTAGCACAATCATGTCACTCATCTTCGAACGAAGAAAAAAGTACCGGTGAAAATAACACCGACATCGAAAACCAGAACACACCCCCAGCACCAACCCAAGACCTTTTCCCAGAAACAGATCTAGATCGCGGCATCGTTGGTTGGGAGGGACAAGATGATCCTAAGAATCCACAGAACTTCCCCTCGAGCAAGAAGTGGGCGTTGCTAGGCCTAGTCAGTGCAATGACTTTGATCTCGCCCCTTGCCTCCAGCATGTTCTCGCCCGCTATCACCTTCATGGCGGCGGAGTTCAAGGAAACCAACGAGACGATCCTCTCCTTCAGTGTCAGCATCTATCTGCTTGGATACACAGTGAGTTAATACGAATCCCGCGCGGCACTCTATATATGACACCAGAGAGCTAATATCAATCGCTCAGTTTGGTCCCCTCTTACTTGCCCCTCTCAGTGAAATCTACGGCCGTCGTGTGGTTCTCAGCGGCGCAAATTGGTTCTTCGTGGTCTGGCAGATTGGCTGCGCTCTCGCACAGAATATCGAAACACTCATCGTATGTCGTCTTTTTGCTGGAATCGGAGGATCAGGATGCCTCACGCTAGGCGCCGGTGTGATTGCAGACCTTTTCCCGCGTGAGCAGCGCGGCATGGCAACTTCCATCTGGGCCATGGGACCACTTGTCGGTCCAGTGGTTGGTCCCATCGCTGGTGGATTCCTTGGCGAGGAGGCAGGCTGGAGATGGGTGTTTTGGCTTCTTCTTATTGCTGGTGGGGTAATGGCGTTTGGAATGGAGATTCTCAACCAGGAGACTTATGCGGCCGTTTTGATCCGTTGGAAGACTGAAAAGCTGGCGAAAGAGACCGGGAGAACTGACCTGAAGAGTGCCTATGAAGTCGGTAAAGAGTCGGCTTCGCCTAAACAGGTCCTTGCGCAAGGTCTCAAGAGACCCTTCTTGCTATTTTGCAAGTCACCGATTGTGCTACTCCTTTCTCTTTATATGGTGGGTACCCCAGCTCTACACCACAATTCGGCTATGAGTGTGTCTTGCTAACAACGATCCCAGTCTCTCATTTACGGTCTCCTTTATCTCTTCTTCACGACGATTTCGGATGTTTTCACCAGCCAGTATGGTTTCTCAGTGGGCCTTTCAGGCCTAGCATACCTTGGGATTGGATTTGGGTTCATGGCAGGACTCGCCTTCATTGCTTTGACCAGTGACCGAGTTGTTGTGAGACTCACCAGACAAAACGGCGGGAAGTTCGAACCTGAGATGCGTCTTCCAATGATGATCTTCTTCTCTTGCATTATTCCGATCAGTTTCTTCTGGTACGGCTGGACAGCCGACAAGCACGTTTTCTGGATCGTGCCAATCATTGGAATGTTTCCCTTTGGGCTGGGTATGATGGGCGTGTATATGCCGATTCAAACTTATGTCATTGACTGCTATCCGGCATATGCGGCATCTGCAAATGCCACATTGACGGCGACGCGGTCATTGGTTGGTGCTTTACTTCCTCTGGCTGGGCCCAAGATGTTCGAGACTTTGGGTCTCGGCTGGGGTAACTCTTTGCTTGGATTTGTGGCACTGGCATTTATCCCGGTTCCTATCATTTTCACCAAGTATGGAAAGACCATTCGCGAAAAATGGCCGGTGAATCTTTAGTGCAACAAATAATGAGTCGATCACTGGAGGAACTGGAGGATCTCTTGTTATTTCATTTCAGCAGCCTGTTCAACCGCGAGAAGGTGCCATAGAAGACGACACAAGCATATAGATACATTAAATTGCATAATAAGATGATAAAAAGTGGTTTCTGTGTTTCGACCATTATATAAGCTCAAAAGTAATTTCGCGAAGATCCATCCCCTCCACCAGATCGGGATACTTTGCGGTGAATTCTGGAGTGAGCCCCCATCCTTCCAGCTTCATGAATGTTTCGCAAAAGTTCTTTTTGATGCGTAACTCGTTTTGGTCATCTCTTTCGAGTATATCCTCCCCCCAAGGCCAGCGAATTTTCACGCAACAGGCAAACATGCCGAACAAGTCGTCCCGATTATCAGAATAGACATGCCAGTGACGAATAAGGTTCAATCTCATTCTAGGCCAGGGCAAAAAGTCCAACACGAGAGGGTGTGGAGATTCCATCTGACCCTGAACAGGCCTTTGAAACAAGGCAAGACGGTCATATGTCGCTGGGCTAGGACTTAGAAACCATCTTGAGAGGTGGTACATCAGAAGACCAAGGGCTAACCGCTCCGGGTCTCGAATTGGTCGCCGCTGCAAGGTTATATGAATCATGTCGGCGAGATAATTTGTTTTTGTGCCGTATAGGATGTCCAATGGTGAGCTGGGAGTATCTGGACATGGTGTCACTTTTTCTGGGTAGGAAAACCAGGGACATGAGATAACTTTGGATATATCACTGTAATCATCGCTATGAGGTGGAATTTGACACCATAGGGGCGTAGTATCTGCCAAGGGAAACGCCAATGATGGATGTATTTGGACAGGAGATCTCATCGATGAGGCGGAAGTCGATTCAATGATAGGATCAACTCCTGCACTTGAGGTCATCGGCCCATTTAATGATGTTGGGTCATTGGATCCTGTTTCCAGCGAGAATGCGGTTTCATTGGTGTATGTGTCTTTGCGGAGAGATGGCCAGTTGTGCCATGCATATCCTGGCGTTTCTGGGTTCAACCCCTCATCCCAGGAGTCGACTAGAGATTTTAAACCTCTCTGGCGCTGTCGGAGTAGTTCGTTCTCTGTGCGAAGTCCGGTTATCACCTGGAGAAGTCGCTTAACGGCGTGGTCGGCATGGTTCTGCTCACAATGAGCCAGCTGCTCTTCAAGCTTGGTCGTATACTTCAATTTTTTATCACGAAGCGTCTGTTGCGACCGACGATCTCTGAGACGTTTCTTCTCTGCGGACATGATGAAGGCCAACTGGTGGTTCCTGGAAAAAATTGGAGGTTGCAACATTTGAAGGTCGAAGTTCTTGCATAAGAGAACCCGGCATAGATGACATAACATTTGTGCACATCCAACATTCGAAATGTTCGATTTTGGCGACTTGCGATTTTTCGCAAACTTCAATGCGCTTGAAACATCCCTGCAAGATAGCAAACAAACCCACAACCGAGATTCTGAATACGGATACCAGTGGAGGCTTCAAGTGTTGCGGGCACCGGACACATCAAGTGATCTAATTTGGGAACAGATAATTATTCAATAAGATGAGAAAATATTCACATCACTTTTCAGTTCATGGACTCAAGTTTCCAGGCCTCTTAGCATACGGAGCAGTTATGATCGCGCATACGGCACTCCGTACTTTGGTGCTCCCTATTCCCGGGGCTAGTTGCGGCCCAGGGGAGCATCATTTTCAGCCTGCAACAAACGACTGAAGATGGAAGGTTGGACGGTAATAAAACGGAATGGGATCCGACAGAGCCAATGAATCAATCTTAAGTAAGACAAATAGTCTGATACGAAGCGCGGAGTACAAGAGTCAAAACGGGCCAGACTCAGAAATGTGATAGGTATGGAGATGCTGTATACAGCTCATTTGTGGTGAATCGCTCACTGTGGGGGCTGAGAAAGAGTGAGGTCTACAGAAAATTCCGTCTTACCATCCCAATCACTCTTCAAGGTTTATTCTCATCATGGCGACCGAAAACACCAAGCTCTGGTTTGAGTCACTTGAGTCTATCTTTCGGGACATTCACAGTATCGCGAAGGATCTTCACTTGGCCGAGGAGTCTCATCGCACTGCCGCCGAGTCCATTCACAGCGCAAAGGAGGCAATTCGTTTCGCCGAAGAAACTCATCGCAATGGAGCCGAAGCTATTCATCGCATGAAAGAGGCAATCCGTACCCTACAGGAGTCTGAGGCTGATATGAGCAGCGCTTGCAAAGCATGGCAAGAGGCAGTACGCGCAAACAATGCCAACACCGAGTTCGTGAATAAACGCTTTCAGAAACTAGCCCGCAGTCGCCAGAGCTCATATTCCCAAACCCCAACCCCGAGCACAAACAACGACCAGATATCGCATCAATTACTTCTCGGTGGTCTCCCCAGCGGCTACACCCCAGAGCTACCTCAGCTTACAAGTTCCAATATTAATCCATCATCTCAAGCCGAATCCCCCCTCGGTAACTTACCGGGTGGTCATCAAGCGACACGGCATCATACAAACAGCGTGAATAGCGACCAGCTCTCTCACACAGATACAATTCTCAGTGGTGCGTCCAGTCGCTACGCGTCCACACAACCCCATTCGACAGCCTCCAATAACTTTGGCAGATGGAGCTCGGCACAACTTCTAAACGAGCTAGCCTATAATACTATGCCATTGGAGTCTTCTCCCGTGCAGCACAACCAAAAGCGCCAGCAAGCGGAAACTCAACCATCCACAGCATCCATTACGGAATCCCAAAATGGAGTCGAGGATAAAACTTCACCGAGCCGTGAGAAATCTGCACCAGATACAGAGGATGTACGTGGGCATGTTTGCCTCACCTGTCTTCGGGGCTGGGAAAAGTCCCTAAACGAAAAGACCACTTTGCAGGAAGGCTGTGTCTATAACCCAGGGGAGACTGATTGCTCTGAATGCAATGCTCTGAAACGCCACGGACCTCAAGAATGCCGAAAGGTAAGAATCACCGTCCTTGGTAAAAGAACCGTGTACTTACTTGTGCTAGATTCTTAGTGGACAGTCCAAGACATTGAGGCGGCTCAAAAGGGAATTCTTGCAAATCCCGAGCTATAGACGGTGGAAGTCTGCCGAGGCCACAAAATTCAAGGAAGTCGTGACAAAAGAGATTCAAATCATCGAAAATACCAAGAAGCGGAAGAAGAAGCGAACGACCAGTGCCAATGAATCACAACCCACCACCAAAAAGTCACGCTCTTCACGAGGAAGGTCCAAGTCTGTCGCAGCATCAAAGTCTCAATCCAACAAAGACCCTGAGGTCTGTCTCAAACTGGAAGGGGAGAATGCGAGTTGAACGTTCAAAGGGTTGTTGGTCTGAACATCTCACAGAATGGAAGCATTGAGGTCCTGTCTCAGATGCCTGCCTTCGTTGACGAATGAGTAGAAAGAAGTATCCCCGCGAAACCTCTATGTGCTGACCAGGAATAATACCTCAATCATCATACTGTCGTTACTCGCCCAAACTACTCCACGACCATACTCGCGTCATATATCTCCTTCCCTGATCCTTTCTCGTGTTTTCTTGTCTTAAATATTTTTTCTCTGTTTTCCATATCTTGTTTTTTTCCCTTAAACCTTGACTGTACGGCTTATCGTGTACGGAGTACCTTCAGCGTATTTTCTTATGTCCTGCTATCTCGGGTAAAAGCCTGGAAATTATTTCGTTTCAGCGTTGCTTGGGCATCCTTTCTTTTCTTACATAAAAAGGAGGCTATCAGGAACAAGATCCCGGGTGTCACTGGATTCTTATGCGGCCCCTACCAGGATAAATGGCAACTGAAAAAGGCCGCCAAGACCAGTGTGGAAGAAGATTGGAGCAGAAAGGTCAAAAGTAAGGTTATATTCGATGTCGGAGCGGGTGACAGCGGTTCGGACCTGCTTGACAGCGTTTCCAAGGAGAGTTGATCCAAAGAAAAAGTCCCCGGGGTTCACATTGAACTCGCCTTTCTGGCTATTGTCAAGCAGTGTAGAGTCGGTAGATGCTTAGGTGAACTGCCAGAATGCAGGCTCGGTGGTGTCGTAAATCGAACCTCGGTAGATAGCGTAGGCCGGGGTCACGAGTAGGTGAGAAAAAATCATGTACTCATACTAATCAATACCGGTGACATAGGCTGAGATCCACCAGTAACTGCTCGCATTGGCGATTGGGCTTCGAGAAGTCTTGAAATCATACGGAAGGGGCAGAGTGTCAATCTGAAGCCACAGTCAGTTCTCTGGATCAGTCTTTTTTCTGCACAGAGACGTACAAACCAGCTGCTCAGTCTGGAGGTCAGCATAGGATGGACGGAACTGATATACGGTCTCCTTGGGACATGAAGGCGATGGGTGGATATCGTCCTTGGGGAAGGCCGCAGCGAAGCCCCATAGCGCGAGCGAAAGGACAAGATGTTGAGACCTATAGGCTAGAAAGAAAGGAACGGAGGGAACCGACTGAATTTACTGCTCAGAGAGAGAGAGGAAGAAGCAGAAGAGAGAGAGAGTTGGGAGAGGATCTATCTACACATGGGGGTTGGGACAAACTCCCTACACAACACAAGAGACCCAATGGACAGGGATGTCATATCAAAGAAATGTAGACTGTTGGGAAGGAAGGTGTTCGGACTCTGAATGAGTGCTTTTTGTTCTATACCCGTTGACAGGTAGAGGACCAACGACTTATAACTTAGACATGGGCATATTGTTTGCAGTTACATAGTCTTCCGAGTGGGCTTTTCGGAGTTCTCGGATGTATAGATGGAAATCCAAACGGAGTACAATAGCATTGAAGCAGCTTCATGATGCTGGAAGTAGCTAAAATCCCTGTTCCCGGTGGATCGGGCGCGGTACATGCGCTGAATAACGTCCCGGAGCAACATGTTCCCGAAATCATTTGCCCTACTCTAATTTTAGGTGTGTTGCCCTTAGAACCCAATTTCCAAGAGTAGAGAGTTACTGATACACTAGTCAATCGCGCCTTCCCCCAGAGAGTACGGAGGAGATCGGGATATTTTTAACGTTTCCTGCAGCTGCGGGCCCCGGGGCCCCGGCCCCCGCGGGCCGGTGGCCTGGAGTCACCGATGTGGAGAACTTGGGAGGCGGAAAAGCGGAACTCCGGGCCTGCGCCAGTTCCGCTTACAAAGCGGGATCATCAACCTTGGAACTTTGGAAGCTTGGAACCCGTGGACCTGCCCTGGAGTTAGTTGACGTTCATTCTCACGCAACTGATCCACCCTATAGTACAAACCAGGCCAGTGTAGATTACAACTAGATGGCCATGCGGGTAGTAAACGGTATCTAAGTTGGACTGCGGCCAATTTCACTAGTGGCGTTGGAAGTAATAGGATAGCCGTTGTGGTGCCTGAGAGGATTTGGTATTTGTGAAGGTTGTTGAGAGAGCGGGCCGCCCAGTGCTTGGCGGTAGACGTTTTAGTGCGAGACACTATATGTGGGTTCATAAATAGTCGGCACATAGCTAGGTCGGCTACCACTTGTAACGACAGCCGGCTGATCTTCATGGGCCCGAAACACCAGTTGTTCACCATATAATGCACCGGTGACCCAACAACGTTCAGTACCCTTCAGCTCCTCGGCTCAGATAAACAATTTGACATGGAAAATTTCACGGTTATCATTATCGGCGGCAGCGTAGCTGGGCTGACCCTTGCCAACATTCTCGAGAGATATGGCATCGAATACATACTTCTCGAGAAATACAAAATGATTGCTCCCCAGCTGGGAGCTAGCATTGAAATCTTGCCTTACGGCTCTCAGGTTCTAGACCAACTCGGCCTTCACGAACAGATCTCATCTCTGAGCGAACGAGTTGAGACAATGCAAACATTTGGCCCAGACGGGGAGTGTGTCAGCACTGAGGATGCATTCGGTCAGCTATTAGCCGATCTGTGAGTTGCCACTTGGGTCCCTTCAAAAACTATGCGCGACTGACTTTAACACAGAACGGGGTACAAGTTCAGTTTTCTGGATCGTCGTGAACTTATCCAAGCACTTTATGGCAACCTCAGAGACAAGTCGAAGGTTCATGTATCAAAAGAGATTTTGAAAATTGAAACGCTCGACGGGGGAGTGCAAATCACGACAGCAGACGGTGCAAGCTTTACAGGAGACATACTTGTTGGCGCCGATGGCGTCCACAGCCAGACCAGAGCGGAGATGTGGAGAATTGCTGATGCGGAGGACCCTGATTACGGAACCAAACGATTAGCTGAATGTATGTTCCTCAGCCACTCTACACCCATTTTTTAGGCGAGCTTACCTTTCAGCAATTACCTGCACGTACAGATGTATGTTCGGCATCGCTGAGTGTCCGGAAAGCATGCCCAAAGACACGGGGTTCAAATCCTATCACAAGTACCTGTGCCAGGCAGGCCGTGAAGGCAAATTATATTTTTTCGCCTTCATAAAAAACGAAAATCAAACAGTGAACCACTCCATACCCCGTTACACCATTGAGGATGAACAAGCTGTGGTTGGTGAATACGGGGCGGATATCTTACGTCCGGGACTCACATTCGGCGACATATACAATCAGCGTCGACATGCAGTTCTAGTTCCATTGCAAGAATATGTGCTGGAAAAATGCTTTTACAAAAGGGCAATTTTGATAGGTGATTCATTTCACAAGGTACGTACCATCTTTTGAATGAAAGTATTCCTCCTAACTAGAGCCAATTTAGTTCAACCCTCTCACTGGACAAGGTGGAAATTCAGCGATCGAGGACGCAGCTTTGCTGGGGGACATATTGAGAGAGGCACTAGAGACCGACAGCCACCCCGACATCTCCATGATCCTCGCAGGGTACGCCAATTTCCAGGAACAACGTCGACCCAGAACAGATTCGCTGCGAGACGGAGCCAGTTCACGGCAGGCGCTTGAAGCCCTTGAAAATCCGTTCCTCGAGTTTATGGCTCTCAATATCATGGGGAAAATGTCCATCGATAAACTGGCTCCAATATTCGCGGAGATGTGCTCGCCGGGTCATTTTTTGAAGCATCTGCCTGCGCCATCCCATCGAGGTGTTGTCACCCCCGAGCAGGACATAATCGCTAAACCGAGCCAGCGGTCATTGCATGCAACCGCATTTTGGAGCTTTGGCATGGCCGCAATGATATGCTTAGCAGCACTTGCGGCTGTATACACGAGTGCCGGAAATAGAATGGATGTCTTCAGCGACAAATTCCAGGTTTACAATGCCATGTCCACAATCTCTGTGACTGCGCTATGGACGGTGGAATCATACAGACCTGGTTTCTTCTTTGGCCCAATGTACAGGTGAGTACATGCGCCTGCAACATATGCGAATTGTACTACCTGCTGACAAGAACAGTGCTGTTGTCTATATCCTCGCCTCCACCATATTGGGGTGGAACCTTGTTCTACCCTTTTATTTCATTTTGTACATCTACTCAAGCCGCTCACGATCATTCTACTACCCCAATCCCAGAGCCATCGACATCCGAGCTGCTGAAGTCATTCCCACATGCCTCTTGATCGCCTTCATTCCGTCAATGCTAGTAGCTCTGGTGTCTTCTCCCAAGCTATTGTTTGATACGCGCTGGGTGCTACTCGCAAGCCATCTCGCTCTTCCTAATATGGTATACCTGGGAAAAAAGCGATCAAAAAGTGACCCGCCGAGAATCCACATTCCGGATTCCTTGTACGGTAATCGCGACATGATTTATCTTCTCCGAGCTTACAACATACTCACCCTTGCTTGCGCAACTATTCATGTTTTTGGCGTGAGCCAAATCCTCATTCAATTTAGAGCGGAGCTTTTGGCTACAGAATTCGTGTTTCGAAGCGAAGTCATGCAGCTCATATTAGTTTCCATTGTCATCACAATCTGGTGTTTCTTCACTATTTGGGACTTACGACGCACATATATCATACGGACTCCTTTTTCCTCTGATTTCATCTATTACTGTCTGTCGGTTCTAATCGTCAGACCTACTGCTACTATGTTCAATATATGGAAGCGGCGCGAGATTGCACTGGAACGCTCAAGAGGGCGGCGATGATGAGGGTCTGATATGTCAAACCGTGAGTTATTTTTCCAGATTTTCCCAGGATCTGGGCAAATAGGGATTGTGGTTTGCAACTTTTGGATATCTCAAGTTAGCCAGCCTTGAAACCTTGGTGGTCTCCGCTATGTTATTGAATGTTGACTTAAAAGACCAAAGGAAGAACTATGGAGTTTTGTTTGAGTCGAATTGAATTGCATATCTTGCGCAGTCGTGTCAATTACGACTTCAGGACCTCGGGGATGGGACAGGGATGATTGTAAAGTGGGTCTCTCACCCTAAGAGCCTCAGAGCTACCCCTAAATTTGAGATACATCTGGGCTTCACTGCATTCCGCTGATTAGCTGGTGGATTTTCTCTTTTCCCGGCTCGCTAAAACGATATCCAGAGTAGGAAGAGAACTGGTTGCTGTAGTCTCATCCGTGATATCCCATTTCTCCTTCAACTTTTTCAACCACTTTTGATCAACCTCGAGAAGACTTCCTTGAAACTTGGCCATGGGCTTTCCGATTTCTCGACCTTTCAAGTAAACCTGAAGCATTTGGTGAGATTTGTCACAGACTCGACTTGAACTTCCAGTCAGACAAGTCACGCAGAACGACTTATCAAGGCACTGTTTGCATACGTAGAAAGCGAGCCACTGCTCTGGCTCACAATCATGCTTGCCATGGCATTGGAAAGGGACAGGCATGGACTTAATGGCTTGACGAATTTGTGAATCGCGCGTGTCTTTTGACTCTTTCGTCCATTGTAAACTGGTTGCAAGGGGAAGCATGCCTGCGGCAAACGCTCTCAGCGCGTCATTCGAGTCTCCTGCGCAGAGAAGTGACCTTGCAAGGATTGCATATCCGTCCGAGTCGTTTAGTGGGTCATCGTCTTCGAGGATCCGAATCCCCTGGCAGATCCGTGGCCGGAAAAGAGCTCTCAATTCATTGCTTTTGATGTTTTCCTCCTGGCGCCTCCAACGGCCAAGAATCATCGCTGCGTCTGCTTTCTCTTCCATGTCGCTCTTTGGAGTTGATTCTTTGCTGGCTACACCCGCCAGAGACTCAAGTTTGGAGACCCATTCCTTCTTGGTCTCTTTTGAATTTGATCGGAGCGCATTTTGGTAGTAGATATCAGCCAAGGCTCGACACTGAAGCTGTTGGGCAAACTTCTCTGTCGCCTTAGAATCGTGCTGGAGTGGGAGTGCCTCCCAAATACGCAAATGCTCTTCGTCATCGGGCGTATGATGGAAATAGAAGAGACCTCGTTGGAACTCTTCCCAGACTGACCCCGAAAGATCGTCTTGTTCTTTTGCCATTTGTACCAAAGAACTGAATATGTCTTCAGCAAGATCACGATATTTTTTGTAAGTTCCGACTGCCTCTATGAGTAGATCGTGCCCTTCCTCCCAGCCTAGCAGCAACAAAGCCATGGTACTGGGTGTTGATTTTGTGTAGTGTAACTTGTCAGAAAGATCCAAGATTGACCTCCACTTCTTAGCCCTGCGGAGAGCCAAGAAGTAGTTTGCAATCTTTTGGAAATCGGTTGAGTCGAGTTCATAGGCTTGTTTTGCAGCGTCGAGTGCATCGTGAGTCTTTCCACGTGCAGTCTGCCAAGTAGAGAGGCTCAGATAGATGTTGCTCTTGGAGAGTTCATCTGGCTGGGAGGAACAGCTCAGAGCCTCCTCTGCCTTTCGAATGGCTTTCGAAATGTCATCCTCCGCTGCAAAGACTAATGCCAGTTTGTACTTGGCCATCCAGTTGGCTGGATCCGTTTCTGCACATTCGTACTCTTCCCTGGCTTCCTTGAGGTGATTTGCTTCCATCAGAGCATCCGCAATACGCAAGTGCCAGTTGGAATCCCGAATCATCTCGCTATCGTCATCGAGAGCTTTATCGGCTAGGTGAAGAATGCGTTCACCCTTGAGTTCTGCAATTTCTATTGGTATTTCACCAGGTCGTTTGTCGCTGGGAAGGTCCTAGAAGAATTGAAATTTAGTTGCATGCACATTTCTCCGGTGATCTTCAGACACGGTATAAGGGCTTTGAGACCTACCAAAGAATTATAGTGATGCAAAAACAAGAGACAAAATTGAGTGTCCATGTTCGCCCCTTGAATCCACGATCTGTTGCAAAGCTGAGCGAACGGCGTGTATAGGGTGTGCGCAGAAAGTGACGACTCTGGGTCCCACTGGTTGATTCTTTCCAGAACCTCATCATCATGCAGCAGCAGTTTGATGATCCCCAGCCGTCCCTCTTTTGAAACGGCGTTATACCAGCACTGAATGGCCGATGGGCTACCAAGTAGCAGGCGAAGTTTGCTGGCCAATTGTGTCTTTTCGCCTGGATCCAGAACGCCGTCCTTCCTTACAGCTCGGATGTGATCAATAACATGGTCTGCTGCATATGGCATGATGTCTGCTCTCAAAGTCTTTCGACGTCTGTCGTCATTTGCAAGGAGGCGGCGCAAGCATATCTCAGCGACTCTTGCGTGTGCTTGACTTTTGTGGATGGCATAGGTAGCATCCAAGTCCCCTATCATTTCATTGTCTTCCTGTACCAGATAATCGCGCATCATGCCTGTCTTCAACTCAACAACATCCAACTCATTTTGGGAACCAGAATTTTGAGAAGTAAATGCCAGAGTGCTTTGGTTTTCACTCTTGAATTCTCTTGAGGAGATCCTTTTTGGCAAAGTGAGATCATCATCATTCAGGTCAGCATTGCGAATGAACAGCGCCTCATCGAGTGTGAGCACGCGGTATGCACATGCGATCCATCGTAGAGTAGTGATCCAGTTCAGTTTGTGATAAATGCTCGAGTCAGTCTGAGACAAGATATCACGAACATGATGTCCAATATTTCGAGAGATCGGACGATCGAGGAAACCCATCAACTCGCGTTCCGAGTTGCGATATGCCTGGGCCTGAGTCACAACCAAGCCCGCCAACGCGAAATCTGATTTGACCTCTTTTGATAAATGCACAATCCTCTGGCTTTGGTTTTCCGTCGTCAACTTCTTGAACACGGTCAGATTTGATAGCTTGGTTTCGATAAAATTGGTAACATGGGTTTGAATCTTGTCTTCGGGGATCTGGAAGATGGTGTCTTTTGAGGTCCAGATGTTGTGGGTTGAGGACAAACTCGGCCTAGCGAAGATTGCGATGTGAAAGCGACTTTTGCCCTTGAAAGTGGACTGTTGGAGGGACTCTAACTTGGACAAAACGATATCCTGCTCTTTAGGGTCGGCCGCATCAAGACCGTCGATGACAATGAAGGTGCGCCACCTTCTTTCGTCTTTCAAAAACGACACAAACAGCTTCTTCCAGATTGTTTCCGTGTTCCAATTGAGATCTGTATTATTCAGAGCCTCGATGGCTATATCTTTGAAGCTTTTGCTCTTCTTGATGAGCTGTAAAGCAATGCAGGTGAAAATCGATGAAGCCAGGTTTTCCCCATTCTTGCGACTTTGAACATAAAAGTAAGTCGTGATGCTCCGATCTTCCTTGAAAAGTGTGCGTATCAAATGAGAGGCGATGTGTGATTTCCCTGTCCCTTGCTCTCCTTTGATCCAAATCAGAGCACTCTTACTCTTCTGTGGTCGAAGGGCCATCCAACTTTGCACCTCAGGTTCATCGACAAGCCAGTCCGTATCCAACCAGTCCTTTGAGGAGCTTTGAATCTGATCATGGTGGTTTTTCATTGCGGTCAAAATCTCTCCCCGAAAGACTTTTTCCAGGCGACTCTTGAGACGGTCTCGGTCCATTGTACTTGCAATCCCCTGAATGCCCTTTCCTACCAGTGCCAGAACCAGCGGACCCTCTTTCTCGACAAGTTCTCTTAGCACGGCCATCTTTTTCTCGACGGCAGACTTTTCGCCCAGGAGAGCCCTTTGGAAAAACTCTTTAGTGATTCCTCGCTTTCCTCTCTCTTCTCCGATGCGTTTGCTTGCCAAGCCCAGCACTTCTACAATCACTCCCATCATCTTCTGGATGAGAACCCTCAACTCCTCCCTCATGACTCCTGCTTCACTGTGAATCTTCAGACGATCCACTATATCGGCAATCTGCTCAAGAATGTCACCGATACTGCCGTATGCCTCGATTACTTGACGTGTCACATTCACCAGGTGTAGTGTTGCACCAAGAATGAGAGCTGCCGGGGCGAAAGGGGTGAGTGAGACAGCCGAGCTCGTCACTGTTCCCAAGGTCTGAAAGGGTCCCAAGATCCGGGCTACAGAAGGCCATATTGATGCACCTTGCTGATTATGGAACTCGGCATTTGCCTTCAGAATTTGCCTCTTGAATTTGGTGAGATCTTCCGGGAAAGCCTTGCTCCCTATCACATCGCTCAGATTGGTGTTGGTTTTGGACTGATATGCCTCGAGACTTTTCTCCAACGTGACACCCGCCATGACGATACCTCGCGAAGTTGTTTGTCGGATAGCTGGATTCTGGATAATCTTGGCAGTCAAGTTTGAAAAGGTGAGACTTTAAGCGCTGACATGGAGGGGCTGGAGTCAGCCCCGCTTTACAACACTCTAGTAAAATATTCAGTAAAGCACACTAGTCATACAACTACGCGAACATCCATATGCTGAATACATTGAATGGATGGAGTAAGAACCATATATATGATGCGCCTAGATATAGGGTGTTTTGGGTGGCAGTCGGGAGGTATACAATCAGACTAACTTACCGAGAAAGACGCCATCGCACCGAATACTTCCCACCATCCGTAGGACGATAATCTCTATAAAACATTTGTTTTGCCGTGAGATATCTTCATGTACATCTGCATAGCCATGCGATTTTTTATAATTGCCCTTTTCGCATACCGCATTGTTTGTGTGCAATGCAGTATACACGAGGTTGATGTGGCTATCATCGGTGGTGGGCTAGCGGGACTCTCGGTAGCAAAAGACCTGACCACGGCCAACAAGTCATTTGCTATTCTTGAGGCCCGCAGTCGGGTTGGGGGGCGGCTCTTAAACGCCAATTTCCCGGGGAAGGGCGCCGAAGAGCTCGGCGGCGAGTATGTGGGGCCAACACAAGACCGCGTGCTGGCTCTGATATCAGAGCTTGGATTGAAGACTTACAAGACTTTCACGGCGGGGGACTCGATGTATTATCGGAATGGAACTTTACAACGCTACATAGATCGTTTTGGAGGCATACCTCCAGTGGGTATTGGTTCACTCATTGAGCTTGCAGGATTCATGAACGAAATCAATACGTTGGCCAGCACGATTAACTTGGAAGAGCCATGGAATAGCCCAAATGCCACCATTTTGGACTCTATGACTCTCGAAACATTCATCAATTCTCGCATTTTTACCACTGAGTCTCGCATGCTTCTTGGGATTGTGGTTCCGGGAATCCTATCCGTCGAGGCGAGGGAACCGTCTCTACTATATGCACTCTGGGGAATCGCTGGATCAGGAAATGCTACAACACCTGGATCCATTGGCCGTCTCATTGCTACTGACGAAGGCGCGCAAGACAGTCGAGTGATCGGTGGCAGTCAGATGCTCGCAATCAAACTGGCTGAAAACTTGGGGCGGGAAAACATATTTTTCAATGCACCCGTCCGCAAAGTGAAGCTTGAGCATGCCCGATACATCGTCACTTCCCCAACACTCAACATCTCTGCGAAACATGTAGTCGTTGCGATTTCGCCCCCCTTGGCGAGCCGGATTGTGTTTGATCCACCATTACCAGCCGGACGAGCTCAATTGAATCAGCGCATGCCGATAGGGGCGATCGGGAAAGCGATTGCTATCTTTCCAAGACCTTGGTGGCGAGGGCAAGGCCTCAACGGAGCCGGTATAAGCGACACAGGCGCAATCCGTGTGACCTACGACAATTCACCACCTAATGTGTCTTTTGGCGCATTAATGGGATTCATTGAGGCAGATGAGATGCGCAAATTGGACAGCGCCAGCGATGACGAGATCAAGCTCCAAGCTAAACAATCATTTGTCAATCTTTTCGGATCACAGGTGGACACAGCCACTGAAATACTCATTCATCGGTGGGACACGGATCAATTTTCCAGGGGAGGTCCAGCGGCTTTTATGCCTCCTGGTGTTTTGACCCAGTATGGACCCTTCCTGCGGGCCCCAGTGGGAAAAATCCATTTCGCTGGCACGGAAACTGCTGTCCGATGGGTCGGATACATGGATGGAGCTATCAGCTCAGGGGAACGGGCTGCTGCAGAGATTCTGGACAATTTTTGAATACTTTTTTGCCGTGCCAAACTTACAGGGAGACATTCTGTTGCATTATGAAATGTGTACTTATTGAGACTCATCTCCCATTTCTCACTTTTTTAACTCTCTATATCCGAATGATCGCCAACAAAAAGATTGACAGGGACTGAGCGGGAGGTACAAAGTACCTACGGAGTAATAAAAGACTTGACATGTCGAACGCCTAGTCCCGCCGATGCATACAAGCCCTAATATCCACACTTCGTGTCACGTAAAAGCACATACCTCTGTGCTCCGTACTCCGTAGTTGTCAACAATTCAATCCGACTCTAATTCAGCAGAAAAGGCTCTAAGAGTATATTGAACTTTACTGTGTCAACCATTACATGTAATACTACTGCAGGTGAAGAAATCAGAGCGGGAAGTGAATGAAAATCCATAGGGGGCACCCCGTACTCCGTAGTTACAAGTCAATCGGCGCCATCGTTTGCATGATCGAAATTCTCAAACGAAAAAAACAAAGTGTTCAAGCGTCGTTTCCAAAAAAAAAAAAAAAAAAAAAAAAATAGAGAAAAAAAAGTCGCAAAGAGGTGGATCACACCATTCAGAGCTCAATTTCACTAATTTATGCATACGCTGTGGTGAAGAATTAGGAGTAGAGCAACTATGGGATCTCGCGGTTGTCATTAAAGATCAAAAGAAGAATGAACTGGGTCTTTCAGTCGTGATATGCCCCATTTACACTGGAGGCTTTTTGACAATTAGTCTTCCGAGTACGGAGTAAAGCGATGGCCGAATAAATTCTGATACGATTTGAGACCTATCGGCTGTCCCACCTGTCATTTTCAAGGGAATGTCGCCGCCCAAGATGATGCATGAAGTACTCCGTACTATTACCTAGCCATTCTAGGTTACTATGTGGCTGGGGTGCTCCGTACATGCCCATAAAGCACATGCCCCTAAGTTGACCCCCGCAGCATAGAGTACTCAGGCATGACCCAAGTTCCCTCCCCCTACTTTGGGCTCGGGAGTCTGCAAATATGAGCAGCAGACCTCAAGTCGGCTCCCCATCACGGGCGTCCTCTGCGAGAGCGATAGCCCCAGGGGGCCAAAACTCGCGAGAATGGAGCCCTTGGTTTCCACAATCATTTGCGGCCACAAGTTCAGCAATTTCGGGGTCTTCAGTACAGAGGACCCAGTCTCCACTGCCTGGGGTCACAACACCAGGTGTTGTGCTTCAATCCACAGAGAACGAGGTGAGGCTCGCCATCTGCCGCGCACACCTCGCGAGGGAAGCCCGGAACAAGAGGCGACACCAATCGACTCGCGCCAGAACTGAAGATGTGACCATGGCGATTGGGTCTCCGACTCCCACAGTCCGACAGCCAACAGTGGACTCCCTATATGTTTATAGGGATCGAAGACCACGTCGCATTTCCACAACGCAAAACAGCTCAATTCCTCCCTCCCTGTCTCCATCCTCTGGATCATCATCACTAGGGCCAGAATCCGACTGCGATCGGTCTTTGCACCAGTCTGTGTTTTCAGATGGCTCCGACCGACTGCATTCACTGTCCTTTTCACCTCAACCGTTGTCGGTCTCTTCATATGTGGGATCGAGATACAACTCTCTGGCGAGTGAGACACCCTCGTTAGGTCCATCTTCATCGCAATTCTCATCGATCTCCCCCTTCACTCAACTGCGACACAGCTCTCAGGCAAACAAGGCATCATCACCAAGGCCAGCCTGCTCGGAATCAGAGTTCGATTGGGAGCTCATCGAGAATCTGGCTTGCTTGTCTGACGAAGCTCCTGGGTCAGCAATATCACCGTTTGCTTCACAGGTCTGTTCGACGGCTCCTCGTGTACAAACCCCAAGGGCAAGTGGCGAGCGAACACTTGAAGCGATACCGACGAAAACTCCCCCGCAACCGGATCAAGATAACCAGCTGTTTGTATCTCCCTCGTTAAACGAGGGTAATCCAAGCGACTTCATAGGACCGGTTCCAGGTACTCGCGAGTCTTCAGGACACAGTTTGTCGGGGCTTCCATTGCATATGGAGAACGGGTCCAATGAGGCACCTGAAGTACATATCGACGAGCATCAGCTTTTTTCAAGAACGGAAGAATTGTTGCGCCTACACAAAGAAGAGGTGGATCCCGATCTATGGGATGAGGATCACGGGCAGTTTTGGGAAAGGCATCAGGAGCGAAGCACGATATATAACATGCTGTATAAACTCGCCCAAGGCGAAATGCGACAGCAGTCAATGATAACGCGCCCAGGGGATGGAGATCAAATGCATGAGCCTGATCCAACTGCTGAAAATGAACCTGAGACTCTGGTGGTCAGCAGTCAGGTGGTCCCTCAAGAAGAAACACAGCCACCAAAGACGAACGTGGGACCGAAGGTCAGCATGGTGAATTCAAAAGAAAAGGAGCCAGGAAAGGGAACAGCTCATGAAGGTGAGCAGCAAAGAATGGTTGGATGGTCACTGGTCTACTGGATGAATCAAGCTAAATCTCGATAGCCTCAGATTCCATCAGGGCCCCGGAGCCCGGGAAAAAGCCAACGAAATCAAAGCCGCAACAGCGAGCGTGGTCACGGCCACAGGAACGTGCACAGTTGGAGGCGCAAAAACGTGCAAGATCGGTGGCGAGGCGACGGGCGACGTCGAGGGCGCGCCGGCGTGCGAGGTCAAAGCCATCAAATAGCGCAACGTCGAGACCATTACAATGGGAGAGATCGGGACCCCTTCTACACGCGAGGCAGGACCCACGACATATGGAGACCGCACCAAAAAGGATAGAAAGTCACATCCTCGTCGGCAGGGACCCAAATTATGATTATTCGGCGAATAGACCTTTGCATGAGCAACGGTGGCGCGCTAGCAGAAGGTACACCCCGAACACGACCCGAATGAGAGCAGACGAGGAGTTGATCAAGGGGTTGTCACCGTCAATGAGGAAGAGGCGCAGGAGAAAGGCAAGAAAAAGCATTGAGGCCAGGCACAACCGTGAGCTCGAAACCGTGCATCTCGGATAGTACGAGGTCCTAGTTTTCAAATCTGTACGTTTAGGATTGCTAATTTTGAAATTCAATCCTACTTACTCCGCACCAGAAATACATCTAAAGATAGTCGAGCTATTCCGAGCTTTGGCATGATGAGGTCGCAGCAAAACACCAGTAGTGTCGACTCCACGATATTCGACGATTAACAGGCTAGATTTTGGTGAAGCATGATTATGACAGGAAGATGGAAGTAGGAATAGCTCAATCAGTCCCACGCGTCGCCCCAGTCATCATCCACCTCCTCTTTTGGTTTCGTATCGATCTTCTTTGGGGCGACAACGGTTCGTGGTTTAGCAGTAGTTGCGGTGGAGCGAGTAGTGACCGTGTTGGTTGATTTGGCCTTAGTCAATCCCTTTGGCAGGGGTTTGTTGCCCTTGGTCTGGGACTTCGCAGCTAGCCAGCCGGCAAAATCAAGTTCATCACCGTCGTCATAGGGCTTCTGTGGAGCTTTGCTAGATGAAAGAGCAGGTGAAGAGATTTGCTGAGATTCGACTGCATCCGTGAACGGGTCTGTTTCTGTCGCATCGTCGTCCATGGCACCCCAAGCATCGAATACGTCATCGTCTTCCCCTTCGGGTTCGTCATGGTAGGCCCCTGGAGGAAGACGATCTGAATGGGAGCGGTTCAACGGCTGGGCAGTGGGGCGGAGGGTTTGTTTGTGTAGATCAACGGGTGGGGATGGTTGGTTAGGCCGAGGGGCTGAGGCAGGACGAACAGTTTCAGGATCAGTGGGCTTTCCACTGTTCGTCGGCTCAATGGGCCCACTCGTAGTTGCGATTTTGTTTGTAAACGATGAGATGGCCCACCCAGCCCAGGAATGATCGCCTGGTGTCTCAGCTTGAGGTCCAGGTCTACTGGGGGGTTCGGCTCGTGCATGAAGGGGTATCACAGTATCTGGCATTGATGCAGCAGACTTCCGTATACGCTTAACATAAACATCAAACGTCTTGTTTGCTTGGTCACGAATCAATCTGTTCAATCGTTAGTTGAATCCGAATCAATGTTGTAGGGCCTATCATACTTTTCCTTATCCAAAAGCGAAGGGCAAATTGCGGGTAGAATCTTGCCAGCGCAATCATCTTCCGTGAATAGGTCGATTGTAGCAGCCAGCGCCAAGAGTCCTGCGGCCCGGGCGTGCTCAAATGGATCTCTAATGGATCTGGTAAATGCTGCGATGAGCACCTTGGAGCGAGTCTGTCGCGGATTGTCAGTCACATAACCAGATCAACAAAAGTACTGGACTTACACTCTGGCCTAGATTCTTAGCAATTCGGCCGAGACAGATTGTTGTATTAGTCCGAATGCCCGGCTGCTCATCATTCGCGGTGCGCGCCAAGAACTTCAAGAGCTCTCCATTAATAATCCTGTCATTAAGTTTGGTGATGATAGGGATAATAGCCTTCACGGTCTGTTCCCGTACCACCGGGGCAACATCGGTGAACCCAGAAGTCTACTGCAAGTTAGTATGGATTGATATATCTGAATAACGAGAGACTTACCATTTGGGGAAAGATTTTGTCGTTAACAACCTTCTGGGGGAGGCTATCAATCATCAGGGGCAAGTTGTCCAGAAGGCAGACTCGTAATGCACGATCTGGGTTGCCAAACAGGCGCACGATAACGGGTGTCATTTTGGCGTTGAACTCATCTGGCGAGAGCTTTACTCCAATCTTCAAGGTTGCGCTTAGAACCTTCGGACCACCACCACCGAATTCAACACTCTTGAGTAATTCAGGAAGGACCTTCATCTTGAAGAAAGCCTCTGGGAACTCTTCCGGTAGGTCGTCAAGTTCACTGCGGTTAGTACGATGTCAGTTACCATCAAAATTAGAAGAGCATTGGACCATACTTGATGAACTGTTCCCGCTCAGCGTCACTCTTGAGCCCCAGGCTGTCAATGTCTTCTGTCATCCGAATGAGTGGTGTCTGGAAGAAACCACCATGCTTCTTTCCTTGTTCAACAAAATGCCCCGCGCTCAATCTAAGCTTAGGGTTGGCTGTACAAAGGCGTTTATAGCTTTGTTGCATACTCGGGGGGATGTTTGTCGTCCTGCCAACTTGATCACCGCCTGAGAAGTTGCCATTGAACACCTCAAATATCAGAATGGCCAGACCATAAGAATCAACAGCCGTCAGAGGGTTTCGTTTGATTGTGTCCCAACCACCTTTGACGACCTCCGGAGGGGTATAGCGACCAGAATCAGGCACAACGCTACCATAGGTCTATATCTCAAGTCAGTAACCGGAGGCCCTAGTACTTCCATTTTGACCAGACACGCGCGCCTTCCACTCACGTAAATGATTGCATCTTCCTCTTTCATGGAGCTCAGGATGTCGAAGCCCCCAAGCTTCCATTCACCACTTTCACTTATGAAGACCGAGGATGCTCGCACAGCACCATGAACAGACTGGGCATCGTTGTTGACAAATTTGAGTGTATTCTATTCGAACCCGGATCCGTTAGCAAGGTTTCAGCCAGAAGATCAGGCGTAACATACCGCGACAGTGTGTAATCCCCACTTGGCAGTCTCCTCGTTCAAGCTTCGCCTCTTCACCGGCCAGCTAAGAGGTGCAACCCGCTCTGTGATTATGTACAAAGTGTGTTCGTTCTGCATAACTTGTCAATATCATTTGGCAGGCAGCACTGCAGTCATTGGCAGTAGTCCGAAGTATAGGTGATCCTACCTCAATGGTATCCAGGACCTTAATCACACCCGGGTGGCGCAAAGTCCTGGACTTGTGCATGGCATTCTTTGCGAGAGGAAGACGCGATCTGTGCGTATCGATATTGAATACAAAGACACTGCAGGCTGAGCCATCATCCTGTGTATTGCGCCACATTAGCCATTCAAGCATCGGAAAGGACCAAGGGTCAACGTACCCTTTTTGTGCCGTTATGCAAAGCCCATATCGAGTCTCCAAAATCCACCTTCTCGCCTAAAGAGAAAGGAAGACCGCCGCCCTTCGCGATAGCGGAGCCGATGGCGGATTTAAGGAAATCCATGTGGCCGATGTGGCCGATGTGGCAGTTGCGGGTGTGTAAGTTCACGGGTAGGAATAGCCAATGGCCAGCGGGTTTCAACAGTGCTGTTGATCTGACAAGCGGCCAAGATAGCGAACGAAAGAGAGGGAGCGACTGTGTATGAATCAACAACAGGACTGAGTCTCCAGCTGTCTCCTTTCACTGCCCCGCGTTATCGCGATAAGAAATTGGCGCCTGAGGCAACAATCGAAAATAAATACTCCGAATGCGATTCCTCTCCTATTCAACACTCCGCTCAATGCGTCGGAGTCTGTCGCAGGCCAGAACAATGAATATTTCCATCTTATATCATCACCAGTGACTCTGATCACCGATACTTACCCAGCAAATCACTATTTCAGGGCTTCCACTAGCACCTTCCGACACGGTAAGCCACCTCCCACCTCTCGTCCCTCAACTCGCCATTCTCCAATGATGCATACACTGGTAAAAGGTCAGATCAAGGCAAAGACACAAGACAGCATCTTTTGAACCGATGGTACTTTAAACGACAGCCCAAATGCCATGATTGAGCTCTGGACGAGTCTTGGGAGCTGCCATTGAGCACGCGACTCTGTCATTCTTATCCAGAACATTCATGTCTGGATCAGCATGCTTGCATGCTGTGTCTGCATAATCTCGATACCTTCTCTCCGACCACATCTTTCAGCAACCATGCTTCATCTCCGCATTCCCTTTCATCCTGTACAACAGAACACATGGTCTCCCAGCAGGCAGTAGCCTGTAAGAATCCACGTCTATTCATGGCTCTGTTCACGCATGCATGCGTGGGCACGGATTTTGGAAGACCTGTGTACAGTCATACCGGTGTCCGTCCTGGTCTGTGGCAGTGGACGTGGCATACGCACATTCAAAACTGAGTTCGCCTTCTTGCTGATACCTTGAGGGGGTTAGGTTGCAATGTGTTTGGTGTTGTCGTTCGTTTGCTCAGTTGTTAGGAAACGGGCCGGTGTCGCCGCTATCTGGGGTTGCCTTGTCTGCTTCATTTCCATGAGGACTGCTGGCGACCAATGGCTGTGGCGAAGAGGGTCGATGGGTTAGATTTGAAAGTTGTTATCTCGGGTGGCTACTAGGGAAAGACCCGTTTGACCTGAGATGTGTTCACTAGAGAGTTTAGGGGCTTTGCGGGTTCTCGCCGGCGGGTTTTGGTTGACTGTTTGCGGGAATGCGTAAGGCCACTTTCTCTCTTTGTCCATCCAGGGATGGAGATTTCCGGCTGCTCGTTTCATCTTCTCATCTCCGCTTCTGATCTGTTGTGCAGGGCGGTAAGGGGTGTAGTTTTGGATATTGGGGGTTGGGAGCGGATGAAGGATATCGGCTTTGATGTTGGCTGGAATTGGTCAGTTGTTGTGGCGCTTGGTGGCACTCTCTGGGTTTGTTTCTGGGCTTGGTTGTTGTTGGAGGGCGACACGGAGTTTATGAAATCAAGCACCGCGGCGATGAGATCTTGTCAAAGTGACTGTCCCTGAATGATGACACTTTTGAAACAACCCCTGAGGAGATGTCTCTTACACATGTTCAATAACTTGTTACCTGATGATTCATGGCTAACACTTGTTCTGTTTAGTATACACGGTGTTTGGTGGGTCCTAATCAAGACTCAGCAGGGTGTTTAGGGCCTTGAAAGGCCTTCAGGGTGATATTTACGTATTTTTACAACTGTTACGCCAAAGCAAAGATTTCCTATGATATAACCATTTCATTGCTATTTCCCAGGGCTACTCCCTATCGTAAAGCTCACTTATCTTCCTCCACCTCTCCCCCAAACTTACCAACCCCAGTCATATCACCACTCCCCCAATCATGGTCTCCGTCGAGACACCTTCTGCCAGACTCCACCTCTCATCCGGATAGACAGAGGCCATGTGGGCCCTTCTCGGGGTCCACAAGTCCCCCAGTCCATGGGACGAAGGTGGGAGGTACATGTAAACAAAGCGGAACACAGGATAAGAGAAAACCAGAAAAAGATGACGATTTGAAGAGTAAGAGGAAATCCTCAAAACTTCAATTCAACCATATTGTAGAATCATTGTGCACTAATTGTGGAAGAATTAGGCGGCGATCGGCTATGAAGCAGTTGGGTTTCGATCATTTCATCGCCTGAAACTTCGGGTATCATGTCCCTGCTAGACCGAGGTCTGGAAGGTGGAGAGGCACAACTGGTAAATTGACTCATGTCTGATTTGCGTTATTAGCAAAATTCGATTTTAGATTGTAGACGATTAACTCACCGAAGATATCTTGGGGTGACCTGGGGACCACTGCAGATTTCAAATGTTGTGGACCGCGTGACTAACGGCAAGAACCAGATGAGGTCATGTAATAGTAACCGGGATATGCGAGTCGGAGATTGCCGACAATGTAGGGTGCGAACAAGTCGGCGGGATGGGGGAAAGATGATGCAGCTTCACCCAAGGGTAACCGCCCGCAGGCTTCATGATTCGTGTAGTTCATTTTCCTTCATCCGTGGGCTCAGCAGAGTGGGATCCTCCGGAGGTGGGTGTATTGGCAGACATCTGGGGTGGCATTTGGGCTATTTGATTGAATCCGTTGCTGGGGGTCCGATGCTGGTTAGGTGGGAAATGGTGCGGCTGATGCGGGCTTGAAGAAAAATGAGGTTGCTGTTGGAAATTTCCACGATTTGGGGGCACTGGGCGGGATTAAAAACTGAAGTTCCTTGAACGGGGGCTAAAGCCAAACTCACTGTGTCCTGACTGTTGGGGGTAGCCGGGTTGGCCGGGCATAAACATAGGAGGCTGGCCAGATTGCGAGTTCTGGTGCATCATCATTGGGGCGCCGCGACTAGGACTCGGGTAACCACTGTGCGGCTGGGGTGCCGGCACATGTGGGTATGCATGGCCCGGAGAAGGGGAATACATGGGCATCTGTGCGTTATATGGGGTCATTCCTTGGGGGACTGTCATGAAGGGTCCGTTGGAATGTTGTTGGGCCATCATGGGAGCGCCCATTCCGCTTTGTGGGTTAACGAACTGGGGGCCACCACCCTGGTAATGCCTCATATGGTTGGGTTGGGCACCGCCGTTATAGAACGGAGGGACTGGCTGTCCGAATGATAGCTGCGCGTGAGGGGCCATTGGAGATGGGTATCCATGTTGCATGCGTGGGGAGGGGAAGACCTGAGAGTTTGACGCCGATAGCTGCATGCGATGGTGATCATCCGCATGGGAGGGTCCATGGGGGCCCTGGGGGTGGAGGCTGTGGGGCCCTGAGGGTGGACCAGAAACCGGGGGCATATTTGGCTGGAAGTGGAAAGGCATGTTGCCCTGGTGAGTAACATTGCTGCTGTTTGAGGTTGAGCGAGCCTGGGGCGACACTGATTGCGCACCAACGGGCTGCTTGAACATCTGGCCGTAGGTCTTCTCCATATTTCCCTCGGCAACCTCCCATGTCGGCGAAGTCTTGTAGGGAGGGGTGATGCCTCCATTGAACAAAAATGGCTTCTCAGTCTGATCCGCATTTTCCTTCTTCATGCGTTTGATTGGGTTAAACTGATCATTGATGGAGGGTCGTTCCGAGATAGGCTGGGGCTTTTTCGGACCGAAGAAAGCGGTTGGTGTCGTCGCGCGCGAGATGGAGCGATTTCGGGAGAAAGACCGAGAGCTTGGAGCGGGGCCAGGCGCTCCACCAGGAGTAAACGTACTTGCAGCTGGGTTAGGCTTAAACTCCATGGCTTTGACATTGAACTTGGTCGCAGCGGAGCCGGCCTGTGATTTGCCAGGGCTCGTGATTCTTTGCTGTTCGCTCGCAGGACCGGTAGGGGGGCCACGGGCATCTTGAATCGGAAGTGGATTGGGGACAGGACCCATGCCTGGAGCCTTTCGCTGCTGCAGATTATCCGCAAGCCGGTGGCCTAGCATACCAACACCAGGGCGTGTAGGAGGGACAGCCTGCTGGGAGAATCGCGCACTGGCACTGGCAGCAAGCGGGCCTGTTGGGGGATAGCCCTGACGGGGGCGATTGTATTGACGATCCGATGGGGCAGATGGGGGCGCAGCTCCGGTTGGCCCAGTGCCACGAACAGGGGCTTTGGGCTCGGTTGGTGGTGTAGTCACTTTGGGTACACCCTTGTCGTCAACCTGTTGTTGAGCTCGCGATATAATAGCCTCTTGCTTGATACGATCTTTGGCTAATATAGGCACAAGATCTTTGGGAACTGGAGTCGAGAGCTTGAAGCTCTTGGAAAACTTCATCAGCTCATTCAGCTTGCTGGTTCGATCATATGAGGCTTGGTTCCGGCGACGCTCCTGCAGCTTAGCCTTTTCGTCTTTCGCAAATTGACGGAAATGACCCAGTACCTCTGCCTCCACGTTTGCGGTGGCATTTTCAGGTGCAGCGCGCTTGGCGGTGGACACGGTAGAGGCAGTTGAGACAGCGGGTGAGACGCCCTTGCCCGACGTGCTCTTTTGTTCGGCATCCGACGGGGGCTGTAGGGAAGCGGCTGGCTCGGGTTGCTTGTCTGAAGACACGGCTTCTTTTTCCGGAGCTCGAGAAGGGATCGGGATAGGGATGGCGGGAGCAGGCGATGCTGCGGGCTGTTTGGCAGGCACACTGGGAGCAGCTGCGGGCTGAACAGGTTGGCGACGTCCAGGGGGTGTATATTTGTTGGGTTGGCCGGAAAGCAGAGGGGGGAAAGCTTTGTCCTCGCGTCGCACACCACTGTACTTGTCTTCTTCGTCTTGGTCACCAGTATCCTGCGCTGCGAGACCGCGCTCCTCACGCATGTGCGAGTTGTCGACATCTTGTCCCTCAATTTCACGGGCGATCCGAGCGGCCTCCAGCTGCTTCTGTTTGTAGGCAGGGTCGGTACGATCAAGTCGAGTGGTATAAATATTCTCGTCGTAATTAGTCTTTGCGCCAAAGAGACGCTCATTGGCTTCGAACTGGTCCCATCCAGTGGCATTGTTACTCGTCTCAAGTGACATATCAACGTCGGTTTCGGCAGGCTCCCAGCGCTGCAAGGTACGTTCGCGCATGCCTAGATTTCCGGAGATATCAGTGTCGGTTCGGAAACCCTGGGAGGCACCTATTGTCGATATTAGCATCCGTGCAATGTAATGGATATATGTAAGCCTACCGTTTGGTTCCTTGGCCGAAATCTCGGCGGTAGTAACCTTTGGAACGGCGATGTCAATGACATCCTTGACCTCGAAGGACATGATGTGCTCGGGCGCAGATCCCAAGAATGGTGTTGCAGCATCGCTGATACCATTTGCGCGGGGCTGGCCCTCCTGCGCGGCGCGCTGAACCATCTTCAGCAGGAACGATACTTCATTTGGCTCAAGTGATGAAGAGGAGAAGATACCGGTATACTTGTCCCCGGACTTCGTAGTGATGGTGGTTGGGAGGCCCTAGATAACAGGTCAGAATCAATCGACATTGTCACAAGCAGTGCGATGCGGCTTACAATGAAGCTGGCGAATAAGAAGACGAGGCGGTCATGGGCATGACTATCGGGTGTGTTCGACTCTTTCTGGTTCGCCCTCGAGGAGGCAGCTTGCCTCTGCTGGGTCATGTTGCCGTTCGATGAGGCGTATGAAGAGCGTTGAGTGATGGGGTTGGTTCCTTGGGTCCAGGCCTTGTGAGAGTTTGTGCGCCTATGCGGTAGAACATGGTTGCGTTAGCGTTCAATGATCACAGAATCGAAGGGAACGAAGAGAGGTGAATCAAAACATTGCTATCGTGGAATCGGATGTCTTCAATTGGCTACCATCGGTACACAAAGCCGATGCAAGTGTGTCCCAGAGCTCACCAGCCCCAAGGCCCGTGCATGGGCTCAATGATTTGAGGTGTGAGGGTGGTAAGGGAGGGTATCCCTCTTGTTCGATGACGGGGGTACAAGGGGTTTCATCAATGAAGAACCGGGCGGGACGTACCGTTGTCCACCGTCAACCGGGCTGCCCGACTGTCGTCGACTGTCGGACCCCTTGGTACTGTTGGATCTCAGAGTGGAGCGGCCGGGGTTCTGCGCACCCGCGTTGGCATTGCCAGCCGCGTTGTTGGCCGGCACAGAGTTCAGAGCGGAAGCCATTTGACTTTCTCAGTCAGGGCAAGCTTGCGTCGTGGAACTTCGTACGGCGGAAAGCCGCGAGGGTGAGGCACGAAGCCACAACACACACACCGCCTGCACAAACAGGACGGGGCAAGTGGGATAAGCGGAGATACCGGGATATGCCAATGGCACAGAGATGAGAGAGGCGAAATGGAAGGAGAGAGGATGTGATAAACGGAGATGAAGTGAAAAGGGAAAGAGGGAGTTTCAATTGTCGCAAGTTGAGAGAAGTCACGCGTATCGTACTGTATTTGGCGTTACACTCTGTTTCTTCTTCTTTTTTTTTTGCTTTTGCTTTTCAATGTATCTTTTTTGGGCTTTCCAATGTCTTAGAATAGATCACTAATTACTGGACTCTTTGGACATTTAAAGTATTGGTCAATTGTTTACATTACGGAATGTTTGGGTCAGGCTGAGGTAGTTTCGACCCCTCCATCTCCAGGGCTCCAGTCTCGGTACTTACGGTCTGGTTTAGCATCTAGATCCCCCAGGTGTAATCCGGGAGTCCTTGTCTAATTATACTACTTGAGAACTCTTTGTGGGATGTAGGGTACAACCCAATGATCAAGATCTCAATGCATCGTGCTGTGCATGAGGACCAATGACAACAAGCAAACCTGCATGGCCAGGCTACCTGTATACGCTCTAACGTCGACTATCATATGCAAATTTATGAGGATCAGATACCTGGAGTCTACCCTTGGCCCTCTTTGGAGTACACTTTCATGCTCAAGTGTTGGCCTCACCTCACTATCCAGGTGGAACTTCAGAACAGGCTCAAATCATCCATGGATCTGGAATCGTCTCAATAAACACTATATTCTCGCTTATTCGATCTTCATCCATGGGCTCCATAGATACCCAATGAGGGTTGTTTCATCCAGAAATGGCGTCTTTGAGTGTCGCTTTCTGGTGAATTTATGTGCGTACTACACCTGTAGACTTATATGTATCAACTCTAGCCTTGAAGTTAAATAGGACGTTCTTTAGGTAACCCAAAGGCCACTCGAGCATTTCACGGTTTCATCGCAAGCTATTTAAGTAGGAACCAGTCTTGGAACCTTGGGAAATGCGCCAAGTCCAGAACCACTTGGGCGCAGGCTGACCACAATCCCCCAAGGCCACCTCTGCAGGGCACCGGGGCCAAGTTCCAAGCAAAGAGAACCCTGTGAATAATTCATCCTCTCCGGCCAAAAATAAAAGGAGGGCCTGAAAATGACGGACTACCACATGGAGCTCTCTAAGACCATCCGAGAGCTTTTTAAACGTCAGGTACATAATCGTGCATGGCCCCGGGGTTGTCTACCATGCCCCAGGGAGCATACTAATAGTACTCGTACTTGGATGAAGTGGATAGGCGCGGGTCTTGCCGAATGTCTAGCTCGGCTGTCAGCGCCACTGAAGACAAATGATATAGGCCTTGAAATGTATGGGGAAATGCAAAAAGAGAGAAACTCCCTTGTTAATGCCGGTATTTCCGAGGATATCATCACCTGGACACTTGTGATCGATTCGTACTGATATTACACAAACATACGGTAATCTATGGTATCGTGACGATCAGCACTGCCGATCCTGGGTGAGACGCGGTAAGGCGCTTGACGGAGGCTGGGCATCATCTTCCACACATGCCCATTCTCCTCGACTTTTGACTCGGTTCTCACCTTTTCACCTTGGACTTCTCCAACTCCCTCCATGATCCTGTCATATGCAATCCTCACCTCAGAAAACGAAATTTCCTTACGGCGAGTCGGATCAGCGAACTTCTCCCCGGCTCTCGGTGTCTGGTAGTACCGACACATCCATGGCCTCCCAGCAGTCTGGTCGCAGTTCATCTGCCTCCTCCCGGTCTCAGTCAAGCAAAAATCCGGTGAGTGTGCATGATGTTCCATTTCAACCCCAGTGACTAATGGTGCGATACCCCCCACGCAGCCTGATAAGCAGATCTCTCAAATCGAAAAGAGTGTGACACATCTCTTGGTCGCAACCAAACAGCTTTTAGAGACTCTCACCCAATGGTCACGCAAATTGGCAACGGAAAACGACGTGTCGGATGTATATGTACGCCTGGGATATGAATTCAACCTCGCCTGCCGCGCCTTCAGTGCCATCGGAGTCGATACCTCAGACCTGGGCCCAGTCCCAGACCTGCTTCGCACTATCCTTGAAGACACCCTCAGCCAAGATGCGTCGGCCGCAAGCCTCGATCGATACCTCCCGCGAATTCGCGACATAATCATAAATCTGCTCCATGGGTTAAAGAAGAAGCAGGCCCGGTTACGCTCACGACACCAACGTGAGGATGGTCGCCCCGCGCCAGGACGGAACGCCAGTGCTGGAAGTATCGCCAGTGGACAGGCAATCGGTCAGCTATACGATGAGGCTGCGGCCTCTACTATGCCATCAACCGCGCAATCCCCTCGGAGATCCAGCAACCGAAGATTTGGCAGTAATGGATCCCTCGAGGATCAACCGACCGCGGCTCGAACCTCCTCGGCACCTTCATCCAGCGACCCTCGATCCTCGAGTCACAGTGAAAAAGAATCTTCTCGCCGGGAGGCACAGCAATTATTGTCTCAACCCCCCTCGGATAATGATCCAACCCCCCGAGCCAACCCATCCAATAATACTGCGCCTTCTACATATACTACACCTGCTGGATTTCCAGCACCCCCGCCGCCACCACCGCCTAAAGAGGATGATGCGCTGGGGGCTTTGCAGAGAAGCGGAGAGCTCGAGCGACGTGCCTCCCGTCGGTTCTCTGCCTATCAAATTCAAAAACACCTGGGAACCTCCACTAATGGTGTTCCCGTCCTACCCACCCAAAACTCTCCCATCCCCAATCGTGGTCGTGATGTTCGCGAGTCCTTAAATGCGGTCCGCCTGCGGGGATCCTACACTCACTCTAGACAAAAGTCCTCTAATCGCATACAAGAAGCTGCCAAGACTGCACAATCTCAACCACCCGCAAATATCCCGAACATTGTGGAGGAGGAGCGTACCCCCCAACCCGCCAAACCCGCTTCAAAACCCGAAGTCACACGTGAAGCAGAGCCCGTGACCGACAAAGCAGACTCCGAGGAGGCTGCAATTGTCCCTGCGCCCATAATTGCCGAACCCGAACAAAAGCCGGCATTGGACGACGCCTTCGATCCCACGAAGGGTGCACCCCGTACCCCGAAAACAAGTTCCTTTGGTCCAGCTACTCAGATCGCAACGCCTCCTTCAGCTTCCCAGTTTACTGCCGAGCAGCCCTCCCCAGGGAAGGAGCTCACGCTGTTCCTTCAATATAAAAGCAAAATCAAGAAATATGTGCTGCCGGATGGTATCGCAGACCTTACCATTGGACGTCTCCAGTTGGCCTTCATCGAGAAGTTCGCCTGGAACACTCACGACAATGGTGTTGATTTGCCCGAAATATACATACAAGACCCAATCTCAGGCATTCGACACGAACTGGAGGATCTTGCCGATGTCAAAGATCGATCCGTTTTGGTGCTGAATGTTGACAACCTCGATGAGGTCAAGAAACATTTCGACGATGGTCTTGGAAGCGTGCGTCTACTCGTCGAAGGCGTCAAAGAAGTGCTTTCTGGTCAAGGAAGTGCCATCCAGCGAGTATCCGATCGTCAGCTTGAAGCTGCCAAGGAGATTGCTCGCTTGGCGGCTGCTCCCCCTGTCACCAGTGCAGCCCCCGGATCTGGCGCCAAGACCTTGGTTTCCGGCGATGGGGCCCAGCTTGCAGAGATTCAGAGCCTACGCCGAGACCTGGCGGTTCTGCGACAGACCTATTCCAACTTTACTGCCGATATCACCGGCTCGATGAGCGCAGTTCGCACCAAGGCAAGCAAGGTCAAGACCGCCGCCGATGATGTCGCCACACCATCTTATGAAGGTGATGCCGGCCGAGCTCGCGTCAACACCGGAAAGAAAGAGCTTGGAGCCGAGTCTGAGCGGTTGGTTGCTCGGGTCGATGATCTCCAAGATTTGGTTGAAGATCTCCGAAAGGATGTTGTCACCCGCGGTGTCCGTCCACTACCCAGACAACTTGAGGGCGTCAGCCGTGATATAAGCACTGTGATGAAAGAAATCAAGAAAATGCAGGACTTCTTGGGCCGCGAAAAGCCCATCTGGACCAAGATCTGGGAGAAGGAGCTGCAGCTCGTTTGCGAAGAACGAGACCAGCTTACCATGCAAGAAGACCTTGCTGCTGATTTGCAAGACGATCTCGAGAAGGCAACACAGACCTTCGCTCTGGTAGAGCAAGCTACCAAGGAGCAGGTCATGACCAACACAACCGGAGGCCCTACTGCAGTTCGCACCGCATCTCGCAGTCTTGGTATTGATCCTACTGTTGACATTTCGAAGGCAAAGGATGGCGTTCTTGGCGAAGTTCGCGCACTGCAGCCTAACCACGAAAGCCGCGTTGAGGCTATTGAGCGAGCCGAAAAGGCACGCAAGAAGGAGCTTGAAACTCGACGAAACAACTTGTTCCAAAAGGAGCTCGGCGCATTTGTTGAAGAGGGCAAGCTGAAGAAGAGCGGAGGCTTCGAGGAGACTGAGCGCCTCCGCACTGCCAAGGATGATCGCATCCGCAAGGAAGTTTGGGATAGACAGCAGGCCCGAAATGCTGAGATGGAAAAGGCCGAAGCCGAAGCTGCTGCTGAAGCTGCTGCCGCCGCTGCAACAGCTGAAGAAGGGGAGAATAATGCCGATGGCGAAGATGACGGCAGCCAGAAAGAAGCCGATGAGACAGAGCCAGCACCCAAGACACCCGAGGGGGCTGAAGAAACAGAAGAGACCGAAGGTCAAGCAGAAGAGCCCAAATCGCCGGTCAGCACCGAGAAACCTCTCCCCAAAGCGCCCGAAGACACCGAAGATCCTACCGAGAAGGCCTTGATCTAAACATCGACGAGTTCTTCACTATCCTATACTTAAGTACTGCAGTGGTCGCTCTGGCTCTGGCCTTTCATACGCCCACGCCCCATCAATTATGAATTGATAATTGCATGTGAATTTCCATTCACACAAACCTATGATTTTCTTGTTTTCTTGTTTTATGTTCACCCCTGTTTTGCATTGGACATCGGATAGCATTGGGCCCTGATTTTATGTTCCATGTCATTTTCGATGATACCTCTGGCGTGTTTCCTGTGCGAATTCCCCTGTGCAATTTCTTTGAATTTTGAGTTTCCACCTGTCATTTATTGACGATACCCTGCCACACTCTGTGGTGCGCAACTAGCATCTGTTTCTTATTCCGAAAGAATGATAATGTGCACTCCCTAATCACAATATTTTTTGATTACTATATTGTATAGTTCATAACCTAGCTCAACACAGCTGGTGTTTAGTATCATAAAGCGCAAATAACATTATAGACAAATGACAAGCCCAACATGGATCTTCCGAAATCGAGCATTTTTACATAACTGAGAAAAGACTTAGCTAGAACCACGATCAAGAGCTAGCATGCGCCTGAGCCTCAAGGTCCTCGAGCGTCTGTCTCTTGACAATTTCGCGAACAGCCTCCCAAGAGTTCTCGACATCGAGAACACGAGTCTCCTTAGTGGAGAGGGCCTTAAGCTCATCAGGCAAGACCTGAGACTCGAAATCGAAACCAGCCTCACCCTTGAGCGCCTCCTTCACAACATCCGCGAACTTGGCAGGGTGGGCAGTGGAAAGAGAGATATGGGGAATAGCGGCGTTGGCAGGGCGAGCGACTGAGCGTTGAGAAACGGTGATACCGACGGCAGTGTGGGGGTCGAGAACGTATTTGGTCTTCTCGTAGACGGACTTGATGGTCTCGAGGGTCTGCGCATTGCTCACGCGGTCACTTTCGAAAGTGCGACGGCCGTTCTCGAGGATGTCATTGGGGACAGGGCCGAAGCCACCGGTGGCCTTGAGTGCGTTGTACCACTCCACGACATCCTGGCTGGCTTGCTTGGCGGCCGCATCTGCGTCCTTTCCGGCAGCCTCGGCGTGCTCCTTCGCCAGGAACCAAAGGAGTCTCTCGAAGTTGCTGGAAACCAGAATGTCCATAGCGGGACTGGGGGTCTCCTTGCAGACGTCGGCCTCGTTCTTCTCCTCCGCTGGGTGCTTCTCGTAGCGACCTGTGGTCCAGAAACGGTGAAGAATGTCATTTCTGGGAGGGGTGAGCATACTCGATTGAAATTAAGGATTCAAGACATTGGCAATGCTTCACTTACTCATTAGTGGCAACTAGAGAATTGAATGTTAGCAAGATGCCTCTGCAATTCACAGGATATGAACATACCAATGAGCTTCTCTGCGGGGAGTCCCATCTTAGTGGCGAAGTAGGCAGACAAGATGTTACCAAAGTTGCCTGTGGGTGTGACGGAGCGAATAGGCTGGCCAACAGTGAACGAGTCGGATTGACGTGCGAGGGAGAAGTAGGACCAGAAGTGGAAAACGGTCTGGGCCAGAATTCTCGACCAGTTGATAGAGTTACTGGGATATGTTAGCAAGTTATCCGGACCAAGAAGAGCAAACAAACATACACAGCACCTAACTTAACCTCCTTGTTGGTGGCGTCGTCACCAAACAGCTTCTTGACGATGTCCTGGCAATCGTCGAATGTGCCAGTAACAGCCAAGTTGTGGACATTCTGCTCTGTGCAAGTGGTCATCTGGGCCTCTTGGATCGCACTGACACGACCCTTGGGGTGCAGGATGGTGACCGAGACATCCTTCTTGCCTCGGAGTCCATAGATAGCAGCAGATCCAGTGTCACCACTGGTAGCACCAACAACCGTGAGGTGGTATCTGTCCTTACCTTGCTTGCCGACGTTCTTCTGGGCGAGCAAGTACTCGAAAAGGTTTCCGAGGAACTGCAGAGCGCAATCCTTGAAGGAGTAAGAGGGGCCGTGGAAGATCTCAAGCAAGTTAATGTTGCCATCAAGGGCAAGAGGAACCAAAGGCACGACGTCTTCTGAACGGAAGGTGGAGTAACTGCGGTTGATGATCTCCTTCAGATCGGCGGAGGGGATCTCGGACTCGGGGATGTAAAGGCGGAAGATTTCGAAGGCCAACTCAGTATAGGAGAGGTCTTTCCAGCTTTGCTATGTTTTGTTAGAATGGATTCATGCTCAATGGCAATTCTGCATACCCAATCGGCCTTTGGCACGGCGTGAGGGAGAAACAGACCCCCATCTGCGGCGAGACCCTTCAGGACAACATCGCTGAAGCTGAGGTTCTCCTCTCCACCTCGAGTAGAGCGGTAGCGTTGTGAATCAGTGACCATGATTGCTTATTATCAACAAAAAAGACTAGCAAGGAATGATGTTTTCAACGCTCTGAAAGGCGGGCGGCGAGCGTTTTCTGAGTCAAAATGCCCCTCTCTGCCGAGGTCGGAGGCGGTGTGACTGCAAACAGCATGTAACCTGTATTGTAAGTTATCACCGCTCAGAGTGGTAAAATAGTAGTGATATCGTGTATGAAAATGTAATTGCGGTGTGAAAAACACGGAATTAGTAACAAAATATTTAGTCACCGTCTTGAAGCCGCCACTGATTGATTCTGACAAACGATACACTGACGAAGCCGCGGAAATCCTGCGAGTCTACTGTTGTAGCGGTGCGACTGACATCAAATGATGGTTTGGAACTTCTTCAAGAATCAAGAACCTGATCTGTCTTTGAAGTGATCAAATCGACGATCCCGGGAAACTCGTTCAATTGTCACATCTGCACTCCGTACTCCGTCAACAATGTCTGCCCCGAATGCTGTACCATGGATCCTGGAATCTCCGAGTAGTGGAGATTTCAAACTTCATTGTATATGACCGTTCCCTGGCTCACAACTTGAAGTGCCCAGTGGTTATCTAGACGAGCAAGAATATCAACAAGGAGCCCATCTACAATAGATGTTCAGACAACCTCTGTCGATGAGGGGCCGAAGAGTGGGTCGCGGCAAGGGCTCGGAGCCTAAGGAGCCTCCCGAAGATCAACCCTAGTTGGGGGCACTTAAGCCCGTTCCTGACTCCGTAGAAATGATTCCTCTCTTCGCTATTCAGCTACGGAGTTGACACGACGCACAATTGGTACTTTGACGCATGTTTTCTAGCCATTTTGCAGCTGAACGATTCGCGGACGGGATGAATACCTGCACTAAGCTATATGCCCGCCTCGCTTTCGATTTACCAGCCAGAGTGCGCCAAGAAAAGCGGATGCTCCAACATACATGAAGCCCGCAAACAATTGAGCCCCAAGATAACTTCCCGTTGTGCTAGTGATACCCAATGCAATTGGCTCAGAGAAGGTCGAGGGGATGACAATGCTCAACCAGACTAGGTTCATGCCATGTGACGTCTGCTCCAACCCAAGTATCTCCGCAACCAAAGGCCCGATCAGAGCCCAGAAATTTCCTGCGAAGAGGCCGTCGGCCACGGCGAAAAACATCAATAACCCGTAGCTCTCAGAGTTGACCCATACAGTCAAGGCGATCACCCCTGCGGCGAATGTTGTGAGACCGGCCATTTTGATGCGACCGACGGCGTCGCTGAAGTATCCAATGAGAGGTCGGCCAACCGCTTGACTCAGATTGAAGATACCACTGACAAGGGAGGCTTGCGATGATGTCAAACCGATGTGCACTCCATAGCTGGCCAGACTATAAATCAAGATGAAATAGCCCAAGACCGTGAAGAAGCCAAACCCAACAAGAAGATTGAAGTCCAATCGCTTGAAGAAAGCGATTCGCATGGTGACCTTCCGTGTCTTGCTTGTCTGCCCCCGATCTTTGATCAGGAGCACACATGTGGTATTGACACAGAAGGCGAGAAGACCGATTACCCTGAAAGCCCATTTCAGGCCAATATTGCGGATCATCGCTTCAGCCACCAAGGAATAAACAAGGCCTCCAAGACCAGCGCCGGAAAGAGACACGCCACTAGCGAGAGAACGCTTCGTAGTGAACCACTGCGGCACAACAGAGGCAACCGGAATGAAGAGTAAGCCCATGCCCAAGCCGAACATGATACCTTGAGTGATGAAAAGGTGCCAAATCTGGGAAGCGAAGCTCGCGCAAATGAAACTGGCTGTCTCAAAGATGACGCCCGCGAACATGGTTTTTCGAATCCCGTACCTGAGTGTGGATATTGTTGCGATAGAGGAGACAAGAAACATTGTTGTCAAACTCAATGATCCCACAAACGCATACTCCAGTCTCGAAGCATCTGGAAATATTTCATGACTGAGATAATAGGCGAGGAAGACACCATATGCTGTGTTGAACCCCCACGAATGCGCATTGATGACGGCGGCGGCGATTACGCAGACCCAGCCGTAACCTCCATCAGGTGGACTGTCTGTCGAACTAGAGACTGCTGGAGTATCCTCAGTACAATGGTCTGAGTGTTGTGTGAGGCGTGGTGAAGTTTGATTGTTGGAAATGGCCGTCGTTTCAGGTTTTGAGAAGAGCGATGCGGCCTGGGGTTTGCCGCATAGTTGTGCAGGACTCCATGTTCCCATCACTGGCAATTAGAGCTGGTCCGAAAGAGAGACTTCCCAGCTTTAGACTATATCAAGATGTATGCCGTATTACCTTTGTGCCAGATCGACTTAAAGGCTGTTCAAAGCTAGATTGATGGAATGACACAACCTTGGAAGTTTGAATCGTGGAAGCCCAGACTGATATCGATATCAATTGACTAAATACAAGCTCTGCGTCAATGACCCTCCAGCGATGAGACAATGGAGCCTCTCCCATGAGCCATTGAAATAAAATGCTCGGCTCATTTTCTTAGCCGAGTTTGTGTTTGATTATTTTCATTTCTTCTTCCGGCTTTTGTACCGGTGAATGAAATTTTGCGATAGCCCGGGATGATGAACCACGGGGTACTTGCCCCGCCCCTCATCTGCGGGATTCTGCGATCAAGATTTCCAAAGCAAGGCTTACTTGGCATTTTCACGGTAATGTTAATCCCGGCGTTTGAACATAGGTCGGAGAACTTCATATTCCGCGCAGAGTACTCTTCTCGCTCCCGGGCTTCGAACAAAACAATCGGCGGTGTCTCCACATCGATATGGGTCTTAGCTCAAAATTGCGTTTCAATCGCCGGATTGTCTTTTATTCACTGTCAGTGCATGGTGGGGTTCTGGGGGCCTGGTAGTAGTGCTCCTGTCGGGCAATCTAGCCATGATATGTCGCGTGGCAGGTGGATGAAAAGGGCGTCGGCGGAGATGTCACTCTTATAAACCTAAAGAAAGAATATCGTGAACTGAAAATTAGGTGCAACTTTGGAGATACCAGCCCTTGAAAAAATCAGATTGATGATAAGATTGAAGTCCTGAGTTCTAACTGAAGAAGGAAAAGTGGCAGTAGGAGGGGAAACATGCAAGGGGACAAGGCAGCAAGGCATCAATCAGCTAAATACAAGGAGCATTTGAAGAGAGAGAATATCAGGCCATATGGCACCACCAGGTTATTCGATGCTAAATTGCGTATTTGGCGATAGATATTCCCCATTTCCCGGTGTATCATTGAGATCTAACCCCAAAAAGACCGCGGACCTGACCAGTTGCACATCCACAGTTCTACTCGAAGAGAACGCCTAGTTTCTCTCTCATGCCCTTTTTGACTGGGGCGGACTCTTCGTCACTAGGCGCTGCGTAGAATCTTCGGAAGCCATCGAGGTTGATTTGGCTTGCATCGACCCAGAGTGGGCATCGATACCAAATGTGTGCTCCAATCCAAATGAAAATGACCGCTACCACGCTGATGTAATTTGCAAAGAAGTTTTTGGCCGTGGTAGGCTCATGAAGAGGCCATATGCTCAGGTAAAACTCCACGCAAATGATGACGATGCACCACGAAAGTCCCCACCACGCAGCGTAGGGATAGGTCCATGTCTGCCAGGGAAGATGCTTTTCATCACGACCCTGGATTTTCCATGCGTGACGAAATCGGATGTGAGAGAGGCAAATCATTCCCCATCCAAAGAGAGTCAACAGTGAAACGAGACTGGAAAGCCACCCGAAGACCTCAGCGCCAGTATTCGATACGTTGAGATAGGCAAGCCCGCCGCCAATACCAATCGTGGCAATATAGCCAGCCCATGGACGCCCCATACTATCAGCCTTGCCAAATACCTGAAAGAAGATGTCAGAGCGAACCGAATGGACAGAAACAAAAAGACATGGATGTTTTCACGCATACCCGGTGGTTCATTTGCACATGCGCCAGGCCCATGAGCATACGGGAGCCGCCGTAGCCAGATATACTTCCGGTCGAGATCACGGACACAAAGATGACAGCATTTGTTATATGAGACATCACTGGTAATCCAGCGCTCTGGAAAGCAATCACGAATGGTGAAGCGTTGCTACCGGAGCCACCGAATAAATTAGGGTCATTTGGATCGACTGTTAGTGTGATCATGAGGCTTCCCAGAATATAAAATATAGCCAAGCGTATCCAGATTGACCCAATAGCCTTGGGAACTGATTTTCTAGGGTTAGCAACCTCTGTGGCTACCAGTGCAGCATTTTCTGAACCCGCCATTGCAAACACACAGGTCGGCACAACAGTCAAAAAACCTTTGAAGCCATTACGGAATGGCTGTTCGTTCCAATACCTGAAGCCAATGGCTCCCCCTTCCGGTGCACCTCCGGCAGTGACCACTATGATTCGAAAATTGTGTGTTAAAATCTCGGTAATTTTCACATCATAGTGCAGGGCAAGAGGTCAAGACTCACCAAGAAGTGCGATGATGACAATGAACATCCAGCTAAACTTCACAGTGGAAGAGAAAACCTCAACCTCGGCAAAGAATCGCACAGCCCAGACGTTAATAAGAATGATAACAACCCAGAATATCGAGATCCATCCTGCTGCTGGTACTGCATCTGTCCAATAGTTCAAGACTGTAACCACGCCCTATAAGTGGATGTTAGAATTGGTAAACGACAAGATGTTCAGAAACATCCATACCTGGAGCTCGTTGGCGATTGTGATCCAATAGGAAAACCAATAGCCCCAGCCCAATGCGAACCCTGCAGCTGGGCTAATGAAAACCGTCGACCATTGCACAAAGGCAGCTGGGAGAGGATATATGACAGACATCTCTCCAATGGACTGACTGACTGCCCATATCATAGAACTACTTAACAGGAAACCAATGAACAGACTAGCTGGACCACCCTGGGTAAGAGATGTGCCACTGCCCAGCCACATGCCCATACCGATTGCTGAGCCTAGGGCAACCATCGTAAGATGGCGGGTTCCAAGGGATCGATGAAGACCCCCTGTATCTGCACCATGATCTATTTCGGTGCCCTCGCCCTTGGTGAGAACGTCTCCTGGGTGCTGTGATGATTTGTGCATAGAGTCATCCAAGGGATGAGGCGCTTGATTGGAATTACCATGTTGGAGACTCATATTGATACGAGTCCGGGTTTGATGGAAATGAACTTGATGAGTATATGTGCTGGCCTGACAGACTCCAAGGTCTTTATACGATCTTAGGACCTGCCGAAAAGTCTCCCTTAATGAAAAGATAGCCTAGCTCCAAGTAATTGCTACCAATAGAAGCCTCTGGCCCCAGAGGAAGTTTGAACCAGTCAATTGATTGATCCTATCTATCATAAGCGAGTAATTCCTGTCATTTTCACCAAGGTGATACTATCACTAGTGTAATTCGTGAGATAGCTTTCAAGGGCGGGGTACAATTTAGGTAGTCCGGGGAAGCCAAGAGATTCGGCGCCACTTGAAGTGATAACGGCCTTTGATAGACACGAGTAGATACCAACAGGATAATAACCTTAGTAAATGTAGATCATTTCATATACCTTGGTGGCTTATCAGCCAGGAAACTAGCAGTATAACGAAGCCCCTTGTGTATTTCAAAAGACAATCCATGGATAGTACATGGATGCGGTGATCTGGAGTACAAAACAAAGCCCACTTGAAAGTCCAATCCAAGGTGCATGGGGCTTATCTCTTTACAAAGCCATGAGGCAAATCTAACTGTTGATTCATGATTTTGATAGCGAGGTTTTGAATTATGCCAGTTCACTTGAAGCTCCCAAGGTTGATCATCACCAACTTTAGAAGGAACTATCACCACCACTAGGACTGGACAATAAAGCAAACCTTATTTTCAAAGCCCGGGGTCCACTGTTCCTCTGATGTGTCTGTAGCCCCGGAGACCCCATACCTACCGTAGAAGTCGGTCCCCGCTTGAGGGAGGGTCACCCATATGGTAGTCAACCCAGAGCCTTGCAAGATAACTGATCCCAGAAACAGAAATCTTGGAACGATTGATCTTAGTAGGATAAGTCTTCAACTTGAGAAATTCTAAAAGTTGGTAGCAACATCTTATATAGCACGATGTGTTAGCGTAAGTAGGAAATCCTCAGGTAAGTAGCACCTGCCCAAGTGTTAGCTAAAGAAGAGACATACTACAATGAGCTCTCCTACCTAACCGGACAGAAAGGGGCAATTCGAGTGATGCGTCTCAGGTGATTGATAGTTCAACAACTTTAGATGCTGCAAACTACTCAAGTATGACATTTTCTAAAGTTCTGGGGTGAATCTCGACGAATGATCCATCAGTTTGGGGGAGGGGGGTTGACTTAGTTTATAAGTAATAAGGACACTTCGATTCAATTGAGTCTAGAACCCTTGGAAAAAATTTCAATATATAGTAGGTGTTGAGTAAAAAGATGTATATACCTGCGGAGATATATAGATAATTGGATTTCTATTCTATAGCACGTACGATACGTACCATTGCCTCCTCCAGCCACGGGATCGGATGAGAGAAAACCACACGAAACCAGCCCGGATTTTCGGCTCCGTAGGCGATTCCGTGTGCCAAGTACACCTTTCGGGTAAGCAACCTTTGGTGTACGAGCTCTGTAAGCTCTAGTCCACTCTTATCCATTTGAGGATAGCGCTCTAAATACTTCTTGCCAAGGTTGACCCAGACAAAGAATCCCGCATGGCATCCAGGGAGATAGTCGATACCAGAAGACTTAAGAGCATTGACAACATACTCATGTGAGATGGAGAGAAGCTCACGGTTCTTCTTGATGTACGCATCCGTGAAATCATCGTTGGAAAGAATCGCTGCTGTGGTCTGGTCCGACATAGCAGACACAAATGTATAGAGAGACAGACATCTTTGAGCGATATGGAAATCAGGATTGGACTGAGATATAACAGCGCCAACACGCAGACCATTGGCACCAAAGTCCTTGCTCATACCCCAAAGCACGTGGACGAGCTGCGGGTCAATCAGTCCAGTCGTATCTCTTGACAGCAGAGACTCGAATGGAACAGGAGAGCCTGTTTCATCGACTCTGTTTTCCCACACCGAAAGAGCATATATCTCGTCTGAGATAAGATGCATCCTGCGGGACTGACATAACTTCATCAAAGCAGTCAAGGTCTCATGTGGATAGCAACGACCCAGCGGGTTGTGTGGGTTGCAAAGCATGACTCCACGCACGCGCTTTCCCGTTCTGTTTTCGTATTCAATGGCTGCCTTTTCGTACTCCTGTACTGCCTTTGGGCTCAAGGGATCCAAACTGCCCATCTTCACGGGCACCACCACAGCCTCTGGCCGTAAGGTAATGTCGGCAACGAAAGTGCTGTAGTATGGCATGCTGAGAAGGATTGCCTCTCCTGGTTCTAGGAAAGTCCAGCTGAGATGCTCAATCGCAGAGGAACATCCGTTGGTCACCAAAATATGAGCAGACTCCACTGGGCGGAACGGGCTGAAGTGTCGGTTCAAAAAGTGAGCGACTGCGTCTCTGAGTGAATTTGATCCCATGCTGCCATTGTTATAGGTGAGATGTGCAGTTGTGAGCTTGACATTGGCATGGATGAACTCAAGGAGGAAGTCGTGGAGGAGTGTATTCTCTGCCATCCCAACCGAGAGAATTCCCGAGGGATTCTTTTCGGGATGCCACATATCGCTGATAATCTTCCATGTCATACGCTTTGAGCCCAATTCGACGGCAGTTTGACCGCGTTTGGAGAAGATCGAGGGTTGCTCTGACTCAGAACTGAGGTATCCCCCCATGATGGTTGATTTTGATGCTGATGAACTTAATCGAAATGCAAGAAGATTGCGGATTTTGAGGGATAGTAAATGAGGCACGAGGCTTTTATTAGCAACCCTGACTCTCTGAGCGCCGAGAACCGGGTTACAACGTGAAATTTTGAGCTAATGAGGTTAGATATCTAGTAGCTCACTCGATTATAGCTATCAGCACCGGAGGGCGCATGCTTGGGGCGCCATGTGAATACCTAACCCTCGTTTGTTCGTCCGACGAGGGGACAGTATACAATCTTGGAACCCACTAGGAGCGAGAGTCTTGGTGTTCGGCCTTTGATGTGTAGGTCCGATACGCTGGCAACAAAAGGCTATCTATGACCAGATAGTCTAGATGCACGGGATCATGCAAAACCCACTTTAATATGCCACACTGCGACGTTTCAAAACTCTCATCATTCGCCGAGCGCCTGAATTTGCCTCTCGGTCTCAACCCCGGATTACGATGGTGAAAATGCGCTTATCCGGAAAAAAAAAAAAAAAAAAAAAAACAGTACTTAGCAGCAGTACGGCGTTTGATCATATCCTTTATCGGCGTGGGGTAATTAAGTAAGAGCACGGGACGATGAAATCAGTGGAAGTGCGCAGGTCTATAGCGGCCCGGGTTGTTTTCAATGTTTTGGCAGATCTATTTCCTATTTGGAGTAGATTTTAACACCGCCAGAAAGAGCCGGGTACATTGTAAAAAGCAGAGTATAATCTTGAAGCTGTTCGCCCCCCCATAAATGTCCGTACCGCCATATTCTTAGGCGTTAAGGGTCTCTTTGGACCCGCCAAGATCACTCGCCTCTATCCAACTACCTACACCGCTACATTTTTGGGTGTTGAAAGCCCCCTTTAAATCCGGACTCCCGATTTTCAAGCTATTCCCCCTCTATGCAAACGCCTATATCGCTATAGTTTAAGATGACAAGAATCTTTACTCGTAGCTGCTTCGATTTTGAAACTATTCCTGAAGTCGCTTATATCGCAATGTTTCTATCGTTAAAATCTTAGACATCGAGAATCTTTTTTTAAGCTTGTCAGCGACGCAGAGTAAGTAAGAAAGTGGCAGTATCAACGTCTACAGGTGACGTGACGGCAATAATTTTGGTGAAGCTATTTGTCGGAAGCCAGAAAGGCCATAGTTTGCATAGTTTGCATCTGTGTGAACTTACAAATACATCGCCACATCGATGGATGGTCAGCTCCGGAGTGCGTGTTATGCTCGTATACTCCATATCCCCCCTTCAAACCTCGAGAAATTTTTTACTAATCCTGCATCCCCGAACAGGTTGGTATTGACTTCAGACAAATGTTGACTTGAACTTTAAATTGGTCCAGAGTTTTACAATCATTGGTATCCCCCGAGGTCCAGTACTGTACACAACCTTGGAAGTCTTCCAGATGCAACTCTCAACACGCCAAGCCTAGCACCTGACGTTGCTACCAAGGAGGAAATGTTCATTCATCATATAGCATTGGGAACTTTTCGTCGCAGAGTCAAAATTGATTTGACACGGTTAGCAGCACTTGCCACGGGAAGAGCAATCTTCGAGAATTTGCGGCGCGCTGGATGTATCTAGGCGGCAGAAACACGACGATTTGATGGGGATGTCGGCAACGGCAAGAGCCAGCTTGGCTGTGGGCTCAATCACAGCAGCCTCATCCAACTTTCCAAGTCGGGTAAGACACTCATGGTAACCCTGGAGTGACCAAACATTGTTGGGGTGACGCCGAGGGCGGATGACTGAACTGTCAAGACCCAGGTCGGCCCGATAAGATTTGGCTGCTTCTTCAAGGTTTCCTTGCTCCATGTTCAGTGCGGCATATGCATGACGCACAGGCTGCATCCACGACCAAGGCTCGCTGTAGGGTAATCTATCCTCTAGATCGATCGCGACGCGAAGAGCATCAAATGCCTCCTCGAAGTTACCGCAACGATATTCAATCTCTCCTTCTAACATTTTTTCTGCGACCTTGAAGATATCAACCATCTTGCCGTTGTAAGCTCGGCGCGTTTCAGGAACCTGAGACCACGCCTCAAGGAAGGACTTTTGCGCTTCCCTAGCCATGGGTACGTCGCTGGTTGCTGCAAATGCAACTCCCTTGCCGTAGTGAATCGCAGCGACAGTACCCGCAAAGAGAGCCTTATCGTGAGGAAGTTCCATCTGCTTCAGTTCCTCCCACATTCCGAAACGGACCAGCACATGTACACGGATCGACATGAATTGTTCGAGCCAGTCAGCCATGGGCGGAGATGGGATTCGAAGAACCTCTTCTGGTACCGTCAATTCCATGCGAGTGACTGCCTCGAGCGCAACCTTGGATTGGCCTGCAAACATGGCGGCGTAGACCAAGGAGTGATAGTCGTGCATACGGTAGAAGGTGTAGAAGTTCTTGGCACCCGACTTTCGGAAATATTTGTCATCGGCCAGGGTCGATTTGTAGTTCGATGAGATGGACCGTCGCCAATCACCGATCAAAATGTCCAAATGGGTTGGCATATGATGGATGTGACCTGCATCAGGAACAAGATCGCGTAGATGGTCTGCAGCGTTGATTCCAAGTTCTGGATTGGGTGACATTTCAATGAAGTGTATGTACAGGTGGAGCAACCCAGGATTACGATTAGCACCGTCTTCAACCTGCGCCAACGCACGTTCGAGTACTGCTTGTGCTTCCATCGTAGGGGCCTTGGGGTTGGCTTTGGCTGTGAACAGGTCCCAAAGAGCCCATGGTGTCATATTCATCAAGGAGTCAGCATACAGAGTAGCGACGTCGAGATCCTGGCCAAATTGATCGTATGCAACCTTCATAGCCTCGGCATAGCCCTTGTTGAGTGCGGGGTAGTCTTTCGCGGGTTGACTGGTCAGGAATCGGTATTGGATTGCCTCGACGAGGGCTTGCTCCAGAGGGGTGGCGTGGGGTGCATATTTTTTAGCCTGACGAGATGCATTGTAGCCTCTTTCCACCGAAGTGTGAAGATCGCCCAAGTCAAACTTTTCCCATGGTTTGTTGTAGTTGGGGCCGACGGCGTATGCAAGACCCCAGTATGCCATCGCACATGCGGGGTCATGGGCAATGGCTTGCTCGAAGCAATAAGCACCTTCCACATGGTTGAAAGAGTATACCCAGATTAGGCCTCGATTGAACCATATTTGAGCATCGACGCTGGTGGTGGTGATGACGTGGCCAAAATCGCCCAGATCATAGTATTCGTCGCTGGCCGGCACGGCGCTGATGGTCTCACGAGTCATGACGAGATGCAAATAATTGAGGTACAATGAGAGGATCCACAGGTGCAGCAATAAGTAAGATTCGTGTTCAGTGCTCAAGTGATGGGGTGCGTCGCGTTTCGAAATTATATATAGCTCGAAGCGGAAAGATCTGGCACCATGGTAAAAGGATCAAACCCCGAATATCATCAGTGACACATATGCCCAGGTTGCTGTGAGCCCTTGTGAGTTCCGACTTGTGGAGAGCTTAAAATGTTGATCAGCCTAGTTATTGGATCAATTCAAAGGCCGCGATCAAATGCCATCAAAGACCGACCCCACAACTGGAGATGACCTAAGCAGGACTTTGCCGAATGGGGATTCATCAGGACGGCCCGAGTGGACTCCCCCTTCATTCACCGCTGCAAATCATGCCAACCTCGCAAGTCAAAGTCGCTTGCCTTGCATGGTGAGTCTGTTTGACACATTGTGGACCGGATCTAACGGGTGTTCAGTCGATCTTATAAGACTCGTTGTGATGGGCGGTGGCCCTGCTTCAATGTACATATACACCCCACAGCTCCATCCCATTGATGATCCGGAGTTGATTCCTCGCAGTGTTCGACCAACAACCGAGAATGCCAATATCGACCAAGTCGACGTGGTGGAGTCCGGAGAGGGGAAAAGTATCACAATGCCAAAAGGCAGGCCACTAGTGGAAATGAATTCCCACTCGCAACCCTTGCGTCTCCTACGGCGAACAGTAAGTTTGGGATGTGATCGCGACAGAAAGACGAGACGCTGTTTGTCTATAGACATATTTTCCGATGGCTTACCGGATCTGAGCCAACCCTTTCATCTCTTTCCGAACCCACAAAGTTTACCACAGTCCGACTTGTGTGATGACGCCACTGCTCGGGATGGTGTTACTCGTGTCCCGGAGCCTCTAGTAATTAGATCATATCAAAATTCGCGGAGTCTGTGAGTCAAATCTGGCTGTCCTCTCAAACTTGTGCCGACTTCCTAACGTGGGGCAATTTGAGGGTCAACGCATACTACATATACATACACCCGTATCTACCGTTGTTACCGCCACCTGAAAAACGTCTATTTGCGGACGATTCTCAAGGAATCGTCCTGACAAGTATCCAGCCGGATGAATCATTTTTTTCTTATTGGCCGGAATCTTCACTTGGATTAGCCATCATGGCCATTCTGGTCCTTATACCACCACCGGAAGAGGCTGACCCGTTGCGAATAGGCCAGCTTGAAGTGAGAAAGTCTTATGCAAATTATTTTGTTCAAGCGGCACTTCGAAGCATCTCGGATTGCTCAACGGAACGAGGACAATCCAGCAGAAATCCAATATCGACGCCGAGGCTAGATGAAGTTTCCCGAAGCGTATTGCATGCAGAACTGCCATCATCACTCGAGCCCGTGTTAGCTTTGCTGCTACTTGGTGCATATGAGTCTTGTCAGAATAGTGACAGGCGCCAAATGCGATCTCGGGTCTATGATGCCCTGGTTCTTGCTATGGATCTATCCATCCACGTCAAGGATCCAGTGGCGCCCGAAGAAGACCCGGTAAAAGCGCGTGTGTGGTGGATGACGGTCTGTCTATCCCTAGATTTAATTACGCCAAAAGGGATAAACTAAGTAAGCGTATAGATTTTCTTAGTATATCAATCAGCCATATTTACCAGATCCGTGAGTTATATGCCTCCGCCGATTTCTTCGTTTGAAAGCTGACTGTGAGCTTTTAGTCTCCCATTGTACAAATCGGCGATTTGCGGATCAGTACAGGCTTTCCTGAAATATGTGGCTGCTCGGAGGTAAGCTGTGATGTCAAGTCCTGTTATCGAAGGGAATGAGGGACCTATCCTGCCGACACTGACCGGTCGAACAGCTATGGCCCACTTTGTTACGAGCACAACAAGCGTTACTTCAAACAGGCGTGGTAGCGAAAGAGATGGCCGAAGGAAGCGTAAGAGGAAGCCATGACACGATACGAAAACGAGTTGAAGATCTTGATCGTGTTATCTTGGCACTCACTGTCGATCTGGATCGGCCACTGAGAATGGGAATCTGCGATGGACCCGATGCGACTGCGGTTCGAAACTTATGGCTTATGGCACGTTTCTTAGCCCACACGTGAGTGGCCCCAGCATAATTAATTGCGTTGATCGATCGATTTTACTGACTGTAGACAAGCGCTCGACTAAAGCTGCATCGCTTCCGTGCCTTCGGAGACTACCCAGTCTTTCTTGACAAGTTCTGCGACCTCAGTTCGGTCAACAATCTTTTGTTCTCTGAGTTTCCAGTCCCTGCCTCTCCCGGTTGGCTTTCAGAAGTCGCATCTTTTCACCCTTTCACAGAGGAGGACTCTACCCAAGTATGCCTTAGGTCGGCCTTGGTTTTATCACGAGTCATGCGAGCAATCTCCTGGCCCAATGTCTCGCAGTCCAATGATGTGGTTGGTGGATTTTCGCTCTCGTCATACCATGTCCAACATCCACGCTCACTACCATACATTGCATGCTGCGGAATGCAAGCATGTTATGTATTTATGATGCTGCTCCGCAAGATTCGTACCGCAATGAACTCAAACAATTTTTCGGATTCTCGTCATCTTCTCGGTCAGACCGAGCCAGGAACCGAGAGACAGGCTGCCGAACGCTTTGTCGAGGAACTGAGACATGGAGTGAAATCTATATGTGCCTTCATGTCAGCAAACACGGTCTTCGGAGGTATCATGGATATGGCTCGTGAGGTGGAGACTGTTTATTTGACTCACTTCAGTGATTAGGCCTGGTTGGTTATTGAAAAACTTTGTGTCCAGAGTCTGCAACCATCACTCTTTTCCACGAAAATCTGCCCATTTCCTGTGCTCATGCTGGTCATCCTTCGAGAAATGGCGGTTCTATGATTTACTGCCCAGGTGGGTTTAGAATGACGTCGCCTTGGTCCTATTCACCCGTGGACACATGTTTTGTACTCACATTTCGAGACATTTTATGCTACCACAATATCAAAATGCTGATACTGTCATTTACTTGCGTACTTAAGTAATCTCGAAATGGAGGCCGACTCATATTAGAAAGTCGAAGGTGGTCTTCTCCATTCACCCCGAGAATTCGTTTATACTTAAACATGTCTGCCTAGGTGATTGTCTAAAAAAAGCCAACCATGGAATGATAACCTTGCAGTGCTTGATTTCGATGTACTTTATCTCGATATGCAAAGTTTTGTTAGGTGTTTTCTCTATCGGTGGAAAGCTCTCCATGGGAGAGAACTTCACATGATTGACAAAGATGTGTCCCTATGGATTACGCACTTGTCTCCAGCCGATGATTTTGATTGACCTATTCAATTGTGACAAGATAAAGACGATTTTTCCAATCGACAGAAGCAAGACGACTCAATAGGAACATCTGCGATCGAGAGAGCAAGGTCTAGTTGTTGTTTAATTATGACCGCCTCGGCATTTCTGCCCAGACGGACCAAGCATTCATGATAGCCATGGAGAGCCCAGACGTTGTTCGGGTGCTGATGAGCCCGTGTGAGGGAACAATCTAGGCCAAGGTCTTCTGCGTATGCCTGGGCTGCCTCTTCAATTCGACCTTGCTCAATTGACAAAGCCGCATAGGCATGCCTGGTCGGGACCATCCAGCCCCAGGGCTCTGTGTAACGAAGAGCATCGTCGTGTTGGATAGCTTCTTTCAAGCTCGCAAATGCGCGATCATAATTTTGGCGGCGATATTCAATCTCTCCGTCCAGCATCGAGGTAGCAACCTTGAGAACATCCGAAATGAGGTTTGGGAAGTCTTTGCGCGTCGGTGGCACTGTCTTGGAAGCCGCATGGTATAGTTCCTTTTCTGTATCTGCCTGATCCAAATTTCCAGTTGCTGCCCACGCGATTGCTTTGCCGTAGTGAGTCATTGTCGTCGTCACACAATAGAGAGCCTGGTCATCGGGGAGTGGGAGGGCTTTGATTTCATTCCACATGCCAAATCGAATGTAGACATGAACTCGAACAGCTTTAAAGAATTCCATCCAGTCTGCTAGGGGTGGCGATTCAACGTGCAAGAGGTCATCAGTGATTGATTTTTCCATCCGGTCCAATGCTCTGAGTGCCACTTGGCGTTGGCCAGATAGCATTGCAGCATAGATCAGCGAATGGTAATTATGCAATCGATAGAAGCTGTAGAAGTTTTTGCCACCTTCTTTCGCAAGATATTTCTCGTCTGCAATCGTTGCAGATGTGTTTGAATCGACAGCCCGACGGTAATCACCAACTAATACATCAAGATGGGTTGGCATGTGGTGAATGTGGCCTGCATCTGGAACAAGATGGCGAAGTCTGTCTGCCCCTGGCAGTGCAATACCAGGCGTATGTGACATCTCCATGAAATGAATCCAGAAGTGAAGTAGGCCGGGGTGCGTTTCTGACTTTGGATTTTGGAATGCTTGATCAAAGACTGCCCTTACTTGATGAACAGGGGATCCCTCGATAGGGAGTCCAGACTTCACATGGTAGAACTTGCGTAGCGAGGTATGCATCAGAGCGTCGGCATACAAGGCTGTCACATCGAGGTCGCTGGTTCCGAATTCTTCGTAAACCGACCTCATTGCTGTAGCGTACGCCTTATCAACCTCCGAGAAGTTCATGCCCGGAAAGGCGTCGGCCGGAAATCGAGTCTGAATAGCATTGATCAATGCTTTTTCGACGGGCAAGAGGTTGCCGGTGTCTGCCAACTCATGGGCCTTCTTCGCAAAATGGTAGCATTCTTTGAGACTCTTCCCAAGATCAACGGCGTCGAACATGGGCCAGGATTTGTTGTAATTTGGCCCAGCAGCATAGGCAAGTCCCCAATATGCCATAGCGCAGGTTGAATCATGGGCTAAGGACTGTTTGAAACATCGGCATGCCTCGTCATGATTGAAGGAATAGGACCAAATAAGGCCACGATCGAACCAAATCTGGGCCTCCTGGCTTTTCGTGCTGATGGGGCAAGTGTGTTTTCCCAGGTCAAAATACCCTTCCACTGGGATAATGGACACCAGTGATTGATCGATAGACATGTTCCCGGGCGGAGGGCAGAGTTTGAGTGATTTTCGAAAATTGTTTCTTGATGTCGAACTCCAGGTTCTCGAGGGCTTTAGATAGTGAATTTATGGGGAAAAGGCGGTAAAATACAGAAGAATTCAAGTGAAGGGTTTTGCTGCAAAAGACATGAAAAGCACAAAGTAAAGTCTCCGACTGGGGTGTCTCCTTATCATGGCATTCGAAATGTCTCCGAGCTTTGGTAGAGACCAGCGCTTAAGGTATACATATAAACAATTTTGGTCAGCCAACTTGGAACAGGAAACAGCGGCAACTCATGAAGGCAATCGGGTTGTACTTTGTTTCTTTCTCTCGGAAAATCTCAAGCTTTGGACAGTAATTGACACTAAACGTCTTTAAAGATCAGCAGTCCAAATGCTGTTGATTTGAACAATATGAGAGGACCTCGGGATATTCAATAGATGATTGGTTGTTCAAAGCCCGGCTAACTACTGGCCGCATAATCAGATGCCGGACGGGACCTACTCGGGCTCTCTCTAACAATCGTGAAATTGTGAGTCTCTCAAAATTCCAAGATTCCGGGAATTCAAGGCTAGAATATTCACCTCTGGTAGTCATCCGACTAACTAGTGTAATATCTTCATCATAGTGAGATCAGATGCGTTTGGATGAGAAGATCGCTATCAGAAACACCAAGCTAGCACTGGCGATGGCTGGTTATCGCTTTGGAAAAACCCGTGGATGAAGTGAAGAAGATCAATTGAGTGTTGCGATGATTTGGTCCGCCAGGCCCATAGGACTGCTTCCTCAAATCTCTTGTCCCCAGGTCGCGTTTCGTGTTGTCTTCATTTCTCCCCTCCTTGCAACGGGCCGATGGGGCTTTGAGCTCTCATACGTCTTCTCTGATCATAGATTCTATCCTATTCTTCTTGGGACCAGGCGCCTAATCCCACCGATGGCGCCGACCTGTATGCATCAAGCGAGCTGTGAGCCACATCCACCAAATCAACCAACAAACGTAACACCATGCCATCGATCGATATTCACATCGTAAAGGCACCAACCATATTCATCTTTTGATGGTCGATATTGATACCGGAAATGCATCAACAATAAACGACCGATTCTTGTGGGCTTTGAGGCCAAACAACCCCTCTCAGACGATGAAGATGCCGAGAAGTGGTTCTGCCTATCCTAAGCGACTAGGAAATGACTCTCGACCGATATGAGCCTGGATTTATCGGAATCCGCCATCAGGAAACTAGCCTAATACCTCAGGCTTCTCAGACCTCAGCTTTTCCATCGTATTTGGTATTTCCTCGATCATCGTGGAGTCGGGAAGTGGAGAGATATTGGTTCTTGGTTGTTAGACATGCCAAGCTCCTGTGGCCAATAGGGGCTCTATAATGTCCAAGCGATGGCTAAGAATTCACTTGATCTCTTTCCGAGCAACTGAGTCTGTTAATGCGCCCAGATGACTACTGTCGATGATCCCGGTTCGGCCTAGATTGACGCGAGATGTGCTGACTCTCCTCACGCTTGAGACGTTCCCCGGATTCTCAAACAAAGGGCTAGTCTACCCCACATGCTGAACATAAGCACTATTTCTGAATCAACACCGGACCCTTGATGCTGTATATAATCGATGCAAATCCCTGATAAAATATCTGCCTTGCACCACCAAGATCGCTACTCTGGAAATCCGGCATTTACAAGCCTGTCTCACCTGTACTCCACTTAAGTGATTTTTATCAGTCACCATGGAGATAAACAGCAGCCACAAAGAGAATCCGGAGAAAGCAGACGCAGTATATAGCACCAAGAATGTCAACTTTCAACCTCCAACACTGGACACTGGATTTCTAGAGTAACCTCATTGACCGTGAGTTGAGAATTGTCGCGAGATGAGCGGCGAACATGGGCGTGATAACCACGGACCCTTGGTCAACTCGACGCATGGATTCGTCTCCTCGGGCTCAATTTATCCAGGCCGAATCTCTCCTAGCCAAGCAAAAGAATGTGCACTCTGGACTTTTCCCAAATACCGAGGTTTGCATTTCAAAGCTCCTTTCCTTTCCTTAGTGTTTCAGGGGCACTCCGGTCTTGTATCACGAGTTCACGTATTAGTCTCGAGAACGCCGATGTCGCAATCCTGAGTAGATTTTCCAATGCCGGGGGGTTTGCACGCTGGTAACTTGCATCTTCTTTGATCAAATAAAGTCATCATGTTTCCGTTGAGTCTTGACTGCGAGTCCGGAAAGTGGTGAACGGGATTTTGGAAGGGCTCGGCTCCGTGCATGTTGAGATAGGTTCCACTTCTACCCAAGGGTGGGGCGTGCGGCGTGTATGAAGGGACGCGCTGGTTACGGCTGTCGGTCCGATGGGCTACAGGAAGCAGTGACTCCCTGATCATGCACGGAGTAGAATAGCAGTCTTGTTTGTTCCGAGAGGCTCGCGGTCTTTAAGGGCTGTGGTGCCCCTCAAGCCGATCTCCCGTCGCTGGGGTCCGAGCTCGACAAACAGACCCGAAGTGAGTTGGTGCCGACATTTTTAATCTTGATCAGCTCAATGTCCATAGCCTTGTATTTCACATCTGCAGAAGAAGTTCAAAATCGACTCCCATCGCTCATCCCGATGCATGAGAGGGCAAAAGAGACAGTCGGGGTGAAGTGATCAAGGCCAAGGCCGGAATGACTCGGATGCTCATGTTATGCTGTGGCAGACCGTGGAGAAACATGCCTTGTATTCTGAGCGCGACACGATACGTCAGATTCCATGTAGCGAGTGTTTCACCGAGACATCTAGCACCTGGGCAGTAGGAACGGTGAGATCCTAAGAGATGCCCAGCCATCTTAATTCGGTTCGCAGCCCAATATTTCCCCATGTCTCACGGTCCAGTCTGGAGGCTCTTTTCCATCTGAGATGTTCTGCACTTCTCTAGATGTCCTGGAATAATTTCGATGCCAACCAACTGCCTTGACTTGTGAAACTACCTCGAAACAGCTCGGAGGTCTGTGCCCGTACGAGTCTTGGACGGTGCGAGAAATTTCGACGGTCAAACTCGACGCGAATGAAGATGCAGTTTCGTGCTGCTCTGGCGTCTCTGTCATTGTCTTTCGCTTCAACACTGGCTACTGCTAGTATCACCGAAGCCATAGCCTCATCTGATGACTCGCGCCAAATAAAAAATGAGAATCTCTCATCAGCCGAGATTTTCCGGCGCAACTCCCAGGTTGCATCCCGTCTGTCAGAAGGACCAGCCCGGGGGATTCGAAAGATGAGCGATGATGAAGGCGAAAAGTTCTTCCTCGACTACTGGGACTTTATGGGCTCGACAGGTGACACTGACTCACAACTACCGGAAGGATTCAACCAAACCTTACTATCTACGGATTTCGACAATGGTTACTCACCTGCGAGGTTGGTAGGGCGGTCATTTCCGTTTGGGTCCTCCACTCCCTCGGTATTTGGAGATGGTCTCCAGGCACGGCATTTCAAATGCCCGGTCGGCACATGGGCCTGCACGTCAATCGGCCGATCCGATCGCTGTTGTGGGTCCGGGGAGACATGTGAAATTGTCAAAGACACGGGCCACGGTGATGTAGGCTGCTGTGCCCTTGGGAAGACATGCAATGGATTGGTTGGTTCATGCGCCGCTGGCTATACGGCTTGCTCGCAGGCACTGGGCGGAGGGTGTTGTATTCCGGGATATCATTGTGTTGAAGGGGGATGTAAGTTGATCATGATTATGTTCTCCCTTGCTTTGGACGTGGTTCCTAACTCGATTGTACAGGCGCATACATAACAGTTGTCACTGTGACTGTTCATTCAACCGTGATGCTATCCACGGTCACCTACTCTACGGCTCCGCAAACCAGCACATCACCTACCAGTTCGCCTCGAACTACTTCAACAGATACAAATGACGGGTTGGTACCACCGGCCCGACCGACAAGTCTCTCAACGGCGACAAGCATGACCCGGGGTGATGACACCTGCCCGACTGGGTTTTATGCTTGCTCTGCTGTTTACCACGGGGGTTGCTGCCGCACAGGACGAGACTGTGATACCACTTCATGCCCGACAACATCCTCCACCACTTTTATATCCAACGGAGTGACGATTGTTGCGCCAGTGGAAACGGCCACAGAGGAAGCGAAAGCTACTGGAAATCGGTGCGCCAAGGGATGGTTTCACTGTGCCGACACTGTAGGCGGAGGGTGCTGTCCTCAGGGATTTGCATGTGGTGCTAGCTGTACGGCAACTGACACCGCGTCCAAGACGACTGTTGGTAAGGAGCAACCGACCAGCGGAGACGGATTCCAGTTGGGAGTTAGTAAAATGTTCCTGTTTAGCGTATTGGGTAGCATCTGGATGTTTTAATAGCGAGAATTGACCGAATGCTGCACGTCAGGGAAGTGTCAACCGCAAAGAGTAAGAAGTTCCGCGGAATGTCTGTTTGTACCCCGTGGGGTCATTAGTAATCAGGCCAGGGAGCTGCGTTTAGCCCGCACTCGGAGCTGATCACCGAATCTCGCCGAACGTCTCTCTCACTCTGCCTTTCTCTTCTCCAACTCCCTCGGTCGTGTATGTTGTGATTGCCAACCTGTTTCTTTTCTTTCTCACTGTATTGACGTCTATCAGGTCATTCATCATGTCGGAAACTCCCCAGAAGCCCCTCCCCTTCGTCTACCAGTTCGCCGCCGGTGCGGTGGCTGGTGTCTCAGAGGTATGTACCCCTCAAGAACGCAATTAAGACTCAATTTCTTGGAGTGGATTGCAGTCAAAATCAATGCTCGACTTGATGCTTCAGTGGCTAATATGTGATTTCCCCGCACGAGCAGATTTTGATCATGTACGACCCTCTTGCCCCCTCCCTGGTCGCATGGCCATTCGTATCAAAGATATTCTCGATATAATGCCAGTGGGACATTGAAAGCGAACTCAATTGACAATGCGCGACTCACAGGTACCCATTGGATGTGCTTAAGACTCGAATGTAAGCAATCTCCGGTCGCAAGCACTGACCACCGTGATCTGACCATACGAACTTGCAGCCAGCTTCAGACCGGACCCGCCGTCCCCGGTGTCGACCACTACAATGGCATGTTCGATTGCTTCCGCAAAATTGTCAAGAACGAGGGGTATGTATTTACCCGGTGAGCTGGTTTCGGCTTCTAATTTGCGATCCTAGTGCTTCCCGTCTGTACCGTGGTATCTCCGCTCCCATCCTGATGGAGGCGCCCAAGCGTGCCACCAAGTTTGCTGCCAACGACAGCTGGGGTGCGTTCTACCGCAACCTGTTCGGCGCAGAGAAGCAGACTCAGGGTCTGGCTACCCTGACCGGTGCCACTGCCGGAGCCACCGAGGCTTTCGTGGTTGTTCCCTTCGAGTTGGTTAAGATTCGTCTTCAGGACAAGGCTCAGGCCCACAAGTACAACGGCATGTTCGATGTCGTGAAGAAGATTGTGGCTGCTGAAGGTCCTCTGGCCATGTACAACGGTCTGGAGTCCACCATGTGGCGCCACGTCCTCTGGAACGCCGGTTACTTCGGCTGTATCTTCCAGGTCCGCGCACAGCTGCCCACCCCCGAGCCTGGTAACAAGAACCAGCAGACCCGCAACGATCTGATTGCCGGTACTATCGGTGGTATCACCGGTACTGTTCTCAACACTCCCATGGATGTTGTCAAGTCTCGCATCCAGAACACCAGCAAGGTCGCCGGTCAGGCCCCCAAGTACAACTGGGCCTGGCCTGCTCTCGGCACCGTCATGAAGGAGGAGGGATTCTCTGCCCTGTACAAGGGCTTCACTCCCAAGGTCCTTCGTCTCGGTCCCGGTGGTGGTATCCTCCTCGTCGTCTTCACCGGTGTCATGGACTTCTTCCGCAACATGCGCGGCGAGTAAGGTACTTGCCCCATGTGCTGTAGTTGAATATATATGAAAACGAAAGCGTTTCCCAAAAGCGAAATCAATGTGAATGGCCTTCTTGACTCCGATGCCGGTTTCTCCCCGATACCCTCCTACATCCATTCTTCCCTGGGCTCCCTGAGCAGCACGTGGGCGGTTTTGTTATTGGTTTGTCGTTCCATACTACCTGGGCAATCATCTTTCCAGTCTGCACTAGATGCATCGAAGAATTACAGTCAGCTAGAGAGACATAAACTATAGAAAGAATCTATTCATGTGTTAAGACTAAATATATTTTTTGAAAATAGCTACCCAGTGCCTACTAGAGAGTAAAACACAATACTCCAATCATGCAATGCAAGATATCATGCATCAACCTTACGCAATGCCCTCAGAGGTAGGACCTAAATCAGCCTTTCCAGACTGATCGATCTCAACCTTCTCCTCAGGTTCCCACATAGCCTCTCTCATGAAAGTACTGCGAGCCCGAATCTGCGGGCCCTTAAGCACAAGCACAACAGGGACAACCGACAAGGCAACACCAATGAAACCCAGCAAAGTTCCAGCCCATCCAAAGCCAAGGTTACTGAAAAGCTGCGGCGAGGCAAGCGGCAAGAAAGCACCAAACGAGTTACGACCAAGCGACGCAGCAGAAAGCGCAGACGCAGCGTACCGCTCATACGCATCTGTCAAGTAGTTCACAACAGCCATGTAAATAGAGTAGATACCCAGACCGGCACATGTGATACCGATCGTAGGCACAATCCAGTGCACATCCGGCTTGCTGGACCAACCATACCAGAACAGACTGGCTGCGAAAAGCAGACTACCCGGGATAGCGGTGTATAGTCTTGCTTCAGGGATGGGCTTGCCTGGATGTTCGGTGTTGCGGGCCGCGGAGCGGAAGTAGAACCAATCCTGCAGAGGGTTGATGACGGTTCCGATGATGGCACCGACTGTAATTGCCAGTTGGACGAGACCGGTTGCCAGTGTGGACCAGCCGTAGTTGGTGGAGTATGTTTGGACGACGCTGGAGAAGAACAGGTATAGGATTCCCCAGGCGAAACTAATCCAGAGAGTGAAGAAGATAACGACGGGCTCGGTCATCAGCATGTTTGTGGGACGGGCGAATGAGATCTGCAGCAGACGAAGCTTGCTCGGGGCATCGATCTCGGCAGCTGCGTAGACGGGACGACCAGTTTCCTTTCTGATCTTGCGGGCACGGGCCTTGAGAATGACGTCTGGTCTGGTCTCGCGGAGGATGAGCCAGAAGACGGGGATCAGAGCTGCGTTGTAGATGATCTGAACGTAGAAGATCCAACGCCATGGCTGGGACCGCTGGATCTGTACGATTGCGGAACCGATGAAGGGGCCCAGGGCGATACCGGCGACACTGGTGAAACCGAAGATGGACATCGGGAGACTGCGGGCGTGGTTGCCGAGCCAGATGTCGGAGATACTACCACCGACGATGTTGATCGAGACTGATGAGGCACCACCACCGAAGAAGCGGGTGACAACGAGTGTGGCGAAGTTGTTTGCGAACGCAGAGGGAAACAGCGAGATGACCAGGATGATGTAGGCGACAAAGTATCCAGGCATACGGCCAGAGGACTCAGTGAGCGGTACGAAGATCAGAGGCCAGAAGGCAGCACCCATGTTCCAAGAGGTGGTGGCCCAGTACAGGTTGGGGAAGGGAGAGTTCTGGACGTGGAATTGCTCCTCCATCCAGTCGTTGCCGGAGCCGTAAGTTCCTGCCGGGAGACCAGTCAAGATTGAGCTGGCTCTATGTTAGTATATTTGTTTTATGGCATGTTCTGTAGGTAAACTCACATAAAGCACACGGTGATGGTGAGCAGCCACTTGTACTTGAAGCCCCAGTTGAAAGGGTTCTCTGGGTCGTCAGGGCCATCCCAGGTATGGATCTCGATATCCTTATACGCAGGCATCTCATTCCTAACATCTCCATTGATCATTCGCCCCAACCTGCATGCTTGTAAGTGGGATGCTCTGCCCGTGGGGAAGTGAGGACCTGGGGAAGTACTTACTTGGCCAGCAGGCCAGGCTTTTTCTCAGAGGAAACATGAGGCTTCTCTACCTGGCTCTCTACCGGAGAGGGCGTTTGAGCAGGCTCGGTCTGGTAGACCGAATTTCCGCGAATCTCGTCAGCCATATTGAGCACGAATCTTTGCAGAACTATCAGGCCTGTCAGAAAAAGCAAGAACAGAACTAAAAGAAGCAACGGTAGGGTCCATATATCTCAATTTTCTATAGCCGAGTTAGAAAAAAAAATTCAAAAAATCCAAAAATCCCCAAACCCCAGTGTCCAGTAACGGCATGGAGGAAAGCCGAGACCGAAGGCTCCGGCATGCCGAGAACCACTGTAACTGTCCTGTTCGGGAACCCGGTCGGGAGCGGCGCACGTTGTTTGGCGCCAACGGCATCCACTTTGCGTTTGGAATCCACTTGCTTATGGATCAGTGGAGCTTAATTCCACCTAACTCCGTTCCAAGTAAGGTTTCCAGTTTTGGCCTGGCATTTCCCAATCACCTTGGAATGTCGTTGGCCGCTGCCTTGATTTCTTTTCATTTGTGCCCGAAGTTCCACCGCACCGTGGGTACACCTTCTCAATGACGCACTTTGTTTGATCCGGGTCCGAGTCACAATGCCGATTGTGAGTTGTAACAAGTGGATTGTTATACTCGTACTGCCTCTCGCCGGGAGATATAGGAATCAAGGTTGCTTTCTGTAAAACGCATATGATCAGCTCATAGTTTCCAAACACAGCGACAGAGATTCGAAAGGAACAGCCTCCGGGTGCTCCGTAGTTGTCGTAGAGCTCAAATCTGATACGAGTATACGGGCAAGACGCCAATGACGTATGGTTCGAGTATAGGTGGGTCCCCTCGCGTGAGGTTCTTCTGCGCAATGTCGTAGACTCCAACGGTGGATTGGTTGTCAGGCTCTGAGGTATTTTCCGGGGTAGTCTGGATTAGAAAATACCTCAAAACCACTGTCCGCAGTTGCCGCCAGGGCTTTGGACAATCGCTCATGGCATGTGGCCAGTGGGAACAGGCGCCTGGCTTGACGACACCCTAAGCACCCTGTAACATGTACGGAGTAGACGTCGGCTCTTGGCAATGCTTTGGGCCCACTGCCCCGGGGTATCCGGCCTTTGCCATCTGAATAATCCTTCGGCGAATATGTTGAGAGGAGGCTGTTCGGTAGGGAGGGTCTTTGCGTTGTACCGTTGGTCCACCGCAATGCCGTGGCATTCGGGAGCGGTATTCCTTCGGCGGGTAGCATCGACGCGCAAAATGCGCGGTTGATGCCATGAGATCAACACAGGTGTAGCGCGTCGGAGATGGGTTCGCGACGTCCACTGTCGGACGGGCAACACGGTCGCAATTCGCGACAAGCAATGAGACTTTGCGGGAGGACTGACATTGGTGTTGAGATGAACCATCTTCCTTCAAGGCCAAAGGACCTGGCAGTTGCAGTGTTGCCTTGTCACCCTGTGAGCTTTCCACTGGCGTAGGAGCGATCTCCAGTCGAGTAGCAAAGCCAGATTAACAAAGACCTGTGAACCTGTCAGCGGTGCTACTCGCAGAGGCAGTGCTTTCGGTGTGCGCAGCGTGCGGCCAGCGCAGGGTTGCGGCATAGAGGCGCATGTTATGGGACCGATGAGGCGATAGCTAGATGCACATTAGCATTGCCATAGTGATCCGTCGTTGAAGCGATATCGGTTGGATTGATGTGACTTCCAATATCACGGAAGGATACTTGAGCCAAGTCTACAATGCGAAGAAGGATCATTTGAATTTGAATTTGAATTTGAATTATTGTTATGAAATTACTGGCTATGCTGGCATCATGCCACTAGCATTGAAGTATGGTTTCCTGTTATTCTCAATTGACCCATTGACCGGACTCCTCGCTTGCTGAACATTGATAGGACAAAAAGAACATAAACGCCGAGATGCACGATGCATGGACGTGACATGGAGAATGTTTGCAACTAGTGCATACCAAGTCGTGATTTCATTTCAACGTTCTCCTGCTGGGCCTGCTGGAGATCGCAAAGCATTTGGTTGAATTGCTGAGCAAGGTCTCCGTAGCTCTTGCGCTGGTCGGCGAGCTCCTTCTTGAGCCTCTTGTTGGTGTTGCTCTGTGTGGTGTTCACACGGCGGAGGTTGGCATTCTGAGACTCAAGGGTCTGCAGGGTGTTCTTGCCGGTGTTGGGATCAACGGATGTGACCCGACGGAGGGATGCCTGGAGGTAGCTTCGCTCTTGGGTCAAGGCCTTGATACGCTTGCGAGCTTGGTCGACGTTGATGTTGGCGGGTTGGACATAATCAGCCGGCGCGGGTGGCTCCATGGTGGCGAATGGCGAGACATGCTGGGCGTACTGCTGGGAAGTCGCCACTGGCCGGGGGCAGCGCACGGGCTTCAACTTGTCAGGCATGCTCTGGGAGACAACGTCAGTACTTATTCGAGGAGACAAACGTTCAATCGTCAGTGGTTGTTGACTTACCATGTCATTGGCGGTAGGGCTGTCATTAGCCTGGGCTGTCTTCTTGGCAGCGCGCTTTCCTCCGGTCTTCTTAGCAGGAAGAGGGACAGTCAAGACCACAACGCCGGCCTCGGGTGAGGTGGTGGGAGTCTCGATGATCTGACAATCAGAGTCGAAAGGCGCATCGTCCTCAAACAGGGAGTCCAAAGAGCTAGCACGAACAGGAGAGGGAAGCTCGACTGATCCCTGCTGGGGAGCGAACTGATACTCAGTAGGCAGCTGCTGGTTGGATTGAAGCTCCATAGATGTCTGCTGGGGAGCGAACTGGGGTTCAATGGACATCTGCTGGTTGGCCTGAGGCTGGAGGGATGCCTGCTGGGGAGCGAACTGGGGCTCAATGGACATCTGCCGGTTGAGCTGAAGCTCGGGAACAGTGGAGCCAGCCAGGCCATTGAGGTCCTGGGAGCTCACAATGTTGGAAGCAAAGAGGTTGGAGTCAAAGCCAGGGCCATTGGCAAACTCGCGGAGGAAGGCATCAGAGGGACCCACGCTCGAGGCAGCAGCAGGTCCGTCCTCGTTCAACAAGGCCATGATGGTATCGTCGAAGTCCACAGGGAACCCGTCCGAAGTAAAGTTCTCCATTGCGATTGTTCTAATTGAAGCTTGGACAATAGTACGAAACTCAATTGGAAGAAGTGTGAAAGGGTGGAGAAAAAGAAAGAGGAAGAGGAAGAGAAAAGGAAAGGGAAAGGGAAAGGGAAAGAGAACAAGCTAAACCATTGGTGTGTAGGGAACCAAGCTTTTGAGGTACCTGGAAATAAGAGAACAAAGAAAGCTACATTGCCATTGTACCCTAAACCCCTCAAGCCCACCAATGGAACAAGTGTATGTCGAGAGAGCTCGAAGCTGTTGTTTTCTTTTTCTGCCAATTAATTATTTTCTGCCGGATCAAATGACGAGGTAGTAGCCAATCGTTTGACCGGAAGTCAACGCCGCTCTCCCGATTGGATCAGCGGTCTATACCGCCTGTCATAAACCGCTCAGTGAGCAGGTCAAGTACAGGAAGACTCGCCCACATGATTGAAGAAAAATACAATAAAATAAACCAAAAGAAGAGCATCACATGGAAGTGACTCATTCAAACAAAGAAAAAGAAGCCCTAAATTCCGAGACATTCCTTTTTCGTAAATTCCATATGGATTATGAACTGCGGACTCCGTACCTAGACCAAGTCACCGCCTTGCTACTCAAGCTTCTTATCGCGATCGAGCTTCACACCGCTTTCTTATCCCAGTGCACAGACCATAAGTCTGCGGGAGACCGCTCCCGCACGTGATCATGGCAGAAAATGGAACTCCCCATCCAAGCCATGGTGATTCAGTCCTGAATGCATCGGCTTTGCTTGTGGCAGGCTATCTAAGAAACTCAACAACCCGTCAGTCTTTGGCCGCAAACCTTTTCGGTCCACCCTGCTGGAACTCTGAAGATCCAGCCATGAGTGTCATCCTGTGTACAGGTAAGTTGAAATCCCCGCATTGTTCCAGGCATTAAGCTAATCACTTTGCGAACTTCAGCGGGGTATGACCATACCATTCGGTAAGTTCAATCTCAAGCTCAGTTTTTTGTGGCTCTTCAAGCTTTTGAATGCATGACCCTGGCATTGACAACCATGCTGACTTATGTCTACAGCTTTTGGGAGGCGCTCTCTGGCATTTGCTCGCGCACCATCCAGCACCCCGATTCTCAAGTCAATCGGCTTTGTATTACCCCAGATAAGCGGTTCCTAGCAGCCGCAGGGCACAACAATGTCAAGCTTTTCGATATCAAATCAACCAATCCCAACCCAGTGATAACATTTGAGGGTCACACCAACAACATAACGGGCGTCGCATTCCACTGTGAAGGCAAATGGATGGTTACCAGCTCCGAAGATGGAACCGTAAAGGTCTGGGATACTCGTACAGGGAGCTTGCAGCGCAACTATGTGCACAAAGCGCCAGTCAATGATGTCGTCATTCATCCCAACCAGGGTGAGCTCATTAGTGGTGACCATGCCGGTATGGTCCGTGTTTGGGACCTCGGTGAGAGCGTCTGTACCCACCAATTGATCCCCGAGGAGGATACCGCAGTGCTCAGTGTTAGTGTGGCCAGCGACGGCTCTCTACTCTGCGCTGGTAACAAGAAGGTATGGGACCCTTTCTCTCATTTTTTGTCTTAATGTCGACTAACTAATCATTTGGTAGGGAAATGTTTACTTATGGCGCATGGTCCAGACCGACGACACCACACGCATTATCCCCGTCTGCACATTCCAAGCCCACAACAACTATCTTACGCGTGTCCTGCTGTCTCCCGATGTGAAACACCTTGCTACTTGCTCTGCGGACCACACTGCCAAGGTGTGGAACCTCGATGCTGACTACGCGCCGGCAAAGGCTGCTCTCAAGCAATGGAAAGAACAAGAGGTTTTGAACCCGCCAGTTGAGACACCAGCAGAGGAGCCAGTCACCCCTGCTGAGGTGCCTGCCAAGTCCAGTGACCTACTTCGTATCTTCGGCACTCCTGCGCAAGATCGTGATCTTCTGCGCATTACTGATAACCCGCCCCGCCAGGAAACCCCACAGCAGACATTCACTTCCTCCCCTGATGGTCCTCCTATGGACCCAGTAAGCCATACCCTGTTCCTGGAAACGACGCTGGCCACCCACCAGCGCTGGGTCTGGGACTGCGCTTTTTCCGCCGACTCTGCCTACTTGGTGACTGTCTCTAGCGACCACTATGCTCGCTTGTGGGAGCTTAGCTCTGGTATTGTCATTCGCCAGTACAGTGGTCATCACCGTGGTGCCATTTGCGTTGCTTTGAATGATTATTCCGAACCTCGCTAGCTGGCCACTTGGACCGAGCATCCCAATGGTTTGCGAGATATTTTACGAGTTTACGGCTTTCTGGGGGGCGTTGATTTTCAGAGTACTTCACACATGGAACGGCGCAATGTAGGTTTCTTTTTCTTCTTTTTGCGTCAATAGTCTTCTTGGGTTAGGTGAAAGTTCTCATCTCATGGGTCCCAATATTTCTCGCTAGTTTGTACTGATACCAACTTCTGCCTCGCCTCATGAACATGCTACTTAGCAAATTCAGACATATTTCTAATATCTACCCCTTCTTAGTTTCTCATTCCTGGAGTGGTATGTAGAGCTCATTGCATATTTGTGCAGGTCTACAAGACAGTATATTTGCTCAAAGCCATTTTGACTTAAGTCTGAAAACCGAAACAGAACAGAACACCACGCTCGGGTTGCACTCGAATGGAATCCCACAATAGAAAAACAACAGGTTCGAACTTTAGAACCTGCCGAGGGAACTAAAATCAAAAGTTCATTACATGAAAGAAAACGCAGAAATGCCGACGCTGATCCAAGAATAAGACAACACCCCTAGACCAGGCTAAGGGTTCTGTTCAACTTGTCCATTGACCAGAGACCAAAATGCATTTATACGACGGCAAACCAGGTGACGCAGACAACAACGTCCAGCCCCCGCTCCTCGGCACCGGTGTACTTGAAAGTCCACATGCCATCGCGGTTCACATCCCAGAAGGCGCCGGAGGCAGAGTGCATGCCGCGCTTGCCGGCATTGCTGAGCGCGCCGTCCGCAGCGGCGGACTCGTCGATCACGCCTTGCTGGACGATTGTGCTGTTCACGGTGAAACGGAAGGGAGGGGGCTTGGAGGCTTCGGAAGGTGCGGTGGCGTTGATCAGGGCCTTGAGGACAGTGTTCTGGGGGAGTTAGTGGGGTCTGTCATGGAGGATCTAGGCCTCGGTTGAAGTGTTGCGTACGATAATTTGGGAGTTCCAGGTTCCGACATTGTCATGGTCGTAACCATTGCTGGTCTTCAATGCTTCCTCGCAAGCCTGTCTGTGTTAGCGCGGGGTTCAATTCATGGGGTATGGGGAAACGTACCTCGGTAGTGATCTTCGTGAGATCATCAATGGGGATGGGCTAGGTAATTGTCAGCACCATTTTGCAAGGAAGCAATTGTTGTTGCAATAATGTTTTGTTTTGCCATAGCGGAGCATAAAGCCACCGTCTTGGGCTGTCAACGTACGGAAGTGGAAGCACCTTCAGTGGCCATTTTGTATATATATGGGGTCGGTTGGTTTGGAGTTAAGTTGGGAATTCTATATAGATATAACTGTTAGTGTCCTGGAATTGAAATTCGAACATTCAACGCGATTAGAGCCCATTGAGCGGAGATTCTGCCCAAATTCCCGTGATGCGCGACCGTGGAACAGAAGATGCAGGCGCTAACCTGCTCACGCCTAATGGAAAGAAAAAAATCCACATCGAGGGGAGGGTGGGATTGGCATACCGAGTGTCAGTTGGAGGGGAAACTGTGCAGTTGATTGTTGTTTTGAACGGGGATGCTGCGTAGATGGAGCTTGATACTGCCAGGCGGTGTGGCCATATCAACAATTAACAATATCAACAAACGTCTCCGTATGCTTCAACCTTTCGGTGATTCACCTGGGCTTGTCTATCCATAAAATGGAATGGAAAATCACACGTTGCTAAATCATCGTTTCTGTTAGCCTTCGGACTTGCCCTCGCCAAAGGAACTCTCATCACGGCGGGCGATAGCAATCATGCAGCTTGAAAGTTGACCTTGAGACAGCTGCAAGTTCCTGAAGAATCTAAAATTCCCGTTGGGGCAGAGCTTCGAATTCTGGGAATACGATTGACGACAGGAATATCTTGATCTTATTCACCGCCCAATCAACTTCTTTACAAACCCGATCTTGATATGCAGCTCCTGGAGGACGCTGTCAGAGATACTTGTTCACAGGAGTGTTTGGCCCGGGTACCAATCTCACAAAATATCACTATATGACCATTTATTACGTCTGATATGAGAAATGCGAGTTCCATATGCTCTCATCCGTGCCCAAATCATATTCCTGGATCAAGAATGGACGTAGATATTGGGGATTGAAAAGTGACAGTTTTCTCAGGGACTAAGAACCTCCATGATCAGACCTCATTTGTAGTTCACTGCACAACAACCGGGTGATGGCTTTGCCTCCAAAATTTTGGAAAGCGCCGACAGGTCATGATGCGGAGGCCTCGGCGCAACACCATCCTTTTATGTCGAACAACAATCTCCTCCCCTTCCTGAATACCATGCAGCACATCGCCAAATTGATATCGCGCTCTTGGTGCTATTGTCGAGAAGGAAACCAAGACGGAAACGATCGATTCGACGGCGCTGCTGTGCTGCTGTGCTGCCGCATGGAGAGAGAAAGAACGAGACCTCATGCACACCAATGACGCGCCCGATGCTCGAGACTTTCTCGATTCCATCCACCCCGGCGATGTGGACTACAATAAAATGACGCGGCTTTGGTTCAGAATACAAAGGAAGCTCGTTGTGCAAGGCTTCCTGGCGTTATCAAAAGGCTTGAGGCTATCTGTCGGTCTATTGATGAACCTGTCAAGATATCATGATGATCAGGCGAAGTCTTCAAACTTCAACCAAAGACTCTTTACCTTCGCCACGGTCAGGATCAAACCGGCAATACCATGCTCCGAGGCTGGATGAAATGAGTCGAATGCACATCCTAATTCGGCATCGCTCCGGACCCGCAGGGCGTGGGGCGTGGGCTTGATATGGAGTACAGCAGAAGTACCCGTGACGCTCGTATCTAACCAGAGACGTATTGAACCTATTTACAAACCTTAGGAAGACATGTTGCTTACATCTTGCCCTGTTCGTGGGCTAGCCATACACTTTGCCAGCGCTCCACCAATTCTCCTCGAAACCTCCCCATCATTTTCGACGAAACATGTTCGCAAATTTACGCCCCGCAAATGGCTCGCCTTTGGGATTCAACTTACACCTCAACGGGGCTGGATCTACTGAAAAGCCATACACCCCGGGTGACCATATCGAAGGCTTTGTGTCAATCAACACTGCTGGCGAAGTGCCACCTGGGAGACTGGTTGTCATACTTCAAGGTATTTGGGCTTCAAGATGTATCGCCAGAAGAGTAACTAAAGCCTTGTCAGGGAAATCGAGTATCGGGGTCGACCAGGCAATGGTTTCGAGATCAAAAAGCGAGCAAATATTCCTCAAATCCAACCGAACATTCGACCCAATGGACTATACAGATTTCGAGGTGATAGAAGGTCTTCGAACTTACCGTTTTGCATTTTCTTTTGAGCTTCCAACAACGTTGCCTCTCCGGGTCTGCAAGCATCGTACTCAAAGCCTTGCTGTCTACGAGTCTCACTTGAGAATTCCCCCGACCATGGGAAATGCTTATGGAGACCCATCCGGCCCTACCTATCCTACAGATAAACTTGCTTGCTCCGTTCAAATAGCATACACCATACATGCAATGTTATATTCCCCATCGACGAGGGGCTCTCATGCATCTGTCGCTTCAGAGATAAAGCCGATCCAGATTATTCCTTCATTCGACCCAGAGCCCCCGCGGGAGGCATTTGGGTCTCAACTTTACTGCACTTTCAGAGAGAGAAACTTTAAGGACAGGTTATGGACTCGTCATACCGGCAGACTCACTGTTTCGGCGTCACAGCCGGAGCCTCTAAAATTGGGGTACATCAATCCAACGGAGCTGCAAAACCCATGCACCACGGCAGTTATTGATTTGAACTTCGATCAAGAAGGGTCAAGCAACCCCCCTCAGCTATGCTCTCTTACGACCAGACTAACTGCCGTCACCTTTTACGGCGAAGTCCCCTGGGAATCCTACCCAGACTTGCTGGTGGGAAAGTGCTCTTTCGCAGACTATGGTCGAGGCATGGATTGGAAGGTAATGCCTATCTCTAAAATGTGTGTCGAGTCTGTGCGCTGGATTGAGAAGCCTGCTTATTCCCCTTGTGATCAATTTCCCCCTCCTCACTTGGCACTTGGAAGCGAGTCGCCCTCCACAATTCAACACGCGGTATCAATTGTGGTACCAATCACAGCGCCCAAAGACGTGTATTTGGTTCCAACTTTCCACTCATGCTTGATATCCAGAGTTTATCTCCTCGAGTTTTCGATATCATACAAGCAGTCAGATTCCCGGATTCTCACCTCTCATCTCTCTCTGCGGGTGCCGATACAGATCATCGTCCAATCAAAGGCCAACACAGGATCGTCGGAAAATGTCACTTCTCGGCCTCTTTGAATACATACTAGTCTGGAAATGTGACACTCTTTATCTCCCGCTATCCCATCAATGCTGAGCCACTGAAATTTACATGACGGCACATTCACTGTATTGAACTTTGGAGCTAGGACATTTCCTGCATGTACACGCCCTACATAGACCCACATGACCTAGAAAGTGATGATCCCCAAACTTTAGGGCCGGTATGTCTTCACCGGGTCCCTTAGTCAATGCCGTGATTGGCTATATCGCACTTGTTGCGAGCGGACCAATCAGCCGCGTACTGACGCTGCAGGCCTTGGCATCATAATCCATAGTTCTTTTGGTCTGAGAATTGGACATTGAGGTCATGGGGTCGCTGTAAATTACCATATCTATATTTTTCAGACTTGGGAGTACCTGAGAGATCAGCCACTTTCGAAGGTTGAAAGAAAAGCAAGCAAGATGTATGTAATTATGCACGAAGGCTGAGTATTTACATAGGCCTTGAACGAAGAATAGCTAGAAATATTTTACAATGGTAGATATGCGATCAGGGACATAACCATCTGGCTGAGCCCCTGTTTTATAAGTGCCAATAGCCCGGGGTATATTGCCATACCTTCAAACCGGAATGCATAGCGTGGACTTCATGACAATTAGGTGTTGACAGAACAGGACCAACTGTTGCCCGAGGAGTTCTCTTTCAGGGCTCTGCCTGAAACGTACAGTCCAGCTCCGCACTGAGAGAAGGTTAGCGGGCTGAAGACATTCGGGGAAAGGAGTGAGAACGAACCATGAAGCATCCAATGGCAAAGATGATAATGTTGAGGATAGTTAGGCAAATTTTTGAAACCGAGGACGTGTATCGACCTTTGTTCATGTAGAGCCAGAAGATAGCGGGGATTGCGTCTGTAGAGATTAGCAAAGCACACCAAGTGTGGGTGGAATTGATAAAGCTTACAACTCAGGATACTTCCAAACAGTGCACTCTTGAAGATAGTTAGTAAGAAGTAATGTTTTCTCGGTAGACAAAACTCACGATGAAACTGAGGAGATCATTGAAGACAGGGATTGACTCGGCGATAATCCAGGCGATGGTCCACAGAACACCTGCAATGGCAACCCAAGTTCCAATGCCGACGAAGCTTTTTCTATGCATATGGCTCGAATTGCGGAGAATTCGAACGTACACATACTTGCAAACGACATGGCCAACAACAATTCCAGCAATGTATACCTAACCCAAATCAGATCAGCAAGTTTTCAGAACAGCGAGAAATACAGACAAGACGTACCGTTGGAATCGCAAGACCGAAGCAAATCCTCTTCATAAGCGGGCCCGCAGAGGACGGGGCAGGAGATTTGACATCTTGACCAGCGAATCGATAGATCACAAGACCTGCGACAAGATACAACACAGTTTCTGTGATTTGGAGCATGGCCAGGGACTTAGGGAATTGCTCTGGATTTTGTGTCTCCGAAATCAGACCAAAGAAGGTGACATGGACAACTGGAGGTTAAATGTTAGACGGGCATTTGCAAAGAAGCAAAGGGATGACATACTAAATCCGAACATAATGTTGGCGAAAGCCAAGAATCCTTCGTAGAAACTGATCTGGCGGAAGGCATGGTATTCAACGGGGTCCTGGGATTGAACTCCAACGCTGACCATGGTCACGATAGTAGTGATGATGATACTTGCGAAAGCTGAAAGAAAGTCAGAAACCATTCTTGTATCATCTGCCAATGGATCGACGGCCATTCATGCGGAGTTATACATACAGATGGTCGATAGCCAATAGACTCGAGCCATCGTGCGAGGGAGAGCACCAATGAAACAGATGATCAGTGAAACCACGCCGAACACGATGCCACAAGTTGCGTTTTTAGTGATAGTGCTCAACAAGATCGTGCCTGTGAGGATATGGCTGGCCATCACGAAGATCAAAAGTAGGAGCTGCGCAATCTCCAGGAAGACTCGCCCAGCGGGACCAAAGATGATTTCTCCAGCATCACCCATGCTGTGGACATGCGGGTATCGAACTTTGAACTGTCCGATGATATAACCAGTATACCATGAGATAGCTGATAGAAAGACGAGCACAAGAGCGGCACTGGAAAACCGGGTAAGCCATGAACAAATGAATGGTTGGGCACTCTGCAATGCATCACGTACGGGACCATTCCTAGTACTGCCATAGTGGAGGGGATCGAAAGGATTCCCAGAGAGACATTCTCCGCAATCATGACTAGATGTCAAGTTAGTAGTGATCGTCATAGCTGAAGAGGATCATCGTACGCATTCCACACTGCCTGTTGTAAATCAGTTAGTCTCAAGCTACTGTCTTAGTGCATGATTTGGATGCAAAACGTACCACCATGTCATTGTACGATACTTTACTTCTGCAACATCTTCAGATCCAAACGGATCATCGTTTGATGACTTTTTCGTCTCGCCGGCATTCCGCAGGTCTGAGTCATTGGACTCGACATCAGACGGTGAAAGTCGACGTTCATGATCTTCACCACCCGCGAACTGAGTATCGGAATGCTCGTGCTTGAGCATGATGGGCGGTGGTGAGTGCTGATGGAGAAGAGATTTGGAGGATGTGAGATCTTTCGGGTTTTAACCAAAGTGGACCGCGGGATAACAACACGGAATAGGGACGTGAATTTGCCAGCTAGCAACCTTTCGATGAATTAAGTGGGCACCAAGTGGGACATTCACCTCCTGAGGCCCATAACTATAGATTTTTCCAGAAGATTATGGTTTTAAAGTGGACGACATCACATCGAGGTTTGTTTGTTTGGGGTTAGGATCGCAGATAGATTGCTGTGGAATCTAATTGCTCCATCAGAGGAGAAGTCTCGGTTAGCAATTCATGCAAGACTCATACAACTCTGCAGAGATTTTTTTACCTCAAGTCTGGCCAGGAACCCGCTTTTGTGTCGCTGTGGAGCATTTGGTTCGCTGCACGGGGCACGTGACACATAAATATTATGTAATAGCCGTGCTGACCAATGGGATCCCGTGACCGGCTGTCTCTCACGTGCGGGGCTCAGGAGAAAAACACGATCCTAGCGCCCTCGGTCTTATACATCTGACCATACAGACAGCGCCTGGTGAAAAAATGGTCCACTTTTGGATGTCGATCTCTCAGCTTCCGAGGAGCAGTAGCTCGGGATCTACCATCTGCTTGCCGCTTTGCACCAGCGCAATTTGATCAGACCTTAAACCCCTGGCCGAAGCGAGATTGACAGCTCCTGCGAACCGTGGGGCACCTTGGAGGGCATCAAACTGAGATAGTCAAATGGTTCAGGATACTCAGTCCAGGTAGGGACTCCGTGTGGCATCATGTGAGACTTGAAATATTGCTTGAGCCGGACATGCACTGTGTTACAGGTCTCAACCTACAATCATGGGCCGTCTACGAAGAGCTCCGGTCTGACCGATTTCCCCACTTCCATAGACTCGGCCATCGGGGGAGTCCATCGATGCTCTACTTTTTCTACAAGATGGAGACGGGCTCACCTTTTTCCTGTGGCACACAGGCTTTACTCAAAACACAACGAACCATTCATGTAATGTCTATACACCATATTTTCAACAAATAAACAGTATTCGATTTGGCCTAAAATCCGGGGGAAAAAAATCCCGCGGCAGCAATTTGGTCACCATTCCAAGATTTGCCAACTTTAGAATTCCCCCATCCGGGGTTCCAGCCTCTGCCTAAGTATAATCGATGCGGGATAGCCACTGCCTTCTTTCGCCTGTATCCGGGTAAGTCTCTTGCAAACTCAGAAGCTGAGCGCCAAGGGGTGTGTAAGCTCCATCGACGTGCCAATGCATTTCTCTAGAAGCAATCTTGGTTGTTCTGCAGCCTAGCCTATAATGCAACAGTAGTCATATTTTTGTGGCAAAATAAGAATGAATGCACAATAATTGACGATTTTGCAGCCTGTGCCATTGCTTGGTGGCCTCCAGGTCTCTTCATGATCAACCCCAAAGGATGTTCAACTTTCTCCACCCAGTAGTCGGAGGTGGTAGACTCTCTGGGCTCTCATTTGCAAGCTGCATGAACCCGCGAATTGGAATCTCATCTAGCGGAATAAGTCGGGTCTTTCGCCACAGCTTGTAGCCAAAGTATAAAGCAAATATCAGCGGAATGTTGAAATAGGACGAAACAAAGGTTTCGGGACTCCAGTTTCCGTCTATAAAAACATAGAATCCACCAGTGAGCAGAATAATCCCAAACCCAATCAAAGCAATCCAGGCTGCATATGGTTGGAATGGGCTTTTCCAAGGTAGCTCATTGCGGTCAATATTTTGCTTCTTACATCCATAGTAGAAGCGGAGATAGATGATCTCGATGTTGATCCAGTGTACCAGGGAGGCCGCAGAAACTAATTCCTGAAGCCAGTCAAACACAAGTGAAGCTGCCGAGGAGAGGGTCATATAGCCCAGGGCGAGGAAGGATCCCACGGCGGCAACTGAAAGCCAAGGAACTTCGAATCGATTGAGGCGAGTCAGTACTCTAGGTGCATGGCCCTCTTGGGCGAGACCATATAGTGTCCTAGTTCCAACCAGCATTGCTAGCTATTTGTCAGAAGGATTCTGGTTGGGGAAGATTCAAAAGATCAACTCACCCGAGTTTCCAGCGCTCCAAGCGCTTGTCACAACCACGGCATTGATAATCGATGGGACCGCTTTGATTCCGACGTTGGTAGCTGCAATTGCAAAGGGTGACGCTCCTGCATCTCCAGAATCTGACAACAGTCCTGGGTCATTTGATGCTACGACCAGGCCCATCATGAAGATGGTGATGATGTAGAATATCATAATCCTCCAAAATACCCTTTTGGCAGCTTTGGGGATATTGTAGCGTGGGTTTTGCGTCTCAGCGGCTGCGACGGATATATTCTCCACATTGGAAAATGCATAGGCTGCACTGCTCAGGACACGCCAAAATCCAAGGAATTGACCCCATGAGCCGGGTATTCCAAGGAATTGGACGAATGGACCGGGGTCTCCCCAGAATCGGAACCCCATAGGGTAGCCTCGTGGGCCAGCCCCAGATGTTATGCAAATGCTCTGTGAACATTGTTAGAACAAAACCAGTCCACGAGGTTTGTGAACAACATGCTAACCATAATGTTAACGCCAATGATCAATGCAATCTTCATCATGGCGAAAATGAACTCCAATTCACCATAGATACTGACCAGCAGCATATTGGTGAGGATCAAAAGTCCGCCCAAAACACTGATCCATACGGCATGGTTGATATCAGACCAAAAGTCTATGATCACAGCACATGCGACCATCTCCGCAGGTAATAGGATAGCGTTCGCATAGACACTGTTCCAACCCTGAGCAAACGCCAGCGCAGGGTCCACGAACCACTCGGCATGTCGTATAATTCCGCCTGAAAGCGGCGCCAAAGCACTCATCTCAGCCACAGAAAAAACCACAAAGCAGATGAGCACTCCCACAAGGAGATATGCTATTAGCATACTGAGTGGTCCACCCCTTGCTAACGACTTTCCTGTCGCAAGGAAGAGACCAGTGCCGATTGTTCCGGCCAGGGCTATCATTTGAATATGTCGCTGTTTGAGACCTCGTTTCTTGTTGTCTAGCTCTGAGATGACTGCTTGAGTCTTTGCACTCTCTTCGCCTATTGGGCCGCCTTTGGGGTAGCTCCCCTGCTCATCTTCGCGCGTAGTAATCTCTTCATTGTGCTCTGGGTCTCGAGCACCACTTTCCATGGTGGGAGGGAGGGAATTAGTTTCAAGGGACGAAGCGCAACACTCGTTCAAGCGATGAGTCACTTTCAAATGTTCACCTCGGGTTAGGAAGGCTTGCAGGCTACCTTTTTGATGTTGTGGGAAGGGAAAAAGGAGAGGTGATCAAACCGGGAGGATTGCCTTCAAATTGGTTCCAGTGGAACTTTAGAAAGTGGTAATCTCACGTATCCCTCTACTCGCGTAATAAGATTCTGAAGGATTGTGTATCTACATTTGGCGCTTGGGCGAGATCAGCCTTATGAGCCCCGAAATGGGAATGGCCAAGGCGGGGTATGTGACATTCTTATCTTCTCGATTTTGGGGGATCTTCCAAGATTAGTACATATAGATTAGTTCAGTTCGTACTTAGGTACTTAAGTACAGCTATGAAGGATAAAGTGTATTCAATGAGATTGTTCTTGGCAGCCAATTTGCACTATATTTAAATGTGTGATCTCTGCGTTTGTAATGATCAGATAAAATGATATAAACTCGTTTGAAAGAAAATTCCCGCCTTTGCGCCATATATACTCCACACTGTTTTAAGGTTATTTTCATACTCCATTCTTAACCACGAGACTCATTCCTGTGTCCTCGAGTCTCGTCATCTTGCCCCTTTTGTGTAGTCATAACCCGATTCAGGCTATAAGACTTGGTGAAAAGACTGATCACAAAGATCAGTCCGCAAATACCACAGCAGAACGCCCAGACAACTTTCAAGCTGTCTGAATAAGCCTCCTTGAGGTGATCCTTCATCGGACCGTCTGCCATCGCCCGAATCATCTGCACAGCACTCGCCGCCTCGCCACTATATTTGTCTGCGTGGGCCCGCAACTCCGCATAGTCCAGAAGGTTGCTCTTCATGCGGTTCTGAAAGATCACACCGCCAATCGCCACTCCGATCGACTGACCGAACCCCCTGAAGAAAGTGGACATGGCAACCGCGATGGCTAGAGTCTCTGGCGTCGCCGCTGCTTGGACTGCCAATGGGATGGAGGGAAGGACCATGCCGACGCCAAGGCCAGGAACAAGATTGACACAGACCCATGTAGCAGTTGAGGCGTCTGCACTCAGCAGATACATCAGCCCAGTTCCAATGGTGGATACGCCCCATCCAATGCATATGGCCCAATAGTAATTGCCGAGTCTACTGATGACCAAGCCAACCACGACGGCACTGGGTGCGAGTGTAAAGGTTTCTGGGAACAGAGCCACTCCGGACATGATGGGCTTGAATCCTTTGACTGCTTCGTAATAGATTGGCAAGAAATATAGGATGCACCAGACGACCAAACCCACCACCGCATAGCCCGCAAATGCGATTAAAGATGTTCTGTTCTGGAAGATCGATGGTGGAATCATTGGGTTCTTTGCAAATCGGTATTCATAAACCGAAAACAAAATCAAGCCAACAGCACCGGTCACCAAGGGAGCCACTGTGTGCCAAGAGTCCCAATTGTAGAGGACACCTCCCCATGTGAGGGGAATGAGGAAGGACGCAGTGCTCGGGATGAAAAGGAGGATTCCTAAATAGTCGATCTTTCGCAATTGATCACGGTATGACACTTTGTGGGATTTGGATCTCGAAGACCACAAAACCAGGGCGGTACCGACGGCAATCAAAGGGAAGTTGAGATAGAATATCCACCTCTAGATAGAAATATTAGTATAACAATTCATTCTCCTCATCAATCGAAAGTCAACATACCCATGTAGACTTTTCAGCGAAACAACCCCCGATGACCGGGCCGGTCACAGTACCCAGACTCCAGATTGCGCTAAGCATGCCGAAGTATTTAGCTCGATGGGCTAGCGGGACAACGTCGGCAATGACTATGCTGGTGAGGGTAATAATGCCTCCTCCGCCAACACCTTGTAAAGATCGACCGATCAGCATGTGAGTGTAGTCATTCGCAACGCCCGCCACGATAGCACCGATCAAAAACCAGAAAATGGCAACCAAAATCAGTGGCTTCCGCCCAAACAGATCTGAAAATGAGGAAAACACAGGCTGGAACACTATAACTCTGTCAGATTGAATATCCGTCGCGTCAGCTTTTCGCTACATACCTGCAGAGCACAGTGTGAATGAAGTTCCAGTCCAGAAAGCTTCAGTTGCGGAGCCACCTAGCTCCTGGGACATTGTCTGCAAATAAACGAGTTAGTTGAGTACCAATGCATGTGTCGCATGATATCTTACCGGCAAGGCCACTGATATCGACGTCCCATCCAGTGCGGCCATCAAGCTTAAAGAGGCGAGAGCCAGTAGAATCAATTTTTCATCCTTGGAAAGAGTGTGCACAACTTCACGGCTGATTTCGTCGACTGTAACAATAGAGTCGTGTTTTTTCTCATCATTGCGCTGTACAGTCGGTAGCTCCATTGCTTGAGGATGGGTCTTCTTCGTTCTCCACCCCATGGTCTTGAAGGTTGAAGGTTGTTGCGGGTCAGGAGATTTCGCTCGGGGGATTGTTAGGTTTATTTTCCTGATTGTACCCCGTACTTAGGCTGTAGCCTGTTTTTTCTTACATTGCTGTGCAGTGGTCAATAGTTCCAAGTCAAAGTGCATCGTGTGCGTTGCCCTTGCATGGGACCTGCATAAGTGCCTTGAAGAGCAAGGAACGCCACTGGTTGAGATTTTGAGTCAAACTCCACTTGAAACGGAAACAGAGACAGTCTCTCAGGAGAAGGTGAGTCTGTTCATGTGTTGTTTTGACTGGAGTCGTATTCGGTGTTTCGGTGTTCATGATCAGCACCTCTCAGGCCACCCTTGCGCAGGTGCATAAGAATCTGAGAATCAAAACCAAATGAACTGGTACACCCATCACAATTTGTGACGTGTTCTAAGGCTGTTCTCCTTGTTGCGTAGCCCTCGAGCAACTTCCAAGCCCCGGGTGCGAATTTTCACATATGATCTCGCATATGATCGATGAACCCAGACCAAGGGGTAATACACATTTAGTCCACTATTGGAGAGGGTTTCTATCTATATACTAGATACATCACAAATCAGTCAATGACGCTTTTGTTGTCCGCCCAGCTCGGCTGGATGGTTCGGCATACAGCCTCGTAATCCTGGAAACGCTGAGAGTTCTCCACCAAACCAGGGGTTGTCCAAAACATGGTCCAATTACTGTCTGCCAGCTTCCAGGTACCCGAGGAGCGCTCAAAGTACCATTTATTGACGGGATTGTCCATGCGACTGCGCCAACAGACCCCGTCGGGGAAACATGTGCGCACCATCGCATTGAAGACCACGTCGGCGACACCACCCGCGCCCTGACTGCGCTTGAGGACGGCGAACTTATCCAGATAGGGGACCATACGGGCAGTGCTGGCTTCGCTCCCGTCGTCTGGTACGCCGGGCGGCGTTTCCCACGTCAGAATAGCGCCGCCTTCGTACTCGCCAGCAACAATGACGCCGGCAACGCGATCGTTCACCCGGTCGAGATAATCTTGGACATCTAATTTGCGATCGAATGAATCTTCGATCAGAGTGACCAGGCGGGGTAGGTCGATGGATGGGTCATTCAAGCCCAGTCTGGGCTGAATGTGGGCCTTCCATGGCTTTGTGTAGGGGTTCGGTAGGATGGTAAGGGGCATTCCACGCTTGACGAAAGTCGTATGGGATGTTACGGGGCTCACAGTGTTGGATATGCCGTTCCTTGAAGTGCTGCGCCGACCCGGGGGTAACGATGATGAGAGAAGGGGCTTGTCGGTTAACAGGTTGTGGATGAGAGGATTGCGTTGTCGTCGCGTTCCAACGGCTGATACATCGGATATAGCGACCTGGGGTGCTCGAGCCGAATGGGACACTTCAAGTGGAGATGTGATGATACCCGAAGATGCCGATGGAAGCATAGCCAGGGCTTGTTGGGTGAATCGGAGATTTGCAAGATGACCATCCAATGCCTTGTCCTTGTCCATCATGTCTGCGCCGGGTAATTTACCATGCTGTCCAGGCTGAACGGGCGAAGCTACCTCCTGATTGACGAATTTGGAGATAGGATTGCTCTCTAAGATCGGAAGGCTGGCTTCGAGGTTGGCCTGGTTTTTGAGATCAGTGTCTCTATCAATTACCGACGATCGCGCTTGATCGAGCTCTTCTTTGATTTGATCAAACTCTTGCTCCATGTTGATGAAAACATGAGAAGATTGAGGGCCTTTAAAGGCAGGAATACCTCCAAGCGCATCGAGAACGATGACACGGTCCAAGGAGACCTCTTTCTGCAGAGTATTGATCCTCTCTACGGTGATTGCTGGATCCTCATCCGGGTCTGGATGAAGTGACAGCCCCGCGAATTCCTTTGTGAGCGCAAGTGCAGCATCATTAGCGGACACGGGGACAGCTCGCGGGTTGTCTTCGTTGTAGGCGATAGGAGGGACAAAAACGACATGGCCGTCCCGAAGTGCGCTTAACAGCACCTTCCGAGAGAGGACTGTGGGCTGGCCCGACCCTCGGTCAGAAATAGACAAAGCCGAATCCAAACGGAAAGATTTTGAGTCGGGCTGCTCATCCACTGCCGCGGATATCCGATTTGCCTGCTCAATGGCCGTTCGTCGCACAGCAACACCATTGAGATTTCCAGGATCCACCACCACACAGCATGCCATACCTAGCCGCACAAGCTGCGACAGAGTCTTGGCGACACCAGTAATCACAGCATCATCGAGTAGCTGTGGTGTGGTGATTTTGACGAGGGCCAAGTGTAGTCTTTCGGGTAATTCTTGAGCCTTGGGTGTGGGTGTTGTATCTTGTCGAAACACGGGGCTATCGTAAACAGCCCTTGAAGCACCATAAAAGGAGCCCAGGTTGACACCTGATGGCAGAGGTTCCGGGGCGGATTCTTTCGGAGCTTCGGGTGTGGAGTCTCGGCTCGGTTTGGCAGGGCTGGCTTTAAGCCGAGCTAGGTACGATTTGGCCTCGCGCTTAGTCGAGGCAGAGCTCAGCAAGCTCAAGAAGAATTCCTAGTTCCCGAATAATCCAATTAGTGTGTATCCTCTGCCGCATAGCCTTCTGTCACTCACCCGGTCGAGTAACTTCTCCTTTGCTCTGTGGCCCAGGCGATCTTGGCTGTCGCTACTGCCTGAGAATTCGGCAATCTGCTGGGCTCGGCGATTGAGAGGTTGTGCCGGACGCACCGTGGTGGGGTCACTGGGACGAGAGACATGTTGCTGTACTCGGTCAGTCAATTGTGTGCGCACAGGTATGGGGGCAATTACCTTCGCCAGCGAGGATTTGGCCGTTCGAGACCAGCTCAATGATCGGCTCATGGCAACTACCAATTCCTCGAGGGACACAGCAGGGAGTAGTGAAAGAAAAGGTGAGTCAGGAACCAAAAAAGAAAATAATGACGCGGAGGTTCACCGCCTGTCGATCTCCGAGATTGATAAGAGGCATATTAAGTGTCCACTGGCTGTTCTCTCCTTTGATCCGGGTTTTCTCGGAGTGTGTCAACAGCTCGTTGACTACTCCGTGCTCCATATGTCTTACATAGATGGTATGCATGTTGACTCTTGGTTCTCCTATGGGTATGCACCATGACTGTTTTGCTGCATCTCTAGTGCCGAAGTCGCCAAGGCACCAACCAGAAACAGAGTTCGTTCACATGGACAAGACAACCTCGATCTTCAAGACTGTCTGGGCAGGGCTATGCTGACTAGGACCTGAAGAATCCCCAAGCGCATACTAGCTCAAAGGACAAGGATCTTAGTGGATCCGGGGGTTTCACTTAACTGCATGCACAGAGACAATATATTGCGAACAAAGTACATTTTTAATCTCCAGTACGGAGCATTCACTAGCATCTTTTCCTAAGGAATACTTTGATCGCGTGTCTAGTAGATATGAGCTTCGACTTCGTAGACCGCTTTGGGCGCGAGGTTGCGGTACCGAGGGGTACATGTCACAGTAGGGGAAAGATGGGCGAGATTGCAGTACTGATAGGTATCCTGTACTTTATCGGTAGAGTTCCCCGCCACTCAAAAGTTCCTCCTCCCACTTTCTGTGTCTTCACGTCTCAGGAACAAACAGAAGATCTCGAAAACCGTTTTTTCTCATCTCCCTATAATCAGGAGCTCCATATCAAGTACTTGGTAAGTGCATGGCATTCGCGCCCCCTTCGATCCCTTCCCGGTCGCACCCTTGCGCACACACACTGTCGCAAATTCTATTCGTGATTTGCCCATGGCCTCGAAACCACACCCTCCTCAGAACACAGAAACTTAACATATCGTTCAAATCGACCTTTTAAAGTTGTTTGCTCGGCCTGGCTTGAGTCCCTTATTACTTGCATGAGGCTAATCCCCACCGTTCTAGATTCCTATCTCTCGATCTCCACGCCACCAATCCTGGGTCCCCTGCACTCCAATTGCTCGCGGGTACTCTAGTTTCACAGCTGATTTCGAATCCACCCACCCTCGACTTCTTTTAAACTCTCACCTCCCTACCAATTATGTCCGATCAAAGCGAATACCCGTCCGAGTCCATGCCCGACCAAGATAACGGTCTCCGACCACTTTCCAATGTGGACGATTTGTCTCTTGGGAACAACGTCGATCTTGCTCGTATCATGAACCGTGCTGGTATTGCACTTCCCAATGGCTTCCCGCTGGATGACGATGACGACGATGATGAAGTGGACGAAGATTACGTAGCAATTGATCAAGATGAGGGCCAGGACTACCCATACTGGTTCCGCCGCCCGCATACCCAGAACCGCACAAAGCTGGATGAACTGCATCCCTTCGTCCAATTGCTGTCTGTGTCAAATGTTGACGACTGTGTGAAGGTGGAGAACGCTTTCCCGGAAGCGGAGCGTTGCTCGTATGATAAGGTATGTTATTGTGGACTGCGCGGGAAAAAAAACCAGGTTGTCGAAATTGAAAAGCAGTACATTCGGTATGAAGGCTTCGGTGTCAGGAGTGGATGCTAACCTTGTTATCTGACAGTTCATCTACCGTCTCACTAGATGCCCCGAGCTGAGTCTTGGTCTGTTCACTCTCCCTCTCCTCGCAGAGGGAGAGACCAAGCCTCGCCCGACCCTTGTCGGGCATATCATTGCCACTCGCACCTCAGAGCCTTCCGTGACAGATCGCTCCATGCGACTTCCAGCCAACTGGCAGAATGAGCGCTGGTCTTTCGAGGACGAAAAGGCGGTTGGTCATGAGGAAGGAGGCAGCACAATCGCCATCCACTCTCTTGCCGTGGAACCAGAGCACCAGGGCAAGCAGGTCGGCAGCACTCTCATGAAATCATACATCCACCGCATTCGGGAGGCCCAGATTGCGGACCGTATTGCCATCATTGCTCACGACCACCTGGTGCCGTTCTACGAGTCCTTCGGCTTCGAGTCTCATGGCCCCAGCAAGTGTCAGTTTGGCGGCGGTGGTTGGGTTGATATGGTATGTCTCTGTAACTTTCACTTGCCAAAAGTCCCATCGACTAACCCGACCTTAGATCTTGGAGTTTGGTCCCGAGCCAATGGATGATTAAAAAAAAAAGACTTGCTGTGTTTCTTTCGCATCTTTCACGGCGTGGACCATGTTAATCCACTAGGGTCTCTATACCCATTACGCACGTTCACGTCTTGTCTCATCTGGTATCTCCTACAGGGGTTTGAGAAAAGCAACGGAGTTTCTTCGGGTTGGATCGTGGCTCAAGTTTTTCGTTTTATACACTTGGGCGGAAACGGCTGGGCAACTCGTATCACGGTTTGTGTACCATACTTGATGACAATGCCATTCAAGGTGTTGAATTACGAAGTATATTTTGAAATATATAGCATACCAATGTATGAATTATAGAAAAAGTCTCGATTTTGTGCCGGCGATCTTCGACCCCATCGTAATCACGTGACTCGCCTGCACATCTCTGTCTGGCCAATAACCGTCTCCGCATCTGTATCCCGCCCGGCAGAAAAAAAGGACGGCAACAATTTTTTCGCGGAGAAAAACCCACTCTATCAACACTTCACAACCCGGGATTACTTGAAGAGTCAGTGTTCGTTTGACTCGTGACAGTGCCCAAAATGAAGACCACGTGGAAAGATGTGAGTGATTCTCAAGCCTTTGCTGTTCTTTATCGTTGAAACCGATCACTGACATGTTTTCACCGCTTGACAGATTGCGCCTGTGCCCACACACCAGGAATTCCTGGATATTGTGCTGAGTCGCACCCAGCGTCAGCTGCCCACTCAGATTCGTGCTGGTTTCAAGATCAGTCGTATCAGAGGTACGATCCCTATTCTTTTGGTCTCGAGGTCGAGGAGGAAAACCGCAAGGGAAAAAAAAAGTTATCGCGGTTATCGATAAAGCACAATCGCTGATTGAAATTTCTCACCAGGTTTCTACACCAGAAAGGTCAAGTACACTCAGGAGACTTTCTGTGAGAAGTTCCAGCACATTCTCGATGGATTCCCTCGCTTGGTCGACATCCATCCTTTCCGTAAGTTTTGCCATGGCGACCTTGCCCGCTCGAGTGGGGTCTAATATCTACCAGACAAGGATTTGATGAACACTCTTTACGATGCCGACCACTTCCGTATCGCCCTTGGTCAAGTTTCGACCGCCAAGCACTTGATTGAAACCGTTTCTCGCGATTACGTCCGTTTGATCAAGTATGCGCAATCTCTGTTCCAGTGCAAGCAGCTTAAGAAGGCCGCCCTTGGTCGTATGGCCACCATCACCCGCCGCTTGAAGGATCCCCTTGTCTACCTGGAGCAGGTCCGCCAGCACTTGGGTCGTCTGCCCTCTATCGACCCCAATACTCGTACTCTCCTGATCTGTGGATACCCCAATGTCGGAAAGTCGAGTTTCCTGCGCAACATCACCCGCGCAGATGTCGATGTTCAGCCCTACGCTTTCACCACTAAGAGTCTGTTCGTCGGTCACTTTGACTACAAGTACCTTCGTTTCCAGGCCATTGATACCCCCGGAATTTTGGACCACCCCCTTGAGGAGATGAACACCATTGAAATGCAGTCCATCACTGCTGTTGCTCATCTTCGGTCCGCTATCCTCTACTTCATGGATCTTTCCGAGCAGTGTGGATACTCTGTTGGTGACCAGATCAAGCTTTTCCACAGCATCAAGCCTCTGTTCGCCAACAAGATTGTGTTCATCGTCGTCAACAAGATCGATGTGCGCCGTCCCGCAGATTTGGAGCCTGAGTACCAGGAGCAGCTCCAGGAGATCCTCAAGGCTGAGGATGTTGAGTTGCTCGAGACTTCTTGCACCACTACTGAGGGTGTTACTGCTGTGAAGAATGCTGCCTGTGACAAGCTCCTCGCTGAGCGTGTTGCCCAGAAGCTCAAGTCTGGCTCTGCTTCCGCCGCCCCCAGTGGCCGTCTCGGCGATGTTCTGTCCCGTATTCACGTGGCTCAGCCTATGGGCGGTGTCCGCGAGACCTTCATTCCCGAGGCTGTCAAGAACCTCTCCAAGTACGACAAGAACGACCCCAACCGCCGGAGGTTGGAGCGCGACATCGAGGAGGAGAACGGTGGTGCTGGTGTGTACAGCTTCGACATGCAGCGCGACTACGATCTCGCCGACAAGGACTGGAACCACGACAAGATTCCCGAGGTGTGGAACGGCAAGAACATCTACGACTTCGTGGACCCCGACATCGAGACCAAGCTTGCTGCTCTCGAGGAGGAAGAGGAGAAGCTCGAGGCCGATGGATACTACGACTCCGACGAGAGTGTGGAGGATGCCGAAGATGCCGACAACCGCATGAAGGCGGATCTGATCCGCGAGAAGCGTGTTCTCATGCGCAACGATGCCAAGATGCGCAAGTCTCTCAAGAACCGCGCCCAAATCCCCCGCAGCGCAAAGGCCAAGAAGTTGTCCGAGATGACCCGTGGTTTGGACTCTGCTGGTTACGACAACGATGCTGCTGGTTCCCGTGTCCGTAAACAGACCCAGGCCCGCAGCTCCCGTCCCATCACCCGCGAGCCTACTGCCGATGCCGATGCCATGGACGTCGATGACAACCCACACAAGGCCCTTGCCCGTGCTAAGAGCCGCGCTCGTAACAACCCCGTCACCGATCGTCTTAACGACGGTATCACCAACGGTTCTCACGGTGTCACCAGCTTCAACAACCGTGACAAGGCTGAGCGTATGCTCAAGCTCAGTCAGAAGAAGATGCAACGCCAGGCCCGTGCTGGTGAGGCTGATCGTCACACCACCGCTTCTCTCGCCAAGCACTTGGTACGTTTCACCCTATTTCTCTTTTATTTTTCACCGCTAACAATTTTCTCCAGTTCTCCGGAAAGCGTGGTATGGGCAAGACAGACCGTCGTTAAAAAGCCAACTGCTCAGGCAGTCGACGTGGATGCAACGAGACCCATTCTTAATCATAGTCCATTGGTTTCGATACCGGGTGCAAAATGGTGTTGGGCGTTTATTTTCTTGTTTTCGAGTCTCGTTCCAATGTTTGACGCGCATTTCTGGTTGCCACGACTGTTTGCCGTGGGATTTTTACCAGTAACGATTTGTGGTTGTTCTCGTCAATAGGACAGAAAAGTTCCTGACATGATCTCGCATATACCAATTCAGATGATATATTGGGTCCACCTTTCTATGTGCTTTTGATCTTCAGGGTCACTATTATTAAGCAGTCTCCTTTACCCCAGGTGCCAGGTGTCCCACGTAGCAGAGTGTCTTCTCCTGTTGGTGCTCAGAGGAGTGGATCCGGGGCGTTCTCACCGGTGGCTTGTCAGGGATCGTAGGTGCGTGCTGAACTCGAGCACTGGCTACCCTCCAGGCTAGACCGTAGGCTTGGAACTTGAGAACTCGAAAAAAAAAACTCCGCACACCCTACGCTGCACACCGACCATTAAGTAGCTGGGCCAGTAGATATGACTTTACACCATGAGCAATCATGCTTTCTCGATCGATAGTGCCCACGGCTTACATAGAACAAGACATGCCGACTTAGAAGTTCCAAGGTTGCATCCAACTCTAGAAACAACTTTAGAAAGGGTTCCAGCGTTGAGTACAGCTCTAGACAACATCTAAGGTTGGAATCATCCATGGATTTGGGAACTTCAAGGCTTGTTTGAACCAGCCATTCCTGAATTGAGAAGTCAACTGAACTTACCGTGAACTTTAGTACTTAAGTACTTACTTGAGTACTTAAATACCCTTTCCGGGGGTCTTATTGACAAATACTTCACTTGCGTCATGCCTCCGATGTATATATATCTGGGACTTTTGGGAACTTCGAATTCTCATCTATCGATGGATGTTCGTGCCGCAGGAACTTTTAAATAGAAAGCCCTGGATGATATTGCCTGCAAAAATTGAATACATATGCCAATTCCAAAGTACAGCTTCCAAGGTTCAAAAGCATGTGCAGGGAGCTCTAGAGGCATATGGAACCATCCGTGGGGTTCGGCACTGGCCATGAATGTGGATAACAGTGTACTTTGTCCTATCTCCAGACCTGGAGAGATTGCAACCTTGAAACAGTCTGCATGGGCCAACATTTTGACATGCGAGCTGAGTAGCACTCAATGATTGATCATATGATAGTACATCGCTATCTTCAGTCACATGTTCAGCCCAGGAAGCATGCATGAATATTGCCCAGATGTAACACAACCTTCTAAAGTTAGAGAAACAGCCGATCCCAACAAATAATCGAACGTTCTAAAGTTAGCAGAACTCTGCAAGTTACAATCAAGCTCGCAAAGAAATGCACCACTTGAGCAAAGCACCTTGGCAACTTTGAAGCGGGCACTATCGCAATAACGTTTTAACTTCAGGACTACTCGTACTCGTACGTCAATGATCAATCCATATGAGGCCACTGGATATAGGCCGAGCGCCTAGCCCAATTCAGACGAGCTGAACAGATCCCCAACCATCTTCATGTCTCCAGGTGGGACAGCCCACCATTTGTCGGGTCACAACCGAGTGCCGGGAGACAACATGACGGCATTGCACATACTGACAGGGAAACAGAGCAGTTTCGTCAGAAGGGGAACCCCGATATCCCGTGCCATGGGGCAGTTTGGTTTCGTGGTGGAGAGTGAAGAAGATGGGGTTTCCTAATTGGGATGCTGTATAGGTGGCATACGTCAGAGTGTCTGCAGGGCCACTCTTTGGGTTGATATTGGAGCATTTTCTCGTACCCAGGAATATGAGTACGGAGGAGTGCTGTTTTAATTAAAATTGATTGTCGAGTTAGAGTGCTCATCTACTGGTACTGTACTGCATACTCTGTACACTGTAACTAGTATGAGAATTTCATAGTTAGCAGGGGAGCGATGGTATTGGAAAGTATAATTGAATGCCAATCTCTGAATGTCCGACTATTATCCGTCAAAGAGTGAACAGGCCAGGCAAAAGTGAGCGTTGAAAAATCCGCTTAGATGCCGGTGCCAAGGAAAAGTCAATTGGAACGTTATTTTTCTCCTTATTTTCCAGTTCACCAAAGGGAGTTTAGCGATGGGAGGTTGACCCACTACTCAGGTTTTATTTTTATTTCTGTACGAATAATGTGGTCTGATGGTTAGTCCACGGTCTTAGCGGCCGGACAGAGTTTTCGCCTCGCAGATCAAGGGGTGCGACGTTTCCGTAACAAGGGATACGTGGCTGGAAACAAACAAGGACTGGAATTAGGATCTTAGAAGTCGGAAAATAAACATATAATTACTGTTTATATTAATAAACTCAGAGTAGAAGTGTACGAGTACAAGAGGGCAAGGAAAATGGACAACATGAACAATCGGGATGGTTAAGTTGCCGACACGGCGATCCCGGGTCGGGATGTCACTTCGGCTCGGCCAAGTGTCGCCAAGTGTCGGGACAAAGAGCGCAAATTAGCTGCATATCGGTGTGCCGATTCAGCAAAGTGGATCTCGGACAAGACCAACAGATCGGAAATCTCTGCGCGGGACTCGACCGAAGCTTCACCGGGCAGTGGGTCTATTCCCAATTCACCAACATCTTCACCGTTGCGACACTCTAGGTTTTGGTGCATATAAATGAAACAGCCTCCCAGGACAATGCCATGACGCTTGTCAGTTGCAAACTGTAGAAAAACCAATGTATCCCCCAACTTTTTCGACCCGATCAACACTGCAACCGGGTCGGATAGAGTCCAGAGTATCTAGACCCACTTGCGGGCATATAGCAAAGTCTGGGTTTATTTTTGATTTTTATTTATTTATTTTTCAATGGAAAATTTCATGCTTTCACCTTCTTTCTTGGGAGCCTAGTTTCAGTTGCCATTGCCATTGTTTCTGCTTAGTGTATGCCGGGGAATTGTATGTGTCAACGATTTCATACTATTACACCTGCCCACGAAAATGCATCGGCAGTTACAGGGCCGTCACCTGGTCCTGCATACTTTTCCTCCATTTCTATGAGTGATTATTATTATGTGAGGGTCATTGTTACGTTCAAAGGAGATCCGTTTACCCGTCAAGCCCCAACCGATCCATTAACCATGGGCTGTCTTGGCCAGGCACTGGTTTCTTATTCGCTCGGGAGTTAGCTCAGGTCAACCTTCTAGAAAGTGGCAAGAAGGTCTGGTGATCAGTGTTTTCATGGAATGTTTACATACATGCATTAAGACATGTGTATCCCTTGATGGACGGGAACGTGAGAAGTAGATAGTAGGAATGTTTCCAGAAGGCAGATCAACAGTCGATCAAGGGCAGAGAACACCATTACAGAGTGTAGAAGATACCGTTTCCGTGCTCACGTGGACAAGAATTCCCCCATTCTTCTCCACCAAAAGCGAACCCTCCAAACACGGAGTACATTACGCTAAAAATCTGTGCCCATGGAGTCCCGTAAATTTCCCATACCCCATTTCGGCTATTGTGGGACAGATCCGGGCCCCAGGTCTTGCGGCACCTGGGACTATTTAGGTCCCTTCCTCGCTCAATTTTCTTTCTCTCTTTCAAAACTTATCTTTTTTCTTCTCTTTTCACTCAAACTCATCTTCATTGTGGGTCATCATGGGTGTCTCTACTTTTATGGATAAGATTAAGCCTACCAAGGCAGAATCTCAATTCTCCTCCCAGGCTGCTACACCTGCTCGTTCCGACTCTACCACGGCCGAGAAGGACAACCTCACTCTCGATGACAGCCCTGTCAAGTATCTCACATGGCGTTCATTCATCCTCGGCCTGTGTGTCTCCATGGGTGGTTTCATCTTCGGATACTCTACTGGTATGTGTGTTACCTACATCCGCCAGGACTGCAACGCTAATCCTCTCCAGGTCAAATCTCGGGTTTCACTACCATGCCCGACTTCAAGCAGCGCTTCGGCGAGTTAGATCGGGCTTCCGGTGAATATGTCTTCAGTAACGTCCGCAACGGTCTCATCGTCGGTCTGGTTCGTTCTCCCCGGAATGCCCACATGTCGTCCTACATCGACTAACCTCAGAATAGCTGTCTATCGGTACTATGATTGGTGCCCTGGTTGCTGCCCCCATTGCGGACCGCATTGGCCGCAAGTTCTCCATCTCCTTCTGGGCTCTCCTCCACATCGTCGGTATCGTGGTTCAGATCGCCACCGTCGACAAGTGGTACCAAGTGGCTCTCGGCCGTTGGGTTGCTGGTCTCGGTGTCGGTGCGCTCTCCAGCGTTGTCCCCATGTACCAGTCTGAGTCTGCCCCTCGTCAGGTCCGTGGTGCCATGGTCAGTGCCTTCCAGCTGTTCGTGGCCTTTGGTATCTTCATCTCCTACATCGTTAACTACGGTACCTCCACCCTTGGTGACGACCCTGCCACATGGCGCATCACCATGGGTATCGGATTTGCCTGGCCCCTCATCCTCGGTGTTGGTACTCTCTTCCTTCCCGAGTCCCCCCGTTACGCCTACAGCCACGGCCGCACTGAGGAGGCTCGTCAGGTTATGTGCAAGCTCTACGGTGTTCCTGCCAACCACCGCGTCGTCGCTCAGGAGATGGCCGACATGAAGAACAAGCTTGAGGAGGAGATTGCCAGCGGTGATGCCCCCTGGCAAGAGGTCTTCACTGGTCCTCGCATGCTCTACCGTATCCTGCTGGGTATCGCCCTGCAGTCCCTGCAGCAGCTTACCGGTGCCAACTTCATCTTCTACTACGGTACCTCTATCTTCAACGGTATTGGTCTCAGCAACTCCTACGTTACCTCCATCATCCTTGGTGCTGTCAACTTCGGTATGACCCTCCCTGGTCTTTACATCGTTGAGCACTACGGTCGTCGCAAGTGTCTCATGTACGGTGGCGCCTGGATGTTCATCTGCTTCCTGATCTGGGCTTCCGTTGGTCACGAGATCCTTCACTCCGACCCCTCCAACCACCCCGCTGGTATCGTCATGATTCTCTTCACCTGTCTCTTCATTGTCGGCTTTGCCACCACTTGGGGTCCCATTGTCTGGGCCATCTGTGGTGAGATGTACCCCTTCAAGTACCGTGCTGTCTGCATGGGTGTTGCCACTGCCGCCAACTGGACCTGGAACTTCCTCATCTCCTTCTTCACTCCCTTCATCAACAACAACATTGACTTCCGTTACGGTTACGTCTTTGCTGCCTGTTGTTTCCTGTCCGTCCTGGTTGTCTTCTTCTTTGTCAACGAGACCCAGGGCCGCACCCTTGAGGAGGTTGACACCATGTACGTCCTCCACGTCAAGCCCTGGAAGTCCGCCGACTGGGTCGCTCCCGAGGGCATTGTTGCCGACCTCCACGGCCCCAGCCCCCTCGATGGCCCCAAGCAGGGTGAGGCCGGCGCTGGTGAGCACCAACATCACGACAACACCACCGAGATTCGGGAGGAGTAAGCTATTCTTGCTGTGATGATACCACCGACAGCCGTGTTGCTTCTTGTTCTCTATTTTCCCCCTCTTCAAAATTTCTGTATGCATAATTATGACTCTACTATTATCAGAAGCCTTTGTTCAGTCTCCATTATATCCCTCGGGAGACTTTGATTTTAATAGCAATACCAGAGAATATATTTCTCAAGCCTTCAAATTTCTATCTTCATCCATCCTAGTAAATTAATAAAAAAACCTGTACAAGTGTCCAAAACAAAACACACTACTCGTTCTCAAACTTCATACCAGCACCCTTCCTCACAGCCCCATAAACAGCAGCCAGATCCCCCTTCTCCCCCCGCTCTGCCTTAACCTCCTGCAACAAGGAATCCGTCACCTCGACATTCCGCATCCTCAAACCCCCCTCCCCAGCAACAGCCGCAGCATGTCTCAGATCCTTCCTTGCCAAGTCAACCGCAAACAGCGGCTCCTCCCGTCGATAATAATCCCCACTATCCATCCTCTCCGCATAATTCGCAAAAGGTCCCGGCGCAAACAGACCCAACCACTCCTTGAATGGCTCAACCCCCAACCCAGACGCCTCAGCCGCAACCAACGACTCAGCCAACACACCCACCGTATTCAGAATAAACGTATTCCCAAGAACCTTCAGCATACCAGCCCTGCCAACGTCGATATCCGCCCCCGTCCCAGCAGACAGATCAAGCGTCTTCTTCGCGACAACTCCATCGAAAAACGGCCGCGCCTTCTCAATCGCACTCTGCTTCCCTGCAGGAACAACAATCAACTGTCCTGCATCAGCCATATTCGGCGCCCCAAACACAGGACAAGCCACAAAGTCAGCGCCACGCGCAGCAAAGCTCGTCTCCGTCTTCCGTGATGTATCCGGGTGGACGGTAGAGCAGTCGACGAAGGTCTTGGCGCTTAGATCGAATGGCTGGGCGAGGATATTGGAGACGACTGCATCGAGGGCTGTGTCGTCGCCCACACAGATGAAGATGAGCTCTGCTTGCTCGATTGCTGTTGGGAGGTCGACGGCTTGGGCTTTGGGTGCTAGGGCTGCGGCGTGGGCTGTGGCCCGTGCGCTGCTGCGGTTGTGCAGTAGGAGAGGACTGGTTTGGGGGCCTTTTTCGGCTATGTTTTTGGTCATGCCCTGGGTTTGTTAGATTTGTTTGTTGGTGTTGGGGGTGGACTTACTCGGCCGATGTTGCCGAGGCCGATCCATGCAACGCGTGCGGACATTGTAGTAGATTGTTGTAGAGAGTTGGTTTGGATTTGAGGGCTCAATTGAGTACAGTGGGAGAATGGAGAAGGGGAATTGGGAGGTGAGTTGATGAAGTCACACCGTGTGGGGTAGACGTGGGGAGGTTGAATTCTTATCCGCTTCGATGTTGGAGTTAGAAGTTGGAGATTTAGGACTTCCAAGGTTCTTATATCTCTACTACATTTGCAACTCATGAGTCAAGGGGTAATATTTGATATTAAAACTCGGCCTTCATCAATAAGCAGTGAGTCATTGAGGCCGAAGTCCGAAGTTCTGCAGCCTTGTCTCGATGGTCCCCACTCCCAATGCTTAGTTCGGACATTCCGACCTCGGCCGCTAATATTGTACTCCCACACAGTTGACTCCGACAATGATTCCTCTCTCACTGAGCGCTCAATCTCCATTCTCCATCAGTTCATCATCATCATCTTTCTCGTCGGCCGAGAGAAGCTCGATGATCTTCTCACAGGCAATAACACGCCCTTCTCCCAATTTCTCACTGATATCCTGCGCCTTCAAAAAGAATTGGATAGCATCAGTGCTCGTAATGGCCCTCACCAAGGCCGCGCCCAATTCCGCGCCATCAACACGGGGTGCAACAGTTTTATTGCCCCAAACTCCAATGCCCAACCACTCGACACGAGTTGCAAAATCATAGGTATCATACCAAACCGGCAGAACGACATGAGGAACACCAGCCCTAAGCAAAGCGTCAGCAAAAATACCCCCAAAACACCAGAAAAACTCACTGAATAGCTTCATGAAATGAATTGGCACCCCCATGGTGCACCATACAAAGGATATTCCCACTCCGCAAAATAGAACTCGGCTCCGGCAACCAAGCCATAATCTTCACCTGACCGGAATCAACAAACCCTCTTAGACACTTTAACGCCGAACCATCCTGCTCAATCGAGCCCATAGCCGAAGTAGTCTGCAATTTCCACAGGACCTGGATCCACCCCCGCCGCTGAAGTAGTACACGGATACCCTCCGCGAACTGTGCTGTGCGCTGTGTATCCCAGATCACGGCCGAGCCCATGTTCACAAGGACTGTTGGTCGGCGGGCCAACCAGACGGATAGTTCGCGGTTGTTCTCGGCGAGTTTATGGCAGGGTCGGATTATGGGACCGCAGCAGGTTATGTTGGGTGGGATTGGACAGGGGAAGTCTGTGTCTGGGCTAGAAGGTATTATTGTAGGAGGGGAGATTCCGATGGGTGGATTTGGGCCGGGGATACCGTGCGCATGTCGGGCTTGTTGGAGGGTTTTGAGACGGGGACAAAATGCCAGACTGAGGATTAGTCGTATGGCGAGATAGATGTTGGGTAGGATCTTTGTCCAGGGGAGGGGATATGCGAACCCTGAGTTCATCCTAGATGGAGTTAGTTACTTGCCTCTCGACTCTGTCTCACGAGAGAACATTGCTGCTGTGAAGTGGATTGGGACGGGACTTACTGAGGATATTTCCAGGGCTTGCCCAGTCTGAGACCGGGGATACTTTCGAGGACACTGTTTGGGCTCAGGACACAATATTTCACTTTGCTGACGTTGCAGGCGTCGACGGCAGGGAAGAATAGCCAGTCCAGCACGATGATATCTGGTTTTACTTCCTCGATCACCCTCATGCAGCTGTCGTAAATCTTGAGGTAGTCACTGGGGCTCCATGCTGTGAAAACAACAGGTAACTCGTTTTTGTATGTGTCGACTGCAGCGTGAACTCCATAACCTTTTTTTCTCGTGAGGATGCCGGTAAGCTCGGTACATTGCAAGCCTACTTGCATGAGGGAAGGTCCATCGATCGTGTGGAATATCGCTTTTCCTGATGGTCGTGTGGCATCTTTCCCCACATTGTGGTTGAGATCTTCGACCTTTGATTCCAAAAACGGAAACGAGGCTATGTGTACAACGTAGTCGAGGCGAAGAAGAAGCTCGTGGGCGACGGCGAGATGGACATTGAATTGACCATACTCTGAATTCGTCATCATCAAAATATTTTGGCAGTCCATCTTGATTTGAACGGGGTTAAGGGAGGAAGCAAGATGAAATGAGAGTAAAGGTGTTGTGAATGATGAGGGATGAAAAAGTGAAGAGAGGTGGAGAGGTGGAGAGGAAAGGAGAGAGAAAGAGAAAGAGGAAATGAAAGTAGAGAGAGAAAATGCCAAACACAGCGGACTGGCAAGAACCTTGATTTTGCAAAATAATCTAGCATAACCTACAGCTTAGACTTCTCAACAATAGCAACATCCTGGAAAGGCAACCCAAGATACTGCCACATGAAGGCAAATCTACTCAGTCAGCATTTCATCTACACAGACCTTGAGAAATCAAAAAACCTACCGATCACTTCCAAAGAAAGGCTCCTCTTTGCCTTCAGAATTGCGCACCCAGAACCAAGGTGCTCCATAAGCACCCTTATCAAGTGCTGCCTGCGTATTGGCAGTGAGAGCCTGCTTGAATTCCGGACTTGACGCCGCAGCGAAGATCTGTTTAATCTCCACGTCGGAGAAACCATTGCTCTGGAACAGTCTAGCCAATTGTTCTGGCTTGCTGATGTCAATGCCCTCGTAGAACATCCATTCCCACAGCTTGAGGAAAGTGGTTTCGAACTTCTCTTGCGGGAAGTTCTTCTTGATGTAAATCATACATCTTTGGGGCTGTAAGCATGTTAGCACACATAAGCTATCTGGAATTTTTCGCCACGCACCATGATTGAGAGAATTGGGAAGAACTCTGGCGTTTTGATTGGCGGGACTCCGAAGTACCTACATGCTCGCTCCGAGTCGAACTTGGAATAATCTGCCTTGGCAGGTAGTGTCCAGGGAGGTTTATTTCCTAATAGTAGTGAGTAATGTGTTTGTTGGAGTTGAAGCCGGCCCATGTATACCTGAGCCCACGTTGATGCCGCCTAGGAAAACAGGATGGAACCTGACTTGCAATTAGTGCCTGTTGTACACGGCCTGGGCCAGAGATGCACACACTCCACCTCTATGCCATGTGATTTAAGCGCTTGGCGATTCTTCCTCAGGTATGTCGTTGCATAGTAAGAATATGGAGACACTGGGGAAGTTAGCGGATCCGACCATACTGGGATGTCTGGGCAGGGCCGGGGCAGTGACTTACCACAGTCCACGTAAGCATCAATCTTGCCTGGCATGACGGATGTCAGTTGAAAGTCAACTTTGAATACCACACAAACAGAGAGCTGAGGATTAGTTTATCATACGGAGGTTCTTAAGTTGGAGAAGTTGGGCCGAGGTGGAGACGAGCCGAGGGATGATGAGTGATCACTTCAGATCTCCCGACTTGACAGAACACGACATTAATACAGCCAAAAATTATATTTTATTAATATTGAGATTTGGTATATGCAATCATGAAACAAAACGCCGATAGTTTTATGCTCTTGTAGAGAGCATCATGTCGGTATGCCAAAATTGGGGTAATTGACCCGCAATCTCATCGCGGAGAGAAACAAGCGGATATCACATCGCCTCATGTTCTGGGCTTGAAGGGTCCCCGGGTTATTATGAGGCGCACACTGCAGCCTGTTGTTTCTGCCTCTTCTGTGGACAGGGCACAGAATAGCTTCACGCGATTTCGAAGTGCCCTGCAAACCGGCAAGCTGCAGATTTTTGCGGTTGTTCCACCAAGCAGAAGCGTATTTCTGTTATATGATTTGTCCAGTTTCAGGACTCATATTCACTCTTTGCGGCTGATGGCAGACTGTCGGGTATTTACCAGGTCCAAGTCGTACGGGTTCTCCTCATACTGCGTCGCGGTCGCGGTGCGATGCATCGAGTGACCGGATTGGCGGGATGCACGAGACGCGCGTGATGCGCGAGAGGCATAGCGGGCGATAGTTCCCCGCGAAGGAACTGTGGAGAGGGAATCAGAATCGCTGCCACTGTCGCTTTCGACAGGGCCATCTGCTGATTGGTCCTTCTCTGGCTCTTGGATGGCAGCTTGATTTTTCTCGGCAAGGCGACGCATGAAGGCATCTGCCTCGGCTGCGTATGTGCATCGTTGTCTGATGTGCGCACCGTATTTGTAGAAGATGAATGGGAAGGGAACGCATGCAAGCGACAGAAAGGCGGGAATCGACGATGCCCAGTGGATGCCGAGATTTTGGTACATGTATGTGGTGAATAGGGGGAAGGCCATGCCGAACAAGGAACGGAGGGCGGAATTGGCGGCTAGCACGGAGGCAGCGAAGATGGTGTAAGAGTCAATGAGGTAATTGAAGACACTGAGGAAGACGAGGACCATGCCGAAGCCAAAGGGTGCACCTGCGGCCACCGAGGCCATCCAGTGGATGCTGGGTGAGTTTGTCCAGGCGAACCAGAAGAGACCAATTGGCAGCGCCACGCCGCCGACCATGCTTGGTGGAAGGCGGAGCTCTGGAGCTAGTCGGTCGGTTGTTTCGCTGCACTTTTTGGCGTAGCGGAAGTTCTCTGGGAAGGTGTAGGCGACGGCGGCGACCATGCCGACGAGGATGCCTAAGAAGGCGAGACCACCAATGCCTTCGCTCCACCCACGGACTTGTTGGAAGACGATAGGGTATGCCGCAAACAGCATATAGAGTGTCCCATAAATGATGGACATGTAAATAGAGAAGAGGAGCACGATCGGTTCACGGAAGAGCAAAACCCACGGGCGCGAGAGGGCTGTTTTCAAGGTCTTCCCCATGGGGATAGGACCACGGTCAATATCAAGTTGACTGCGGTAAACCTTCCCGGTCAATGCTGAAAGCTTCTCTGCGCGACGGCGCAGAAGAACAGGCGCATAAGTTTCCGGTAACAGGAAGATAATGCAGAGCCAAAGTAAGCCAGAGAAGGCAGCAAGGAAACCCTCCACCCATCTCCAGCCCGCCCCGGTAGCCAAGAATCCACCAATAACAGGTCCTATTGTCGGACCTAGGAAAGGTGCCGCGGCGAACAGACTAATGGCAATACCACGCTGAGAAGCAGGGAACATATCGGCAATTGTGCCACCAGCATTTCCGAAAGGCGAGGAGCCGAAGGACCCAGCCAGAAAACGCAGAATGATCAGGGTCTGGATATTGGTAGCACCTGCAGTTCCCGCGTTAAACGCGGTCAGGAACATAAAAGAGATAGAGAAGATATGTCGGCGACCAAATATCTCGCTGAGAGGCGCCCAGATTAGAGGCCCAATGGCGAAGCCGAGAACGAAGAGTGATACACCCAGAATGACCACTTCCTCAACCACATCGAACTCCTCCATCATTTGAGCCATGCCGCCCGAAAAGGCGGACGAGACCAAAGAAACAGCAAGAGTCACAAATGACACGAGGAGGGTGATAGCCCATTTCCTCGTCTGAGGGAAGTTCATGGGGTTGCGAGGATCAGCTGGAATCCAGATCACCGCATAGGGATCATCTTCAGTTCCCGAGCCTGTGTATGGAAATCGCACTACTTCCTCTGTGACGACCTTTTGGTCGAAGACCATGCGCCAAAATGGAATGGTAGAGGGGAAGGTGGCTTCGCCGTCTCCATTTTTAGAAGCGGTCATGTTGGGCCAAGCCCTCGTCAAACTTCGATGGAGAGGGTACTCGTACGGAGTATAGAAAGATGACCTGCACGACCGAAGCGCAATTGCAAAGATGCAAAACCATTCGAATGAAAATTGACCGTCAGAATTTGAGAAACGTCGCCCCAAAAAAACCTTGGAAACATCTCCACTCTGATAGCAGCCGAGACAAGCCTCGGCTTAATTCCGACGAATTAGGACTGTCGAAACTGTGCCTGATCCCTGCATTTCTCTCGGCAGGTAGTTGCCGAGTGGCTCATCGCTTGCGGGTGGAGACCATTGTCTTTCCGGCTTTGGGACGCTTCCGGCTTGTGGCCTTGGCCTTGGGCGGCCCGAAAGCTTGAGCCACTTGGCATGGAGTTGGAGGAATTCATTGTTCTTCTTCTATTGTCTCCAAGGTAGATCTTCATGTATCTTGGGAACATATTGCGATCGCCTGCAACGATCGCTGCTCTTGGAAACTTTGATGGGTCCCCCGCTGGCGAATGGGATTGAAAATCGGTCGCTAGTTTGGCTATCAGCCCGATGGAGGGATGGGCTCGTTATTGACAGGACTGTCAGGCTGCATGTGTTGTGCACATCACGGTGTATGGAGTATATCTAGAGCCAATCGGAGGAGAAAAGGGCTCGAAAAGATCGATCGGGGGAGAGAGGGAGTTTGAGGGAGTGCTGGGCCGTCAGGTGATCGATGTGTTGTAGATAGACCTCGAGACCCTCCCTCACTCATCTTTCTATTCAAGATTTGCTATTTATTTATTTTTTTTATCGACATGATAAATATCACAAAAATCAAATAAATTTCACTGTAACGCCCTATCAACCTTATACTAATTATTGCCACCCACTAAAAGGCTTGAGATTTGAGCTCCATTGAAAGCTGTTGCGGAGGAGTTGGATAAAAACGAGCCCTGAGAGGTCGTATATGAGCCTTCATGTTGGGCTTTGCGGGATAGCTTCAACTCACTGGCACTACTAACAGTCAATCCCACCCCAGCGCCCGCCAGAGGAATGAGTCCCGTCGCAGCACCAGCAGCAGTGAGACCTACTCCAGCTAAAACTCCCATGAATGGAAGCATATTCCGCTTCATCACCTCTCGTTTTTTCAACTTCTGCGTATATTGTGAGATCTGTGACATTTCGTCTTGAGTCTCGTGTTGGGAGTTGTCGCGCTGCATGTAGTATTGCAACCGCTCGTATTTTCGCATTTGCTCTCCAAGCTCGGCAGAGAGCTTCCGTTGGTCTTCGCGCATCATCGAAACAACTTTGCGATAACAAAGTTCCCTTTCAGCAAACAGCTCTCGAGTTGATACCATTAGCTTCTTCTGCGCCTCCTTCATCTCCTTGATTTCATTTGTCAATCCGGAGAGACCAACAGTGGCATCTTGAAAATCGATCTCGTCCAGTGGAAGTGTGCGGGCTTTCTGCGACAATTTCATCTCAACTGCTTTGTATTCGGACATAAGCTCTAGTCCGGCAGTCGTCGCCCTCAGAGCCTTCCCCTGTTCGACGAGCTCTTTTTGGATGAGAAGAGGTTTGCAACCCGTCGCATCCCCCAATGAGATCAAGTCGTCGACGATTAAGAGGGCGGAGGAGTCGGAGCCACGCCATCGCTTTGCTTGACTGCCGTGTTCAACAAACCGACCCCAAAACTGCTTTTTGGCCACCAATTCGGATTCTCGACGGAGTGCCTCGCTTTTATCCCCTTCTATCGATTCCCACATGGTGGTGACTAGGAACATTCGGGGTGCAGCATCCAAGCCACAAATCGATTCCAAGAGTTTCAGGTTCCTCGCAGCTGAGCCTGAAACTCTATTGTCGGAGATACGGTGCAAGTATAAGATACCCGCTATCTTGATCCCTCGCCGATGGATCTGAGACAGAATGAAAGCGATCTCCGAAAAAACCTCGAAGTCCGAACGATAGGTGTCGTTGAACCCGGGCGTGTCCACCAAATACACAGGTCTATTTTTGATTGTCATGCTGTGAAATTCGACACCATGTGTATCTGTAGAGTATGTTTTAGTAACATTGACCGAATTTTTAGACTTCGCCATGTACTCACAAGTCTTCAGGCTGTGGCCGATACCAGTATCATCTCCAATAAGCTTCGATATGAACCTGCTTTTTCCAACGCCGGTGGCACCCATGACAAGTACCGCGACGCCTGCAGGGGACTCCGACATCCTATAGAGCGTTAGCACAGGAACCCAAGCAAATTGTTTGGATGGCATACCCTCCGATGCCTTGATTAATATCGTCCATATTAACCGGGATCGCTCTTGCTTGGCTATAGGAAACCGAAATAATCACCGATGAAGAATAGCTATAATCCAGCAAAGAAATAGTATTTGTACTGAATGAGGCGTTTCGTGAGTAAAGTCAATCATGTGATGACGGCTGCATCACCGCTCCCTAAATAGCGACTGTAGCCGCTGCTCAAGTATGTATCGACCTATGAGAACATCGGAAAGGTTGACAAAATATCCTTTCAGGCAATAAAACAAGGATCTTGATAAACCAGAGCCCCGCTGTGTGGTATCAGGCTTGCATGAAACTCCGCGGCAAACTCATAGGACATAAGGTGGTTTGTTTTTAGCGACGAGAATCTCCCGCGCCAACCACAGTCATAACAAACAAATCCTGACCCCCGAGGAGAGTCGTGGAAGCCTGTGATAAGTCAACTATTCTCACTTATCTGTGGAGTTCTCATGAAACAGCAACGTGCAGATGAAGCTGAAAAGTATTTCAAGATTGAGAAATGAGGCGTAGGGGGCCGCCAATCAGGCCTATAAATTGTGCGGGGTTGGCGGCTCCTAGCTAAGTTGGGTGCATTTCGAACGCGCCGAGAGCAATCTGGAGTACATGTTCCATCATTCGACAAAGGCCAGGCCCAGAGCCCTGGAGAGTACCTGGGAGTACATAAGCAAGATTCATCTGAGTGGACGTGAGGCTGGGAGGTTTTGGCGCGCGCGAGCACGGGCCGCGGGCGCAGATCCACTCCCGAGGTTCCGAGCCGCAACCTTCCTCTAAGCATGGTTCACCTGCTCGTAGACCCTCATAACCTCCAGTATATACCTCGCTTGAGCCTATTCCAATTTGATTTGTCATTCAAATTCTTTGATTTTCCTTCAATTTCAATTCAAAAGCGCAAATCTTAGACTATGACGAAACTTACCTCTCAAAACGTTGACCCATTATTCCTAGTCAATGCGCAAGTGTCAGGCAAGCTCTCGCAATTCAACAAGCAAAACATCTTCCTCACAATCATGTGAATGACAGATATTTAACCTGCCTGGCATGCAAGAAGAGATTGTTCAATAGGGCCGACCTGTTCGAACATATCGACAAGCCTCAACACGGGAAGAACCTTGAAAGGAGAACACCAGTATTTTTTACGAGCTGGAAGTGGCGCAATGGACGACAAGCTAACAAGCCTCACAGATGGTAGCCCATTCTTTGTGATTTCTGCCGGATTGCGGGCGCGGGGCTTTGAGAATCATTATCCCAGGGTCCGCCAGCGACGTGACGAGTATATATCAATACTCTCATTTCAAATTATCGACAATTACTAACTATCAAGATGTCCGTGCTCATACCCGCGGCATATGTGATCTTTCTATTCTCGCCGAGCCCCGCGAAGAATGGATCTCCCAGTCAGATGTTATTCGAATATGCCCAGGAGCAAGATAGCCAGCCTTCGCCATTATGTGTGGATGAACAGTAACAAGAGGCATTTCAGGCTCCTCCAATCTCATGCCTTCAAGTACCCTAGTATTCCAATACCTCGAGCCTGGGTCAGGGCTGAGAGTCTGCGTCGAGCTTGAGGGAGATACGTTCCCAAATATCTGTTGAATGGCAGGTGTGGTGATTGGAAGACAGGCGGCTATTATACCCAAAATGGTTGCGATGCAAGTCAAGGTTGACTTGCTGACGGCGATGCGGGTTTGGTTCATTGGCTCGGAGTCGAACTCGAGTTTCGTGCGAACTGCGAGGATGATGATAATTCTGAAAAAGTAGTCAGTGTGATGGCTCTTGGAGATGATTGCTTGTGACAAAGGTATATTCGGAGTCACTTACATTAGTCCTAGGGCTTGAATACCCACGAGGCCGAACTTCCTGGGCCTTGACAATGGCATTCTCCATGTGAACGGGATTGGAAGAATCAAGATGAAGAAGTTCAAAATAATCACGCTTGCATTGATGCCGGTGTGAAGCTTCTGACGGTTACCACAATGACCTTCAGCATTCTCGTGCCATATCTTCCTTGGTGGATTGCAGATGAATGCAGTGACAAAGAACCCAATGATCCAGAGAGCTAAACAGAGGCCCATGGTGATATATGACAGCAAGGTGATGGTCCGCTGACTGAAGTTGCGGACGTAGTAGTCTAGAATTGACAACTGAATCAAGCAGACCACTGTTACCCAGAGAAGGTTGCCGGCATATGTAATCTGATGAGGTCAGTATTTGGAGACAATAATGAGTTACTTCATTCGAGTGACTGAATGACTTACCGCAAGGAACTTTACAACAATCTGGTTCCCCCCGACATCGATTATCTCAGTGGGATGCAAGCCCATGCCACACAGCACAACTAGGACAATTTCCACCACATAGCGACCGATCATCAAAAGCTAAACACGGACGTCGTCAGCAAATATTGTAAACAATCCGAAGTAACAACACTGTATGGGACTATTTCCATTCTCGACAGATAGTAAGCAAATAGCTAAGCTTACCGTGGAGCTTAGAATCAAACAGTCATTTATTTGAAGCGAAAGCCATTGTAATCTCCGGGACCACAGCCTTAAAGCCACCGCAATTAAACAGATCCCCAGAAATAGGGTTTGAACTGCAATATCGGCTTTCCCCAAGGTATTATGACCAAGGGAGTGGGCGAGTGTACCTGATGGAAGCGTCATGATGAGTCCACGCAGAAGAACATCTCAGGAATCGACGAGCATGCATCCCAAAGACAGTCATAAGTACAAAAGCTGAGACGGAGAATACGAGAATAGTCGGATCGAAACAGGGCGGGGGCCATTGACCAAAGACCAATGCCAAAGAGGGATTACAACATTTTGCATCTACAAATAGTAAGATCACCCCGTTACAAGCAGGGACCCCCCAGAGCCATGATCTCTGCCACACTGGCAAAACATGGAAAATTTTTAAGTTCGCCTTACTTCTCACCCTTACAGATTGCACGAAAGAATTGGGGTTTTGAAACTAGATGGAATCTTGTAGAAAAGCCTTAAATCCTGTATCTCGAATCTTGAATCTTGAATCCTGTCTGCCCACATGTGGTAGTGTCGCATGTGAGTACTCGGCAAAGATTCACTTGTGCCGGAGCCTCGAAACTGCGATCCTAATTAATTTCTGACGCCCGCGTTTCATATCCCGAAGCTAACACAGCCAACGCATCATACGAACTCCACTACCCGCGCGGGTCGATCTTCACCGTCTGTTTTTTGTGTTTTCAACCACTCTCACAGGCTCTTACTGGTACTCGGATCTTCTCTCGTCTCTTGGTGCTTATTTCTAGACTGTTCCGCTGATTTTTGGGGTGCTCGGATCGCCTGTTCTATTGTTTTACCTTGTCAATGTGGGGTCTGTCTTTGGGGCGAAAAGCATACTCTTAGTCGCCAAAACCCTGACACTTCCAGCCCTACGAAAAAAGATACGAGCTATACGAATGAACCCCCTTCACCATAGTCTACAACTGTAACTTCCCAGGCTAGAGCCCCACTATATCGAGACTCGATACTACTTGTACCAGTAACTACACTTTTTTTCCTTGGAGTTCTGGATTGATCTGATGTTATGGCCTAGAATATTTGGCATTCTCGCCACGGCACGTAAGATGCACGTGTAAGATGAATTGCGCAGGCGGGGATTGACGTGAAAGATATTTGTATCCAACTATGAGATATTTTGAAGATCAATGAGGTCCACATGAACACTACAGGAGGTAAGGAGTACAGTGTTGATATGCCCTCGTTTTTCCTGCTTGAAACATCAACACTAGACGCGTCTAGCCGCAGTCCATCGAACTAGCAAACCTTGCTAGGAAGATCTTCTAAAGTTTTCCTACATTGCTGCAAGACATTGAATGAAGAATATGAGTGGTTTTTTTGACTGTTAGTGCGGTGATCAACCTGGCACCTCCTGCCAGAATGTTTCAAGGTCCCCAAACCCTATTCTTAAACATTCGGGAACATACTCCGTAGTATCAAGCCAACCTAAATCCAATGCAGCTTGAGCACCGCGCTTACTTTTCGGAAGCAAACCGAGACCAACTAGAACTTAGAAACGACAGTGTTCATCCCATTCTTTGTTTGGCCAGTCCGTGTTTCCAAGATCCCGCTTATAGCTGATCTCAAAAGTATGTGGCCTTAGCGTGGAGACTTTGAGGCAATCACACGAGCGTGGAGTTCCATATCGGTGGCGCCAACCTGAAAAGCTTGACCCAGCTTCGGCGAAGAATGTTTTCAGCCATCGATCAGGGTCCTCATGTGGACACATGAATTGGGTCTTTGTCGCTGATGGCGAGCCATGAGATTCGAATTTGAACACATATGAGCTTGAGACAACCAGATTTCTTCGTTCACAAATGTGAAAAGTGGTTTCGATCTCGACCATTGGGCCTTGTGGATGTTCGAAGGTACAATTGTGCCTGAGCCGCAGTGGTGACCAATCCAAAACTCCTTTGAAATAATGAGGCAGCGAATACGACCTGATGATTCCTTGAATCAACGGAAATCTATCACGAAAGGAAATAATCAGACACGGACAAATCTCCACATAGCCAGCGTACGGCATACAAAGGTCGTGCCCGGAGCAGTCCCGTCCGTGCATTTCGTGACAGCGAGAACAGTATGGGTGCTGACGAGGGCCCTGGCTAGAAACGGGGTGCAACTTCCAGCATTCAAGACAACACTCCCAACGTCTATTCTGTAGTCGGCGTAGCAGCTTCACCCTCGGCCTGCTCTCAACGTTGGGGTGTAGAGGTGAGTACCTTTCATAAGGAAGAAGTTCCGAGAGATTTTTGATCCCCAGGTATGAGAGCAAGAAGTTTAAAAAATATTTTGAGCTCAGTGAAAGGCAAACTTGATCTTCAATTGGGAGGAAGGAGATGATCTGTCCCACCAACTCTCGAGGTAGTTTTAGTATGAAAGGGTCCGACCTGAGTCCGCGAAGTCTGTTTTTGGCCCAAAGGATATTGCAGAGCGCCATCGAAACCCAACACCTGAAGAAGGCCTGAATATCTTGCAAGGTGGAAAAGACAGTGACTAGATTGAGATAATATTCATGAAGTATACGAGTGCATCGACATCTAGAAGTTAACCGAGGCCATTTGTAGTGGTGAGGAGGTCCCCAATTCCAAGGTTTGGATGTCAGTAAAACGTAGACGTGTGCGCCCGTCATACATCTGCCGATGGGCTGTATGAACACAGACAGAAAAAGCCGCAGCTTACTAAAGGTTGGGGAAATTTATGAAATATAAGCATGTTCGTGGGATCATGTCAAGAGTTGGATTGCATTACATATCAGGGTCCATTATGCTTTCCACCCAAAACACGAGGGAAGCAACTGCAAGTACCCCAATGACTGCATTAAATTTATCGCATTATGTCCATCCATCCATAGACAAATCAGGTGCTCTTCTTAGCAGCCTCACGCTCGGCCTTGCGGAGAGCGCGCTTGCGGATGCTCTCGTGCATAGACTTGTTCTGACCAAGGACAAACTTGCCCATGGTTCCAGTAACAGTAGTCAAGAACCAAGCCATGATGCCATGGCTCCAGTAAGGCGATGAGCTGTAAGCATAGGTAGGGGAGCCACCACTGCGGCCAATCTTGCCAAGGACAGAGCGAACAAAAGTGCGAGGGTTAGGAATGGTAGCAGAAGCGCGACGGATCTTGGACATGGCAGAGGTGATCAAGTAGGCCTGCACAAGTTCGACATCAACGCCGTAGGGGGCAAGTTCACTACCCAGAGAAGTAGACCAGTGCTGCAAGAAAGCCTTGCTGCCGGAGTAAGTGGCCAAGAAGGGCGTAGGAAGCAGACCACCGAAGGAGCCCATAGTAAGAACTAGACCACGACGACGCTGCATCATGCCAGGCACAACGAGCTGAGTGACGCGCAGAGTTCCGGTACAGTTGATCGTCACGATATCGGCCATCTCGGCGGCGGGGGTCTGGGCAAAAGGAACGGGGATCGAGTGGCTGAGACCGACGTTGTTGACAAGGACAGAAACGTCCAGCTCGTTGACAAGCTGGTTCAGGGCCTCGTAGTCGGCATCGGCGTTGCGCGAAAAGTCCATTGCCAGGGTCTTGGTCTCCACTTGCGGGAACTGCTTGGTGATGTCCTCTGACAGGGTTTCGAGCTTGGAGGCTGTTCGGGAGACGAGCACGATGTTGAACTTCGCCTTTGCCAATTGCAGGGCGAATTCCTTGCCCAGGCCATCGGAGGCACCTGTCACGACAGCCCAGCTACCCGGTGGACCGAATGAGCGGAGCTATTCGATTCTCCAAATCAGTTTCATCTTCACAATCGGAAAGGGCTCTAATAATCAAAATTTCATACCGGTTTACCCGGAAGCACGAACAGGCTGAGAACCACCCGCACGAACGTCCAGAGCTGACAGGCAACGTGCAGCCCACCTGCCGCCAGGAGGAACAAGGCTCCAAAGGCCGGCAAGCCCTGTGGAATATGGGCAGGCCATTGGGATAGGCACTCGGTGTATTTTGAGAAATCCATGATGTACCTGGGAACTTGAGACAGAAGTGGGAGAAGAAAAAAGTTGAGGCACTGAAGCTTGTTGGGAAGATCCGCGCCAAGAATCCCAAACATCGAAACATCCTCGGCCTCTCACATTCACATCTCAACCCTCCCCAAAACCAACAATTGAGACCAAAATGTCCCAATTTCTCAGCTACCTTCCCCCTTTCGAGGGTATTCTGCCCAAATGGCTTGTCTTCGTAAGTTTTGCGTCTGCCGCAGCACACCCCCTATATACTCCGGTCTAACACTGCGCCACAGGTCTCTGTTGTATCCGCCCTTAACAGCCTGCAAGCCTACTGCTCAACCCAATATACCTCCCAACTCTACAGCAATGGCCAGGTTCCTGCCAGCCCACTGTCTGGCCGTGTCTTCGGAACCTGGACTTTCCTGTCCGCCGTCATTCGCATGACCGCCGCTTACAACATGGACAACCCTGTCGCGTACAACTTGGCGATTTGGACTTACGGAATCGCGCTGACACACTTTGTCGGAGAACTGGTGGTTGGAAACGCTTCTCTCAAGGGCCGCTTCTTGAGTCCCTTGATTGTCGCTTCGGCTTCGCTTGCTTGGATGATCACCCAGCGTGAGGCATACCTCGCTTAAGCATGTTGGGTTCAAAGTCTTGAGTGATGAGTTCGAAGTTGGTTGAATTATTCTATGCATGCACCAACGGAATGAAACAAAAACGAACCCGCTGCATACCTCACCCCATATTTACGGTGCAGTACCAGCCAGCTCTTATAACAAAACAAAATAATGTATATGCATGTATTTTAGAAAATGCTACACCATCGGCCCAACTCCAGCCAGACTCCACATTTCAACTCGTTATAATCTACGAATCCAACTTCTTCCTGTAGAGCTCACCACCGCAAGCGCGTAGCTTGGCAGCAGCCTGCTCGGGCGTGATATCACGCTGAGGCTCCGCCATCAGCTCATAGCCAACCAAGAACTTGCGCACTGTCGCGCTGCGCAGCAAAGGCGGGTAGAAGTGCAAATGCAAGTACGAGGCCTCGATTTCCTCCGCAGTGCCATCCAGTGGCGCCTGGTGAATACCCATACTGTAAGGGAAGTGCGTTTCGAAGAGATTGTCGTAGCGACGAGTGATCTCTGCAATGGCTTCGGCAAGAAGCATCTTATCGGCATCTGACAAGTCGACCAGGGCGCGCTTGTGCGTGCGACTGACGATCATCGTCTCAAATGGCCAGGTCGCCCACCAAGGACAGACGACCAGGAACGCCTCGTTCTCGAAAACGACTCGATCCTGCTTGCGGCTTTCCAGCGTCGCGTAGTCTTCCAGCAAGTGGCTGCCGCCGTGCTGCTGTCTGTATTTGCGCAGCTGGTCCATTTCGGCGGCTGGCTCCTCTGGCATCGAGCTGGTGGTCCAGACTTGACCGTGCGGATGGGGGTTGGAGCATCCCATGGCTGCGCCCTTGTTTTCGAAGATCTGCATGTAGCGATACTGCTCCTTGGGCTTAGTGGTGCTTGTTGATGGGGGCAGGTGTGTGGCGGGGGCGATCTGGGCGAGCGGGGAGGTGGGCGAGAGATGCGCGGTGTAGATCTCTGTCCAGGCATCGATCACGGGAATGATCTCGCGGGGGCTCAGGTCTGCCAGGGTGAGGTTGTGGGCAGATGAGAAGGTAAGCACATAGCATTTGCCGGTGACGGGCTCGGCCTTGAGGAAGCGCGATTCCAACTCTGTGGTTTGTGAGCATGGTATAGACCGAGGACTGGAGTTATCTTACCATCCTCATTGGAAGGCTCATAGTGCGCCTGTTCTTCCTTCACGGCGCTGTAGTCGTTCACAAATACAAAGGTGCTGTCATAGTTGGGGTTGGTGTCGCCCTGCGCGCGCTTGTTTCCGGGGCACAAGTAACATTCAGGATCGTGGGCTGGCAGGGTGGTCTTGGAGGCACTCTCCTGCGCTCCTCTTGAGATATTTAGCTCCTCTGTCGATTATTCCCGTCTGACCACACTTACTGCCAGGGACGCTTGGTCCGGTGGGGAGAGACCAAGATAGAGGATCCCCGAAGGGGGTTGTATCTCCGGTGGGAAATGTCGTCAAGTACGTTCTCCATGATGAATAAGTCTGCAGGGTACCTTGGAGGAATGAAAGAGAAGGAGAAAATAATCCGGCGCAGGAACACTGAAGGGTCTCCGGATTCAACTCCGGTGGGGAGGCGGGGGTCCGGAGATTTCAGCAACGTCAGCTAAGCGAGGTCGCCTAAGCTATTGTAGACTATATAACTACGCTACCGGAAGAAAGCGCATCCATATTGAACCAGATGGTCTTGAAGCCGGGTATACATCGTCTTGGCGCTGTCACTGTCCTTTCGGTGAGCCGTAGAAGGTATCGCTCGGGATCCCGCACTCGGTTTTTCTGGGGAAATCAATGCACTTCTTTTCCGGGGAGCCCTGTGCGGAGCCTAAACAGGCAGTTTTCTTCCGCGCCGCCATGGTCAATTTCCAACAAACGGAGCCGATTGCATACCACACTGTGATGTGGAGCGACTAGTGGGGGTGGGTGACCAATGAGGGAATTTATCCCCGCGATGACGTCAGTTTATCAGTCCTCAGTTGGCCAGGCTGTTTGGGACAGTCGGGGTACACGCCTGAGCAACTATACCGAAGTCGTGGGTTCTAACTGGAAGAGCCTCATCTCTATCAATTACCTAGGCGCGAGCCCTGGTAGACCAATTGACGTCCCTGATACCCTATTGGGTATTAAAGCCATATCATGAGCAACCCCGCGGTGACCCTGGACTTCCTCCCGAACGAGGTACGTCAATTAAAAGGCGATGGGACATGAGCTAAATCAGTCAGGTCTATATTGAAATCTTATCTGACTTCTCCACCCGGGATCTCCTCCCTCTGATCTCTGTCAATCGCCGGTTTCATGCACTAGTGCTACGCATTCTTCATTATCGCCTATTACTCACTACCCCACTCAAAGAGTACAAATTACTTCTGGAATGCTTCCATCCCAGTTCAAAGCTCACCGAGCCACATGTGTTCTGCAAGTACCTTGGCACAGATGGTCTGAGTGAACGCCATGCGGAAAACCCATTGGAAGAAGGCCCTGATGCGGCGCAGCAGCTGGGGAGAGTGACCGCATTGTATTCGCGTTTTCGTCCTCAAGCAAGAAGCGAAGAAGAAGAGCAAAGCATTGCGATGCGTTTTGGATTATTCCCAGGTAGGATGTTTCTCTCGGGGGTGGGTTTCGTGCGGGCTGACATCAACGGGGACAAAGACAAGAGAGAGGATAAAGTGGTGCGGGAGGTCACAATAGATGGCTATGAGGATTTCTCTCAATTATGTGTGGTAGCCAGTCTGGTTCAGGTTAGGCCTGGGACATCGTTACTGTTGAGTGCATCCACCATAGAGGATGGATTTGTTCGACTGTGGAGAGACTGGCTATATCGACAAAGTAGGAAGTTGAAGAGAGCTTCTGATGTTGCAAAAGAGGAGGGTCTGGATGAAGTTCAGATAGCATCTGATCCTGATGATATTCTGTGGGTGGACCTTGCTCAGACTATTGGGTTGAAGCTGCGCGTGCGGCCAAAATCTTGGAACCCGTCTTTCCCAGTGTTGATGCATCAAGATGACCGAGATGACGATGCGTGGGTTGGTTACGAGGTGATCTTGGAGGGTAAGTTGGATATTCGAATTGAAATTGCCTCTTGCTGACCGGATAGAACTGCACATTCGTGCCACTCGCCTACTTCTGGCTGTTGAACGCTCGAAGGAAGAGCAGCAGTATCACCACAACAATGCCATTGTCATTGGGGCTCCACCTCCGGCCTAGGATCTCCGATTCAAGTCAACTTCAACATCATCGCCGTACATAACAAGCTTTACATTGATCAATGTTTGATTCAAGAAATAAATAACCCATTTCTACTACTTCACACCAATGGCTTCATCAAAATCCCGGAGAAATGCCCAAAGTGTCTGCTCTCGCCATTTCCTTTCTTTCCAGTCGTTCGCCCGCAACGGAAAGAAATCAACAAGTCCCAACAAACTGGGATCGTGCGCAGAAACAAACCAGATGTTGCTCTCTGCATCCGCCTCTTGAGCTTTCTCAATCGTTTTGACAGTCTCAGCAAAATCAGTCCCAACCATAGGTGCCGGGTGGAAGAACGGTCTATCCAGGGCGCCACTCCGCTCAAGAAGCAACTTCTCATACTTTTCTGCCCCAGGACATGGAAACAGCGCAGCAGGCATTGCGGCCGAAAGATCGGAGGGGATGGACATATGCTTGGAGGGTCGAATCCCACCTCCATGATGACACAAATCACCTCCCATGAAAATGAAAGTATCCGGATTAGTTGTGGTTTTAGCCAGTGCGCCCAGATGACCCACAGCATGCCCTGGAGTGTCGACTAAATAAAACGAACCATCTCCAAAGAAGTCAAAGGCACGGAAGCGTCCCGTTTTAGTGCCCTTGGAAAAGTCGATCTCCCGTAGACTCCTTCCACTATATAACAAGTTAGTGTTGTTTTTCAAAGGAACACTCAGTCTGGAGCTTACGCAAGATCGCATTCACGAATAGGCGAGCCCGGTGAAGCTGGATACCCGGGACAGAATGTGTCCTTGAAGCCAGGACCAACAATCAAATCAGTCGATGGTGGAAACAATGACGGATCACCAACGTGATCGAAATGCCAATGACTGGATTAACAGTGAGCATTTGCATAAGAAATAGTGGATCTCCCAAGGGTCCTTGGCGCAAAGGCCACTCAGTACCTCCAAATGATGCCGGAAATTTGATCTGCCTCGATCTTATCTTGCTTCAAAATATCAATCACATCGTTCTCGACAGATATCTCCGTTGGCATGCCTTCAAGAATTTGAAGAATGAAGGGCGAAAGCGACCGCCATGCTTTCGGCACACCGAGATCATAGAGCAGCTTTTGGCCGGATGCATGCTCAATCAGGAACGACCACGATGGCAGGTCAGGCATGCATTGCATTCCTTTCATGGCGGGCTGCATGAGGAAGTCCAGCGGGAGCTTTCCTAGTCTTGTGGTTGTATCTATGATTCGGACATTCACAGTTTCGGTGCCTTTCGGCACAGGGAAACGCGGATTTGCCATAATCAAACTGAACAAAGTATCGCTCACTTTTGGAAATTCTTGCTAAGGGTGGTTCGGGTAGAGCCCTCGAGATATACTTGAGTAGAGATGAATTTGCTTTTATCGTTGAGCTGCGGGGTTGCGGGGTTTCATCATTTTGATACTAGATTGGGCATACTGGGGGCCGTATGCATCTTTGTTTCCATATCAGTTGTCTATCCAGAGTTTGACTGAAGCATTATGGTAAATTCTGTTATGATTTTGAGGAATAATGTAACCTTCATATTGTCTAAATTGGCGCTGACAAAATTCCCGGCCCTTTTGGGAATGTCTCGCCTGCCTGTATAAGAGGGATGTCACGCTTTGCAGAAGACTCCAGCTTCTGTACTCCAGGGTTCATTGAGAGACTCAGATGGTCAAATGTTTAGACCCAACGCTGAATAGCATTCAGTAGATCCAAATGAGGCTTGGAATCACCACTTCTCTTCAATGCTTCGTCAAAGACTTCCGGTCCGAGGATCTTGTTAAAGAGAAGAATACTGCCCCACACCAAATCAGCGTAGCTAGCAGTGTCTCCCAGGAAGAACGGCCCCTCGTTTTCTTTCAACAAAGCAGTGATCTGAAGAAGAGCCGGCTCTGCCTGAGCCCAAGCCTTTTCTCCGCCCTTCTCTTTTTCCAGCTGATCCAATGGCATGCCGACGAACTGCTCGCGAGTCCTATACCAGTACTCCTGACTTTCCTCGTTGAGGACGTGCTTCGGCACCAGGGAGAAGAAAATGGGATGAATGGCGCCCATGTACTGGCCCCATAAATCCTCAACCTTCTTGAGATAGGTTGAGTCCAGGTGAAGTGAAGGTAGAGGGGCCTGGCTCTCGATGTAGTCCGCAATCTTGCGCGAGTCCGTCACGTATGTTCCATCAGGGGTGATGATGGTCGGGAGTGTGTATGGAAATTTAGAATCCGGAGAGCGTGGCACACTGGAACCGTCAGGTCAGTTTATACACTGCCAAACCTTGGAAATAGTGATGTCACGCACTGGTTCTCTAGTGTGGATTTGATATCAGGGTACTCGACCTGGACATTTCATCAGCGCCCAATCTTCGAGCTGGCGATTTATATGCGGCTTACCCATTGGGTCTCATGTTCAAGTCCCTTGAAGTTGAGAAGCAGGCGAGCTGAAATCAATGTTGTTTAACGCTTGCTCGAGTGAACTACCGATGTGACTCACTCTTCCAGGGGTTTGGGGTCCATGTCACAGATGGTGCCTTGCCGGAAGGGATGTCGAGGAGGATATATTTGCCTGCAGTCATTTTGAATTCAAGTGGGGTTATGCTTCTTGAAAGCTTGGAATCAGGGGGATTGGTCCTTATGTAGTCTCACATCGAGTGCCCAGGTGCCCAGGTGGGGCTAACGGATTACCAATCGGGTTGAAGGTTAGCCCGAAATCTTGGAAGCTTCATAATCTCGGGATTGCGGGGTTCCTCGGGAACAATTCCCAGATCAAATCCCGGAGGTTTCAATATTCGCATCAGGAACCTCTTGGTAAAATTGGTATGCCTGAGGCCGCATTCTTCAGCTCTTTCCTGAAGTCGTTCGTTTCGTTCTTCGAATGTATTTTTGTCAAAACTGGAATGTACATAATACCAGACTAAGCTCAAGCTAGCACCTACATCTCCCTACCCCGTGCTTCCCATTCTAGTTCTCTTCTAAGTTCGTCGACAGGGACCCACCAATAAGACCTTTGACAGAACCTTGCCCACACATCACACCTCTATCTATTACCATACCTGCGTGTGGTACCACCAGAGGATCTTGGAAGACGTCACCTGGAAAACGTCACCTCGTTGCTCTACGCATTCCATCTATCGAAAATTTGTCAATACCAAAATCAGAAAGATGCCCGTGAGCCTCCTGGATCTCCCTGCCGAGCTCCGCAACGAGATATACAAGGAATGCCTAGTGCATGAAAAGTCTATCAATCCTTGGAACGCATATGCTAAGCCCGGGCTCGTGCCTAATATCCTCTTGACGAATACGACGATTCTACATGAGGCATGCTCACTACTCTATGGCAGTAATTGCTTCAACTTTATCCCGTGGGGCTCTGAAGATGAAGCTGAAGCTGTATCTGATTTCCTTGATGCTATTGGACCAGTCAACGCTTCCCGCATTGAACGTATCCGTATCGCATTCCCTGATTTTTTTAACAACACGGAGGAGAAGGACCACACGGAGAAGAAGGTCGACCTTTCAACAACAGACCTTCATATCTTACAAGCGATTCAGGCATGCTGCACAAACCTCAAATCAATCACAACACAGTACACGGGTTTTGGATGGCGTTTTCCGTTCTACGACCTCGAAATTCACGAAAAGGCATTTGCGTTGGTAGCCACTCACTTCAAGGCAATTAAATCATTGCGAGAAGTTGTCATAGAATATGACGATGAGGATCTAGACCCAGTGGACAGAAGGAATATGCAGAGTCATGGGTGGACACTCAAAGTGGCGGAACACCCGACAGATGAAGAAGAGCTTTTACGACAACTGGGCCAAGAGCATTGACAGATATCATGAAGATTACGGTTATTGATGAATACGACATTGAAAATGACAGTGACTTTTGGAGAAGGGCAGCAGACAAGGTGTGGGGGGGGGGGGGCAGAAAGAGCCGGGTACTGAGAAACAGCAGGCAAAGTCAATATGTATTGAGTCCTAATCGCAAGAAGAAGTAGTATGGAGAACTAGATCCCCCGCTGAAGCATCCTCTATATATACACGAGAGCGGAATCCTCCCCTTCAGCAAGCTGCATGAGCGACCTGGTCGATCCCGCACGCATAGCAAATACCCCGCGGTGACCTCACCAGCCTGACTGTACTACGAGGTCTCCGCGGCAGTAAGAGCTCACAGATCCCGAATCCACCTAGAACCAGAACTGACCCCTGTTCCCCGATTGGGACTAGCCTGCTCGTCACAGGTACTCTCTTAGCAATCGACCTTTTAGGAAACAGACCTCATCGCTTATAATACACTCTTTGCAGAAGCTGTAATATCAATCCAACTTTCTGGTTGGCCAATTGGCCTAGTGGTAAGGCATCCGTTTCCGGTGCGGGAGATCGTAGGTTCGAATCCTGCATTGGTCGTCTTTTTTTGGTAGTTGTTCATTCGTTTATTGCGATTCATGATTTTCTTTTTGCGTAGTAGTAGAGAAATTTTATCTTGATAGTCAATTCGCGTTTCCCAATCGGTTAACCAAATGTACCCCCTACGCATGCCAAGGTCGTGCCCACCCTGATTAGAAATCCAACGAGGGGCCCCATGGATGGGGCCGGTCCGGGGCCTCAACCCGCCTGCCTCTTGAAGATGCCATACTCTTCCTCAATTCTACTTCTGTCATTGAAAATACTAACTTGTCCTTTGCAATATGCGTACTATATTCATGTATGACACCGTGCCAAAACTTGTCCGTTGACTTTTCGCATGTTGACATTCTCCACAGTACAGGTGCCAGTGGCTACATTGGCGGTGACATACTCTCAGCCCTGGTGGAAAAGTACCCCGAGAATACTTACCGGTTGCTGGTGCGGAGCCCTCAAAGCCAGAGTCAGATATCGACAAAATATCCATCCGTCATCATCGTTCCTGGAGGCCTTGATGATATTGAGTTGATCAGACATGAATCAAGCAACGCGGATGTCATCCTTCGTAAGTGATTCATGTGACTGGCCTCAGATTCAAGAGCTGATACACTCATCTACAACCAGACACTGCAGATGCTTCAGACCATCTTGCCGCGGCGCAAGCTATTGCTAAAGGAGCGATAGAGGGACATTCGCCCGACAGACCGGCCTATTGGTTGCATACAAGTGGAACTGGTATTTTTTCGTCTTTTGAAGACGAAGAAAACACATACGGGAAAAGAAGTGAGGTTACTTGGGACGATCTCAGAGATATCCAGAGGATTATCTCTTTTCCAGAGCATGCATTTCATCGCATAGTTGACAAAACTGTTCTCGATGCAGCTGCCTCGTCTCCCGATGTATTGAAAGCGGCAATAATTTCCCCAACGACAGTCTACGGTATGTTTTCGCTCTGTATTCAGTGAAACAACATCCGTTCTAACTCCAGTGACAGGAAGGGGCAGAGGTCCATGTTCTCAGCGCAGCAGACAAGTTTATGAAATGGCAAAGTTCATTCTTTCGCAGAACAGAATCCCGAAGATTGGCAACGGGGAGGCAATTGCATCGAATGTCCATGTTCACAGTGTAACAGCCCTGTTTATTCAGCTTTTTGATGCGACCTTGGAGCGACAAGATAAAGATCCCCTTTGGGGCTCAGATGCATACTATATTGCTGAAGAAGGGGAGCATTGTTGGGGCGAAGTGGCAGACACTATCGGAAAAATAGCTCTTGAAAAGGGCTATTTGTCATCGACTCCCACTGGGGTTCTCCTTGACAAGGACACTGCTTTTGAATTGGCGGGATTTGAGGCCACAAGCTGGGGAAACAATATGCGCTGCCGAGCAAGTCGGGCTCGATCATTTCTGCAGTGGCAACCCATTGGTAAATCCCTGGAAGAGGAACTCCCAGAAATTGTTGATACAGAGTACAATCGTTTCAAGTGAGCCTGTCTCATAGAGGAAACAAAGAACACTAGTCTTGCGGTATGCTACCATAAACTAGCTTCAATCAAAATGAGATAATCCTAGCCTCGGTATTGGAAAGAATATACAACTTTAGAAGACAATTTCCTAGATCCTGATCACTGAAGCTGGGCATCTGATACCCAATGGCTACCACCGGCACAGCGATACCCACCACTCTGCTTGATCCAGCGATATCCCATAACACAGACACCCATCGACTTGAGCTTCATTTGATTGGCCTGTTCTTTTCGATGAGCCTCTTGCATGACTGCCCGTCTCCGTTCAAGCTCCCTTGCAACTTCTTCGTCCTCTCTGCGTCTCCTTTCATGCTCCAATCGGGCTTGCTCATGCAGTCGTCTTGATTCCTCATCTGCTTTCACTTTCGCTTCCTGGGCTTTTCTTTCGGCATTGTCCGCTTCCTCTTTAAGTCGCAATATTTCTTTCTTTTGCTCTTCAAGTTCTTGTTGCACGCGCTCATACTCCTCGTCCCTTGCTTTGGCTGTAGCCTTGTCTTTCTCCAGCTGATTCCAGACTTCATCCGTCACCTCGTGATCACGATCAGAAATCTCGGCTTTCTTGTGTGTTTCAGGATCCATTGCCGTATTTGATTCAACACTGGATGCCATGCTTGATTGGCTGTCAATTTGAGTCGGTGGCTGGTCCAAGGCATGTAAACGAATAGGCAGGGTTTTCTCCGCATGGGAGGTGAAGATTCTCTGCTTGGGTTGTCCTTCACGTTTGCGGCGCTCATCTATCATAGCAGACAGCTGCTCCATCACAATTTCCTTGCTCAGTAGCAACTTCTTTCCATCTGAAACTTTGCTTGACTGTATGGCCTTTCCAAAGATGGCCTTTGCCAAAGTTTCAACGTCTCGTGCATTGGCCCAGCTTGCAGTTTGAGAGAGAGTCTCAAAACACTGCATCATTTCTTTTTCGAACTCGGTGTCTCGCTTTTGCAGGCAGGTGATGTCAAACTCCACACTTGATTTGCTTGAAAGATCGTTTTTCAGTTTCAAAAATTGTTGATCAAGTAAATGAATGCAGTCCTTTGAAGAAAGGGGGTCAAACTGAAGCGATTCCGGGAAACGACTGGTCAAACCAGTGTTGATCGACATGAGCCTGTTTATATCGGCATCATAGCCGGCCAGGATGATGATCATTTTTTGGAAGAATTTTGGCTTCGTTATGCAGTCCACGAGCTCATCCATGGCCTCCTTAGCAAAGTGGCCATCCGAAAGGCGGTATGCTTCGTCTATGAAGAGAACTTTCCCAAGACCACGCTCCAAGACCTTCTGAGTCTTTGGGCCAGTGTGTCCGACATATTGACCGATCAATTCTGTTGCGGAGATTTCAATTACCTCGTTTGATGCGAGCATGCCCATGTCATAGTAAACCTGGCCCATCTTCCTCGCAGTACTTGTTTTACCGGTTCCTGTTCAGATCACCAATGTCAGCAGAGTAAATCACAACTAGTCCATGGATCGGAAAATGTTTGTGCATACCCGGTGGACCGCGGAAGACGAAGTTGAACGGCAACTGTTCCTGAGGATCCATACCCAGCGACCTAAGATCCTTGACAATCTTTTGATATCCTCTCAGCTTTGATATGATGCTTTCGCATCCTACCACGCCCTCGAACATCTTTGAAACGCTCGCGTCGGAGTTGTCTGCACGATCAAAGTTTTCGTCGAAGTCAACAGCGTCGAGAACAGCATTTGTGATGTGACCAGTAGATTTGTTGGTTGAGATTCGCTTCTGATGATGCATCTTTGCTGCATTGAGCAGGATATCAATTTCACCCGCATTTCCAAAATGGGGTCTGTTTCGAGACCGCTCGAGCATTTCTGCAACAACACGTCGAGCACGGTCGGTAAGACTGTATGCTTGTTCTCTTAACTTCAAATCAAGGATCTGACCCAGCTCTTTCTGCGTGAAATCTTCGAAAACAAAGGCTTGGTCCATGGGAAATCGACGAGTGAGGCCAGGATTGACATTCTGGAACATTTGCTGCATTTGATCCTTGTAGCCAAGAAGAAGGACGCATCTATCATCACCAGGTGTGCTTTGTACTTCAGCCACAATGGTATCCACCACGGCAGTTCTGTAGGGGTCACTCCTGGCCCCAGTGTCATTCGATGTTCCCCCAGCAAAAAGACCGTATGCTTCATCAATGACCAATACCTTCCCGAGCGTAGCTGCAAGAATGCCTTTGGTTGTTTTCTCAGACTCTCCTATCACGCTTCCAACAAAGTCGGATGGGTTTTTGACGACCACTGCCATACGCGTTAGTCAAGGGGGATGATATACAGAGTATCATTGCGTACCTTCACCATTGGATAAGAGCCCAATGTCCACAAGTATCTGGCCATATATCTTCGCGATCGATGTTTTTCCTGTTCCTGGGTTTCCGAGAAACACTTGGTTGAGGCTATACTCTACCAATGGCTGTTCATGTAGCTCGCGTTGATAGTTGTATTGCATTGTGTCCAAGAGAGCCTCAACGGTCTTTTTCACAGAGCTCAATCCAATCATAGACTGTAGTCTCTCCCATGCTTTGGATGACTTGAGGGCGTTGGATGGATCTGGGCCAATCAAGTCACGTCTGTCAAAGAAGAAGTCGTCAACTTTCGAGCCACCTTGGCGTCTCTGTTGGCGGAGCCTCTCAGACTGCCGCTCGGAAACTCGTGACATGGCGTTTTCCACAGCCCTTGCATTTGCGAAGCCTTCACGTCCGCGTCCGCGTCCGCGTCCAATTCGTCGAGCTAGAATGCGACAGTAGAGCCCTCCCAGACCTCCATCAACTTTCATCAGCTTTTTATATGTCTTCTCAATCCAGCCCTGCATGATTTCCATCAACTCGGTGTCGTCAAAGTCCTCAAACTTCAACTGATGTGGGAAACGGCTAGGAAGCCCTTGGTTGTGCGCGAAGAAGGTTTCCATTGGACGTTCGTATCCAGCAAGAATGAAGACAATCTTCCCGGTTTGGTTCTCTACTTCGGCCAGAAGAAAGTCAAGAACGGTCCCGCCAAAGCTGCTACCTGATACAAGCTGATAAGCTTCGTCGATGAAGATCACTCCTCCGCCTTCTTTCAAGGTATCGTCAATAAGTTTTTGGCACCCAGAGACACCTTCATTTGCAAGCCTGGAGCCAGTCGTCTCGGTAAACTGCTGCCCTGGGATGATTCCCACGGCTGCCAAAAATCTAGCATAGAGACGGGCCACTGTCGTCTTGCCAGTCCCTGGATTGCCAAGCAGTACAGATCCAAATCTTTCACGATCTAAATTCACCCCTTGGCGAATAGAGGTGTCGACCTTTGACTTGATAGCCAGGAACTTTGCCTTCACAGACTCCAGTCCCACCATATCCATTAACTCGTCGAATTCCTTGCTTTGGGCCATGCAGAATTTCTTTTGATAGTCCCATTCAGACTTTGCCTCGGATGGCTTTTTATCTGGCATACTCTGGGGAGCTCTCGGGGTTGTAGCTTCATCATCCTGGCTTCGAGCATCATCTATGGAGGACATCTTGGTTTCTCTGCTGGCAGGTTTCGGACTTGTAGAGCTTTCCCTGAGATTCTTCCTTTCTGGATTGGAGGGTTTCTGTGCCGGGCTACTCTTCAAGTTTTGAATCTCTTGTTGATGCTGTTGGAGAATCTTGGCTCGTTCTTCGTCGTCAAATTTATCCTTTCGCACACGTCTCAAGTGACTAGCTTCGTCTTGAGCCTCTGCAAGCTGCTGGGCGTATAAAGCTAGCCTTTTCTGTCGATTCGCTTCTAACTTGACATCGCGCTCATGCTTACGCGCTTTGATGCCATCTTCTTGAATGCAGAAACGGCATGCTTTTTGACTCTGGGAGCAGGGAAGCGACAACAAATGACCTCGTGAACATGTTTGTTTTGTGACCTTGGTACATGTCATCTTGGAATGGTCCGAGATCTGGTGGCACTTGGACCTGCATTCGTGAATCCCGCAATTGAGTTTCACTCCACTAGTCGAGAAGTCAGCTTCGGTTACCCTGATCAAAGAGAGGCCCGACTCCAAGTACTAGATAAGTTAATTGAAAACTTACCAAGGGGCGGAACATCCCCCATCTGGGACTTCCCGGTCAAAGTCTTCCGGTTTTTTAAGTATGGCTGTCTTTCCGGGGTGCCGCTCACACTTGACAGGCAATCCATCGTACAAGTGCCCATTAGACTTCAGATGGTCGATAAGTGGCTTCCAGGTCCTTTGTCCCTTTCGACTGCTCACAAACGTTTCTGAGTTTCCCACCATTATGAGCACGTTCCTGGCCCGGGAGAGGAGGACATTTAGTCGTTCAGGAGCGGCCATAAATCCAACTTCGCCAGTTTCATTGCTGCGGGTGAGAGAGGCGATCACAATCTCACTTTCCTCTCCTTGGTAGTTGTCTAATGATAATGGTAAGACCCCTATTCATAGGGTTTGGACGTGTGTTTGGCTTGCTTACCAATGGTTGAAATCTTGACCTGTCTCTTGGAGTGGTTAGCGCTTGCTTTCGACAAGAGTCCCGCTTGTACAAGATCGTGAGAGTCAAGGTCGTTTAGAACCGGATCATTCTGCTTGCTCAACATTTTTCTCAGGAGCGATAGCTGACCCAGATAGGGCGTGAGGACGACCAATTTGTCAGTGCCATAGCCCTGTTGTCCAAAATACTTGACAATCTTGAGAACGATCTCTACCTCGAACGCGTTCTGCTTTGATTGGTTTGATCCCTCATCTCGGCGATCAGAGATTTCCGTGAATTTGGTCTCAGGGTGCTCATGGTTGAAAAATACAACTCGATCACACAGTCCCCTTGGCATGGGACGGGTCTTGGTTTTCTCATCGTCTTCTAGCCCAGGATATGTGAGATTCCGCACAAGACTCGAAATCTCAGGACACATTCGGTGTTGTTTCAACAGAGTTGTGTGTGGGTATCCAGCATGAATGAGTCTCTCGAACAAAGAGACATTAAGATCATAGCCATCCCCCTTTTCTGCACTCAAACTGTAGCTATTGATCTTGGGTCTCAGCTGCAGGTGATCTCCGATCATAATCAAGTGCTTGGTCTCAGGTGCAAGTGCCGTAAGCACATGGGACTCCAGGATTTCACCCGCCTCTTCGAGGAGCACTATCCCAGGAGATGCATGCCGCAAGTCATCTGTGTACATTGCAGCAGCCGTGGTTGTGCATCCAATGATTCGCTTTCCTTTCAGAACGTCTCTCGTTTTTTCGGCTAATTTGGCGCTCAATTTTCTCTCGCACTTGTTGAACATTGTCATCTGAACGCCCAAAGAGGTGGCTTGTTCATTCACCAACGCTCGGCTCCAGGATGCAATTTTGTCCTCTCGCAGATGCTGCTCCATCTCCCATATGGTTTGACAGCGCGCAGGGAGCAGGTCTATCAAGTGCTTCGGGGATTCCCCTCTCGCCCACTGGGCAAAGAGATAGTCCTGATGAACCGCTTTTCCGGTTTTACCAACTATACTCATTCCACTCTCATCTTCGGGCACGCTCAGCGCTTCAAAGAAATCAGGCTCCTCGAACTCCAAATAACTCAATATTGATAAATTTCCGGCCGACAGGCTCTGGTATGCCTGGAAGGATTGGTTTAATTCGTCTTTTTGGTTTCTTCCTTCCTCTCCTAGTGCATCGATAATGCTCCAGGCTTCCCGTGATCTCCGGTGATTAGACTTTTGCATCTTGAGACTGAGAGGATAGGTTCTTGGCGTAAACTTCGAGCCTAGTCGAACAATGGCAGACGAATCGATTCCAATGTCCAACAGATCTTCCAGGAACTGGTCCAAAGCATGGTTGGTATAGCACATGACCAGTATCTTCTCCTGGGTGTGATCATAGAGGGCTTTGGAAAGTAATGCACCAATGAAGGATTTTCCAGTGCCTAATATTCGTTCATGTTGTTAGTTTTGAAAGACAAGATTCGGGGCTTTGTATCTTGTTACCTGGAGGTCCTTGAATAAGGGTGACTCTTTGAGTCAATCCCACTAGCAAAGACTCAAGTTGCGAGGCATCCAATGTGACAGGCTGAGGAGTCTGGAGAATATTCTGGACATTTCGCCTGTATTCTTCTCTCAGCTCACCGATGATGTTCCAGGGAGCCAGAACCGACTCCCTCGCTGGCTGACCTTTCTCAAAGAGAAACAATTCCTCTTTGAGAGGAAAGTCTACTCTCTCCTGCAAGCATCTCAATATGGGCTCATATGCAAATGTGGGTGTGTCAACCACCAAAAATTCAACATCATCGTAAAGCTTAAGATAAAGAAGACACTTTTTCAGTGCCTCTTCGCCCGTGATGCGCAGCATCACTACGGGTGGGTCTGAAGTCAGTGCATCGACATCTCGTTCGATTATGGCAAAAGCCACAATCTCCTTGTCTCTGACCAAGCATCCAAATGCGCAATGTTTGACAAATTGCGGTGTGTTCTTCAAGAATGATTTTCGTTCGTCTTTCGTCAGGTCCTTGAGTTTTCCGAGACCATTTCTCGAAGTCACACCTAGGGTGCATGGTCGCATGTATTTCTCATCACTCGAGCTACAGCGGATGGAGGATAGAGAGAGGCCACGCATGCGGAAGGCGGATCGACGACCACTTTTAGATCCATTCGCGATTTGGAAATCATCTCGAAGGCTCGAAAGCATGTCTTCTCTCAAGAGACGAAATTGATTGTCAAGGTGGCCCGCGATACGTTGGCTGCCACACAACTGCGCGATCTCCTCGACGTCACGATAGAAGGGCTTCTCAATGCATCCCATTTCATCTGCGGTAGGTAGGATAGCTGTCAACCGAAAATCAACGAAGTCATTATCATGGCGGCCGCCTGCTGTGATGTCGGAGGTAGGTAAGGCAGTTGCGGAGGATTTCATCTCCAATAGGTATTTTATCTTGTGCCCTGAGTTCCTCAGGCGAACCAGTGGAGATAAGAAAAGATATTCTTGATCCACAATGGTCTGGGCATCTTTTCTGATATCCACCTTGAGTGACGCAGGCAAAGACAGCAGTTCCGTGGTCAACCAACATAGAGCATGAGTTGCGTTTTCATCCAGCTGTCGGTCGCAAAAGGCCTTGACAAACGAATTCCAGAGAGTGCGGGGCTCCAATATAATCAGGAGGAGGTCTTCGAGAATTTGACCGTTCCCAAGAAGCTTGACTGCTGGGTCGTTCAAGAACTGGATAAATTTTGCAGTAAATTCGTTGATGAAAACTGGTGTGATGTTGAACCTCAGCCCGTTTCGAAGGGCCTTCAGGGCGTTTGGACTTGCAGCGAGCCGCTCAACCACAGCGCAGTGGTTTTTGGTGTTCAAAATTGCTTGTATGAGTTTCTTGAAGTTGGAGAGATCTTGAACTTCCTGCTTCCCATGGAGTACAGCTCCAAGATATTTAGCCAGTCGCTCGAGTCGGATCTTTTCAGACATATTGAGATTCCTGGCCCTTGGAATGGATGCAGAGTTGAGTAAGAATCGTGCAGATGTTATGATAGGAAGAGGTCAAGTCGGATCTTATATAGATTGAGGGAAAGCGAGCAGCAGCACTCTACTCCTGCAATCTGCCTCACCCCCACACAGATTTGAAAGTGAGGCAAACAATGGGTATCAATAGTTGGTGCTAATATTCACCATTCACATGTGCTGCGCATTGTCTGTTGGTTTTGGTGAGGTAAAACACGACAAAGGTACCTGTGCCACCTGCGGCACCTGCGGCACCTGCGCCCCAGCGCTAAGTCAAGGCAAACACCAGCTTGAACCAACATGGCGAGTGACGTGTTTACATGATCCTAGTAGATTAGCTATGAGTACGAAGGGTCCGTAATAAATTGTATAGAAATACTTAAGGCTCAGTATACCCTTCTCATCTACCATTTTCCATAAACTCTTCTTCGTTTACCTCCTACTCTTCTTACTTGGCCGGTTCCCTATCTTCTCTATTTTAATAGTCAATATTTCTATCGTTCTCAACCTTAGTCTATCATGGACTCCCACGGCAAAAAACCTTATGGGTACCGCGCACCAGGAAAGGGAAGAGGGAGTCGAGCGCAGAAATCAGAAATACCCCTAACACCAGCTCCACCCCTTGGAGATATTCTTGCAACCATTGAGCATGATGATCTGAAAGAGACTGAAGATCAAGCCTTCGACTCGGCTCGAATCACAGAGACCGAGTACCTGACTTCCTACAACTGGCTTAGTGAAGGACATCGGATCATCATCCGGGTGAGAATGCGAGTGCATGATAAAACTCTACTGGATGGCTAACTTATATATTTCAATCAGGTGAACCTCCCATGTGGACACCTCTCTCCGAGCCTGTTCGACTTCGACAGGACTCTGGTCGATATTATCGGGACTTGAATGCCGCGCGACACCCCTCCTACCCACTTGAGCCGATGGTCCAGGCCATAATTTCCGACAAGCCAGACATTTCTCTGAGAAACATCGATATCATCGCATGCGGAGGTACTTTGGGTAATTTATTGCGCTTTGCCCGTCGCCATGCTCCATCTTTCCGCATGCTTGTTGAAGTAGTCGGCAACACAGTCTTCTTCGTCAGGAAAGCCAACTCGCCTACTGAGCTCATTCCTGGTGTCTTTGGATACGGGCATGCGTTTCCGGAAGCATACACCACATGGAGCCAGGGCGCTCGAGGATGGGAATCTCACCAGCGACTCATTAGTTACAAACTCGCCGGTATGAGATGCTTGGTGCGTTTCGAGGCTGATGGTTTTCTACCCAAGCTGATGCCTGAAGACCTGGGTTCTGGGAAAGAGAATACCGATCAGTCAGGCGATACAGTCGAAGACCTTATGTCGGTCATGCAAGGGGCGAATATCTCGGGTATGCAGCCAACCACCACCACGGATGTCGACTCAAAGGAGATTCAGATCCTGAAGAAAGGACGCTATATTCCACAATGTGGTATATTTGACCTGAAGACTCGGTCTATCAGAAAGATCAGTGTTGATACACTGAAAGAAGAGATTCCTCGCCTATGGATCAGGCAAATTCCGAATTTCATCATCGCGTACCACTCGCTGGGTACATTCAATGACATCCGGGTTCAAGATGTGCGTGAGGACTTGAAGAGGTGGGAGGAGGCCCAGCAACCAGACCTGATCAGGTTTGCCAACTTGCTGCAAATGATCGTAGCCTTTGCTCGAAGTTCGGCAAACGGTAAGATTGAGATTGAGTATCAGGAAGGTGAACAGGGTTTGAATTTAAGGGAGCAAGTGGGGATAGTCAATAATGTCTTGCCATCTGCTCTTATGAGCCTATGGGAAGATTAGAAGCTATGTCTGATGGATCCAAGTCCCCATTGTTGCGTAAAGCCGGGCAGGTGGCAGCCTAACATCTACTTATAGATGCTTCTTCCTCTACTTGAATACTCAGTACAGCTTACTCGAAGCCCTGGTGGTGACCTGGAGGACATCTATATAGATTTGGTAACCGAACATAAGATGTGTGGTCTCCAGGGCTGCTTAAACGGAGAATACATTGCTTTAACTCTTTTCGTGCTCATTTCACTTCTTAAATTGACTTCGGGATTTATTGCAGGGCTGTGGCCTCAGAGCTCCAAGTCGTAACCCAAATCTCGGGAAATATATATACAATCTTTTGGCTGATCAACGCTAAATCATCAACAAATAATAGGCAGGAAAGACCCCAACCAGTCATCATCAATGTTCTCATTGTACAAAAGTGCTCACTCATGTGGTAAACCTAAAAAACAAAAAGATGGTGACTGGCCATTATAGATAGATGGCAAAAAAAGAAACGACCAATGCAGGATTCGAACCTACGATCTCCCGCACCGGAAACGGATGCCTTACCACTAGGCCAATTGGCCGCCTAATTAAGAAACCGATCCTTTTGAGGCGCCGTGACGGGTAAGTGAAATAGAAAACGACACTAAAGCTCTCACGCAGAGGTACTTAACCTCGTAAAAGACTATGGCAAATACGGTCCAAACCCTTGAAGAAATTATGTGTTTCTGCTCTACCTCATAGACTAGGGACTCCAGGGCTCGGAATTCTTCCGATCTGAATACTCGTATCATCGTGGTCTAATGCTGTGCATGGGGAAGGCCGCATCCCTGACCAACATGCTTTGTATGGCCCACACAGAGAACAAAACAACCCCTTCACCAGGGCATAGTCGTATAACTCACGCCTATCCCAGATGAGTATCTCCTCGGAGCAAAAGCCGCAGGGCAATCAAATCGACCATATTGTCTCCAAAGCCCTGCAGGATGGAGCCACCCCTTGCGCAACAGGGAGGCATAAGATCGACGAGGCAATCGACCGAAATCAAGCATCGGAACATTCCCCTCGGAAGTGAAAAAGCAAAGTCACCCTGTCAGGGAGCTGCAGGAACCAACCACATTCCCTCGCAGGGATGTTTATATCGCCGCACGGGCAGTCGGGGGCGTGACCCGCCAATATCCCTTCATCCCAATTATGGGAGAATGTCACCAAGGCGATCTGGTATGAAGATAATAAAAGAAAAGGCATCTCCTAGCATTCCGGGCGATTTTGCTCTATCGCTTTGCATCCTGTTTTATTCAGTCCATCCACCTCTGTCGCTCGTCGACACTTTCTTTCGTTCAAGTATATCCACATTGAAGAGTCTACCCAGCTTACATCATGGTTAAGACTACTTATGCTCTGACGCTCTTTGCAGCTGTCAGCTTGGCTGCCCCCATCGCCAACCCGGATGGCAGTGGAAACCTGATCGGCGCTGGCGCTGACAGCGCGCTTACTGGAGCCGTTGAACAATTGACCGGCAAGCTCGATACTCGTGAGACCAAGAAGACCTCAAACGAGCACAAGAACCTTATCGAGGAAATTCCAATCATTGGAAGCATGCTTGGAAACGTAAGATGCTTATCAATCATATCGCCTTGATTCCGAACAAAGCTGACTCGCCATGGCGTGAATAGAAGCACAGCAGCAAGCGTGCGACATCCGATACAAGTGCGGAGCACAAGAACCTCATTGATGAGATCCCTATTGTTGGAGGTCTCTTGGGTAGCGTAAGTTTCATTCTCCACGGCTCACCAACCAGCGTACAGTCTACTAACCAGACACGATGAACAGAAGAAGGCTGGTCAGCGTCGTGGCTTGGGTGGTGGTGGCCTGAGTGATTTGCCAATCATCGGCGGTGCATTTGGCGAGGTGAGATTAGAAACCCAAGAAGCCCGGCATGTGTGGAGAAGTCTGAGTGCTGATAAAATATAGCATGAACACAGCGGAGGTAACAACGGCTTGCCCGGTACTACTCGTCGAAGCACCAACCAGAACTACCACCAGAACGACGGCCAGAACGATGGTCAGAATGACGACCAGAATGACGGTCAGAACGATGGTCAGAACGCTGGCCAGAATGATGATCAGAATGACGGCCAGAATGATCTCCAAAACTCCGGTCAAAATGAAGGACAGAACTCCAAGCGTGACTTGAGTAACTTGAACTCGCTGAGCAGCCTGCCCCTCGTCGGGGACTTATTCGGAAAGGTGCGCATCTCGAAACGGACAGGAGATATCCAACCATCAAGCTAACAGACAACAAGGACAAGGACCAGGGCAAGCCCTCACACCAGCAGACTGATGGCCCTGCCAAGAAGGTCATCACTCGTCAGGAGCCCGGCCACGCTAAGGGAATCTTCGGCATTCTGGAGTCAATTACCAGCGGTGGTGTAAGTAACAACCCATCCCATTAAGATGTCCAGATGCTGATTTCGTCACTAGCCCCAGGTCCAGCACCACCAGCGGTCTTTCACCCCCGATGAAACCACAGTCGAGGATGGAAATGGCAAGCCCATCGGGGGAGATAAGAAGGACACCAAGGGAAAGGATGGCAAGGACAGCAAGAAGCCTGACACCATTTTCTCCACGCTGATGGGCCCTGAGGGTCTCGGCTCCCTCAAAGGTAACTCCGATGGACATGGTATTGGGTTGCTCGGCGTAAGTGCTTGACCACACACCCTTCCCACATCAAAGCTAACCTCAGTAGTCGCGTAACACTGAGCAAATCGAGGCTCGCACCGCCCCCATCCAGGGCTCAACTCTGACTGATGTTCTGTTCTCTGGTGGTGCTCTTGGGAAGCTCAGCGACACACTTACTCCTGGTCAACCCAAGCACGAGCCCGGTCAGAGTGATTCCTACCACGTCGGTGACGGTACTGCCTCTGGTCCTCCTGACCCCGCCTCTGGCGCTGGACCCCACTCTGGCCCTGGATATGATGCTGAGAAGCAGCAAACTGGAGCCTCTAAGCAAGGCTCCAAGGGCTCGCAAGGTTCCTCTCCCCAGGGTTCCTCTTCTGAAGGCTCTAGCCCCCAATAAGTGAAGAAGCCCATAGATTAAGCAATGGTGTCATTTTTCTTGGTAAGAAAGATTGCTACGATACTATTGTGAAAGGTAGGATTGAAGGATTTTTCATGATGTTATTTGTTGAGTTGTGAATTATTGCTTTCAAATGGCGTTAGCTGCCACCCTGAAATTAGACCCGAAATTGCAATCAAGCTTGTGCATGCATAATCACAGACAATTTTGTAAACAGAATGCAAACCGCGGGAAAATTCGCTTTGTAGTAGGACAGATTGAACAGGCAGATGTAGCTGCTAATGTTGGATACACGCAATCAAAAGAAGAAAAAAGAAACAATCGTAAGTCGTAGAATCAGATAAAAGCTGGACGAAGGATCCAGCTCGGACCTCCCAGTAAAGGAGCGTCCTTGGGGTATCAGGTCGTTACGCGCAAAAGTCAAACCCAGACCAAACAGTCTGAGGGCAAAACGCTCCAAGGCCCGACTTAGTCGGAGTCGTACATGTCATAATCGTCCACTTCCACAGTGGTTCCCAATGCTTCTTTTCCTTCCCGAATCATCGCTTGCAGTTGTTTGTTCAAGCGTTGGATACTGGCATCTTCCTCCCGCTCCTTGCGGCGCATCTTGGCGGCCTGTTTCTGCATGTCTGCAGACATGGGAGAATCCTTTGACCGGGGAGAAGGCAACTCCTGACTCTTTGTCGGCGAGCGAGCTCCAGAGAAAGACAGCTTCTTGGCGTGCCGGGGCATGACGGCGGATCGACGACGGGGACTGGAAGCCTGGTAGGATCGACGGGACCGCAGTGATGGGCTCGGCAGATCGGTACCAACGAATGGATCTGATGGCTCGGGAGCAACTACAACCCAGGTCCGATCGACGTCATCATCGGGGTATTGTCCAGGCACGGGAGTCGAGAAGTAGGTGTTGGAGTAGGGCTCTTTTTCAGATGGGCTGGGTGATGACTGCCAGCTTGGTTCCTGAGGCACTGAGGCAGTGGGCATGTCATAGCCCTGGCCCCCGCCCGCATAAAATCCGCGGAATGCTCCCGTCCAGCATAGATCAAGCACTTTGCCGACAGCTTTAATCACAGACCGACCCCATCCTGTCGGGGTGGAGAGGCTTGGACCGTCCGCGCTGGGAGATACGATGCATGAGTCGCGACGGGTGCGTTTGCGACTTCCGCTGTCTGCTTGGGTTGAGTCGTCGTCGGAGTCGAAGGACGGTGGGAGGAACGATTCGCGGTATCGGTTGGGACGGTAGTCCAGCTCAGCGGAAGTGAAGTCGTTGCCGCTCATTGACCGAAGGCCCGAGATCATCGGAGTGAAATCGTCGAACTGAGACGATAGCTTTTCGGTATTCCGACGTGGTCGCTTGCGAGGGACTGAAAGAGAGTAAAGCGATTCGGCCGGGATCTGGAATAGTTGCGATGCATTTGAGAGGTCGAGCTTCGCCGGGGCTTTGAATATGGCGTGCATATTGGATGGAATGGAGATTAGAGAGAAAAAAATAAAAACAGAAAGCAGAAATCTCTCCCAAAAAGGGTTGAGGTGCAAGGAGCAGAAAAGAAAAGAGGAAAAAAGTAAAGAGGAAAAAGCGAGTGGCTGGCGCATAAGCGTGTATCTCTTTATTTCCCCCCTTGTGTTCTCCTCCCCTACATGAGCCTACATAGTAGATGGGGACATCTTTCAACCCTACAGTCTCTGACTAGTCCATTGAACTCCAGCAGATTCTAGTCCTTCGTCGCCATCTACCAGGACACACCATCCCTCGCCGCCCTGTCCCCCGTCACCTGCGATCACTGCCTCGAAGTGACTGTGAGCAAAATCCAACACGGCGTCGTCAAAGGTACCCGGCTGCAACCAGACTGCAGGAATTCCCACCGAGTGTGCTTCTTGCAGTACCTGAAGGGTCACAGCTGGTGGAGTCACAACTGACAGGGAAGTCTGCTTGGGCGATGGCAAAGCGGCCGGGGAGGGGACCGTATCGTAAGCACGCGAGGGCAGGGTGATCTGCGCTGCTCGGGGATTGAGTGGTGTCACCGGCAGTGAGTGTTGATGATACCAGGCGAGGACTGAGTAGATTTATTAGTTTAGTGCGGCGATGAGTGGGGGGAGCAGCTACTTTTGTATCCGAACTTGTGAGCGTCATTGCTGGCGCCCGCCACCGCGAAGCGGGGGGAGCTGAAGAAACGCTTGACGGCCGCCATTTCAATTGAGTAGGCTTTTTGAGTATAGTGTTTGGTGTAAATCAAAGCGTATGGCCAGGGCAGGATCAAAGATTAAAAGTGTCAGAGTAGGAAATATGCTGGAGAGATCTGAATAAGATCGCGAACCTCGGCACCGGCCGATGACGACTGACCTCCCCTTCTTTCGCAAATCTCCCCCCTCCGACATTCGGACATTCGGCAACGTCCTCGTTTCCACTTCTTCGCACGTATGCCGCCATTTCTCCCCCGCAAGCGAGCCTCTTCCGGGGACCCGCCCCCAGCCAAGCGCCAGGCTCGGGCCGATGCCCAAGCTCCAGCTCCAGCTCCAGCGCCGGCGCCTGCACCAGCCCCGTTCCACCTCTCGGATTCCAACTCGGACTCTGATTCGTCCCTGAGCGATGCGCCAAATGGTCTGCTCAGCAAAGAGAACACGACACAGCCGGAGGAATCTGAAGATGACGATGACATTGACTGGGAGGATGCAATCGACACCAAGACCACGAGCGCCACCACGCCAACAGCGCCAGCTCCTGAGCTACAAGATCTAGAGTTGACTTTAGATCAGAATGAAACACACGTCTTGGACTTGCTTGATGGCAAGAAGGGACCTAGCAAGATCGAACGCCAGATTCGGATCCAGACACACTGCATGCATGTCCAATGCTTGCTTTTCCACAACGCCATTCGGAACTCTTGGTGCAATGACGCTCAGGTTCATAATATCCTGAAAAACAAGCTGCCAGAAGGACTGAACAAAGAAGTTAAGAAATGGCGCATTGCTTCTGGCCTGGAGCTTCCGGAGCCCAAGCCCGAACCACCAAAGAGCAAGAAGAAGGGGAAAAAGGCACAGAAAAATAAGGATTGGAGCGCGGATTCTGAGAGACTGGAGCCAGGAACACCTGATATGAGCAGGGGAGATCCAATTCTCACATTGATGAAGGTGCTGGTTGCCTACTGGAGGAAACAGTTCCGTATCGCGGCGCCGGGGCTACGAAAGTCTGGCTATCGGCCCGTGTCTGCACTTGAAGCCACGATAACTGATTTCCGCGAGGAGCCGCACGATCCAGAAAAACATGGTGAGCGTATTGCTAACCTGAAGGAGTTTCGTGCAACTGCAGAAGCTATGGAAGGTTCGCGAGACGTTGGAGCGCAGCTGTTCACGGCGCTTGTGCGAGCCATTGGCATCGAGGCTAGGCTTGTTGCTAGTCTGCAGCCGCTTGGATTCGGATGGACCAAGGGAGAGACTTACACACCACCACCCGAAAAAGAATCGCATGAAAACAACCAAGAGATTGAACAGACATCTGACACATCTGAATCGGAGACTGACTTGGTTGAAGTAAAGTCATCAGTCAAGAAGCCCAATAAACAGTATGACAAGGACTTGCCGTTCCCGATCTATTGGGCAGAGGTCGCATCGCCTGTCACAAACGAGATAATATCTGTTGATCCACTTGTACTTTCCAATCCCGTGGCACCATTTGCAAATACCGACTTGCTCGCAAATTTTGAGCCACGAGGTGCTAAAGCAGATCGGGCCAAGCAAGTTATGTGCTATGTCGTGGCTCATTCGGCAGATGGCACTGCAAAGGAAGTCACCACGCGGTATCTTCGACGGCGAACTTGGCCCGGCAAGACCAAGGGATTCCGAATGCCACTAGAAAAGGTTCCCTTCGGTCGAAAAGGTCACTACATCACATTCGACTGGTTTGGCATGGTAATGTGTGGCTATCAACGAGCTCGAAAAAGCAAGACAGCCGTTGACAAGCTCGAGGAAAGTCGGGATCTACAACCCAATCAACCAGAGAAGAAGAAAACAACTCAAGAAAACGACACTCTACAAAGTCTCCGTACTTCCACCGAATTCGTGCTGGAGCGCTTCCTCCGCCGCGAAGAGGCCCTCCGCCCCGGGGCTGAACCCGTCCGTACATTCGTCGCAGGCAAAGGAGCTCGTGCCAAAGAAGAGCCCGTCTTTCGGCGCGAAGACGTGCTGAAATGCCTATCAGCCGAAAGCTGGCATAAAGAAGGTCGTCAGACCGTCACTGGAGCCAAACCACTTAAGCGTGTGCCTATCCGCGCGGTCACACTTATTCGTAAACGCGAGGTTGAGGAGCTGCAGCGCCAGACTGGCGAGAAACCGCTCCAGGGTCTTTATTCTCGTGACCAGACAGAATACATCATTCCACCGCCAATTCAAGATGGTCGAATTCCGAAAAACGAATATGGAAATATTGACTGCTTCGTGCCAAGTATGGTGCCCGCCGGTGCTACGCATGTTCCTTTACCTGGTAGTGTGCGGGTCTGCAAGAAACTCGGTATCGACTATGCTGAAGCTGTGACTGGATTTGAATTCGGATCTAAGATGGCGGTTCCTGTGATCCAGGGCGTGGTCATCGCCGCTGAAAATGAGGATTTGCTCCGAGATGCCTGGCGTGCCGATGCTGCCGAGAAGCGAAAGAGAGAAGAACTCAAAGCTGAGAAGAAGATTTTGCAGACTTGGCGGAAGTTCCTTTTTGGCTTGCGGATTATGGAGCGTGTGAGAGATGAATATGGTGGTCGGGATCCCATTGCTGATCGCGAGCGGGACTCGCATAATCCTTTTGCTGCGCAGAAGAAAAAGGCAGACGATGAGCCTGAGGATGATGAAGAACTGGATGATGCGGAACCTTACGACCCCATCGATCATGGAGGAGGATTCCTTTTGCCTGGTCATGATGATGTGGATGATGGGTTGATCATTGAGCATCAAGATGAACAAAGTCATACAGGCCCAACGAAGACTCGTTCCAGTGCCGAGGTGTCAGGTGCTGGACCCCCCGCCGACGAAGCACTTCCAATATCTATCAAGTCAGATTCTGATGGTGAGGCGGATACTGGCGATGACGAGGAAGACTCAGAGCCCGAGTATGCGCCTCGTCCAACGCGACGAAGTGCACGAGGCCAGTAATGCGAGTGGGCGTCTATGTTGGAAATTTGTAAACCGGCCCGCATATGTTAAAACTATGTAAAATCAAGATACGGAAACAAAGCAGCCCATTGTAACATAGGGAATGTATTCATTTTACCCAAACGGGCAGTTTGTAGATCATTCTCATTTATTTACACTCGAGATACTCCGTACCCCGAGTCAGGTTTTCAATATGGTCTCAGGACTTGAGCTTCTTCACTCCGTTCAACATCGCCTGTGCATATGTACCTCTGACCCCAGCCATCTCAGCAGTCACAATCCCATGAATGGTTGAGCCCCTTGGCGATGCAACGCTTTCTCTAAAATGAGCCGGATCCTCGCCTTGGCGGAACAGCTCGGCCATACCAAGCATGCTTTGGGCTGCCATTTCCAAAGCATCTGATCTTTTGATGCCCTCCATGACAGATCCGTCCAGAATCCCATCCAGTCCAACCGAAAGAATCGCCATTGAAGATCCAACCAGCATAGATCCCACGTCAAACAGATCTGCTTCGAGCATCTTTACGCCTCCAATCGTTTGGAAAATCCAGACAAGGATATCGAGCAATTGAGACGGGAGCTCCGGATTCTTCTCGATGATAGTCATGGACTTTCGAATGCGAGCTGCCATATTCGGCATCGCTCGAACAACGTATGGCTTAGTTGAGTCCTCAGAACCCTGGGAGATATACCCCTCGAGAGCTTGTGTGGTTTTACCCCCTAGAACACTGATCACGAACTTCCCAGCAAGTGCTTCACGCACCCCGGCCTCGCCCAAGATAGCCTCTGCCATATGGGGCTTAAAGCCCAACATAATGATGTCCGCCTCTTTCATGATTTGTTGGTTTTGATCATGGGCGACTGACACTCTGTGCTCATCACTCTGGAACTTGGCTTTGATTTGACTGGCAGACGATGCGCTTTTTGTGCTGACCAGGAAGCCAGAAATACGTGGTGATGAGTCATTTGCAGTCGCCTCCAGCAGTCCCTCGAGAATCGCGGTGCCCATGTTTCCTATTCCTTCTTAGCTTCTAAAGTTTGGCTGCGGTCATGACAGATTCATCAATTACCGCATCCGACAAAGGCAATCGTCTGGCCTGTGATTGACATATTGGCGAGGTAAATGGCAGCCTGTGTATGAAGTTTATTGAAAGTATTTGTTTGCCTTGTAGTGGTAGTGTGAGTCTTAGAATCGGGCTACCCGCGAAGGAATGACCTTCCCCATTTCGCAGTCTCCCCGCAATCGGATCCCCACACCGACCTCGGAGGCGTCGGGTCAAGTATATCAAACCTTCAATATCAAAATATCGGCAAAAAGCAGATTGAAAGAGTGAATGCAGAATCAAATTAGAGAGACAATTAATTTTCCGAGGTTTTCAACAATAGCAATCTATAGACAATCTGAAGGACCAAGAACAGCTGTCTATACCTTTACTTTCCACTTCCATTTCCAGTCCAGGATGGCCCAACGAGACAGTGAAACAGAAACCAGTCCGACGAGCAAAACGGCAGAGTAGAATCCAATGAGAACTTGGGGAGTTGTTGACTGTAGCAGCTGGCCTCCAATTGGTACAGTGAGCAACACTCCAAAAGATGCAACACTGTACACGGTGCCATAGAACCGACCGTAGTCTTTAGTATCGCAAAGCTGCCCTGCACAGACAGGAGCTAGAGACAGCCAACCGCCGGAGCCAAATCCAAAGATGGCAACAACAACATAGAGTGTAACCTCGTCATGGGATCCGTACGGTAACCAGACTCCAGCCAGAATTATCATCGTGATGATAACCAGGATCAAGAGGATGTTGAACCGTCCGACTTGATCTGCAGCAAAGCCGGGAAGAACTCTCCCAACAAGACTCATGCTATTCAACACGGTAAGAGAATAGAATTGTGCATTCGTGGGGAACCCGCTGTATCGAACGTATGATGGGAGAAGAGCGGCACAGCCAAAGATAATGAACTCAAAAGAGAATACCGCCACGGCGAGAAAGCAGAGCCGAGGAGACTTGAAAGCTGCAAAATCGATAGTTGCCCGGCTCTTGGTACTCGTAGGTAGGCGTCCTTTGACGAGAAAGATGCCTACTGCGTAGCAGCCGAGGGCATAAAAGCCATCACACGTATAGCCCACAACCAGCCATATTGTTGGAAGAGGTCCCGTAGCATCAATGGAATGATTGCACCGCCGGCTGATGAGCCGCCCATGCAGATTCCAGAGGCTAGAGCACGTCTTCGGTTAAACCAGTGACTGAGCACCGCTATAGAGACTGTAGTAATCACTGCAGAGGAGATGCCGCCCAGTACACCAAGGCAGAGCATGAAGTGCCAGTATTTCGAGCACTCTGCGAGCAGTATGTAGCAGAGAAAATTGCCAAGACAACCGCAGACCAACAGAACTCGTGGTCCATACCGATCAAATAGTGGTCCGAACTGAACACCAAGGAATAAGGTCAAGAAAACAAGCACTGCTGTGATCCAGCCCACGTCTCGATCTCCGTATTCTGCCAGCTGGTGTGTAACAATATAGTCTTGAACCGACCCAACTGAATGCAGGAAAAGAACGAAGGTTAGTCACAGTATGGCAACCGAAGACAGTTTGTGATGTTTCATACCTGCAGTCTGAAAACCAAAAGAGGGAAACATCATCAAGAATGACCCTGTCAGACATATCCATGCCTCCCGGCCGCCTTCGGGGAAGGTCAAGCTCACTTCAACATCGGGGTTCTCGGGAACAGCTTCAAGCTCGACAGTATCATCTGTCTCCCTAGCAGTAGTAATCCTAGAAGATCGGCGCATTTTGAGAGATCGAACTTCAGTGAAAGACTCATTGAGAAGAAAGTGAAAATTAAACCAAACCAGAAGCCTCGATGTCACGTGTATGAAAGATGCCATTCAACTCTGGAAGCTCAAGTATAGAAGTGGGTCCTGATGTACAAGGCGCCACCTTTGATTGGTTGGGATCTGCAAAGTGCGATGCAGCCAATCACGGGATGCGGCTACATGTGCGGCCCGTACCCACATGTCCGGCCAATTGCCTCGACGGTCCGTGTACGGTCCGTGTACTTCGTAGCTTAATATTGAAGTCATCTTCCTCTTGATATCATTTTTCTTTTCAGGCAAAGAGGACTGAAGCTATGGCGATGTGTAATCTTCGTTTTATGCGCACGTCGCCAAAAATCGATATTCAACTGAACCAAAACCTCCCGAGCGACGTGGATTACTACACAACGGGCAATGTCGTGGAAGGCACTGTTTTTATAACCGTGCCGCATGGCTTACCGCTGGGCGCCGTACAAATTCACCTCCAAGGTATCCTAAACTATTGTTTTGCCATTGTGCCGATGCTAATCCAGTCACAGGGATATCGAAAATCAAATTCCATCGAGCCCTACAGCATGGACGAGCCAATACCCAGCACACATTTTTATCTCTACGTCACCCCCAAGATGAGACGAAGATCCCAATGCCAGCTAGTATCACCGAAAAGAGCCACAGCTACCGTATCCCGTTCAGTTTTGTCCTGCCCAACAAATTGCCGCCCCGGTCCTGCAACCATTTCACAAAAAGCAAACACATCGAAAATTCTCACAGGAACCTTCCCGCCACACTGGGAGACCGTGGGTGTCAAGCACAGATCGATGAGTTCCTCACCGATAAAGCCTGTGTATCATATCGCATTCGAGTGAGAATCTCGAATCCCTTGGTTTCCAACTCCGTGTTGAGCAAGACAAAATGCATTCGAGTCATTCCGCACTCTCTCGAAGAGCCACCCATTGAAACCATGGGAAACAAGCTCTACTTGACGCATATAAGAAAAGCTTTGAGCGATGGGCCATTCTGCAGTAAATCTGGCTGGTTATCTGTAGAGGCTTTGCAACCTCGATCTATCCGTCTACCCAATCCTGAAACGACAATGCATGAGAACCTTGGCACCACGGCGACAATCAACCTAGAATTTGTGGGAATGCAAAGTCCGCCAAAGCTTCGGACCATTTCTAGCACTCTCAAAGTGCTCACAATATATGGCGCGACGCCTTGGGAAAACCACCCCAGTGTCATGTACTCACCATCTTTGGGCAATGGTAACCGACAAATATGCAGAGATGACCTGCCGTTGTCAAAAGCATGCATCAAAACTGTCAAATGGGAGAAGCAAAAGACCTTGTCACGCGATGATGAGAGACCCAGGGATGGATTCCATGAAGGCGATGCTTTGCTCCAACCCTCCAAGTGGAAATATTCAATTGTGGCTCCCATCACACTCCCCGATACACACAGTTTGGTCCCTACCTTTCATTCCTGCTTTGTTTCTCGGGTCTACTTGGTCGAAATCTGTCTCTCCTATTCTCAAATTGGTGCGCTACATGTTCCATCATATGTAACTCTAAAATTGCCTTTGCAGATAACAAAATAAGTTCAGTTTGTTTATAAAATCTCATCTATCCAACAGACCAAGTCGCTGGGGTCAAAGCTCATCTTTCTTGAATTTAGCGCGAGATCAAATCATTTAATTGCTGCAACTCCGATCTTATCACATCATCGGGCTCAATAGTGAGATGACCTTTGCTCGCTCACCCGAAATTTTGATCCTCTCCCACGCCTGGAAATGTAGAGATTTTCGGGACTATAGAGTTCTAGGCCAAGGTATAGTCCTTTGAACCTAACTTTATCCCTCTAGCCTTGGAAGCGATCAACACAAAACTCCCCAAATTATATGCCCATGTCAGGTCTTTCTGTTCGCAATCAATGCCTATCATTATGTGATGCTTGATAAATCAGCAATGGAGTGGAATTTTCAAAAAGGGGGAGAACTGTGTATTCTAAAAAAGCTCAAGATCTAGTTACTCCCTCCAGGTCTTTCTCCACCTGTTCGTTCTGAATTAATCTAAATCCTTCCACCTTACTTCACCGAGAACGAAAACTATGACTTCCATCGTGGCCCAAGACCTGCAAAATGGAGAGCACAGTAACCACAAGGCTTTTGATCCTGAGCAACAGAGAGAAAGGGCTTTAGTGGCTGAACTTCCCAAATCTCTCGGTGCAGGCGTAAGTGTCGCGCCTTTGAGCCCTGATCCCAAACCACTGATATTTTCTCTCAGTCTGCCTTGGCTTTAGGAGCCTTTGGAACAACCCTAACGACACTTTCCCTGAGTTTGATGGAATGGAGAGGAGTGACAACTGCAAATGTCTTCGTTGGAAACTTCTTCTTCATTGCGGCCTTTGGTTTGGTTGTGACCGCACAGTGGGAACTTTCTGTCGGCAATGGCTTTGCTTATACTGTTTTCAGCGCTTTTGGTGAGATTTAAATCGCCAAAAATCTGTTTGGGTTTATTAACATACAGCCTAGGTCTTTTCTACGCTGGATACGGCGCAATTCTTACACCTGCCTTTGGGGTTGCACAGGCATATGGCGGTGCTTCAACCACGGAATACAACAACGCAGTCGGGTTCTTTATGATATTATGGACTGTGTTTGTGTTCACTTTCTTGATCGCGTCTATTCCGAGCAACGTTGCCTATATCTTGGTCTTTTTGTTTGTGGATCTTGGTTTTCTTACAGTGGCGGCAAGCTATTTTGCCCTAGCTGATGGACACGCAGCTTCAGCCGTTGCTTTGAAAAAGTCAGGTGGTGTCTTCTGTTTCCTGGCAGGTTTGATTGGGTGGTACATTGTCTTCCATTTGTTGCTGAAGGATTCTCTTATCGATCTGCCACTGGGTGATACCTCGCGACTTTTTGGAAAGAAGAAGAGAAAGGAGTAGGTTTGGAAAGCAAGTTTGGAAGGATGGTCTCTATAGCGCGGGTGGACGAGCTCAGATGGTTTTCAGTGAATTTTGACATATCGATACTTAATAACTTGGCGTACGACGATATTCGATGGTGCAGGACTATTATAGGTCGCAAGTATGAAGCTGTGTATAGTAATGAAGAGTATAAAGATTATGAACGTGATATGTACATGGGTCCAGGTCCAATTCGTTATTCTCTGAGATCGTTTTTTGGAATTTTCTACCTTGGTAGCTTTCGTAAAGTCTACCATGAAATGGAGAAAGGAGGTTGTTGGTTTTGTCGTAAATGAGTGACAAAATGGGGTTCGGGGCCAGTAAATTGTCTTCACAATTCAGCCTTGAGATCGGGATGCCAAGAGGCAAAATCTTCCGTATTCGATGAAGCATCTCCATGCGGAGCGTATTCTTTCATCTTAGCGAGGAGTTCGCCCAGCTTATCATGGTCAAGCTCTGGGGCGCCGTCACCGCCGGCCTTCGCGAATTTGGCAAAGGGGCAGCCGGCAGCGAGGGATAGACCGACGGTAGCGAAGAAAAGAATTAATTGTGTTGGCTTCATGTTGGCGAGATTTGGGATGTGTTTGAATTTAGGGAGTAGTGAGAGACAAGAACTGCTGTGGACAAGGGCAATTCTTCAAAATTCGAATTCAGTAGGATTCCGTACTTGACTAAGTAGATCCAGGGACATGTCTACGTCTTCTGTATCACTTTCTATCAAATAGAAGGAAGAAGTGGCGTGACTTTTCACCCCTTTTGGAATCCAGAAGTCGCTCGATGATGTGACAAAACATCGAATGGTAACCATATGTTCATTGTCGTCTGTGGATCTTTGACTCGCGGGTAAGCAAAAGAGCGAGAGCGAGAGCGAGTTCGAATTGACGCACGAGAATCTGTAATCCTATTTTTGCTGTGTAAAGGAGAGACTCCTACTCGTCCATCTTCTCCAGGAACACAGTGCCAGCTCGTTTCCCCCACTTAGTGTTAATATGGGTGGTCAGTGCGCTCTGCTATAGAGTCACGCCTTCGTTGGCATCATTGACGATTGATCGTCTTCGAATCTATCTCACCGAGAGATCTTCCTAGCTCAAACACTCCTTTGAAATGCTTGTTTCTTTTCTCATGTAGATCAAAATTTATCGCTCGTAGGTGAACAATATCGTCGCTCATCTACACTTGGGGTGTAGATTTACATCGACGATCAAGACATTCGCAATACGCAGCCCCAATCCCACAATAGCCAAGAAATAATCTTTGGATATTCCCCGGTCCAGCATAGTTTCTAGTCCTGGGGTAGAATTTTGTGGGCTAGTGACCAGAGTCGCAGATGAAAGCGCTAGAGCACTCCATATCCCACCCTAGCGGTTAGCATGCTGTTAAAGGCGCTTGGGTGTCCACCGGTTTTGAGTTTCCAGCCCCACCCAGATGCATATAAGCATGTTATACTAGCAGAGTCCACCTCGATGATCTCGTATAAGTCCGAGGATAGACCGATGAAGTCACTGAGGCAAGCCACAGTAATCAGGTGGTCCCTATTTGCTCACGAGTCTGACGCAGATCGCGGAAAAAGGCACAGGACCAACAGTCATAGAACGAGCCGAATTAGGTTTGGTGCTATCAAAATCTGACATCCATGGATATAGAGACATGAGCATGAAATGTTGTATCGCTAGGGCCGAACATCCATATTTTCCTACGTTATTTGAAACTTACATAGAGAATGAATACCTATACCGCAATCACGTAGCTATTTAAATGAACCTAAGCTCCATTATACTACAGTACTCAGTATCAAAGGTCAAAAACTCTATATGAGTAGCATCGTCTAATGTGTTCACCCCACACCAGCTGGGGAATATCATCTTTCTAAAGTTCTCCACCCCTCGAACCAAGTTTTCAGGGTTTGATATGCACGTCTTTTGCTCTAGCTATCACGAGACTGAGAATCTCATCTAGGAACAACTTGCCGCATGTAGAAAATATGCTAAAGAGTAATCTCCTGGTCCCAAATCTTGGTGAGTTGTGATTGCACCAGCACTGTTCGCGATCATTTTGCATATCTCTTCCTTAACAGGTCAAAGGTGTTCCACTAGTCAAGCCTCGCAGCCCTAATACTAGACAATCGTTTGGTCAGCATCGAATGTACACACCATCGGCGATCCTGATTTCCTTCTCGCCCGAGAGAGACCTGTTCTCGCCCCGTAGCCCCAGAGAGAACTCAGGAGACTTGCTTGCTGACGTCCAATCAAAAGCCAATAGTTGGATATCTCAACCCACCAGTTTGATAACTAGAGGTATTGCACAATAAAGCTTTCTCTTGGGATCTCTTCCGTAGAACGAATACAGAGGAGATCTAATGCCTGTAGTTGACGATCGGAGGGCTATTCGTAGTGGCATTTGAGTTTCTTCATCGAGGCAGGGGCGAGCAAACAAGCCGAGATGGTCTGAAAGCTGCAAGATTTGATTCTGATGCAATAATGATTTCCAAATGCTCATACCTGCAGACATCAGATCTCGAATCTTTCAAAGTCGTATGTCGAGCTATTTAAGCACGAGAGTACGCACCTATTTCCCTGTGTATCCATTCTGAATATACTCTTAATTTGCTCTGGTATCTTCACCATGAAGCTTTCATTCACTTTCACTGCATTGGCAGCGGTGGCCTCAGCCTTCCCAGCCATTGATACTTCCAACGAGGCTGCATTTTTGAAAGCAGCCAAGCTTGCTGCGCGAACCGTCAAGATTCTGGAAGCCGAAGATGCCCAAGCCGCTAAAGCCGCTCAAAATGTGCGCCGCTCGTCGCTTCCACTTCCTCAGGATGCACTTGGTATCAGCCGAGCAGAAACCAACTGTGGGCCGACTATACCATGTCCCGCATTTGATGCCGAGGACCAATATGTGTCGATTGAGGGCGAGCATGCCTATGCAGCTCCTGCGGAAGACGAAATCCGCGGACCTTGCCCTGGTCTCAATGCTGCTGCCAACCACGGTTATTTGCCTCGCTCTGGAGTTGCTTCCATTGAGGAGACTGTGCGTGGCATGAACAAATGTGAGACAACCTTGAAATATCACCAAGCCTTCTGATCTCGGCTAATAAACTCAGTGTACAACATGGGAATTGACCTTGCCGCCGCTCTCGCGGCGTACGCAATCGTGATTGACGGCGACCTGCTTGGTGGAACTTGGTCCATCGGTGGTCCCCAGCAGTCCGACCCCCTTGTGCCTATTCTGGGCAATGGCCAAGGCCTCTCTTACTCTCACAACAGCTATGAGGGAGATAGCTCGATTGGACGCCTTGATGCATTTACCAACAATGGCGATGCTCATTCGCTTTCCATTGAGAAGTTCGAGGCTGTCTATGCCGTTGGCGGAAACGACACCTCTGAGAATGGCTTCGATCAGCGCTACACTATCGACAAATTCCGCGGTCGATTCGAGGAGGTTCAACAGCACTCCATTGACACAAACCCGTACTACTTCACTGGCGCATTCTCCACGGTAGTGGTTGTACCTGCAGCGTACAACTTCGTCATCAACTTCATGTCCAATCACTCCGAGGAGCATCCCTCTGGATATTTGGTAAGTGTTCCTATCTCCAACCAGATCTCACACCATCTAACACAAGACAGGATGGTTACAACTTCAAACAATTCTTCGGTGTGACCGGCTCCCCGGGCTCATTCAAGTGGCAAAGGGGACAGGAACGTATTCCTGAGAACTGGTACAAACGCCCCACGATCTCTCCATACAATCTGGCCGATGTGTTCGTGGATGTCGGCATCGGATACCTGGCGTACCCAAACACCCTGAAGATCGGTGGAAACACCGGAAAGGTCAACTCGTTCACTGGTGTCAATGTCGAGGATCTCACTGGTGGTGTGCTGAATGCCAAGAACCTGTTTGAAGGTGACAACTTCGCGTGCTTCGCATTCGTTCTTCTTCAACAGGGTATCCCCCATTTCCTCAAGGGGCCACTGGAAGATATCAACAACGCAACTTCATTCCTGGCACCATTCCTTGCTCCGCTTCTTGGCAAGCTCACCTGCCCTGAGCTTGGGAAGTTCGACCAGAGTCTGTTCAATTCTTTCCCTGGTCACAAATACAGCCCAACAGGACCAGCCACGAACTACTAAGTGTTTTTGATATATTCAAGGGACTGTCAAGCCAGCCAGTCTTGTCTGATCATCGTTGATACTGTTCAGCTTTGAAGAATCAGGAGTGAGGGGGCATTGGTGTGCCAGATATTTTACCAGACTATGTTCTGCTGTTAGCTTAGTATATAATCAGGGGGAATCCATGGATGCAAATGTGGAAACATTGGAAGCAACGTTGACTCAAGTTATTCGATACTTATATACTTACCAGAATATACGACTCGACTTCTTTCATCTCCCACTTCGAGACAAGTTGCTATTGCTCAGTGCTTCCTGCAAACGATATTGCAAACGGTCAAGGCCTGTGTCGTAACTCATAGTTACCAATAAATTAATATATTACCCGAAAAGTAGATACAAAATGCCCAGGGTCATATCTATATCCAACAAGAGCTCTGGGACTTAAATTTCGACTCGCTTCTTCATCACCTGAACCGCGGAGCAGCCGAGGGCGAATCACTGACATCCCACTCGGCGCTATCTCCCTCATCTAGAGCAAAGCCCTCGTCTTCGTACGAGGGACTGACATGGACAGCAGGAGAAGAGATTGGACTCAGAGCCACGCGAGGTCTGGATTTGAAGACACTAGCATACTCGGCATCTTCCTCGAAGAGTTGATCTTGCGGTGTCGATGCCCGAGAGATTTCTTTGACTGGGCGATCAGAGGTTTTTCGAGGTGTCACAAATTGATTGACTGGGAAAGAAGGCCGAGGTCCGCGGCGTTGGCGCGGTGGCTCGTGGTGCTGGGGTGGAAGAAGAGACATCGATCTTCGAGTGCGCTCAGCCAATGTTTTGGAGCTTTTGACGGGCTCTTGTCGTGGCTCATCGTCTGATGTTGACGCAGACGAGAGGTCTGGGGAGAGTCGGACAATTGGAGTAGATGACTGGAGTGTGTCAGATTCCGGCTCGTTTTCTGGCTCGGGATTGGGCTCGGGCTCGGGCTCTGGCTCCGGTTCTATTTGCAACGGCTCCGAGGGAGAACGCGAGCCCGGGGTAGGATTTTGAATTGCCGGTGGTGAGCTATCTTCCGCCACCATGGATGGCGAGTAAACACGGTCTGGCGAACGCCTGAGCGGGCGCTGAGTGACCGTTCTCGCCGCAGGCGTTGACCTTGTGGGGTTGCCACAGGATTTGCCATTGACACGAGCAAGCGTCTCATGGACAGATGAAAGTAGATATTTATCTGCGCCTTTCAACCCCCGCCCCCGATCTCCGGGCTGCCGCACAGTTTTAGCTATACTAGCAACTGTGAGGGTTTGGTGATCACGAAACGTCACACGAGGCTCTTTGGAATCGGCAGCAGTTCCATTCGGATTACCTTGGCCGGAAAATGATCTGTTATACTCATGCCACTTATGGAGCCGACTGCGCTGCAACAAGACCCGGGCTTCGAGATCAAAAACTAGGTCGTGCCCCAACCCTGTGTTGGTCTTGCCACTAGACAGGTCGCCTGCTCGTACTAGTGCCTCTCGAAAAGGAAGCTCCAAAAAAGCCTCGCTACTTGTCTCTGACCCGCCTTCCAATATTGCCGTAGCCCATTTCTGGCTTCCCAACCAATTCGTTCGAACCTCGTGGACTAGACGATGGGGATCACTGTGCGAAACACCAAGGTCAATTGGGGGTTTCCCAGCACGCTCGGCCAGGTCAATCTTCTTGTCATCCAGAAGCTGTGAGAACCGATCATAAACATCCCGGACGCGAGCGTGGCGCTCACCCGCAGAACTCAGGGATGTCTGATGGGCAAGAATGAGGGGTAAAAGGTTCTGGTAGTCTGTCGGTGTCATAGTAGTAGCATTCGAAAGCTTCATTGCAGGGTTGTATAGCCTTTCGTCCACAGAGACCGCCACAAGCTTACGGAGCACAGCAGTAGAGAACCCAGCAAGAAGCTCTTCGAACTTTTCGCCCTTGCAATCATCCAACATGGTTTTGCGGACGACAATTTCCCGTCCCAGGTCGCCATTCTTTTTCAATTCGCCTAGACATCGGAATAAAGCCGCACGGAGGTTAACGGATTGCAGGGGCTCTAATGGCGGGAAGAAGGGCCGTAGTTTCTGTGTGGAGGGTCAGCAGACTTCCAAAGCTGACAGTCGGGCACTCATACATTTTGGGCACCTTCTGGGTCCCAGAGGACGTAGAGCTGATACAGGGCCCATTCCACCCGGCGAATCCGTGGTCGTTGGTTTTGCGATGACGGGGATAATGCGCGCAGCGAGATACCAGGCCAACCTTCAAGCTGATCTAGCTGTAGAAGCTTCAAGTTCTTGCAAAAGATCTCTAGATGCGAGGGGCCTTGCCAATTCAGGGGTTTTGGCCGAACAGGCCCTGACGTAGCCATCCTGTGTCGAGGTGGACTTTAGTAAACGGACGGCGGAGAGTAAACATAGATAACGGAGGTTTGCACTGTTTGACTTCCTTATCAGTCCCGCAATCGTTCTCTTTCTTTTGTTTTTTCCCCTCTTCTCCTAGGTTCTTGTTGTCTCTCTCTCCCAGTCACTCATTTCCCTCCACTTCTGCAGTCATGGGCTCCGAAGAATCCTCGTGGACCCCCGAGTCCGGTAAGCCCCAAAGGCCCTCATCATCATGACCAAAACAGCTAATCAGCGCAGTACTTTCTACTCTCCCCCACCCCCCAGAGGAGAACTCGACGTCACCTGTTCCCTTCTTCCACTTGGTTGAGCGCCTCAAGACAACCAAGCGCGAAGGCTGGCGCCGTTTCGGAATCAATGGCGAATCCATCGCCGACCACATGTACCGCATGTCGATCATGACGATGATGGCTCCGCCTTCCCTGGCCTCCAAGATCAACATCCCACACTGCACAAAGATGGCGCTCATTCATGACATGGCTGAAGCTCTCGTCGGCGATATCACACCGGTCGACTTGCACATCACCAAGGCCGAGAAGGCTCGTCGCGAGGGTGCTGTCATGGACTACATCACTCAAACCCTTCTCGGCAAGGTCCCCGGGGGTACTCTGTCCGGCGCGGAGATCAAGAGCGTTTTCCAGGAATACGAGGACGACGAGACCCTGGAGGCTCACTTCGTTCACGACATTGACAAGATGGAGTTGCTCCTGCAGATGGTTGAGTACGAGCGCTCCAACGAGGTCGACCTTACCGAGTTCACCCACGTTGCAGCTCGTATTCGCCTGCCTGAGATTCAGGCCTGGGCTGCCGAGGTCATTGCCGAGCGACGCAAGCAAGCTTGAAATTGCATAGCCATGGAGTGAAACGGGTAAACACGGGGCACGGTCATGCCCTGGCTCATCGGTTGGGACCCATTTGCGTTTTCGGCGTTTGTTTCTGCATTCTTCATTTTGTTTCAACTTTTTCCACGGGTGGCCTAGATACCATAGAGAACGAGTTACGACAATACATGACTTCCATCATACAGTCATAGAACATTGTTTAATCAAGAGGTTCATTCTCCATCTCCCGCGCTAGCATCTCAGCCTCAGCCTTCATTTCTTCCTCCCCTCTAGGACGTCTTTGGTCATTATCCACAACGGGGAATCGGGACCTTCGTTTCTCGGATTCCGTCCCTGCAACAGACTCATTGCCAGCCTGGTCCGCATCCCGAGCCCCTGTATCTTTGAACGCCTTAGCTAGATCCCCTTCATCACCATCAAGTAGGTCGTAGACCGCATCCGTGCCGCCACGATGATCCAAATCAGCCGCCTTGCGCGGAATTATATGTGCGTGGACATGAGGCACGCTCTGTCCAGCATGTACGCCGTCTTGGACGGCGATATTCAAGCTAGAGGCCCCGTAGACGCGCTCGACCATTCGGCCGACTCGGCGCACGGTGAGAAACAAGTCGCTTGTTTCTGCTGGTGTCAAGTCCGTTACTCGGGGGACGACGCGGCGCGGCGAAACGAGGACATGGCCGGGGAGAATCGGCTTCAAGTTCACCAGAGCAAATGACAGGGGTGTTGTCAAAAAGACCTGTTTGTTTGCTTAGATTTGAGTTGAAATGAGGCCCAACGTTGGGATAGAGGTGAAGTAGGAAATACCTGAGGGGTGACGATGAATGAGCCGAAGTAAATCGGTGCTGAGGCACCTTTGAGAGCTGACATGAGGAATTTGGAGGATCTCAGGTGGGATTGTTTGGGAAGAAACTTGTTGATGATGTCGTCGAACTGATAAGCCCTTATCAGATCAGCGGATGTTTAACCTTGGAAGAGATCTCCGTACTTCTCCGTACCGGGCGTGAGGTTCCCTTTCACTAGATCGCCGGGCCAATTCACATGCGCAGGTTTATATTTCAAGCCGCAGCTACTACATCGAATTCTCTCATTCTGGGAAATGGGTATCATTGACATTGGCCATAAACAATATCCTGAGCTATATTACATAAAGTGTATCCAAGAAGTAATTGCAACATGTCCCTGAAGCCAGGGAGAAAGATTCGAAAGATAAAGCGCGGAAACAGTGCAGATTCATCATGTATTCGCATGGGGGCCAAGAATGCTGAGAGCTGACTCGGACTCAAGACTCCTTCTCGGGTTCGGGCTTGGTATCCGACGCAGCTGCAACTTCTGACACGGGTTCATTCTTCGTTTCAGGCTCATCAGGTGGCGCGGCCACTTGTTCAGTTTCAGTGGGAGCGTTCTCTGGCAGTTTCTCGGTCTCGCTGGTGTCTGGCTTCTCAGCTCCAGGCTCCTTGACCTCAGGCTGCTCTGTCTCAGGCTGCTCTGTCTCAGGCTGCTCTGTCTCAGGCTGCTCTGTCTCAGGCTGCTCTGTCTCAGGCTGCTCTGTGGATTCCGGCTCCTCAGGTGCCTCGGATGGTTCGGCTTGAACCTCCAATTGTGTCTGTTCTTCGGGCTGCTCCTCGGGCTTCTCCTCTGAGTCCACGATCGGTTCATCAGAAGGCTCTCCCTGTTCGGCGGCGGGTTCATCCACGGCAGATGCATTGTCGGTTGCAGCCGGGACCTCCAAAACAGAAATAGGACGCGGTCCCGGGGATTGCGCAAGAGCCTCACGCAAGGGAGAGGGGTCCTCGGGGCTGTCTTCCAAATCTTCTGCGCCTTCAGCAATGGTCGTGACCCGGGATCCAGTCGAAGGGCTATGCTTGTGACGACGAGTTGTTGCACCAGTGCCAAGGGCTGGATCAGCAAACGGGTCTTCGTCCTTACGCAGAATAGTCAGACGCTTGTTGTCGACAGCTTCCTCTTCGGCTGGCAAGACCGCATCAGGGCCCTCAGCCTCTGGTGGAATTGTGTAGTTGTCTTGCGGGATGAGGTTGTACATGTCGCAAACGGTTTTGAAAAACACATACAGACCATCATGTCCTTCCACTTCCCAGAAAACGTCGCGGTGCTGGAACCAGGCGTGTGCGAAAATGCGGTAAAGACGGCGGAAGATGTTGGTCAGATGTCTCATGCTGGCCTGGGGGCCCCCAGCGCCCTCGGAGCCCAAGGTGAGTCGACTGGGGAAGTATTTTGGCGAAGTCAGGGTATTCGTCGCCCAATCCAGAGTGTGACAGCAGTAGTCAATTGCACAGCAAGATTTGGGTGGATCGTGAACTGCGCAAAGATACTGCCACTCCGATGCTCGCATCTCGGGGCACGTTTGCGACGAGCAGGGCGGGCTTTCAGCGAAAAAGGCGATAATGAGGTTATTTACTTTCATGGTGAGAAAGCGACATAGCTCATAAAGCCAAAGCGATCGGTCAACTCCCTCGGGGGGCTCCGCTAGCTGTACCGCAACCTGGCGATTGATTGGGACCACCGTGTCAGATCCTTCGGGTTTCGTAAAATGATGGTATAGAGCTTTGAGGTGCTCCTGAAGCTGGAAAGGAGAGTCGAGCTGCATTTGTCAGTCATTTCCAGGCCCATGGAACGTATAGCGCAGCTCACCTGCGACAGGGGAATCAGCGGCGGACCAAAAGCCATGTCGGCTGCTCGAGTACCGGGCCGAATTCTGCGTGTCGAGCCATCATCCTCTCCACTTGCTGACCCCAAGAGCTCCAGATCAGTTCCAAAGGGTTCGCCGATTGATGGCGACTGAGGCCCAATCTGAACCTCAGTCAAAGGAGGAGGGCTAGGAAGCCGCGGGGAGCTGGACGGAGAGACTCCCGCAGCGGTCATGGTAGAATAACGAGGGCGCTAAATGGAACTGAAAGGTACCGAGGTAGATAATGAGTGTATGGTGCCTAGACGTCCAGAATAAATGAGAAAGAAAGGAAAGTGAGGGAGAGATGTCTAGTCCTGCAGCCAACACCATAATAACAAGCTAGACCGCCCGGGGTCGTTGGGCCCTAACTACGGATCTAGCAGCCACCGCCTTTTCTATAAGCGCCACGCTGCAGCTGCCAAGTGGTAGAGTTCAACTCATGAGGGAAGAGAATTCAGATGATGAACAGGTGTATATAGACAAGGGTATATTGTATGCAAGAATTGGCCTATGGATCAGTGATTTGCTTCGCTCTCCTTGCCACATCAGATGTCGTACCGGTAAGCTTCACACTTTTTGGCCTAGGCAATATTTAGGAGGGTAACCAAGTTAACTATCTCAACATGGCTCGCAAGCTAGACATAGTGCTTTTATCCAGATAAAATATCAAGTATCGCCCAAGTGAAGGAGTTGATATCGAATCGTAGCAGCACATAGTTCTGCCAGCAAAAAAAATCCCGTGCCTAACTTCTATTTTGGTAACGTCATTCTCCGCATCTACAAACCGCAGCCTTGGAGCTTTTGGTCCGCATATTCTGGACTTTTGTTTTGGATAACTGACTAGAACGGACTTTCTCAATCATGTCCACTAATTTGGAAGACGAGGACGCTCCTCCGGAGCTGATTGATGTGTCTGCCATGCCGGCAGAGCAGGTCGAAGAACCACCTGCAGCTCGAGTGCCTATCACGCTAGTCACTGGTATGGCCTGGCATATAGCATCTGCTTTAAACAAATAGGTCGAGGCTAACAGTGGAAAAAGGATATCTGGGCGCAGGAAAGACAACCCTGTTGAACTACATTTTGACAGAGAAACACGGCAAGAAAATTGCTGTGATCATGAATGGTTCGTGGGCTTGAACATGCTCAAAGCTTAAAAGAAAATCGACTAATTTACCGCAGAATTTGGTGATTGTGAGTTTGGAGGCCGAGCACCTGTGAACAGGATTCTAACGTTCATCCCTCCACCAAGCCACCGACATTGAAAAACCAATGACTGTGAATGAAGATGGCCAAGAAGTGACCGAATGGATGGAAGTCGGTAACGGCTGTATCTGCTGCTCTGTTAAGGACTCGGGCGTGATGGCCATTGAATCTTTGATGGAACGTCGTGGCACGTTTGACTACATCCTGCTGGAGACTACCGGACTAGCCGACCCAGGTAACATTGCCCCAATATTCTGGATGGATGAAGGGCTCGGAAGCTCCATTTATCTCGATGGAATTGTCACTCTCGTCGACGCAAAGAACATCACTCGTTTGCTGGATGAGCCGGCCCCCGAAGAGAAAGCCGAGTCACACGATCAGCACCACGATCACGGCAACGGTCCCGTATTGTCAATGGCGCATATGCAGATCTCACATGCGGATGTGGTTATCCTGAACAAGACCGATCTCGTGACTGAGCAGGAGTTGGAGGCTGTTCGGGACCGTGTCGCATCTATTAACAGTGTGGCTAAGATCCATGTTACGGATCACAGCCGCACGCCGCAGATTGAAGGTGTTGTGCTGGATTTGCATGCTTATGATCACTTGGCGGATCTGGATTTTAGTAAGAAAGGCCACAGCCATATGGATCCGGTGAGTGTAATCCTCCATTATATGCAGGGGGTCTTTGGGCCTAACTATTACTAGGCAATTTCTACGACCGCCATCGTTATACCTCCAATCCCAGCAGATAAAGTCAACTGCGTGGATGAATGGCTACGCTCTGTTCTGTGGGATACCAAATTTCCTGCTCCCGCAGTGTCAGTCTCAATTGAGCCACACCCAGATAATTTTGAGATTCACCGGCTGAAGGGTATTTTGATCCTCGATAATGGAACCAGCAGGATCATTCAGGCGGTGCGGGATGTCTTCGAAATTCGAGATGCGGAGCCAATAGATACAGAAGACGAGTCCAAACCACTTCAGTGCAAGATTGTACTGATTGGACGTGGACTCGGCTCATCAGTAGAGCCCTGGCGAGAAAGCTTTGAATCGTGCCTAAAGAAATGAGAAAACCGGCGATGCGTTACCATCACGTGATGTTTTAATGAACGGTCATGTGACTCGTATATCACATGACCCGATGATCTATACAAACTGCTTGAATCGGCTGTAGATGTCAACTAAAACAGAGATAGAAAAAGAAAAGAAGAAAAAGCAAAAAGGAAGCCCTGGGGTTCGACCCCAGAACTTCCTTTGGGGGAAAACCGTGACCCGGTAGGTGCGTTCCCCAGAATGGGGCTTTCCCAGGGAGGATATCCTCCCAGGGTGCTACTCATCCTGGGGTCCTAACCCCTAGACCACAGGAAAACCCCCAGACGAAATTCGCCTTTGTGCTCTACTTATGGGAACATTTGTAGTACTTGCCCTAACTCTTAATATGCATATATCCAGCCCCTTCCACCGCACTAGCATACAACGGCCATCACGACACAGGGCTATATATTCAATAAAGCAACAAAAAGAGACTTGTCATATGCATCTCGTTTCCTCCCCCTTCGTAAAGTCTATGGGTACTTAAGTATCTAACTTTCTAAAATTTGGACCCCGTTTCGTCTTTCCGAGTTTCAAGTTGAGAAGGTTGTTGATTGAAAAATATGAGCCTTCGTTTAGCTTTGATGCTAATACAGAGTGCGCAGACCCCCCAGGGCTGATGAGCAGATATGAAATCGTACATATAGCCGCCTATATACGACCTAAGATGGCGACCTAAGATCATAAGTGAATTATAGCCAAAGAAATTGCATTGTCACGTAGCGAAAAAGAAATAAAATAATACAGCCCTGTCAGACAAGAAGAGGTATGAAAAGATCCCATCAATATACATCGACTTCCGGGTGAGAACACCAGAACGCAGAACGAGGGCCTCCGCTGAGAAGCAAAAAAAAATAAATAGAGAGAAAAGCAAACGAAAAAAAAAGCAACAAAGGAAATGAAAACACAAAGCTACCAGAACAACCAAAAAAATCCAATTAAAATCCGCCAAAATGCAAACAAAAGAAAAAAACAAAAAGGGAAAAAAAGACTTTTTGGACTCCTGGGGTTTCGCCCGCCATCAGTGTAAATTCTTCCAAAAGCTGAATAACACGAGGCAAACGACGAGGCATAAACTGTACAAGCAGAGCAAATCAAAAGGGTATCGAGTGCTCGGCCCCGAATTTGGGGCTCATTCGGAGAAATGGGTCGTGGCGTCGTTGGTGGAGGCCAATTCGGCAAGATTGGTTTGTAACAATATTAGTGGTGCTGTGGTGGATCGGGGGAGGCTCCAGTGCCTGAATCTATGAGGCTGCCCGAGAGAAGTAGGTTGCGGGCCGGTGTCGAACTGGATGAGACACCTGGCTCGCAGGTGCCCGATGGGCAGCAGGTACTGCCGCGGTAGCCGGGCTGGGGGCCGGGTTTACGAAAGCAGGACTAATGGGCAAGCTTGAGCTGAGGAGGATTGATTGGTCGGAAGGTTGGGCCAATGTAGCCTCAGTGGCGGGTTTGTAGAGGGGTGCGTTCATGATCACTGCGGGATTTGAATCCGCTGATGCCGGGCTAATCGGCAAGCTGGAAGACAGGAGCGAAGATGAGTCTGGTGACTCTGCTGGTTCAAATCGCGTCATGGACTTCGATAGTGACTGGCTTGGGGCCTGTGCGGGGGTAAATGAGTTCATCGAAGCAGGACTGATTGGCAAGCTTGAATCGAGAAGTGTCGGTGAGCTTGTCGACGGGATGATTGATGACTGGCCCATAGAAGTTGCCACGGGCACTGCGTCTGCCAAGGAAGGACTGATCGGCAACTGCGAACTTAGCAACGAGATGGAGTCTGACGGCCTTGCTAAGATTGGCTCCGTATAAGCAGGCTTCGGGGCAAGTCGCTCTGCATGTTCTGTTCCAGAGGCTGAGTTTGTTGATGCAGGGCTGATGGGTAGCCTGGAGCTAAGTAGAGATGGCGCTGAGTCCGATGGTCTTGGGAATATATGCTTTGTGTTGATAGGTGGCGTGTATGGTTGATTGACGGCCTCTGCGATAGATTTAGAGTTCACAGTCGCAGGACTGATAGGCAGTCGAGAGTCGATCAGGGAAGATGTCGAGTCTGGCGATCTTAGAAGCGTAGGAGGAGCTCCGGTAGGCTTAACATAGGACCCATTCGCGACCTTTGAAATCGGTGTCGGGTTGATAGAAGCAAGGCTCACAGGCATTTTCGAATCGAGGGTTGATGCCTCAGGTTTCTGAGGACTAGTCCATGCTGGTTTGGTGTCGAGGGCATTGAGCTCACTGGTCTTCATATCAGACGATCTCACAGCCTGGGTAATTGGTGCAACATCCGAGTCCACTGAAGCAGGGCTTATCGGTAAACTTGAGCCTAGTAAAGACGAGGACTCCAAGTCAGACGCCAGGCTAGATACGGCGTCAATGGTCATCGCCTTGGATTGAGTTGGAACTGCATTGTTCGATCGCGCGTTGAGAGTAGTGCGACTCGAATCAACGACAGAGTTTTGTGTCGGATTGGGGGTAGAGATAGGGATTGAGGGCTGAACAGACGAGGTTGCGGTGTATGAGGTTGTGGTGGGCTTCACACCCGCCGATTTGAAACCTTGTTGCCCCCCGGACTGTCTTAGCATATTCGTAAACGGTGAAGCTGCCGGAAACTTGGTGCCAAGTCCAAGGGACGCGCCGGTGATGCCGGCCTTGGGACTCATGGAAGAACCTGAGCCAATCAGGGATCTTGCGGGTGAACTTCCGCTGAATGTAGACTTGGTGTCAGTCGATTTTGTAAAAGGTTTGTTCGAATCATCTCGCTCAGTTGGTGTAGAAGGTGGGATCGTTGTTGTAGGGGCGCTCTGGGAGCCTTGCGGAGTTTGAGGCGAGGAGAGGGCAGGGTTGATGGATAGACAAGACGATTTAAGAATATCGTCTTCTTTGGTGGCCTTTTGGTTAGACCATTTCGCGTCTTGTGGTTTCGGGGGAGTTTTGGGAGCAAGAGAGGCAGAAGTGACATTGTCTGCATGGGCAGGCAGGTTTTTGGGGCGTTGACCTGTCGATCCAGTCGACATGTCTCGAGTGATGGGCGGCTGCTGGCCCCTGATAGGAGTATTGGCATCAGACGGTTCATCTGACAGAGCCAGCGGATTTTTTGGTTGACCATGGACATTCTTTCTCGTGGTATCGTACGAATCTGGGGCGGCGACATTTCCCTGATTCTCAGAGGGTAGGTGGTACGAGGGTTCGTCGGGATAGCGGGAGTAGTCGAGGTATCCATCTTTGTTGGTCGCTTCATGATGATTCAAGGTGGAGGAGGAAGAGGGCTTGGATGAAAAGGCCGTGTCCCCATTTGCTTCTGCGAGCGTGACAGTTGATGGCTTTTCAAGACCACGTTTATCAAAGATAGGTTGCTGCAGGCCACGATATGCGCCATCCAAGAATTCATTCTTGGCGTAATAGTGGTCGTCTTGCGGCATCATGTCCCGGGGATCAGTCATCCCAAAGTTTGGCGGAGGGTGTTGGGACCAGTCGTAGTCATTTTGGGGTAAGTATCCAGGGTGATTAGGAACGATCTGCAGTGGTCGAGCTGCAGGGATGCACATTGTGTGGACACTCGAGGGGAACATGACAAGAAGTTCCTTTGCAGACAATCTGTGTCGTGGATTGGGACTTAAACAGATCTGTACTATACGCCGATAGTAGTCCGGGACCTTGGCATCTTCGCTGAGGTAAAGAGGTCGTGGTTGTCGTTCTGGCTCATCGTCCTCCATTGCGAGTGCCCACAACGTCATTCCCAGCTGGAAAAGATCTGTCTTGACGCCGATATACATGGAAATGCGTTGGTTGCTCTCGATTTTGGCGGCAATTTCTGGCGGCTCCCATCCCACAGGGCAGCCTCTCCGGTTGATATCGATGATCTTGGCATTGTCCGCCGCATCCACGACAATATTTGCAAGTGTGAAATCGCCCTGCACGTAACCAGATTCGTGGATCTCACAGAGTCCCTGGACGATCTGTTTCGCCCAGCGTTCGCGTCGCGCAAACTCCGTTCTTCCGTGGTTCTCGTACAGAATGTCGATCAAGGCACCCTGTTCGGCATAACTGATCAGTAGACCCTTCACAACACATCGTTCCTCGTCGATCACGATTCCCTCCGTTTGGATAACGCTTGGGATGCCGTTCAGGGCATGCAGAGCGTTGATTTCATAGAGGAATTCGTCCACTGTGTCCGGACCTGGAATTTCCTTCTTGATATAGTAACGGCCCCCGAAGTTCACCTTGTAAACAAAACCAGACAGATGTGACTCGAAGTGCAGCATGTGTTCGGGGACCATCGGAGCGCCTACCAAATGTCCAATGCTAGAAATTGGAGGGTAGGGAATGGTCTCGTTTACATCCTCGGTCACAAAGACGTGCAATTGACCATCACTGGTTTCAAGTTTCAAATTTGTGACACCATCGTAGAACCGAATTCCCAGCAAGGATTCCCGAATGGATTCGTAGATTCGGGCGCATTTGTCGCGTTGGTATCGGAGCCCCTTTAATTCATCCTCCAAGGACCCGGGGGGTGCATCGCGGTAATCGCAGGAAACAGTCACTCGTCGCCATCGATTTGGCGTCTCCGCATACGTCACGAAGAACTTTTCGCGTTCCGAGCGATCTCGGAAGTGCATGCTGAGATTCAAAATCCATCGTTGTTCCAGCTCCATCTCCAAATCGATTGGATCCTCCGCTTCCGATTCCCCTTTTGAGATGTCCATATCCATATCCATATCCATGTCCATGTCGTTTAACTCAGGGTCAGGGTCTGGATAGGGGTCTGGATAAGGATCCCAATCAGAAATCGCCATTCCATCGTTTTCACTCTCATCGACCGTGGTTGTGGGCGGGCCGAGCCACTGAATCTCGGGTGCGGATTGTCTGGGGTCGGTTGGCGGTGGAGACCGTGTCCGAGTTCGTTGTGCGCTCATCGGACGGCGGTCGGCGGATAGGGCACGACGATGATCTGGTTCCCGAGGCGCCAGTCGTTCCAGGTCGGAGCTTTGTCGTTTCTTGGGGATACCAACACCCACCTTTCGCGAGATTCGACGTGTTAGGTTGTCATGTTTGGCGCGTGAGTGTTCAGAAGTTTCATCTTGACTGTCGGATTCTCGGTCGTCGCGGCCCAGCAATTTCCGCCAACCCAATCGCTGCCACATGCTCTGCTTTTGCTTGTCAAGAGCCGAAGGCGTCTGGCTACAGTTGGCAACGGCGATGGCCATACGGCACGCTTGGTCGTGCAAAGAACGACTCCAACACGGCCCAGCCTCCGTCCATAAGTTTTTGAAACGGGGTCAGGGGAGAACGTCACGTTTGACACGCCAAATAACCACCAGTTCCAACAAGGTATTCTGTGTGTATCCCTCGGTCCCAATAAGAAAAAAAGACGAAATCGAATAGGACAAAAATGTGTAAGTCCAATGAGATTTGTCGCACAACGTCGGGTTGCAATGGGCGAGGCTGGGAACCCAGCAGGGCCAGGCGTGAAGAGAGGCGGTGCAAAAAGGAAAGGAAAAGCAGATGTCGGTCAAGATCGAGTTTATAACGTATTTTCTCTATTATTTGGGTTCCCTTTCCCCTAATGCAGCCGTGATAGCGGTGATGAGATGCTTCCGCTGCAAGGCTTCTCAAGAGGCAAAAATACCTTGCAGGAAATCAATCGCAGAAGCCTAGAGGACAGGATAAGAGACAATGTTTCCCAAGAAAATAAATGAAATAAAAAAAAAAGTGAAGATATGATTCATCGAGACGCGCACAGATCAAAATTCAATGCGTTGCGGCCTGACAACTCATGCCTGATTGGGGGCTCCATACACGCCCTGCTATTTTGGTGACCATAAGACGTCCAGTGATCAGTATCTTCTCCTTCTATGCATATGCGAATATGCTATATGCTATTTTGAGTAGAGTATACTGAGCTTTACTCATATGGAGAGTGGAGTAATCTTCTTTTTTGGCTTTAGTACAGAAAAGGCCTACTCTTGTCCTTCACAACTCCAGACCAATGCATCCCATGTGGAAGACGCCATGTACAAAAAAAAAATCCAAAGCTATACATAAAACAACAGGTATATACGAAAACAAATCATTCAGCCTCGGCACTACCCTTCTCCGGCTTGGCGAGTGCCTTCTGCCAGATCGTCCGTGCAGCCTCCTTGTCGAGACTGGGGAAGAGAATGTCAAACACCTCGGAGTACCAGTTCACTGGGTGGCCTTCGATGCCCTTCTTGATGTTCTGAGAAAGAGTTAGCAATGTTTAGTCGATAGTAGTTATTGGATGACTCACCTCGGGGAGCTCGAGCCAGTCAGACGTGTTGTCTGCAGGGAAGAGGATCTTGGTGGCACCGGCCCGACGAGCCGCCACAGTCTTCTCTCTCAATCCTCCAATCCGCAGAACCTTTCCGGTCACGGTAAGCTCACCAGTCATGGCAACGGTGGGCTCGAGGGAGTGGTTGAGAGCCAAAGACAGTAGCGCACTAGCCATAGTGATACCAGCAGAGGGTCCTAAATAGGAAATATTAGTTGCGGGTCTGTAAAGCGAGTAAAGTGAGAAATGAACATACCATCCTTGGGAACGGCGCCTTCAGGGCAGTGGAGGTGGACCTTGGCCTTTTCGAAGAATCGGTTCTCGGGGAATTGGCGGGCCATGACGGATTTGGCAAATGAGTATGAAATGTGGGTGGACTCCTTCATGACATTCTGCAGGTTTCCGGTGACCTCAAGACCCGGTCGAGAGTCATGACTCAGGGCGTTCTCCAGGATACATTCGACATACAAGGCAGCTCCACCCATACTGGTCCATGCAAGACCCATGGTGACACCAGGAGGGAACTGGTCGTACAAACGGTCGGCGGTGAAGACTGGAGGCCCGACGTAATCCTTCAGAGTTCCCTTACCGATGCTGAGATGCACGCTCTCAGGAACCTTCAGGGCCAGACGGGGAGTTTCAGTGGTTGACTTCTCTGGCTCAATGGGAACTTGAGCAGGGTCAGCGGGCTCGTGCTCCTTGGACTCTTCCTGTGCGGCCTTGCCCTCATCGGTCAGGGCCGCCTCTTCTGGCAACACCTCCTCGCCCAGGTCCTGAACAATGTTGAAAGCGGCCTTGCGGTAAACCTTCTCGATTTGTTTCTTCAAGTTACGAACACCGCTCTCGCGGCAGTACGACTTGATCAACTCCTCGATGGCATCCTTCTCAAGCTGCACATCGACATCCTTCAAGCCTGTCATCTCCCGGGCAGCGGGGGCCAAGTATCTCTCGGCGATCGCCATCTTCTCATCTGCTACATAGCCGGACAGCTCGATAAGCTCCATGCGGTCCAAGAGTGGCCGGGGGATGGTGTCAGTCACGTTGGCGGTGCAAACGAAGAGAACCTTAGACAGATCCACAGGGACATCCATGTAGTGGTCCAGGAAGGAGCCATTCTGCTCAGGGTCAAGAAGTTCAAGCAAGGCGGAAGAAGGATCACCCTGGTGTCCACGGCCAATCTTGTCTACCTCGTCAATCAAAATGAGAGGATTCTCGGTTTGACATTTCTTGAGAGCTTGGATGATACGTCCAGGCAAAGCACCAACGTAGGTACGTCGGTGACCCTTGATCTCTGCCACATCGGTCAGACCACCGACGGAGAAGCGGTAGTACTGCCGATTCAAGGCGCGAGCTACCGACTTTCCAATACTGGTCTTTCCAACACCGGGAGGCCCAACAAGGCAGAGAATCTTTCCTTCCACTGTTCCACGAAGTTTGCCAACAGCAATAAACTCGAGAATGCGATCCTTGACATCCTTCAGCCCGTAGTGATCTTCATCGAGAACACTCACGGCATTTTTGATGCCAAAGTTTTCCACACTCTTCTGGCCCCATGGAATTTGAGTCAGCCAGTCGAGATAGTTGCGAGTAACGTTAAACTCAGAGGCAGCAGGCTCAAGGTGGGCGAGCTTGTTGATCTCCTCGTCGAAGACCTTCTTGACAACCTCAGGCATAGCAAGCTTTTCAGCCTTCTCCTTGAACTTCTCAACTAGCTTATCCTTGCCGTCAGATTCGATACCAAGCTCCCTCTTGATGCCCTTCATTTGCTCCATGAGCCAGTATTCACGTTGACGCTTTTGGATCTTGGCCTCGACATCTTTGGTAATTTTGGATTGCAGTTGGGCGTTCATCAACTCCTTCTTGAGGACGACAAGGGCCTTGGGAAGACGCTCTTCAATGTTCATTGTCTCAAGAACTTCCTGCATTTCATGAAGCTCGCCGGCAGAGACCGCCGCGGCGAAATCAGCCAACTTAGCCGGCTCGTCGCTGAGGTTACCGGGGAACTGATCGGTGTAGAATGCAGAAATCTGATCACGGAAGAGTGGGTTCAGAGTTGCGATCTCCTTGCACACATTGACGATTTCGCTCGTCACTGCACGAATGATAGCATTCTTCTTATCGAACGGCTCCTCGATCAAGTTCTCGACGTTGACCAAACTGACGGGGTGCTTCTTCAGGAACGACGTGACTTCATGTTGTTCTTTAGAGGCAGGTTCGGGAACGGGTTCTTCGAAACTGGCGACGACATCGCCTCGCTTCTCCTGCGTCTTCTCTTCCGAGGTGGGTGGGGGAGGTGGAGTAGCGCCCTTGGCGTTCTCATTAGGCGGGAGGAGGGAGGAGATCTTGATGCGGCGGTGGGGGTAAAGAACTGCAGTCACTCCGCTAGCCTCTCCGCGAAGAGGGTAGGCGGCGGTGATTTGGGCAAAAACACCAGTATCGTAGACGTCGTCCAGGTTTTCGATTACATCGCCGTCGGCGTTGTCGTCTTTAAACAAGAAAGCTCCAACATACGGTTGTCCCCGCTTCATCATATCCTGGATCGCAACGGCGACATTCGGATCGCGGATGGTGATCGCTTTGTAGAACCCGGGGAAGAGCGGACGCTTGGCAATGGGGATTGCCATCACCTGGGGGTAGACATCGGGAACTGCGGGCTTTTGAAGAGCCTTGTCCCCAGAGCCCTTCTTGCCCTTCTTCCCGCCGTCATCATTTCCGCTGTTGCCGCCACTGTTTGCGCCGCTTGGCTTCGAGTCTGCGGGGCCATCGCTTGGTGGGATGGCTGGCGGAGTATTGTTCCCCTTTCCATCTGCCGCATTAGCTTCCTTCTTAGCCTCTTCTTCTACTCCGCGCGGTTCTTTGTCGGATGACCGGTCTTTTCTCCGCGTGGAAGCCTGATCTGCGGGAGGAACATTTTTGCCTGATTCGGCTACCTTCCTCCGGGATTCAGAAGCCCGCTCTGTATCCTTGTGGTCCTCTGTGGTCTGCGTCTCTTCCGCGTCTTCTGTCTCGTCTTTGGGGTCCTCTGGTGGGGGCTTCTCTCTCCGCCGAATGGAGCTTATAGAGAAGGCGTGGGAGGAAGACGGGATTGAGTTACCAAGCCGGGCTGAGCTTAGTGTCGAACGGAAGGTCGCATTGTATCTCGGAGATGCAAGGAACGGCCGTCGGAGGAGAGGTCGAGGCGTCTGGTGGAGCGCAGCTCTCCAGGGGAGTGTCTGGCCGCGGAGCATGCTCCTGGACTATAGGGCAGAAACCGGACAATGGAGGTGGGAGGTGAAAATAAAGGGTATAAAGAAGAACTGTGGCAGCCCGTGACACAGCTCCAGAAAGACAGCAATAAGTAATAGACACAAACGGGCAGAGTGGAAGCTGGAATTCCGTAGTCGGAGCACCCGTGGAGCTGCTTCGGTAAGCGTCTTTCATCATAATTCGGAAACCGGAGCCACATTTCCCCGAAAATCTTGAGGGACGCACTGGAAGCTTCTTTCGTCAGGAGAGTTAGTTCAAGTTCACATTGGTATAGGAAGGTCATTGGTGCTCCGAACTGGTGGCTTTTTGGGTTGGAATTGTCATTCTTTTATTTCTGTTCTCTTCAGAGGCATACCCCTTTCAATCCGGGCATCGGCAAACTGCTGTCCAACCGCTATTCGGCTATTACTATCCATGAATCCATCTACGGCATTCCCCAAGGCCGCGGCTGTCCCCGCGCGTCTGTTGCGAACACAACGACAATGTACTTCCAACAACGGCATTGCTTCATCGAACCAAACGAGAACTTATCATGCGGCCACCGCTTCTCCGGCTAGGCGCCTCCGTGAGGGCGCGTGCAAGCGGAAAGACTCGGTGGTGATGTCGGCTCGGGTAGGTCGTCACTATAAATTTCTTTATGCTGTGGCTTGCTAATCGGCTTTGCTTATGGACAGACCTTCCACACCACATCTTCCCTCTCCGCCGTTGCCGATCCCTACAAGGTCCTGGGTGTCGACAAGCAGGCCTCCGCCGGAGACATCAAGAAGGCCTATTACGGTCTGGCCAAGAAGTACCACCCCGATACCAATAAGGATGCCAAGGCGAAGGACAAGTTTGCAGAGGCCCAAACTGCCTACGAATTGTTGTCCGATAAAACGAAGCGAGAAAACTACGACAAGTATGGCTCAGCTGCCTTCGATCAAAATGGTGGTTTCGACCCAAGCGCTGGCGGAAATCCATTCTCTGGCGCTGGAGGATTCCACGGCTTTGGAGGTGGGTTTGGTGGAGGTGGCGGCTTCGGCGGAGGCTTCTCAGGCGACATCAACTTCGAGGATCTTTTCGGTGCCTTCACCGGAGGTGCGCGTCGTGGCCCCCGGGGTCGGCGCAATCCTTTCCAGGAACAGATCCTGGTTGGTGAAGATATCGAAGTGCAGACAAACATCTCCTTCATGGAAGCCGCCAAGGGTGCGACCCAAGAAATTGTCATCACTCCGTTGACCAAGTGCGGGACTTGTAAAGGTGACGGTCTGAAGTCTGGTGCCAAGCGGTCTCAATGTCGTCAGTGCAACGGCACCGGTACCCGTGTTCATCTCATGCAGGGTGGCTTCCAAGTCGCCGCCACATGTGACGCCTGTGGCGGTGCTGGTATGTCTGTCCCTCGTGGATCAGAGTGCAGCCCTTGCAACGGAAACGGTGTGACCAGGGAGCGCAAGACCATCAAGGTCGATATCCCTGGTGGTGTTGAGGACGGTATGCGCCTGCGGGTGACTGGAGAAGGTGACAACCCGCCCACCGGCGCAGCTGTTCCTCCTGGCTCCCGCACACAGCCCGGTGATCTATATGTCTCTATCCGAGTTGCCCCGGATCACCGCTTCAACCGTTCCGGATCCGACGTTCTTTACACAGCCACCATTCCTCTCACCACTGCCATCCTTGGTGGCGAGGTGACCATCCCAACTCTCGACAACGAGGTGAAGGTGAAGGTGGCTACAGGCACAGGTACCGGTGATAAAATTACTTTGTCCGGCATGGGTATGAAGAAGCTTGGCGGTCGCACCCGTGGTATCTCCAATGGCGATCTCAAGGTCGAATTTAAGGTTGCCATGCCTAAGTATCTCACCGGCAACCAGCGTACTATCCTGGAAGTTCTGGCAGACGAGATGAATGACAAGACTGCGAAGCGGACCATGAACTTTGGCAAGGATAGGTACGATTCCAATCTCTGAAACCCAATGAAACATTTACTGACCTATGAAGCAGTCCTGCCGGTGTCGATGAAGCCAACAAAAGCGAAGGGTTCTTGAAGTCGGTCTGGCATCGCCTTACAGAGAAGAACGGCGAATCTTCCCAGTCCACTCAAGACAAGGAGACCCCGTCTAAGGACTCTAAGGATGCCGACAGCCAATCTGGCAAGGACAGCTCCAAGAAGTCCTAGATCAAAATGTAAATCATGTATTTTATTTGTTTGTATTTACCTCACCCATGTCATAGCGTCGGCGATATTGGGGGCCTGTTCTGCCCAGGTCTAGGGGCAGGATACTGTATTATTAGTGATAAATGTCCAAGAAGCTCTCTACTTCCTCTGGTTGTATATTTGACCTTTTTTTTTCTCTCTTCTTCTCTGTTGGTTGTATTGAACACCGTCTTCGTGCTGTCTTAATTGGCAGATCTATAGTTGTAGTTCTGTTTTGGGAGTGGGCGCCTCGCAGGTCATCACGGATATCACATCCCACTTTCCCTCCTTCCAACCCTCCAGGCAACTCTGTTCTTTACGCGTGAAACTGTCTCTGTTCTTGGATTAGCTCTCATATTTACTTCAATTGTTCAGAAACCCACTATTAGACCGACGTCATTGGCCATCAGGCGCCGACCTTCCGCCTCCCTTTACCCCACACACAGCCCTGGACTCCGGCTCCCTCAGCATATCGAGCTCTCAACCCCTGTCTCGCCTGTTTCAGTCCACCGTTTTTGCATGGGAGCATCTAGCTCCTGACAGTCAACATGGTTCAGTCACCTATGTTGTCGTGTCCGCTGAAGCAGACAAACGAAATCGATTGGGTCCAGCCCCTCAAGGATTACATCCGACAGACCTATGGCGAAGACCCCGAACGGTACAGCCAGGAATGCGTCACCCTCAACCGACTGCGCCAGGATATGAGAGGCGCGGGGAAGGACAGCGCTACCGGTCGCGACTTGCTCTATCGGTACTATGGTCAACTGGAGCTACTGGATCTCAGGTTCCCGGTTGACGAGAACCACATCAAGATCTCCTTTACGTGGTAGGTACTTCGCGTGCTATGCGATTTGGTTCGCGCTAATCAATACTTGAATTTCCAGGTACGACGCATTCACTCAGAAGCCTACCTCTCAATATTCGCTAGCCTACGAAAAGGCATCTATCATCTTCAACATATCCGCCGTCCTGTCTTGCCATGCCGCTAACCAGAACTGGGCGGACGACACAGGCGTCAAGACAGCCTATCACTCTTTCCAGGCATCTGCTGGGATGTTTACCTATATCAACGAGAACTTCCTGCACGCGCCGTCAACCGATCTGAACCGGGATACTGTCAAAACACTGATCCATGTGACGCTCGCCCAAGCCCAAGAAGTATTCTTCGAAAAGCAGGTCGCAGATCATAAGAAAGCCGGGTTTGTGGCCAAATTGGCTGCGCAGTCAGCATATCTCTACTCCCAGGGAGCTGAAACTATGCAAGATTTCGTTGGCAAGAATGTGTTCGACAAGGTCTGGACAGTTGTTGTGCAGGCCAAGGCAGCGCATATGGCCTCAGTAGCCTCTTATTATCAGGCCATTGCAGACAGCGAAACCGGGTCTCATGGTATTGCGATTGCGCGTCTACAAATGGCCGATAAGCAGGCCGTCACTGCTCTGAGCTGGGCAAAAACCTTCCCAACGACGGCTCCAGCGACCTCTAACATGACCGCAGAATCGGGTACTGACCTGCTGGATCTCATCAAGCACAATCACACAAATGTGCAAGCCCAACTTGCTACAATGATTAAGGATAATGATTTCATCTACCATCAGCCGGTTCCGAACGAAGCTGGCCTTGCGGCGGTTGCCAAACTGCCTGCGGCGAAAGCAATCCCAGTAAGCGAGCTGTATCAAGGGCAGGACATCCAACGAATCATTGGACCAGACATTTTCCAGAAATTGGTGCCTATGTCTGTCACTGAAACTGCCAGTCTGTACGACGAGGAGAAGGCTAAGTTAATTCGCGCTGAAACCGAAAAGGTGGAGACTGCCAATGGTGAGATGGCCGCTAGCCTGGACTATCTTAAGCTACCAGGCAGTCTCAATATCTTGAAGGGCGGAATGAACCAAGAGATGTCAGTCGATGAAGAGTTCCGTCGCTGGTGCTCGGAACTCGCTGGCCATAAGCCGTTCCACGGAGCCTTTGATGAGCTGCAGGATCGCAAGGCACAAGTGCTATCTCAGCTGGATCAATGCTCTAAGCAGCTTGATATGGAGGAAAGTGTGTGCGAGAAGATGAGATCAAAGTACGGCGCAGATTGGAGTCAACAGCCCAGTTCTAGGCTGAACACCACCCTCCGAGGGGATGTGCGTTCCTATCGAGATACTGTGAATGAGGCCAGTGCAAGTGATTCTCAGCTTTCATCTACCCTCCGGCAATATGAAAGCGACTTTGACGAAATGCGATCTGCTGGGGAAACAGACGAGGCCGATGTACTCTTCCAACGAGCCTTGATCAAGGCCGGTTCAAAACAGAGCAAAAGCAGGAATGGTGTTACCAGTCCTGCAGAAGGGAGCCTCTTGGATGATGTGTATGATGAAGGTGGTGCCTCTGTAGCAGAACAGATCGCTAAGGTGGAGGAGATCTTGAAAAAGCTGAATCTTGTCAAGCGAGAGAGATCTCAAGTCCTGAAAGACCTTAAGGACAAGGTGAGTATTTCGTCGGTTTCCCTGTCACAGTCATCTAATTCTTTTGGAACCAGGTCCACAACGATGATATCTCAAATGTCTTGATCTTAAACAAAAAGTCTATCACTGGCCAGGAAACACAGCTCTTTGACGCCGAGCTGGAGAAGTTCCGGCCCCATCAGAACAGACTTTTGCAGGCAGTCCATAAACAGCAGTCTTTGATGAAAGAGCTCACCAAGATTTATGGTGATCTTTTGCAAGATAAGAGAGTTCAATCTGAGCAATCGAAGTACGAATCGATCACGCGCCAACGCAACTCCGTGATGGCTCGTTACAAGAAGGTCTACGAAGCGTTTAACGGTCTCTCGTCCGGCATTACTCAAGCGCGAACCTTCTACAGGGACATGAGCGAGAATGTCGACAGTCTTCGCAAGAACGTCGAGACTTTCATCAACAACCGCCGGTCAGAGGGTGCCCAGCTGCTGAGCCAAATTGAACGCGACAAGGCCAGCGGTGTTTCGGAGCAAGACGATCGCGAGAGGGAGAAGCTGCGCCAGCTAATGGAGCGCCTCTCCACGGATCCCAAAAATTCATCAACCTCACCCTCCACGGCATCGGGGGTTGCACCTTCAAAGGTGAAGTCGCCACCTCCACCGGTTCACGCGCCAGCATATGGAACCACGGGACCATCCCCGAAGATGTCACCCCGCTACCCACCTACCATGTCAGCCCACGGCGGTCCCATCGCTTCGCACTCCCCCGCGCCCTACGGGCAGTACATGGGTGCCCCTTACCCGCCAGCGCAGCACTTCCAACAAGGTGCTGCAGCTCCGCTCTCTGAGGGCTACAACCCCATGGCCTATCCATATCAAACCCCCGTCTCTCCACCCCCAAACCAACAATACTTCTCCCAAACCCCAAACCCGTACGGCGGCTACTCCAATTCCAGTACGCCAGCCCCCGGTGCAGCACCCCCATCGCACTACATGGCCCCTCAGGGCTACATCCCACCCCCACCACCTCCCCGGCCACAGCAGACCAGCTACCCGCCTTCTAGTGGAGGCATGTATCCCTCTGGACCCGGCGGCTACGCACAGGCCAGACCTTACGGCCATCACAAGGCACCCTCGCAGTCCCAGTCTCAGCCTCAACCAAACCCTAACGATCCCTGGGCGGGACTCAACGCCTGGAAATAAGGCGAAGCTACATGATGGATCTGATGTCGCAGGAAAAGGACGGGAAGGGTCGAATGGACGGAATGAGGCATATTTTTGGCGTTCACTGACTTTGCACCTTGGTCTGAGGTGGTTCTCAATTGATTTTTCTGTTCATCGCTGATCTGGACTGTCTTGTTTGGGGTACATCCATGGATTGCCCTAGGTTTGTGTAGTTCGGGTTGATTGTTTGTCTTTTTCTTCCCTTGGGAGAAGCTTAGTTTTTATGTGAATGAACAATGAAATATATACTTTTAGGTAGCAAGTACCATCATGCGTTCTTATGGATTCCCATGGTTACAGTATCCATAGATGTCTGTACGAAATAAGTTCAACTTTACTCAAGTAGACCACTGTAAGCATCAAATGTTATTTTTCATGAAACTCCAACTTTAGAATGGATCTTTTATGACAAAAAGAGTCCTAGCTCTCCTTCACACAGTCAAAATTTCCAGGCGACTACTTAAGTACGTTCATGGCTATATGAATGGTGCGACACGGCGTCAACATGCAGTCAATTTCCTTGCAATCTTCAATCGCATTGGCCGTCTTATGACGTTTATGTTTGAAGGCGACCCAACTTTTGACAAGAGATGCGCTGTTGCTTATAAGGTAGTTGCCAGTTGTTTCAAAATGCCCTCCAGGGCTGTTGTTGAGGACGTGCATCTATAGATGATGGTATCACTTGATGTATCTTGATATTATTCTACTCATCGTTGTAGCTACCCCGACCTGAATGCAATACTTAAGTATGCTGGCTTGGAATTGAGACTTCAAGACATTCACGAGCAACACACCAACCTTGGAAGAGCAGTGGATCTATAACATGAAGTAGATCATTTTATGGATGAACTCAAGGTTTAGAATTCCCAGTGCGATAAGTCTGCATCTATAGATATGCATATAAAAGTTTCTCTATAGATCCTTGGCCAGTAAGTTTTTCTACTTTGCAACCTTGGAATGTTGGGATTTTGCATCAAAGTAATCAATTATTCTTGATTTCTCGATACTTCTATACCTCCTTACCTACTTAAGTAGTAGGTGCATGAAAACAATGAATCATTTACAATAAATGTACACTTACCATGACCTCAAGAGTAAGCCAAAGCAAAGCTCTATACTGAACCACAAAAATATAACCCAAACGCCCAACTCGAGACTATAGTATCTCGACCATTATACCACAAGCAGGCTGTACATACTGCCAGTAAAACCAAAGCCAAAGCCAAAACCCTAAACCAGCAAAAAACGCAAATGGGTATCTTAACATCAAAAGACGAAAATCGACCACAACTCAACAACCCCCAAGCCACACAACATACACAGCACGCACACCAAAGGCCCCGAAGCAAATTCCCAAAGCAGAAATTAGCCTTAAGGCTGAAAGCGCAGTCTGAATTGCCTCCCGCGCCGTTCCTCCCGCACAGTATACAAGAAGCGGGCGATAGTCTCCTGCTCGGAGAGACCAGCGCTATTGAAATGTCTGCGAACAACTAGTGCGAATTGATCTTTACTCACGCGGTCCTGGCCGCGACGAAGCGAGTCCGATCTTGAGGACTGGGCGCGGCGAGCAGCGAGAGAAGTTGGGGAGCGGAGGCCGACGCCTTGAGATAGCACTATGCGCGAGTAATCGCTTGCGAAAGCGGAGGGGGTCGGGAGCTTGTGGAGGTGGCGGTATGAATGGAGGATTTCGAGAGGGAGGTCTGTCCAGGGGAGCTGGGGGGTGTTAGAACTTGGAATTGAAACATTGGTTTGAGAGATTGAGAAGTGGAATTGGGAATGAGATCTCTTGGGGTCTCGTACTCTTGGTTCGTCTTGTTCGACTGGAGCGCTGGTGATGGACTTGTCTTTGGCTGGTCTGCGGGATTTGGGCTTGGGGTATTCTCTTGTGCCGCTGGAGGCTTCGGATCTTGAGTCATCTTGTATTGCTGCGGTGCGCTGGCGCGGGGGTGCCATTGTGAATCTTTTTTTTTTTTTTGACGGAGGCCGGGTTGGTGGTGAGATGAGTGGGAATTGATCAATATAGGGAATAGGGGGACTCGATATAGGGTCATATAGGGGTTGCTGAGCAGAGTGTGTCTCTGGATAGCGCCAGTCGTTTGGACTTGACACTTGAGATTTTGGCAGAAACGTCATTTCCGCTTCCAGATCGGTCCAGATCAGTGCCTCAGGCGGATTTACATTTACATCATTTTGTCGCATTGCCCAGGTGCTTTGCAAGGGAAACTCCAGTCTTTTGTTTCAGCACAGTATCACTCAGGGCTCCTGCATCTGCACTGTACCTGGACATGTACGAGTTGTACTCCGTGCTCTGCAGTACGGCAATAGTAGTATGGAGTATGGAGCACCGAGTACAAATAGGAGAAACAGTACTCCATATTCGTACTCCGTACTCTTACTCCATGTTCAGTCCACAGTGGGAAAAAGGAAAGCCTTTACTCCGTACTGTATGGAGTTGTGCTATTCGGACTACACCCCACCAACATAGCCGGACATGACCTCCGGCCTCACCGCTACATGCGGAGTAGGAGAATTCCGGCAAAACGTTTCCCTGGGAAATATCAGCAAGTGAACCGAGCAAAATTAGGTAGAGACAAGCCTTTGGGCGAGTCTAGGATATCTACCTGCATTGGTACGAGTCCGGCATCCGGATCACCCCAGACTCTCAGCCTCGGAGGATTCTCGGCTGAAAATTATCCCCCAATGGCAATACCGCGGTTACATTGGTATTGGGGATGGTCCGCCCCCGGGGGCAATTTACCAAATGAATTACCGAGTGATTACCGCGTGAAAGGGAACCCGAAAGTCGGCACGGGGATGCCGAGTGTTTTCGCCGAGTCACGCCAAACCGAAGGGACGTGGCGCAAGAAAAAAAAAATGGTGGGAAAAAAAAAAAGCGGAAGATGGCCGTTCACCGACGGCCCCTTTTTGAATCCCATCTAAGTGTTTGCTCCGTTAGAAGAAAAATCAAAAGTCTTCTTCCTTGATCTTGGATGGATCTAAAGTAGTCTCTAACCGTAGTGTCCGACTAGTGGAGTATCAAAGCCGGAGAACATGCAATTGTATAGAAAGTACGAGTACGGAGTATACATACTCGTACAATGCACGTTGAAAAGCTGCAAGGCATCAAGCTCCCGTGATCAGGCATACCTTCCTCGAGAAACAAAAGCTTTTAAAAAAAGATTGGGAAAAAAAAAGCCCCCTGATCATCGTGGAGACTCGATAACCCGATGGCACTAAGCCCCGCATAGAGAACTTCTCACTGTTCCGACTTCACCCGACCACTAGCCCTACCTTGCACGTTCCAGTGGTACCTGCAGATTGGAAACCAAGCTATGTCATGGTCTGATATGCTTATACTAAATAGATTAATCTATGAAAGTTCATTGTCCGAGGTGATTTATACATTTCCCACTGCCACATGATACTCGCATATGAACATGTGGAATGTGTGTCAACATGTGAAACTGGAAGACACGGGGTCTCCGGAGCTACCGATTAACCCATATGGCGAGTACGAGTAGAAGCAACACGTGTTAAGCAGTCTCGGGAGGAGGCCATCCCGCGCCCAGCAGAGTGGGGAGAGAACTCCGGACTTCCGCCTAACAGTTCTGCCCTGGGGACCCTGCACAAGACTGAGATCCCTGATCCTGATTGCACGGTGCACATAGGTCATATTCACATCTGGACTTATAGAGCTACGAGCACTTAATACAAGTAGAGAAGATTCGTTATGTTCTAGACTCTCCCACCCTGGTCGGATTAGCTGATCGACTGCATATGATAAAAATGTGACAAGTGGATCCCTTTGATCTACAGCAGTCCTCCTAGGGGCAATGTGTTCCGGAGTCCCAGTGAGAATGGTGGGTATGGACTACGAGTACCTTTGGAGTCGAGTATGGGGTAACAGAAATAGTAAATCGCTCAAAGTGGAGTGCAAGAGAGAAAAAAAATTCCTCAAAACAAGCTCGCTTCACCGGGAGTGTATACAGAGAACTGGACACGGTAGACTTGTCAGCGCTCCTATCTCCAGATCACATGTGTGGCTTTTGCGAGATAACCTGCCTACTGATGTGCGTAAAGAGCAATGTGAGATATGGAAAAGCACACAGAATCCCACCAATAGCCGGCGGATCGCGGACTCCGGCATGACGGCCCCGCATGGGATGATATCAGTGTGAGAAGACTGGTGAGTGTCATTGGATGAGGGGATATCTGTTCCAGAAGCTGTGGATCGCGGATCTCTCGCCTTGGCGTTTGGGGTAGACGTGGCGGTAGGCAAAGTGAGTGCACACAAGGAACCCTGGAGATCCGAATCGGGACAATCTCTTATATAATCTCTTAGGTAAGGCAGCAAAGAATAAAATAAAAAAAGAAAGCCTAGAGCTGATTCTTACGTTTCTGAGATATCAATCTCGTACGTACTACGTAGGTGTAGGTGTAGACCGTATCAGTAGGCTCCAGCGGTGTCTCCCAACACAGAAGCCAACGCAGAACTCTGTGTCCTCCGTACAGAGTAACTGGACCCGAAGTGGGAATGTTACAAACGCAAACTCCCTTTGAACCCTACCCCGGATTCTCTCACTGCAACTATACCCCGTCCAGGTCCCTCACGCCCCGGGTTCAATGTCACCCCAATCCTCGTACAGTGTACACGGAGTACAGAAGTAGGTTGCAAAGGCCCTGGCTTTCCGACCCTCCAGACTTCTTTGACGCATTGCGAATCCAGCCCTGAGCAGCAGGGTTTGAAACCGAGGCGGCCAATCCCTTTGAGCACGTCACCAGTGGCACAGGTCATCCAAGGGGGGGTTGCCCAGACCTGGTGAATAATAGAAAAATCTAATCCCGGGGATGCGGGGGTGAGATAACCAGTTCAGCAAATGTAACTGGATATTCCAGAGGCAAGCGACGGGTATCAGGCCCGGGGATCTTCCAACGGAGAACAGGGAAAATCTTCCCTTGCAGCCTATTTCAGTTGTGACTCTTCTCATTTTGGGGTGGTTTTTGTTTGTTTTTGGATCGACGGACCCGCCCGACATGCCCTTTGAGATCAGCGGAATGCAGAGAGTGCAGAGTCCGTACGAGGTACGCGTATCGCCCCAACTTTGAGGCTGTGGTCTCCCATTCCCATGATAACGTGTCCGTACCCTGTAGGTTCAAAGCACTTGAGCGTTTCAGATGACGCGATGAGTCAGGGCGCGATATCGGACGCCTCCTTGGCGATCGTGACGATCCAGACAGAGTTTTCTGAAGACCTGCGATGTCAGTTGCAGATCGTCTTTCTGTGGGGAGCTAGCCCGGTCTTGCGGGGTACTCCGTACTCAATATGTAGAGTGGCCGGGTATATCGGCCACGAAAAGGCAAAATTAATTATATTCTAAAAATTAAGAAAAGAGGTTTGAGATTAGAAAAGACTGAATGATTTTTTTTTTTTTTTTTTGGATCAGTGGGGGTTTATACTACCGTAGCCCATGGGGTAGGATGGGATGTGTAGTCGGCAATTGGCAATCCCACATAAAATAGAAAAAAGAAATAATTATAAAATATTAAATTAATTCCCAAACACATCCCCCACGCCTCCGACTGTGGATCGTGTTGATCGGATCTCCAGACAGAAAGTCAGACGAGTTCTGGGGAACGGAAGTCGGAATCCGAATTCTGTCATTTCTACAACGAGTACACACCAATGTCTCTACACGAGAGTAGGAGTAATACATCATGCGTCACCTGAAACCGAAACACCTTGACACAGAGCGTTATCTCGGCAAAAAGCGGGTAATAGGTGGGATAACGTACGGGGTACAATAGCCTATTGTACTATGACGAACCAAGCCCTAACTAGGAAAAGTGGGCAGCAAAATTAAACAATTAGCAATGACTACTCCGAATCCGGCGATTTTTCCATTGCGCCATTCCCCGTGGAGAGAAAGAATGGAGCAGAAGAATGGAGAATGGAGAATGGAGAAGAAAAGAATGGGGAATGGAGACTGGAGACTGGAGAACCGGAGAACACTTGATATCCGCCGAATCCGGAACATCCGCCTCTGAACAGATTCGATCAGGCCACGATTCGTGCAATTTCTCCATTTTCTTTAATCTCCGTCTCTTATGAGCTGATCAAGCGAGACGCCCTGTATCTCGTTTGGCTCATGGCCAATAGGAAGCTGGTCCGCCATCACCTCATGTGTCCAGGGTATTGCGGGGATCGGCCGAAATTGCTATCCCGGGTGCATTTCATGCTTAAGATCTACCACTAAAGGAGGTCGACCCCTGGTGCACGGCTGTATGCAGCTCCACAGGATATGTGTTTGATACGGAGTCTGGGGTCTGGAGTACGGAGTACGGAGTCCTCCGTGGTGAGTATGGAGTAACTATTTAGGTACGGAGTATACTAACTACCTAGGTAGATTTAATCCAACATCTGTTATAATCACGAACCAAAAGGAAGATAAGACACGGTCCAACCAGACCCCCCGGCCCCAACACGGGGTTTCGACACGGGGCTCCGTATCGGCCTTTTATCCGAGAACCTTGGGGAACCCGGGTGATCACTCACCCGTCAAATTCTGTTGGCTATCTAGAGTAGATATCATGTTCTGAAGTGATCAATAACCGTCCAGATTTCAGACCATGCTCGTATGAGTATTATGGGTATCGTGAGATCCCCAGTGAAGATGGCGCAAGGAATGCAGCCCGTGGGGCTGACATTCGCAACCGGACCGGTGCTGGAGATACGCGGCTTTGCGGCTGCATAAGAGCTGCAGTAGGGTCAATCAATAATTGGACGATCTGCGCCTATCAGCGGCGTTCATCCACTATCGCTCTCCAGGTTCATGGGTCGGGATTTATTCGGCAGAGGAAGGAAAAATAAGACAAGACTAGTAGTGTATAATGAAATCAAACCCATCGCGGGACTGTTCCCAGTCTGGAATCCTCCGGGGTCTGAAATCTGGGGTGGCGAGATATCCGGTGAAATGGCAAAAGCCGACACTCGCAGGATTTTGGATTTTAGAATTTGAGCATTTGACCCGGGAAGGATTCTGGGGTGACTACGGGATTACGGATGTGTCGACATCATCGATGATCCTCGCGGTCGTCACCATCATCAGAGGATGTTGTACGGCGTACTCCTGACTGGGCCGGGCGATATCAGGATCCAGACCGGGACTTGAACTTAGGTACGAATACGGAGGGCAGGCAGAGGACAGAGCCAGAGGACAGAGGACAGAGTATACAACTAGAATAGACAGTCATTGTGTGCCAGGATTACGCGGGCCGAGAGTCTGGAGAACTGATAAGAGCCGGGGAAGGCGCGATAGCCGTACACACACGCACTTTCCACTTTGTGTACCAAAGTACCTACCTACGAGTAGGTACTCTGTCTACTCAGTCCTAAGTTTCTAAATAGGATTATTTAGAATCACTGCTATACAGAGCACGGGGTACGGAGTACTCCGTACATGTACACAATACTGTATAGCCCGGAAGCAAGAGATATTCTATTCTAGTACGGAGTAGAAGAATATTAGCTAATAAGTCTCCAACCACGGCACAGCTAATATTATTTTTTTTTTCCCCTTCCTTTTTTTGCGTAGTATTACCCCTTTGGTCTCAATCTCTTTTCACCGAAAACTCCCCCAGTCTCCCCCTTTCCCCCACAGTCTGGATTCGGACTTTTGCTTCTTTTTTTCATTTTTCATTTTCTTTTGATTTTCCCAATTGGATTTTTTTTTTTATAAAAAAAAAATCTGAATTTTCTTTTTTCTTTTCTTTTTTTTCCCAAGTCCGATTCCGACCCCCTTCTCCGATTTCTCCCTTCCCCCTCCATTCTTCCTACTTTATATTTGTGACTCCCCAGATCGTCATCTCCAGGTTTCTTCCTTTTTTCTCCCTTTGTTCGACTATCCATCTCTTTATATTGAGTTATACTCATTGCATATGCCACCACCGACCTCTTCCGTGGGTTTCTCCAATCTACTCAATCACGACTCGGACTCCAATTCAGGCAACTCTGCCGATTCTGCAATGGCTTCTTCCGTCAGCTTGTTGCCGCCACTGATGAAGGGTGCTCGCCCAGCAACGGAGGAAGTGCGCCAGGATCTGCCTAGGCCATACAAGTGCCCGCTTTGCGACCGTGCCTTCCACCGCCTGGAGCATCAAACAAGGCACATTCGAACGCACACCGGCGAGAAGCCCCACGCCTGCCAATTCCCCGGCTGCACTAAGCGCTTCAGTCGCTCCGATGAGCTTACTCGACACTCGCGCATTCACAACAACCCCAATTCCCGCCGTAGCAACAAGGCTCAGCACCTCGCGGCGGCAGCCGCAGCCGCGGCCGGCCAGGATACCGGTATGGTCGCCGCCACCAACATGATGCCCCCGCCAAGCAAGCCTATTACTCGCTCTGCGCCTGTTTCCCAGGTTGGCTCGCCGGACGTGTCACCTCCTCACTCCTTCTCTAACTACGCCAATCACATGCGCTCCAACCTGGGTCCCTACTCCCGTAACACCGAGCGCGCCTCCTCCGGAATGGACATCAATCTGCTCGCCACGGCCGCTTCGCAAGTGGAGCGCGACGACCACCTTGGTTTCCACGGATCCCGCAACCACCAGATGTTCGGATCCCGCCACGGCACTGGCCGTGGTCTTCCTTCACTTTCCGCGTACGCGATCTCTCAGAACATGACGCGCTCGCACTCCAATGACGACGATGACAACTTTGGCGGCCACCGCGTCAAGCGCTCTCGTCCCAACTCTCCCAACTCCACCGCTCCTTCCTCTCCTACTTTCTCCCACGACTCCCTTTCCCCAACCCCGGACCACACCCCGCTCGCGACTCCCGCCCACTCGCCTCGCCTGCGTCCTCTCGGCGCCAGCGAGCTTCACCTGCCTTCTATTCGCCATCTCTCTCTTCAGCACACGCCCGCTTTGGCACCTATGGAACCTCAACCTGAAGGTCCTAATTATTATAGTCCCACTCAGGGACACATGGGTCCCACCATTGCCGACATCATGTCTAAACCGGACGGCACACAGCGCAAGCTGCCAGTGCCCCAGGTTCCTAAGGTTGCCGTGCAGGACATGCTCAACCCGGCATCTGGGTTCCCCTCCATGAACTCGTCAGCGAACAATTCCGTTGCGGGTGGAGATCTAGCGGACCGATTCTAGTTCCGCCCTTCTTATGCCTTTTGTTATGCGCGCCACGAAACGATATAGACTTGTGCATTTTTTTTACTCTGGGGCATCATCGGTGTCGGATATTTCTTTGATCTTTGCTTTCTTCCCCCCTTATTTTTTTTTGAGGCGCTTCCAAATAGACGGATTGGGTTCTTTTTTTGACTGGCTGTTTCCACTCCCCCGGACACTTTTACTTCCATATCTTTTCTTTTCTTTTTTCACTCTTCGAGTCCAAAATTCTGTGTCGAAAGACCTACTTTTTTTTCTTGTGATTCTCCTCTCTGGCCTGCGGCCACCTTTGTTCCCTTAACTCTTAATTCCTCACCCAGTGAGCAAAAATGAAGAATTTTCACTCTTACGTGATATCCCCGCAATCTGATGCTTCGTCACATTTATCTTTGTAGTACAGAGTCGACCTTGAACTTCTGCAACATCATCAGGTACTATTGTACATTCACATGTTATGCCCAGAAGTACATGACAGTCTAGAACAAGTGATCTGACTCTGCAGAACTGCACCTGACGTAGCCGTTATTGCGCAGAGTACTAAGTGATGGATATCAGATTGAATATTATTTGGCATTGGAAATGTTAAATTTCTAAATGCATGAAACATTCATGGCTCAGCCTATTATCTATTACTTACACTACGAGTAAGTACTTGAGTACTTAGTATTACACTATTACACAGCTGTGCTACTTAAGTACAAGCCCGTTGTATTCCAGACAGAAGTAGTCCACATCTCATCCCACCTATGAGCCTTGAGCGTGGCCCTACTGCACCGTTAGCTCCCCCCGCCCCCTCCTGAAGGAATTTTCTAGAGAAATCAACATTCTTGTACAGTAGAGTCGGAGTTATGCATGTCACTCTACAAGTTGCTTAATATCTTTGTATGTTTCCCGATCCCGTTATACTCCGTTCCCCTCTCGAGCCTTTTTCGTTTCCCCTTCTTTTTTTTTACCCTTTTCTCCCCTCTTGTCTCTCTTTTTCTCTGATCTTATCTCTATGCTATGTAAGCCCAACAAAAAAAAAAGAACTCACCTCTGACGCGATCTCACTTAGTTCGCGGAGCATGTCGGAGCCCGGCGCTCGCGACCCTTCAGTCCCTAGAGCCCGTTCTTTCAGCATAATCAGTGCAGGCGGTAGAAAGCACAAACAAGTCATCGTCATGGCCTCACCCACACCCCCACCAGAGCCAGTCTCCAGCCCGCGCTCATCCATCTCCTCAACATCCACTCGACCAAGGCAAACCAAGGACGGAATCTCATATTCATACGAGACCAGCCCGATGCCAACCTGGGAATGGGAACGAGAACAGACACAAGAGCAAGAATGGGAACATTCTGAAACCCACGACTCAGATCCAACCTACGCCTGTCTCTTCCACACCCTCGACTGCCACGAAGTCTTCACCGATGTCGCAGAATGGCGCACCCACATCACCAGTCATTTCCGCTCACACCCGACACCACCAACAGCCCGCTGTCCCATGTGCGCCAATACGAAATTCGTCGACGGCGTTCCTGGCCCTGTCTCTTCGCCCATCGATGATGGTTCTCCGCTCCCGACCCCGCACCCGTGCAAGATGGATGTCCCATCAGCCTGGGATCGTATGCTCGATCACGTCGCTGACTTCCATTACAGGACCGGGCAGACGTTGGCGGGGAGTCGGCCGGATTTCGAACTCATGCGGTATTTGTATGGTGTGCGGGTTATTACCGATGCGCAGTTCAAGGCTATGCAGTTACCACCTGCGCCTTCTAGTCCTGCTTATCATCGTTCTCAGGATGGGGTGAGAGCCAGTATTGGATCTGCGGATGAGCCATACTGTGCGCCGTATAGTAAACGGAGGGAGGAGAGAATGAGACAGCAGAGGGGGGTGGGGGTTGTGTAGTCTGTTTTTTTTCTTTCTTTTTTTCTTTTTTTCTTTTCTGTTTCTGTTTCAGTCCCTTTGTTTTTTGCGTCTCTTTTGGTTGAATTATTCCCCCTTTTCGCTGTATTGTATTTTGGAATCTGAGATCAGCGAGTAACACTGTATTAGTGCGACGTGTAGGTACTTAGGTAGTGACGGAGAAAAATAAAAAGGCAAGCAGTATCGCTATCACTTCACCGCCCTCACGCCAACCTCAATCTCCCCTCAAACCCAACATCTCTCCCTCCAACTCCAAAATATCACCCAAAATGGATCGTCTATCCCTAAACGAAAGCCCCGCAAATGCACCTCAGCGCAGTCCCCGCCCTCAAAACCAATTCCCCCAGCAAGCTCAGAATGCCCTCGGTCCAGCTGGGCCCCAGCCAACAGGCGGTCCCCCACAATTGCCACCACAGATGTTCACGACTGCCGCCCAACTGCTCGATTTAACCGATAGTATGCGCGCCTGCATATCTCACACGCATAATCACTGACAAATGTCCAGAGAAACTCGTCCTCATCCTCCGCGACGGAAGGAAACTCATCGGTGTCCTGCGAAGCTGGGACCAGTTCGGTAAGATTCGAATGGAATCGATTACCCCTCACCACCCTTCTGACGATATTTAGCAAATCTTGTTTTCCAAGAGACTGTCGAGCGCATCTATGCAGGCCAGCTGTACGCGGATGTTCCCCGGGGGATCTTCATCGTCCGCGGAGAAAACGTCCTCCTTCTAGGCGAAGTGGTATGGATAGCGCAAGCCCACATCCATACTCCAGAAATAGCTAATATGTTCCATAGGATCTGGATCGCGAAGATGACATCCCGCCTACGTTGACCAAGGCGCCATTCGAGGAAGTGTTCGAACTTAAGAAGAAGGAAGAGGAAAAGCGGAAAAAGGGCGATAAAAAGCGTTACGATGAGCTCCAGGCTCTTGGTTTTGAGCCTGAGCATAGTGGGGAGATCTTGTTTTAATGGCTTTTCTTTCTTGTCTTTGTGGTTGGGATTATTCTCAGATGAGCTAGAGGCTCTGGATCTCACTGGATCTCAGATCGGGAATTGAGATCGAGATCGAGATCGCCCAGGTCGAGTCCATTGCGGATATTGCTGTTGCTTTGTTTGATGTGCATCGGGTTTGGAGTTTTGGTGCATTTTCATTCATGCCGGTATGAAGGGCTCCTGTGGTTATTGGGATTTCGAGGTGATTTGGCCTTGGTTTGGGTCCCTTGATTATCTCCTATTTGGGTATACTCGTCAACAGCTTAGGGTTGTGGATGATCGAGTTGCCTTACAGCCTGGTTCGGGCTCATGATGTTCTGATGTTCTGATTGATGTTTGATACACCCTTTTTTTTTTTTTTTTTTTTTTTTTTTTTTTTTTTTTTTTTTTTTTTTTTTTTTTTTTTTTTTTTTTTTTTTTCTCTCCTGAAGTCCCTCCCAGGGTTGGCCATAACCTTGGAATGACCGGCAAATTATATCCAAAGTCGAAAGCAACATTGGAAGGTCTAAAGCATGTCTCCAAACCGTGTCAGTCTCGACTATATCTATATGTGTATACTAAGTAGACGGAGGAATTGAAACAAACATATGTCCATTGATTGACCTTAACAAACTTTTGAACAGAATCGTAATCATATCATGAAGACGCAGAGCTCTGCACCAGGACGGAATAGCCCAGGGTCAACGGAACCACCACAGCGGAGGGTATTATGAGAAACATCTAACACTAAGCACGGGAAGACATCCATGGATGGCAGAGGTTGACAAGAAAGAATGAGAACAAAACACAAAACACGATAACTCCAGGATCTGCTAGATGCCACCCCTCTTCCCATCCATTCCCAGCCCAGGGGCTAGAAGAGTTTAAATGTTTCTTTACCTCTTCTTACCCCAGCCCGAGCGGTTGTTACCTCTGGGCGCCTTAGCGGGATTGCGACGCTTCTCAATTCGTCCACCACCAGAAGCACCCGCAGTCTTGGGGGCACCGAGACCACGACGAGCAGGGCCTTGGCCACCACCGGCAGCCCGCAGGTCTTGCTTCAGATCGTCGTCATCGACATCCATGCTATCGTCGTTCTTCTTGGACTGGCCCATCTTGACCTTACCGCGTTGACCACGACGAACAGCATCGGGTCCAGCAACGGCAGCAAGGTAAGCATTGACACCGCCATCGCCGGCACCACTCATCTCCGTATCATCGGCAACGACATCTCCATCATCGCCGAGGATAAGACGGCCATCAGCATCGAACTTGGCATTGCGCTTCTTCTTGGATCCAGGACCTGTGTTGAGGAATCGCTGGCTAGGCTTCGTGGTGGAGATGCTGGCAAGAGCATTCGATCCAAGCAGATCCAGCGGGTTATCTTCAGGAGACATCTCGCGAATGTACTGGGTGCTTTGGCCCTTCTTTCCGGCACGACCCTTGATACGGGCCTGCTGGTCGACTTCGACATCGCTGTCGCCGTCATCAGAGCCATCCGAGGAGTCGGAGTCGGAGCCATAGACGGCCTTGTCGAAGGCATTACCGGATTGAGGCTTGGAGGCCTTCTCCTCGCCTTCTTCGTCTTCATCCTCGGCACCTTCCTTCTTCTTACGCTTGCTGCGCTCACGGGCTTTGCGGATGTTGACCACGAGCTTGCGGTCCTCTTCGCCGACAATGGCTTCCAGGAGGGGAGCACCGAAGCGACGAACGAGACGGTCAATGATGCCCTTGACCTTGCTGCGGAGACGGCCCTTGTGCTCCTTGTTCCAGGCCATGAGGTTAGGAACGAGGGTGGCGAGACGGGGACGCAATGCATCATCGGGAAGAACGACAACGGCAACCTTGACGAAGCCAAGGACGGAGCGGACGATCTCGCGGTTGCTGGAGGTGAGGAACAGCTCGACGGTCTCGACAAGCTCAGTGAGCATCTCGGGCTGCAGCTGTGTCTGGAAGTCAAAGAACAGTCGAGACAGGGCCGTGACGGAGGCGGCAACCATGTGAGGTGCCGAGCCCGCAAGACCGGCCGAGAGCATGGTGAAGAACTCCTCCAGGGTAGCGGGGGCATCGGGCATGTCGTCCGGCACGCCAGGAACGAGGGATCGGCGAATGACGGTGCCGGGCGGGTTACGCTCGGAGTCGATTGTGCGCTTGGCCAAGAGGATCAGGAGGTCGAAGGCTGCTGTGCGGGCCTTCTCGTTGCTCTCCTTGCAGCCCAGCACGACTTCGGACAGGATGGCCGGGATGAAGTGCAGGTCTGAGGTGGGCAGGTGGTTGATCATTTCGGTGATGGCGAGCATGCGGTCACGACGGCCAGAGGCAGGGGTGCTGTCTGTGGTGGCGAGCATGAGAGCTTGCAACTCACTGCTACGCTCTTGGAGGGCAGCGCGGCCAGTCTCAGTTGATCCAAGACGGGGAATCAGCTTGTAGGCCTTCTTGATGAGTTGCTGATCCGGGTTGGGGGAAGAGCTGTTGAGAATAGCTGCCGCCATGTTGAACAGGCCACTGAAGCTAGATCGGGGGAGGTAGATTGACATGGCGATAACGAGGTCAATCAATGTGTGGGAGGTGGGAGGCATCTTGTCGGATGAGCCCTGGGGTTGAGCACCCTGCTTGGCTGCGGTCTCTTGCTCGGTGGCCAAAGAGGACTCGAGCATGGAGGTAACACGGTTGAAGGTATCATTGAGCTCCTGTATATCATATTAGTCAAATGTGACTTGCGTAATACATGTTCGTGGGTAATACTTACGTTCTCGGGAGTGATGCTCAAGTATGCGTTGATGCACTGCAAAATGTAGCCGCGGTAGTGAGGAAGGGTCTGGCTGTAGACGTTGAAGAGAACAGCCAGCAAGTTGCTCGCAAGACCGCTGAGGTGAGTGAGGTTCTTCTGGGCAGCAGCCTTGGTGATGCGCCGTTGCAAAATGAGGTCATCCTCTTCGCTCTCAACGGACAAAATAGCCTGGTTAGACTCAACCAGGTTCTGCAGAGCACGGCAGACATCGACACGGAGTTCAGTCTGCTTGTAAAGAACATTGGACAGCAGCTCGGCGAAGCCCTGGTCGAATGCCTCCGCCAGGTCAAGCGGTAACTCGCAGTATCCAGGAAGAGTGCCCCAAGTCTGTTGAACGAGAGTCTCGAAGATCTTGACTTCCACGGACTTCTCGGCAGCACCGAAGTTCACAACCTTCTGGTAGAGAGCCTCACTGAGAGGAACAAGCTCGGACCGGAAGTGGCTCAGGTTGGTGTTAGTCACGCTGTCGCGCATGATGGGAAGCATCCAAACGCGACCCTGTTGACCAGACTTCTGGTTCACGATGTTAAGGGGAAGGATTTCCAAAACAGCCTCGGGGCCCATTGCCTCGATGGCGCTGCCAAGGACAGCATCGGCTTCCTTCTTACCCGCAAATCCACTGTTGCTACGAAGTTCACCAACTGTGCTAACAATTTTGACAAGGTAAGGGCTTGAGCGCCACTTGAAGCAATCGAAAAGAGCCGAGCACACGTTGAAAACCTCTCTCCAAGCAGCCTGGTACTTGACAGAGAGAAGCTCAACGGCTGCCTTGGCCAACTTCTCCAGGGTCTTCTCGTCATAGACGGAAGGCTCAACGATAACGCTGTTGGGAATACAGTTGTGCAGGAAGGAAATCAGACACTCGGAGGCGGAAACGCGGATGTTGCTGGAAGGCGAAGCCATGAATCCAGAGATGAGGGCGAAGAGATCCGGCAGCTTCTCGAAGGTATCTTCGGGTGTGATCTGCGCAGCCACGTCGTAGCCACGAGACAGAACCGCGATCCAAGGAGGCAGAAGCTGAGAGTCGTTCTGCGCGGGCTTGAGCTCGGAGATTGCGTCCAAAAGACGGGGCAGCTTGGAAGAGGAGAACTCGTCTGCCATTCCTTCGAAAATAACCTCAAACACTTCGAAAGCACCCATAGTGATGTATTCGTTGCTCGACTTAGATGCGTTCATCAGGAGCTCGCTGAGAGGCTCAATCTTCTTGCTGGGCCAGCCACCAGATGCCGAAGCGATGGTCTTGATCAGCTGCAATGAGTGGATAATCAATGGCTCCTGGTTGTTAGCCTGGGAATCATGACGACCCTTCTTCTGCTTGTGCGCAGCCGCGATGCTGTCACCGAGAGTCTTCATTGCAGACTGGGCACACATATCGGCACCAGGGTGGTCCAGAGACGGGCTTGGGGGAGGGGCCTTGAGGACCTTGACGAGAGCCTCTTGGGCGCGCTTGCGCACCTTAGGGCGGTGGTCGACCGAAAGACTCAGCAGACCGGCCATCGCACGGCGCGGGCCGACCTGTGTGTGCGGGAGGTTCCATGAAGAGGCATCCTGAGCAATGAGCAGAGACTCAAGGCAACCGATGGATGGACGCAGTAGAGGGGCTTCGACCTCAGGCAGAGACAGTGCGGGGGCAAGGCTTTCGAGGATCTGGGAAAATTTGGCGCAAAGGATCGAGGCGGGAACATAGGCAGTTGTGATATCGAGCAGGTAGACGACGGATGTGGCTAGGTCTTTGTTGACAATGCCCTGGGATGCCGACAAAGATTGGGAGAGCAGTGCAAGGAGAGCTGCAAAGTAAGCGGTAGGCGAGAAGTCTGCCTTTTGGTCACGGAGAGTATCCTCAACTGCAGAGAGCACCACAGCAGTCTGCGAATTCATTAGTCCTGATTGGCCTATAGGCTGGGATCGAACTTACATGGTGCTGGTTCTGCAGCTTGGGAGACTTGATCTTCTCAAGCTTCTCCGCCAGAGTCGCCATGATGATTATCGACGACGAGGTGGAGAAGATAAATAATTGTGAATTGGAAGAGGGCTGTTTGGCGGTAATAAAAATCGTAAAGGAAAAAAATAAAACCCGGCAGATGTGGAAGCGGTGTGCTGGCGGGGCTGACCGACTAAAATCGATGTTCCTGACCTCGAAGTATACTCCTTATATTTTTTATACTCATTTTTACTCATTTCACTTCTTTTACCCCATGTTATCTTCTGTCTAGACTGTCAAATCCCTACATAACACGTAGCACCCCATAACATGGTGCTACCAGGCATGCTTTGCATTAGCTCTGGCGACCAAAAAAGTGGTTTCACGAACACCTCTAAGTTTACCGTCTACGGAGTACTCCGTACCTTATGTTGACTTTGTTCTTGTTTGAATGAAATTGATCCCAGATTTCTATCATGCACATATCCAGTGTGGTTGGGTTTCAACTGCAACAATAGTCATAACATGGCGACCTCTATTCCGCCACGGCCACCTCGATTGTACAATTATTGGACAGTTAGAGGCGTGCCGCCTCGGAAGCAATGGTTTCGCGCACTGCCTCGGGGAATGGCACTCCCTTCGGTTGCCAGCCCACCAACTCTCTGGCCCGCAAAGCCCGTCCTTGGCCATTGGTGCCCAAGAACACAACACCACCAGGGATGACTGCATTGGCCTCCTCGAGGTTGATTGATTTCACTGAATCGGGAGACTTAATGTATCCCAGGCTGTGGGCCTCCTTGGCGATAAGCCCAGCGATATCTTTGAAGCTCTGAAGTAGGAACGTGGGTAAGTAAAGACAAAACTAAGTCGTTGAAGATCAGGGCAAGCACGAACCTCGAAACCATTCTCAGCAAAGAAAAGACCATTCTCATTCCAAATGGGGATCGGGGTAGCTTCGATGGCATGCTCAGCCAACTTGACAAAGAGGCTGGCCAGGTCAGAAACATGGATGACGCCCCATCGGCTGAGTCCCTTGTTAAGATATAGACCAGCGTGCTGCTGGAGCGCTGATTTGGCCAATGATGGGATCTGGATACTGCGTTGGTTCACAGGGCCGTTTCCAGCGCCGAAGATGATGGGAGGGAAGATAATAGCGGTCTTGGGGCCACTTGATCCAAGGTCGAGGATAAAGTTGTCTACAACACGACGGTCCTTGTAGGCTCGGATAATGTTTTGGAGATCTCCAACGTTGTCTAAGTCATCATAGATCTTATCTGAGGGCTCACCGTATGAGTTACTGTCGACTTCAGGACCCGCAAGAACACTGGCACCGGTCACTTGGATATAATGCCCTGTGGCTCGAGTTAGCTGCCGACCTTACGTCGATTTGGTGTTTTTCTCGGCGGCTTACCATCCGGGCGTCCTTCCAGGCCCTTTGCAATTGCCTTCACACTTGCGATGTGTTTGTTGCTAGCAGCATCTGTGCAGTTGGAATTAGAGAAAATTTGGTAATTGAAAGTGTACATTGACTCACGAATGACCACGTTGGCGTTCCGTGATTCTTCTTCGATAATTTCGACATCGTCCAAATCTGCAAGGACAACGCGGACCTTGGGGAATGCATTGGTGACCTTGTTGGCCTTTTCCTGATCTCTGATCAAAACAGAGACATTGTAATCAGGGTGCGTTTGTTGCAGGGTGTGGAGGATTTCGCCACCAATGTAGCCAGTGGCACCGGTTCTGTAGTTCGAATGGTCAGATTCCAATGCAAAGCGCGCAAGTTGTGCACCAACAACGTATGATCAACCTACAGGAAGATTTGAGGCATATTTAACGAGAGATTAATTCAGATCAGAAATTAATTGAACTTTTGGAGGACAGGGTCGTTGGGGGTATTTAACATGCTTCCCCGCGCACCGTGTTAGGAAAGTCATTCCGCGGAGACAATTGTTGCGAGATCCACCATACGATGATGTGATATCTTCACGGGGCTTTTTAACCATTACAACAAGGTCTCATAGGGTTTGATTGACAGCCATGTAGCTGAAAGTTATGGGGCTCATGACGCCACAATGTGATTCCCCGACGCCAGTTTTAGGAGCCATCAGCCCAACTTAGGGTGGGGCTTCTGCCTCCTATATACACATTGAACCAACATAGTCTATAACCATCTGGATTTTCTTAATCATCGATTTATTGAATGCATACTAGGCCCGACGGTGTAGTTGGAATGAAGAAAAACGTGAGCTTCAGATGGCTAAAGCGAGTGAGTAGTATCCGGTTTCTAGAGTCACGCAAGATCATTATAAACCTCTTCCTCGCTTCTCTCTATTCCTCTCTTCGTCTCTTCCAGCATCCGCACCCACGGGGTTTAGTTCTATCATTATCCAAATCTGCCATCATTTCTATATCTTGATGAACTATTCTCTCCTACCCGTAAAGCTGCATTTCTCTATGGAGCTTGTTTGCTCTCTGTGGCGATGAGATAGTCCTACATCTTCCCTCATCCTCTCCCTCTGCTCTTCTCTTTCCTTACGCATCCAGGGATCTATCCATCGCTCCCTATCGGTCTACCGGTCTATCTGGCTTTCTCACTCCTTCTACCGGAGCTCGGCGACTGGAAAAACAGACGAAAATGGGGTATTGGAAATTTCCTCAATTGAGAGCCCTATCCTACCTACAGACGGAATGGTGAGATCAAAGGGATTTATTTCAGCTATTACACCCAAACCCTCATGGATAGGGTCAATCCGACACGGCTTTCCAAATGGGAAATACTTCCTGGATATCTCGCTAGCAAGCGACAGCCTTTCATCGGAACGCAATGATCCTCCGCCCGGCAACAATCAGTATGTGCCCGAGGATACCAAGTCTCTACCAGGCGAGAATCAGTCTCAACAGCAGGGTGGTCGGACTTTCAGCCGGTGATGAGCAACCCTCACGCAGGGAGGTAGAGCCTTTGAGTGGCTTGTGTGATATGCAAATTGTCAGATGCCCATTGCGCAGGCAAGACACCGCTCATTTGTTCAACCTTTATTCTGTAGATACTACATGTATTCCACCAGACGAGGGTGGAAGCGAAAACGTTTTGCGGTGCTTATATCAAACTCAAGTGCGGTTGGACGAGAAGTGGAAACAAAGCATAAATTGATCCAAGTGCAAATTGATCCAAGTGCTGCTCAATACGGATCATGGTAACCCCCGATGTGAACAAGGAACCGGATGTCCGGAGGAGCCGGATGCCTGGCAAAAGCTTAATGTTCGAGCCCTGGAGATGCACACTACCATTTCCCCATCCATGATACTTTGTCTCTGTTTCTAAAGTTTCAATATTGTGCAAGGATGCCCCGACTCCAGAAGATAAATTGAATAAGACAGCCAAAGCATCCATGTCTATATATCAGATACTTAGCAATGTATGGACAAACCCAAACCGGGACATCAATGATATGCACCATGTACTCAAGTAAAACGAAGTCAAATCAACCATACGATTAGATAACACCAAACCAAGACCAAAGTGATATATGCAGGTACATAGATAACCTTGGAAGCAGGGGTATGCATAACACCAACTAGTACAGAAGTAGGGCCACGTGGAGTGGAAGGATGCGACTCAGCCACCGATATCATGGTACCTAAGGTAATTTTGCGTTTAGAGTTACTGTTAGGGTTTGTCTAGTCTCCAGGGCTTATGTAGTGCTGACATGTCACATCCCCACAGTCTAACTAGTTGGTTCTAGTGTGTACCCTAAAAGACATGGTGCTCTAGCCTTTTACATGCTAGTTGGGAACGGCGATCTAGGTGATCGTTTGGTGCGGCTTGGTGATCCTGGGCGTTAGGGCTGGAATGTCATTTGTGGATATTCCATGGGCGGCAGATATTGGCATTCATGGATCATTTGCGAATCGGGGTAATAAGTGACATTCGATTTGTGTCACTGGTGTCATTTCAAAGTTCGGCAATTAGCAAAAAGAACCTTGGAAGTCTTTAATTCTTGTTGTTTCGGTGTTACATCGGAAAGTCCGGAAAACTTTGGAACTACTTTTCGGCAGGTTTGAAAAAGAAAATCACGATGCAATGATTGATTATAACAAGTCAATTGGGTCCTTTAAAGCCACCAGAGAGCTGGGGCGAAGGACTGGCGGAGCATAATGTACGTTAATAGGGAAAAGAGGAGAGGACTTGCACAGAGCAAAGTTGAGACGGGGAAACAACGAAACACTAGAACAAAAAAACCCCCCGGGCAAGGAAAGCAATTTTGGAGAAAATGCCGTCAAAAAAAAAAGTAACAGATGCAAAGGGATCCGCCCATCCTTGGGAGCCCACGACCCTGGCAAGCGAGCAAGTAGAGATAAAGATACACATGAGTCTGAGATGAGGATCAAAGTCTCAGTCGATGCACTCTAAGAGGAAGAAAGGCAGGTATTGAACAAGGCTGGAAATCCACTCTTCGGCAGATCGAAATTAAAAGACCGCAAAGGATGGTATCATAGCACGAAAGACTTTGGATGGGGGGTTTGAGGGATTCGAGTCCAAGACGAGAACATTAGTCAAGGACCGGGGATATCGTGATGTAGAAAAAGCAAATGCAGTTCCGTCCGTGTAGATCCATTAGCAGAAAGACAAAAGGAAAATGAAGAGAAGAAAACAAGAGAGCAAGATTATTGGGACATGATTATTGGTAGTTGGCGGATTGTGTCTCTGGAAGCCGTAGCGAATTTTGAATCAGCGGACAAGTCCGGTGAGGATGACCTTGTCGAAAGGAAAATGAAGAATTTCCAGAGGATCGATCCTTGAGGGTGGCGGCATTACTCACGTTGCGGGTACACCGGTCCGCTCTGGTAGGGAGAGTGAGGATAGTTGGGAGGGTAGGCCATTTGTCCATTGTTCTGGTAGACCATTCCACCACCAGGAGGGCCACCATACGGCCCAGGGACCTGGCTGTCGGCGGGCTGGTATCCGATGGGGGGAAGCTGAGGGCGAACACCACCACCGTAGGCAGGTGGTTGGCCGTGAGAAGGGTCGGAGGGGTTGGGAGCTTCAACCTGGTTGGCTTGGACGGCCTGAGCGGCGGCACGCTCACGCTCCTCGACAGCCTTACGCTGAGCCTCTTCTTCCTTCTTGCGGGCTTTCCATTCCTTGCGGATTTCCTTGAACTCTGGAAACGAGTATGTCAGCAACCAGGCCCAAAACAGGATAGCGTGACTGGGTAGGGGCGTCGGGGAAAGGGATGGGCTGAACGCTCCCACGTAGCCACGCTACGCTACTGCGGGCCCCGCGACATCTAGTGTAACTCACTAGCGTCTAACGGGCGCTAACCCGATCCAGCCATTTGCGACAAAAAAACAGATGAAAGTCTTCAAATCGCGAAATAAAAAGGGCAAAAAAAGGGAAATCGTTAGACCTACCGTCGGGAGTACGCTTCGCACCGTGTGACTGCATAGTCACGTGTGCATTCAAGTGATTCAGAGTACCATACGCTTTTTCACATCCCTGCCATCCACATTTGTACATGCGCTCAATTTCCTCGTAGCGACGACGTGGGCGCTTGTGTTGCGCCGAGCCGGGAATCGGAACAAATGAGTAGACCTAGAGACAGAGAATCAGTATTGAACCTCGAGAGTCGAGAATCGAGCCAGACGCAATGTTTTTGATGATTCCCCGGGGGAGGAAGAGAGAACACGAGCGTACAAGCGCCTGGATTTGCTCCAAAGGATATCCCAAAGACAACAATGCTTGAACACAGTAGGAAGCCTTAGGGGAAAAAAAAAGTAGAACCCCAGGAAATCATCAAAAACATACCTGTCCAGGGCGCGACTCTGCAGTCGCGGTAGGGGAGGCGGAACCAACCGTTGTAGCAGGAGAGGCATAGGGGCCCGGTAGATGGTGCTGTTGCCCATAGCTGTGTGGCCAATCCGGGCGCGCGTACATGTGCTGAGGTGGAGGGGGATGGCCCTGGTATTGAGCCATCTCGTGCCCCTGAGGCTGATAGGGAGAGTAGGGAGGAGGGTAGGTGGGGCTATTGGCCGGGAGGGAAGGATCTAAAGGAACGGGCGCGTCAGACTTGAGAAGAGGACTGCGCGGGCCCGTAGGCAGGTGGAACGGACTTGTTGCTTGAGCCATACCTGCGCTGCCAGCGGGTTGAGAGTTGGGAGCGTAGGAAGGACGGTGGAGATAGTCTTGGTATGCAGGCGAGCGGGCGGTGGGCGGAGGGTTCAGACCGTAGTCGGATTGAGGGGTGTTGGAGGTAGAGATGTTGGGCCGAACCTCAGGCTGCGGCGTATACTGAGGATTCGGTCGAACCTCAGGTTGCGGGGTGTAGTGAGCACTGGCAGCAGCAGTTGGGTCTGCGGATTTTTGTTCAGAAGGTGCGTCGGTAGGCGGGTGGTGGTGCGAACCTGGCTGTGCGTACTCGGAAGTGGGCCGGTTGTCCATAAAAACAGAGATTCGCGAGAAACAGAACGAATCTGTGGAGACGCGTCGATGAGTGAGAAGTTCGGGGAAAATTGACGAGTCGGTCCGACACGTTTCAAGCAAGGGACGGGAGACTAGGTCGCCACGTTGGGGGATCGTGGCTGACCGAGATCTAGGATGTGTGTTTTTTTTTTTTTTTTTTTGGCGCGTCACGTACCTTGCTATTTTCCAGAGAGAATTGAAGATCAAACACTGAATGAACAGGTTTAATAGATCAAAATAGAGGAAGGGAAATAGAGAGAGGAAGAGAGAGAGATAGGCCGATTGAATTCACGCAAAGGTCCAAGCGGGCATCAAATCGCAAATCCGTATAAAAGATGGAAAATCCCCCCGAAGTAACCAAGATGCTTAATCTTAGTTGGAATGCCTTGCAGGCGGTAAGAGGAAACTAAAGAAAAAAGAGAGTCAACGCGACTTGTAGCGACCTAAAAAGGTGAGACGATTAGGAGGAAACGCCTTGGAATCCGAGGATATGCTGTGTAGTGGACAGCGGTGGATCCGGTGGAGTGCGTAATTTTGGTTGGCGATATCGTTGGTCGGCAGACGAATTATTGCCCTTTTTTTTTTTTTTCTTTTTCTTTTTCTCTTTTTCTTCATTTTCTTTTTGTCTTGATATTTTTTATTTTTAATAAATAAATTCCCTGGAGTACGAGTATGCACAGTGACATCCATGGGGTTGATATCACTTGCATTAATACTTTGTACGCGTCGATACGAGGTGTACGAGAGCCGAGTGATTTCAAGGTAAAGATATAAGTACACTATCATTACCAGTGACATCTAGGTACGGACTCCGGAGCTACAAGTACAGAGTACAATATAAAGTGCTAAAAGAATTGGAAAATAGGCACACAATAATGTAAAATACTAAACCAGAATCTCTCGGACCATGACCTTTTTCCACACAAAACTCCGATATTTAACTGGGTTGGCCCCCTTTCCCCTCAGTGCCTTCGTTTCCGGCTAAGCTTTCCACGTCCGTGTGATAACATTTCCCTCTCTTTCTTGATTTTTTTTACCAAAAAAAAAAAAAAAGCGGAACCTGTCCAGGGGAAAAACAAAAGTGGCAACAGGATTCGGATTCCCCTATCTTTGACCGTAAGAATTATTAATTGATGTGGTTCAGTATAGCTTTACAATGCACAAAGTACAGGTGTTGTTGTTTTTTGCTAAAGACTACTGCTTAGGTTCCCAACTGGAGGCCTCTTAGTCTACCCGCAACTCGGGTGCAAAGAGAACCTAGCGCGTAGGGCCCGTGGGTACTAACCAAGATGTCAGAGGGAGAGCTAGGAATGGCGTGCCCGAAGAACCTCAGCCGAGAAGGGAAAGCGAGACTCAAAAAGGTTTAGAGGGGTCGAACAGCGTGGAATCCAAGGAGCTAGGACACAATGAGGAGTAGCGCAAGTCGGGGGGGAAGAAGAAGCGATGGGGGACTCGGGAAGACCAGGGGCTAGTGTGGACGGACTGGTGGGCTGCTGGTGGGCCATGGATGGTCGAGGAGTATTGGGTTTCACATTGACCAATCATCACAAGCAAAGTGGATCGATGTGGGGACCTGGAGATGCTCGGTGGTTGGGCCTGACCTGTTTAGGGCTAGCGCTAAACTCTGCTGCAAAAGGTTCAAAGCCGAGGCGGTTGACTCCGGTGCGAAAGAAAAAAAAAAAGGAGGTTATGTTGCACTTTGATTACTCGTACAGGTATTCTGTACTTATGTGAATACTTCGATCTTCTACATGGGGAAGGTTCTAGATACTCGAGCTCTATGTAGATCTACACTGACTCAATTTTGATATCTATGTACAAGTGAGTACACGGAGTACGGAGTACCAAAGGGAAACGAGCTTACCGCGATCCAGGTGCTCATCCTAGTCATGCCGGTGTTCTTCACGGAGAATGTTGAGTCATGACCAGTTTTATACAATATCCGTAGTCATACAATGTATACATAATGTGTGGGTGGGGAACTTGGGAGAACACCGGTGATCGGAGTCCATCACCTACGAGTAACATCTTGAATAAATTCAGGGCAAAGGCAATCAGGTGCAAATGATGGAATACTCGCACGGAGTCCTCCGTACTCTACAAGTATCCATCCTCTATCGTACTCGTACTCACTACCTACAGATTGTAGCAATTGCAACACGGCTTTCTTACCCATCTGATATCTGTGCCCACTTCACTTGATAATAACTGATAATTATAGTATACCCGTCGGGGTAATTATAGTCAAAGCATATACAGCGCGTACCAAGGAAAGCAAAGAGGAGAAAGGGGGCCAATATTCGGCGGGATTGCCGTGGCCATGAGTGCCAATTGGTCACCAATTTCCTAATCAAATTGCGTTACGAGCGGACATTCGGCGGCTCTCCGGTACAATCAGTACTCAGTGTAAGGCAGAGTCCATGTGGATTATGACAATACCCTTTCAGCCTCTGAACACTGATAGGAACAACACGGGAGAAAGGCCAGCTGCAAGGCTCGGAAAAACATGTTGGCTTCAGTCCCGTGATTGGTTCCGCTCAACCTCACCCCGCAGGCGGAACTTGTTCCTCCACTGCCGGTGAGCATTTGAATTCAATTTATCCTTTGCAGCGATATGCAGATGCGTTGGTTGTGTCGATTACCGTGCTCCGTACTCCGTTCTTCCCCATTGCTTTCCGTACAAGTTCACACGGTGTGCGACAGGCAACAGTGGAACCGGTCTTGGGACAACACACAGTGCCACGGGTTTTCCGGACCTAAGAGATCGAGATGGAGTATCAAATTCAGGATGGCGCGCCAGTCATTGGACGCCGCAGCCGCTCGGTATCCATGCACAATTAAATGCCTGGATTTGGAAAATCGGACGATCAGCCCGAAACTCCAAATGTCCCCAGTTTTCATGTCCTGGTTGCATTTTCACACAGCTCCGCCAGGGTTGTACGCTCTTCGGTCGAATCAGGGAAGGCCTTGGTTGGAGTAAAGCTTGGCATTGTTCCTCTGCGCGCTACCAGTACGGGTACTAGTATGTGTACGAGTATTGCAAGATTCTCCAGGCTGTTGTTCTGTTCGGATGATGTAAAGTCCTAACTCATCCACGGCTACTCTGTAGTGCTGCACAGCATTGTAAATTTGTCCGAGTTAAAAGACACTAATGTGTCAGTCTTCACGTACCGTGAAAACTGGCATTTGTCTCAATAATGTCCCGGGAAGCAGGCAACCTGCAGGCGTTCACCCTTTTCCGTGTCACTTGATGCACGTGGGCCCATTTCTGCGCTTTTAATCTTGCTGAGAGTGAATCGCAAGGGAAAAAGGGATTGACTAATGGGTGTGTAAGAAAATTGACGGAAAACAATTCCCACTATGGGTCAACCCCACGGCTATTCTCCGGGTATATTGGCCAAAGCTGCCCGTATCGTATCTCCGGTCTATCCTCTTTATCCGCTCAGGGGTTATTCGAAAATACTCCAGAGCTGGTCCTTTGATTTGGATCGGAAGATTGCGACCCGAATAATGCACAGTTGATATTGATGAGATTTAGACTGGAAATCCTTCAAGATGTGCATATTTGACACTTTCGCTAGGGCGTTTCGTCTATAAAATACAGACTACGCGACTAGTCAGTATGATACGGAATATCATACAGTCGCGGCTGGGAAATAACGGTTGACTATGTGCATACAGTAGCTCAAAGTTAGCGACCCATGAATTTGCCGGGCTTCCAGATGCGATGTCCGTGCTCGCAGATAACAAGAAGCAAGAAGATACGCAATTTCGCCCTCCACTTGGCCTGTGCGGTTATAAGACTACGCCGGACACAGTAAGTCATACCCGCTAATGCTTCGGCAGATCGCGTTGGAGACACTTGATCAGCACACCCCCGGATGATGATCACCAGGCTTTTCCGCGGTTGATGAAGTGGTTCTTTCGCGCCCTGTTTTTTTTTTTTTTTCGTGGAGTCCTTCAAGGGACGATCTCTCGATACTCCTGGGGTTCGATATCGAAATCTTGGAACTGAGAGACATGAATCAGCCAATCACCGAGACAAATAATAATAATTGCAGGGATTAAGATCCCGACACAGGGGTCTAATGTGGCCATCTCCTCGGTCTGCAGGCAAATTAACCTTTGAGGGGGAAGTGACAGAAATCTCGTTTACGAGAATTGGGGATATGGTAGAATACGACGAGAGTACGGAGTACACGTCGATGATTGAATTCTATTTCTATCTCTCCGTTAATACTGCATACAATCGATCTACACTCGGACTCCATATTCCCTTTTTTGTTTCCCTACTCTGTATTTATGGGATACAAGAAGGCAAACAATAAGGCTTCGGATTAGCCGAGAAGAGTCACATTTTTCCATGCATATTCTACGTCTGCTCTAGACATCCCCAAACCGGCAAGAAGGCAACCCCCCTTGCGCGAGGTTTGTTTTCTGAAGTGGCTATTCCTCTACCAATCTGGGCATGGTGCGCCATGACCTGACAGGGGCCGAACGGTGAACGTTGATTTTCTTAGCGCATTCTCTGGCAACCTTCCCCTGTAGGCCGCAGAACCACCAGTCAGATCACGGCTGGTGAATTATTGCATGTTCGGTTTGGATCTGGACCAGAGGAGTCGTTCCCGTTTTTGTGTCTCCGACGTGCATCGTCGGCTGGAGTCTTTACTACTCTGGGTTAGTCGGGCTTGGAAGGTGTCGGAGGCGCTTATGCATCTGACAAGGTGTCTCTTAATATTGTGATCCTGTTGTTCGGACAGGCTACTGCACGTCGCTGTCTTAGGCTTTGTTTGCATCATGCACCACGTTCTGGTGTTTTTTTTCTTGGGGTTACTTCAAGATTCAGTCTGCATGTCTTGGCGTAGACGCGAACTATCCCTGTCCCATGCGAAATCAGTGCTCGGACTCCTGTCAATATCCTATTCAAGAAAGACTCTGCGGGTAGCCAGAATGGTGGGTTTTGGTCCTCCTGGCAGCTGGTTTCCCAGGTTGTTCGGCCGGGGATTGTTTTTCTTTTTCCCTCGAATTTTCACAAGACACATCATATCATCTGATCCTAGGCTACGGAGTACGCTTGGAATATAAATTAAAGACATATGAATAATATAACCTCCCTGTACGAGTCGTATGCCCAGGTGGGAACTCGAGCTTTCCAGAAAGTGGAAATTCGGATTATTGACTGCATAACTTCACTGCGGACCATCTAAGCTTCAAGCTTGAGTTTTGAATTTTGAGCTATTCGATGCTTACCCCTGACAAGATACTAAGCCATATTGAGAGTCGGGTTGATGGTATGCTGGGGAGTAAGCATGGTACTACTTGGGCATGCTAAGCGATGCAAGGCAAAAGCTTTGTAGTAGGGCTGATTCTTGGACGCTGGATACTAACCTAGCAATCCAGCCTAGCATCTTAAGTTCCATTGCGCATACTTTTGTGCTCGATATAACGTGCTTTTATACCTGTAGGCCACGTGGGATCTGACATCGGTCCCACTAGGGCATTTTCTAGTTTCTAGTCAGTCTACAGGTAGGTATATTCCAAGGTTTACCTAGGTATTTGACCTGCCATGAATGCCGGCAAAATATTTGAAAGGATTCAACCAGCCTCCAGCTCTGGAGAGCTAATCCTATGTTTTCATCGGGAACTGGCTTCAAATGTGGTTATACTTAAGTATATTCCGCCCCTCAAGACAACACAGTATCACTCTTGGCCTACCTGGGAATGACGTTCTAAAGTTTCTAAAGTTGCCAATGCTCTGTTCTTGGAAACCTTGGGACCTCGGAGCTCTTCTAAAGTTCAGGCCTGTCGCAAATATATCCAAAGATGCTCATGCCCACGAACACAAAGTCTGCTTCGCTCTAAGTAGAGCTCTTGCTGAAGTCGTCTTCCTCAAGAGCTGCTGGTTCTTCCAAGGTTGGCATAGCATTAAGAAGCCCTGGAGACTCCGTGCCCAGGTAGTCTTGCTCAAAAGTTGAGGAATCAAATTATGGCAATTATGGTGCTCGAAAACTTTAGAATGAATGTTGCGAGCCGGAAAAATTAGATTCGGCTAAACTTCACTCAAAAGTCCGAGGTCAATTTATACCAAATGGTGAGATGGCGAGAATTGTTACTGTTGTTTCAAGAAATTGATTACTCTGAGGAGGTGTTTTGGTCACGAAGAAGATGATGTCTATATCATAATGAGCGCTCTTAGTTTCCCCCCAGATACTATTCCTATATATCAATACCTGTAGAAATCCATGAAGCCACCTGCGGAAAAATAGATTCCGTCATAACCCAAAGGAGTACGGGACATGGAATAATTTGCGGGGTTAGAAGAGATATAACCACCTAGTAAATTTGGTAGAAGCTCTCAGCTTCATTAGTACCATAACAATAATCTCGAAAATGCTCCTTTCAGCAACTTGTGTCTTACTTGCAGCCTCAGTAACAGCAAGTCCTCTATCAAAATCAAAGGCTGGATTTGATTGGTCCTCAACGAAAGCTTTGTGAGTAATAACAAGCAGATACTCAAGTGCTTAGGTAGGCATTGGCATATTATCTGACACTGGTTCAAAGACTTGCATTTGGAGACTCCTACACCTATGTCCAGGGAACCCAAGGGCATCAAAACTTCAGTTTTATCGGAGACCAATTCAACCTTGCCTTCTCTCGTGAGACTTTGTTCAACAATAAGATAGTTCAGAACCAGGTGAGTATGGATTCCAACTCTGTCCAAGAAGAGTAAGCTGAACATCAAATTTCAGACTGCAACCGCAGAAGGCGGTCCAAACTGGGTTGAATATCTTACAAAATGCGGGATCAAAGAGGGCCTGACCTCACCCCAAAGCTGTAAGAAGCAGCTTTGGGATTTCGCATTTGCAGGAGCCGACATTTCAACTGAATTGTAAGTGAGCACTAGATATTTAACTGATTCCTACTGACCGCAGACAAGCACACCCCTCCACCACAACTTTACCGTTTCCTTGGTAGATCAAGTTAACCAATTCAAGCAATACGGCCATCCAGCTCTGAAACACACGATCAAAACGCAATCAACACTCGTCGCAATCTGGATTGGGATCAATGACATAAATGACAGTGCTAAATACGCTGTCGACTTCCCAACTTTCTACAAGAACATTACAGATGCGCTTTTTAGCTCTGTTGAAGATCTTTACGATCTAGGTTACAAACAGTATCTCTTCATGAATCTTCCCCCTTTGGATCGCACACCAGGGAACCAAGCGAAGATCTCACCCAGTCCGAACGCCACGCAAGTCGGATGGTATAACGGAGCATTGGCAGAGCATGCTACTGCGTTCAGTGAGAAGCACAAAGACGCCAAGGTGATGGTCTTTGATGCCCATACCAGACTTGGAGCTATGCTAGATGAGCCTGGCAAGTATGGCATTGTGAATACGACGAACTTTTGTGCCGGGTATGACCAGCCGGATATCGCGGTGAACTATGAGAACTATGGATGTCCTACGCCGCTGGACGAATATTTCTGGTTTAATTCGGGACACATGACGAGCCATGTGCATAAGATTCTGGCGAGACAGGTAGAGAGATGGTTGCAGGAGTAGGAATATGCCAAACTCTAGGATTCTGTAATTGCAAATGTGTGACCGGAAATGAACAACTTAAGAAATAACCATTATTACAGACTGGGCCCGAACACTCTCCAGGGCTTCTGCTATCTGATGCAAGAAACTTTTGAAATAATAGACATGCAGGCTGAGTCGTGAGTCAACGCTCTAGGTTAGGAGCAGATGAATCGTGAGCCATCCAGGTCAACCCTGGACCGTAAAAAAAAGATAAGAACTGTCTATGACATCGATAACGCCGTTCCGAACCGAGTTACGCAGGAAGTCGAAGAAAAAAAGGGTCTACCGGGACGAGACAATACAAGCTCAAGGACTGCGAGGAATGCAGCAGCGAGACGCCTACCAGCGACGGTTACCGCCGACAGGAGCAGCGTTGGAAGCAGTGAAACCACCACCTCCGCGGCCACGACCACCCCAGCCACCACGGCCACGGCCACCGCCCCAGCGACCACCGCCACCACCGCCGTAGCGAACCATCTCGGCGAGACGGGGATCGATCTGCTGCTTGGCCTCGGTAAGGATAGTGACCAAGTCGCGAGCCTGCTTGGAGTCTGCAAAAAGATTTGTTAGAAAAATTCTCAAAAAGTGTTGTTGGTAAAACTCACTGTCAGTGGTAAAGAAGGTAATGGCAGTACCAGTGGCACCGGCACGAGCGGTACGACCAATACGGTGGACATAGTCCTCAGAGTTGTTGGGGTAGTCATAGTTCAGGACATGAGTAATGTCACGGACATCTTTTGGAAAGGAGGGTTCGTTAGCAAACAGAGCATTAGTGGGTTTATGAGGAGTATGGCCATGAAGGACCCTTTCTCCGTCGTGCAGGACTTGATGCATCACTGCTCTCTTGATGGTTTTTTAACACCAGGAAGCGAATCCACGGAATTGCGGTAAAGTCCTAGGGTAACCTTGGAAATGCAGCTTCAACAGTTCAAAAACAATGCTGTGTGAGAAAAACTTCAACTCTCCTGCGAGTCTGTGACACAAAAAGTTGGAGAATCAAAGTCAGGCAAAAAAGCCTGCTGCTGTGCTGCACTGTAAGTCCAAGGTCCTTGGGGGACCATCTGGCAAAGAACGCCTGGACGCGGGATGAATACCGACGTGCTTCGAGAGAGTTGTGCACCGTGCCATTGTATTACACAACGTCAACACGGGTGAGTGTTTTTAGACCCCTAAGGGGGGAGAAAGATAGGGGGGAGGGGGGATAGGGAAGGGGGATGTAGTTTGTTCATACCGATACCACGGGAAGCCACGTCAGTGGCCACCATGATGGGGCTCTTGCCCTGCTTGAACTCGTTCAAGACCCAGTCACGCTCATTCTGTTGCTTGTCACCGTGGATGGCTAGAGAGAAGGTTAGCAAGGGCAACACAAGAGGCTAGCACTGGGAAAGCTTACAAAGCGCAGGCCATCCGTCTTGGCGGAGGAAACGGGTAATCTCGTCAGCGACACGCTTAGTACCAGTGAAGATGATGCACTTGTTGGTGCGCTCCTCCATGATCTTCTCAAGGTGCTTGATCATCTTGTCACGCTTCTCGAAGTCGGAAACGACCTCAACGATCTGGGTAATGCGGTGGTTGGCAGCAAGATCGGTGGAACCGACGTTGACCTGAATGTAGTCGTTCAGGAAGTCAGAAGCCAGCTGACGGACCTCCTTGGGCCAAGTGGCGGACCACATGCAAGTCTGACGGTCGGGGCGAATCTGGCCAATGATCTTGCGAATCTGGGGCTCGAAACCCATGTCCAACATACGGTCAGCCTCGTCAAGGACGAGGTAAGTGACACGGCGCAGGTTGGTGCGGCCGGCCTCGAGCATATCGATCAGACGACCGGGGGTAGCAATGCAGACCTCGACACCGCGGGAAAGATCGCGAATCTGAGGACCCTTGGGGACACCACCGTAGACACAGGTGTTGCGAATGCGAGAGGACTTTCCGAACTTGGTGATCTCGGCCTGAATCTGAACGGCCAACTCACGAGTGGGGGCAAGGACAAGGACAATAGGGCCATCGCCGGGGGCGAGGAGGGGCTGGGCGTTGATGTGGACAATAGCGGGGAGACAGTAACTTAAGGTCTTTCCGGAACCAGTCTCGGCGATACCAACGACATCACGACCGGAGAGGGCCATGGGCCAACCCTGGGCCTGAATAGCAGTGGGGCTGTCGAAGCCCTGTGCCTTGACCTCAGAGAGGACGTACTGAGGGAAACCAGCCTCGTCAAAGGTTTGAACGGGGCGGGGGACGTTGGTACCCTGAATAGCCATGACCTTGGACTTGCGGAAGGCATCAACCTCTTCTTGTGTGCGCGCAGTGACATCGGGGTGCTCCTTGTAGAAGGACTTCTCGAACTTGGGAAGAGAGTCAATGTCTGGATATGTTAGTAATTGATGCGTTGCGGATATCAATATTTCGACTTACCCCAGTCTTGGTTCTTGAGGCCAGCGCCGAGGTTGGACATGCGGTCACCACCAGCACCGCCGCCGCCGTAGCCGCCGCCACCACCGCCGTAACCACCACCACCACCACCGTAACCACCACCACCACCACCGTAGCCGCCGCCGCCAGAGTAGCCGCCTCCACGACCACCGCCGTAACCACCACCGCCGCCACCGGAGTAGCCGTTGTCACCACCGCGGGAGCTGTTTAAGATGATTAGTATCTAAGAGTGAAACTTTGGAGGATTGAAAGATCATGATAGTGAACTTACCGGTAGGAGTCACCTCCGCGAGAGTCGCCGCCGCGAGAGTAGCCGCCACCGCCGTACGACATAATCAAGTCTGAGAGAATGTGATTTAGAGGGTGATAAAGTAGAGAGACGAAGGAAGTGTAGACAACAGAAGAAAGGGAAGAAAGAAGGGAAGAATAAACAAGATCTTCTCAAGAACTTGAAAGAACGGAAGGATGAAGAAAGAGAAAAGGGAGAAGGCGCGAAGAAAAAAAGTTAGAGAATCGCTGTATCGGGCTTAGTGCCGTCCGGTGTTTTTCTTCCACGTGATCAGGCCTGGATCAGGGATTTCTCTGACCGCCTTCCTGGACAAGATTAGCTCTTTCCCGATCTATCAGTTGGTTGAATTTTTCCTGCCAGAGTGTGATATGATTGGCTGATACGTTTATCACCCGGCAGAATGATTTGATATTGCCACGGTACGGAGTAAAAAGAGAGGCAAACAATGGAGATCTTTTCAGTGGCGACTTGAATTTGGTCGGATTGTTGCCGCTCATTCAATCGGAGTAAGAGGATTTGATCAGAGGAAGAGAATTCCATCAGAGCCAGAAAATTTAACCAGAGTAAGAGATTTGCGATTGAAATAAGACAACAGTGGCGAGGTTCAAGTGACGGCGAGCTTATCATGCAATGTTATACATACAAGTCATACAAGTGACATCCGTGGATCTATCGACCGCTCCCATCCAACCCCATGTCCCAGAACCGGATCTCCAACTCTGTAGCTCGGACGAAGATCTTGATCAATTCATCCATGCGACTGGGGGAGACTAACTGCATGTGTTTCTCCAACAACGCTAATCAACAACAATCAGTTACATCTTGCTTATGATCATTGTGAGATGACTTACCTGAGCCCAACTGGACAGCCTCTGTGTAATCGTCGGCAACATAGTTCTCAATCCATTTCCAATACTGATTGCCTTGGCGTAAGGTTCCAGCATCTGCATGCAATCGTTTGGCAATGGCACCGTATCCGATCAAGCATGGTGCGAGCGCCATTTGAAGCGCCAGCCAGTCTTCGGATTGACCGACGTCCAAGATGTATCGACTGTATGCCGTGCAAGCTGTCAAAGGAATCAGATGTTAGCGACAGGGGATACAGAAAAAATAACCAAATATCGTTCCTCACCAATGGTCTCAGGTGTGTCTTCCATCTCCTGCTTAGAAAGTCCAAAAGAGGTACAGTATTCAATATGCAGTGCCATTTCCCGCTGAATGTGAAGTACGATTTGGGCAGACTAGATCGAAGTTAGAAAAACCATCACAGTATGGGTAGAAAAAGAAGAACTCACCGCTGCGATCGAATCCATAGTCTTGGCCTTGTATGAGGCTAGTGCATTGCTTCGGGCAAATTGAACCTAGGATCATAACCAGGTTAGTAGGTAAAGAAACCGGATTATGAGTGGTCTTACCAGGTAGAGATAATCCTGTACAAGATACGCCTTGAAGCGCTGAAGAGGTAGGGTGCCTTGGCCCATACCCTTGACAAAGTCATGGTGCGTGAAGTCCTGCCACACTCGCTGCACATCTGGGCGGTCCAATATGTACTCAATGAATCGGCCACTAAAACATCTTAGTACAGATCATAAACAAAGATCGGGGTGCATACGGTGCAAAGGGCATGGTGTAGGTAGAGTGGAAATGATTGATTGGCCCACTTCCCTTGCCCAGATCGGTGCTTGTCTTGATACCTATCTCAACAAATCGCACGGCACTGCGAACGGATCTGATCATGTCCTTTCCGGATGCCAGATTTGCGGCAATTGCAGAAGCAAGCGAGCAGCCCGTGCCGTGCGTGTTTTTGGATATCAAGAACTCGGTCTCGAACAGGGTGGTTGTCGTTCCATCAAAGAGAATATCCACGACAGTGGTTGCATCTTTGGGGTCTTGACAAATCTTATGCTCTTTTGACAGAGGAAGATGTCCCCCTTTGAGCAACACAGCCCGAGGGCCCAAAGCGCAGATCTTCTTGGCAAGTTCAATCATTTCATCAAGACTCGTTGGCTCGGAGGCTTCTGCCCCGGCATCTTTCAGTAAAAGTTGAGCCTCTGGGATGTTTGGCGTCAAAATGGTAGTGAGAGGAAGTAGTTTGGTTCGTACTTCCTTGACTGCCTTTTCTGGTAACAATTGTGATCCACTGGTGGAAACCATCACCTGTCCAGGTTAGGACAGAAAGCGTAAATGGAAAAATTGACTATACCGGGTCAAGAACAATGGTTGGAACATGGTGAGCCTGCAATGTTTCTGCGATGACATCAATGGTCTCAGCAGAGGAGAGCATGCCTGGCGGGATTTTCATTAGCTAGAAAAACGAGCTTGGGATTGATTAGCCTACCCAATTTGACCACATCTGCACCGACATCTTCCAGACCAGCATTGATCTGCTTCCGCACGAACTCTGATGGCACAACAAAGATGTCCTGAACACCTAGGGTGTTTTGCGCCGTCAGTCCCGTTGTGGCCGTGAGGGCATAGCAGCCATGGGCTGCGAGAACCCTTTGATCAGCTTCGAGGCCACTGTTATAAGTCAGATCAATTCCATACATTGATTCGCGTGAATTAATTTGCAAGCAGCACAGCCTGGTCAATCGATTGAAATCGGCACTGCGCTGGCTGCACCAGGATTTCATGAGATGAGTTGGGGTAAACTCACGCGCCACCCGAGCTATCAGATCCTGCAATGACCAGGACTCGTTTGACCGTCATGTTTCAGTCAATAGATGGACAAAGTACTTCAGTAATGTCTCTGCAAACTGAAGTGAGGAACGAAGGGTGGGGTGCTCGGAGAGTTGGTCCCCGGGCTGTCGATAAGATAAGAGGTTGATATTCGAAAACTGGATTTTTGCACGAGTTACATCAAGGTCTACGGAGTAAATGGATCGTATATTATGCAAGTCGATTTGAATCGTGATCATCCTAAAAACATCCCTAGGTATTTACAAACAATTTCCAAAACGCCATCGGGGCATCTATTGTAACATAAAGCGGAACAGACCGTCCATCTCAACCCATTGCCGACCACACTTCTTCAAGTAGCCATCAACCACACCCTTGATTGTGCCAAATCTGGTTCGATTGAACTCTGCAAGAGCGGAAATGTTGTCTTTCTTTTCACCGGTTTCCTTCTCGGCGGAAGCCTTGGCCTTCTCAACATCCCACAGACCGGCGAAGTAGAGAAGCTGGTTGTAAATCTCCTTCTCCGAGTATTCGTACGACATGCGGCCCAGACAGCCTTCTGCCCGGCCTCGGGGACCCAGACAGCGATGTCCATATACACTGATCTGTCGAGTACGGTTTCCACACGACGAATCGTCACACACGAGCCAACCTTCATAGTACCGTGAGGTCTGTTCGCGAATCTGGTTCTCAACCTGAGCGACGATAGTCAAAACAGAGAATGGTTTTTGGCAGGCTTGGTTGGAGCACACGATCCCGTGAGCGGTACACATGTCGGATGAAGTTACCAACCCTTCAAACACAGATCGCTCTTTGCAGGATCGGCACTTCAAGGATAGGCGGGTGGCGTTGGCGAAGCGGACTGAGTCTGGGATCTGAGACTCGAGGGGGGTAATTTCCGCGTTCTGCTGACTGTTGGAGCTGGAGGTGTTGATCTGGTACTTGCGTGTATCAAGACCCAAGCATTCAGCGAGGCGGACGGCATCAGTTCCTGGGATAGGGGCACAGAGACGTTCAATGGGAGGGAAAATTTGCTTGAGAATGTAGAATTCGACATCTGGTTTCAGTACAGAGTCACTCTTCATCACATCCTGTGGGCTGTAAGATCGCTTTGCGGGTGGGAGAGATGATGTTTCCGAGTCTCCATTGGTCACAATATATGAGATAACGTCGTTGGGCCGAACATTCTTGCCTCTGGCGATGTCCCGGAGAGCAACTTGGGCGGGGGGCATGCTTTCTTTGTTAGGATACTCCTGGGGTCGTTTTGATAGTTTCTGGAAGAGTTAGCAAATGCATCCCAAGAGACAATTGGACCACTCACAGTGTAGATCACGTATTTCTGAACCGGAATTGTATTTTCCTTCATCCTCTCTGCAAGCTCACGCAGATATTCATGAACCTTGTTGAGAACGACCTCTTGATCTTCCCCAGAGAGAATCTCGTTGAGCAGTTTTGACGAGACTTCCTTCGAAAGAGCGCAGTATTCACGTCGCTTCATGTCAAGACCCTTCACCTCCAGTTTTTCGACATACTTGCCGTCCACCTCGGTAAGATTGACGGCGGCGTACTTTTTCTTGGCATGCAGCAGGAGTCGCCGGAAGACATTATCAATGTCAATCTCCAGCAAGCGATAGCGTTCATTAACTGCTTTCTTGAACTCTTCACCAACTTTGAGAGCGTCGCTCATGTTCTCCATATTGGTGTTGATCATGACGGAATCGGTATCACCGTAGATAACACGCAATTGCTGGCTTTCGGCCAGTTCTTTCGTGTTCCTCAGAATCTCTCGTCCCTTGAAGGTGGTGAGCATTGCCAAAGGACGAGCATAGAATCGACTCTGCGTGTATCCCAAACATCCGTACATAGAGTTGGCTGTCAGTTTGAAGGCCAGCTGCTTGGTGTCCCACAATGCCAATTGCTCGGGCGTAGCACGCTTATCCTTCATCAATTTCTTCACTTCGCGTCGACGACCGACCAGTGTTGCAATCAACCGAGGAAGAACACCTTGCTCTTGTTCCGAGGAAGGAACATCAGGCACCTTTTCCTCATTCTCATTCTCGGACTATTACTTAGTTAGCAAATTCCACGGAGAGTATTGGAAGTAAAATCAAACTCACTGTGGCTGTTCGGTCAACTGTAGTGAAGCAAATGTTGTACTCCTGGATGATACTGGGATACAAACTGTTGAAATCCATGACAAGGATGAATCTGTCGTAGAGACCTTTTTCGGGCTCAAAGACAAGACCACCCTTGAACTTGTCTTTCTTTTTCTTGTCAACAGCTTCGTCATCATCGCCTTCCTGCGTCTTCTCCTCTGCTTTCTGAAGGCGCGAAGAATACTTGTCTGGACAAATATACTTGTTGCGATGGAACTCGTGCAGCAGAATGTATTCGTTCCGTTCGGCACGTGTACCGCTAAGTGTGCGCGCCCACGAGTTACCAGCAATATTTGTCAAAACCTTTGTCAGTGGCAGCATTTGCAGACGTAGAACCAACGCAGCAACAAAATATGTGTCAGTGTCGCAATGGTTGACGAAATTCATAAGACCTTCTTTGGTGGTTGCCCAAGTCTTCAACGCAGCTTCGACGTCAACTTCCTGTCGTGCGTTGCCTGGACCAAGGTAGAGCTGGCACATTTCGGTCAAGCTCCATGACTGACACTTCATCATAAGTGACTAAGGGGCTGTTAGCTTTATGTTGATGATTTGATACCCGAGGGGAATGATATTACCTTGCCCATATCGTTTCCAATGTCACACATCAATCTTCCAGCAATCAACTGTCTTTCGGCAAAAAAGTTGCCACCCTTGTTGAAATGCTTGGGCCAGTCACCGCGTCTGAGTCGTCCAATGCGATGCCAACCGGGCGTCTTCTTCTCGCGCATTCTGCTGAGAAGGATGCCCAAGTCAACATCCTGTAGCTGGTGACCCATAATCACATCTGGGTCCATCTTTTCAAACAATGCTAGGAACTTGCTGAGCAAGAATTGTTCGGTCTTTTCCAGCATGATAGTGCCCCGTTGCTGCTTCGCTTCGGCTTCGAAGTGCATCGGGTAAGATCCACTGGAAGGGCGCATGACGGTGAAGGTCTTGCACGGAAGCTTTTCGGGGGGTGTGGTGTCGGTGAGAGAGATGTCCTCATACACTCTGGCACTAGCCACCAGAATCTCTTGCTTGTTCTCTTTAACATTGAGCTGGGTTCGGAACGCAAGACTCATGAAGGTCAAGGGGGGAGTGTCCAGATTTTCCGAGTCTGGAACAGGGCTGATGAGCGCTGGTTTGGAGGCCTGGCATTCAAATTTGCACCAGGAAGCATTGGTCACCGCGGCAAAGTCAGCTTGGTCAATCTTGAGCCAGCAAGGGCCCATGATATTCTTCCATAGCACAAACTGCTCGAACAGCGAAGTATTTGTGCCGAAAACATTCGAGAACGTCTCTCCTTTGGTCTCCATTGGCAAGACAGGCTTGTCGTAAGGGTACAGCAGCTTGAGATAATCCGTCTCCTCTTTCGGGACGCCCGGCATTTCAAATGCGTACTTCCGCTTGGACGGCTTGATCTTGTGCATTCCGACTTTGAGTCTCGACATCATTTCGTCAACCTCTGAGTAGACATCCTCCATGCCAACCTCTTCTTCAGTCGCTCGTCCGTGCTTGTGCCGGTACTCACGGGGCAGGAAGTAAAGTTTTCGCAGAATGTTGTCAACCTTGACGAAGGCACTAGTAAATGTACCGTTCTGCTTGTTCTTGACTTTGCCAAACAGACAAAGGCTACCATTGACTTCTGTATAGTCCAGCCAGAACATGCGCAGACTGCCGTCCTCTTCGACAACATCCTGGGCCCTCAATTTCCCAAAGGACCGCATTTCCGGGGCTGGGCTGCTAAGAACATTTAACTTGTTTCGCACGTCATTCCAGGAAGCATCCATGACCTCCGGCATGGTCTTCACGGGGGATGAGCTTGCCGGCTCCGGAACAGCCTCGGGTTTGATTTTCGGGGGTGGCCTGCGGCCGGTCATGTTGACAGTCTCTGCTTTCACGCCGGAGTCCGCTGTGACCTCTGTGACGTCCATGAGATCGATGTCGTCGTCTTCAGTTTCTTCAGGCTTTACTATGGCGATATTCTTGCGCTCCACTGCCTTGCTGATCGGCGAAGAAGGTAGTATGTCGCTCATTGGAACGTCATCGTCCGGCATCGGTAGGGGGCCATCGTCGAGGTCGTCAGAGTGGAGGGTTTGGGCTTTCATTGGGGAGCTGGGCATATCATTTTCATCTGGAATACGGGCCTTCTCGCGGCGACGTTTTTCGGACAATGGCGGTGACAGAACGCGGACTTTGCGTCGGGCCTCTGACTTCACGATGTTTCGGGTTGGGGCGTTTCTGGAGACCACATTTGTATCGACTTCTCCGAGCAGGTCGGCCATGAATGCATCGTCCTCCGCAGTAGCAATGGGCTAAACCGGAGCCATAGTTAGCACAGATACCTCGCATGTCGCAGACGTGTACGCGATAGAGAAAAAAAAGTCACTTGCCTTGGGCTTAGGAGCTGCAGCGGTGGCCTGTCCTTGGTTGAAATACTTGGAAATGCCATTGTTCATTTTCTCTTTACGCTGTTGTTCCTCCTCTCGCTTCCGTTTGGCGGCCTTGCCTCGTGCAGGTAACTCGTCGCTGTCATCGCTGGCGTATTCAGCTGTCTGCTCGTTCCATACTTCGCGGCCATCGTCCGCATATCCGGCACCATTATCGTCGACAACGAAATCATCTTGGTCAAGTCGGTTTCGGATGACCTTCTTATAACCATCATCGTCAACCTCATCGTAGATATCGCCTTGGTCCTCAACCTCATATGTTGAGATTCGCTTCTTTCCTGAGGCGCGAAGGGCCCTCAATTCGGCCAATCTCTCAGCCTTGGTGGGCATTGTGGGTTGTAATGGAGACCACTGCCCAGCAAATAAAGTTGTGTGGGCAGAGAAAATTAGATGGGTTGGATAATTGTTGCGGGGAATGGAACCTTGAAAGGGCAAGAGGAGCGCGCCATTAGTCGAGGGACGCGAACACCACGCGTTGAATCGCGTTGGCGCGGATTGGTCAGATCTGGTTAGGTAATCCCATTTAAGTGCATTATTTTCGCCTCAGGCGACAATACTATTTTGCCTCAGGCGACAATATATTTTCGCCTCAGGCGACGATATCGAGCCCTAACTTCATGGTCCACCACTCCATCTAGGTAACACACTTAGCCCGTGGGAACTCCATGTATAATTTTTGATCACACATTGAGAATTTGATGATGGGATGAGATGGCACCCACATCAATGGTCTTAAGGCTCACCGATAGTTGGCGACAGATATTCAAACGCGCTTCCTATGCATGTCCGTTCCCTTTGCATTTCATTTGATGGAACAACCCCATCATTGTCTTGGTGGGCAATACAGCCATGCAGGTCCATGGATTTTGTTCAATAAAGGGAGCTGGTATCCCTATAAAACAACCTGTATACAAGGATGTTTTAGTACCTAAAAGGTAAATATATTGAATGTTCAAGATTTCTACCTGTCACTCCAGTTCTACTTAAGTACCATATGTATTCTGGTCAAACTTGGTAGGGAAATGGACACTAGAGCTTCCTTTCTTTTAATGAAGCTAGACGTGCTTTTTTGCCTTAAATTTGGGCTTTTTACGGTTCTCAAAGCTTAAGTATTAGGTGCTTGTTTATACCGCCTCAGCTGCTCCTGTCACAGTTATTACACCCTTTAAAAGGCCCACCAGTGATCTAACAGTGAGAAGATTGAAATTACAAATGCTCGTGCCACTGAGCTTACCTAGTTAAATGTCAATCTACAGGGCTTGATCACAGAGTCAGTCATCAGCCCGCCATAGCCACCACAGGATATCCTCATTCCAAGATTTCCAGCTACTCACTTGAGCAAGTATACAATTATCTTGGGGAGAAAAACTGATATGAAGAAATCCTCAAGTACTTTGTAGATTATACTCCAGCACCGTCTATTGAGGTATTCCCCCGTTCCCGTTCCCTCTTGATAATCACAAGATAGCACGGGACTTCACGGACAGTATGCTCTTCAGGACTTCTTTACCGTAAAACTTTAGGATATCAATATCAGGCAATATTGAAGATAAAAGGATTTGGATAGAAGGATAGGCCTCCAGGGCTAGTACCTGGCTTTATCAGCTCGGCTCATTACCTGAGAAGTTTTCACGATCTTTATTTAGTGTTAAAATCATACCGCATTCTAAGGTTGTCGTCGTTTCTTAACGTCCCGTTTAGGAAGCCTTCATCGACGTGAAAACGCAGAAAGCGTGTCTTTCTCGCAATGTATAACACGCTTTCTATTTACCTCTTCTCTACTTCGTGCTTCTCCTCGCATTTTCCCCGAGTCTTTTGGCTTTGGAAGTCCCCCTCACTGATCTAATACGTGCTTATGAAGCTCCCACCCTCTTGTTAACGTGATTTTGCTGCCTGCACCCGACGTCAATCGCATTATACTCTTCACGAAGGACTTCTGGGGCAGTCACATCCTACCCTCCTGTCTCAATGTTCACTCTCATGCGTGCGCATCTGTTCAATGTGGCTTCGTGAGTTGCATCGTACTCCCCAAACATTCCAACAGAACCCAAACTACATGCCTTCGTGGACCTTTCCAAAAGGTCTGCTGGCTTGATGTGGGATCTAATCAGGAGCCTACGTGCCCAATCGCTTCTAAAACGCGAGGAGACCATGGCTGACACCTCCTTTGACATACAGAATCCACGCATCTCGTTTTGGACCTCACTTTCCTCCAACTTTCGACTGCCTTTTGGCATCTGATCCGGAGTCTACTTGCTCAATCGCTTCTACAACGTGAGAAAACCATAGCTGACACCTCGTTTGACATACAGAATCCACGCATCCCATTACCCACCTCACTTTCGTCCAATCTTTCACTGCCTCCTGGGTGCCCTGCACTCGAACCAAATCTCGACTTGAACGCCTTGACCACAGTCTATCATACGGTATGGTGCAACAAATGATACTGAATATGAGCTTCTGGATAGAAGAGCCACTAACTACTCGCTGTAGAGTCCACAGCTTCGAAGCATGGGTTGTGCATCGACTCGCACTCATCAACCCATCTTTGGTCTATACCAGAGAACGAGACTCAACAACGCGTTCAGACTTGCAAATACTCATTGTAAGCTGCAGAGACAAATCGAGCAGAACTCCGCAGCTTGAAAATACTAACAAAATACAAGGAAGTCATACCTCGTGCATGCTCATGCTCGAGTATTGTATTGACACAACCCCTAAGCGGGGCAACCTGAACGATTCCAATCAGCTTTGGTCTAGTTTGTTGAGAATCAGATCAATTCACCCATCGGAATGGATTTTAGTACGGTCGCTAACATTTGAGAAGGCCACAATGTCCTCGTCCTATTTTCTGATCCCCCCATCGCCAATTTCATGATCGGAGGCGCTTGGTACAGCAAGCCTAACGAACCCTGAAACTCCCCCGTCCTATTCCTCCGAACTCCTACCGGGCGCTCATGCTAGCTTCGCCGAGTATATAACCGTGTATCTCTGGGAACACGGTGGGCACAATTTTTGTTCAGGTAAGTCACCGGCTCCAATATATGTTCCTTGGGCTGGGCACAACAAACATCTGATAAATGATGCAGTTTACAGCCTTGAAGATATTCAACACGAGGCTCGTTGCCACATCGAATCCAAAACTGGCACTTCTTAGCTCCCTGGTCAAGTATGTCTCGAGGACGATCTCCTACTTATACACACGGAGGAATATTTGGATGCTCACAACTATCAACAGGAACATTTGACCAAGGGTAACCAACCCTCTTTAGTCACTACACTAGTCTACAGGTCGACATCTTACTCCGTACGAAGATTTGGACAAGCTCGCTCACTGTCCTGAGGCTGTTAAGGTCATGGCCGCGATTTTTCAGGGCTTTCCCAGGTTAGTACCGCCATATACAGCCTCCCACAGGATGCTCACCAAGATAAGTTTGGCTAAGTGACCAAGATGGCTGTCACTTTCTGCCCCTTCAAGAGAGATCCATGGATATTGGAGCTCCAATTAATCCGACTTTTTCTAGGTGCAAAGCTTTGGTGCTGCCCGGGCACTAAAACCCAAGCCCTGTCCGAGTGCCCATCGAGGCAATTCCCAGACGACGCCCCCGATGTGCTTTTCACGGCACTAAAACCCAGGTATTCCGTCAGATAACCCCTTTGCTACCTCCTGATCGAATGATTGCATACAATGCGAATGCTACATGATGAAACTTCTTTTCTCTATTTGACCGTGAAGCCGCTCTTAATCTAAGTCTCACGGGAGCTACCTTTATTACTGAGTGATCTCTCGGGTCCAACCTTTCAAGGTTGGAATCAAAACTTGGGATGAACACTATGAAAACATGAAAAGAACATCTGATTTTCACGCTTGTCTTGACAAGATTGCTTACAGATTTCATGATGATGCTTTACCAATGTCTTTGTGCCGAGGCTGACGCTTTGATGAACGACCATTTCTAGGCCATCCAACGTCTACGGACTCGATAATAGCCCCGAGCATTGTTTCCCCGAGCTAGTCTTTTCGACAGAAAGGGTCAGTGTGGATTCAAATTACCATGCCAACATTGATACACAACTATTAACTTGGTTGTTCAGGCCCAGAAGATATCTTGTGTTTTCTCCGGCATCGCCCATGCATCCTGCACGCACTTTGCTCGCGAGCGGGCTCAAGGTCAACAGTGCGAATATAGAATCTAATTGCTAACTCTGCTGATTCTTTTTTCTCACAGGTCGGCAAACAGCAATATCCAAAACCAACGAACTATCGGCCACGACACAAATCTTTGGTGCTTGATTCAATGCAAAGCTAAGTGGTTCTCCAAGTGTTGCTTCGCTTGATTCAACCAGTTCGAGTAATTGCTAACTCTGCTGGTCATACTTTAACAGAGACTGCAATTTCAGAGATGGGCGAGAGCTATTGGCAGGTGAGGAATTTTAACCCTATGCAAAAATCACCCATGATTTGAGGATCTCAATGGTCCCGTGAAGACAACTAAGAGCAGATTCCGATGCCACTTAATGTTCATTGTTATGACGTGAAAAGAGCTACCGCTCGAATTGATGTGACCGGTCTTTGGTACAAATCTCAAAGGTGCTGGCCTTACTGATTGAAGCTAAGTGATCCCCAATGGCCATCCCGGTTGTTTCGACAACCCTAGAAAATGGATTTCTGCTAACTCTCATGCATACTAGGTTCGCGACACACCTTCCGTTACTTCGATCCAAGACATCCACAAAGGCTACAACTTCAGAGGACTGGGGCTTACTGGCAAATTCTGATAGCTGTTTTCCATATTGGATTCAGCCACAGAAAGCGGGACTCGATACTTCGACCAAGGAGGATCATCAATAAATGTCTGATGCCAATCGAAGAACATTTTCGGGGCTGGAAAAGCGCTCTCGCCCATATTCTCACATTCTAGGTTTGCCAATCCCCTGTTTCCTATTCAGACTGACACAGGTTTAGGTTCATTTCCTACGATTATTCTCCGGATCTGGCTCGCGCAGATGCTGGCTGATGCAATCCAAAGCTAAGTGATTCCCTTGACCTAATTCTTTCGAGTCAGCTAATTTTCTAGGGTTCTTTCTTGGGAGGGGGCTTGGGGGGCGCGATCCAAAGCTTTGATCCCTATTTCCGACATACCTTTCGCATCTACTAACTATTTTCAGGTTCAATTCTTGGGGGAGCTGGCCGGTGAAATCCAAAGTTAAGTGATCTCTTAACTCCAACCCATCTCTCGCGTCAACTGAACTCATGTTGGCGAGGGTTCGTGGCTGCATGATGATAAATCCCCTACCTAGGCTACGGCCGATGATGGATTCTCAGGATGATTCTGATGCCATTTGATTGTCATCTTTCGATTTGATTTCCAACAAATGTTGGCTATGAAAATGCAAAGCTCAATGGTCTCCCGATCTCCAGCCTACCTTTTGAACTGACTAGCTTTATTCCAGGGCCGTTTCTTGGGGGGAGCTAGCTGGTAGCATCAGAAGCTGAGTGATCCCCATTTTCAATTTACTCTTTTAGATCGACTAACTGTATTCAGGTTCAATTCTTGGGGGAGCTGCCCAGTGAAATCCAAAGCTACGTGATCCCTATTTCCAATTTATTCTTCGAACCAGCTGACTCGCTTCTAGCATCACTCTTGGGGGGCGGGAGAGGAGGAGAGGGACTGGCTGGTGACATCCAAAGGTAAGTGATTCCGCCATTCCATTGTCATCATTGAACGCGTTGATTTTTTCTCTCACTCTCTGATCTGTACTATGTATGGACGAGGGGCACTGGCATATGACGACAACTTCTAAGATACACTTATCAAAAATTCTCTCTGAGGCTTAGGCCTATGATGAATTCCGAAAAGAACAGTCCGATGCCAGTGTTATTCTTTAGATCAATTTTGCACATACGCTGTGCTGGTTATTTTAACCCAGAGCTCTGTTGACCCAGAGCCATGTAAGCCATCCCCCAATGTTATGCCGGTGCTTCGAAGTTGGAATTTTTACTGACCAGCCCCAATTAGGGGAATTTTTTGAACCATTCTTCAATTTTGAATTTTTTTTTTTATTCAACACATTGTCTCCTCGAGGCCCTGGCAAATGCTACGGCCACGCAGAGGGTGATGACTTCTGGCAAATGATGATACATCAGGCATGATGATGATGATAATAAACAACTCACAGTCTGATGCCACTTCCAATTCGTTTTCACGAGTGGGAAGAAGTCTTCATCTAATGCTGATGTGCCTAGTCAAAACCGAGACTCGAGGGATTGGTAAGTGCTCCAACTACGCAGATACTGATGGCTAACGGCAAGCGACCATTTCTAGGTATCCCTCAGAACTCCATGGATGGCGATGATGACTTGAAACCTTGTTTTGAAAATCATGAGAATTTCCGGTGACTGAATGCCACTTCCAGCCCATTTCAGGAGTGGGAAGAATCCTTCCACCTGGGCAAAGTTCCAAGGTTCGTCTAATGTCGATGTGCCTGCTGAAAGCTTAGGCTGGAAGGCTTGGTGAATATTACGACCACACACCGAGCACGATCACCCCTGACAATAAATGATATACCTCAAAATGGCGATGATGACTTTAAAAATCAAGGCCTCAGCTTGATTCTGATCGATCTATCCATGGATAGATCATGACGAAAACCGATAATCTGATGCCACTTCCAATTCGTGTTTACGAATGGGAAGAGTCCCTCCACGGTATATCTAATGTCGATATGCCTGGTGAAAGCTGATGCTTGAAGGCTTGGTGAACATTACGGCCACACACTGAGCACGATAGCCACTGGCAAGAAATGATGATGAACCTCTCTTTTTGACCTATGGAGCTGCACTTCTCCATGAAGTTGAACCTCTCCATGGAACTGCACTTCTCCGGTGTTGATGCATTTGCTCCCCGTAGAAGCTGCATTGCTTCCGTGGAGCTGCATCGATTCTACGGAGCTCGTTTGCTCTCCGTGGTCATGAGAGAGTTCTATATCTTCCCTCATCCTCTCCCTCTGGTCTTCCCTTCCTTATGCAATCTATCGTTCTCTCTCCCCCAAATGATTTATCTCAAACATGGCGATGATGACTTAAAATTAAGACATCGCTATAAGTTTGATCGATCTATCCACAGATAGATCATGAAGAAAACCGATGATCTGATGTCACTTCCTATTCGTTGAATCCCGAAGTCCTTCCAAAGTATATTTAATGTCGATGTGCTTAGTGAAAGTCGACCTCGGGAGGCTTGAAGGCTTGGTGAATGTTACGGCCAGGCAGAGGTCAATGGCTACTGGCAGGAGATGATATATTTCAAAATGGCGATGATGAACTGAGTTCGCTATGATTCTGATCGATCTATTCATGGATAGATCATGACGAAAACTGATATTCTGATACCATTTCCACTTCGTTTACACGAGTGTGAAGAAATCTTCATCTAATGTTGATTCCCAGGTGTTCCTGGTCAAAACTGAAGCCCGACAGTCTTCAGTATTGGCAAAGGATCAAATGGTATGATGATTCATATTGGAGCTTGACGCCCAGTTGATGAAGACTTACACGCTCTGATGTCACTTCCAGCTCGTTTCACGGGTGGAAAAGATGCTTTCATCTGATGTTGTTATGTCCGGTCATGACCTAGGGTGGTTGGTTGCCAGATGGATGGGAAAGGTGCTATGGCCTTCTGATGTATGCACATGTGGTGCAGCATTGGGATCACCAATGATGTCAATTCGGCAGAGCGAGCTGCTGCTAAGGATGATTATGACTGTGGTGAGATCACAAGTGTTGTCGAATCTTGAATTACTCAAGGCTTCTCGATGTATTTCTAAAGTTGGTTTTTGCGCCAGGAATCAGAGTGAAATTTATCATTTGTCCAATCGAACAGCACACTTTTTGAAGGAACTTAAGTACATCATCCATAGTATACCGAGGGCCACCCGCGGATGAATGTGGAATTTGCTCGCACTTGATGACCAAGAAGGTGAAGATATATCCGAAGTAATACCATAAGAATGGCATTGGAAAACTCCTGCCGCTATTTAATTAGAACCTTCTAAGTTGGAGGAGGGAAGCCCCCCACTTGGGCAAGGCTACGTTCCAAAATTAGAGGTGATCAGTCATAAGGCGTGGTGGGGACCTTGGAATTTAGTCATTTCATGCCTTCATTCCACAGGATACAGTTCATGGGCTCTATTCCGTTGAGTGTTTTGAGCCGCAAGATGGAGGTGGGAGATCTCTATATCTGCGGCCAGAGGTTTACTCCCGAAGTTAGGGCTTACTTGCAAAGTGTCGGAACATGGAAGCTCAAATTCACCGAGCAGATGTCAAACAGCAGTTTTGAACAAGATAAAACCCAGTATCATTGAGTAGATTTTCCTGGCTATGCTAGGTATTTTTTCCAGCCGTGCAGAACAGCGCCAGTGAAAAACATAGGATATCCATCCTCAACACAAGGCACCGAAACAACAACCAGAGGCCATATTCATCAAGACCTCTAGCCCGGTCCTCTGATCTCATGCACGAGCGGTCTTACCGAACAAAAACCACTCAATACACATCATCCCCGGCACCTCCCAAAGTCCCGAGTCCACCAAGAAGTCATGGAAATGAGTCGTGATAAAAAAAAACAGACGAAGACAAGCATGTTCCAATTCCTTCCCGTTGCCGTTGTAAACTTTTCTTTTCCCTTTCGCCGCGTAATAAGGTATAAGAGAGAAGAAAAATTTAACGGTAGGACTTCTGGTAGCGGGAGCGGGCACCGCGACCACCGAACTTCTTTGGCTCGGTGCGACGGTTGTCGGCAACCAGGAGTGTGCGGTCGTACTGAGCAAGAGCCTGCTTCAGCTGGTTCTTGGAGTGCTCATCGACGTACTTCTGGTAGTAGGCGACGATAGACTTGGCGATGGCCTGACGGATGGCGTAGACCTGGGAAGTGTGACCACCACCAGTGACGCGGACACGGATGTCGACACCGGCGAACTTGTCAACGCCGACGATGAGGAGGGGCTCGTAGACCTATATTCGATTGCTCGTCAGAATCATGTCGAATGCGATTTCTTGCCTCCTTGCCAGTGGGCGCAGGCGGGGTTCATTGCGAATCCACGTTTCGATGGCCGTGCGGGAAGGTTGCTGGAGCGATTGTGCGTACCTTGAAGCGGAGGATCTCGGGCTGGACCAGGGAGAGGGGCTGGCCGTTAACCTTGACGAGGCCCTTGCCTTGCTGTTAAAATTCTCAGTATTCTGTTCATTCTTTGAATGTGTCTGAAACCCCCAAGGTCGCGCAATAAGTTGTTTCGTATATCCTTCCAAAAATTCAATTTCAATTTCGACGCCCAGTTGTCCATTCCTGCTGCATGATTCTTCGACTGATTTTCCTTCCAGATATTTCGAAACAACGTATTGGGACCGAGGGGGGTATAGGCGTCATCATACCTTGCAGTGGGCGACAGCGGTGGCTGGAGAATTGAATGTCAGCGCACGAACTTCATCGGTCGTGTAATGTCCTCCAAAATAGAAAGCTTACCGGTCTTCTTCTTGCCGAAGCATTGCACACTCGGGACGGAAGCCATGGTGGATAGAATGGCCCTTGTTGTCGTGGGGAGGGAGTGTGTTGTCGAGGGAGATAGAAAAAGAGATCACTGAATTCCCAATACCCGCACTGATTTGGCAGGCCGGTGCGGGTTTCGCTTAGTGTGAAAAAAATTACCTAAGCCATTCGCTTATACACCGCCGCATCATATTCTGCCGGACTTAGGCTTAGGGCTACCTTACCGCCATCCGATTAGGTCAGGACATCACGTGGTGAGCTCCTGCTGTCACGTGAGCAGCCCGCCGCGCGATGTATCTCGGGCGAAGTTTTCGGACGCCAAGGAAAACAGCCCAAGGGTTCCGATGATACGTGCAGGTCCCCAATTGAACCCCAGTCTTTAATTACTCATTCGCTCTTCCCCTAAACTACCTCGCTCGTGTATCATCGCCGACTCAACCACCATGTCGCAACTCGTTGGCAAGGTAAATAGCTTCAATGCGGAGTCTTCCGGGCCAACCCCAACTAACCAACCGCTTCACAGACCCGTCTCGCCTACTCGCGAACATGGCACTATGTCGATGCCGGTTCCGATGAACGCTCTCTCGGCCGCCTGGCCTCGTCGATTGCCCTTGTCCTCATGGGCAAGAACAAGCCCATCTACGACCCTTCGACAGACTGCGGCGACTACGTCGTAGTTGTCGGATGCCACGATCTCAAGACGACAGGAAAGAAGCGATTCCAGAAGCAGTACTACACCCACACGACGAGACCCGGTAGCTTGAAGAGCATGACTATGGATCAGATGTTCGCCAAATGGGGTGGTGGTGAAGTCCTGCGCCGTGCGGTCAAGGGCATGCTGCCCAAGAACCGTCTTCAAGATGGCCGCCTGGCTCGTTTGAAGAGTAAGTCATGATATGGATGTTGCTGCTCCACTGTCAAATGGAATCAATCCCTGACGTGGACTCAACTTACCACTGCTCCCCCCTTTTCCCTGTGCATTGGCTGACGTTGTACTGCACAGCTTTCGAGGGCGTCGACCACCCATACAAGGAAAATATCGTTAAGTTCGGCAACCAATCTGTGATCGGCAATCTATCCGAAGTGCAGGAGGCATTCAAGGTGGCAGCTACCAAGCCCACTGCATAGAGCATATTCCCCCTTTTCCTTACCATTCTATTGTCCTTTTACGACAGACCCCAAGTTGGTCTTTGTCCATCTGTATTCTATTTCCCTGCGATGTTATGATCCAACCGCAAAAAGCGCATTGGTGCGGAGTCCATTTGGGATGCTTTTGATTATCCACTATGTCGATTGGCCAGACCTTTCGACTTTCGAGCATGCGGTTCCTTTTGAAATGTACTTCTAGCACATACAACAATACCACGTCCTATATACTCTTACTTTTTCTGCTACTCGACGGATCTGGCGAATATCAAAAGAAAAAGCTGGACTTGCATTGGACTGGAATCTAGTCCTAGTGTTATAGGTGGATATATGTACACGAGAATAAATGTGCTTGAGCGGCTGCCGGAGCTCGCCGACGATTTAGAAAGTAAGCATTTACAGCTTAGCTTTCTGACTGGCGCGGCCAACGGTGCACTTGATAAGACCGTTAGGGTTAGATTGGGGCGCGTAAACCTCGGCATCCTTGCCGGTGTTCTTGAGTCCCTTGTGCCAGCTGAGATCTACAATTGCAGCAATTAGTCCAGGTCCAATAATTCTGAAAGTAAGAAATGAAGGGAGAGGGGTCAGAACATACCAACTTCAAAGTAGTGCTTATTGGGCAGCTCATACTCAACGGTATCCACAAGAGGCGCAGCAACAAGAATCAAATCTGCCATCTTGTACATAGTAGCCTGGACTGAGGCGCTGTTATCTTCCGCGAATGTCTTGAGAGTAATTGCGCGCGCAGCATCGTACGCGGCATTGAACTTCTCAAAGTGTGCCTTCACCTCCGGAAGGCCGGTGAAGCGGCGCCACTGCCAGTTGGCAGCGACATCAGTGCTGAGAATGCGATCCCAAGTCTCCTTGAGGGTAGTGTACTCGTCGCGGAGGAAGCCCCAGAATTGGGAGCCGGTGCTCTTCAGCACGGTCAAACCTCCAATGGAGGAGTTGATATCAATGCCCTTGCCCTCGGTGACGTCGACCTGGACGTTGCGGGTTTCCGCGCCAGGCTTGACGAATGAGTGCGGGTGCGGCTTGCCGTCAACGCTCATGCGCTCCCAGCGGTGGGTCACGATGTTAACGTGGGCCGCATGGATGTGGCTATACTTCTCGATGAAGTGTGTTCCCAGAATGGAGCCGAAAAGCTCCGGGGGAGTGACGGGGTTCTGCTTGGCTGTGATATAGATGGTGTTCTTGATAGAGTCTGTTGCGACGACGACGCTGTTATCAGCCCGGGTGTAGCTGTCGGCAAGTCGTGTTAGCTTCGGTTCTTGGTGGTACAGACGCTGAATCTTACGATGTCTCGATGTCACCCTCCAGAAGAACACAGACGGTCATTTCCACCACAGTCTGGACGCCGGTCTTCTCATCTCGGTGCACCTTGTAGACGCGGACATTGTCCTTGCCGTAGCGCGCAGCTGCCAATGAACTCATGGTGTATAAGAATAAGAGTGAGTAGGTATGATTAGAACAGAGAAATAGAATGGAATAAATTGCAGAGATTTAGCTATCTTATTTATGTGAATGGAGAAAAAGAGAGGCATCGGGCACCTCCGATGGCCGCGGGTGGCCGCCCTCTGCTCAAATCCCGATCTTATCGGTTTCCTCCCCTCGTATGGCCTGACTCAAAGAGGCCAGAGCACGGCGATTTACAATGGTCACTCTATTATCCAATCCGTGCTAAGCTAAGCTTGCAAGCCAATACTCGAGTGTCTTCTCTTCCCCAGACTTCGGAAATACTAGAGCCGCAGCTGTGGAGATCTGCAGCTCAAGTATTCTCCGCGTCCGAATCCGAAATTCCGACGTCCGAATGCAAGGGGCTTCACCTTTTTCAAATCCCGGAAGATGGGCTGATGATTTATGGTCTTTGATACTCCACTGCCCGGCGACCTCCACCACGGAGAGCTGCGATCAATTCTCATCCATGACTCTGCTTAGTTGGATGCACACCCTCGTGGTCGCACAGCGCGGGGGAATGTCATCTACGTTGACTCCATTTTAGGATCAAAGATCTCTTGGTTGTATACGTTCTTGCCGCAAAGCCCCCGATAATTGATAAATCCAGGTCGCTTTGCGCAGCGCACCAATCAATCTTAGGGTTGGGGGATATCGATTCACCAGAACATCTACACCAACACCAAGGGCCTTGGAAGGCTTCTTCCAAAGTTCGTTCATCACAATAAGTGACACCCTCCAAGATTCCAAAATGCGATCAGCAGAAAACGAAGGACACCCTACTACACATGGAAATACGACCCAATACGCCGCAAATGCGTGGGCCGCGCATCGGGCCACAGCATATATAGGTTTCAACCACAACCCCCCTTTAGCGGTCACAGGCTACTTGTCGACTGGACGTGTCCCTTGGCAAGTTGCAGTACGACCCGAGACACCTCATGGGATCAGCCGCCTCGCCACGTCGTGCAGACTCATAAACAGGGCACAGAGAAACCGAAGAGAGTGCGGTATCTGTGGCTTACGAGGATACCGCTGTAAGTCTGCTCATTCTCACGACAAGAATGAAGGCCATGGATCCCAGGATGATCCAATGAAGCACGCAAGCCTGGCATCGTAATCGACCAAGTAGCATGATCCGTGTCAGAATGGGTTCTGTTATTCAGCTCCAATAAACTAAGCAGGGAAGTGAAGTATAAGAATTTTCCAAAAGAGGCTTGCCAAGAAGCCTGATCTCTAGTTTGAATGGCAATCCTCGAATCGGAGGCTGAGGCTAGTGCGATGCTTGCAACGTCGATCTGACGAAGTTTGTATGCGGTGCACCAGTTTCAAGCCCTCTATCGTATAAACCCTGGTTATGACCGGCGATTGGGCGCGGAAAGTAATATTCAAGAGCGGAGATCGGACGATGACTTGCCGAGCACCCGAATGGGATAGGATGACGAGGGGATTCTTTGTTTAACAAAGAGCTTCCACCTGCCTACCTCGGTATTATGAGTGAACTTTAGAATCTCATCCGTTCCAACCCCTTGCTTTGAGTAGAGATTGAGTTCAATTCACACCCGCGAGAGCTTGAGTTATATCGAGTTTAAGTCAGTGCTGAGGGAATTGCCACCAGCCTCAATCTTGATATTCACGATGAACACGTGCGATTTGAAACGGTTCAAGAGGACAAGAATTAAGAAACGTCCGTGGCTCTTGAAAATCCGGTCCTCGACGAGCTTTATTGTCGCAGCTGTCTGGATGTCCACATTCACGGTAAGTGTAAGCCTTGTTGCGTGTGTGTGTGCACATCGCTCACGCCTGTTTGAATATACTAGGAATTTCTGCTCTATGCCATGGTGAGTCTCATATATTTTCATGGGGATTGAGACCTGAGATCAGGGTTTCACAGATAGTTCCTGTGATGCCAACAGCGCTCGTAACGCGAGCAGGGATCGAGTATAGTGACCGTATGAATTCCCATATAAGCATTTCTCGCCACTTGCACTGACATCTGGAATAGGGGAATATTGGGTCAGTGTTCTCCTCATGTCTGAGGCCGGCACGTCTTTGTTATTTTGTCCCATATTCGGCTACTTGGTGGACCGCGGCCGGACACGACGACTTCCCTTTATCGGGGCGTTGTTAATACTGACTGGGTGTATGATTATCTTGCAATTATCGCAATCAATAGCCGGATTTGTTACCGCGCGTCTGCTCCAAGGTGTTGCAGGTGCACTGGTAGTGGTAGCGGCGTTTGCTCTCATTGGCGATGCCGTGCCACAGGAACGCCTTGGTCAAACGATTGGATATCTGGGATCCGCGATTGCCTCGGGGTTCCTACTGGGCCCATTCCTCGGTGGTGTGGTGTACAATTCTGGTGGGTATAATGCGGTTTTTTGGTTTTCATATCCTATTCTCGCACTTGACATGGTTATGCGACTGGTACTGGTTGAGAAAAAGGTTGCTGCTCAATGGGCCGAATCAAGTGATGATTTAGAGTCGGATCTGGAGACCGAGCCGCGCATTGCACGAGTCGAGCCACCTGAGCCACAGCAACAGCCGCAACCACGGAGAAGAGGCATTGTAATGTTCCGAATGCTCAAGCGACGCCGAGTGTTCATATCATCGTGGGCACTGCTTGTTCAGGGTCTGTTGCTCTCTGCTTTTGATGCGGTAGGTAGAAAGTATAACTCGAAAGAAATGGCCGACTGACGACAGTGTCTAGACACTACCCATCTTTGTTGAGACAACATTTGGATGGAATGCGCTCGGCATGGGGCTGATCTTCCTGCCGATGGCGGTACCGGCCTTCTTCGAGCCTCCGTTCGGCTTCATCACAGATCGAATTGGTGCTCGATGGATCTCTTTTAGTTGCTTCGTTCTTCTTATACCCTCCCTTATCTGTCTCCGGTTTGTCAGCCAGCACTCCAACGAACAAATCGCTCTATTAGTCTGCTTGCTGTTCCTCATTGGGGTATTCATTCATGCTTGCGCGCCGGCGATGTATGTCGAGACGCAGCAGGCACTCACGACCATGGAGCTCGAGAGTCCAGGAATCCTGGGCCCCAAAGGCGCGGTGGCGCAGGGATTTGGTTTGCAGAGCATGTGCCAATTCGCGGGGATTTTCTTCGGACCTCTCTGGGGCGGGTTTGTGGAGGTCCGCTTTGGGTGGGGCGCGATGACTGGATCTTTGGGAGTTTTGGTAGCGCTCACTGCAATGCCGATGTTATGGCTGGGAGACGGTGGAGAGAGTGGGGAGAATGAGGAAGAGAGAGGCGAGGGAGCTCGAGAATAAGAGAGAAATCCAGGGTTACGCAAAACAGGCAACACCTTTTTTGTTGGTCGCGGTTTCCCTATGTCGCCTGGACCATCCCAATCGGGCAACTCAAACGTTCTCTATCGATTAACTACTTTCGTCACTCTTTACTTTGACCTCATCTGTCAACTCTCCTTCCATTCACCATCTTTGTATTTGGTCTCTTGATCTTTCTGCCATAAAAGCCTCATCATTTTACTCTCTTGACTTTTTATTTTCTCCTCAACTCCTCAGAGTCAACAGAGTCTACACCGTCTACTGTAAGTATACCCTCCGATGAGTCCATTGTTCCCGGATACTTCTCAATCGCATGTGATCTAACTTAACAACTAGATCACAACTTCCCAGATCCATCTATTAAGCATCTAATACTCAAACCTCATCTTCGCCACAATGCCTCCAACCAACAAGACTTGGCATATCAATCACCGCGAAGAACTCAACGGGGGCCATAACGATAAACAGCAATTTATCTGCCCGTCAGAAACATCACCACACATCGCAACACTTCTCAGTTTCCCCTCCGCCCGCTCAACCCTGCCAGAACTCTACTGGAAAACAAGGAATGAAATCATCAGTCTCGCGACAACAATCGCAGCCTTCGAGCCCGTGCGCCTGCACGCCAGACCAGAAGATCTACGCAGCGCAGAGGCCATGCTAGCCGAGCGCAGCCCCTCAACACCAACACCCCACCTAGAGAACATCACCTTGGTCTCCGCACCAACCAACCACTGCTGGATCCGCGATACGGGACCAGTGTACGTGCGCAGCGCAGACGAAACAGACACCACACGCTACGCCATCGACTTCAAGTTCTGCGAATGGGGTCACAAAATTACCGAGCGGATCTACGGATCTGCTAACTCCCCCGCAGCTGAAGAGGCGATCAGAATATCGCCGGAGTACGGCGACTGGCCTGTCATGGATGAGGCGGCCCAGATCGAGAACACGGCTTTCGCGGCTAAAGTTCTAGAGCTTGAGAATGCGTCCGGCGCCTCTGTGACCCGTGTGCAGACGCATATTAAGCTCGAGGGGGGTGGTATTGAGATTGATGGCGAGGGTACATTCATGGCTACGGAGAGTAGCATTATTGGAGATGCGCGCAATCCTGGTCTTGGGAAGGCTGAGATCGAGGCTGAATTGAGGAGGTTGCTGGGTGTTACTGCATTTGTGTGGTTCCCTGGTCGGATTGGGCTTGATGTTACGGATGTGCATATTGATGCTGAGGCAAGGTTCATTCGGCCTGGGGTTGTGGTTGTTTGTCGTCCTCATGATGATGCTGAGCAGGTACACTGGGAAATCTACCGGGAGATACGGGCGATTCTAGAGGAGTCTACGGATGCCCGCGGGCGTTGCTTTGAGGTCCATGATGTCGTGGAGCCGGATCCTAAGCTGGTGAAGGGTCAGCTCCCTGGTGAGGAGGAGGCGCCAGCGGCTTCATATGTGAACTTCTACTTTGCGAATGGTGGTTTGGTGATGCCGGCCTTTGGGGATGCTGCGGCGGATACGGCGGCATTTGAGTTGATTAAGAGCCTTGTTCCCGAGAGAGAGGTGAGGCAGGTTGATGTCAATGCTCTGCCAAGGACCGGGGGTGTCCTGCATTGTGTTACACAGCAGGTTATGTGATTCACGGTGTTCCAAGGTCAAATAGAGAATGCAGCTAGTCTTAAATGCTGTCTCAGAAATGACTCATCTCTTCACGGTTAAAGACTATCCAGAGGCCTCCGAAAATATGCTACACCCCAAGGTCTGGTACTTGTACTTGTACTCCGTACATTAACACATGTTAGCACATGAATAGCAACTTCTCCCACGAAGTTGGAGCAGCATGTGAGATTGATAGCATACTATCCAATATGAACTTGTAGTCCGAATCGAAGCTATGAATATGAGAAATCAACTGAGAGGAGAGCAGTAAGAGTCAAGCCAAACCCCATTCCAACAGACAGTGTAAGTTGTATGTCTTTTTTAAAGCATCCTTTGTACGAAAGCAGATATTCCCTCGGATTCCCAAGCAATATCGAAAAGAAAAAAGAAAAGAAAAATCAAAACCCATAAAACGCCCCCGACCCCCGTAAATGCCATGCGCCGAGAGAAAGAGAAACATAAATCATAAACGGACTCGGAATCTGATCCGGCCCCTCAACAAGAGTACGAGCAAGACCCTGTCTAGAGACTCAACTGGTCAATACTCCCTACCCTGCCGGAACCACCGAGCCGGCCACCTCCCTTGGTGACCATACCAAGACGGTAGAAGCGCTCTTCACCGGCTGGCGTGCGACCACCGATATACCACTTCTCAGGACCGATGGCATCTCGGAATCCACCCGACCCACTGGAGGAGTCACTCCCGCGGCGCTGACGATCAGCGGGGCCCCTGTTGATCGGGATGGGGTTTGATGAAGATGTGGGTGGGGAGGATTCGGCGTGGTAGTGGTTTGGTTGGGCGCTTTGTGTGGCTTGTGTGTGTTGAGTGGTAGTGGTAGAGTTAGAGGCAGTAGCAGAGGCAGAGGTCGAGCCGGACTGGTTGGCTTTTGATGCGATGGCGCGGCTAGAGATTTGCGGAGAGATGGTGCCTACTTGTTGGACTTGAGTGGATTTGTAGGTTGATTGAGCGCGAAAGGCTGCTAGGAAGTTGGAGAGAAATGGACGGTTGCTAGACATATTGGTAGACATGGTGCCCCTGGAGAGGAAGAGTATGGGGAAATGAACGGCGGGGAAAGAAATGAGATATGTGAGATCCCGATTTTGAACCTTGGGAGTTGCCGATGCCGGAGTTGCTCCAATCAGAGGCGGTGGATTATGGACATGACGTTACGAAGGGTGTTCCCGGTTCCTTTGCTCCGATTCCCCGCAGTCACTTTGTATACGACTACTACTATGTAGTAGTTATAGAGCAGTTTAGAGTAGACATTAGACTCCTGGTCAATCGTAAGTCTATTTCTAGCTGCTTTTCCAGTACCCCTCGACAAAACACCCTAAATCACATCCCAAAAAGCACACATATGTTTGTGCCATGCCAACTTTACAGAGGCCATGCAATGCACACCCAAAAAAACAAAAAAAAAGGGGACGAAAAAAAGGAAGAAAAAGAACGAACAAGGAAGAATAGTAAAAGCACATGGTAAAAACTGCAAATAAAGAACCTCGACTGCAGTCTTCCCAGGAAGAAAGATAAGTGCTTTTTGTCGGAACTCGCATAAAAATGATGAACACATGCCCATGTCTATAGTTGTGGACGCCGAACAAACCACCCGCCATACCATCTGCCCCTCGAGGGTCGGATTTATGATAAAATCAAATCTCGCACTGTTTAAAAATAGCACACCCACACCGGATGGGATCAGAAGAAGAAAAGAACTTGATCAAAGACATAATGAAACAAAGCCGGATGAGAGATGTCGACATAGAGCACCGGCTCGGAGGAGCAGATCAGACTGGCGCAGGCGGATCTTGTGGAAACATCGCCCACTGGGGTTTGGTCCAGCAGAGAAGCTATGGACGAGGGCCTAGAAACACTTGAAGAGAGGGCGGAGAACAATAGTCCTACCCCCGGCGTGCATCGGAAAAGAGAGAAGAAAAAAAAAACCTGGTCAGATTATCTTATCATGCAGAGTCGCTTTTTTAGTCTCGTGTCTCGTAGTTCATCTGGCTTGCCGATCGGTTTCGTCTACTGTCTCGCGGGCTGCACGGTGCCTATAATTGATTGTGGTTAGGATATTATGACGGCAGAAAAGAATACTCAATCGGCAAGAACTAACCGTCGCTGCTCATCGTGTTCGAGGCAAGGTACATTCCATTCATACCGCCCTCTGGGCCGGTGGAGGCAGGGTAGAATTTGCGGTCGTGGTCGACGGGGGCGTGGATCGGTTCCTGGCCGGAAGCCATGGTGTGGGGGAAAACGGGGTTGATATAACCGTCGGAGGGACCGTGCTGAAACACAGAATTCCAGTCAACACCCGGCTGATGTGAAGGGGGGCCATGCATAACTGGCTTGTGGTCAAGAGGGACCAGGGGCTTTACCTGTTCGATAGGACGATCAACCGTCAGCTGCTGGCCATGGGCATCGACACCAGGCTGCATGAGATACGGATTCTGCTTGGGTGCAGCCATCCACGAGGCTCTCGCGTGCGCCTGGCCAGCGGTGAACGCGTCATCACCAGGACGACCGTTCATGCCGTTGACAGGCTGCATCGTGAAGCTTAGCGGCTGCTGCTCCGTGTAGGATGGGCGGCCATTGGCCATCCCATTGCCATTCACGGCCCCATCGAATTGCGTACCCATAACGCCATTGGAGTGGGGGACAGGGTTACTGACTTCATCCTGAAGCGGCTTGGGGTTTGCCGCGGCAGCCGCAGCTGCTTGCTGCTGAGACCTCTTCAGATGGGCCTGGGGGTGGGACAAATGAGTCGCACCGGTGGGGTTACCACGTCGGATCGAGCACTTTTGGAAGTGGCGCTTCAAGATATCACTGCGAGAGAAAGTATCCTTGCAAAGAACACACATGTAGGGGCGGTCACCGGTGTCTGTACGAAAACGCCAAAATAAACGCGTCGATTAGCAAACTGCAGCTTGGAGAAGTGGGGGGAAAAATTCTTCTCCACAAAAATGGATTTCGTCAAACTCACGTCTCAGGAGATGGCGCTTCAGGTGCTTCGCGTGAAGGTAAGTCTTATTGCAGTGGGGGCAAGGGAATTTGCCATCCGCGTCCTTGGCGGGGATGGTAGTGCTCTTCGCGGTGCCATTGACTCCGTTGGTGACCGGGGTCGCGCGGCCCGGGACACTGGGCAAAATGCCACGGCGGCCCTGAGAGCCCACGACCTGCGTGCGTGGCTGTTCCTTCGCGTAGGGGGAGCCATTCGCGCCATTCACATCGGGAGTCATACCCCAACCCTTGCTACCATCGGAGTAACTAAACGCACCTGAGGGCAGGCCATTGTAATCCGGGCGACGGTCGCGTGGGGGTGCCGGGGCGATGGGCTGGGGGTAGCTCTGAGCGGTGGATGCGGGCGGAAGCACGCTCGGAGGAGGTGGGGGGTACTGCTGATGCGCCTGTGTTTGAGGGTTAGGAAGGTTCAACATAGACGATGGCGGAAGGCTACCGACAGTCGTGTGCGGCATCATAGGGGCCTGGGAGGCCCCGTAGACATCGTGAGTTGATGGAGGGTACCGCGACAGATCGGGCCGGTACGGCTGGCCCATGTAGTGATGAGGCGCGGGCGACTGAGCGTGGTGAGGCTGGAGGGGAGGCAGGGTATGCGGTTGGGAGACCGGATACTGGGGCTGCATCGAGTATTGTGGCATATGCATGCTCGAGATGGGAGTCGAAGACATGGGCGTGGAGCCTGGAGGCAGGCTGTTGGTGGAGGGAGGCCGGGAAGGGTGAGATCTGGGATCCATTGTGGCAGAGAGAGAGAAGATCGGTGAGAAAGGAAGTTGTTCACGGTAACTCAATCATCGAACTTTTGGAGGAAATCTGCGCGCTCTCTTCTCGTGAAGTTTTTTTTTTCTCGGGGGTTTTTTTTCCTTCCAAGCCAAGGCAGAGCTCCTTGTTTGACGAAATTTTCCCGAGGTTGTAACGGGGGACAATCACCAATTCACTGACTCCACACAGACGAAGGCACAGAGAAGAAGAGGAGGAAAAAAAGAAGAATGCTTAATTGAAAGAGATTCCCCACGGTCACCCACCAGAGAATAATGTGGTGATTTATCCGTACCGCACGTTGTCAGCGTCGATGGTTCTGTATCCACCGAAGAAGCGGGCGTGCAAGTGGGTCTCTCGCAGAAAACAACTAGTCCGAGATCTGCTTCGCGTCAAGGGTGTGATCTCAATTCTGAACGAATAGTCGCGAGCCAACAAAGAAATTGGAAGGGGGGAAGAGTACAAGAGAAAGGAAAGGAAAGGCGGAAGACCGGGTTTGAGTGAAATAGAAAAAGACGATCGTTCGGGGAGGCAAGAGGCGAGGGAAAAAATGGCTGTGTAAAAAAAAAAAATGCGAAGAGCGAAAATTACCCAATATTGGAGTGTATGGTCACTTTGGTGTATTGAAATTTCCCTCTTTTTTTGGGATTTTCGGGTTTTTTTTATTTCTTTTGGTTTTGGTTTTTTATTTTATTTTTTCCTTCTTTTTTGGCTTTTCACGGCCGTCCTCCGAACTCAGACAGACCCGATAGCGGTACAGTGTATATATTAGGAGTTTATTACTTATTACTTATTACCTGATGGATTTCTGAGTTGGTTAGCTTCCTAACCTATGCAGATATTAGGTTAGCTTGTCTCTCGGATAGGAAGTGGTAGATCAGACTCGAATTGGCGCACAATGCAAGCGGACATCTCATATTTACACTTCCCCTACGCGTCCGGCGATGACGTTGAACCCGGATGATAATAAAGCCCCGAGACCAATTGGCCCATCAGCAAGGAAACAAAGTAGAGCGAACTTTCCGTGCTATCAGATCGATACCTGGAGAATCTGGACAATAACTATAGTAGTACATACATACATCGATACGGAGTACAAGAAACTGCAAAACCGCAGAACTGCAAAACTACCTGCATTCAGGACCCAATACTTGGCCCAGATGCCTCCGATCGCGGCGGTTACCGGAAATTTAACAAACTCTGAACTACCAAGTATGTGTATAAGCCAGGAGAATCGTAGATTCAAAAGTTCAAGATGAGTTTGAGATGTGAGAAATTGATCTGACTTTGATATGGGACCCCCCAAGTGGATTATATGACCCTGGTGCTCCAGCGGGCTCCCATGTTGGGCTCCGCGGTGGCTGACAGGCCCCGCAAGTGACAGCGATCTAGGAACGTCCGCCAGTTCCCCAGAACGTGCAATAAGTACTCGTACACAGGATGTCTGCGTCTGAACACTCGAACATACATTGCTGACACTCGGGTCGCCCGGTTTCTGCCTTGATCTCGCTAAGCACGTCATCTCGCGGTCCGAGGTGAGGCCCGTCACATTGAGCTCCGTGATAGCAAGCCTCATGCATCCTCCAACCCCTCACACTTGCATGCAGGCCGGGAAGGACATGGCACATCTCCAAGGGTGGCTGGTTCTCAGGCCGCCCTGGAGATGGCCGGACTTCGGTAACGGCGATGCATTGTTGCCCTACATACTTTGGTGCGCCGTAGCCGCCTACTGTTCCCGCGGTCGATTTCCGTAGTTTCACAGATGAAACACAAGCACTAAGCTTGTCCGTTCATAGGCCAAGTCGGATTTTTCCCCTTAGGGCCGTTGCCGCCCATGTAAATCGGCGCTGGTTTCAATCGCCCAGGAATGCTCTAGACGCATTTGGCATTCAGGGGGGGTTCCCCCCCTATTGGACATGGCTACTTCCGTGGTCTGACACAAGCTGCGGTTCGCGTATTCGTACTTTGGCGAATTGCTGAGATCTCGACCGAGTCCCATTAATAACAAGTTAGAGTTTAAGATCCGCCAGTCCGTCTACGTGGTCTGAGGGGTTGGTCAACAGCCGATCTGATACAGGAGTGCGGGAATACGGCACTACGGAGTTGCATTAAGCCTACATGGTGTACTCGTACAGAGTACTTGAGCCTGAAAGCGTATAGCCAAACCTTGAGATATGCACTGATTTTCACCTGTACATATGTCTGTATCTCTTGTACGGAGAGGATCTGTATTCCGGCCCTAACATCCCTGCCCCTCCTTCTCCACCCCTTCGCAAGAGCTTCTCCCGCTTCTATTGTGGACCTGAAAGGCTTCGACCAAGGTTCTGCAGAAATATTGATCTGACCACCTGATCTCACCTATTTTTCTTTTCTTTTTTTCTGTTTTCCTATGATCCCACCCCATTGATGTTGATTATGAATGCTCTCGTGAGGATTTTAACCGAATTCCGCCAAGGGGTGAGAATGAATCCAATTCTAAGCTACGACGTAACAGGCAGGCCACTCACTCGCGCGACCTTCCACTTTGTCTCACCTCGGTATGTGTAAGAGTACTTGTGTAATAAGTACAGGTACCGATCCTTTCATAGTGTGTATCACGCGTCGAAAAGTACAGGGACCAGGGAAGCATGTACCATTTCATTAGAATGAGATTAGCTGCAGATACTTCGTACGCTCACAATTCCAGGAACCCATTCAAATTTTTTCTCTTTTGTGGCTTGAGCTGGCTTGGGAAACATTAAACGCGGTGTGGTTTAATATGGCCGTTCGGTCTAAAGTGCAAAATACACTCGACTCGGCATCAAAGCCGGGAATTGGGGACCCCACTCCGTTCCCCGAATTGGTTCGCAAAGTACGGTGAGGCTTTTACCGTCTCTAAATTTTGGATCCGATCAGGGGCTGTCAGTTCGGACTTTTGGATTGGGAGAATCAGGTACCAATGCTACTGGGCCGTCAATTAATGCGACAGCTGGACCAAATAGGTGTTTTTCTTTTTCCATACAAAAGCTTGGCCTATGGCGAGTCGATTTACAGGGAAACCCACTGCCGACAGAGATGGGGCCCGCCAATAAGGCTAAATTTTACATTTGCTTAGGTACACCACTTTGCTCCGTACTCCGTTCTCCGTAACTACGATATGTACTAGCAAGTCCCGGATAGGAGAAAAACATAGCGCGCGCAAGATCGCGTAGATCCCGCCCCAGTCCCCATCGCTGCCGAACTGGTACGAGTAGCATCTCACGTGCATTGAAACACTCGGGATTACAACGAATTTCTGTCAAAGAGATGAGAGAATGAAGATCGCGGTTGTAGGAGTGAAAGCTAAAGATAAGCCCTAATCGAAAAACAAACAAACATCAAAAAAACAAAAATAAATCAGAGCCATTCCGACGTGGTCAATATGATCTATACTTGTACATCCGACGGGCCAACCTACCCAACGCAGCCATCGTCAACATCCGATGGGAAGGCAGCCTTTCATCCCGGCACAGGCCGGAAACACCACTGAAGCCAAGTCCGGATCGCCGAGTTTCAGAACGCAAAGCAGCCAATCATAGGGCAGCGCAGACTCCAGCGAGAGGATCGTGCCGCCACCGACCTCATAGGCTGCCGATTCCTGTGGTCGAGGCCCAGAGGGGTGTAGCGTTCTTTCGCAAGGTCCCTCGGAGATCTTACATTCGATTATATGCTGGTACGGAGTATGGTATTGGAGTGGTAGTGACTATTGCAAAATCAGAGTTGGACTTCAATGGTGACATGGGAATGCTCCATCTTCTCCAGGTTCCCATGTGTTCTGTGGATCGAATATTATGGGTATGGGTATGGGTTATGGAGACTGTGGCTAACGTTTGACAGTTCAGGAACGCGTAGTCCATGTACAGTTCTATTTACATATCTTCTCTCTTCTCTGTTCGACTACGTTCTTTGCCCGGTAAAAACCATAAGTTGGTGTTACCATAGCCTTGGGAGACACCAACATGTACCGAGGGTTCTTTTTTTCTCTCCGCCACGTCATTAGTTTCGGATGAGGATTGGAAGTCTGATTCGATATATTTTTGTCTGGTGACGCTGGCCACCTCGCTACCATGATGCTTATAGCCTAATGGGAGTCCGTTATTTGGCAGACCGTGGAACCATTGTTTGACTTGGCTGTTTGCAGGTGAACTACTCGAAGCCAATTGAAAAAAATTCAACCCTCAATGCCATGAATCATCTAACACAAACGTATAAAAACATTATGCAGCAATATTCCGTTTCTCCGTAGTACTCCGTGTAACTCGTACGCCGTACGGATTCGTTTTTTTGCATTGCTAAAAAGGCAAAATGGTACCCGATTCGGCACGTACGGTATTGTAAACTCGGCTTCCCCCCGACCCCAAAACAGCCACTTGGCACCTTTTGGTGATTTCCAACATCTTTCAAACATCCATGGTACTGACCGCCAATCCTGTTATTCTTTAGGCATCTTCAATTGGAAAAGTCACCTAATTGAGCAGATACTACGAAGTAGATCCTCCAGCGGAACTCATAGCTAGGGAGTCCAGAGTACTTCTCAAAGTTGTACATAATTCTTCATGACGCAGAGTTGCCGATCTCCGACTGTTCCTGATGCAATCCTATCTCGGCAGTCCACTCATAGCCCCTGACAGTGACGATCGGGACTGCGCGCAACAAGCGACCGCGGGACCCCAACCGCGTTGAGAAGCGTTTGACGCATGATTATTTCAGCTGCGTAGGAATGGCAAGGTCGGCTAACGTGGTTGGACCATACGCAGAGTTTTTTTTTGAAAATTTTATTCCTTTTCACACTTTGACTTTCGCTAATGTTGGCGACTATCATGGCGTATAGACTTTGGATACGATGGGCGCGACGCACTATCAAACACTAAGGGCATACAAGGAAATGTACATCCGGAATTGATCAGGATAGCGTTGTGGGCCTGTGTAGAGGGCCCCGATGACCTCGTGGAAAGGGGTGGGTGCCCATCTGGAGTCAGATTAAGCATATCTCTGTCCCAACTTTTTTTTTTCTCCGTTGCACCCATGTCCAGTGTCCACCAGCACCGGTGGGGTCTCAGGGGTTGGTGGATCTTAAGGAGCCTCGGGGATCCCAGCGCAAGGTACGGATTCCTCGTACGTTGTACAGGGTACTTGGCGGCACGAGGAACTGCATTCCTGGGCTCACTCATTTGGTATTTGTGCAAGGGCTTACGTTGGAGCGGTTTCAACTGAGCCTTGTTTTTGGGGCCTCTGGCTCTTAATGGTCGTTCGCTGGCCTTTTTCACTAGTGGCAGTGCATAGACTTCGACTCGGCCCAGAAGTACCTTGTACAAATGCTGAGAAACGATCAGCGATTTGCATCGTTCCAAGGTTCTTCTGCAGTGTATATCTTCTGCATGCCAATTTACGTCGTACGGGGTACGAAGTACAAGTATTTACTCACATAACTATACTCCGTACAGTGTGCATCCGTAGTGCTTATCTATTAAATTTTAACTTTCTTTTCCTCGCTCTCCCTTGTCTCAAAACCCTCCTTTACTCAGGGGCAGCGCTGCTGCCACTGCCACTATAAATAACATTGCATCATTTAGCGAAATCCATATCGTCCAAAAGGCTGTCGAGCATATTCTTCAATTGTTTCGTAGGCAAGATAAATTATCCATTGCAACCGGCAATTCACCAATTGCCAAATGCGATACATGGTCCCGCATGCAGCCTTATGTTACGCATCTGGATCTGGTGGAGCAGTGGGCTTGCTCCATTGCGTCGAACTCTCACAGCCCCAAATTCAAGCCAGGAGGGGCGCTGGGTCGAGACCCATGTGGCTGCTGTCAGATTGATCCATATTTATGGAGCCAGTTGGATGGATGTCTTGCCTTCTGACATGCATATGGCGGACGTTTATGTTCACTATGGGGAAGAAGCGGCCACTAAACATGCTGCCAAATTCAAAGAAGCTAGAGTGGAGTAGACCTTTCAAGGTCATTGACCAGCTAATTGTCGCATCTTGTTATTATACCTAGATATTGAATATTTAAAGTACTAAAGAACCGCATATGAGCCTACCTACGTAGGCAACCCTACACCATTTGTTCGAGGTTTTGTCCAGCCATTGCGATCTAGATGGGGTTATCTGGATCATCCGACTTGCGGGGCAAGGCACTCGTCTCCGTTCCTTGTCCTTCAGGCTCAATTCCCTCGCTGATAATAGGCTCTTGGGCGATGTCATGAATGGCATGTTCGACATTGACCACAGGGCCGGTGAACCAGCGATGTGCATCAACAATCCACCAGACTGTGACAGCCAGCATTGGAGCGCCCCAAACAAGACAAGTCCAGTTCATCAAATCTGGTGTCAGGTTTCCACCAGTAACACTGGGCAGGCACAAGATCGGCACCATCAAAAGCACAAAGGAGACACCAATGCCACCAATGTATGGCCCAAACGGCCCAAGATGCCATGGACCTTTACGGAATCTATCTCCAACAAAGAATACCCGGATAGTGATCGGGATCGCGAAAGCGAAAAACTGCGCAATCGCACCAATGGAAAATAGCGCGCCGATGGCAACTTCACCAGCAAGAATAAGCAAACACATCAAAATCCCGAGCACGGCATTTAAAATAACCGCATTGACGGGCGTCTGCGTATGCGGATTGACCTGCTTCCAGTATCTGGATAATGGGAAGCAATCGTCACGCGCGTACGCATACGTAACTCTCGAGGCAGCCACCATACAGCCCTGGCCCATCGAGAATCCACAAACGATAGTCAGGCCTAAAATAGCCATTGCAGTCTTCTGCGGCATGACTTGCAGCAAGTACGAAGCCCAGGGCTGACCGAGGTCGGAATCAATGACGGCCTCAATGTCTAGCACCGTGTACGCAACTACTAGCTGCAGGAACCAGCCCATTAGTCCACCCACGCCAGATGTGAGGACAATTGCGCGTGGCGAGGCGATGTTCGCGTTTGAGCATTCCTCGCTCAGATGAAAGGGTGAATCGTAACCTGACATTGTCCAGATCACGCCCACGAAGGTCATCAACACGGCGACACCGTCGGGGAAATCGGTTAGATTTGTGATGTGGCTCCAAACTTCTTTGCTTGGTGTAAACTTGGGAGTGTTCTTGGTGTTTGCTGGTATGAGGATCAGCACGGCGATTAGTGCAATGAAGTTGAAGGTTGAGCCCCAGGAGTTGAATTGTGCCACGCGCTTTGTCGGCATGCTACTTATTCCTGCATGAAGGATCATTATGAGAGTTGTGAGGAGGAAGGTCTGCCATGTTGTTGGGACAAAGCCTGGGTCGTTGATAGAAACAGCTGCTAGTATCATTGCGCTGAGGGCGTAGTCAACAGACGGTGCTGCTGTGATCTGACCAATCCAGTTCGACCAGCCAGTTATCCACGCAGCAAATGGTCCGTATCCAGGTGGTGCGAGAACTGCAGCAGCATAATATAGCCCGCCACTGTATAAACCGAGTCAGCCTGGGGCCCAAAATCTCGAGCTTGACATTGTATAGTGGACACGGGATTCGAACCTCGTGGGCATTGCTGAGCATAACTCTGCCATGGACATTGCGATGCATTGAATGAATATCATCGCAATGATCCAGCCCCAAACCATGCCCGCTGTTCCTGCATAACCCATTCCTTGCGCGCTGTCAACATCTGGTACTAGGCCCGTGTTGATAGATATCGACTAGCACTTACCATAGTAAAGCGTACTCGCAAACGATGGTAGCAGACCCAGGACTGCGAAGCTGACGCAGAAAGTGGTCCAAAGTGAGAACTCGCGCTTGAATTCTTGCTTGTAACCCAAGGCTGTAATCACTCTCTCGTCTGCATCCATATCATGGTCTGTATATGGCACATCGCCGTCGGGGAGCACAGAAGTGACCTGTGCATGGTCTGCTTGGTGATGAGGTTTGGAAAACCCTGAGACCGAGGACTTGGTCTCCATGCTCGCGCCCATGTTTGGGCGAGTGAAGTGGTGTCGACGTCCTGGACAATGTACTTAAGTATGAGATATATAACTAACGACTGACCAAATGGAAAGCCACCATGCAAGGGGGGAGTAACAAAAATGGTGGATTTTGGACCGACAGTCGAGGTGGATTTACTTTCTCATAAAGTAAATAGCAGAAGGGGGAAATCACCTTAAGCCACCTGCTATAGGGTAGCAGTATGTTATCTTAACATGCTGCAGGTGGCGTTCCGCCCCGCGCACCGATGATCCTGGTTGCCCACTACTATCTAGGTCGGTACAGAGGAGCCCTGGAGACAATACGGGGTATGCAGTACGCGTAGAGTATCTGGACCGAGGCCAAATAGGAATGGGTGTTTTATATGAAGCTGTCAAGGCATGGGTGAGCCCTGGAGGGGCATTCACCAGAGCTACCATTACTTCATACCTAGTATCCTGTGCAACCCGCAAGGGTAGCTTGGGACTGATAAGGACAAATGGGATGATTTAGAGAGACACCACAGAATGTTGGACTCGAAGGCAGAGTGAACTCCAACGCGCTTCTCCGCATATCGACATGCTGATTCGTTTAGGGAAGACATGACCGCCGTTCGGGAGTCGCACAGGACTCAGATGATCCATCTTGGCATAGATCCAGTCCCATCAGGGAAGTTCCAAGCGTCGAAGCACACGTGAGAGCGAGCTTAGCGTGATGTTTTTGGGTTTCTCCTCTCAGGGCTCTTATCATTTGGTGATAAGCGTCGATAAGCCGGTGTTATTCACCACGGGAGTTTACGAGTTGCCTTCAATGTGCTTATCGCTTTCACGTATTACCTCTGTTGGACATGCCCTGTTGAGAAGCCGAGGAACAGATTGAATAAACTTCTCGGATCAAGTCGTAGGATCGGGCATACGATGCATGCACCCAAATCTGCGTGGGAACGAAGAAGCAAGTCTGAACTATACTTTCGTGAGAAGATTCAGTGGGAAAACAGTTGTTTCTATGTGCTATTAAAAACAGAAGTGGGTTTCATTGATATTCTACACAGCACAGCCCAAACCAGTCACTCGAGTCATATTGATCCAAAAGGTAAGAGGCGTATCTCCGCGCGAGATAATTTAGAAGGGCTGGAGAGTTCAAGTCAGCGCCAGCACCAATTGACGAGTATTCAAGATGTGAATCCAAACTTACGTTGTCCTCAGGGGCGATGGTGCGGTCGTAGTAGGTGTCGAAGAAGGGGAGCTGGCGGAGGATGTCGTTGCGCACACGGGGAACCTCACCGAAGATGAAGAGAGCACCGGTGCCGGCAGCGACACCGAATCCGGCAAGGATGGAGCCACTGCGCAAACTGTTTAGTACTGGTGTTATAGAACCGGGTGGTTGCAGAGGGCGACTTACACGTTGATGGCGGTAGGCAGGGTCATGCCAGCGGCGGTGCGGGGAATGTAGTACCTTGAGTTCACGCGATGTTAGTCAAACCCTGATGGCGATTGATGTACCGACGCTTCTTAGCTCCAGCTTTTGCTAGAGCCTAGAGTTGTCTGGCATCCCACAAATCCCGGACCACCCGTTGAGCTCCACCTTGTGAGGCAACATGAACAGATGTTCGTCAAAAAAAGCGGCAACAGCATCACGTGAGAGGAAGACCAGGGGCTAATCTCAATTCGAAAGAATCTCATTGCCAATGACCGATGTGTACAATTCGGGGGTTGAGGGATCGGGGTAAGGCTGGTCTTACTTGGGCGCATAGGCGGAGGTCTGGGCCGCGGCGCGGCGAGCAGTAGAGGCGAACTATAATTATGGGTTAGCAGTTGATTCTTCCAATCCGACATCTTTTCTGCTCCTCGCTTTGGTTCGGGAGACCGGTTGTTATGTAGTAGCACCCGGCCATTCCCTACCCGGGGGCTGGCTGAGTTGGTCAGGGATCCTCAAGCGCAGAGTAAAATCTGCGAAATTGCCGTAAATGCCATCACTTACCATCTTGAATGACACCGTGGTGATATGGAACAATTGCTAGGGAACGAGAGCTGGTACTTGGTGGTCGACGAAAACCGGGAGTGCCCGAGTCAGCACGTGACTTCAAACCCGGCATCCAATCAGAGAGAGCATAATTGTGTTAAGAATCAACGTCAATGACCACAACAGTATGGGGAACAATTGGACCAATTGACCTGAAATAACCGGCAATTTCTTGGACCAAAATGAGGCTCACTCTCAACGAGACTCAATGCCTAGCGCCGAGCTTACAGAGAAGGAAAAGTTGGATATTCGAAGCATGTATTCAAACAAGGGTTTCTCTAGTAGTAGTTACAGAGATTAAAAGTCACATCCATTCCAGTTTTTGCCATTAGTTACCACGCGCGAAGTAAGTCCACTGGCCGGGCTGGGGCTTCTCCTCAAGTTCTTCCCAACTGCAATGGGGGTTAGCGACATGCTCAGCTCCAGAGAACGAGATGTGATTTCGACTTACACCTTGGCCTTGGCCAACTCGTCAACAAGCTTGAGCTCCGACTCAGCAACCTGGATAACCTCCTCGATAAGACCGGCGCCAATCTTCTGCTCGATTTCCGAGATCCTGTTCCAATGATTAGCGTTTCGTCCATCACCGTAGTTTGCGAGTATCGGCTTGATCATGGGTCACATACTGATCGGCATTGAGAGCGGGCTCGCTCTCCCACTTCATCTCTTGGTGATAGAAATCGTGCTCGGCCTTCTCGGTGGTTTCACTGGCCTCGGCCATGATTTGAGCCCATTCGGCCTGTTCCTGCGGGGTACGGGGGCCACCGCTGGGGACGGGAGGTCCTTCGCCATCCCATTCTTCACCACGGGCGACATCACTGCCGTCCTTTTGTTGAGCAGCAGCGTGGGTGAAGGCACCCTCGGTGCGCGAAACCTTGGCGAACCGCTCAGGCTCGGCTCCCACGGTCTTCCGAACGCGCTCTAGCCAGGCATCGAATCCGGCGGGCTTTTGCGATTCAACGATTTGCAGACGGTTGCGGGACAGCGCTTCAACGGACTGGCGGTATGCGGAGGACTCGGGGAACGCCTGAAGCTTTTGCAGAGTGGTGGAGTAAAGGTAGATGAGGGTAGGGCGAGGGCTGGGGTGGGTGAAAAGGCCCGTCAAGCCGGTTGGAGCGAAAGGCTCCAGGTACCGGGGCTTAACATTGGCCAATAGCCGGAGTGTAGAGCGCATTGTGAATGTGAGTGGGTTGTATGGCAGTATCGCTCAGGGAGATGGAAAGTGATCTAAGTCGGACCGGAGCGGATTAACCAGATGTTCCATAACCAAATGGCAGGGGGAAGAGATGAAACTCACCTTGTGCAATACCAACAAAGGACTCCGATTCTCCTCGGACTGTGTTCAGTTCTATTTTGCTCGCAGCTTTGGGCGCTTCAGTCGCTAAGTGCTGTCTTTTTGCGACGTGCCGACCAGTGCCCACCCGAGTCGCTCGTCTTCGCCCCCGTCTAATGTGCCACCTGTGACATTTCGCGATTATCCTCCTTATTTCGACCAGAGTCCCTCGTTTTGCTCAACAACATTCTGAACCTTTTCAAAACTCTCTTTCATTTACAGCAACCGCGTTTGGCCTCTGTTCCTCGTGAAAATGAAATCATCTTGGCTGAGGTGGTCCCTCCTCCCACTGTTGGCATTGCCTGTTTTGGGCACGCCTTCAGATGTTTCCCCGGATCAGGAATCGGAGGGTGCTCTCGAGAAGAGGTGGGGGGAGCTGGTGGATTCCGACCAACCCACCACATTCAATGGGGCTGAGGTTCCCCCGTTGACCCAACTGACACCGGACAACTTTGAGGAACTGACCAAGGGTGGCTACTGGTAAGCACTGACATCCAGTTCTATTGTGAAGTATGCTTGGTTCTGACTGGGCTAGGATGATCAAACACTACTCCCCCTCCTGTCCCCATTGCAAAACGGCCGCTCCAATCTACCAGACTCTGTACGAGTACTACTATGTGAGCACTCCTATGGATTCTACTGGTCGCATAAGACTCACCACTGACTCATGATAGACCTCCAACCCCTTGTTCTATTCCGCAGTGAAGCCCGGCGAACCGGAAACCCTGAAGTCCTTCACTGACCACTACAACTTCCGCTTCGGTTCCATGAACTGCCTGGCTTACAACGACTTCTGCACAGAGAAGAAGATCGACTACTATCCCGCCTGGGCGTTCTACGACATGGGCGTCCAAAAGGACTCTCCCGTCGGAGCCAAGAAGATGTCGGATATCGCGCAAATGATTGAAACCAAGCTCGAGGAAATTAAACCTGGGTCTCGACCCTCCCAGGGTGTTGAGCTGCCCAAGATCAACGTCCGGAGTATGGAAATGGTTGCTAAGCCCGAAGTCGCCAAGTCTGGCGAGAAGACGGCTGTTGAGAAACAGAGCATCAAGACCGCGGAGCTCGAGGGTTCCAGTCCTGATGCCGTCAAGGCAAAGCTCCAAGGAAGACCAGCCAATCCATTGGGAGTTTCTATCCAACTCACCGCAGAGAGCTTCCAGAAGCTCGTCACCACCACCCATGATCCCTGGATCATCAAGTTCTATGTTCCGTGGTGCGGACATTGCCAGGCTCTGGCCCCGAACTGGAACTCAATGGCCAAAGAGATGAAGGATACCCTCAATGTTGGAGAAGTTAACTGTGAGGTCGACAGAAGGCTCTGCGAGGATGCTCGCGTGAACGCCTACCCCACTATCTACTTCTTCCGTGGCGGCGAAAGGGTGGAGTACACCGGACTACGTGGCTTGGGAGATCTGATCTCCTACACCAGCAAGGCTGTTGGTGTTGGTTCAAGCATTCAGGATGTCGATGCTACTACTTTCAAGGAGTTGGAACAAACCGAAGAGGTCCTGTTCTTGTATCTCTACGACCACGCGACAACATCTGAAGATTTCGAGGCCATGAACCGACTGACCCTCAGCCTCGTGGGACATGCTCGCATGGTTAAGACCGACAGCGCCGCTCTGTCCGAGCGGTTCAAGATTTCTACCTGGCCTCGTCTTCTGGTCGTACGTGACGGACGTCCCAACTACTACAACGCCCTGGCGCCCAAGGACATGAGAGACTTCCGCCAAATCCTTTCGTGGATGCAGACCGTGTGGCTTCCCATTGTCCCTGAACTCACAGCATCCAACGCACAAGAAATCATGGATGGAAAGTTCGTAGTCCTTGGACTTCTTAGCCGCCGCCGTAGCGACGACTTCAAGCAAGGGCGACGTGAACTGAAGGAAGCTGCCCTCGAGTGGATGGATAAGCAGGTACAATTGTTCCGTCTGGAGCGTGCTGAACTTCGTGACGCCAAGCAACTGCGTATCGAAGAAGCCGACGACCGCAATGACCAGCGCGCTTTGCGAGCTGCGAAGAACATGCGTATTACAATCCGCGAGGATGACAAGAAACAGGTTGCCTTTGCTTGGGTCGATGGAGACTTTTGGGAGCGCTGGTTGCGCACCACATATGGTATTTCTGTCGAGACTGGCGATCGTGTGATTGTGAACGATGAGGATGTAAGCGAATTTCCCGAGATATACATTAGAATATTGGAACTGACCTTTACAGAACCGCCGCTACTGGGATACTGCTTCAAGCGGAGCTCCCATTATGGCTTCTCGCACCTCCATTCTTGAGACCATCCCTCTCGTGATTGCTTCCCCCTCGAAACTGTCGCCTAAATCTACCATCGGCACTTTCGAGACCATCTTCTTCTTCACTCGGACCCTCCTCAGCAGCCACCCTATCCTCTTCTTCATTGTTTTGGGTGCTGTCATCGCCGTGGCCACTGTCTTTGGACGTGGACGCCTTCGCCGCGGTGCTCCCCGTGGCGGTATCATTGGCAACACCAACAACGGTGGCTTCTTCCACCTTGATGGAAAGGAAGGCTTCCTGAATGGAGGCTCGACTGACAAAGTCGACTAACGAGACAAATGTACAGTTAAGGTGTTGGGCTGCGCTTTCTTATAATTTTCTGTTTCCACTGTATTTGATTGATGCTGCTCTCCTTTCATGCAATCGTCTTTTTCATTGACGCTGTCTCATTTGAACCCTTTGCATGCCAGACCAAGGGGTTTTCCAAAGCACATATCTCCTTGTTCAATCTCCTTCTCCGCTATTTCACGTACTATCGGGGTTCAGGCGTATCAAATTATCGAGAGCTCTTTTGAGACCCCGAAATATCATATCAATGAACGCAATAATATACTATATGATCTTGAATTGGGAGTTGTTGAGCCGTAGTTCAGCTGTCTTGCCGTGTATAGTACTTAGGAAGTCACTCTTGCAACATCCCACCTGGCAAGTAGTACTTTTCCAAGACAAGTCAATGTTTACCGGATCAATTGTCTATAGATTCATGTACAATTGTACTCACTTCTTTCGAGTTTTGATAAGGAGGTATACCTAAGTAACCTTGGAACTAGTACATAACCACAGCAGACGTATAGTATCAGCGAACTAGCTAGAACGTCATTACATCGGAGTAGATTTTTATTTTCTAGTTAACGCTAGTTCACACGCCTAGTTATATTTACATCTCCTATGAGACATTAATATAACAGTGATAAAGTTGGCGTCTGAAACGTCGAAGGCCCATGTTGGGCCTTATATAGTTGAGAGGGAAGGCGGTGAGCCGAGGCGGGAATCCCTTGTGGACACATACATTGCTGTCCCTGAGCGAAGTGCTCTCCCTATAGCTCTCCTCCATCCCAATCCCTATCTAATTCCTCCGATTAATACTTTACTCCGAGGCTCACTCCCACCTGCCAACTGGGCTGTCTCAGCGGCCTGCGGAATCCCTCCTCGCTGTTAGGCTCAACGCCGCAACACACAAACACGCAACTCTTCCCCCACACAACATGCGGCTCGACGTCAAGGTACGCAATTGCAGAGCATTCGACGCTCTGATTTGGCATATTTCCGGGGCCTAGCAGACATTCACATACCTCCGCCGGAGACACTGGTCAATTGCTGACGATAAATGTTACAGAGGCAGCTATTTGCCCGCTCCGAGCGGGTAAAGGGGATTGATTTCCACCCCACAGAGCCATGGGTAAGCTTGTGCAATTCCAAATCGCAACAATCGCTAATACTAATGATTCCCTAGATCTTGACATCCTTGTACAGTGGTACGTTGGTAGAGGGGCAGTTTGCGGCGAGAGGCCGAATGCGCTAATCACTCTGGCATAGGTCATGTCTACATCTGGTCTTACGAAACACAGGTAAGGATTGCTGAGGCCTTGCACTACCTGCCACTCTGATCTGACATCTACGGCATTCAGTCTATCATCAAAACATTCGAACTCACCGATGTCCCCGTTCGTGCCGGTCGATTCATTGCGCGCAAGAACTGGATTGTCTGCGGTTCAGACGACTTCCAGCTCCGCGTTTACAACTACAACACTTCCGAAAAAATCACCTCTTTCGAAGCACACCCGGATTACATCCGTTCTATTGCCGTTCACCCTACCCAGCCGTTTGTGCTCACAGCCTCCGATGACATGACAATCAAGCTTTGGGATTGGGAGAAGGGCTGGAAGTGTGTCCAGATCTTTGAAGGCCACAGCCACTATGTCATGGGCATGTCTATCAACCCCAAGGATACCAACACTTTCGCCTCCGCATGTTTGGATCGGACTGTTAAGATTTGGAATCTCGGTTCCCCTCACGCCAACTTCACGCTCGAGGCCCACGAAACGAAGGGTGTCAACCACGTCGATTACTACCCGCAGGCTGATAAGCCGTACCTCCTCACCACCTCCGACGACAAGACCGTGAAGATCTGGGACTACACCACGAAGGCTCTCATTGCAACACTCGAGGGTCACACAAGCAATGTCTCTTTCGCATGCTACCACCCCGAATTGCCTGTCATTATCTCAGGTTCCGAGGATGGTACCATCAAGATCTGGCATGCCAACACCTACCGCCTGGAGCAATCATTAAGCTATGGCTTGGAACGAGCATGGTGTGTCTCATACCAGCGGGGCAGACAGGGCATCGCCATGGGTTTCGACGATGGTGCCGTTGTCGTGAAGATGGGTCGGGAAGAGCCTGCCGTTTCCATGGATGGTTCTGGCAAACTGATCTGGGCCAGACACAGTGAAGTTGTGTCATCAGTGATTAAGGGCGGTGAAGCCGATATCAAGGACGGCGAGCCTTTGATGCTCCCAACAAAAGACCTGGGACAGTGCGAAGTGTACCCCCAGACCTTAACACACTCCCCCAACGGACGTTTTGTTTCCGTTTGTGGTGATGGAGAATACATCATCTACACCGCATTGGCTTGGAGAAACAAGGCCTTTGGACAAGCCCTCGATTTTGCATGGGGCTCAAAGGATAACAGCAACGACTACGCTATTCGTGAATCATCGACAAGCGTCAAGATTTTCAAGAACTTTAAGGAGCAAAGCACCGGTCTCGATGTGGGCTTCCAGGCTGAGGGTCTGACTGATGGTGTTCTGCTCGGTGTCAAGGGACAAGGTGGTATCGGTTTCTTCGACTGGGAATCCGGCAGCCTTGTTCGAAGAATCGAAGCTGACCCCAAATCCGTAAGTAGTGTGCTGAGAGTCTCTTGGAACTGTGGAAATTGACATACAACAGGTATTCTGGTCTGAATCCGGTGAATTGGTCACACTGGCATGTGAAGATGATTTCTACGTTCTGCGCTACTCGCGCGAAGAGTACATTAATGGTTTGAACGCCGGTGAGGCGGATGAGGATGGAGTGGAGGCAGCTGTTGAGCTGGTTGCTACCATCAACGAGACCGTCCGGACTGGCCAATGGGTTGGAGATTGCTTCATCTACACTAACTCTACCAACCGTTTGAACTACCTCGTTGGTGACCAGACCTACACAATCTCCCACTTTGACCAGCCAATGTACGTTCTCGGCTACCTTCCCCGTGATGGCCGTATCTACCTTGCCGACAAGGACGTCAACGCTGTTTCATTTGGCCTGTCTCTCAGCATGGTCGAGTACCAGACTGTTGTGCTGCGTGGTGACATGGATATGGCATCTGAGCTACTCAAGGATGTTCCTCAAGACCAGATGAACAAGGTTGCCCGATTCCTGGAGGGACAAGGGTACAAGGAGATGGCTCTGGAGGTCGCCACCGACCCCGAGCACCGCTTCGACCTGGCACTTGCACTCAGTGACCTTGAGACCGCACTTCAGATCGCCCGCGAGGCTAATGTCGAGCACAAGTGGAAGATCGTTGGTGACGCCGCCCTGGCTGGCTGGAACCTTGCCCTGGCTCAGGAATGCTTCACCAACGCCAAGGACTTCGGTTCTCTGCTCCTGTTGCACACTGCTAGCAGTAACCGCGAAGGCCTCAAGTCTCTAGCTGCTCAGGCGTCGGAGTCTGGACTCCACAATGTCGCATTCTCCACTCTCTGGGCTCTAGGAGATATTGATGGCTGTCTTGCCCTTCTCGTTCAGACCAACCGTGTCGCCGAAGCCGTCCTATTTGCTCAAACCTACAAACCCTCGCGCGCCCCCAAGCTCGTGGTTCAATGGAAGGAATCCCTTGAGCAAACAGGAAAGACCAAGGTCGCCCGCCTCATCGGTGTGCCCCCCGGCGCTCCCGACGTCGCCTCCACAGACGATGACCTCTTCCCTGAATGGGAAGAGTACATCCAACTAGAGAAGGAGGGTGTCGTTCCCGAGCCTCCTTCTTCCGAGTCTCTGATCGACGTCAACGGAGACGATGAACCAGCTAGCGCCACCCACAGTGAACCCGAAGAAGAGGAAGCTGAGAAGGCCCACGAAGCCGCGGTTGATGAGGCCGACGCTGCGGAGGCTGAGTAAAGCAAAAAGCACATGGCTGTTTTTTGATTTTGAGGGAGAGTTAGGTAGATCGTTTGTTTACTTCGGCTGACAAGTCAGTTGATTCCTGATTGCGAGCGGCGTCTTAACGTGTGTCCGACTTTTTCATTTTATTTGTAATTCTGCTGCGATATCGATGTGGAAACATGCCTAGATACAATGACAGCAAATGTTTTTTCTCTGGCTTTTTGGGCGGAATGGTTACTACATAGAAAACTGTACATGTATTCAATTGACTCGGGATGTGAATCTTACCAACAATCTCTTTCTCTACATTAGGAAGCCAGAAGAGCAGCGGGAGGCTCTGTGGTTAGGCGACGTGATATCAACATACAGATCAGTAAGCCCTAAGGTTATTCTGTCTCATTAATGGTGAACCTTGGAAAATGTATCAGTTCTAAAGTTCTACTCCAGTTTAAGCTACCACGGCGAATGAACATGCAATGCGTCGGAGCAAAACAAGATTGTAAACTCACACCCGGGCCTGCACCTCTACATCCTCAATCCCCTAGGTCAACATCTCCCTGATCCCAATTGAATATTGACCCAGCACCCTGCATCATCTCACGGTATATGTCCATGGCCGAAGTATCAATTACAGACCCCGAGACATCTGGATCCACAGAATCAGGACCAAGGACCTGAGAAGTCCAATCGAAAGATATCTGCGATGAGTCTGCACAAGGTAGACCCGGAAATTGAAGATTATTTTCAAGCTGCTCGATATCCAGCACACCATGTTGCTTCGTGCGTTCTGTAGCAGCGCGCTCATGCAGACGCGAGAGCGGCTTCCAAAGCACCCATCCTTTGGGCGGCCCATTCTGCTGCCAACGTTGGAACATCAAATCTGCTATCACCCAGGCACGATTTGTAGTGGCCGATGCTGGTCGAACGCATATTTCAGATAATATAAAGATCAGAGCATGCCACTGTCGATACATCTGAAACAGCCAGATCCAATCTGCTGTCTCTGTACTCGTTTCTAGCAAATGGGTGAATTCTAAAACATCGATTGCAGTTTGGAAGAGAGTTTCACGTCGCTGTTGCCACCGCTCTGAGCTGAGCTCGCCGGTAGTGATCAGAGTGAAATGGGCTATCAGCCATGACCGCGCCAGCGCGATACGTGTTATTGTAGCTGCAGTCCACTGAATTGGGACATTTAAATCACAGAACTTGAGGTAGTCTTTTTCCAGATAAGAGTTGATCTCGTTCAGGTTCTTCTCAGTCTCTTCAATGGATGGCCGCCTTGGTGTAAGACTGGGTCTTGAATTTCCGCATATCTGGCGAGATCGAATGTTGATTTCGCATCGAATCAGACAAAATGTCATTTCCGTAAATCCAATGCGTTCTGTGAATTGCTCTGTTGCCTCGGGGGATAAGTCTTTGTCATTGACATTGAGCGGAAGCTTAGTGTCGTAGCTTCCCTCATATATCAGGCGACCTATGGCCTGTGCTTCTGAGGATTGTGCGTCAAGAAGGTAGATATACCACCAGAGCCGCCGGCGCATCTCTGTTTCAAAGGGACTCAAGCCAAGATGAGACCCATCGCGATGTAGACCAGATCCCTGGGCAAGTCTGTACGCCACAGATGTCATAGCCCAAATGAAATTTTCGTCTTCAGCCTGCCACAAAGCAGTAAGGAAAACCACCAAGGCTTGCAGTACAGCCAGACTGCGTGTTTTCAGAAAGTTTGCCCGAGCGAGTGCTTGCTCTGTTGCAAAGCGATAGTGCTGAATTAATGTCTCATGATCACTTCCCAATGTCTCGAGGCAGTCTTCAGGCTTGATGCTGGCAACTGCAGCAAAATAAACAGCAAATACTAGTGCTTCATCGGTTGAGCTGAGGAATTCAGCGTTAGTGGCTGCTTTCCGGACCAGACGATGAATTGTTGGTTTGTGAAGAATCGAAACCAATGGTGCCACATTCCTCTCATAGGTCTCCCACAGAAGGTGGCTGGTGAGTGGTGCTGGGTGTAGTCCATTAAGAGATTGTGCAAGAGCCCGGAATCCGAACATGTATGCACTTGGGTTTGTTGCCTGGAATTGACTCTGCCTTGTCTCTTTGGTTGATGAATCCCTGCTGAAACTGCTCATAATCTATTTATCTTGTCAACAAGATCACAATAGTTTGACTCGATTCGAACATAACAAACCTCATTTTGAAATCCAACAAGAGCTTCATGCTCCACGTATTGTCGTCCCTCGCCATCGGTTATTAGCTGCCCAAAAGGACCATTCGTCGCCGCACCTGTAGCGCTCTCGTTGTTTTGAGGCTCCAAGGGAAAGACAATGTCGCTGACCCTAGACGTGTCTTCTGAGTGTGAATCGTCATGCTTGGAGGGAGGGGCCTGAGGCTTGGGGTCCTCGCCAAGGTCCTGGAGCCGGTGCTCCAGGTACATCACTCGTGATACCAATTCCGCTTTTAGGGCTCTCTTTCTTCTGCGGGGTGCTCGACCGGGTGGTGGAAAAATACACTCCACCCCTAGCTTGACACAACTAGTACATGGGATGGTCCTGCTGCAGCGAGTCTTCCTCTGGTTGCATTTTTCACAACTCCGAGAAGGTATAGTCTCGGAGCTTGCCGGGATATCGGACCCAACTGATCTTTCCATTGCGGCTTTCAAAACCGGGTCACAAAGTATCGAAGGTTGACTGCACTTTCGGGCTTAAAATAACGGCCGAGATGATCAAGCGGGTCCGATCTTCACTCCACCGGGGCAGCCCTACTTGGGGGCCACTGAGGCAAGTTTCTCTTCAATTTCCATCGCCACTTCTTTTCAGGTAAAACATGGTAATCGTTGGCCTCTATTCTAATGCCGATATTCAATATCCCCTCTCAGTTGTAGTTTTACCCGAGTCTCATCTTCGGGTTATGTTTCGGGCTCTATTTATCGCCCGATCTGATGATGCAGCCTGGCTGTCACCAGAAATTAATAATAGAGTTATTCCGTACCTAAGAAAGAGAGAACAGACCGGACATAACGAGAGGATATAAAGGTAAAACTCTCTCCGGTCTCAAAGCGAAGTATCTATCACTCATTCACCACCACTTACCAAGACATCCTCAATCATGACTTTCACTGTCGGAATCGCCGGTATCACTGGCAAGTTCGCCAAGCGCCTTGTATCTCACCTGCTCAAGGGCGAAGATATCGCCATTCGGGGATACTGCCGCGATCCCAGCAAGGTCCCAGAGGAAATCTCCTCTTCCTCACAAGTGACTCTAATCAAGGGCGATGCCTTCGACAAGGACTCCATCCGCACTTTCGCCAACTCCTGCGATGTTATCGTGTGCTGCTACCTTGGCGATGACAAGCTCATGGTTGATGGACAAAAAGCTCTGATTGATGCCTGTGATGAATGTCATGTTCAGCGCTACATTGCAAGTGACTGGGCCCTGGATTACACCAAGCTCAAGCTTGGCGAGTTGTTCCCCAAGGATCCTATGATTCATGTCAAAGCCTACCTTGAGGACAAAAAGGTTCAGGGTGTGCACATCCTCATTGGTGGGTTTATGGAGCCTATCTTGAGTCCTTTCTTCAATATCTATGATCCCCAAACCAACACTCTTCGCTACTGGGGTAACGGTGATGAGATCATGGAGGGGACCACATATGATAATGCTGCCGAGTTCACCGCTGCTATTGCAGTAGACTCCAGTGCAACTGGAATCAAGAAATGTATGTGATGGACCTTCGACTATGCACTTCTGATATTCTAACACTGCTTCATAGTCCTTGGTGTTCGCGCGACAATCCGCGAGATTGCTCAGTCGTTCGAGAACGTTTACGGTGTCCGGCCTAGCCTTGAGAGCCGTGGAAGCCTTGACGACTTGTACAAGCTGATGCACCAAATGCGCAATGACAATCCCGCAAACATCTATGGATACATGTCCCTGTAAGTATCCTTCCACCTCTTGATCCATGAGACACGCTGACCAGCGGCCTTTCTACTCTACTAGGTTCTTCTATTACTACTGGATTAATGGTCAGACCTTCGTCGGTACCGATCTGGACAACGAAAACTACCCTACAGTGAAGCCCGTTAGCTGGGAAGGGTTCATGACCCAATATCCTTTGCAGGCACTTCCTACAGCTTTCTTCGCCCTGAGTGGATAAGTGAATTGTACTAATTAGCAGGGATTTCCAATTGGTATATCGATCATATTTTAGTTGGTGCTTTTCTGAGGTCATTGACATCCACAATGTTGTAGTTAAAGGCAAATTCAAATCCGAGGTCCTCGAAATGCGTCTAATACATTGCAAGCTGCCCGGAAAGAGAGAAAGACTGCTGTGCAAGCATAGCGCCAGTATTACAATGTTGTAGTTTTGAACCTCGGTGCCCGCAAGGACTTTCCAAGGTAGTACCTTGGAAATTTATCAACCTTGGGACACCTGGACAGGCTAGGGAGCCAATGTCAGCTCCTGGGCATGCGTCACCACTTATCTACTCCGTAATAGCGACCCTGGGAGGGCATCATACTCATCGAAGGTCTCTTTATGGTCATTTTTAACCTCACCAGTTGATGCTATTTGAAACATCAACTTCCCAAGGTTCAAGTAGCAACGTTAATTACTTTTGCCAACCACGTAGAAATAAAATTCCAAAAAATTTAGCTTAATTCAAAAACTCCTAAGATACACCTAATTTAAACAGAAATCACATTATACAAATTAGAAAATTATTAAGCTTGCCCATCACCCTGTCTTCGACACCAAATCCTCACTTCTTTGCGAATTCACTATCCTGTTCCAGCCATGTCCCGAAGTCTTTCAAGTTCGGGTTGATCTGCTTCAACTCGGAGATATTTGCCTTGTAACCGGTATCATGGAACCATTTGAACATATACCCCATGTCCTTCATAGACGCCATAAACATAGAGCACAAGAATCGGTAGGTCGAAGGAATTGGCTGGCCAGTTTTCTGTTCGAAAATGCTGGCAAATTGGTCGTAGGTCAAATCGTCACCGGCAAGAGAAAGACTCTGGTTCTGATACTTCTCCGGGTTCATGAAAGCCTCAGCACCAAAGAATCCAATATCATCGGTGGCGACCATCTGCAGAGGTTTGCCCTTGAGAGCCATCTTGAAACAAGTGGCGAAGACCTTGCCGAAGAAACCGGGGACAAGATTTTCGTAGAAGGCTGTCGGTCGGAGAATGAACCATTTCATGTCGGTGTTTTTGCTCTTGTCCACTAGATGGTGCTCGATGTTGTGCTTGTTGATAAAGTGTGGGATTTTGGTTGCTGAGGTATAGGAGGCATCGCCTCCTCGGTCGACAGAGCTGTACACAAAGAATTGAACTTTTTGCTTCAGCGACTCATCGACAAGTGCCTTGCCTTGGCGCTCTTCCGATGCGCCATTTCCAATTGCAGTCTGGATTATAGATCGGATTAACAAAATTGCCTCTGATAGATCTGACATTGCATGCTCACCTGGACACTGTAGACTCCCCAGATAGCTGACTGTGTCAAATTTTGTGCAGTCTTGAACAGGGCTGCGGGATCATCCAAATTTCCCTCAACAAGTCTGATGTTTGATGACAACTTTGCCAATTTTTGAGCGGAGTGAGACTGGGGGTTGCGGATGACGGCTAGAATCTCCAAAGGGGATTTCCTGGCAACGAGGCTTCTAATCAGCGAGCCTCCTTGCTTTCCCGTAGCACCAGTAATGAGAACCGCCGGCATTGTGCGGAGTAGATGGATAGAGGGTCTTCTAGAGTTCGACGCGGAGAAATGTGGCTCTCGAGAAATGACTCCGTGCGATTGAAAATGATATGGAAAGAAAGAGACAAGATAATATGGGAGGTGTAATTTAAAATCTTCAAATATTCCCATAAACTGTATATATAACTTCTCGGGGTTTATTTTAGGGCCGAGATGACTAGTACTCGGTACTCTTATTAAGCTATGTAAGTACGGCCCATGGGTCTCCCGCAGTGATCCACAGATTGGTAAGGGTTAAATCAAACTCTAACTTTACCTGTATTCAGGGTATTACTGAGATTCCTGCCGATGTCAAGATGATCAATCAGCTCGCATATTACTGTACTTAAGAAAATATAAACCACAGACCCTACATTCAATGATATTGCCCTGTTCACCTGTTCCATTTTGACCTTTTTGTTCCTCAAAAACAAACTTTAGGATGTCTGAGACTAGATACACCATACCACAAGGGTCCAAAGTCCTGGTCACCGGAAGCAATGGATTTATCGGGTCCCATACAGTCGATCAACTGTTGAAAGCAGGCTACTTGGTCCGAGGAACAGTCCGTCAGGCCAAGCCATGGCCGAACGAACTCTTTGATCAAAAGTATGGCAAAGGAAAGTTCGAAATATTTGTTCTGCCAGATCTGACCAACAATGTCGAATGCGAGAGGGCAGTTGAAGGGGTTTCTGGAATCATTCATGTCGTGCGTAGTACCTGCATGCAAATATTTGATTCTGGAGAACAACTCTAACTTATCACAGGCAGCTGACGTGTCGATGAACCCGGATCCAAAAGTGAGGGCCCCGAAAGCTATTGAAGCAACTTTGAACATTCTTAAGGCGGCTTCAACTCAGCCTGATATCAAGGCCGTCGTTCTGACCTCATCTTCGACTGCGGCGTATACACCTAGGCCTGACGGTGAAGTGAGAACGATTACCCAAGGTATGTCTTCCTGACCACTCCCATTTGTGTCCCTTCTGACGAAACTTTAGACACTTGGAACAATGAGGCTGTGAAGATGGCCTGGGATGAGGGTACCCCTCTACAGGCAAAGGGATACTCTGTATACGTAGCCTGTAAAACAGAGGCGGAGAGGTCAGCATTCAAATGGGTCGAAGAGAACAACCATCCTTTTGTCTTGAATACAGTCTTGCCGTCCATCACTGTGAGTGACTTTCCGTGCTGCTGGCGAGCAATATAATCACTGACATGACACAGTTTGGCAAGGTACTTTCTCCCGAAATATTTGGTTCAACTCAGTCATTTGTGAGAAACATGCTCAAGGGCGATGGTTCGGCGTCGAAATACATTCCCCCGCGTAAGTGCGAGAAAGCCCCGTTCCACCAGAGTAGATACTAATACCGGCCCTAGAGTGGTATGTTGACGTTGCGGATGTCGCAAGATTGCATGTTGCTGCCCTTCTTTCCCCAACGGTCCGATTCGAGAGGATCTTCGCATTTGCTGCGCCTCAGAACTGGACTGAAATTGTGAGGATTTTGAGGAAACTTCGGCCTGGTAATTTGATGATTCCGCCGGAGCCTGAGAACGAGGGTCATGATCTCAGTGAGGTTGTTCCCTCCAAAAGGGCAAATGAGATTTTGAGGGACTTCTTTGGTCGACCGGGGTGGATTAGTTTGGAAGAGAGTATTGCCGAGGGGATTTCTGATATGTAAGAGTGCGTTTACTAAGTAATTTGTTGCCTCTGGAAGTGAAAGATGTGAACATCAAAAATGCCCCGGTGAGGTCTGTGGAGTTGATAGGCCCCAAAAACTTTAGAAATATTGATACTATTGATCGGGTTGAGCTCCTGGTGCAGCGGTTTTCATGCATACTTTGAAATTAAAGGACCATGAGGAAAAGCGAACCACTTTGATAAGTTGTATTGTGCGAGACCGTAGAAAGGGGGAGAGGAAGCAAAGCAAACCCCGATCCTAGTGCTCTACCTGACATATTGAAGTTTGATTCTATACTTGAGTAAAAGGATCCGAAGTTGCATTGGGTTGTCCGTTGCAGAGTTTGAGTGAAATACACAACAAGAGGACAGGCAATGACCGCTTGAGAAAAAATCAACGAGGATAAGGAACCTGCCTAGAGAGAACGAACACTTGAGATGAAAGGAAAATGACCGAGCAAGAGACAAGAAAATCAAATCAAAGCGCTCAACAGACAGATGAAACGAGAACAGCAGTCGTTTCGAAAATCAAGGAGAGCTACTCCGATATCAAGATGCCACAATTCAAAGACTCCTTTGGGATGGGGGGGGGGGGGAAACCAGACAAAGTGGTGAAGGACAAAACGACAGCCGCATAAAATTGGGTGGAAAGGTCGAAATTCATGATATGCGAATGAAAGACATACACGCAGTACGAAGGGGAGGTCATTTCTATGAGCTTCCGCCGAATCAGTCATTCTTACAGATCAAATCTCGATCTAGATTGACACAAGCGAAAAACTTTACTCCGGAATGCTTCCAAAGGACGGGTCTTTGACACTGCCACCCGCGTCGCCGAGACCAGCCACTGGTCGGTTGTATGACCACCCGGCGAATTGTTGCTGCATGGTCTGCGACAACACGGGGCCATCGACGTAAGAGTCCTGGGGTGCCTCAGAGGTAAATTCACGGTCAAAGTTTTCTGTATCACGGGCGTCGACCTGTACAATGTTAGTCATGCATTCTTCGGCATAGGATAAAACGGGGCAACGGTCACATACCACATTGGGCCTAAAGCTGGGCTCGTACTTTCTTTGCAAAAGCTTGCGCCAGTCAATGTTGGCAAAGAAGTGGTGCGACTTGATTTCAGCAGCACCGTTAGCACCCAGTCGGCGCACGGGATCCCGATCCAGCAGTCGGGTGAGCAGATCCCGGGCAGCGGGGGGAACGATATCGCTGCTGGGGAAGGTTAAGGGCTCCTGCAAAATCTTGCGGTACATTTCGTTGACGTTCTCATCGTAGAACGGAGGAAGACCTGTCAACATCTCGTAAAGCAGGACTCCCAGAGTCCACCAGTCCACGGTCTTGGTGTAGCCGTTGCCGAGGAGGAGTTCTGGGGCAAGGTATTCGGGAGTTCCACAGAAAGCTATGCATGGTTAGTTTTGAGGGGAAAAAAAAAGGCGATGGATGATCTGGGGAGCCTTACTGTTGGTCCGGTCCTCATCCTTCATATCCAGCTTGCAGAGACCGAAATCGCAGAGAGCAATGTGTCCAGTGTAATCGAGAAGAATGTTCTCAGGCTTGAGATCTCGGTAGATGACCTTGAATCCATGCAAGCACTCGAGGGCGCACAGCAACTCTGCGGTGTAGAAACGGGCTCTGTTGATATCGAATCGCTGTTCCCGTTGCAAATGATGGAACAACTCTCCTCCGTTCACAAACGCCAACACGAAGTACAGCTTTTCGGGCGATTGGAAGGAGAACTTCAAGGGAACGATGAAAGGGTTGTTAATCTGAGCAAGCACGGATCGCTCGGCGAGTGTGTGCGTAACTTCGGATCTCGAGATAATGTGGGCCTTGCGGATTGTCTTGAGGGCATAAATTCGGCCGGTATCCTTCTTCATGACCTGCATGACCTTGCCGAAACTACCCTTACCAACAACCTTGAGCAAGTCGAAGTCTTCAAGTTTGAGACTGCGCTGCTGATTCTCCACGAATGAGATACCGATCTTGATCGAACCCGCTCCGAACTGGAGGTCCAACCATTCGGCACCCTGCTGGCCCAGTTGGCGCCCTTGTTCCTGGTGAGCAGCGGCGGCTTTCTGGTTGTCCTTCTTGCTGAGCTTTGGGTCCTCAATGTAAGGCTGAGCCTCCTCGAAGCGCGGGTTGACCTTGCATGCGCCCAGGAAAATATCCTCACTTCGTCCAGCTCCAGGCCGGGCTGCAGGGTTGCGCAGGTACAACTGTACGTTCAACTCAGTCTTCCGAGACACATCGAACTTGAATGCTGTGTTGTCGCCAGCCCACAGAGGGCTCTCTGGTGTGCCCGAAACTGCATCCACGAAAACCTGGTTCTTTTCGAAATCGAGGAGAGCATAAGGGAGGTACTTGGTAGAATAGCGACCGTGGATAGTGGGGGCGGCATTGATTCCCCCGCTTGTGGACTGGGGTCGGCCCGACTGCACAAACGAGCCCGCTTGGTTTTGGGCCGAGTGAGACGAGGAAGAGGTACTTGGGCGTAATGAAGAGGGTGCGTAGGAGCTATTTTGGAAGTGCGAGTTGAATATTTGTTGGAAATGGGGGGACAGTGAAAACTCGCGCCCTTCGTGGAGGGTAACGATCAGGATACCTGGGTTCACAGTAGCCACAGGCGGAGAAACGAGAGACTCAGAGGCCACTGTCGGAAAGTAAAGACAATTAGTTCATGGTACATTTTCGGATCACAAGAAAAATTGCATACAGATTCCATTTGTTGACGGGGTGGCGGAGGCGATGCTGGGCGGGTTGGATGACACGGGCGTCGTCGCCTCGTCGCCGTTGGAGTCACCCTTGATAGTAGAGGTAGAAGAGGATCGGCCGAACGACGAAGTCAAGGGAGCCAAATGGGTCTCCTTCAACTCTGCAATCATAAGTTAGCGGTTGCCCTCCTCCGGGTATGGATTTCACTGCAAAGCAGGGAGGGGCTGTGGGCTTTCAAGGGAGGGAGGGGGAGACCAACTGCCAGTGAACATACTTTTAGTGAGCTTCCAGGACATGGTGGCGGTTGGTGTGATTGAATGAAGGGAAAAAAAGAGAAGATGAGATCAAAGTCCACGATCCCGCAATGCGTGGGTGCGCAGTGTTAGAATCACCTAACAACACAAGCCCCAAAATGAACTTGGAGGGCCAGGAACACACAATACACACACGCGCGGCGCAAAGAGATTGAGAGGACCACCAGCTTTATCCGAATGGAAGCACAACTAAAAAGAAGTGAAAAAAGGGAGTCAAGTCGAGAAATTGGATCTCCCGAAGAGGATGGGAGAGAGAGGGGAAACCCCTGTAACTGGATTACATAGATTACCGACCTGGTTGGCGGAACCAGTCACAGGGCGACCGATAGGGCTGTACCGCCTGTAATTTACAAGCCTCAGCGCACTGACAGCCGGCTCAGCCACGCTGCGCCACACTCCGCCCCAAGGGTGAACCTCCGCTCCAACTTGCCCGCGCATCGTGGACGATTTCCGAGCTCAGATGGACTTTCAGAGCTTGGCAATGAGTCTAATCATATTCTGATATTGTTTATCTCTATTGTACCCTAAGAATCCGGGAATATTCCCCGCTCCGAAGTGCGGAGATCACCTACCCCGGACCATCACCTCACCTGGTCATAACACACCTGACAACGCCTCTGTTTGCTCTTTTATAGACCCATCGGGGGTCTTGTCAGTGTCGCTTGAACCGATTACGCATTATAGAGGATTGAAAGGGGTGGAGGGCCGATGGGTGTGATACGCAAGAAGACCGCCTCGCGCGGCACTGAGGCGGGCACCAAGTTCCACTGCGACGTGTGTTCGATCGATGTCACCTCAACTGTAAGTTGCCGGCCATTGTGGTGTTCAATTGAGTTGGGGGATGGGCGAGTTGTTTCTACTAGGATTCCAGAACTGACGCGACACCATCTCCTAGGTTCGCATCTCATGTGCACACCCCAACTGCCCCGAATACGATCTTTGTGTGCCATGTTTCTCGGCCGGTGAAAGCTCAAAAAACCACGAACCAGCAACACATCCGTTCTCGGTGATAGAGCAAAACTCCGTTCCCATCTTCCAAGGGGATTGGGGCGCCGACGAAGAGCTGCTGTTGCTGGAAGGCGCCGAGATCTATGGGCTGGGGTCATGGGCGGATATTGCAGACCATATCGGAGGTTACCGCGACAAGGATGAGGTTCGCGATCATTATTACGATACCTACGTGAAGAGTGAGCACTTCCCGCTCGCAGATCACGCAGACCCACACGACAGAAACCTGCAAGACTCGATCTCCAAAGAGGAATTCCAAACACGGAAGAAGCGGCGGATCGAAGATCGCAAGGATGCAGCCAAAGCGGCGCCCCCGACTACACCGAAACAGAAGCCCACCGCCAGTGTACCGGCATGTCACGAGGTGCAAGGCTACATGCCCGGACGACTGGAGTTTGAGACCGAGTTCCTGAATGATGCTGAAGAAGCAGTCCAGCACATGACTTTCGAGCCCGGTGCAGGACTCAACGAAAATGGCGAACCGGATGCAGAGACAGAGCTCAAGATGACTGTGGTCGATATCTATAACTCTCGCCTCACAGCGCGTACGGAGCGCAAGAAAATCCTATTCGAGCACAACCTCCTCGAATACCGAAAGAATACCGCCCTTGATAAGAAGCGGTCCAAAGAAGAGCGAGACCTGCTGAACAAGGCCAAGCCTTTAGCACGCATGATGAATCGCAAGGACTTTGAAGATCTGAACAAGGGACTGGAATACGAGCATAATCTCCGCCTGGCCATTGCCCAACTTCAAGAATGGCGCTCAATGGGCATCGGGGATTTGAAGGCCGGTGAAAAGTTTGAGCAGGACAAACAACAGCGCGTGCAGCGATTACTCCCCCAAGGCTCCTTTGATCGCTTCGCCAGCAATCGCCCCAAGCAACCCCAATTGACAGAAACTCCGGCAGCCGCAATACAATTGACCACCCCCGAACTCCCGATCCGACTACAGAAAGCTGCAAACCCGCACGGGCCTGTCGATCCTGCCGATGAACCATTAAACGATTTCGATCGCGCGTTTGCTGTCGATGGTGATGCCCCTCCCCCGCAACCCGCAAAGACAAAATACGTGGTTCCACCGCTGAGCGGGATGCCGCCTTGGAAATTGAATAATGACACTGCGGCCGATTTACATCTTCTGACCAAGGAAGAGACGGAGGTTTGCAATGTGCTCCGCATTATGCCGAAGCCGTACCTGGTCGTCAAGGAGACTTTGTTGAAGGAAGCGATGAAACAGGGTGGTAGCTTGAAGAAGAAGGATGCCCGCACAATCTGCAAGGTACGTAATCTACTCGTTGATCACACCATGTCATACATACTGACTCTGCTTCTAGATTGAGGGAACCAAAATCAGTCGCATCTATGATTTCATGGTCCACAGTGGATGGATCAACAAGGCGTAGATGCGCCCCTGATGTCGAGGTCTTCTTTTATAGCACACCAATATCCAGACTTACGTTTGATTTTTTTCCCAAGGAGCGGCTGGTGCTTGTTCGGCGTTTACATGAAAGATGGGTGGGAGTGTTGATAACACGAATTTTCGGAATAGTCCTACAAGAACAATCAACACTAATTCTTCACTGCATTAAGCATAGCTACCTAAATATGCTACATGTAAAAGATAGTAGATTCAATTGGGTATAGAGTATTGCAGAAATAGGGGAACCGATACAACGATGCCTAGGAAGAGGATATAGTGATCCACACCCATCGGCCCTCGGTATCTTCTCCGCATCTACTCCGAACCTACAAATAACACCAACCCAAAAATCCACCCCCCAAACTCCCCATTATCCTCCCCGACCAACCTTAACCAACCCAAAGAAAAGCAAAGGAACACAAACCCTCTCCAAAATGCCAAATTTCACCCTCCAACCCCCAACCCCAGCCCACGCAACACTAAGCTACCCATCTCCGCACGTCCTCCTCGTCACCCTAACCCGACCCCGCGACTTAAACTGCATCAACGCCCAAGGCCACGCAGACCTGCATTCAGTCTGGGAATGGCTAGACGCAGAGCCAAGCCTACGCGTCGGCATTCTAACAGGCCAAGGACGGGCGTTTTGCGCAGGCGCAGATCTAAAAGGTGCGGGAACTACGGAATACCATCCCGACTTCTGTTGCCATTATAGTACTAACACCATGTACGAGTAGAATGGAACACGCGCGCCTCCTCATCAAAGACCACACCAATGCCCAATAGTGGCTTTGGGGGGCTTGCGCGGCGCAAGGGCAAGAAGCCTGTTATCTGTGCCGTGAATGGGATTTGTCTTGGTGGGGGTGCGGAGATGATTATCAACTCTGATATTGTGATTGCGTGGACGGGGGCTGTTTTCGGATTGCCGGAGGTGAAAAGGGGGGTTGTTGCGCTTGCGGGGGCTTTGCCTCGGCTTGTGCGGACTGTTGGCAAGCAGCGGGCTATGGAGATGGTTATGACGGGGCGGATGGTTGGGGCTGTTGAGGCGGAGAAGTGGGGGCTTGTGAATACTTTGGTTGATGTTGGTAAGGTGGAGAAGGGGGATGTTGGACAAGAAATTGTTTCGAAGGCTGTTGTCGCGAAGGCTTTGGAGGTTGCGGCTGAGATTGCGGGGAATAGCCCTGATGCGGTGCTTGTTAGCCGGGAGGGTGTGAAGCTGGGGTGGGAGGGAATTGGGGCTGACGAGGCGACGGTCATGCTGAATGACACCTGGGTGAAGAGGTTGTATGAGGGTGAGAATATCAAGGAGGGACTGAAGGCTTTCGTGGAGAAGAGGAAGCCTGTTTGGGCGGATAGTAAGCTGTGAATGGAAACCTTGGGGGTCCTTTGCATATAGGGAGTAAGAGTTGACAAATATAAGTTAATTGTGAATCTTTCATTTCGCTATTCATACTACAGTTCGTTAATCATATCAAAAAAACCCTTATTCCAATTCTCCATCGCGCCAAATCCTGGTGTTCGCCATAATCCATGCGGGCTCAATTCAATGCGATATCCATCAGATGCGCGGTTGTCCTGGCTCTCTTTGAGTGATGTTAGGATGTTGCTGTAAGGTTGACAGGGAGAGGTGCCTACTTTGCGTCGGATTGTACACCGTCTACGACCTTGACCACATGGGGGAATAGAGGGTGGTCTCGGTCCAAGCCGGTCAATCGGACAGCAGCGTCGGCAGGCGAATTCTCCTTGAGGATCTTAGCCAGTTCCACGCTCTCTTCGTCACCTTCTACATTCTGGAAGCGCAGAGCCATCTCCACAGATCCTAGCAATGAGTCGAACTTTCCACCACGCTCAGCAAGTTGTGCTGCTGGGCCGATGAAGCGCTCCTTGCGAGAAACTTTGCGGACGGGGGCACGGCCCACACGCTCGACGCTGTCTTCCAAGTAGTGGTTGGAGATACGGGCGATGATCGTTTCCACGTATTCTTGCTGCTCGGTGGAGCTAATTTCGTGCTTGTCAACGATCAAGGCAGCGGTTTCTTGAAGAACATCCCGGACAATGCCGCGAATGTACTCGTCCCTCATAGCCTCAGCAATAGTCTTCTTGCCGGCGTTATATCCATAGTATGCTGCAGTGGCGTGACTGGTGTTGACGGTGAACAGCTTGCGCTCGATGTAGGGCTCCAAGTTACCGACCCAGTGAATGGCGTCAATCTTCGGAGGGCCACGCTCGCCGAAAGGACCGGACTCGACCGCCCACTCGTAGAACTTCTCGATGCGGACATTGAGCCCGGCGTCCGCAGCCTGGGCAGGGACGATACGGTCAATAGCAGAGTTGGCAAAGCGAGCCCGGTCTGACATAGAGTCGAGACGGTCTGCAGCAGTGTTGTCCTTGATGAACCCGTGTAGAGTATCCGTAGCGCCAATAGCGTTCTCACAAGCAATCACAGCAAGTGGTGTAGGGTCAGTGCGTGCGTCGATGCCCTTGGCAATGACAGGTGCGATGAATTTAAGGATGTTGGGGCCTACGGCACAGGTGACGACTTCGGCAGTAGAGATCTCCTTGATGACATCGGCTTCGTGTGTCTTGGAGTTGATTGCACGGTAGTTGGTGATGGTCTTAGTAGTTTCGCCCTCATCACTGACCTCAGTGACCTGGTATGACTTGGTACTTTGCAGGGCTTCGATGATCTTGTCCATGACATCCACAAAGACCACTTCATAACCAGCCGTGTGTAGGAACTCAGCCACAAAGCCACGGCCGATGTTACCACCACCGAAATGAATAGCCTTCTTCTCCATTGTGATGAGTATAGAAGTACAAGTAGAAAGGGCTGAGATGAAGAAGAAGAAGAAGAGAGAAGGGGGAAAGTAGTAGGTAGAAGTAAGAGTAGAAGTAGAAGAAGGAGCTGAGGTTTAGATTTATTCCTGGGAAGGTACGACGAGGTATTTATATGAGGAAAGAGGGGGGACACGATGTGCCAAAAGGGAAACCACGAACATCGGCCGTGGCTAGCCTGGACAAGTCCACGATGACTTCATAGATATTAAGCCCTGGCGGAACTGGGCTCCGCCTTGTTTTCAACCCCATTAACGCATTCTCCTTAATCTGTATGAGAATGGCTCTAATCTGTTTGTAATTCTTTTTGACGCCGAAGTTGTTACACTTAGTCCCCCCCGCTTCGTGTAATATGCAACCTCATACTCCCCCATACGGGCACTAATTACCGTGCAGTAGAACGCGATGACACCCCCACTTTCTTCCTATTTAGTCTATACTTCAGGTTGGGCACTCCCATTCGATATCAGAATCCCCAGTCCACTCACCGGACAAAGCCTCGGGGAAACTCGTAGTTGACTCTTCCACATGGACGCTTTGACAGGAGACACGGAAACCTTGGCAAATTCGGGCCTAACAGCCGGAAAAGAGGTTATGCCGGAGGACAGTGTTCCTGAGTCTCCCTTGATTCGGGAGTCTTTAAATCCCTCGGAAACCACTCTTCTATACCGTGTGAGGTATATCTATAGATCGTGGGATCAGTATCTATATCAGAAGTCTAGACTTGCCATCTCCACATGTGGTGACGTCGGACCGGTTAAGACCCAGTTTTCTGCCCGTTAGTCTCGAACCCCATAGTTAATGATTTAGAGTCAAAGAGTAGATATGAGAATGACTGTTGGATTCGATCACATTCCATGGCTGAATTTACTATGTACAGTTCCAACTTAGGGCAGACACTAAATGGCTGCCTGTGCTAGAATCAGCTGGAGGGGGACCGAACTTTCTAGTCTCTCCATTGGACCCAGCACGCAACAACCCTCAGATATCCCGCAGCAGGTGGCCGGATTGGCAATGGAATAATCTCGCTTGAAACAGGTGCGCAACTGGGCTCTAGTCCGGTTTAGAGGTCTCGTTGGATTCATGTCTATGTTATTGGTATTCCTATTTTGCCCGCTTCCGACTGGCTCCGTCCTACCCCTCCATGTCGTCCAGGGCCTTTTCAATAGGTGCAGCCGGCCGCCGAACGAATACGTTCACAAAGCAAGCAGCACTGCCCACCAGGAGTAGCCCCGCAGCCGCCCAGGTCATCCCGAGGAGTTTCTCCCCATACTTGGCCGAGACATTCGAGCCCTTCCCGTGGGCATTAATCAAATCCACAAACTCAAACGCCAGGACCGTCGCAATGATGGATGCCACATTAACTGTGAGAGTTCCAAGCTGATAAAAAAAAAAACATAATAGTCAGCCACCGTCGTATCCACGCTGAAACTCTAGCGCTGAGCACAGACGCCGAGTGTTCGCAGAGCTAGTTCGTGAGTCCGAACATGCACTTACCACCATAAACCCGCATTCAAATAAGCCCTGGCCGGCTCGGGGGGCAACGGCGGTCCAGAATTTAACCAAAAGCGCCGCTCCCATCGCGCCAACCCCTATGCTGTATAACACTGCCATCGACCGAGTGGTCATTCTAAACGCATGGAAGTCGTCGCTGATCACGCGCGGCCACTCCAGGTCCGCGCCATGGGAGACATCCGGCCACTCTTGGGTCGGATCGAACGAGAAGAGGATTTTGCGATGCGAACATTCGGTCACGTTGCGTGTGACTTTGGCGCCGGGATCGGCTGCTCCTAATGTCCCCTGACAATAGGACATGATGTGGACGGAATAAAAATCGTGCGCGGTGCTGTCGGTACTGCCTTCTGGTGTGTATAACTACATGGATTTGGTCAGCTGAGACGCGTCTGTTGTAGAGTGGTCAACACCCACCGTCAACAGGTCAACGTTTTCTAGGAAGTTCTTCTGTGTCCCAGCAAAGAGGCATAATATGGTGATTATAAATGCGATGAACACCGTAATGGTGGGGAATATGCGCTTGAAGTCCGGCATGGTCGTTATTTGCTGAGACCACGTCGGCGGCAATAGGTCGTTATGATAACCGTAGGTGATGCTATTCGCAGTACCTCCCCTGGAGCCCCAGTGCGAATGATATTTTGGTATAAACACTTTACAGTCGTTAGAGTTCAAATCTTCGATTCAAGGGCTTCCATCATGCTTATATGTGTAGTAAGGAACTACGCGATCGCGATCTGTTCATTCCTAACGTGGGCTGCCAACATGGCTGGGATAGTGTGCCAAGTCAGCATTGTCCGCGGTATGTTGACCTCACGAGTGATATGGTACAATTACCTGATTGGAAATGTCGCCCATGTCAAATCTATGAAGGGGGTGGATAAAGTGAGTCCCGCCCACGCGAAGAATGCTGGGGAATGCTACCAGCCACGGGCGTGCACGTCGACGGGTAACGGCTAAACCCTGGAGCACGTTCATCAAATCATCAAATCAAGGATATCTAAATGACTTGTATTACCGTCATGGCCTAGATTATGTTCAAGAGCCTCAAATATCAAGAAATGGCACCTTGGCAAAAGTGGTCTTCAAATGACGTCGGTGTCTAGATCTTGGACACTTGCCTGATGCCCTAGCATGAGATCTACCATGTTTATTATACTACTTAATTGATGAAATCATATGCTAAGTATTCCAAGGCCCCGTCTGAACAATGGCATTCTGGCTACAAAGGAAGTCATTTTCAGCCCTACTGAAATGGCACATGACAGGTAATCAAACAATGTGCCGTGGATCAAACAGAGTTCAAGACCATCCCAACCCTGGATGGCTTCCTTTTAGTTCCGTAAGGAACAAAGAGATGATTGGAGATTCCCCTGAGTCTACTCCCTACAATAGACTTCCACCTCATCTTGACAACATGATCCCCATGAACTCGTCATATTCTGATTATGATGCTTAGCCATCCAGCCGAGTATGGACGATACTTGGAGCGAGAGCAGGAATCAGCTCTTTCTGTTTGGTATCTTTCTCGACTAGTGTTAGCCCTTCTCTCTCTGGCATCTAGTGACTAGGCGTGTTCTCACCATCCTCTCATCTCCTCACAGAGCCTCAACACCAGGTGCGAAAAGGTCCTCAAAATACCGATATTTCCACAGCACTTTCAAACCAACATATCATGGAAGATTTCCCCATCCTACAACTACTTCTGGATGATGTTGACAAGCAACTCCACCAATTCGAGCTAGGCGCACATCCAGATCATACAAGCCCACCGGCATACGGATCAGATGCAAGAGAGCTGGACGGAAAAGTAGCGCTCCAAGTTTGGAAATCCGAAATCGAAAGACAACTGGGCATTCTGCGTGACCGCCAGACAGCCGAAAACCTCGCGCTAGAAGAGACAGCAGAAGTACAATTACCGAAGATCAGTTTCACGAAGCGGATCGCCATGACCATCCAGAAATTGCTCACAGCCTTGAAGCGAGTTTTCGGTTTTTCTACAATCATGGGCGGATCCAAATTCAAGTCCTGGATGTGCATCTGTTGTCATAGTACCCGTGGCAAATTCATGAAAGCCCCGTGCTCCCATATCTACTGTAGCTCATGCCTGACTATCATAGCCACAAATTTTGTGAAAGGCCAGTCGACATCCCCACCGCAATGCTGTTCCCAGCCGATAACAGGTTCGAAGATGAAAAAGGTAATTGGAGTCGCGTTGGACAAAAGCTATAAGGACAAGCTCATTGAGTTCGATGACACGGACAAAACATACTGCGCAAACGCGAGATGTTTGCGATATCTCGTATACAAAAGGTCCCTTTGGTCAAGACTTACAACAAGGAGAATCTGCCGCTGCGAATGCGGATTTCGCACGTGCAGGAAATGCAAGTCGTTTGCTCATGGCGGAGACTGTCTTCATCCGGTGGACCACGCATTTGAGGAAATGAAGCTGGCATTCAGGTGGCAGGATTGCTTCAAATGTCATCGTGTGATTGAGCGGACTCGTGGCTGCGCACATATCATGTAAGTTCCAAGTTCTTGAACTTGTCTCGTTCTGTATGATCCTGGCTGACCTTTTTTAGTTGTATTTGCCGCGCTGAGTGGTGTTATGATTGTGGGAAGAAATGGAAAACCTGCAAGTGTAGCTGGGCAATTTCCAGGTGAGGGACTGTTGTGCATGTCCAGTCCCAAGGTCAAGTCTTGGAACAAATACCTTTACGCCTGTGTTTGAAAATGGTCGAACTGGCTTCCGCTTTTGCTAATGGTGTCCCAGCTGGCATCAATTATGTACCCGACGTCTTGCGTTCTTGGGGTGCTTAGGTGCAAGGGGGTGCACCCTTGAGAATTTACTTAAGTATGAGATGCGTTTCACCACATAGACAATCCCATCTCGAAGATCGCATAGACCAATAAAGTAAAATCCTTTGTAAGCTGACATAGAAACTATGCGAATATTCTCAGTGGTTGTAACGTGTACTTCAATTGTGGGTCTGGAATATATCGCCGCATGTGCGCACTGGCACTTGAGCACTGGTTTGTGGGGTCCAATCTAGAAATCTTGGGAATGAACTGTTAGATATCAGTTTGGTCTGATACGAAATTCCACTGACCTTCTACTGTCAACGCCATACTTATTTCGATCACACGATCAATTCCCCATTACATGGTGGGAACGGACAGACACGCTGCCGGAAACGGCAAAACATCATCATATGTCACCCTATGTTGTACTCAAGCAAACCCCGAACTCGTTAGATACATTAGAACAAAGTTCCAGGGTTCTGGAGCTGTCCAGGTGTAATTGGGATACCCAATTCCATCATGTCAACCGATCTAGCTTGGAAATAGCCCTAATGCATACTTACTTAGGTAGTGACTGATGTGCACAAATATATGATACCTTTAGACAACCTGCATGTGGTACTGAGAAAGTATTCAAGTTACTGGGCAATAATGTTTACCCTAGAATGACTTAGGAGAGTCAGAAATTCACTGCTGATGAGGTCTACAGGTTTCATTGGCGTTGGTCTGTAGAAGCTTTCCGCGAACCCTGGAATACCCGTGGAATGTGTAACCCGCGATCCAGTGGAAGTCGGTCCGGAACCAACTTGTACTACCGACCAATCACGATTTATTCATATAGTACGGATTACCTACCCAGGCGCCCAGGCCTACTCGTACAGGTGCTCAAGTGGCATCCACCGGAGCACTGGATGTTCAGCCTCAGAAGGGTGACTCGAGTCAAGAGCCCCGGGCCCTTTAGGGGACGGCAACACAGCTACGTGCGCCCGTGTTAGGACATGATTCAAGTCCAGAATTCACAATCGCCTGATCAGAAGCCATCAGGAACTAGTGGCTTACGGGCGCACTAGAGCTCGAGTCCTGTGCCCGAAAAAACAATAACGCGCCTAGTGCGGTTTCCCAAAGCCTGGAAGTCAAGTATCGATTATATGAGTCTGAACTAGATCAGGAAACTAGCGACGGCCGGTAAGGAGTCGGGGGCCGAACCGAACGAGGAAATGCCGTGAAACGAGTAGAAACCTTGAATACTTCGTATTCACGCGGGCGATGAGCCGTCTAGAAGCCGCCCTGCTGACGCGAAGACTCGGACATACCGTACGAGTATGAGTCGATAGCTTATCTTACTGACCTACCATCAAGGGAAAAGACCCAGAGTCAATTGACCCAGTGGAGACCTTGACCATGCTTTTTAAGATGAGGTCTACAGATCGGCAGTGAATGACTTCAGCGTGGATACAGAGTATAGCGCACGCGAAACGGAAACGCAGGGCACTGCATAATCCCTAGCTTCTAGAAGGCAACTGCCAATTCTGGGGACCCGGCACTCCATGCAAGACGGGACCTAGGACGGAAGATGAGACGAAAAAGGCACCCTAAACAGAGAGCGAGAATGTCATCCACCAGCGACGATTGGCTGTACGCAGTCTCGGGCACCTGCAGTACAAGATCGGCTAGTATCCACGCTACAGCAGAACCCCTGGATCGCAAAGAAATAACGCAAAACTGGGGCCCATGCAGGCGAGCCGGATGTCATACGCAAGGTGGGTTCTAGAGTTGGGAATCTCAAACGGTGACTGAAGTAGGGAGTCAGCCGAGAGAGCCTGAGCCCTGGCGTCAGGAAAGTGACCAGCGACAGACGCGGAATGGGAGCACGTGCGTGCCACGATTGCCAACTGCACCAAGCATTGATGAAGCTCACTTGGCGACGCCTTCGCTTGGACGCCTATTGCTTGACGCGCCGTAAGTTTGAACGGGCGAACATGGCAAAAGAGGGGCCGAGAAGCAAGCATTAGCCAAGATGTTGAATGTTGCTCGGCGGTTTGCTGTCGCATGCTCTCATGGAAGACATGTTATTGAACCCTTTCTGGTCGATTAAGGGTCGATAGTGTTGTTTTTCGAGAACCTAGTCTCAAACCCATTGTCGATAGCATAAAATCATGCCATTCATCTTACTATGCAGGCATAGTAGGGGGCAAAACAGCATTCGCATGGCCGTGATACCACGTGTGGGAAGGTTTGAGGTTGGATGTGAGATGAGTTGCACATGGGCATATGCGGGACGCTGAGTGGTCAGAGATCCATGCATATCCCCCCGGGTTAGCGTGGAAATTCCAAGCCACTACGTCAAGGGGCCAGAGCGGCCCGTTTTTAACTTTTTTGGATCTTTAAAAGAAACTGGAGACTGAACTGATGTGTCCATACTTAGAACGAGATGCATTGTTCATGTCTCTCCGGTCCACCCGTAGCCTATCGGGCTGTCTTGTGTCACTGTTGTCAAAGCGCGGAAATGAGATTGCCCCTGGGTCTGGGTGATGCCACACTCCTACCATAGTTCGTACTGCGTAGCATCACGCTGTCTAGTACTCAGGCATTCAAAGAGATTTGCATCTTGCATCTTGCATCAGTCTGCAATTATGTTGCCTTTGATCGTTCGAGGAATATCCCTGTAGGCAAAGATGTGAAGGCCCAACGAACCCTCAAATCAGACCATCACACAAATTTGATCGCCCCCTCAAACGCACATTGATGCTAAAGGGCAAAATCGTCCCCCGCGAAGATCTGCCCAGACATGACCGCCTACTGTAAATAGCGATCTGCATTCAGATTCTGCCACCACGTGCATAGTTGATTGGCTGACGGCAGCTCCAGTTGGCCCCGCAAGAGGCTCCACTAGATCCAGAGTTGCCGCTTTCGGCAGCACAAACCAGACAAACCCCGACCCAAACCAGCGAAATCCGAGGCCCCGGAAGGACTAGGACAGTCCCAGTCCACAGTTGAGCGGCCGAAACCCAACGCAGTTTCTTCGCTTTTCTTTTTTTTTTTTTTTTTTGTGGAGCCCGTCACCGACTTATCAGCGATGGCTGCCATCGCATGTGTCCTTCGCTTGGCCTTTCCCAGCTTTTTTCTCTTCCCTCCAGTTCATATATAAAATCCAGGATCGCCACTTGTTCTGAGAATTGATCATCCACATCCCTCGTGGTCTTCCTCGACCTCCCCCCCAATTCCTTCAAGGAAACTTGAACCTGTCCTACAGGCCCAAAAATTCTTGCTCACGCGACACTTGAGGGAACCTCTCTATACACACCATGGCCGATTTTGGACCTCGTGCCCCTCATGGGCCTGACATGTCGGGAACACACAACCCATTGGAAGACATGGATATCAACGAGAAGGGTGCTTTCGATTCCCTCATCCGACCCGACGATAGCTATACTCCGGAGGGCACCTACTGGGCTGACTTGCCGCTTTTCAAGAAGATTGGCTTCGTCAGCTCATATAACAACAAGGAAGCGAAGAGGGAACTCAAAGGTATCTGGGAAATGACGAAGGAGGATCCGCTTTCACCGGTTTCCTACTACTTCCGCAACATGGTGCTCCCCGGTGCCGGTCTCGGTTTGGAGGGTTACGTGCTCTTCTCCATTGGTAACATCAAGCCATTGTTCGAAAAAGCCTTCCCCGACTGCTGGGGAAGCCACAAGACTTGCAGTCAGCAATGGATGTCCGCCATTGACTATCTCGAAATTATTGGTATTATTGTTGGTCAGATCTTGGTTGGAATTTTGGGTGACTGGTAAGCTATGGCAAAACCTGAGACGACAAAACTGGTTATTAACCCGAAATTTAGGATCGGTCGTCGTTGGGGTCTTATTCAGGATGCCGCGATCATGTTGCTCGGTCTCATCATGTTGACAGCCGCTTGGGGTGTCACGGAAAACGGCTGGGTGATCTGTTACGCCTGGTCTTTGTTCATCTACGGTATCGGTGTTGGAGGTGAATACCCCATGACCGCCACCAGTGGTATGGAAAACGCCGTTGGCTCTGGAAAGATTTCCACCAAGGAAGATCGTCTGCACCGTGGCCGCAAGGTCACCAGCGCCTTCCTGATGCAGGGTTGGGGTCAATTCGCCAACCAGGTCATCCTCATTATTCTCCTGCTCTGCTTCCACCACGGTAGCGGAAACAACCCTTACTCCGCGGTTGCCGTCCAGTGGACCTACCGTGTTTCCTTCGCCCTTCCTGCCGTCGGTACTCTGTGGCTCGTGTACTACCGTGCCTACCACATGAAGGCTGCCAGCAAGCAGCTCGACGCTGCTAAGAAGAAGTCTTCCGTTACTGGCTACGATGCTCAGTCTCTCAAACTGACATTCCGCTACTTTGGTTTCCGTATCTTCGCAACTGCTGGCGGCTGGTTCGCCAACGATGTTTTCTTCTACGGTAACAAGCTCTTCCAGAGTGAGTTCATCAAAGTCATCAGCCCTGCATCCGAATCCGTCATGCCCACCTGGTTGTGGAACTTGGTCAACTGTGGTGTCTCCCTCTGCGGATACTACTGTGCCTCTTTCCTGATCGATAACAAGCTGTACGGTCGCAAGTGGATGCAGATCATCGGTTTCTTGCTCTGCTTCATCCTCTTCATCGTCCCCGCTTTCAACTTCGACTACTATCGCCGTCCCGAAAACATCAAGTCCTTCCAGACTATGTACTTCCTCTCCTCTTTCTTCAACCAGTTCGGTCCCAACTCCGTCTCATTCCTGGTCGCCGCCGAGGTCTTCCCCACTCCCATCCGTGCCTCCGCTCATGGTATGTCCGCTGCGTGGGGTAAGGCCGGTGCGCTCTTGGCCGCCGTTCTGTACAACTACATCGACACCCAAACCAAGTTCTACGTTGTTCCTTGGTTCGGTCTGGCCGGTGCTGTCATCACCGCTTGCTTCCTCCCTGATACCACTGGTCTGGATCTGAAGGAACAAGAGCGCCGCTGGGAATACCTCCGCCAGGGCAAGGAAGAAGACTACCACGGTCCCGCCGTGCACCCCAAGCACCTGTCCTGGTACGAGCGCTACGTTCTGCGCAAGTGTCGCTTCTACGACGCCGAGCTCGACTACCAACAAAAGGTCGAGGAGTACCGCGCCGAGTGGGAGTCTGCTATGGCTGCCAAGACCTCCGAGAAGGAGGACGCCAACAACTTCGACACTGACGATACCCTCCTCGAGGGTCACGTTCACACATACTTCCACCGTACCAGCCCTATGTTCAAGGGTATGGAGAAGAATGTCACTTCCAAGCAAGATAACTTCACATTACCCCCTCCTGCGGAGAGTGAGCTTGAAGAGACGGATTCAAATGAGAAGCGATAGATGTTGCATCTCTGTATATAGATAATTCCCCCTGTTTTCTTTCCTGTTTTCTCTTTTTTTTTGTGAAAAACGCCATGCATATACCGAGTTGCTTTGAAAGCCTGCTTTGCTTATGAACTGAATGCATAACTTTGCTTGATGCATGGAGCGGCACAGTCCTGTAATTAGAAAGTTGATACCACATACATCTTGCTCCGATTGGACATTTGCTGAACAATTTCTTCCATTTTCTCTTAAATCCTCAAGTTTCACTCAGATAGAATAGATGTCTTGAAAGACTTTGTTCGGCCTTACCATGCTGACTAAAGTGCTCCACCAGAACAACCTGAAATGTTGAAGTTACCAAGTCCACAACTTCACCCCAAAGCTAAAAACATAAAACCCGCTGCAACACAAACAAAAAAGAGAATGCGTCTCTTCGCTTTCGGCTCAAACGGATCAGGCCAACTAGGAATCGGCCATCAAGAAGATGTCTCCAACCCCACACAATGTCTCTTCACAACAGACCCAGAGTCCAAAAACACGACTCAAGATATAAACGAGGAGATCACCACAATCGCAGCAGGTGGAAACCACACACTCCTCCTCACCAAGACAGGCACCGTCTACGCAGCCGGAGCCAATACAGACGGACGGTGCGGAACCTCAACAAGTCCAGAAAACGTCTTTAACCGCGTATCCATCACCACCGCCTCAGGCAAAGTGGATACATTCTCCCACGTCTCCGCAACATGGGAAGGATCTATCTTCGTCTCATCCGAAGCAACGGACGATAAAGTCTACGTGCTCGGGACTAACACGAAAGGCGAACTAGGCGTGGCGGAGCCGCTGGTTTCGAGCGCGCTGTGCGTTCCTGATTTCCCACCGCGTGGTACGCGTGTCGCTGCATTGGCGAGTGGGATGGCGCATTCGGTGACTGTGCTTTCGAATGGGGATGTGTGGGGGTGGGGCGGGGCGAGGAAGGGGCAGCTTGGGAGTGAGAATGTGGTTAGGATAGCGGGGCCTGTGCGGATTCAGGTCCCGTTCTTTGCGGAGGAGGTTGTTTGTGGGAGGGAGTTTTCTGTTGTTTCTGGTCGGGGGCAGTTTGTTGTTCTTGGTGATCCGGGGAATCGATGGGGTGTTTTGAATGTTCCCAAGTGCTTTGTTTCTGGTGAGGGTGGGTCGAGGGGGTTGATTCGGTATCCTTATGAGGGGATTCGGGCTAGTTGGCATGGCATCTATGTGCATGCTGCTGGGCTGGAAAGTGATGCTGAGGGTGAAGTTGGGTCGCTTATTGCTTGGGGTCGGAATGATCGCGGTCAGATTCCACCTCGGACGCTTCCAACGCCTGCTGTGCTCGCTGTTGGCAGTGAGCATGTTGTTGCTCTTTTGAAGAATGGCGAAGTGGTTGCTTGCGGATGGGGCGAGCATGGGAATTGTGGTGAGGATTTGGATGCTCTGCGCAATGTAGCAGATAGGGTGAACCTCATCTCGCTCCCTGAGACTTTGGAAGGAAAGGTTGTCGGGGTCGGTGCGGGATGCGCTACCAGCTGGATGGTCGTGGAATGAGGTCTTTTGTCGGCTTAATGGCACCGGCAAATTCCATCCTATCATCACCAGGGAAGATATGTTCAGTCGAAAAGACCGTACTGGCGAACCTGAGACAAACGCTGAGTGGGTGGAAGGCCCATCTCATCATCCTCTTCAGTCCGCTCATTAGCCCCCAGAGAAGGCTCTGCGTCTCGAATAGATGCCCCGAAAGCATCCTGGAATCATTCATTAGCCAATGCGTCCATCTAAGCAAAACTGGACAACTTACCTGGGTTCCCGACGCATCCCACCCCAGGATGTCTTGCGGTTCCTCTTCGTTCATCTCATCCCACTGTCTATCATCATCGGCAGGAACAAAAAGACTGTCGAATTCCATCGAAAGACCAGACGCCAAAGGCCTATCCGCACTAGTCTTCTGAGTCAGGTTCTCCTGCGTCGATGATCCATTCAGAGGGCGAATCGATCTGCCCCTCGGTGGCGGTGGCGGCATCGTATTTGGTGCCGATGCTTGTGTTTCAGAAGGCCTTGCTGAAATAGTGATTGGCGCAGGTGTTTCTCGTGGGATCGTTGCTCGAGATGACGGGACATCGTCATCAGCTTGCCCACGGGTCATGATTGTGAATTCTGCCTGAACCCCTTCGACCAAGTACTCCAGTTGCAGTGGCTTGCATGGCCGTGTGAACCTGGCTGTCACGGTGGCATTGACCGTTTCGGCATGCCCGACTATGGCTTTGAAGTCTTTGAGATTAATCGCCACGTGCATGTTGTCTTCAACCAGATACTCCTGGAAGTCAAGTTTGTCAGTTGCGACAGACGTGTGCACTGGGTGTTTCAGTATTTCTATTCCAACGTTAGCATATGAGAGTTTCTGGCAGAGGACGGAATTCATGCCTTTGCCTTCAGTGACCTTTGTGGTAAAACTAGTGAACACTGCTTTGCCAGAATCAGAGTACATGTCCAATTGCTCTGCGGATGAACTGAAGTGTTCTATCAGGTTCTTCAGGAATCGTGGATCCGCCGCCCACATGCTCGTGGCCTTGGATTTGTCGAAAACAGCGTGTTGAATCGCCGCCGGCTCGTAAGTCAGCTTGTATGATTTGATGACACCTGCAGAGCGTCAGAAACATTCACCAGCGTATATAGGTGGATAGATCGTACCAAGTCCACATATCATCTTCACTGTTAGTCTACATTCAGCCTGCTGTGGATCCTCATGTAGCTCCATATCACAGCGTTCAACGGCAGTGTCTTTGTTCCTATCAATTCTCCCACGGAAGATTGATAAAAGTGCCTAGTGTTGGTATCAGCAAATGTAAAGAGAGACGAGGCAATGATGCCTTATGACTCTAACCCGTGACAGTGCCTTTACTTACCTTTGCATAGATCTGACAGAAGAATCGGTCTTGCGCAATGCTCCCGCTGTGGCCAGCACTGCTAGTTTGGAAAGAGTACGCCTCGAAGAAGGCATTCTTCTCAAAGGCAAAGGAGGCAAACCCGGTCTTGGTTGAATTGAGGGCACTCAGGCGGAGCTGTACAATCGGTCAACACAATGCCGATTGACTCAGATGCAAATGGCAGGGCACTTACAAGAGTTGGCTCGGCCTCAATGGCGACTGTTTCACTGAATTTGGATAGGCAGATCAAGACATCGTGGAGCCTGATCAAGGCTGGAGGGTCCAGCGATAGCGCGAGAGACGTCATGACGATCTCTGAGATTCTTGACCAAAAATCGTAAGTTGCACGGCGACACAAGCAGACACCTGGGCATTTGCACAGGATCACTTAACGCGCTCTTCGCCCGGCGCGTCAATGTGATTATGTCAGCATCTGGGTGTCGCCAACTGGTCAACAGGCCCAGTTCGACTTGGGTGAAAGATCCAATTATTTGATAAGAGCGATTTCTTATTGCTCGATTCTCTATCAGAGTCACACACGAGATTGTTTGAGGCTTTCTATCAAGGAGCCCAGTATGAAGGAGAGAGTATATTCATAAATGCTATTCATAAAGTCGTCATAAAGTATGATGTTTCGCAGGCAAGGGAGATCACCGCACCGGTCTGAGATGACTTTCATCTCCAGCAAGGTAATATCTGCCTATTCAACAACTGGCGTATTTACTGGAACAGGTTGCCCATCCGTATCATCTGCTACGGGTTCTCCTCTGGCATTGGTATTGTCTGGGGGTTCCCCAGTCCCTCCAACTCGAACCCGTTCTCGTTGAGGCAAAGGGTGCGGGAACTGCATCTCCAAGAGCCGTCGCCTGCGTCGTCCGTTCCGTACAGCGTGCAAGAAGTTGACACCCACTTGGGCGAAAAATATAGCAAAGAACGCACCGATCACGAACACCTGAGGGATATGAGCCTCTCCCTGCTCTGGCGTTTCAGTGCCACGGTGCTGGTCATGTTCATGGGATATTTGAGGGGTTGTCTCAGGAATGGAGAGGCCGGAACCACCAAATGAAATGGATATAGAAAAGGAAAGTGGCGTGAAGGATGAGAATGCTGTGAATCCATTTGGTGACAATGACGTGAAGAAACCACTCAGAGGCCTCAGAACCAATGGAATGATACAGAAAATGAGGAGGGGAACGGATAGTCATAAGACAGAGGAAATGGATGACCGGGTCGACCTGTGCGTGAATATCTGATCAGAAGAGAAGGCAAAGAGATAGTGATGGACTTACCAATCTCGAGCCTCGAGTTGTCTTGCCCACTTGGCGGAAACCTTCAACCTCTCGCGAACGCTTGTGGCAGATAGTATGGGGTATTTTTCTTCTTCGGATATGGGTAAAATGCTCGCAAACCACCAAGGGAATCTAGCAGCGTCCACAGGTATGGGCCCATATGCTAACATGACTCGGGGATGCAACCAGGGCGCACCGGATCTGCGCTGATTACTGATGAATTCTCTCGCTGTGAGGAGAAGTTGCTGAGTAGACATGGAGTCTAACTCCGGATCAGATGGAATACTTTCTGGCAGGACATCTTCACCATTCGATGATGTCTCCAGAGCCTCCAGACGTTCCTCTTCCGCCAGCGGGATATCCTCCACGCGTTCGGTTTTGGCGACATAATAGCCATCCAGCATTACCGAGTCGGTAATCTTGAACCGCGACACGCCTGTAGCCACAACGAGACTCCGACCATCGGGAAGCAACTCATATCGCTCTATCATCAAGAGCGTTCCGTATTGCATGAATGGCGCATCATCCAGATGGCCAAGCTGTAGCCGGCCGCGCCGATTATACATGACCATGCCGAACTTGCCATTTCCATTCTCGATCACCCGCCTAATCATCAGTCGATAACGGGGCTCAAAGACATGAAGGAAAGTCGGCATAGTCGGAAATGAAAGCGTACAAACAAAAAGGGGCAGGTTTTTCTCATAATCTGGGCCGGTTTCATCCTGCGCGACAATCTCCCGTCTGGCTGCAATTTGGTCGAGGAAGAAGTAGTCAATCAGCCGCGATATAGTCTTGTTGATAGGTTCAGCTTGTATCCTCGGCATCCCCAGCTTTCGACGACAGATAGGACAAAGATCGGCGTGGTCCAATACCCGCTCAACACATCGTTGGCAGAAAGTGTGGCCACAGGCCGTAGTCATAGGATCTAGCAGTAGCGCATAGCAAACCTGACAATCTAGCTCGGCGCGGAGATTGTCCTGGAGATTCTGCTGTTGAACAAGATCCTGCGTGTTTGTAGTTCCAACGGGACCGTTGGTTTCGTATATGACGTCGGTAGCAGCGCATGGGAAAGATCCTTCCGATGCGAGTCTGTAGATACCTTCCAAATAGCCTCGCTCCAACTGCGCACTTTCAAAATCATGGGTCTCGTCGGCTCTCCACCGAACCAAATTGCCGTCGCCTTGGCACTCCCGAGGCGCGTTGTTCGCGCCCGCCAGCAGCTGTTCAAAAACCCCGGCCAGCTTCGCAAGCAAGACATCGGCACTGCAGTCTCCAATGCAATGGTCCCCAATACATCCTTCGGTTCCTTTCCACGGGCACGTGAACTCCTGGTCCCTGCCCTCAGCTACGGGGTACGTGATACCCGTCCGCATCCGCGAGGGAGGTAAACATTCCCGACAAACGGTGTTTCCACAAGGTAACCGGAGCGGTGTGCGTAGCGGACGTGAACACTGCTTGCACTGGATCAACTGAATGATGGTATGGAGACCTGCGTGGCCCATGTCTGTTGGGTCGGACATTTCGGTGAGGTCGACCTCAGGTTCCAGGTGCGGGGATGGCGACTCGGCCATGACAAGCTTTCAGAATTGTTGATATCAACTTCAGACACCTGTAGACAGAGTGGGCTCATCTGGAGAGCTCTCGGAGTCGATGATCCGCTCTGCACAATTGCGGGTCAACTTTAGATAATCGGATCAGTGCCTCGGCTACTCGACTTGGTCTTCCGCGATCGGCTTAGATGTTGAACTACAAAGTATGAATACTTAAGTACGGTGTACAACGTACAACGTATGAAGTTTACAGATATATCTACTAATAGTACAAACTTTTGAAGCCCAGGCCAAAAGTGACTTAAGACATCCCGGAATTGTGAAAGTCATAGATTGATGCGTAAATCGTCGCTCAGAATACAAGCCAAACACCCAACCGTCTTGTAGGGTATAGTATATTAGCGGACAGAAAAGCAAAACGAAAAAGAAAAGACCACCTTTAGTCGGATTGAGAGCTGCCTGAAGAATCAGATTCTGAGTCGGAGTCTTCCTCAAGGACAATTCGCCGCATGACGCTCTTGTCGAACAAGTCCAGGGCAAAGCGACGTGATGGAAGTCGGAAATGGTGACTCTCTAGGATGCATAGGGTTTTGCGGAAGAGATCCACCTGGCGGAATTTGTCGGGTTGTTTGGATTTCAAGCTGCAAGAATGGTCAGAAACTGTAACGCTGGTCGTCGAGGAGAGAGCATACCTGTGGAGTTCCGACGCCGCTCGTTTGGCAAGGACAGTGTTTCCCATGTCAACAATGGATTTGAGGATCTGTTGATTGACAGAATCAGGATCTGAGGTGGCTTCCTTCATCTTCTCCTGAGGGGTGCGCTTCGACTTCGAATCAAAGCCGGGGAAAGTGATCTAGGCCAATTAGCAAAATGAAGGAAACAGACGAGGCATGGATACTCACCCAAAACAATTTTCGGAAATCGGTAGGAAGGCAAAGACCCAAAGAGTCGCCTTTCTGGTCCACGCCGGAATCCCAGCCCAGTCCTTGCAAGACTTTAAGTCCATGTCTACTCCGAGAGATGAGGCCGAGAACAAAGAATGCTGTGCCTCTCATTGTGAGGACACCTGCACTCGTAGCTATATCCACGATTCGCTGGATGATATCGGTGTCGAGGAATGGAGCGCCGAGTTCCATCGATCCGATGTTGCCAACTGCCCAGAGGCAGCCCTTGGCTTTGAGAAGCATCTCATTCTCTTCTTCATCCAGCCTAAAATCACGGATTGTCCAAGCAAACTCGTTGAAATGACCTGATTGTTCAAGAAGCTTGCATCCTTCAGCGGTTCGTGCAAGCTCTCGGTAGAAATGAGGTGGCACCAGACCGATATCTTGTAGGTCTACCAGATCCTCGGGGGCAAGACTACCACGTCGTGGTTGCTCAACGTAAGCTCGAGAAAGGGCAGCCTCAACGAGAGCAACATAGCTATCGTTACGGCCAAGGAACCAGTCATCCATCTCTTGGGTGATATAGTCCAGACCATCTAGATAATGATAGCCCACGGAGGTAGACAGGAACCGAAGAAGTAAAGGCGCACCGATCTCACCCAAGTGGTCGAGAGAGGGTCGACATTTGACCACGAACTCAAGATAGTCCCGCTGGTTGCAAGCTTCTTCGAGAATTTTGACTGCGACTTGGCAGACCGTGACTTCGGGGTCATATAATTGAGTGACGAGAAGTTTCACAACCCACTCCGCATTTCCAATCGCCACATTGGGGGAGAATGATGCATCGCCAACGGCATATTTTCGCAGAAGTCTCGTCGCAAAGATTCGGATCTCCTTGGACCCAATGGTGAGGGCCTTGGAAAGCATGACCCGAAGATGACTCTCACGGCTGTAATCCATGTTTCCCAACAAAGTCTGGATGAGATCATTCCGGTCTCGCAGCTCAATGATGTGGTAGAACATATTCAGCATGTGCCACCGCTCCATCATGAACAGCCCATTGGCATCGGCACTCAATACGCCAAGCATGGCGAAATAGCCTCCACTCAATGTGTTGGCCATCTGCTCCCGGGAGAAAAGCGGCGACTCGGATGTCAACCCACTCATGCGATCCAACTGAGCCAGACATTCCGCGACTTGGCGGAGGAACTTGTTCTCAGCCAGATACTTGGTGCCCTCAGGGGTCATGACTAGGGTGCGCATGAGAACACAGCCCGTTCGAACGTATCGCTGATTCGCTTTCGTGTTGGAAACCATAGCGAATCGATACTTGAAAGGCCGGTAGAACCCAATGAGACGTTTCATGAACTTGGAGCCTTTGATTGCCTCGTCCATACGTTTGGAATTGGTGAGAGGTCCCTCAACCAGACGGTGGATGATATCCCATTTCCATTTGGTGTAGTTGACGGTGTTGAGAACATGAGTCTCCAGGATGGCATTCCGAAATTGCGTCTCGTCCATAGCAGGGCTCAACTTTTCCTTCCCTTGTTCATTGGGTAGCAAAGGAACTGACATGTCTGTTTCCATGTTGTATCGACTTTGCCCGCTGGGATATGCACCTGAGCGAGCTAATGTGCGATTGATACTGTCAATCTGGAAGATAGTTGCAGTTGAGAGATCATGATTCTCGGTCTCAAAGTCGATAGCGGGAGGAATAAGATGAGGGAGGACCTGGAGTTTGGCGCTAACAGCCTGGGGCAAAGAATGATGGGCAAGCTTCAGGACTTCCGTCAAGAGCAAAGTAGCCTTTCGTCTGAGCGAAAGATCGGTCTCGTCCTCAATGACATCCGAAAGAGTCTGTGCTGACGTTAGTTCCTGTAACAACCGAGAGAAAAGTATACACACCTTCGCGATCCCTGCTTCTACCAATCCTGCCAGAATGAGTGTAGAGAAATGGGAAGTAAGGTCGAATTTGTTGCTGTTACTGTCGTGGAAAGTGCAAATAGGCTTTGATGATTCGGTATCAGAGCGCAGATTGGAGACTCTGCCGTAGGTTGTGAGTCGCCTACCCGCGAGGAATGATGATGACCAGGAGGGTGGTTTGATCCGCAGAGCATCGAACAATAGTTCCATAATCAAATCGCGTGCCGAGGGGTCGTCATAGTGTAGTGAGTCAAGGAGTGACCGTAACGGTTGTGAATCGTGTCTTGCAAGAATGACCAGGCCAGGCCAGGTCTTAAGCATTGCGGAGATCGCCCGCGCTGCAGACTTCAACCGTCCGCTGCGCAACGAGTCAGACAATGAGTCAGTAAAGGGTGTAAGAACCGCTTCTAGTTCTGATCCTTGGAGGAATTTTCGACTGCGCGGGGTATCCACGACATGTAAGAAGCTGGAGATCAAGCTTTCAGATGCCCCGAACGTCCCCTCTGCGAGGACATCATGCAACGCAGCAAACCCACCCGCAATTGCAACCATCTCTGGATCTTTGACCAGAATCTCAGCCAATGTCATGATGGAGATGTTGCGAAGACGGTCTTCGTGATGTTCGGCCACCGCAACAATGGTGCGAACTATAGCGCGTGATATCTCTCGAACTCCGTCTTTGACATCCAGGAAGCCTCGCACAAACTTGAGTGCCTGCTCCCTCTCAATGCTTGCTTTGGTCTCTTTAACCAACGAGAGTATGACTAATTCATCAGTATGCAGTGACCGAATCGTTTGTAGGGATTTTCTGTCTGCAATGGCATAGCGGGTTAGCCGATATCCAGCGGCTACCACTTCTTTGCTATCACTCAGAAGCATGACTTGGACTCGTAGTCCGAAAACAGGCCATGCGAGGTCATATTTCAAGGTCGGATGTCGTTTGAAGAGTTCGACCAGGTTGTTTGCTCGTTCAACGTAGAAATCGGGAGACATCCCCTCCATCTCCAAGGCTTGTAGTGTCTCGGAGAGAACATAGGTCGGTGACTCCATGTCATCACCACCCTCCTCATCATCGCCGTTCAACGAGCTGGTGGCGTCTTTGTTACGAGATGGCGATCGCATGGGGCTGGCTCGGAAGAGGCTCGAAAGTCGGCTGCTGGGTGGGGGTGTCGATGCCGGCGCCTGCGCACGTAATATCTCTTCTTCCAGCTCATGTTGTAGTTCCACCAATTTGCGGTTGGAGGTACTCAGTTCGCCCTCAACCCGTAGTCGCTGTTCTTTGGTTTGTTTCGGTGGTTTCGCTAGCAACGCCTCGAGCATGTTCTCGGTCCCGCTCTTGATCTTCATCTCCCTTGCGATTCTCTCTCGTAGATAGGCCTGACGCTCTTCCGTTGTGATGAGATCCTCCTCTCCGATGGACCTGCTTGCACGTCTGTTAAACGCGCCATCCGGTCGGGGGGTCACGTTGCGAGAATGCATGCTCTTGAGCTCTGCGCTGAAGCTACCTGGGCCTCCAAACGAAGGCGCCAATGACCCTCCCCGTCCGCCCATGAGACTGCTTCCTCCCGATTCCGACCGACCATTCCTTCCTGTGCGTGGTATGCCATCGTGCCAGCTTCCATCGGCCGAGCCGCCATCCTGGCTGAGGGAGGAGCGTCCGTCACCCAATGCTCGGTGCTGGGTGGACGCGGAATATGCTGAATTGTGCCCGGAAGCCATGAAGCTCCATTTAGCCGCGACGGCTTCGCTCTCACTTATGGCAAGTGTCCTGGGTTCCAAATGGCTGCATTGAGATCGACTGTAGAGGAAGGGAGCGGAGCAAGATATGGGGAAGAGGGGCGCGGTCACGGGTGTGAAGATCAGAAGGTAGTAGCGGCCATTCCCACCTCCGGGGCTGTCAGGCGTAGATTCGAGGGTTTTAACGGGCAATGATCGCTCGAGTGCTCTTGTCCCACTAACATCAAGATCACATCTCCAGCGACCTCAAAATAAACGGATGACTAAGATTGAAAGCAGGTCATCTGATCTCCGCTATAAAATGCCCACAGCACGGAGTACAGTACTACAAGGTCTACAACCCTGGTGATAGCACCAGAATTATCCCCTAACATTGCATTGGAACTACAGTGATTCTTCTTGTATTGGAATCAATTCTGCCCTGAAATACTAAGAGTGATATATTATCTTCCGCGTGCGCCCCTTGGAATAGCGATATGCTTCGTTCTTCAATCTGCCTCAGGTCCATCCTTTGGTTCCTCGTGCAATGTCATGGCTTCCAGTCAAATCCGGGGACTGAGCTTACAATTCGGCCGTTTCTCATATCATTGTTGAACCCCCTTGGTCCTATCATACACCATTAATTGGTTATTTGTTGGAAGTCGTCTTTTCCAGAATGGTCTTCATCATCGCATCGCCAAGCTTGGCTGCCTCAGGGAAACGCGGGGCGAAGTATTCGGCAATGTGCTCGAAACGGTGACGGTAGGACTCAAAGTCACCAAAAGAGACACACTCAGACCATGCCTGGTTCGGGCAGTATGTTAGTAAAGGCCCAATCATGTGTCAGAAACATCAACTCGGACGTACCCGCGCAGCAAATGTGAACTCCAGGTCATCGGACCGGAAGGTGTTGTCGTCGATGGCTGTATCCAGTGCCTCTTCGAGGATGTCCTGGTTCCGGAACAAGTATTCAGTCACACCCAACCAGAGACGGAAAAGCTGCAACATGTCAGTATACCAGTCGAAAAGAGCCCAGTCTCATAGCTGGTCACATACCGGTGTGGAACAGATCATGTGGTCGTAGGGAACAATGCCGAGTTTCGACCAACAGTCAACAATGGCAAGCAGACTGAGGTGACTGTTGGGGGGAGCCTTCTCACGCGGTCGGTTGCCCAACGAGAACTGATCCAGCACGTCATCCCTCAGCAGAAGGTCTTGCTTTTCAGTACCGAATTTGAAAACCGAAGCACCTGCAGCCTTGACCCGACGCTTGAGCTCCTCGCGATGTCCTCCGATCATGAGCTTGTACAAATCGGTGACTGACTCGGCGTACTGGCGAATTTGCTGCTTAGCCGCCGGGTTGAGAATGGCAAGACCGGCATAGACGTGCCATTTGTTGGAGTAGATGCGCAGTGTGATGTTGATCTTGACGTTCTCAATACCTCCCACCCATCGTCCCTGCTCCCATGGGAACTGGGTGTTGGCCTGCCATGCAGTTCCCATACTCAGGAAGGCGGCATGAGTGACGGCCTGTGTATCCGCGGTGATGCGGTCGTGCATCTCGCCGGTGAGATAGACATGTGTGGATCCGAAACAAGAGAGGATGTTTTCGACAAATTTGAGGCTTTCGTCCGAGGCTCGATGTTGGATGAGAACCTATATTGCAGATGTTATTGACAAAGCTTCCGGCAGGCTGAGGAGCAGAGAGCCATACCAGAGGCTGACCCTTTGTGTTCACTTTGGGGCCGTGAAGCGAGTGGCAAGATACGATTTCGACATCGGCGGGTAAGTGTTTCTCGAATGCAGCAAGCTCCGGGGCTTTGCAGGACGTTTGACCACCGACGATGGCACCGAGCTTGGTTGCTTTAGATGCGAGTCAGAATGAATGTACTTGGGCTGCGGACAAAGCAATAGCTTTGGTTCGAGACATACATGGTCCGTACTGTTCCACGACCTTGTCGATGGCTCCAGCCTCTACGCTGTACAGGATGTAATCGCTAATTCTTGAAACGAGATGTCCATTGGGGAATATGGTGACTCCTTGCTATATACGATGAGCTTCTTGAGCTTTTGGATGGCAGAACCCCAGCCGGGGGACGTACTTGAGAAGCGAATTCTTGATTTAAAGATTCAAAATTCTCAGGTCTGTCACAAGCGTTTATCCTTGATATTATATCCCACGTTAGTTATGCCAGATCTTATAGTTAGTAGAAACGAGGCCCGATGCAAATCTGTAGAAATCTTTTCACTTGTTAGCGAGTGCCTTGTAACCAAGAAGTGAAGCAATAATTGTGAGGTGTGTAACAGGATCAGACAAAAAAAATAAGGTAGCGTGGTTTTAACATCATCGACGGCAGGCTGGTGAGCCGCCAGCCAGAATGGCATGACAGCGCCAACCATACAGTACTCGAGCCAAATGCACTCATGTCATCATTCGAGGGGGGAGGGGTGTGAATCGCGAGAGGAAGAAAAAGCTGACCTTTTAAAGCATCTTCGGACCCGTGTGGAACGAATGAGGGGATAGCCATTTACCTCCATCCTGCGGCACTGAGGCGATTGGCATACATTTTGCCCATGTCACCCATGCCGATAATGCCAATAGAGGCATCTTCCTTGGTGCGACCCATTTTGTCAAGCAGTCACAGCTGCAGATGCAGCTCTATGACCGAATGAGGTTGTAGACCGTGAATCTGGACACGATCTGTTCAATTGTGGACGCAAACTCGAAGTTGTACCACTTGAGTCTGGGAATGTCAATTGCGATGTTGAAGGCGGTTGAGCTGATGCGAAGAAAAATTTAAATAGGCAGCCGAGCTAGCGCACTCACCGCCCTCCGGCCCGACCAAGGTGCCGGACCGGAAATCGAAGGCAGAAACTCGCTTGGTATTGGCCAATCATAATGCAGGAAATCCCCTAGGGCACACACCCACTTTTTTCTCTCATCCAAGTGGGATCGTGATCTGACTTTTCCTTTCTTTCTGTATTCCATCCACATCCAACAACAGTCGCAATGGCCCCCAAGACTAAGGCTCCCGCTGCCGCCAAGGAGAACGTCTCCCTCGGCCCCCTCGCCGGTGATGGTATGTTTTTCAGAATTGTAAATCAACAGGGACGTGAAGGCTGATCATATATACAGGCAAGCTCGTTTTCGGCGTTGCCCGCATCTTCGCCTCCTTCAACGATACCTTCGTTCACGTTACCGATCTTTCGTGAGTCAATCTCAACCCATCAATCTTGCGCGCTCGATTGCACCTACAATCGATTGTAACGACACAAAGAACACTTGCTAATGGAATTTGTACAGCGGTCGCGAAACCATCTGCCGTGTCACCGGTGGTATGAAGGTCAAGGCTGACCGTGACGAGTCCTCCCCCTACGCCGCCATGTTGGCTGCTCAGGACGTCGCTGTCCGCTGCAAGGAGCTCGGCATCAACGCCCTCCACATCAAGATCCGTGCCACTGGTGGTAACGGCACCAAGACCCCCGGTCCCGGTGCCCAGTCCGCTCTCCGTGCCCTTGCCCGCTCCGGCATGCGCATTGGCCGTATTGAGGACGTCACCCCCACTCCTTCCGACTCTACTCGTCGCAAGGGTGGTCGCCGTGGTCGCCGTCTGTAAGCGTGTGCGCTTACAGCTGGGACTTTCCTTTCCCCTGGCAAGCTCATTGTCTGGATGGATTGGAGGCTATTTGCGGGCTTCTCTCGCATCTGTGGATGGAATAAACGCGAAGAACGGCCTTGATCGCCTGGTCTTCAATTTTTTTCATACGCTGAAAATCACTCTTCCGGATTATGTTGTTGGATTTGGTAGTTTTCTATTTAAATCGATATCTTGATCCATATCTCTTCCATCGTAAACCATGACATTGGTCTGTACTATCAGCTTTATATTGTAGCAACTGGCGAATCAGTAATTTGCCCCATGCCGCGGGGAGCTTTGGTGGGGTCCTGATAAAAAGATTGCCAATTCTGCTCCCAGTGATAAACCCTCCAACTTACACTTGGCTACTGGTCCCTTTCCTCTTTCTTCTAATAAGCCGCGTCGCAGTGAACTGGCGCCTCAAGGCTGCTGACGTTCGCACACATACCCCCCGCTGGGCTCAGTAACTTTAACGCCTTCGAAGCCCAATTCTCCGAACAGAATCCCGGCCAACCTACCCTTGCCTTTGCAACTACACCTATTTTCTCCGCGCAATAATATCTCGACTTGAACAGGGGAAACCATGGCTACCCATCAGCCTACCCCAACACTTCTCCTCCCACAGCTCCCTCCAAAGACCCTCGTCGGAATCGACCTGATAACCTTCACTTCCACCGCCAATTTCCATGGAATCCGCGACCTATCTCCAGGATGGCATTTCCTCTACACCGGCGCTACAGAGACTCTCTCCCTCCGCAGCGGCGCATGGTTCTACGTCGGCGACATCAATGCCGCAGGGAAGGGTGCGAATGACTCGGCCCTCGTCTCGCGAGCTCAAACCAAAAACCAAGCTACACCAGGTCCAGAGATATATATCTGGAAATGGAGCGCAGATTCAGAGACTCTGGTTCCGTTCAAGGGAGAGAATGATTCAGATCGCCAGGAGGCTATGCGCCACAAAGCAAATCTAGGTGCTGTGTGGCAAAGCGGAGGGTTGTTCAAATATCGCAGTCGCATTGCTCCTTCAATGCTTGTTAAGTCCCAGAAAACTGGAGAACAAAAGGAAGAGCAGGAGGAGGAGGAGGAGGAGGAGGAGCAGATCCAACCGCAACTCGAAGCTCGAGTCCAAACAGAGGATGATGGAAAGACCGAAGAGAATGGTCGCAAAGACTGGTTTGGGTTGACAAATCGGATCTCGCCTACTCTTTTATCGCGTGTCATTGGAGACCCGGAAGTCGATATCGATGGTCATCCACGATGGCTTCTAACATCTGCTTCGACGGCTGACCGTGACGCGGATCATATCCCTGGGGTTGATTCGCCGGTCGAAGAAACAGACGAGCCAGAACGAGAATTTGGCTTCATCCCTGTGGACTTGAAGCGGACTTGGAGAGAAGGTGCCGTTGGGCGTGAAAGAACAGAGGCAGCTCAGGACCGGTCTTGGGCTTTAGGAGACTTGGTTGACCGGTATGCTGGAGAAGCGTCTGGTGGGAATCAATTGCTTGGAGAATTGCAGTTCACTTTCCTCATGGTGCTGACTATGATGAATTACTCGTGCCTTCAGCAGTGGAAGCGACTTCTCGAGCTTGTTCTTACCTCTCGAAGCGCAGTTGTGGACAGGGAAGAATTTGTTGCTGAATTCCTCAGCATTCTATCATTACAGCTTCAGCGATGTGACGATGTTGAGGGTGGGCTATTTGAAATTGATGGCGACGGGGGTGGTGCATTCTTGCGCAACCTGCTCATGAAACTTCGCCAGTCGGTAGATGATTTGGTTGGAGATGATGGAGACTCTGCAGTCAAGCAAGAGCTTGACGAACTTCAAGAATGGGTGAAGACAGAATATGATTGGGATCTGCACCGCGGGTCTGTCGTTCGTCAGGGAATGCTTCAATTGGAGGATGGCGAGGAGGTTGAGATGGATTGGGATGGAAATGACGAAGATGAAGAAACTGGAGAGTATGCCCCAATGATTGTGGAGATGTGAGTTGGGCCTCCCGTACTGAGCATTCACGAACTGTGTAAATATTTGACGACCCATGATTGATATCCATTTCTCTCGCATGTTATGGCGTTTATTTTCTTGAATCCTGGGCATCATCTGAATAATCATATCTTCATTGCTGGACGGCTTGGACAAATTCCAAGAATGCAAAATCTATGTACAATCTAATGCCGGTATGAAAAAAAAAAAGGTGCGTAAGCCGTTTAAGCCAAGCGTCCAGCCATTCGTGGCATCCCACATGATCCTTGCATCAGCGGGTGCAGACATTTTGTCCCATCTATTTCTCCTCGTCCTCAATGACGTAGGCCCATTCGTGCTCTTCCTTGCCGTACATGATGACCTCGAGCCACGACTTGATCTGAGCCGCGTAGCCAGCAGGCTCACCATCCTTGCCCAAGGTGCTGATGTCGTTGTCCTCATTGCGGATCATGGCAACGGGGGTGATGAAGTACTGCGATTCAAAGTTAGTATTCTTGAGATATTTTCAAATAGGGAACAAAGGCAGAAGAGAAACTCACAGCAGTGCCAGAGACGAAGGACTCAACAATGCGGCCCTCCTTGGAGGCCTTCTCGACCTCTGCGATGGTCAAAGTACGCTCCACGACATCAAGTGGAGCCAGGTTGCCAACAGACTTCTGGGAGAGTCTCTCGCGCACGAGCTCCAAAACACTGCGCCGAGTCACACCAGGCAGAATCAGCTGGTTGCCCAGAGGAGCGGTGACGAGCTCGAGCTTGCCGGTGTCGGCGTTGTTCCAGATGATGAAGAAGTTGCTAGCACCGGCCTCAGTGACCTGGCGATCCTGACCGAACAGCCACAGGATTTGATCAAAGCCCAGGGCCTGAGCCTGGCCGTGGGCCTGCAAAGAAGGACCATAGTTAGCACCCAGCTTGGCGTAGCCGAAACCACCGGGCCAAGCACGGATGGTATCCGGCGAGGAAGCGAAGAGCTTGAGACCCTTCTTGGGAGCTGCCTGGGGATCCTGCTTCATCTTAGTGAAGTCGGGCCAGGGAACGGCAATGATGAAGAGCAGGGCTTCCTTGGGCACTGAGACACCCAAGTGAGGACCGTTGCCAATGACGGTAGGGCGGATGTAGAGGAAAGAGCCCGGGTTAGGGAGCCAGCCTGAGACGTGTCAGCGGATAGCTCATTCGCGTCGTGGCTGAAAGCTAAGGTTTGATAGGTATTAGAACTTACGGGCACCATCAACTTGCAAAAGCTTGGCAACAAGCTTCTTAAGCTCGTCATACTTGAAACCGGGAAGAGATGAACGCTGAGAGCTGCTGTTCAGACGTTCACCGTTACAATCAGGGCGGAAAAGACGCATCTTCCCGTCGTATCCGCGGTACACCTTCATGCCCTCGAAGCACTCGGTGGCATAGTGCAGCACTGAGGCTGTTGGGGGGATGCTCAGGTTCTGGTAGGGCTTCACTTCGGGAGTTTCCCAGCCCTTCTCCACCGTCCATCGCACAGTGACCATGTGGTCGGTGCAGTGAGAGTGGCTCAACTCCTCTGGAGAGCCGGGCAAAGGCACATCACGCAGGTTGGTAGAACGAGTGATCTTGAAGTTTGAGCCATCAAGCTCAGCAACATTGGGGGCGACAGATCCCATTGTGAATAGTGAAGGTGTTGTTGGAGTGAGAACGAAAATGGTTATGTTGGGTTTTCAATTTATGAGTCACACAAGCAAGCGAATGAGCAATTGAACAGCACAACGTCTTTGATCGAGGCCGAAACTCGGGGTTCACTTGTTTTATAACGAGCGCGGTTTGCCCCGGGATGCGTATCGGAGGCGGGAAAAAAGTTTTCAAGGCCGGGGCTCTACCCCAAATTTTCATTTGCCACTTTACAGCTTAATCCTCTACATATTTACTTCATACTCAATACTGCCCTATGTGATATGTAGTATGACGGATCTTGTGTCCCACGTTCGTACAACTGTGTAAGGATTTGGACACACCTTGCGCCTTGCGCCTTGCGCCCTTCACTTGAATACTGATAAAGTATCGATCGACAGGCCCACTCGGCCCGGTTGACATCGCCGAGGCTAGCCGTGCGAGTTAGTTGCCGGTATAGATATGGATTCGAGACCGCAAAGAAAAGAGAGCCAGGGCCAAGATAGAATGGTCCCAAGTCCCAGGACATGGAGCACTGCCTAATATCAACTCAAGTGGAATTGGGTGAATTGAAAAGCAGGTAGGCTGTTTTGGTATTGATCTGCAATGACCTATTGGGAGTGCATGCATACTTCCCACCCTCAAATACTCATCTGGAATGTCCGTGGGTAGTACAAAGGACGTACCCTACCTCCTGGTACGTCCATCTGGCGGATCTAACATCACAAAGACTGCCATTGTCAAGCAGCTTCATGAAGATGATACAATGATAATCCAATCATCGGAATGTGGTTGACGTGTCCACCTTTAGGGTTATCGAGAGCAGAAATTAAGACCAATCTTGTCTTGCAATGCTCCGATGATGGTATATGATTGGAACTCATTAGAGAAAATCATCGAGGCAGGTTCATCGCGATTGATTGCGATGAAGCTCGATTTATCTCGATCTCGCCAATCAAACGAAGAGGTGCCCCTTGAAGCCTATATCTACAATCCTTGGGGCGAATGGTGCAACACAAAATCTGGGCATATATAGCCTGCTCTCTCCGTGCTAGAACGACTTCAACCATTAACTAATTACCTCACACACTCTTCAAGCCGATGAATCTTGAACACCCACCTATAAAGCAACACAAGATGTCTACTCTCTCGACCATGTTGCACGTTGGCCAGCGTCTTCATGTGCCCCGAAAGCCGACAAAGTCAATTGACGCCTTCATTCGCACCCACCCTATTACCCAGAATTTGCGGGCCAATCGCAGATTCACGGAATCCAGACCTCATATGTGGGCCCCAGAGTTCCTTCGGACGGAGAGTCTCTTGGGCGGATCCCTGGCCGGATCTGAAAAGATAACCGTACCACCATACATATTCCATGAGAAAAATGGCAAAAGGTGTGTGATGGTCATGCACCTTGGGAGCGACGTCTGTAGCCATCCAGGCGTAGTTCACGGTGGTCTATTGGCAACGCTGCTCGATGAGAGTTTCGCATGGTGTTGTTTCCCTCGCTTCCCAAAGAGAGTTGGGGTGACGGCAAACTTAAGTGTTGATTATCGGGCGCCAGCACTGGCCGACTCGTATTTCCTTCTCAACGCGGAGATTGTCAAGCTTGAGGGTCGCAAGGCTTGGCTGGAAGGCCGTATTGAGACTTTGGAAGCTGGTGGCGCGGATTCAACCTTGATCGCGGAGGCTCATGCACTTTTTGTAGAGCCAAAACAAGCTGACGTGAGTAGCCCCGTTGTGTAAAGGCTTACCCAGGTAGCATGCTGATGCTAATGCTTTCCAGGGCTTGGGTGGAGTTTACCTGACTTAGCCCACCTCTTGTCGACCGGGTAGTATACACATAATAACTCTATATCCACGACCTGATGGTCCGAAGACTAAATGATAATGAGTTGCATGATGGAAGAGCAGAAGAAAGAGCAGAAGAAAGAGGAAAAAAGAGAGAGAGATGATCGATTTGACTTTGCAGATCTAAACTAAGTTCTTGCGTTAATTTCAAGGTTATAAGAATAAACATCTATTTGATCATGTTACCTCCCGAGGTCAATTCTGGCAAGGTCTAAGTACATGATGTGTATGTTGAAATTACTAGAGGAAGGAGGACGAGAAGATTCTATTTCGTTCACTTTAGAAGGAGCCCTGGAGAGAAGAAGAGAGGGGAAAGAGCTATTTACAAGGCTGGGATGAACCACCCACAACAGTATACATTTCAACATCTAGGCTATCCTCTCCAAATCAGAAGGATCATCTTCATTCATCTGTGTTCATTTTCCAAAAAGACACAACATCCGTGTCTATGACAATGACGGATCTTAACTGAGAGAACTGGCCTGTGAGCTACACCCGTGGCCCCTACCCAACCTTGCAAGTTGACGACTAGAAGCGAATCCACTTATGTACAGCATGCATCTCCAGCCTGATGAATCGCCCCACGTCCCATCCGCCTGCTATATTGCTATTTCTCTACGGTGTCTGGTACGGAGAGGGCGAGGCTTTATGCCTCAATGTTATGATCATCGAGGCCAAAGGGCCAACCAAGTCGAATGATCCAATTGCGCAACTGCTTGCATACATGGGTATGTATCTCACTATCTATATTGTTGCTCCCGTTTTTCGAAAAAAAAAGCTAATCAGTAAAGCATGTATGCACCATGTCCGCAAGTCGGAGGGCAAACGCAACTGCGCTGTATACGGTGCAGTTTCCACTGGCGAAACGTGGAACTTCGTCAAAATCAGCATGACTCGAAGGTAAGTTCAAGCCATATCAGCCAAGATCTGGACTCACATATCTATCAGTGGTCCGACTGCCTAGCTCGGGGCCGTGAATCGCCTTTCTCGACCCAAGTCAACCCATATGTTCCCTCCTTGAATCAGGACTGTAATCGGACTACATCCTGCGAGACGGCCGCGAAACTGCTGTCCGACACTGTCGTGGCTTGAGAGCAAAGCACCTCAAACACTCCGCCATTCATGGTGCTAAAAACGTCCCCAGCGTCCACCCACGATTTTTACAATGGCATTTGATCATGTGCGTGCTTGCGAACATGAGGGCCAGTGCGGAGCCTCTGGAGTTATGGGAAAATGATCTTGGTGAAGATGACATCGGTCAAATTCTCGAGCAGCCAGAATCAGATGCAGGCGAACGTATGGAAACCGAGTTGTTCACGCGACTCGGCGAATATGTGGCATAGATAGTTAACAAATTCATTTCTTCCAAGTTTGGCGACTTCAGGAGCACTACATAGGCAGATGACGTCTAAAGGTTGGGATCGACCAAGCTAGTTCTAAGTTAATACATAGTAGGATAATTGACTGCTCAATTCTTGACTCGAGATACCTATGACTTTTTTCCAAGGGCCCATATAGTGCGCAGACTCAGTAAACGCTGGGATTAAACTGGAAACCCCCTTGGTACTTACCTTAAGTATATCGTATGATCTTAATGGCTACGTTCCAAGGTTCCACACAGTAGAGAGCCGTAAGGGTTCTAAAGCTCAAATCCCACGAGCCCATTGCCAAGGTGTCATTCGAAATGCGACACGTAAGAGACGCATGCCTTATTTGACCGGCAATTGGGTGTAAAACAATATATCCAGAGCTCAGGGGGTCCAAGCACATGACATGTGCATCTAAACCACTAGTGTCGTTTGAAAAGGGCCCCGCTGCCTAAGTATGAGCTTCGCTAGTTATTCGGCAAAAAGAAGACTCATGTAGGTGGCTCAGGTGATAAAAAAAATGTTGCAGATGAATCAGAAAGGCGAGAAAATCAGGTAATTTGACTAACAATTACAAAACCAAGGTTCTCGAATAATCGGCGTGATGTTCGGGTGACGCTGGGTTAAGGTTATTCCACTAAACTTGTGAGCTGCAATGCGTCGGGCCGTCGAGCGCTTTGGCTTTGGAAAGTATATACGGAGTACGGAGTAAGCTAGAAGCACTTGGAGGAGTAAATAATTCACGGCGTTTGAGTGGCGGAAGAAATTTACGGGAGATGAACAGACTAAAGATGTAATTACACTGATCTTACAACATGAACATGAATCATAAAATCAAGGATGTGTACAAGTATGTAGATTGATGAGCAACCTGTAGACGGTGAAATCATCCATCCAGTAAGATGCGACAAGGAACCCGGCTGTTTTCTCCGTCTGGATAACTACACGACATAAAAAAAAAATCAAAGTGGATCAGGGTTACTCGTATGTATGTATGTACTCCGTACGGAGTACAGGAGTCACTCACACGACTAAGTACATCATCTAATTGCCACCAAATATAGATCGCAAACATGCAAGGATTATAATTCAGTGCCCTTGCGCCAGCCACCTACTGAGTACATTAAAGGCGTTGAAATTCCGTCTCTCCCCTCACTATCTAGGCCTAAACAAGTAACACCCTGGAGATAATAGCGAACGTCTATCACGCCTATGCAGGTGATGGAAATTCCGGTCACAGCCCATGGTCGTTACACCGCAGATCTTAAGATAGTACCGTGTCATCGGCTAGGATGGATGTACGAGTACGAATACTTCGTGTGTGCGGGGGCCCGGGGGGGGGGGGGGGGGGGGGGGGGGGGGGGGGGGGGGGGGGGGGGGGGGGGGGAAAGAAAAGGGTGAGATCTTGTGGTGGCCCCG